CAGTGACTTGAGCCCGGTCGAGATAGAAAAAGCAATTGATATGAGTGCAAACCGCAAAGCGCCAGGTGAGGACGGTATACCTTTTGAATTCTACAAGACATTCAAGGACATGCTATCCGGCCTGCTGACACAAGTATACAACGAGGCAACGAAAGAGGATTTTGACCTGCCCCCGTCGACCAAAAAGTCGGCCGTCGCTCTTTTTTTTAAAAAAGGAGAACGATCGTTGTGCAAAAATTATCGCCCTATATCCCTTTCTGGGTGCGACTACAAAATTTTTACAAAAGCACTGACAGAACGAGTCAACAAGGTCGCCACCTACCTTCTCCAGCCCTGGCAAACAGGTTTTGTCAAGGGCAGGCAGGGTCATGACAACGTACTTAATATGCATCTTTTGATGCAGCATGTGCAGAAACAAATCACAGACGAACAGTTGGCACAACATCGCATTCTCCAATTTTTGGATCTGAATGACGCGATGGAGAGACACCCACGCCCCGACCTCCCTGCTGATGCCCTTCTTAGTCTCGACCAAGAAAAGGCATATGACAGAGTAGAATGGAAGTATCTTCATGAAGCGCTCAAAGCCTTTGGCTTTGGAGACCGCTTCAGGACGTGGATTACTCGATGCTATACTAATCCGTCGAGCAGAATCATTGTCAATGGACGCATGACCCAGCCTTTTCAAATTGAACGAGGACTGAGACAAGGCGATCCACTAGCACCACTACTATTCAACTTTGTTCTTGAACCCTTTCTTAGGTACTACAGCCAGAGAGCTCGTGGTACCCTGCTCCCGAACGGTGACGCCTCCAAAGTGAACGCTTTTGCAGATGACACCACCCTGTCCATCTCCAGAGGGGATGAGGAAGTAGTGATGGGGGCCTTGGCTCTACATGAACTTGCATCAGGAGCCAAGGTAAACAAGGACAAGACAGCACTCATACCACTACAACCTTGGGCCCAACACTATTTCAATTTTGATCACCTCACAAATTGGGAAAGATATGGAGCACCATTCACACATCTAGGTGTAGAACTGTCCGTTAATGGATTTAACCTGGAAGTGATCGAAAAGAGACTTATTAATGACCTGAAGGGATCGACCGCAGCCTGGCGGCTGCGCGGTCTCACCATTCAGGGCAGAGTCACTGTCTTGAACACATATCTGTTATCCAAACTATGGCACTGTTCACCGTTCTACCCCTTTACAAACAATTTTTACGACCAAATAGAAAATATCCTAAGGGACGTGCTGTGGCATGGCAGAAAAGTCCGTATCTCGCTGGATACATTTTTCAAGCCAAAAAAGGACGGAGGATGGGGTCTTATACACCCTCGCTCTCAAGTCCTTGCCCTCAAGGCAAAGTGGATTGCTCGTTGGAAGACGGAACGGCCAGGAGTAAAATGGCAGCACACCTTTGAGACTGTTGCCCAGTACACCCGCCCCCTTATTCAACAAGACACACCTATCACACACTTTGCGGCACTACCACCAACAAAGATGCAACAAAACCCAACACCCCAAGCCATCAAGTCCAGAAAAGCCGACACCCTCACCCACCACATCCTCATGTCATGGACAAAGGTCAAGGCGTTACTCAAGGACGGAACCACTACAGACTCGGATCCAAGGGAAGCCATTCTTTTTGGTAAACACAAGTCACCCCTCAAAGAATTTTCTGTCCGCAAAGCACGAAGCACAATCGTCAGCGGACTTGAGCTCCCCCAGCCCATCACCATTGCCGACAAGCTCGCTAACCCGGGCCAAGCCTCTTTCCCATGGGACTGGACGGCTGCGCAGTGGAAGTTGATCTGGGACCGAGTACACAACACGAACCTACGTCGCAAGGAGCACGACCTTCTATACAAGCTGGCCTACAACAGGGTGACCACCAACAATATCCGCAAGCACTACAAGGAAGCGGATACGGACGGTACATGTAGACGGTGCGATACAGGAGCGAGTGAAGACAACCGTCATGCCTTTCACGACTGTCCAGAGTTGGCGACACACTGGGACAGCTTGCATGACCTCATCAAGACTATTTACCCTGACCTCAACGACTTGTCTCGCACCGCCCAGGACAGGATTTTTTGTTGGCCTGAACGAGACAACATGAATGACTACCCTCTTGTATACCACCTGCAAACAGCAGCACTCTGGTCGATATATGTTACCTTTTCCAAGCTGGGAGCAGGAGAGCAACTCGAGCCAGGCGCGCTACAGTCGATTTTTCTCCAGAATTGCCGTACCAGAGGCATGGAGGAGTGGATTCGAGCGGAGCAGCAGGACAAGAAGAACGCAACAAGGCCGATCCGAGAAGAGGAGGCACCGATGGACCCGCACGCGGGCAAGAACGCCTTTTATGAGATGTGGCACCACACACCACATATCAAGGTGACCAAGAAGGGACCTCAGTTCGGAGACGCATTCCAACCACCATAACATGAGCAGGAGGAGAACGGGCAGCCAGCAGGATTAATTAGTATAGATTTTTTTTTTTTTTTTTTTTTTTTTTTTTTTTTTTTTTCTCTTTTTTTCTCTCTCTTTTTCATTTCTCTGTATCTCTACGTCAAGCGTCTATATACCCCCCCTTTCGCCTTTCGCTTGACCTTTTCCCTTTTGTTTTATTTTTTTATCTTTTCTCTTTATTTTCTTTTTCACTCTTATTTTCACTTTTTCTATCTCTAATCTCTTTTTCACCATCTCTATTATCCTTTTCCCTTCCTCTCCTCCAAACCCGCAAACACAAACCCACAGAAACACCAAAAACCCACACACAAGCCTCAACGTCATTACCCTCGAGCCTGACACGCTCATGCTCACCTCCGTATCAGATCACAGACACAGAAGACATGGATCTCACCCGTTTAAACAGCGGAAACACTTTGAACAAGCAGTCAACGGTTTTTTTGGCTCACACAAGACCAACAGGCACCGTACCAAGGCGGCGATGCCTGCCCAACAGCTCTAACACCCCCCCGAGCCGAGATCCACCCCCTCCCCCATCCTTACCTTCGCCCTGTACTATAACTTCCAACTTGGATCCTCCCTCCCTCTTTTTCCTACTGTCCCCTCCCTACATTTTTTTACACCTTAAATCCTAGAGTAGCATTTTTTTATCAGCCCTTTTTTGGTGGCGTCGCAAAAATTAGGTAGCGGGAACCAGACGGAGGAGTTCTGAATGACCCGAAATTAAACATACCCGAGGTGTAACAACCGTCGGGGATCTAGCTCAAATGGTAGAGCGCTCGCTTAGCATGCGAGAGGCACTGGGATCGATGCCCAGGTTCTCCAGTAACGTTGAATTGAACTCTTCGCATAACCAGCGAGGAGTTCGCTTTTTACCCTTTTGCGAGGATAAGCACGAACTTGTCGCTCAGTTATTAGAGCGTACGACCTATGCTTTGCACAGGTATAGCATTCAGCATTAAGATACGACAGCAACAAATGTCAGATTATCCACCTGCAAAAAGATATACTGATGATTGGGGCAGTGTTCCTAACCAATTTTTTTTGACGGAATTAACCGGTTGGCCGACTAAATGGTTAACCAAAAATATTGCCAGTCAATTGACCGTTTTTTTGACCGTCTTTTAACCGATTAATCAATTGACCGATTAATCAATTGACCGATTAATCAATTGACCGATTAACCCATCGACCGATTAACAGATTGACTGACTAACCGATTAACCGATTAACCGATTGATCCATTGGCCGATTAACCATTTGACAGATTAGCCAGTTAACCTAAATCGGTTAACTGTCAATTGACCAAAAATTGACTTAACCTTTTGACCGATTAACCGACTCGATCAACCGGTCAATTGACTTTTGACCAAAAAAAATCGGTTAAAAACTTTGGATGGGGGTTCTGAGTTCTTGATATATGTCTTGTAGGTATGATTGTATCTGTTTGAGATGGGAGAGAGTGGGTAAATGACCCAATGAATGAGAGAGGCGGGGGGAAGGTGGAAGGGAGGGAGAGAGAATGAGGGAAAGGGAAAGAGAGAAGAGTAAAAAGAAGAAAATGTATGTGTCCAAGAAAGAAAGATGATATTCTTTAATTGCATGGTCCTTCCCTGGATCTTTGCTGTCTTTATTTGCAAGAATTTTGCTCAGCCTATCATTTGAAAGTGGTTATTTTTTGCTGGCCAGTCGTTTGGCGTGTTTTGAAAGTGGTTATTTTGATTTTTGGCATGTTTTCCTTTCTTGCTGTAACACAAATATGGGCACACATTTGATCCAACTCTCTAACAGACACAGTCACTTTTCCAAACAAACATGGTCATGTACTCTTCACGGATGTACCTTGTGGGGACAGGAGTTCACTCAGCAAAAATTTTATGCTTTGGCAAAAAAAAACTCTGTACTCTTGGCTGATGTACCTTGTGGGGGAAAAACAACTGTGGTAAGAATCAACAAAAAAGGGTGGTCAGCTCAGTGATTTTTTATCATGCATTCAGCGCTAGAGAAAGACTGACCAAAATGGGGAAAAGCATATTGCGATCATTGCTTCAGGTACCGATCCTTTATCAGTGATCACTCAACGGTGGCCAGTGCATCCCCAATGCCGTTGATATGATCAACTATTGAACATATTCGACTTTTCGATATAACTGAAGTGTCAGCTATGCTCCTTTCCCTTAGATGCCACGGCTTAGGTTGACTTGATGCGAACATTTTTGTAAATCTTCCACGCTGCCACTGAGGTCGCATTGAGCACTAAACAAATCCTTCTAATGATCATCCACCAAAAAATAATAATAATAATAATAATGCAACCCCTGAACGTTCAAAGACCATTCATTTCGTCAAAGAACGATCGTTAACTGCAAGAAAAAAAAGAGGAGCGGAAAAGCAAATACTTGGGAGATATTTTATTTTCGCACACTTCTTCCAGTGGGTTGGCACACAACTTTTTAGTTCTTTTGTCGTTGAGGGCAAAGGGTAGGGGACGGGGACAAGGTCGGTCTCAAGGTACTAAAACAATTTAGAAGCCAACGGTCCAGACACGAGTGATGCTGTCGGTGTAACCAGCGAACAAAGTCTGGCCATCAGCAGACCAGGCCAAGGAGACAGCCTGGGGAGGGTTGGACTTCTTGCCAACGTTGGTGAACTCGGGCTTGAGCTCATCGACAACAGACTTGGACTCCAAGTCCCAGATCTTGATGCAGGACGAGGTAGCAGCGCACAACCAGTAGCGGTTGGGCGAGAAGACCAAGGCGTTGATGATATCATCACCCTTGCCCTCCAAAGAGTACAAGTGCTTGCCCTCGTTGAGGTCCCAGAGCATGGTGATGCCGTCGCGTCCACCGGAAGCGCAGAGGGAACCATCGGGGGAGACAGTGACGGTGTTGATGTAACCGGTGTGTCCGATGTGGTTGGAGCGAAGCTTGCACTTGGTGAGCTCCCAGACCTGAAGTTGTCCATTTCCGAATTATGAAAAGAAAAAGAAGCAAGTTGGTGAGTTACTTTGATCCGAAATGATCATTTTCATCTCCTTGTCGCGTCTTTCTTTTCCGTGTCAAGAGTGTCAGCGCGTGTTTCTTTGTTGGGTCAGAAATTTCCAGTGGAAGGTTTGTCTCATCGGAGGGTTGCGACGCCCTCCTCTGAAGTAGCAAATATAAAGTACATCATTCGAAAGAAACACGCGTGATCCCTTTGGTGGCGGCTTGAGGTTATGGTTGCTGAGCATCCAGAAAATGGGTGTAGTCCGATTGAAAGCCAAAAATAAGAAAAAGCGAAAAATTACCTTGACGACCTTGTCCCAGCCTCCGGAAACAATGACGGGGTTGGCGGGGTTGGGCGAGAAGCGGACGCAGGAGACCCACTCGGTGTGACCATCCTCCTGGATGGTGAACTTGCACTCACCGAGGGTGTTCCACAACTTGATGGTCTTGTCGCGGGATCCCGAAACGATCTGACGGTTGTCAGCGGAGAAGGAGACCGAGAGGACATCGTTGGTGTGACCGATGAAGCGGCGGGTGGTGAGGCCGGTGTTGAGGTCCCAGAGACGGAGGGTCTTGTCCCAGGAGGCGGACAAGGCGAACTGACCGTCAGAGGAGATGACAACATCCTGAACGGCAGAGTTGTGTCCGTGGAGGGACTTGCGGGGGACACCGAAGTTGCCCTCCTCATCGCGGACCAAGTTCCAGACGATGATGGTCTTGTCTGCAAAATTAAAAAAAACGCAAGAGTATAAAAAGGACTTGTCAGATGGGTGCCATCTCTACGACCGTCGTGTGTGCCTCTCCAGCGAGATGACTGTTGGTCTCTGGTTCGAACAAAAAGTAGCGTGTCCAGAAAAGTCGTCTCTCAAACCACGATCGAGCTCATCAACTCCTCCTGAAAATAGTACCGTCTTTCCTCTTTGTATTCTTCTCGTGCTCACTGTGAGACTTCAACTGGCGTCCTGTTCCTGTATTTCTGAAGGTTGCAAACTGCTCCTATAGTAGTTGGCGCCAGGCCTTTTTCTCCAGAGTCCGTTCACATACCACGGGAGGAGGTCAAGATCATATCGGGGGACTCGGCGGTGGTGGCAATAGCCGTGACCCAGTCACGATGACCTACAAATGGGGTAGGCACAAGGGCAGACGCACGTTCAGTTAGTTACTTGATGAACTGTAGCCTGATCCGCGAAAAAAAACAGATCGTAAGGTCCTGTGTTCCTGGGTAAGCTGTTCCATCATAGGTTTCCCGTCGACTGAAGTATTCTGGGTTGTAGGATCATAGTTCATCCATTGCCTTCCAGATGTATAGTTCGGTGCTTCCTTTGATGACCAGTTGGCTTGTGTTTGAAGAGTTCTCAAAGATGAAATAGTCTCCAGAAAGGGGTTCTTGTCCTGCAGATGGGTGTTGGGTCGAGAAGGACTGGTGCAATTCGGTATTGGCGGTTATGGCAGAATCGGCAAGTTTGGGGGTTTCGTTTCAACGGCACTCAGTGGGTTGTTTCGTCTTAGACATCCAAATATCCGTCCTATATCCTCCCATCCATCGATCGATCCATCATAAGTCTGGACTTTCATCGATGTTGCCGATGGGTCCGCCTAAATGGTCCCGTTCACTCCATTTCGATGGTAGTTGCCCTTCGATGATGTGTGTGTTTCGCTGTCGAGCAAGGTATCCATACCAACAAGCTGACCGCGGTAAGACAAAGAATCACTGGACATGATGATAAAACTGAAAGAGGAGGTTCAATCATTCCGCCAATTGCACATCATAAAAAAGGTTATCCAGCCCCTTAATTTTCTTCTCTTCAGTATTTCGCTAGTAGTACCTATCCAAAGGCAACTTGTGAATGAACTACAACTCGCTTGATACATATACAATATCATAGATCTGAATAGTTTTGCTTGTTTTAATGTTCAATGAAGGGAATGAAGCTGGTGGTATGCTATGAGTTAATAAATACAGGGAAACAATGAGCTTCCGAAAGGGTGTGAAAGAAAGAAATCGTGGTCGCCGAGCTCACTTGGCAGCACCGTTCTGAATCACAACAACGACTACAACAATGGCCACAACCACGAGGACAATACCAAGACATACCCATTTGTACTACAGAGAGGATGGGGGAAAAAAGACAGGTGTTGATGTATGAGTTCAAAGAGTTCTACATCCATTTTAACTGGTGTTATCTCAAGCAATATTCTCGACAGATACTTACCCTTCTCGCAGAGTATCCATGAACAAGGGCGACGGCCACTTCACCATGTCCCTTCTCGATATCGTTCTCAGCACGGAAAACAGACGCCTCAATCTCCTGGAAGGCAACATCCTGATCAGAGATCATCTGCTCCAATTGTTTGTACAGCTGTGCCAACTCGACCACACTCTCCTGCAAACTGTGCAGTTCGCGCTGACGGTTCTGAACAGAGTTCAACGCCGCCATTGCTTGCTGACCTCTTGCTTGCTGCAACAACTATTATCCGACATCAGATGGGAAACAATGAGAGTAGGCGTGTCAGTATAGCCCTGTTGCCTGTTATAAGTGACGCTCAAGCGGAGAGAGAGAGATGGAGAACACCAAAAAAAAAAAAAAAAAAAAAAAAAAGGTGACGGTAAGCAACAAGAGTCCTTCGTACCTGCTGGGAAAAGGCTCCTCCCTGGTCGCTCTCAACCAAACGTCTCACGTCTTCGTCGGTTGCCGCAGGATTAGCGATACGGTATTGGCGGGCAACATTGTCCTTTGACTTTTGTCCATTCTGGTACTGCAAGGTCTGGAACCTGCTCACGGCATCCTTGAGCTGTTTGCTGAGAGTCGATGTCCTCAATTTGCGACGGTCGTATTCCTCCCGAGTGCGAACCGCTCTGTTGGACTCTGTTAGGGCTATTGTTGATTGATTCCAGGTAAGGAGAACGGTGGTATGGGTCAGTTTCACCTTGAGCTATCTTTACATGAGGCTGCATTGCATAGCTTAATGGATGTACCTCGGAGACGGTCGTAGATCTCTGTGGATAGGTTGTTGGCGGCCCGAGTCGTGTCTTCCAATTGCTTGGCGGCTAGAACATACAGTGAAGAGGGGCAACGAAGAGTTAGTAAGATTACACGATAAACGATTGTCCTTAAATTAAATGGCAGCTCAAACGCTTAGGCTGTACCTTCTGCGTCAGCTCTGCCGTTCAGGTTGCGAAGGAACAGTTGGTCGATTTCATTGATGCTGCTCTGGAACTGCTGGATCTTTGTGGAGATGACCTCTGTCTGCACAAAAAAAAAGAAGACGCGGAGAGCGATTAGCCAGTTGGATATGTGGTGGCAAACACCAACGAAGTCATTCAATACCAGGTCTAGAGAGGGCTGACTTTACCTCTTGGAAGAACTGAGTCAGGCTGTCACCCCGCAGAGGCGCGAGTTCAACTGGTGTCTGGTTGTTGGTGCTGTTGCCATAGACGCCATTGGAGGGGTACATGTGAACAGAGGTGTCGGTCTACAGCACAATGAGAGCATAAAAGTAAGGCGTTGAGTGTGAGCATAAATAGAACTTTTTTTTTTTCCTTTTTTCGCGTTCGTGATGGGAGGCAGAATGTAGAGATGAGCCAACTTCACACGAAGTGAAGAATTGCGCCTTGCAAAGCAGAGGCAGAAACGGGGACGTACATTGTTGTTGTAGTCGTTAAGGCGATCACGGCTCATGGTGGAATATGTCTTATGTTGTGGCGCGAGGATGAGGTGAAAGTGCGACGAGTGGGTGTGCTTTCAAAACGAGCGGGAGAGAGAAAGTAAAAGGCACAAGAGTAGGGGCTGAGTACTGCGCAAAAAGAGGGGAGAGGGAAGGTGAGAGGGAAGGCGAGAGGGAAAGTGAAGGAGTGGGGTGTTGGAAAAGAAAGAGGTTAAAAGAGGAAAGAGGGCGTGTGCAGAGTTTTTGTACTTGCGGCGAGACAAAAGAAAAAAGAATGAGGTTCGACCTTCGCCAGGGCAACGCAAAAAAACAAAAAAGGCCTGGCCAGATGGACACAAACAGAGGAAAGCGACAGGGGACAGTCGAAGGCGAGATAAAAATACAATTTTGTTGCTAAAAAGGAGGCTGTGGGCAGTGCTACTGTGCAAAGACAACAAGAAAAAAAATGGCCGCCAATGGGCCTTCTCTCGCTTGGTCCAGGCGGCGCACAGAGAGGCGGTGCATGAAAAAAGATCAATAACCCAAAACACGAAAATCACAACCTATTCAAAACAAGGACCTTCCTCTCTACCCTACCTCTTTTCTATTCTCCTTTGCTTTGTTCAGTGCAATCGCCTTTCACCAGGGTATCCATTCGAGCTGCAAATGGAGTGAAAGAGAGTGGTTGTTGCCCGAGATTATATTTTTTTTGCTTTCTACGACGATCGTTTATATATTTCTGATCAAGAGGTTGTTGATGAGACGGACAAAGTTATCGGTGATGGTGCCTGGATGAGAATCCACCTTCTGTTGACCGTCAATCTTAAGAGCAAAAGAGAAGGACGCCATTGTTTCTGAAGCCTGCCGACCCATGAACCACCTCTTTTCTTAAATACTACCATCCTCCTTCTTTCATCCATCTTGGACAGTGGCGATGGAGCAATTCCACACCGTTCACATCCTCTTGTCGCCGTTACAGCGTTACATGGCGAGAAAGGCCCAGTCCATGGTCGTATCTTGGCTTGGAGTGATATTGATACAAAGCGAACAAAGCGAAAAAAAGAAAAAAAAGGCAAGCAACCATCAATCATCATTAATAGAGTCCTCTTTTTTTTTGAACGCGTCGTAATCATCAAAGGAACATCGTGTATTATGGAAGCTCATTTTTTCACTTCATGCCAATTGAATTCTTACATCCCAAGTGCACACCTAGTGAAGCCAGGCGAGTACTAATGCTAAAACCTAAGGACTTCTGCACGTATTTGCTTTCCTCCCTTCTTCCTTTTCTCCCCTGTCCAGTGTCCACCCCATATGCGCAATTGACGTGTGTGTGGGGGAAAGGGAGGGAAAAAAGGAGAGGAGCTGGGAAGGGAGACCGGTTATGTCATTTGCACCAAACTGTATCTACAATGCAGCGTAACCTGATCTTGATGGATTGAGCCAATAATGGACCGTTGCATGTTTTTTTCTGTAGCCAATTGAACTTTGCTCGCCACATGGGAGTTGAAAGAGAGTGTATTTGAGAGGTAGAGAGATAGGAAACCAGCTGCCTGCCTACTTGGGTGTGAATGATGTCAGACATGTCATTCTCTCTCGCTCCTTGCGGGACTCAAGCTCGGCCCTGAACAATGCTTGGTTAATTGCAGTTCACTATTATCAATGGATCACAACGCCAAAGGGGTAGACATTGTAGGGTGTCACGGCACAACATAACAAAACACAACGAAAAACGACCATGCGAAAAGGTGTTTGCTTTCGTTGCTGTTTGTTCTTGTTGGTGGATTCACTATTGCTGCTTTAGTCTTCTTTTATGCATTCTCCATTGATATACCCGCGGGACGGCAGACCCTGTACTGTCGAGGTCTCCGTTTTGCATCCGAATGGCCTCACTGTGTAGAGAAGAGAGAATGAAAAGAGAGAGACAGAGAAAGAGAAAAGAGAGAGAGAGCCAAAGGGAATGGAATTGGGAGAACGGTGGTAAAGGTATTAAAAACAAGAAGGTGGTTCATGGGTCGGCAGGCTTCAAAGACAATGGCGTCCTTCTCTTTTGCTCTTAAGATTGACGGTCAACAGAAGGTGGATTCCCATCCAGGCACCATCACCGATAACTTTGTCCGTCTCATCAACAACCTCTTGATCAGAAATATATAAACGATCGTCGTAGAAAGCAAAAAAAATATAATCTCGAGCAACAACCACTCTCTTTCACTCCATTTGCAGCTCGAATGGATACCCTGGTGAAAGGCAATTGCACTGAACAATGCAAAGGGGAAAGTAATAGGGGTTAGAGTGGAATAAAGAAAGAGAGAGGCAATTGGCGGGGGGAAGGGAAGAAAGGTAACAAGTGGCGAGAGAGACAATGCAATGAGTATCACCTCTCCTCAGGGACGGACGGGAACTCACTTACACCCCCGGGTTCCATTTTTTTTTGTTTGCTGTCATTATTGTTATGCCTTTTTCCCACTTTGTCTTCCATGCCCCCTCCTCCTCTCCCTTCCCGTTACCTTTCTCCATCCTTCTCCCATTCCATTTTTTTTTATATAATCCTTTCTTTTCCTGCCTCCTTCCTCCTTCGCTGTCCTCCCTTCCTTCCTTTAACTCTCGCCCTTCTTCCTCTCCCTTCAGCATTCCTCCTGAATCCAATTGTCCGTGTTAAGAACAGCACTACGAATAACAAAATAAATATAACGCTCGCATTTCAGGTCTCTTCAGGGCATGAGTTGCATGGCCTTCGTCTGTCGTCAAATCCTTCTCTCCACCCCTAATCGGTAACCACCACCACCTCATGGCTCTCATTCAACACACCCACACAGACACACACCGTTGCATTCCATTTTATCCTTTTCCTCTGAAAACGTCTAACATCAGTGCAGTCATATTATTAATATTTCTATTTCCAGGCCTGTCAGTACCGACTCTTCGTTACGGCCGTAACAGACACCATGCTATCGCAGCGTGACCAGTCGTCGTCGCTGCTGCTGCAACAACAACAACAACAACAACAACAACAACAACAACGGCAGCAGCAGCAGCAGGGCCTGCATATTAGTAACAATCACAGTCAGCTTTCGATCCCTTGGGGAAAGCATGCCGACATGCGGCCGGCTAGAAGGACATCATCCAGTGCTCTATCCAACACATCGACCACCGATCTTGAGGAGACCTTTTCTGACAGAGATTCCTCTCAGGATGTCTCCTCCTCGCCACCGCGCAGCAACCAGAGCTCCTGGACTGCCTCTTCCACAGGAACAGCCCCTTCTGCAGCGCCCTCAACAGCAGAGCGCAAGAAGAGCAAAACGTCCGGCCTCAAGCTCAGTCTCAAGAGCTTGCGCGCGCCAAAGTCTCAGCCTCAGATGGCTCCTCAAGAGAGCACAGATGGACATGGCTCTCACATGATGCCCGATGGAACCTTCGGATCCTCGCTGGAAGGCTGGTCGTCATCCGATCGGCCGCCAATGGACCGGACTCTGTTCCATAACGGTCGTCGGGATTCAACACAATCGACGCACCAACCTTTTTCGACTTCAGCGCCAAAGGCCTCTTCGCGGCTGTCGTTCTTACACTCCCCAATCCCTACATCCCCCTTGATGCGCCCATCTCACCAACGGAGTAACACAACTCCATTACAATCGCCTGGACCGCCCTGCTATGCCACATCACCTGGGAGATCCATTACGTCTCCTTCCCCTCAACCCGTCAAGGAAACCCACAAGATGATGAAGGAGTATGATCCCATGACTGGAAACAAGATGATTAACAAGTACATGGTCGTTCAAGAGCTGGGTCGAGGCGTCCATGGCAAGGTCAAGCTGTGTCGGGATACAACTACGGATGAACTCTGTGTAAGCGCCTCTATCACATTGTGTGTGTTTTTTTTGGCCCACTTTGTTCAACAATTGCATCAAGGAAGAAGAAGAAAAAAGTTTCGAGTTCAGAGTTTGAGCCCCTGACTTTGTTTGCTGGCACTCTTGTTTGGTTGTTTTTTGCTTGCTTCTGCGCTTTCCGTTTTAGGCCATCAAGATTGTTGACAAGACCACCCGTAGACGCCTGGGAAGATCCCAGGCCTCGAACGAGCAAAAGATCCGTCGCGAGATTGCCATCATGAAAAAATGCATCCACCCCCATGTTGTCCGCCTCATTGAAGTCATTGACGACCCCACAGCCCGAAAGATCTATCTTGGTAAGGTCGAAAAGTCTCCTTGCGTCAAACAAAGTTGATAATTATTTCAATCATAGCACTAACACAACATTGACGAATGGCGCCTCTCCTCTCAAAACAAACGGCGCTAGTGATCGAGTACATGGAAGGCGGCGAGGTCAAGTGGAAGGATACGAACGAATGCCCTATTTTGCCACTCGGGGTCGCGCGGACGATATTCCGCGATATTGTCCTGGGCTTGGAATATCGTACGTGGTTTTTGATTATCTGTTGCTCATTTGTGTCTTCTGTGTCATGGCTGTTAAACGTACCGAGGTTGCACTTGGTGTCACAGAAACAAGGACGAGAAGTTTCACAAGCGGTTTTACCTATCACTCATCTATCTTTTGTTTTGCTACTATAGTCCATATGCAGGGCATCATTCATCGTGATATCAAGCCAGCCAACTTGTTGAAATCCGCTGAGGGTTCTGTCAAGATTTCCGACTTTGGTGTATCTCACTTTAGCGAAAAAACCTCGCTGGATCGCGACTTGGAAAACTCGCCCATCGTCTCGAAGGGGTTTCACGTTCCTTCAACTTCGCATCCGGACTATTCGCCACGGCACAGCATGCCATCTTCGCCTATTTTTTCATCCTTCGGAAAGAACTATTCGGCATCGAACAGTAGTCAGCATCTGGACGCGTCACAGTCAAGTCAGCAAAAGCAATCATCTGCGGTCGCGCAGTATCAACAGTGGGGCGATGACCTCGAGTTAGCCAAGACTGCCGGCAGCCCTGCCTTCTTTGCTCCTGAGCTATGCCACGCTAGTACGTTACAACGTTACAATGCTATCCAATGTTTACGTTTGTCTGCCGAATCCAGTTTTATCATAGAATGTGCATGAACTGACGGCATTTCTCTCCCTATTTCTTAGGCGATTTTAATTCTCAGAGCCTCTCTGCCACGGCAACTGCATCTCAGACTTCTGTTATCGGGTCATCACAGGTTGCGGCGTCAAGTCTTTCTAATCCCTTTGGACCACTGCCTTCTTCCAATGGCCACCCAACTGGTCGGCCACCTATTACCAAGGCAATTGACATCTGGGCTCTTGGCGTCACTCTCTACTGCTTTGTGTTTGGGCGATGTCCGTTTATCGCGGACACCGAGTTTGAACTCTTCAACATTATTCCTCGAAAGCCACTCACATTCCCGGAAGGCATTCCAGGGAGAGAGACGATCGATGCTGGCTTGGTGGATCTTTTATCGCGGCTTCTCGAAAAAGATGTCTACAAGCGAATCACGCTCAAAGAGGTCAAGGTAAAAGCAGCAAGCCTCATCATCAACAAGTTGGTTGTTGGCATTCGTAACGGTCACTCACCCCAAATGTCATGCATGCATATTTTTTTCTTACTTTTATTGTTCAAAGGAGCATCCATGGGTCACTGAAGACATTACTGACCCTGTTCGATGGAGGATTGAGACAGATCCTATGCACTACCAGAGAGTGCATGTCACTGAGGATGAGGTCCAGGGTGCAGTCAAGATCATGGACAGAATCAAAAACCGCATTCGCAAGCTATCTGTCTCTATTAGCAACTTTACCATCAACCGCCGGCGAAGCAAGTCGATTTCGTCCACTCATGCACCAGGTAAGCAGCGAGAGGCTGCTATTATTTGATCATCCATGGAAGGACCGCCCACCGTTCACGTCTGACGAGGTGTTTTGTTTTTTACTTTCCACAGATTCTCCCACGACGGAGCAAGGCGGAATACCCTTTTCAAGGTCGCCAATAGCCACACCAGGACACTCGGGTGGCCACTCGCAATCACAAACACAGCAAGTGGGAGGCAACCCGATGTCGCTGCCTGAACGATTCCACCACTACCACTCGTACAATGGCTCCGGGTCCGGCTTTGGATCGGGCCGACTTGAGAGGCCAAACAGTGTCTGCAGTAACTCTAGCAGTATTGATGAAGGGGATGAGGGCGAGGAGTATGGTACCAGCTCGGGATCGTTAACACAAAGTAGCACTTACAGTGGACGGAGACGGATCTTTGGGCAGCAACCCTCGCTCCAGATCAATCCGATAACATATCAACAACAGCACTCGCACCAGCAACACCAGTTCCAGCATCACCATCACCATCATCCACTTCCACCAGCACCTCACCAGCATCAACAGCATCCCCTACCTCCAACCCAACATCAACATCAGCATCAGCACCATGGCGGGAATCAAAATCGCCCGCCTTCAATTCTAGGATATTCATCACTAGTATCTCACCAAGCATCACTTGGTCGGCGCGCGTACTCTGACGATGCAATTGACCCTCATGGCCAAACGAGTTCATCGCTGCTTGGAACCTCGATTGGCAATCGATCAATGACCAACGTGCATAGTGGGTTATCCAAGAGCTGGGTCTTTTCACCGACGGAAGCTAGCCCATTGTCGCCAGAGGTCCTTCAGATTCAGGCTGAGGGGCAGCGAGAAACAGAGGAGAGAGAGAGATCCAAGCCGGTAGTCCATGTGCATGTGGGTGCAGAGGCCGACGAGGAAGAGACAATGGAAGAGGAGGAGGGCGCTTCTACGCCTCGGTCCTTTGCCCGTGCTGTCATGCTCGATCGGTCCCTAACTTAGCATCAATAATTCAATTGAGTTTAAAAGAATGACATCCAATCGGCAGTGTCAGAGTGCTCACAGCAGACAGCGGGGTGTCATGGACTGCAAGTGCGGCGTCGTTAATTTTGATTTCTCATCAGTTGATTGGCCCACCAAGGATTCGAAGGTCATGACGTCACTGTATTTTCCAAGCGAGGAGTCATAACACCCGCAGTGCGAGTGAGTGAGCGAGTGAGCGGGAGGAAGTCCTTTGTCCACTTTTCATTTTTTCCGTTTTCTCTCTTTTCTTTCCTTCTTCTCCCTCACCCTTTCCACTCCAGGAATAACCCACGCCGCCCTTCCCTTTCACACCCACACCCATCCACCTTCCACCTTCCTCACTCCTTTTTGAGTTGACGGAGCCAAAAGTCTTCTTTTACACCCCTTTCCCACTTTCTACAGCCAGTAACAAAAGAAAAGACAGTTTGAAGTTCATCCTTCTTTCGCTCTTCCTTTTTTTTATTCATCCACAACAACAACTCTCAATAGACCTTCTTCCGATCGACGGACAAGAAGTGTCTTTCCCTTTCTTTCCCAAAGAAAACACCCCCCCAGTTCTAGCCCTTTTCCCCTTCTCCAGTTCACATACGCATACGAGGACAACCGTTTTCCTCCCCCCTCCCCCCCTTTCCCCCCACAACCAGCAACCCAACAACAACAACTAGCAAAAGAGAACCTCCTGTTCTACTTTCCTATCGCCAATCCACCTGAGCGATATCAAACAAGAACCAGTACAGCCAGTAGCCAGCAGCCAACAACGCAGCCAACAACAACAGCAGCCAACAACAGCATAAGCAGCCTCAATCAAACAAGCAAGCCTTCCTTCACCTTAGCCAACCCTAACAGCACCTTTTTTACTTTCTCGTCGACAAGCTACCACCACCAAGCAAGCCGTCGTCAATCCCTTCTATTTTTATATCCATTTCTTCTGTTTTCGATTACTCTTCGTATCGGAAACTACATTTGGATATCTTTTTTTCTTGCACAAACGTTTGTTCAGTTTTCCCTTGAACAAACCTCTCCACTCCCTCACCAGAGTAACTCAATTTCGATCGGCCTTTGATCGTTCCGCTTCTCTCGCCGTCTTCCACACACTCGATCTTGCCGTCAACGCTCGAACACCACAACCAAGCTTCCCTCGCCCACTTGTGCATGCTCATATCTGACGCCGACTTTACTCCCATTCATCCCACCCCTCAGCTTATGCAAACACCCTTAAACACTTTTAACCCAGACTTTTTATTTTTCGACAACCCGTCAGACCCAACTTTTTTTAACGTGCCTTCAAAGCTCGACTTTATTCAGAACAACAACTCTTCTACCTTTATTAAGCCTCCTATCCCTATTCCCCTTTCTTCTACCTTTAACCCCCCTCTTATCAACCGACATGTCCTCGATCAATCCTCTCAACCCACGCAAGCCCAAGGCTTTGTTGGCCAGTTTGGCTCCGTCAATCCTATTGATGGATCCGTGTTGTCCCAACAGCCTTTAAGTGGTCTCGATTGCTCTGGATGGTTCACCCCTTCCCTTTCAACCGAGGCTAGCTCTGCCTCTGCCTCTGCCCTTACCCATGCCCCTGCCTCTGCCTCAGCAACTATGACCAAAGGCGACGCTTCTGGTTTTGACCACCTGTCGCCCTTCGATGAGGTTTGCGCCTCTGCCCTCAACACGCCCTATGCGCCCTACCTTGACACGCCGGACCAAACCCCAACTCAGACCCCCCTGTTTGATTCTGTGGCCTCTGAAGACCTGTGCTTGCTCCAACTCGATGATCTCTGGACCCCTTCCGCTGTCGCCAATGACACTGGTTTTGCCCAGACTTCGTCGACCTTGGACTTTGATCTGTCCTTTATTTCATCCTCCGCCTCTGCCCCCTTGTCCTCGACGACCCAGTCCGGACAGGCTGCTCAGGATGATGTTCAGGTCAATGCACGTCTTCAAGCCGAAAACGCCTTGCTCGACTTTGTTCTCTTTGACGATATCGCTTTCCCAAGCCCTATCTCGACCTTTTCGACCCCCATGACAACCACTCTTACCTCGCCCTCTTCCGCCAATTCAAAGGTAGGCCACGTTTTAATCCAATAGACTGTCAGTTCAGAAACCAGTGTATGAAGACAGTCATATCTAACCCTTGTTTTGCGTCTTGCCATGTTGTGATAATAGGATTTCGAGACCAACGAGCTCGCTATGCAACTCGTTGCCGCGGCTGCTGCCAGCATGTCCAGCCAATCGACCCTGACCAGCACCCCGACGTCGCCCCTGACGATCGACACTTCTGACGTCCTTGGAAGCCTCTTCTCTGATGTCGACCTCTCTCCCATCATGGAGACGACCACCACTTCTCCCACTGCCACTGCCACTGCCACTACCGCTGCCCCCCTCTTCAGCTCAGACTTTGTCTTGGACTGTGCAGCCAACGCGGTTAATTCATTTTCGTTCGACTCTGGCAACGATGGATTCGAGATCCAGCCTTCTCCTATGATCTCTTTAGGAACGACCTCTCCTCCAATGGACATGAACATCTTTTTCTCTCTCTGCAGTCAGCAACAACAACAACAGCAACAGCAACAATTGGCGTCCCTGTTCCCTTCGCCCTTGCTGTCTGCTGCTGCTGCTGCGTCCGCACTTTCCCAGACTGCTACCTCCGCCGAGAACCCCTTGAAGCGCAAGGCGGATGAGGTGCAGCAAGCCGGTGAGGAGTCTCCTCGCCAGTTTGTCTGCGCCGTTTGCGGTCGCGCCTTCTCTCGTCTCTTCAACCTCAACACCCACGAGCGCACTCACGACCGGAGTAAGGCCCGACTCTTTGCTTGCCCTGAACAAGGGTGCACCAAGACGTTTACCCGGCGCAACGATTGCCAGCGTCACCAGATCTCGATCCACAAGGTCACCGACATCTACAGCTGCAACAAGTGCTCCAAACGTTTCTCAAGTCGCGAAGAGTTGCGTAGCCATACGGACCGCAATTGCCAGGAGGACCATTAGGGATGAACATTCTGTCATGACCATGGCAACCCAAAATGTTCACTGGCATTTTCCCCTCACTTTCAAACAACAACCCCCCCCCCACTGCAAGGCTTTGACAATATTTTTGTCCTTTTTCCCCAATCAATCTCTTTCAATGCTCCCCTTCCCCCTTCAGTTCAGTACATCACTTTTCCGAGCCTTGCCAAAATAATAAAACTCTTTGAAAAAAGAAAACAAAAAGTGCTGTTGTTTGTTTGATTATGTAAAGGTTGATATGGTTGTGGTTGCCACAGTTAACGCCTTTCGTTCACTCTAAATTGAAGCCAGAGGAAGGCCACCGTTAAAAAGGTGCAGGCCATGATCCCCAGACTCTGGACATCCTTCCAATATGCGCCCGAGTTGAATCCAAACGTGGACAAAATGACCGCTCCCGGGACCTGAAAAAGTGGGAACAGATAGTAAGTTGGTAGGTTAGTTAGGTTTCTTGATAGCCTTTTGGACTTTTCGTGCATGGGTAGCTGAATAAAGACAAGAGGACAGGGAAGCACAGCAAAATAAGCGGGAAAATAAACGTACGTCGATCTCGAGTCCGTATTCCTTTTGGATCAACTGCAGGAAGGTAATCTCGTTCACCAACAGTGCTTCGAATGCAAAGTTGAAGAACGACAGCTTCTGCAACCACGACAGATGTTCCGGGATCGATTCTATTTGTTCAGAAGAAATATGTGTGAGTTATCAAGTCCCATTTCATCACAAGAAAAACCATTGTTCACTTTAAACATTAAAAAAAGTCGCCTTCCAAGACTCACCTTTGTTCAAGAGGAGACCTCCAAAGAGCATCGAGAACAGCATGACCAAGCTACTCATCAAGTTGGCGACCCCAACAGCCTCAAATATGATGCCAATCATCAAACAAACCCCCGATGCAACAATATTGAATAGTACCAGGACCAAGAAGAACTTTCCAAACTCGGTCCAGCCCTCGACTAGCCCCACCATATTGTATATAATCAGACCCATCAGCATCGGTGGGATGACTCGCAAGGGTACAATATCGAATATCACCTTGGACAAAAAGTAGGTAAAGGGCGAATAGTACCCGTTGGCGCGCTCACGGACAAACAGAATACGCTCGTGGGCAAACGAGGGAAGGATCGACAGACACGAGAACCCAAAGAGTGCGCACATAAAGAAGAACACCCCCATGCGGTTCTGGAATCCAGGGATATCGTTCGTGACCTTGTAGAAGAGCGCGCCGCAGAGGAGGCCCAGGAAGATCGACATCACATAATGTGAAAGCATCAGCATCGGGTCGCGGTAAATGTTCTTCAGTGTCCGGTCTGCCAAGATCTTGAACTGACTCCACCACGATGCTCGACGGTAAGTCGCCACAGCCTTTCCAGAGACAATGTCATTCGAAGCCTGCTGCGAGGCGGGAGTACTCCGTCCATTGTTCGCTCCACCATTGCTGCTGCTGTCTCCGTTTGGTGCAGCGCCGGTCACACCCTGGACTGCAGAGTCGATAGATTGCTCCACCTCAGAAAAGATGGCGCTCTGCTTGAAGCCGTCCACTAAAGAGAGCAAGTGAGCATTAGCTGCAGCCTCCTCCTCTGCCGTTATGGCGCGGTCCGCCTCTCTATCTGAAGTTCCTGAAGGATCAATACCGATCGTCGTGTTCTCGCCTGGAGACGAGGCAGCAGGTCTGGGCCGTTCATGTTCTCTAGAAGCCAGCTCACTCTCCCATTGACGCGTGTCGTCCGCCATACTCGAAGCTCGCGTGAAGCGAGGCAAGCCATCAAATCCGAGTGCAGGCTCAGTGGGGTTGGGTAAGGCAGAAGGACGTCCATAAAGTCGCTCCTCTTGTTCGTCCTGAACTGCATGTCGTTGGCGCAACATATTCTCCAATCCAACACCATCGTTACTGTTAGTGTCAGTGTTGTTCGCGGCGGCCCTGCTCACAGACTTGCCAGAGTACATTGTCAGATCGAGCATGTAGTCAGCAATGTTGAAGCCCTCCGGACAGGGGTGCCCCAAACTCCGCAAATGGTCGCTGAGAAAACGCGTCTCGCCAGAATAGATCAGATGACCCTTCGCCATCAAAACCAGTTGGTCGAACAAGGCAAAGATGTTGCTTCGGGGCTGGTGGATCGTGCAGACAACTGTACGGTTATAGTTCCTCGCCAAGGTGACCAAACACTCCACGACATTATAGGCATTGTAAGAGTCCAGACCCGAAGTAGGTTCGTCCAAGAACAAGATCGAAGGGGACGTGACCAGTTCGCAGGCAATCGACACTCGACGCTTCTCGCCGCCAGAGATTGAACGTTGACCACTAGCGCCGATCCTCATGTCCTTGATTCCCAAGATCCCGAGCTCGGACATTGTCTCCATGACGCGAAACCGTTTGGCTGCCACAGACATGTCGCGTGGCAAACGAAGCATGGCGGAGTAAAGGATAGTCTCGTACACAGTGAGTGTAGGCATAAGAGTGTCCTCCTGGTCAACATATCTATCGCAATAGCGCAGAGGAATATATGTGGATGAGTACAGGCTGCTCTGCCGTTGGCTGTGTTCACGCGAAACAACTTCCACCCGCAAAAAAAGTCCAATGTTCTTACCCAACAACGCGCTTGTACTCCGAGCTAGACACAGTCCGTCCGTTCACATAGATGTGACCATGGATCGTGCCAGACTTGTGCCGTTTCGCAAGAATATCCAACAAACTGGTCTTTCCTGCGCCACTGGCTCCCATGATGGCCATGACCTGACCGGGCTTGACCAGGCCACTGACCTGTCTGAGAACCTCCATCTCGCCAATAGTATATCCCATCTGCTTGAACATCAGTGTCGCCGGGATATGCTCTGCCATCAGCTTAGCGGCCTCATCGTCAGGAAGGGAGATGTAGCCGTCGCTTGACGATCCCGATTTCTTGGCGAGGTAACAAACACCAAGACCAAGGCAGACCAAGAACAAGAGCACGCCGGCCACTGAGAGGATGATCGCCATAGTGTAGTCGGGTCTGGGAGGGCGAGCGAATCCGGGAACTTGTGTATAGTGAAGACACTCTCCTGCGTTGCACTTCAAGTAGATTGCTGGGTCACCAAACATTGTCATAATCAACTCGTTCATCGCCGGTTCTATCAAGGATTGTATGGAAGGGAATGCGATTAGCAGGCATGAAGAGGGAAAATGAACTGCGCCCAACAAGGGCATCTTCACAGGAACACAGCTCAGAAGTGGCATACCTTCAAAGACGCACTTGTTATCGCCAGTGCATTCGAATTCTGCAGGTCCATGGATCTCTTCCTCCAAAAAGTCATCAATATCTATAAGAAAAGAGTAGATAAGATTAGTATTGACACCGCTGTGAGCAAAACCTCGACATACAATAGCCGAAGGCAGTTATACTTACTGACGCTTCCATCCTTGCCGCAAAGCATTCGGTCCGGAATGCACGAGCACTTAATCTTGGGACATTTGTAGGTCGTAACCGTCTTGTCATATTGAACGTCTGTTGAAGGGAAAAGTCGCAGCATTAACACTTGATGTCACCCACAGCGTTGATGATGCCACACGATTAGCATGATCCAGAGCTGCGGATTACCTTGACCAAAAGCACATTCGTCCAAGTGGCAATAGAATGACTCTTCCTCGTCCACCCAAACTACGCGAGTTGTCAGAAACAATGGCAAAAAAATGTCAGTACCAACGTGTTTTTTCTGGAGTTGAATGGCCACCATTCAACCGTTTTCGACAGCATAAACAGACACTTACATTGAAAGTCGCACGTCTTGTTCTGCTGGTTGCAAGAAAAGGTGATTGCTGGAGGTTGGCCAGGTCCAAGCGTGTCTAGAATTTTTCGATCTGCATAAGTTGAAATGGGAGAGAAAACCACGATTAGCATCTTAAGATCCTTTTCATCATGCTCCTTGGGTCGTCATTATACATATCAAGAGTATACTTACTGGTAACATCGCATTGCTGAAAGTTCTCGATGACAGTCAGTCCGCCTTGATAGCAGGTCGCGTTCTTGCCCGTCGGGACCAACGCGTTACAAACATCGTCGGACTGACAAACTGGATACCAGAAAAAAAAGTATGTTGGAAACAAGGTTCATCAGCGAAAAAGGGAGGCAAAAAAGGGAGGCAAAAAAGGGTCAACGGTGTGAGCCGTGATGCGAGCTGACGTCTATCGTGCGTTGGGTGTCTGCGCACAACAACAAGTACGCACACACATCACATCAAAACACAAACATGCCCATGCCCATGGATGAGCATGGCCACTACTATACTTTCCTCTCCTCTCCTCTCCTTTACTTACCATTGCAATTGATACCAGTCCAGCCATCCTTGCATTTACATTTCTCGCCGTCATCGCGTTGGGGTCGATCCCGTCCGTCGGGTAAGGCCCCACAGACTAAATCAAAGACAAAGAAAAGAAAAGGTTACATTAGAATATGGATGGAGAGAAAGACAGGCAAACATACAAAGATCTTCCCTTTCTGTCTTCCAACTTGAACCGGATCAAATGAAGGGGGTGGCGGTGGTGGTGGTGGATAATGACCAAACTCATGGATCAGAGTGAACTACCCTCTTTTCCACCTTAAACCACGAACCATGAACCATGAGTAAAGTCTTTCTGCCCTCCTTCAGTATCCAGTCAAATCAAGATGAACTCCATACATACCTGGAACAGAACAGTTATCTCCCGCAAATCCAGGTGGACAGGTACACCGACCATCGTACGCATTACAAGGCGCAAAATGCGAACACGGGAAGGCATCTAACAGACAGTTGAAACAAGGCGGACAGTCTTCGGGCCTGCGAAGTGCCGCTTCTACTTGGTTTGCCATCAAAGGACTGGCTAAAGACGTGCTCTCACTGTTGATACCGTTGCTCCGTTTGACGCGATCGAGCGCTGCAGCGAGGTGACCGGCGGCAGAGCCTGGAACTCTAAAGACAGCTGTGTCTCGAGGTATTACTGTATCCAGGTTGTTGTTGTTGGGACTGGCGGCGGTGGTTGTCCCTGGCCAGAGGACGCCCAAGACAAGAAGTAGGGCACTTGTGGAGAAGCGCATTTGTATATAGAGCTCTGTGGGTAATATAAACGGTGGGGTTGAATGGTTGAATTAGGTTGGTGAAGAGTGTTGAATGAAAGAAAAGGTGGAGGTGTAATGAGAGAGCGAGAGAAGGAGAGGAAGTGAAATGAGGTAAGGAATAGAAAGAAAAGAAGAGGCCAGAGAAGGAAAGAAAGAAGGGAAAAAGGAAGAAGGACAGAAGGGAAGAAAAGAAGGAAAAGGACTAAAGGGTAAATGAAATCATGAGAGCAAGGAGCGTCAAAGGACCCTTTTTGTCCACACACACGAAATGACGACCGTCACGCTCGATCCCAGCAAACGCGCAAATTACATTCGTTGCTCACGCCAAGCCAAGAAAAAAAAGCGAAGTATTCAAAGGAAGAATAATATAGCTGTATTAAGTAAGGACAAACTTCAGGATCGGTTCTTGCTGGAACCAATGCCGTTGTGGCGAGTAATAAACGGATGCAGCATCACTCGCTCCAGGGCCAGTCGCTGGTCAGGGTTCCGTTGGAGTAGCTAACCATGATGTCATTTCCAGATTATATGCAGCAGAAGAAGAAAGTGGAGAGTGAAATACCAGGCATGCAGAGGTTAGTTTTTCTCTTCTCTATTAAAATCGAAAACACCAACAATAACAAGAACAACAATACCACGTTTCGCATAGACGCACCTTGCGAATCAGATCCTTGGCATCGTCACTGAGATGGTCCGGGATCGTCAGCTCGACCTTGGCAATCCTGCGGAACGTTGACTCACGATCGTTGTCAGCCTCAGTTTCCACAGACTTGGATTCAAACGGTGGGTGTCCCACAAGGAACTCGTAGCAAAGAATTCCTAGCGACCAAAGATCCACATGGCTCGAATGCCATTGTCCTTCAACCATCTCTGGCGGGATATAATCCAGTGTTCCACACATTGTGTTCCGTCGAGAGCTTGGCGCATGGACCGACCAACCAAAATCAGAAATCTTGATCTCACCCTTGCATCCCAACAGCAGGTTCTCTGGTTTGATATCTCGATGAATGACATGCTTCCTATGCAGATAGGCTAGGGCTGTCGCTAGTTCATAAATGTACTATTGAAACATAACCAAGACAGGCTTCGAGTTAGCTCCTAGTTTTTACGCGCCGTTGTCCCCCAGTCTACAATTGGCATTCACAGTAAAACTTGCGGAATGGTACGCACCTTTGAAGCTCGCCACTCCGGGAATGTTCCCGCTTTCTGCAGCTGCTTGTACAGTTCGCCTTGAGGTGCGTATTCGAGAACCAGATAGACTCGCGACTCGTCATGGAAGAATGTGTCCAGTCGAAGAATATGCTTATGCCTATGAGAAATAAAATCTTCCGTGCATTAGTCTCCACTGTAAGACTTGAATTCTACACGGGTACCAAACCAATATCTTCATTTCTTACTTGAGGTTAGATTGGATATCAATCTCTCGTCGAAGTTGGTGCTCCATGTTGGCGTTCAAAAGTTCGGACTTTAGCAGCACCTTCATAGCCACAACAAATCCTGTCCGACGCTCTCTCATCGAATACACACGACCAAACTGCCCTTTGCCTAATGGCCGAACCAGCTCAAAATCATCCAGGCACCATTCCCGAGGCATCAATGCCCGACTGTCATGCATTGAAATATTTAGAATGTTAGTCGTTGCCATCAATTTAAAATATCACTTCAGTTCCTTGAATGCCGTCCCATTGACACTCTTAGCGATTGAATATACCTGATTTGAAGTGACGGCGCCATATCAGTGTGTGTCAATGTCCTCACTTGTTTCCCGGGTCCTGTCCCTGCTCCAGAAGTGCTGCCAATTGGCCGGCTGTAAGGATTGCGGCGTGGAGAGCCACCAACAGGAGGCGGCATCTTCTTGCTTGACTGTTGCTCATTTCCGTTCCTGTTTTGAGTGTCGGTACCCGTATTATTTCTTTGACTGGACGACGCTGCGGTATTTGACCGCGCTCCTCCAACAGAACCTCCCAGGCCGACAGAAACCGATGACGGTGGCATCATTACTCCAAGCTTGGCATGTCGGCTGCCTCCAATCGGGTTTCCGTTACCAACACGGTTGATAAGCTTGCTGAAAATGCCCGCTGTTCCGGTCATTGCGCCATTTCCTGAAGTCGCTTCGTTTGTGTTTGCTGAGGAGGAAGATGTGGCTGCGGCGCCGGAGGTGGACAGTGCAGCCGAAGACGACGATACTTTGGATGCAGGCTTCATTGAGGCAACGGTACCCAGCTTGGAGACGGTACCATATGAACTGTTGTTGTTATTGCTATGCGAGGCGCTGTTGTCGTTGTCCATGTCCAGTTTGAACAGCGGTTTCCTGGGTGCTGGTGCGTTCATTATTGCTGTTGTAGTTGTGACTGTAGCTGTAGTTGTAGTTGTAGTTGTCGTTTTGTAGCTGTGGTTGTAGGTGTAGTTGTAGCTGTGGTTGAAGTTGTAGTTGTAGTTGGTGCAAATGTAGGCTTATAGTATAGTATAGATATCGGTCTCCTATTCGCTCAAAGAGGCTGTTGTTGTTTCAGCTGGAGATGAACTAACAAGGGAAAAGGAAAGGAAAGAACCAAAGAAAAGTTGCGCCATCAATCCACGAGTCCTTCTCATTGAACGTATTCTGACAGAGCATCCCCCTCATCGCGATTGTTGTGATGACTGAGTTGACTGACGGGCGCAGTCCAGCTGTTGTTTCTGAGCACTCACCAGGCGATGAGTAAGTATTTCCTTGTAAATAATTAGAAGAGGTGAGTGGTGTTCCTGGCAAAAAGGTTGATGCTGTGCACGAATAGGTGGGTTGCAACAGAGGTGTGAAAGAGTAGAGAGTAGAGAGAGGGCTTTATAGTCGAGTGGCTTCAGATGAAAGAGATGTGTTGTGCGTTGACTTGGGTATAAGTGTTTAGAGTTGTGCAATGCAAACGAGGACGAAAGGGTGGAGGTGGAGGAGCTGGGAAACTAAGAACAGCAGTAGACCACAGAGCACACTCGTGCATTCAGGGGCAAACAAACAGTCACTGTGTTTTTTCACAGGTTGTTGGTCCATTGTGCATATGGATTTTATTCGAGCTCGGTCTATTCATTTCATTATCAAGGAGTGTGTTGGGATCTAGTGAAGGTAGGCAAGTTTACTCGCTTTTGTTGGGGGTGGTATCGGCAAGGTGATATTTGTGGTTGGTGGTGTTGAACCAAGGAATAGCAGCTATTATTCATACAACACAACATATATGCATGAGTATCAATTGAAAAATGGACATGAAAATGAATAGACTTGTAGAGGACAACTCATTCAATGACGCAGTTGGACACATACCGAACTTGAGAGCGGCAAACTTGGAGTTTCTGGCAGCGGCAGCCTGGGCAGCCTCGTCCATTGTTGGCTCGCCGTAGGCAGGGAGGCCAGCAGCAGCACGGGCATCCATCTCCTTGCGGTTCATAACCTGCTCCCTGGCGTTCTCTTCCCAGCCCCAGAAACGGACTATTTTTTATAAGAATGAAAGAATCAAAGAAAAATTAGCTTCTCAACTGTCCGAGTTGAATAATCATCTCCCAAGTTCCTTCCGCGGTTCAATGATGAAATATTCATTTTTTTTCCGATCTCCACACGTACGGCTCGACTTCTGGTAGGAGTAGAGGAAGCCGCCCATGAAGCCCATGGCGGTAGCAAGACCCAAAGCAAAGTTGATTCCCTTGGGTCCGGCAGCGGGACGGACACGCTCTATTAAATTCCAATCAAAAGGCGTAAAGAAATGTTACTACAAGCTGCCCGCAATTGTTAGTCTAGAAGCCAGATCGATTGTCTGTCGTTTTAGTCGTCCCTTTCATAGCCTCCAATGTGAGCTCCTGTCGTCAATTAAATGGGCATGCACTGTTTCCAGTCATGATAGATCCTAAATCTCCTCTGCTGGATCCTGATCAGGTTGGCGCGTACTCCTGTGGTATACCGCTTGTGCAGCATCCATTGAGCAAACGACAAACGGAATATCACCAATTCCAGTGGTATCTGTCGTAGCTTTCCAATTGACGTGTTCGGAAGTATCGGCCAAGTTAAGAGTCCTGCTGATCTCGCCTTCCTCATCAACTTTTGCTCCATCACTTTTCTCAGAAGTGATGAACACCTCCGATGCTATTCTTCCCGTTTTGTTGTATTCTTCCTTGTCGCAAAAAGTCGGTATCCTGTTGCGCCACTGCGGTTGAAGGAGGAAAATGGGGGACGAGGTGATCGAGGCGGGTGGTCCTGCATCGGAGGAATCCACCTGTCGGAGAGACAGCTGTGTATGTATGCTTGGTTGATTACCGAGAGCCAAGAGGGCGGCAGGAGCAGCGGCGGTCAAACCACCCCAGGCGACGACGTCGGAACCGCGCATGTAGCTGATGACACGGTTGAAGTGGGGATCCGAGTCGATGACGGGGAACTCTGTCCTGATGTACTGTTCTGCCGAAGACATGGCGCTTTCTTTTATGTAGAGTGGAGAGTGGTTTAGCGAAAAAAAGAAGTGGCCAGCTGCATCCGCTACTCATTTCAAAAACTCCGGAAAGAAGGGAAAGTGGGAAAAATGATCAAAGCCACCCGCGCAGCACGTGCTGCATCATACTATCAATTCAAAATTCAGGCACCACTCTAGAGTCCCGACAAAGGCAAAGCAACATTTGTATTCTACACCCTGTTGACTCCTTCTAAACCAGTGTGGGTCTTGTATGTCTTTAAAATATTTACTTGTATATATGATGGTATGGCTATGTACTATGTGATGGTGGGGTTGGTTATTTGGTTTTGTTTTTAGATGATACACTACATCTAGTTGCGCTCAGCATCCCTCCGTTCCTTCTCCTCGGCAATTGCGAACAGTGCGTCAAACTCGGACGACCGCTCGCACATTGATCTGAATATGCTGTCGGGCTGGTTCATCAGCGTCAAGGGCTTGTCAAACTCGGCAACCTCTCCGGCGTTCATGACCAAGACACGGTCAAAGTCGGCAATCGTCCTGATTCTGTGCGCAATCGTCAAAATGGTCGAGTTGGCCATCTCCTCACGAATAGTGCCCTGAATCTTGAGGTCAGTCTCAAAGTCGACACTGGCAGTGGCCTCGTCCATGACAATAATCTTGGACTGGCGAACCAAGGCACGAGCCAAGGCGATCAGCTGGCGCTGACCCTGAGAAAAGTTGGAGCCGTTCTCCTTGACGGGGGTATCCAGAGTGATCTTGGAGGGATCGATTGTCTCGCTCTCGAGAGCTTCAGCGGCGTCCTTGAGGGAACCAGCACGCGACTTGACCTGAGGACCATCAGCTGTGAGCTCGGTACTGTTACGGTGACTTGGGAGTCTGGACGAAGGGTTGGTATCGGGGAGCAAGTGACTTCTACGAAGAGCCTCCCAAAGCTCCCTGTCTTCGCGCTCACCGAAAGGATCCAAGTTGGACCGGAGGGTACCCTTGAACAGGATGGGATCCTGAGGAATGATGGTCAAGTTGGAACGCAAGTCCTGGAGACCGATCTTGCAGATATCAATGCCGTCAATGGTAATGGTACCTCCGACGGGATCCATAAAGCGGAACAAACTGATGGCAAAGGTAGACTTTCCGGATCCAGTACGGCCGACAACACCAATCTTCTCGCCAGCCTTGATTCTGAACGAGATATCTTTGATGACAGCAGGGGCATCGGGCGCATACTTCATGGTCAGGTGGTCGACAACAATCTCTCCGGCATGAGGCCACGAAGCTGGGGGGCGGGAACCCTCGATTATGGCTGGGGGTTCCTCCTCCAAGTTCATGTACTCGGCAACACGCTCGACCGAGTTCAAGTTCATCTCGTTCTGGGCATAGATACGAATCAACCAGACAATAGTACCGGTGAACATGAGAGCGTAGGTCAAACTCAAAGCAGCCCAACCTGGCTCAATCTTGCCGTAGTTCTGCAAAATCAAGATACCGGTGGTGAAGGCGACCATGGCTCCGGCAATATCGACACGCCAGTGCAACCAACGGTTGGTCGCCCAGAGCAGGATGAAGGTGCGGTTGTTGTTGTCCTGGTTGGTGAGGTTTTTGGATAGGAAGCGCTTCTCGAAACCATAGGCACGGATGGTGGGCAGGCCGCTCAGGGCCTCGTTGAAGTGGTTCAAGATGGGCGAACGAGAGTTCGAGTTGAGACGTTTGAGATCGCGAGAGACAGGGACGTAGAGAGCACCGATGATACCGTAGACGACAACGATAAAGACGGCGGGGATCATGAACAGAGGCATGTTGGCCGAGATGATGACGACGATCCCGAGGATGGTGACAAAGGAACCAAAGAGACCCTGGAGACCGTTGCTGACATCGTCATCGATGGTCGACATATCAGAACTGAAGCGGTTGACGATACGACCAATGGGGGTGGTGTCAAAGAAACGGACCTTAGCGCGGGAGACCTTGCGCAAGAGCTGCTGGTGCAATGAGCGGGAAGCGGCTAATCCTCCAAAGATGGTATAGTAGTTGGTCAAGGCGGCCATGAAGAGGGTGGAGATGCTCAAAAGTACGTAGATGCCAAGGTAAAAGTCGACGTTGACAGTCTCGGGCTCACCCTTGCCAAAGACCGACATGGTCATGGCACCGTAGGGCTTGTCGTCGGCGGGGGCAAAGGAGGCGTACAAGGATTGGGAAATGGGCTCGGGGACAATGTAGTCAAAGGCCTTGACGGTGTAGGAGCCAGTGGATTTTGCCATCTTGTTGGCCCAGACGGCCAACCAGGCGTTCTGACTGACATCGACAAGCTCGCGGGTCAAAAAGAGAATAACAAGACCGACCCAGAAGGGCCATCCACCAGAAGCGACCAAGTAGGTCTTGTAGACGTCCCAGGCGACAGCTCCCTCGACCTTCTTCTCGTCCTCGGTGAGCTTGACGGTAGTCTTTTCCTTGGCATCCTTCTTGGGCTTGGTCTGAGCATCCTCGTTGCGAAGAGTGCTGACCTCGCTCGAATCTCCATCATTGAGGGCAGACAGGTTGATGTTCTCGACCCACTCGTTACGGACAGCCTCCTCGGGAGTACCGGATCCAAGAATCTCGCCCTTGTTCAAGACGACAACCAAGCTAGCAGAGTTCATGCAGAGTTGAACCTGATGGGTGACCATGATGGTGGTGCGACCAGCGACCAAGGGACCAGTCAAAGTCTGGAAGAGTTGCTTTCCAGTGTGGGTATCGACGGCAGAGAGACAGTCATCCAAGAGCAAGACGGAGGCGTTCGAGTAAATAGCTCTGGCCAAAGAAACACGCTGCTTCTGGCCTCCAGACAAGGTAATACCCTGCTCTCCAATCTCGGTGGCATCACCAGACTCCAAGATCTCGAAATCGGTCAACAAGGCACAGCCCTCGACAACGGCATCGTAACGCTCCTGATCAAATTCCCGGCCAAAAAGAATGTTGCTGCGGATGGTGGTGTTCTGGAGCCAGGCGGTCTGGGCGACATAAGCAATACCAGACCCCTCGGCATGAGAGGCCCGGCGCTCATAATCCAGACGAGGCATAAAGTGGTGACCATCCAAACGGTCGAGCTCACCCAAAAGAGCGAGCAACATAGCCGACTTTCCGGAACCAGTGGGTCCGACAATGACAGAGAGCTTGCCGACAGGAAAGTCGACCGAAACATTCTTGAGCTTGAAGCGCTCCTCGGGAGCTGCGACATCGGCAACGGGTTCCTCTGAAAGGTCGACGGCAGGGGTTTTGGAGAACGTGGCCTTGATCTTCTGCCAGAGAGAGACCTTCTTGGGAGCAGCCTTCTCAGCGACAGCCTCCTTGCCATGTTCTTTGTTAGGCCAGATGTACGAAGCATTGACGAAACCGATGGTAGGGTTGGAGGAATCGACGCGAGCCTTGCTGTCGAGCTTAGTGACGGTGGTGTCCTTGACGAGCTCCTCCTCGAGGAGGAACTTGTTGATACGCTTCAAACTGACGGCGGCTTGCATGGTATTCTTGATCTGCCAGGGGAGGGTGTTCAAGGACTGGCGCATGATGTTGAAAAGGGCTAAGGTTGTGAACATCTTGGAGGCGGAGATCTCGTGGCCAAAGACCTTGGTGTAAACTGTCAAGATGACAACGACGTTGAGCAGAGGAACCTAAAAATGCGAATCGAAGCAATGATCATTGGCAATTGTTAGTCCATGTTTCTTCGTATCTTAGCTCTTGCAAAGTGCAAAATACAACATGATACTACAAGGCAACTTACGATCATCCAGACAATGTCGGTGAAAATCATTTGAATATAAGATTCCTTGGTGCGCTGCAACTCCTTCTCACGGGCGGCGGTGATCTTTTCCTCAAACTTGGACTCCCAGCCAAAGAACTTGACAATGCGGATAGCAGACAACATCTCGTTGAGGGCGTCCATACGCTCATCCTTGGTGTTCATGATGTCCTTAAAGAGCTTGAGGATCATCGAATACAGCTTGGCAGGAATAGGGTAGGTCAAGAACATGCAGGCAATGCCCACCAGGGAAGCATATCCGAGGAGCCAGTACAACTGAACACCGGCGAGAATGAACTGAATGGGGAATCCATATAGGTAAAAGACATAACTGAAGGGAATCTCCAGCTTCTTGACATCGACGGCGATAAGATCTATTGATTGAGGAAGGGAAAAAACAAGGTGCGTTAGGATGGCTGAGAGCCGGGGCGGGGACCGAAATTCTCATTCTCGCGTCATGTGCGGCCAAAAAGACCTGCTGGCCCAGTGCAGGTATGCCATCCAAAAAGGAAAAGAAAAAAGAGACAACTTACTGGCAATGTTGAGACTTCCGTCCTTCTTCTTGTCACCACCGTCCTCCTTCTCGCCCTCTTCCTTGTCGGCAGGCGAGGCCATGTCCTTGCGGCGGAGAGACTTTGCAAAGACCTCGGCGTTGCAGATGGAGATGGTGTGGAGGAAGATGCGACGTCCGATGTGGAGGGCCTGTTGGTCGGTGAGTGACTCGAGGAGCGAGGAGAAGAGTAGACCAAAGACATAGAGATACTGGGCGGCGGTTGGGGGTCCACAGTCCTTGCACTCGATGTAGCTGATGATCTTGTTGAGGCAGTAGGGTGAGACGTTGATGAGGATGCACCATGGGAGGGCCCAGAGGAACTGGGCAAAGAACTCCCATTTGAGGACCTTGAAGAGTGACCAGAAGAGCGAGTCCTGCCTAATAAAATGTATGTTTTCGATAGAAGGGTTGGGCTGGTGAGAACATATTTCGGAAGGAATGGACGGATGAACTGCAGGAACAGCGTCGCGCCCAAATAAAGTATGGATTCTCCTGGTTGAGACCGTCCAATCGATCAACGGGTCTAGTCCCTCGAAGGAAGGGAAAGTAGTGTGAGCCCGCCTCATTTTCTCAAACTCTCTTCTCTCACCAAGTGTACCCTCTCTTTGTTGTTGTTTTGTTCACACACAATTCACTCGTGGTCGTAAGATTGTTGCCCTATTTTGTGCTGCAGCGCACCGCAGCCTGCTGCACTCTTGCATGCATCTCTTGTACGGCTTTTTGAAGTCATGAGGGTAAAAAAACTGGGATAAAAAACAACGCAATGCTCTCTCTCTCTCCTTCCAAGGAAAACGGTCGGATGCACATACTACTTCCTTATCGCACAGAAAAACGTACTTAACGAGGTTGTACCGCTTCATGGAATGAGTAGAATAATCCTCAATCTCAATGTCGGGCAAATCAATATCCTGAAGAGGGCGTCTGTATCCGAGGTAGACCAAGGGGTTCACCCATGCAAAGGCCAATTGAGAGTAGAGCGACGACGAGTATTCGGGCGAAGGGAGACGGGAGGACTCGCCCTCCTTCAATTTCTTCGTAACGGCCATGGGCTGATAAGGCTTGGTAACCAAGGAAACCCAAAGGAGCAAGGCACTGCCAACCCAGGCCAACGTCTCCAACTCGAGCCAGAGAGGCAATTCAGACAAAGGCAAGCTGAAAATGTCGGTCTGGTAAAGGCGAATCGATTGCAGCGTGATCATGAGGGCGTAGAACAAGTCCAGTTGAGGGCGAATCCAGAACTGGAAGGCGATGGCAGGACGGATGACATAGATAAAGGAAAGAGCGAGAGCGTAGACCCAGGAGAGGATCTGGATACTATCGGTCCAGGGGGTGGTGCGGCCATTGTTGCGGTCCTGGTCATCATCATTGGTGTTCTTCAAGAGGATAATGGAAAACAGGGCGAGGCCGAGTTGAAAGGCTGTGAGACCAAGGCGGGCAAGATTGACGCTCAAGCCGGAGGAGCGTTGTGCCTGGTACTGTGCCTGAACTTGGTCGACAGTTGGAGAGTCTGTGACGGACGCACCCGATTCGACGGGATGGGCTACTGGCCGGTGGTCGACTTGATCTTCGTCGTCCTCGTAATTGTCGTTTAAAGGGGAATATTGATCCAGATGAACGGGTTTCCTGGAGAGGTGCAGGATGGTCAGTGCCGAGGCAACCGAGTAGACCAGCGGGAGGGAACCCTCAATGATGCTATTTGGATGATGAGGGAAGAAAATCTTTATGATTAGTCCTCTTGTCTCTTGCTACTTCTACTTTGAGATGTGCGTGGTTGTCTCCTGTCTTTGTGGCTGCTGCTGTCTGTGCAGAAATAAGAAAACGGGTCCTGGCTTGGCCAATTTGGCTGAGCGATCTTCCTTCATTTTCACAGAAGCTCTCACTGGGGGTCTTCGGAGGGAACAATAGAGGCGGGTTTCCTGGTATCCCATGAGTCCTGTCCTGTCAAAGGGTGTTTCCATTTCCATATGTGTCTGTCGTGCCCCTCTCTTTTTTTTACCTGGCGATGGGGCTCATGAAGGGAGGGGGCGGGGAGAGGTATGAAGGAGAGGGGAGAGTGGGGAGTGGGGAGGAGGGAGGTCGACAGAAGAGTGAAGAGAAAGGAGAGAAAAAGAAAAGAAGAAAAGTTCTCTTTTCAAGTAACAACGACTATGACAAAAAAAGGTTTGGGCTTGCTAGCCTTGTTTATACTGCGGGGTTTGCGGGATAGGTGGACTTGAGGAGTGGGACGTAAAAGAGATGACGGGGGATGTGAGAAAGGCACTACTTCGAGAAGAAGGAGGGAGAGGGTGATGGAGGAATGAGAAGGGCAGAGAAAACAGAGTCGGTATTTATGTATTTCTTGTCGAGGTATGCGAGGTATGTATGTTTGCCCGTGAGTGTGAGTGACACTAAGGGAGAGATGAGAGACTGCTGAGATGACAACAACAACAACAACAACAACAACAACAACAATCGAGTGGAGAGGTGGTTGCTGCCTTGAAATGGAAGTCAATTGCTCATGAGAACAAGTTGATCAGACAAAGGACGGGTCACCCTCTCGCCGGAAGTCCTTCCAGCCAATGATAGCCTCTATTCTCTCATTGCCGACAAGGGGACAAGTGCAAACCTTTTTTTTCTCTTCAAGTCAGCCAGTCGCCTGCTTGATTTTAAAGCTGCTCCCCTGCTCCAATCCATCCACCGTCTCAGGAGCTCGGATAAAGTGCAAGGTGAGAAAAAGGAAGGAAGAGACCATCAGCTCCCATTGTTTCCTCTGCGCATTTTTTTGGTTTTTGCTCTCTTGTTGTTTCCCTCGATTCCTTGATCAAACGACCTCGACCCTCTCCTCCTCCTCCACTTTCACTACTCTCTTTGCCGAGATTTGAGAGCCAGACCATGGAAGAAAAGAAAGAAAAAAAAAAAAGTCCGAGGTCCGCGCACACCTGACAAATAACCACCACTCTTCCCTGCACTAGACTGCTGTTCACTATTGGGCAAGGGCAATTGATCATCGCAGAAACCTATGCCGACTGCATCAGCACTGAAAGACGGACATCGTGCCGGAGTCATGGCTGCAAAGAGAGAGCAAATTATGGCAAGAATGAATGAGCACCTCAATATGGTACACATTCAACCCATGGCGTGGCCCCAATGGGTCATATCATATCCACGCTTGGATCCTCCTCAATGTCTGTCATAACCCTGCTTATCACCCTCGGCTACTATAACGACTTTCATTGCCTCGTATATTCGCTCTTTTCTCTTTGCCTCACTAACCTCGTTCACTCTCATCAAACCTAACCTTGCAAATGAAAATCCGCCTACACCCCCCGTACTTTCGTTGACTCTCGTCTACCTTTATTATATCTCATATATATATGTGTGTGTGTGTTCAGACTATTCAGCATGTCTGACCAAAGACTTTTTCTCCATGTTTCTCTCTCGCTTTTTTTTTTGAACAATGGGACTTTCCCCGCGGCACTCACCTAGGTTTCCAGGAGTATACTCAAGCGGTTCAGAACCGACTAATGGCTAGATATCAAAAGTGGTGTCGAACCTTCCCCTAGATGGATCGCGTTGATTGGTGGCGACTTTCTCAATTGCAATTTTTTCTCTCCATTGTACCACTTTCATTCAAACCGTCGGCAGTACACCATCTGGCTTGATGTCCGTATATGCTTCCGTGATCACTAGATTCTAACTCCCGCGAAACTAGCCGAGCATACTAGTAAGGAGCGAAGACTTTATCATCCCCTTACCTCCTTGGGCGGACCTGATTTTGAAAAACAACTGGCTGGGGAGAGATAATGGATCAACTCATCTTTTCAATTGGGTAAGTGAGGTTGATTCGGTGGGGCATCACCCAACTGCTTTTCCCACAGGTTACAGCTCAACCTAACAAAAACTTCCAAACATGTTCTATCGTCTCCGTTGGTGATAGGGAGAGGGAGACATGGTCGCCAAGCAAGCAATTGTCGGCAATGTATCTCCTCGGCAAATGCACTTGAGCCATCGAGAATGGGGGTCGTGCCAATAATAACAAAAAAGCTTTGCAGGTTCGAACGGGGGGTCTAACAAAAAAAATATACAAGACGGACGTGCTCAAGAATGGGGAAAGGATATGAACAGATCTTCGGCAAGCAGAGCCGTCTGTGTGTCGTCAACTGAATTGACGCTCCTCCTTCCCCAAATTGTTATATCCTACAAAGGACACAAAGGCCTCCATTCTCCATGCCCATGCATGCGTTTGCCATTCCCATTCACAGTGACTCATTGAGACGGATACATAGCTAGCTTGTTTATTCATTGTTGCAGCAGAACCGTGTCCAGCAGGCACAGTATTTGAATGGGCCAATTGTACCTCTCGTGGTTTTCGTAGCCTCCAGATTTGCAATACAATGCTCGCGGTGTATTTTCTGACCCTTCTGTAGAAAGATATAGTCTGCACGCGCTAATTGCTGTTACTGTTGCAATCTTTCTTTCTAGGCGATCGGGCCTTCAGCGCTGATTCCCGATTTCACACTGGCCAAACCAGGAACTGTTCGTTGGCTCTCCACCTTTTCATTTTGTTTTGTGCGTGTGGAGCGCGCAATTGCGAAATGCGCGTCACCCTTAAGACCGAAATATCAACTAAAAAACCGCAAATAAATAAAAAGGAAGGACATTTCTCTTTCTCAATATTCCACAAAGTACACAGACGAACATCCCCTCTCTCTCCCCTGTCCAAGCAAGCACAAAGACGAAAATCATGGATCCAAGCTATTTCACACAAATGGGCAAGGTCTTGGTGCCGACTCTCCTTGCAGACTTTGGTATCCAGATCACCTGCTGGGGTATCTCTGCTTTCCTTCAGACTGAAAAGGTATGTTACACACGGATACCCCCAGAGACGCAATGACAAAGCAGTGTGCAGGTCTACTTTTATGAGCAGCAGTACAGGGCTATCAGATGGAACAGGATTTTTTCGCTTCTCTGAGGAAACAGTCTTGTCGTTGACGAACAGTAACCCAGGACGCGTTCTCAACAGCAAAAATCGACATATCTTATCAGATTGATCAGTGATCAGCGGGATCAGTCTTTTGACGATCAAATCGCAGGCTACTTCGCCTCCCCCTGATCTTCAGACATTGGAGAGCAGGTGGCTGCAGCTACAAGGAGGTGTTAATTGGCTGGATTTGCACGACACCGGGACAGACGCAATGATCTATGGCTGGCGGAAATTATCCATGGGTTCTTATTCGAGATAGCGCTGTTGACCGGAGATTGCGTTTCTATTAAGCCTCGTTGAGGGCAGTGCAATTATTCACGCTTTCGACCAAACGTTCGGAATGGAGGAAGAAAAAAGGTTGATTCATTTGAAGATGAATGTATGTCTCCATGGCTCCATGGCACCAGCAAAAGAGAGAAAGAAAGAAATTAAAAAAAGCGAATTCTTCATTAACGCATGTCTTACATTATTTTCCGCACCCAGTTTTACGACCTGGTAGGATTGACATCTTTTATCCTATGCACATTCTTATCCCTGTACAAGCCCTGGGACGAGAATTCGATCTGGGCAAACGGCAAGAATCCAAATGCTCCTCACAGAGTAATCCACTCACGCCAAATCATTGCTTCGGGGACCACATCTGTATGGGCTGCTTATCTGGGATTGTTCCTATTCTCGAGAGCGCTCAAGCACGGCGACAAGCGGTTCGACAAGATCAAGAAGATGCCCGGTCTGTTCCTTGTCTATTGGCTCGTCCAGGGTATCTGGGTTGCCTTGGCAGCCCTGCCTGTGTAAGCTTCCATTTGATTTTTACTCGTAACATCTGTGCACATCTGTGTACATCTGTGTATGACAACTAGGTGAGAAGTAAAAGTCGTAATGGTAGGATCAAGAAATGCAGCTGCTAATTTTCCGTCGTTCTTGCCAACTGAAAAACAGCTACATGACAAACTCGATCCCGGCAAGTGTCCACCCTGACCTGGGACTGCAGGACTACTTTGGAATCGCCCTTTGGGGCACAGGTTTTGCCTTTGAGCTCATTGCCAACTACCAGAAGCAAAAATGGCGAAAGGAGATTGGCAGGGACTACAAGCGCAGCTTTATTTCGACTGGACTGTGGTACGTAACCCGCTTATTTACACTTTTTTTTTCCCCCTATCTAACGACGTGAAAATGTGTCCTATGATTGCTAATCCCAACGTCCTTCGATTTGTTTGTTTTGAAATGATTAGGTCGTTGACTCGCCATCCCAACTATTTTGGAGAATGCCTTCTCTGGTTCGGAAGCTACCTCTTCTGTTCTAGCGCCTTCTCTGCAGCAATGGAGAGTCCTGTTCCGATCATGTCGCACTGGATGTCGCGTCTGGCGGTTTTCAGTCCCATGTTTGTGACCATTTTGATCACGCGTGTGAGCGGTATCCCGCTGTTGGAGAGGGAGAATGATAGACGGTTGAAGGATGTTGTTGCGTACTGGAAGTATAAGAAGGCGACTAGCATGTTTGTTCCTACACTGCCACGACGAAACGTCGAGTAAAGAGAAATAAAGACGTGTTTGAACAAAGTATAAGCACGGAGAAAGATCAAGCAAAACAGTTTCTTTTGCCACCAATTTTGACTCCTACAAGCCAATCACCAACTTCTGGTGGCAAATGGCGCCCTTTTTGTTTCGTGCCGCGCGCTTCTTGTACGGCGTCGCAGAGCTGCGATACAATACTATGCATTTGAGTAGGACGAATGAATGACTATGAGCAAAAACGAGTGAATGCCCATAAGAAGAATGAGGTTCGAGAGCCACTAACAGAACTAGACATATAGTATATGCACAAACCCATAGAAAGGAAGGTCGGGTCGGGTCGTGGTAATGATGCCTCAGGTGCGGACTCTCTGGCTTGTGCGCCGCTGCGGGAAAAATATCAAGATGGATATAATTTTTTTATGGTGAGACTTTGTGAGAGCCGGTATGGATGCTCCGTCCTCTTTCACTCGCTCTCTCTCTTTCTCTCTCTCTCTCTCTTTCTGTCTCTTTCGTACACATAAGCTCGGTCGCTCTTCCCGTCTCTTATCGAACGTCTTTGAGCAAACACAAACAAACAAGGTATTTGAGATACTGGGTGGACTGTATTATGGTCCCATGGTGTTCCAACTTCAACAACACAACGAAGATTTTGAAGAAGAGGTAATGGCACCTTTTTCATCCTTCTACACATGCCGCCCTTTGTTAAACTCCAGGGGGGCTCACGCAAAAGTTGTATTTTTTCTACTTCTTCCACCTTTTTTTACACGAGAAGAGGACACAAAGACATGCATGTGTCCACATCTGTCCTCCATGGTACTTACACCATTGTATGGTTTGAAAAAAAGAACGTGAAATCAAGCCTGAGTGAGTGACACTTGTGGAGGAACCGTCTTGGTGGGATACGAGAGACAAAAGGGAGAGAAAAGTGAGGGAAGAAAGGTGCTCTACCTGGGACATGGGTACAGGTTTTGGATTTGAAATGAAGGAGCATCGAATCTCATTTGATGCGCATTTCTGAATAATATCTCCATGGGACCATGCATCGACCTTCCTGGTTGACAGGCAGGGTGGCAGGGCAACCGTGAAATAAACACAACCATCAACATTAACATCAAAGACGAGCAAGGGAAGAAAGACGAGAGCCATGGTGCTCACAACTTTTTTATATACATGTATGTGGCTCTCTAACGATTGTGTTATGTTTGAAGCCAAGGGCAATTTGCACTTTGGGGAATAGGAAAGGGGAAGGGGGTACCCATTGACTTGTTGTATGTTATGGGCTGTATGTTGTTCGGCTGACGGATGTGTAATAGAAACTGCGATGAGGACGGACGGACGATGCCATAAGCGCGACTATATACTTTTCTATGAATATCAATTGACAACATTCCCAGCCGAAGGAATGTCGGAGGAAATGCTAATAGAGAACAGGAGGCGCGGAAGGATTGAAAGTGCGATCGTTTTAAAGTCTATGGGGAGTGAGAGAGGAGATGGAGAATGAAAGTAAGAAAGGGGCATACATGCGCTCACGGCACGTTGCTTGACTAGTTTGTAACTTCAATAATGAATTAGAGAATAAAACGCACAGGCTCTCTTGTTTGTGTTTTGTCGCGGCGCCTGGATGTTTAAAAACAACGGGTTTCCCACTTCCTCTCTCTCCGCTTACTCCGGGTCCGAGGTTTGTGTCGTCCTTTAGTGGACTTGTTAGGATCTAACCTCCTTCAGCGTTGCCTACTGTTAGAAATAAATGCTACGAAGAACGGATAAAATGAGGGATATGAGCGTCTAACAAAGAAATGGTCGTTTGTGCACAAGGAAAAAAAGAGATGGGAAGAGTTTATGTTATGGACCAAAATACATTTTGGCACACAAATTGGTGGTGGTGGCACAACGCGAAAGTGAAAGAAGGGAGGTGTAGAAGAGAGATGAAAAGTGAGGGAGAGTATGTATATATGGTGAGCTGCGAGGACGGGACGCGGAGGGGGCTGACTTGTTCTCGATCGCAACATGTGGGTCGAGCCATAAACCAAAACACAAAACCACACAAAAACTTTACTCCAGTAGCAAGGTTAAAAAAGTTAATGAGCGAGAGAAAGAGAAGAGGGGGAGAGGGAGGATGAGAGCTGAACAGGACCATTCTTGGGAGCAATAGGGGAAGAAGGGAAGAGAAGAGAAGAGAGACGAGAGGAATCAATTGAGGGAGGATGTGTGTCGCATGTTATTTTGGAAGTTCGTTCTTCTCTTCTTCGGTTTTCTGTGTGTTCTGTTGTTCTTTTGTGTAGGATGAAATGAATGTAAGACCTTAAGATAATAGAGAGAAGAACGAATGAGGGAGGCAAAGGGGCCGAGTGGCAAATGCGAATAGGGACGATAGCTAAGCAATCGGAAGAAGAACAACAACAAAAGAAGGGAAGGCGAGCAAACAACAAAGACAACAAAGACAACAACAACAACAACAACAACAACAACAATAATCAGCACAAATTAAAATGGCCTCGACTGTATGAACTATGAAGTTTAAAAATGATTACCATGCCATGCCGTTGTTCCCCTCCTTGCCCCTTGCGTGTGTCGGTCGCAGTTCTATTCTACTCCGCTCCCACTCCACTCTATCTGCTTCATCCATTCATTCATTTCATTCATTTCTCGCTGCCCTCCTTCCCTTCCCTTCCTCCTTTTCTCCTTTGCCATCCCGCCCTTTCCCTTTCTCCTGTTCTCTTTTCCATCCTACTGTACACTGTACTGTGCTGTAAACTGTACCAGCATCTACAGCCACCACCACCATCACCTCCTTCTCTCTTTCCCTTTTCCCCTTTTCCCCTTTTCCCTCCCTTTTCACACCCTCTCGTTTGTCTTCTTCCCCTTCTTCCCCTTCCCCTTCTTTTCTTACTTTCCTCTTTTTAACCTCACCCTCCTCTCTCTCATACCCTATTCTTATTCTCCATCACGATTACTCATCACTCTTCATCCCTCATCCTTCTTCATCTCTTCAGCTCTCATCACTCTTCATCTCTCTCTTTCTCTCACTCACTCTCTCTCTCTCACTCTCTTTTTCTCTCATCACTCTTCATCTCCTTCATCCATTGCTCATCCTCACACTCACTCTCTCTCCCCCTTTATTCTATAAACGAGGTCCTTTGTTTCTCTTCTTTTTTGTTCCACCTGCCTTCGCCAACCAACCAACCAACCAACCAACCAACCAACTAACTAAACCAACCAACCCAACCCAACCACTCGTGACCCTCAGGAACCAGAAACTTTGTTCATTGTTGTTCATTATTACTCCTTTCTTCCCGCCCTTCTTTGTCTTCTCCTTCCTTCAACCCCTTCTTCCCACCCTCGTTTGACTCAACTCCAAGGAGGCAACCAACTACCAGCAACAACAAGGAACAATAAAAGGGAAACAAAGGGTTTCACTGGACAAGCCTGCTCAACTGAACAAGGCAGCTAGTTCACAAACAGTCAATGGTAATACCATCTTCCTCTCCTACTTTTTTACCATAAAGAGAGCAGCTGTCTCTCTGTCTGTCTGTTTGTCTGTCTCCTGTGTATAATGTCAATTGCTCCTGTTCTAACTTTCTAACTCATAATTTACTTCTACTTGTACAACCTGCAATTTCATCCCCTTCCTTCACTCCACTTTTACCGCCAATCTCGCCCACCCAACCCCCTCTCTTTTTTGTCGTCTCTTTTTACACACACACTCTCCTCTCCTCTCTGACATTGAACCCTCTTGTTCCGTTGAACAAACCCTTTCTTTCCTCCCCTGTTCCAATTCTCTCTCTTTACTTCCCTACCCCTCCCTTTCCTCCTTCCTCCTCTTTTATCTCCCTTCTTTTTCTATTCCCAACCACTTTCCAATCCTCGCTCGCTCCTTCAACTCGAACCCAACTCAACCGACACACCCACTCTCTCTCTCTTTCTACACCTGTCAAAGACCCCAAGAGCCCACTTCAACACACACTTAACTCTGTCGTTTCCATAACAACCACATCCTGCCGGCGGTCCTCCTTCCTCCACTTCACTTTACAACAACCACGGCGGCCTCTTGTATGGAATCTCAACCGTCCCTGGTTTGAACAACATACATTAGGAACAGCAATTACCACACCGACCCACCCTTGCCTCACTACTCCCCCTTTCACACCCCTACACATATAACCATCTATGGCCTCCTCTCCAGGACTGAACGCTCACCCCACCGAGGAACAAGTCAGTCATCTCCATAACAACACCATAAACGCCAACAACAACAACCTTAATAACAATAGCCACCTCACAAACGGATCCAGTCGAGGTGTGAGGTTTCAACAAAACCAAGATGCCATCGTGCCAGCCTCAGACCAGGATGACAACGACGACGACAGCACCGACGAAGATGATGCATACAACTCCTATATGCAGGAACAGGAGCAACAACAACATAACCAACAGCAGATAAAGCATAACCTTGGTCTGACGAGGCACTTGCAGCCTCATTATGGCTCTGTCGGTTCTGGAGACCATGATATGGCTGATGAGGACGAGGACGAGGACGAGTATGCCAATCACCGCCAGCACCAGCAACAGCAGCCTCACCACCACCAGCACCAGCAGCTGCGTCAGATCCAACAGCAGTACCAATTGCAGCAGCAGCAACACCTCGATGCCTACAAATCCCAGGCCATGAACATCCAGCAATTGCTCCGCCAGGACCAGAGCCAAGACCACGACATGGCTGGGACCGATAGCCACGAGGAGGATGAATACTACCAACAGAACCCTCACCACGACCCTCACCTCCAACACCAAATGGATATCGACATGCAAGGTAGCCATGACGACGATCTCTCTGAGGAAATCGAGGACGATGACGACGATTTTGACGACGATGTCGAAGACGATGAGGTCGACGAGGAGATGATGGACGAAGAGGACGACGACGAAGGTTCTGAGGCCATCTCTCTCACCGAGGACGATATCGACTTTAACCTTGTTTACGCCTTCCACACCTTTGTGGCGACACAGGAGGGCCAGGCCTCGGTGGTCAGGAACGACTCTCTGATGCTTCTGGAGGACGCAAACGTTTATTGGTGGCTGGTGAGAGTCCTCAAGACCGGCGTCATTGGATACATCCCAGCGGAGAACATCGAGGTAAGCGTTCTGAACTCGAGTTGAGGCCAGCGGATGGTCGATGGTTGAAGGGGATTCATGCTGAAACATATATGCTACTTCTCCCTGCAGGTGTTACAAAGTTCATTGTCCCTTTCCTCCTTTAGGCATAGGTAGGCTATCTTAGAAACTACGCTTGTCCATCTATTCTAACCAACTCCAACCCTGTTGATCTAGACTCCATTTGAGCGCCTCGCACGGCTTAACACCTACCGCAACGTGTCTCTTACTGCTCCTTCTCCAGAGTGGGGAACTTTCGACGAACATATCCAGCCCCTTGATCCTGCCGTCCTCGAACAGCGTGCCGCGAACCGCCGATCGGTCATCTTTACAGCCCAGAACGAGTTCCTTGAGGCTAGCGAGACTGAATGGACTGATGAAGAGGATGAGGAAGAAGGATGGTACGATGACGGCGAGGAGGAAGGCGAAGAGGAGGAGGAGGAAGAGGAAGATGGCGCTGAAGACGAGCACGAGGACGGGAACGAGTCCATGGTTGAGGATACCGCCCATGGAACTGCATCAATAGACGTCGCCACAACAAACAAGGACGACACCCTCGACTCGACTCACAACCAAGGCTATGGCGGCGCCAGCGTAAAGTCCGAACTCCAATTGGAGGCTGAGCGGGTGCAGCAAGAGATTCTGAGCGAGCAAAGGAAACACGAGGAGATGCTTGCCATGAAGGCCATGGAGAAGGAACAAGAGTACAACCGCCAAACTCAGCAGGCAGCAGAAGATGAGGGCAACAATAGCGAGGATGAAGAAGTCCAGGTGACGAATCGCTATCGCAAGCCACTTCTCGACGAGGATGATCTTCTGTTCTCAAGTGAGAAGCGTGTCATCTCTCTGACGCCTCCTATTGCTCGCGACGACAATCTCATCCACCGGGAATCGCCCACCAAGGCCAGGAACTTGCGTTTCAGCGGCGATACCACCCCTCGCCATTCACCACAACCATCACAGCAATTGCAGCAATCTCCTTCACAGCAACAGCGACAGGCCAGCCCTTTGACCATCGTCCGGTCACTGAGCATCGATTCAGAAGATGAGGAAAGGGAAAAGATGAGGAAGGCGATGGCTGAGAGGAAGGAGGCGAAGATCAGCGCCATCCTCGGAAACGGACCTCAAGAGCCTATCGTCCGGAAATCGAAGGAAGAGTATGAGCGTGGTCTGCCACCAGAGGCTGTCGTCGTGAAGAAGCCCGGCAAGTTCAAGAGCCTTTTCAGCGTTGGCAAGAACTCGAAGGACAAGGAGCGAAAGGAGAAGGAGCGACTCGAAAAGGAACGTCTCAAGAACCTAGCCAAGTCTTCTGCCAGTACCGCCACAGGTGCAAACGCCAGCGCCAACTCTGGAATCAGCAACAATCTCTTTAGGGCTCGCTCCAACTCCAACGGATCCGTCGGTTCTTCCAGTACAGGTCCATCGACCATAGGCAACCCCTTGTCGCCAACGGCAGTGAAGAAAGAAGAGTCTCAACAAGAGTTCATGGCTCTTCGTGTCTATCCCGGCAATGTCGACTTTGGCGCATCGATGTACAAGACGGTTGTGGTCACCCCTGCCACGATGGCCTCGGATGTTGCTCACCAGGCTGTTGTCAAGTTCCGACTTGCCCCCGATGGCACAGCGTCCACAGGCGACTTTTTCCTGACTGTTAAGGGAGTCGATGGAGGTAAAGTACCATTTTCATTAGATCGTGGTTTTATCGTACGTTTCAAGCTGCAGAAAGCTAAGCGTCTTGACTCTTTCATTGTTTTCTCTGCTGCGTTTAGATGAAACGGTGCTACAAGCGACGGACAAGCCGATGGCCATTTACCAGTCTCTCACTGCTCACTTGACCACCCCATTGCCCGCCAACCATCGCCTCTCGATTTCGTCAGTGTCGTCCATGATGTCAGTCAATTCGACTGGCTCTCAAAGCTCCAGCAGCAACCAGGTGCCCGGAACTCCAACTCTTCGACGAACTGGTTCAGGAAGGGCCGAGCCTCAACAGCGATCCATCCGGTTCCTTCTCAACAAGAAGATCAAGCGTGCGGGATCGGTATCTCTCGCGACCTCTTCCATGCCTTCCACCCCAACGACGCCTACTGCTCCTCAGGAGGACTTTTTCTGGGTCAAGGTTGTTTGCCAGGCTCAGGACCTTCCACAGTCGATGGTGTTGCTTGAAGGCATGGGTAACGCCATTGAGAAGGTCGACTCACGGACACATGGTCAATCTTTTGCCACCAAAGTCGAGCACTGGATCCCTATGCACTCGACTTCAAATGCAGGAGATGTCATCTTCAAGACCCTCGAGAAGGTCGGGATCCGCTCGGGTGTTGTCGATGGTGTCCCAGAGCATGTCTTGGCTGCCAAGCGCCTTGCCGTCCCTCACGGACTGGTGATCGAATACCAGCTGGGTCTCAAGCTTGCGAACGGCACCACGAAGAAGCTCAAGCAGGGTGAGGAGATCTCCTTACCTCCTCAATTGCCGCTTGCCAAGTGCTTTGAGGATCATAGCCTGTTGCCCATTCGCCGGTCCCCCAAGGCTGATGTGGCCTCTATGCCACTCCACCCCGACTATGTGTTCTTTGTCCGGAAAGCCACTAAGAGTCTTCAAGCCGAGATGAAGTTTGTCCAGGAGAGGTTGCAACTGACTCAAGCCCGCAGCAAAGTCCCCTCAGCCCTCCAAACCCAACAGGGTAGCCGTACTAGTATCGATTCTGATGTTCAGTCCAACGGGCTTGTGAGCCCCACGTCGTCTGGATTCCCAAGTCGCAACAGCATAGGCCAAGGTCAGGCCAACTCTGCAACTGCTGCTGCACCTGCTGCAGTGGCCAGCCGTCTTGCTGGTGCAACCTCACCCCCTATTCGGATTCCCCGGCGAACGGACTCGGTGATCATGAGCCCGACAAGCACTCCTGTCCGTGCTAACTCTTTCGACAACAGCTCCGGACGACCCAGCCCAACGTTGTCTGCTCAGAACATGATGACGACTCAGCAGATCCACCCACCCCAAATGTCAAGGACACCTACGCCTGACCGTCATCAACAGGCCAGGTCACGGTCTCCCAGCATCAGCCAGGGTTCACCCACAGCCCTTGCCCGTCCTCTGCAAGCGCCTTCTCCAGCTCCCTCCAACCTGTCTAGCCATGGCGGCGAACAACAGGACGGCTCTCGTTCTTCGACACCCGAGAGACTCGCCAAGATAGATCGCCCCGAGAGACAGAGAGCCATCTCGCCTTCGCTGACGCATGGTCCCTCACCCTTGTCTATGTCTGCCATCATGCTCTCGAGCGACTCTTCCAACTCTTCTATAACCCGTAAGGAGTCTTCGACAACCTCTGAGGAGCCCTCGACCTCGATTTTTTCGTCATCTTCGAGCATAGGCAACCGCCTGAATGTGAAGAAGAACGCGACTCAGGGTGTGGACATCCTTCTCCAAAAGGGCATCGTTCGCTCGTCTCGGAGTCAGGGCCAGTACCACTACCAGTTCATTCCGTTTGGGGGAGGCGAGGAGATTGACATTACCGAGATTATCGAGGACGTCCTTGGTGGCGACTCTGACAATGAGGACGAGGATGACGAGGATGACACCCACAGCCACAGCCATACCCAGCATGTGGATCAACTCCCAGGACAAGAACAGGACCTTTCTTCGATGTCTCGTCGGGAGCGTGTCGCGGCAGCTGTTGCAAGAGCTTCCCAGGCAGTAGCAGCAGGCAAGGAACGGCGGAGAGCCATTGCAAAGGCAAGGCCAGCTTCAGGTTCTGGTGTCAGTCTGCGGTCATCACCTTCCAGGGATTGGGATCGTTTGGAGCAATTGAGTGGATCTGCACGTGGCGGAGAGACTCTTTTGAAGCTCGAGCGTGCTTTGGCCGTCGAAGCCGTGGCCGGGTCAGTATCGTTGCCCTCCAGCAGGAACCTCCCCTCACCCATATCCTTGACTTCATCTTCGCCTTCCAGCCCAACCCTTAACCTGAGAACCAGCGACGCCGAAGTCCAGATTGCATCAGTGACGACGATGGGTCAAAACAATGGCCTCCCAGGATCCGTCCGGAACTACTCTCCTATTCCGCAGGTTGTGACCAAGGACGGTGACCTCAACTCCAGAGCTCATTCTCCAGGTCGGTCATCTCCTTCAACTCCCACTTCCGGCTACGTCCGTCCAACCCTGTTGGCCAATCTGTCTTCTTTGCCCAATAGCCGTGGCACCAACAGCAACCCTTCGTCGCCCTCGTCGATTGTGGCGCCGCATTTGCATCCTGTCGAGGGTCGGTCGTACTCTCCCCTACCACGCCCTCTGCAGACACCTTCCCCAGCAGCATTGCCACACCAGCTTTCGATCCGTACCAGTCTGGCCAGCAGTTCCTCTGCTGATCCTACTTCGCCTAGCACTGACGAAAGTAGTGCGAATAGTCCGTTAGGCCCTCTTCCACAATTCACACCCAGCAATGTGAGTCGGACCCGGTCCGCAAGCGCAAGTGTGGCTGAAGGAGGATTCCGCAAGGGGGGTCATGTTGCCTCTGCCTCCGAGTCAGCCGTGTCGTCGCAGAACCAGCATGACCCCTGGTTGCTCGCCTCGGATTACAACACTGGCATGCAGGATCTGCTGACGCTGGTCCGCGGAGGTCGCTCAAGCTCGGTGAGCACCAGCGCGCCTTCCTCGCTCAGAGGCGGTTTCGTGTTTGGCAAGGACGGCAAGATTGTCCAGGGACCCATGTCTCCGACCCACCATGGCAGGAATAGGATGTTTTCTTCGCAAGCCAACTCGCCTACCTTGTCGTCGTCATCTCTACTGTACAACAACAACAACATCACCACCAACAACAGCACCCACCACTACAAGGATACCCAAGCTCATGAACGCCATCTTGATGACACCACCACTACCTCCACCTCTGGCACAACGAGCGCCAACCATAATGACCATGTGTATATGACGACTAATAATTATAATACGATCGACGGCGCAGCAGCAGAAGACCGCCTCGGCGACGACGAGGGTGAACTGGACGATGACGAGCCCAGGATATGGATCCGGACAGACCGCCGGTTACGCGACGTGCGCAGCGAATGCCACCCCGAAGTCTTTGAATGCTGGCGGGAAGTGGACGCAGATCTGGACAAGGTTGAACGGGTAAGTCTTCATGACTGTTTTCTTTTCGCGTTCTTTTGGTATCCATTGGTTCTTGATTCTCTCGATTGAGCAAGTATACTAAACCGCGTTCTTTTCATTGTCTTCTTTTTCTGCCAATTAGCAACTCGACTCACTGCTGGCCACAGTCAAGGCAGCCATCTTTTAGACCAACCGACTCTATCAGTTTTTTTTTCCTTTATGTGTTATTATTTATTTTTTTTTAACCATTTTTTCATCATTTGTGTTTTTTTCCTCTGGAAGAATCACATCAAAAAGCACTACTCTCCCATCCCCTTTCTTCATTTTATCTATTAGTTTAAAAAAAAAAAAAAAAAAAAGAACTTTGCTACATCTTTTAGAACGACACAAAAAACTTCACTAGGCTAATGACTATAGGCATCGTCAATTTTCGCGTGCCTGAAAAGGCTACAAAAAAAAAATCTTTGGTGGGCAAGCCACACGGGGTACCTCTTCTACAGTCGTTTTATTGTGATCCTCGAATGGCGAAAGGGGTAACCAAGTTCGAAATCGATTAGGATCAATGAGTAACCGCGGATCTAATCACCCACCAAAAACCAGAACCTTATTAATGTAATCGGCATTGTCGAATCCGAAGACGATGTCAGTTCAGATGCATTTCATCCATAACTCATGTCAAATCTCAGGGGCAAAAACGAAATGTTTTAGTGGCGTTTGAAAATGGCCATATAATAAATAATGACAGTTAAAATATATTTCAACGATTCTGTCCAGCAATAATTGTAAGAAAAAGAAAGAGAGATGGACCCTTTTTTAAAGCTCGACCTGGCTCTCGGCGGCAATGTAGGTCCAAATGGCCATGGCGGCAGCAGAGTTCTTGACTTGATCAGGCGTGAAAGCGCCCATGGTATCAGCCTCAGTATGGTGGTAGTAAAAGTATCCACTGTCAACTGGGCGGCGGGGAGGATCAATTGATCCCTCCTCGTCATCATCATCGTGATGGCGGCGGTGGTGACGACCGTGGCGACCGTGACGATCCTCGGTGGGCTGGGACGACTTGATATAGTAGGGCGAGGTCGAGTAAGGCAAAGGGAAGGGGTCGGCAGGAGTAAAGTGAGCACAGGCAACTCCCTGCTTGCAAAGAGGACCAATATCCGCTCCACCACCACCAGGGCCAACATGTTGTCCAGCGCCAGCATAACCCAGATCCTTGCGTGAGCCCAGAAAATGTTCACCAGCGGCGGTCAAGAAATCGTACGAGTTGAACTTTGTCTCCTCCTCTTCCTCCAGAGAACGACGGCCAGCAGTGAACTTGATACCATAGGGGTCAAAGACACCATTGTCAGACTCGAACGCAAAGACGTGGCGGGTCGTGTTGGTCTCGGGGTGGTTGGCAGCATAGACACGTCCACCGGGCGATCCATTCTCTTCCGAAGTCCAGAACACAGCGCGAACAGTACGGCGAGGGGGGCGATCCAACTTGCTCAATTGGCGCAGAGTCTCCCAAGCGATAAAGCATCCAGCACCATCATCAACGGCACCAACACCAACGTCCCAGCTGTCGATATGTCCACCAATCGCAACAACCTCCTCGGGAGTCTCGCGTCCCTTGAGCTCGACAATAATGTTTCGTGAGATCTTGGACTTCAATGCAGTCTTGGCGTTCATCGCAAGGCGGACCTTGGGCCAGTCAGGGAACTGCTCAGGATCCTCCTGATGTCTCTGGAAGACACGCGACAAGAGCTGGGCATCCTCAACCGATACAGAGGCAGCAGGGATCTTGGCCGCAGCAGAGTTGCCTGTGTGAGTTGACTGCAACGACAGGGGTCCGATCGAACGGACCAAGACCGCGACAGCACCGTGTTCCTGAGCCCAGATCGCTCCCAGTGTCCGGTAAATCACATCCGCGCCGTACGACTCGAAGGGCTTGTTGTAGAGGACAATACGGCCCTTGAGGACACCTGCGGCTCCGAGTTCATCGACTTCAGCCTTGGAAGTGACAACAACGACCTCCGCCTCGAGTCCGTTGATGGGGTCGGGAGTTGGGGCACTGAAGCCAAGGCCGAGCACATGCAACTTGACGGCTCCGCGGGTAGGCGACAAAAAGTAGAGTGACTCCTCGTTACGCTGCCAATAGTCCACAACAACATCCTCGGTCGTCACCGAAAGGCCATCGCCCTTGACCTTCTCGACAATCCAGTCAATCGACTAATGTATTGGAAAAAGGGAATGAATGTGAGTCAAAATGAAGGACGTTGAAACAAACAACAAACTGAAGGGCGAAGCACCGGGATAGTGACGTGTCTGTGCGAAGCACAGAGTGTTGACGTTATCTCTCCTTTGTTACCTTCTCAAGGGCCTCAGATCCAGCAATGCGGTTGCCATAGGTATCAGTCATCTCAGCAAGGCGATCCCAGACAATGCTATTTTTTCCCAGGGGGAATAAAAAGGTGTGATATTAGGGCATTAATACACCATATCATTCAACCTGCGTACGTTTAGCAAGTACAACCACAACCGCCTGTTTGAAGCTTGATAAGTATGGACCGTACCTGGACTCGAGACTGCCAGCAACGAGAGCATCGACGTCGGCCTGCATATGGGTCTCAAAGGTGTACTTGGGCACCTTCTTGTCCCCATGAGGACCCCGACGCTCATGTCTATGACGATGTCCATGTCTGTGGTGAGGGAATGGCTTGTCGTCGTCGCCGCTGGGATAGAAGATGAAGACCAATACAGCAACGAGGACGGAGAGCTTGAAGACCTTTAGAAGGCTTCTGAGGAGACGGTTGGAAGGAGTTGTGTTTGGTCCGGCCACTGCGCTGTTGACCCGCTGGGCGTCTTCCTCGGACGCTGTTGTTGGCAGGAGCGAGTATCCTTTTTTCTCACTCATTATTTTTTGTTGGTGAAGGTGTGAACAGAGGGAGGTATGTGGTATTGCGTTGGTGTTTATGGAGTATTTACAATTGGTGAGAGAATGGGGAAGAGGGGAAGGTTGGGGGGGAGGTGACGGGAGTGAGAGTGAGAAGAAAAGAAGGAGAGAAGCAAAAGCAACAAATAAAAAAAAGGGGGGGTTGGTTGATGGGAATCGGATTTAGGATCGAGGACTTTTATGGCCAGGTACGCTTTTTAAGTTGGTGTATGGCACCATTCTAAAGCGAGCGCCGTGTCTTCTTCCTCTCCCTCCTTCTTATTCGTTGACAATGTCGTGTGGTGCGCTATCCATTGCAGTCTTTCAAGGATTGCAAACAACAAGCATTCTCATGCCATGTATCCCGCAGAGGCACACAAACACATTGCTCGCAATCGTTAGACACTTAGCGTGAAGCAACGATAACTTTTTTTTTTGGGTCTGCTCTTTTATTTCATCCTGAGAAAGAACACCGTGTCGTTCGAAATAGCAAACAGAAGAGGTTGAGTGGATCTCTTCCATGTACTCTCTCCTTCCTAGCGTTTCTTAAATCCAAACTTTTTCCGTTCATAGAACAGATCCGTCTTTGATGATCCCAAGTTCACAATCTTTGGGCATCCGTCCCTCTATTTTAACATTAGTAAGCAAGAGTGATAAACAGCTTGGTCAGTTAACGTCCCCGCAAAGCAATCGATGACAAGCATCCCTCCTTGAAAATAAAAAATAAAAAAACAGATCAACTTTCAAAGGCACGAACAAAAAAAACAAAAAAAACTTACATCCTTCTCCCCTCGTGTGCAGTTGGCGCAGTAGTAAGCATCGCTGACACCTGGAGATCCACAGACAACACAACGACCCTGGAACGATCCGTAATTGCACTCATCGCAGATCCTGACCAACGTTACTGGACGAACATATCTATTACCATCATCATTGTTGGTGGCACCGAGAGAAGCAAACTTGTGTTGATCAAGACGATTCACATATAGCAAATGCAAGACAAAACACACATACAAAAAAAAAAAGACGGCCCCCCTAGAAAATGAATAGGCATGGCACTTACGAGTCGCAGATGACACACTTTCCGTCGCACTTTTCACAGACGCGGCCGATAGCTATTGTTGATAAAACAGAAGAAATAAGACGATAAATGATGAGTCCACAACGCACTTTTCGACGACACCATTCCTCCCAAATTGCAACAAGGGAGAGTAAAACAAAGGTGTCGTGTTTCCAATGTGTTTTTCTTCATACCGATGCCTGGTTGCTTCCTGCACATGATAAGATCTGGGTGATGTTTCGACATGACTAAGGATAGCAAGTAAACATGCAACAAAGCTCCTGCTGTTAGTATCTGCTCAGTGTATCAGGCCGTCTTTAGTAGGAACTGACGCCACAACCAACATGCAAGGTCATGCCCAAACAACGGTGTGCTTTGTTGTCACAAACAAGCGCTGCGATCCTGCTCGTAGACGTACTTTATATGAGTTGTTGAAAAGAGTCCTGAAGGTGTCCGATGTATTCTATGCGTTGAAGTCCTTTGCGGCGGTGGTCCAAGAGGATGTGCGATGCGGTTTGTGCTGAAGAATTGAGTGACAAACATCAGACATCAACGACTTTGAAGTTTGAATACTCTCTGGATGTGGCTTAGCCATTTTCGACCAATCAAGGTACCGCACTGTACATTAACACCACAAGTCAAAGCGATCGACAAAAAGCACAGAAAGGCACGCAAACCACTCAAACGTTGAGAACAGCCGCAGAAAACAGAAGACTGGGAGAGAAGGAGAGAGTTCATTTTTTTCACACAATTTATTCTGTGAACAAGAGCTATGGGTAAGAGGAGTCGGGGGCAGGAAATCTTTACTCCTTGAGCTTCTTGGAACCGCGGAGCAAACCAGTACGGCGGGCAGCAATGAGACCAGACTTCTGACCGGGGACGGCATCGCGAGCGATGGTCGAGGCGTGACCAATGTGCTGATGGTTTCCTCCTCCGTGGGGATGGTCGACGGGGTTCATAGCAACACCACGAGTCTTGGGCCAAGAGTTACGCTTGACGCGGTACTTGTGGTAAGCACGACCGGCCTTCAAGAGGGGCTTGTCAATACGACCACCTCCAGCAACAATACCAACGGTGGCACGAGCGGTCGAGAAGACGACCTTCTTGGCACCGGAGGGGAGCTTGATGCGGGTCTTGCCATCATCGGTGTTGTGACCGATGACGGTGGCGTAACCACCGGAGGTACGGGCGAGAGCACCACGGTCACCGACGGTCTCCTCGACGTTGCAGACAACGGTACCCTCGGGCATGGAACCGAGAGGAAGGACGTTACCGACGCTCAAGGCAGCCTTCTTACCGCAGTAGATGAACTGACCAGTGTAGGTACCCTCTGAAAACAATAGCATTGATGAAAATTAAAGCAAGGTCAGCTAATTGCGCTCAATAAGATGCTTTCGTTCCTCTCAGATCATAAAGTGCAGAAGTAACTGAACAAGCAACTCACCAGTGGCGATGAAAGTCTCAGTGCGCATCTTGTATCTAAAGGACGCAATTGAGTAGGTGAAGGTTGAAGGTGACACATGTTAGAGCTAAGTCCCATGAGAGTTCAGGTATAGCGAACGCTTGTTGATTGCTGATTGCTGAAATATTCTTCACAATAACGCCATGAAGGTTCAACGCTTTGACAAATTGGCTGAGAACGTTGAATGATAGCGTATCCCGCAGTTGTCGATACTTCATGCTCATTGTTGGCGGAAGTGATAACCATATTGGAGGTAGTGATATGTCGTCCTTGCCGAAAGATAGCTCCAGCCCACAATGAGGACGAGTTATACCGCTACTGTGAGCACCATTCCTACTGCACGCCTTTTGTAAGTCCCTGTTGAGTTGATAGGGTTGTTGCTGTCGATTTTGTGATTGTTGTTGCTGACTGCACTCCTGTCTGACTGAAAAAAAACCACTCTGGCGTTGGCGTCGACTGACAGAGACAAAACGGCAATAGATAGGCGGTCGTCCGTATTACCTGTAGGGATCACGGAACTGGACCTTGGCGAGGGGGGCGCCACGACCGGGGTCGTGGATAACCTCCTTGACGATTCCACGAATGTAACCGGTACGCTCGGCGAAATCGAGGGAGCGCAACTTGGCGGCACCCTTGCGCAGGCGAGTGTGCGACTTGAAGATTCCTCCGGGACCCTTACGCTGAGCACGAATGACACGACCCATTTTCTAGTTGTGAAAAAGGATGGACGAAGGAGTTGGTTTAGTCCATGGAATCTTTTGTTGTAGTCCTGATGAGTGATTTCTAGGAGCCTAGATCATAGGTCTGACACAGGATCCTGTTTAGTGATCAGCCCTCCAAAGTTCCATCGTTGCTGAAATAAACGACTCCTGAGTTCCTTCTTCATAAGTGCTACCAGACAGGTTAAAACCGTTCTGATGAACAGAAGAGACACCTATACTGCTGTCTGAAGGGATTCCTCCAGCCTGCACAAGGCTGCACCGGCTGAGGGGTTTGTTGAAGAAATTGATACGGTTGCACTGGTACGTTGGTGGTGAGGCAACTGAACAAGTCGATCCTGGACTGTGCAGAGCAGCCTTCTGCTTTAATAAACCCCTCCATCGAGGCGGTAGGATGTTGGTGCATGGTTGATGAACCTCAAAGACAAAAAAAATGAGATGATGGCGATCAACAGTGCCGGCCAGGCGAGTAATTCCTCTTGGATATGTGAGTGCTGATCCCGAATCCCGCGGCGATGGAGCTATGGAAGCTGGTTGTTGGTCCCGAATGGCGATGGATGGTATATAGCTGGATGGATATCGATGACCACACGGATGGATCTCGGTCCTTTACTCACAACTATAAAAAATCGTGGAAAGAGAAGGGTCGAAATTCTCCCGTTTCAGCGCCATAATAATGCCTGTTCCTTGGCAAGTGCGAGATGCATTTGTGTCACGTGAATTATCAGATCTGCTCAGGCAGTCTTTGCCTAGGTCGAAGAAATGACCTTCAAATGCTGGTCGAACTGGCAGAAGAACGCGACATAAAAACATGTATCATTAGCAACAGTCTGCTCATGTATTGCTTGCACTTTTGAATGGGGGTTATTTTTAGTACATTCTCATTCTATCTTAGCCTCTCCACTTCACCACCACCACCACCTCGCTCGGTATTAAAAAAAAGAAAACAATTCTTCTCTTTACATCAACTTCTCCAGTCTCTTTGCAACAGCCAGCTGGGTTCTCGTCATGTTGGCCAAGTAGATGACCATCAAAAGATCCTGAAGGTGAGAGTTGAACATCTTCTCGAACTCGGCAGCATCGACCTTGGGGACAACGCTGACGGTGTCCATCAAGTAGCGACCGACAGTGTTGTTGGCGGGGATGGTTCCTGCAAGGACAGAGTCGACATATTCCGAGACACGCTCCAACATCTTCTGCACCTCAATCACAGCCTGCTCCAAGTTATCCATGTCCGACAACAATGTGGTCGATCCACTCTCGGTACTCTTAGCGTTGGCAAGGAGTTCGACTAGCAATAGTTCACAGATCGGCTGTCATGTTAGTACCATGCCAATGTCTTCTAAATGTTTCTCAGGGCGGCGATATGAAAGCGATCACCGATATAGCACACTATCAGCACAATTGCTCTTTATCCTTGATCTTCTCAACTTACGTCCAGCTCTCTCGGCCTTAAAGTACTTGACATCGCAGGGGATGGGAATGAACATGCAGTTGTCAGCCTTGGATGTGATACCGACAGGGGCAGAGATGTAGGTCTTGACGCCCAAGCGCTCGTTGGTCAAGGCAGTGTCCATGGTCAAGTGGACGGCGTGGAATGAAGAAACCTCCTTCTGGTAGAAATCGTGAATCAAGGCAGAGTACGAGTTGAGAGCGGCACCAGTGGCGTACCTAATTGTCGTTTCATAATACGTCAAGCGGCGGTCCATGGTCAGCACAATTGAAATGAGTCCCATTGAGCTCTTAAGATACGACAGTCAGGTATCAATGAGGAGCTAACTCACCATCCAACAATGACCTCCTTGGGGTTGACCTGCTTGTGGAGCTCGAACATGGTGCGGTGGTACTCCATATCAACCTCAACCTATGCAATAAACAGAAGAGGAAAAAGGATCGACATCCCGTCAGCAAGGTCTCGTCGCATGTAATTGATACGCCAATTGGTTTTTTGCTGCGGCTGGTAGGTTTCATTGTTCCAGCATATGACTCCTGGTACGCCTCTATTCCAATTCGCTCCATTAAAAATCTCTGAGGTCCCGTAGGCTGAAATTGTCGATGATGTGTTTCGTCGATGACTGAAGCCAGTGTCAAAAAAGGGTTGCTGGTAGGATGATCAGGGCGAGGAGAGTAAATGGCTATATGCTGGCGAGATACTGCAATAAAGGGAATAGAAGGAGAAACGCTCTCCTTGTCGTCTGTGTTCTCCTGTCATATGCTCTGGTTTGTTGCTATTGATGTTGTAGTTGTTGTTGTTGTTTTTTTACCTGGTCCTCGGTCTCAAGATGGGGGACGGGGTAGCATCCCTTGATTTCGACCTCGGAGCCATCCTCGCTGCGAACACCCAAGAGGGTACCGATGACTCTATCCTGACCAGCGTTGCGGCGCAAGTAGTGATCGAGAATGCTGAAGAACACCAGGGGGTTGACGCTGGTGGAGAAAGCTCTGGGCTGGGCCAAGCTAGGGGGGGCGGTGGCGCTGGCAGCAGTGTGCACGGCGGGGAGAGCCAAGTGCAGGGTCGAGGAGTTGTCCATCATTGTGATCGAGAGGAGTGAGGATTGATGCCAGTAACAGCCAAATCAGTCAGCCATAATAAAAAAATAACCAAGCAGAGATCTCAACACACAAAAACAAAGGTCACGCGATTAGGAAATCTAGGGTGACGTGTCATCTGATGAAGATATGGGGGAATGAAATTTATGAGAATACACACACTTTGCTATCGTACAATGAGGGCCCTGTGGCCCTCTCGAAACCTGTAGAAGAGACTATGAAGCACTTTTGAAGAATAAAAAGACAAGGGAGGGGAGAAGAAGGAAGAAAACGGAAGCGAAAAGAAAATTAAGCGAGGATGGGCTGCTTGTCGAGGGCGTCACGGGTAAAAAACCACTTTCCGTACTCGTACACACTCCAGCAGATGGCAGTGGAGGGCATATGGCTCAGGACACGGGGTTGGAGACCCTTGGCAAAGCCAGCAACGCCCTGGCGTTGGTAGATGATCTTCCATGCCTCGACCAAGCCACTGCAGTTTCTTATCCTCACATCCTTGGATTCGCCACGGGTCTGAAGGAGGGTCTTGGCAACGTCCAAGGGGGTGGTGGCAGCAGCGGCGGCGGCACCGGCGACACCTCCTGCCATGATGTGGGTCATGGGGTCGTAGTTTCCTGCGGGGTTGAGGACCTTGCGGAGATATTCGTAGGTGGCGATTTCGATGGATTTGAAGGGGATGGTCATGGTGAGGGTGGTGGGGTAGGAGATGTAGAAGGCGCGGAAGCCCTCGGTTCTGTAAACCTTGGATGCGCATTCCATGACGCTCCTGTAGACGGATCCGTGGACCTGCATTCTCTGCTTGATCACGTCAAATGGGTTCATCAGAGCATCGTGTGCGGTCGTGGCACAGGCACCAGCAGCAGCTATTTACAAGTCATATTATTTTGAGTCAAGAGTTAGTAAGGTTTTCTTTTTCCATTGTTTGTTTGTTTGTTTTTGTTGGTATGTTCACTTTGCGCGATCCACGTTATCGCATTCTTCCCGTCCCACCATCACACCCGTACCGATTCCCCTTTCTTTCAGTAGAGAACAGCCCTCTTTCTCTGTTCTTCTCTCACTGCCTGCATGGTACGAGAGCCCTTCTTCTTTCTCCTCTTTTTTCTTTCTTGATCGAGATTATCATATCATGTATTTTTGCACTTCCCCAACTTCCCGTGCTGTAAACCTGTCAACATGGCCATGTCCACGAAACCAACCACAGCGCCGCTCCGTTTGTTTTCTTTTTCTTGCCCTGTTCCCCTCATGTTATTCAACCCAACCATATTTGATCTACTGTGCATATGTCTGTGTTGTTTACCTGCTGCAACGGGGTGGTGTCCGGCTCCGTTTCCGCCAAAGGACTCCTTGGCATATTCGTATGTGGCAAAGTAAAGGGCATGGGCTGGACCGGCACCCATGATCACCGAGTTGACTCCCCTCCACAAGGTCCTGGCACCTTCAGTCGTCGAGATTCTTGAGGCAGCGTTGAAGACACCGCTGTACATGGCCTGAGGCGTAGGAGCCAAAATCTGCATACGAGTCTATTGAAGAGAGTGCGAGAGTGTCAGAAAAAAGGGTGTCAGGGGTGGGACATGTTTTTTATTTGCTGGGAGTGAAGTAAAGGAAAAAAGGGAGGACGATAAAGATGAAAAGGCTGCTGGCTGGCTGTCGGTCGGTCTGGGGTTGTTTGTTTGTTGTCTTTTTATCGCAGCTGTTCAGTTCCGACTTTTGGTGTTTGCTGATCCTGATCACGCTCGTCTTGAATCTGTCCTGCGCTGATCCAGTCTGTCTGTCGCTCCTGAGATTCAAAGTGAATCACTCTTTCCTGTCAGTTCATCACTCGCTCACTCGCACCTTTTGTCAAAGTTGTTAGTTTCGCTCGCAGAGAGGCAGATAAGTGTGAAATAACAGGTATGCTTCGAGTTGGCGACAGACTGACTGGCGATATGATCGGTGGTCGAGGCCGTGGTGATTGCTGCATGTCTTGTTTGGTTTCCCTTAGTTTATCGCGATCAAGAAGGAGGGTACAGAAACAAGTGTACAAGAAAAGGCCAAGAGTCGCATATTTACCTTGATCGAGTCGACAGGGTACATGACGGCGTGTTCGGCGACACCGGCAATGGCACCGGCGATCAAGCAGGCGGTGAGAGAGGCGTTCTCGGGCAGGGCCTCGTAATCGTAGTCATCCTCGGTTTGGGTCATTCTTGTATATGCGTATGTATGTGGGTATGTGGGTTGGTGGGGAAGGACAGTGGAGGAGTGAGACACAAATGTAAGGGCGTGCGAAGTTGTTGCTATTGTCGTTTGTTGTTGGAAGTCGAGTTGGTAGTGCGGTGTGGGTAAGTAGGGGGTATCTGTGCAATAACGCAACTTGGGGACTTGAGGCGTGAAGAAGAAGTAGGAAGAAGGAAAGGAAAGGAAAGAGAAGAAAAGGGAAGAAAAGGGAAGAGAGAAGAAAAAGAAAAGAAGGAAGGGAAGGGGAGGAAAGGGGAGAGATGAAGAGCGGAATAAAATGGAAATTGATTAGTCTCTTTTCTCTCCTTCTTGTTTGGTCGTTATCGTATCTGCGGTCATGATACAAGCATCAGATAAGAAGCCGTCGTTCTCGTTCTCGCCTCTGATTCCTCCTATTCCTCTGATTCCTCCTCCTCCTCCATACACCCCACCCAGTCAAACAGAACCCGTTTTATTTATCCTTTTCTTTTGAACTCAAAATACAACGAACATGCAAACCGTATATTGGAATACTGGATGGACTGTTGGAGGGTGACTCTTTTCTCTCATCAATCATATCGCCTGAAGAGAAAGTGAGCACAAACAACAAGAGCATAAAAAAAAATTACTTCGTTACCGTTGTCCCTGTCCCTCCTCTCTCTTCACATGGGTAAAGTAGGAACAAGCCCTTTCTTCCGGTCATCGCTCCCCATTCTTCGTCAAAAAAGAAGACGCCGCACACCGCCCCCCGTCATCATAAAAATATCCGAAAGAGGAAGGCACTAAAAGCAATCCCGATCATCACCGGTTCTCTACCCTCTTCCATGTTCTCGTCAATACTTCCTTTCTCCACTGCACCTTGGCACCCCCTCCTTACTCTCCACCTGGGGTTCAATAAAGAAAAACACAAAAAAGAATAACAAAGGGAAAAGCGGACTGCGCAAGCGGAGACCCATTTGCCTCTCATTTCATCCCTGCTAACTAAGATGGAGCTATTTGTAGTTTGTCAAGTGCGAAATAGAAAGTCGATCGCCATGTGCTGTTTTTCTCTCTCCCCTCCCTCTTGTTTTTTTTACCTCCCGCTTGCCATTCTACCCCCGCACAAAAAAAATCCAGGGGACCGATGCTCACCTCAATTGGGGAGGGAAAGGCAGGGAAAAATATGCGAGGTAGGGAAAAGAGAGATGTGACCACAACCAGAAACAGAAACAAAGTGGTGACGCACAGAAAGAACGAACAAGAAGCGTCGTCTTCTCGATCGGATTCAAGAACATAGGTGAACAGCACTACTTCAAAGACAGAGACAAAGCGGAGACAACGAGAAACATGGCTTCTTTCGACGTTCATTCCGTGATCATGATCTCTTTGTACACATTCACGGATACATTATCTTTCTCTTTTGACTGTAACAAAGGAAGGGTAAACCATGGACGCAGGACAACTCCTCCGCGAAACGGAGGCTCTTTTCGCCAAGTGGATCAACAAAAGATAAAGAGGAGGAATCAAGGTTCAGGACTAAGTGCGTATGACGACAAGTGGCGGCATAGTATACCTTTTTTGTTGTTGTTGGAGATGGCGATAGTGGAAGTGGATAAGAGATGAACGAGGATATGGACAGTTGTGTGAAGAGATTCTTAGTTGTATGAAGGAGAAGAGAATGAAAGAAAGACCGAGTATGTATATGTGTGGGAGAAGAAAGGATGGATGTAACGTGGGATTGTACGAAACAAACGAGGGAAGGGAGGAATATGGGTATGTGAAGTGGGCAAAGGGTTGAGTGAGGAGAGAGAGAGAAAAAGACAAAAAAAAAGTGGGAAAAGGGGAACTCTTATCAGATTTTCTCTCTTCTTCCTTTGAGTCGAAAAGGAACTAAGCAAAGGGATGTTGTTGAGTAACGAGTGTCATCTTGGGCGTTGTTGTTTACCTTTCCCTTCGTCCCGCACTCCTTTTTTTTTTTTTTTGTTGTTGTGCGCTTGCGCTTTGTTGATGTTAGCGCAGCATTTGCACACTTGAACTTATCAGATGAAAGCAGTCATGACATTTTTCAATCAGATAACTCTAATCTTTCTTGATATGGATACGAAATCACACAAAAAAGGCTCGGGTGGCCACGGGCGTAACCCTTTGCAAAATTGTACGCCATCAAAGGCAACCATCCCTTACACGCTCACTCTCTCATCCACTCACACACATGCATAATTTACATTTACCCAAGCCAACGTGCTCTAGCGACAGTAGAGCTTAGAGGAAGAGAGGAAGAAAGAGCGTAGTCGCTGCCTAGGAAGAACCTGTGGCAGAGGATACAACACATTCGAGTCATGATCATGGGGATGATGATGGGCAAATCGTATGCCCGGCTGGACCCCTTTTAGGTATTCGCAGTTTTCAACAACTTCGAACTCATCATCTATAGTAACCACACAACGATCTCTGAGCAATGAGAAAAAGAGTTATCAGATCCTTTTTTTTCCTCTCTTCAGCGGGGAGTCAAAACAGGCCTTTGTTCTTTCTTCCCTCTCTCTCCTTGCGCTTCCTCCCTTTCGTTCTACCTTCTCTCGTGGCACTAGACTCCATAGACTCAGGAACACGCTCCGCTCTCTCCCCTTCTCCTCCTCTCTCCCCTCTCCTCTCTCCCATCTTTCTCACAGTTATGCTCTTCCCTTTCCTTTTTATTCCTCTCACCCTATCCCAACGCTCTCCCTCCTTTCTTCCTCCGCCTTTTTTTTTTCTCATCTTCCCATTTCCTTCCGAACTGACCAAGACTGATCAACTGCATTGAATAGGCAAGGATAAATAAAAGATGTATTACTATTATTGTTTGTTATTTTTTTGGCGTGAATTCTATTCAGTTTAGCTGTTGTTACATAAGACGACATCCCATGCCCTGCCTCCTACTCCTACTCTGTCCTGCCATGTTTTCCTCCCCCTCTCCTCCTCCTCGCGACAAACTAGACCTTCCTCCTATTTGCAATGGCAATACTCCTCAGGAACTTTGGCCTGCTCACATGTCCTTCCAGGATCCAACTCCTCATCAAACAAAGTCCCCTTCCTCCACGCTCCACCATCAATCTCCTCTCCATCATCGTCTCCATATTCGGGCATCTGGCCCGAGGCAAGCATCTTGAGGGTCGCATGGATCTCGTATCCGGTAATTAGCGATTGTTGGTTGTGCGCCAGGCCGCGCGCGAGACTTGGGTAGTTCTTTGAGATGAGCGGGGGTAGGATTACAGAGAGATATGGGTTCCTGTTTGTGGTTGTTTTTTTCGGTGTGGGTTGGGTGGGGAGTGAAGTTCAGCGGGGAGGAAGGAAAAAAGAGGGGAGAAAAAAAAATATGAGTAAACCACGTGATGACTCTTGATAACCCACCTTGACCTCTCACTGCACAAAACAAAAACAACCGCATAGAAACTTACATGTGCTCGATACGACCATTGGGGGTAAACATAAAGTTGATACCCATGTGGAGTCCATGATCCGCCATCATGAATACAATCGTGTTCTCCAGTGATCCATCCTCCTCCATGCCTATTTGTTTTTTGAGAACAAGTAAACGTGTACGTTGGCTGAATTAGTTGGCTGGGGTTTTCATGTCTAGAATGCTCAACCCTGCTCAACCTTGATCAACATTGAAGCGATGGCTCAAATAAAACAGGTATCCACAAGATACAGTGAGAGCACTTAAGACAGCAAAAGGTTACAAAAAAAGAAAATCCACAGCCATGTCTGTGTTAATGCAACGAGGCAGTTACCTTTCAGGAACTTGGAAAGATCGTTATCGATCGTCAGAAGGACCTCTCCTGTGCCTTCGTGGCCCTCGATGAACGACCCCATCTGGAACCAGGGTTGATCAGGGTACGCCTTCCGGAACTGGTTCATGTAATCGAACGCATAGGTGTGAACGTTCGATCCATGCATGCACCGGGCGACAATCGAGTAAGGCCCTGCAAAATTTGAGAACGGGTTGCCCTCGAGCGCGTAATAGGGTGGGAGGCAGAAGGGTGCCTGAAGCTCATGGTCAAAGTACTGTGAAGACTCGACTCCTGTGTACTGTGTCGACCAGTCCTCACAGTTGTCTTCGACTCGAGAAGTAATGTAACCGGCCTCGTGAAAGTCCTTCCAGATTGGTGGTACTGGTGGTTCCTCACTGTCGGGGGTGTTGGTATAGACGACGCGCGAGTTGGCGTTGGTGTTGAACCCCACGGCATGGTAACGGAAGAACTCGTGCAATTGTGGTCCTCCCTGGGCTGACTTGTCGAGACTGGCGACCACGGCGGCTGTCTTGGCAAGCTTGCGATAAAACTGTCGTCTGGCGACTGCGTCCATGAACAAAACCATCACATTGGGCCTTCTAGGTTTCTCTCCTGCTGGTTTGGTTGTGTCGCTGTTGGTGTTGGCGGTACCATTGTCGTTGTCGTCGGTAGTAGGGCTATCGCCATGCAGAGTGTCAACTAAATTCTGTTCCTCATCAGTGGTTCTGGTAGTAGTCTCCTCCTGTTCCTGGCGGGTCTTGGCAACAGCCCTAACTCTATCCAGAACCTCATCATGCCGAGTAACTCGAATTAGAATTTTGGAGACGTCCTGTTCACAGTTGGCGATGATCGACTCGACCCCCTTGACATCGACATGGATAGGCTCAGTGTAGGTCTTGCGAATAATCCGCTCGTTGATCTTTTTGTTGTAGGTGTGCATGATCTTGTCGGCCGCCGACCAGAATCGGGTGTCAGGTAGAATATCGTATGTCGGTTGTTGGTCGGAGTCCTTGAAGCCCTTGTTGAGACAGCGAATGGTGAGGATCCCGTCATATGTCCATTCAGCCTCGATTCCAGTGACTGCCGGGCATGAAAGCTGACCGGTCCAAAAGTTCTGGATATAGTTGGGTAACAAGTCGGCAACAGGAATATTAGCCCCCTGCCACTCGCAAAGCTCCTTTCCTGCCTGGCTGCCATGGACCAAGTGGGCGCCGTTAGCTCCTTGGCCCCAGATCGAGTGGTAGTACATCAGCATCATGGTCGTCAGGAGAGCGGTGCTGACGACGGTGACGGTCATCAGTCTGTGGAACTTGGCGGTGGTCATCTTGCGCTGGCAGAGGAGAACCGACTGGATCAAGCCGTTGAGTGGGATCACAATGACCAAGAAGACCAGCATGTTGTATGCGCCGTGGGTTTCAAACGACTCGCCGTCGTCCCACTTCTTCAAGGCGAGGATGATGATGGCCATGCCGGTGTAGAGACAGCCCGCAAAGACAGTCGACATGGGTGTGAGGGCGATCAAGGTCACGGCAACCGTCAGACAGAGGACAGACAGAACCAAGTTGACTCCAAGCATCGACAGATGGTCCTTGACCCATTCAATGTCTCCTCCTGCAAGGGCCTCAAGGTAGAACCAGGAGAAGAGAGAAATTAAGATGAGGATGACAAGGATCCGGATAGAGACCACTGTCCTTGTAGGTGCGCTGTTTTTGTTGTTGTTGTTTCGAGAGCTAAAGGAGGGTGAGAATCGACCGTCCTTGGAAGCTGAGGTGGGCAAGAGGGTGCCAGAAGCCGAGTTGTCGCTGTCGTTCATGAGGGTGTCCTGGCTCGAGTCCCGTTTGTGTTGCGCCCCTCTTCTCCAGGACGTTGTCGAGTTTGGACTGGACTCCAAGTCCGAGTGGTGGATATTGTAGGCCGTCGAGGCTGATGATGGATTGACGGAGGGTGAGTTGTTGGAGGCGGGTTGAGGAGGGGAGGTAGGCCTTTGACTGGCAAGGGTGGAAGGGGGCCTGCTTCTCTCCATGACAGGCAACACTGAGAGTAGAGAGGAAGGGCGAGGTCGAAGGGAGAGGCGAGGGCTAGGGCTGCAGTTGTGGTCAAAGAGAGCCAGATAGCGATGCCGAAGGAAAGGATGAAGGGAGAGGGGGAGGAAGAGGAAAGGGAAAGGGATATGAAGACTGTGATTGACGAGTGGAAGAGTGGAAGAGTGGAAGAGAAAGTGGAAAAGAGAGTGGAATTGGAAGGAAAGAAAGAGAAGAGGAATGAAAGAAGAGACAGGGGGTAGTATTTAGTTCAGTTCAGGAACAACAATGAACAAGCTTCTTTGAGAGAAACGGTAAAAAAAAACATTAGAAAGAAACAGCCAATTGTAATCTGTTTGGTCGTGTGTCAAAATACCAACCAATCTTTCAAAGGGGAAAAAGGAGGAGGATGAAAATTCATCCAGCAGGCATTTTTATTCCCCTTGCTCCTTGACTCGTTCTAAAAAAAAAAAAAAAGATCGGGACCTGCCTGCCTTGCCTGCAACGTACACCAGTCTAATTTCAGGAAACCTAACGGACAATTGAGGTGGTCGGTCGCTCCCATAAAAAATAAGGACAAGGATCTCCTCCGGACTGAAACCTCTTTTTTCCCATGATCTTTTACAACTGCACTTAACCTCACTCGTTGTTCTGCTGCCTCTTTTTTCCTGTCATACCACTTCAAGACATCCCCATCCTCATCTTGATCGGTACCATCCTGGCCTCCGTCTGGAGGTACCATCACGCCTTTGTCCGTGAGGATCAAGCCTTTGAACCTCGCACGGTGGATTTGGCCATTACCCAAGCTCGCGCTCAGTTGGCTGAGAAAAAGCTCAAGAGCGAGGAGCGTGAACCCCCACCCTCAGTCGAACCCCCCCCCTCGACGACTTACCCACCTAACCAGTATCTTTATTGTTAACTATTTTTTCCCAGTTAAAGATGTGACCTTTGTACTTTTTCGAAATTATTTATTTTTATATCTTTCAGACGGTATTAGCTTACTGCACGCAAGACAATCAAAACACTCGTTATCTCCCCCTTTTTTTGCATCGACTTCTGAAGAAAGTGTCGTGTGGTGTGGACACTGGTCTAGTGCCACCACTGCCACCAAATGGACATTTTTTCCTTTGTTGGCAGAATCCCTTTGGCAAACAGGTTTACCCCGACGATACCATTGCGTAGCCCACACGCCGCTCTTTTCGATCTCCGCATCCTTTATTTTTTTTCAACTAGTGTCATGTCATGTGATACATGCGACAAGGAAACTGCGACAAGGACGCCTTACACTTTTTTTTTTTCTTGCTGGTATCTATGGGGTCTCTACATAACACTGCAGACATTGGAAACTGCCCTCGTTCCAGACTGGATCATCTGTGGAATCGCAGCAGTCGCAGAACGAATGCTCTGCACAATAAAGTTGTCCTGGACGACGCCTGCACGGTTGTTGACCTCCTGGAAAAAGGTGCAGGTAAACTTTTCGCGGCGTGCGCCTTCCTCGACAGAGACAACCGCCTGGTAGAGCTCCATGAAGCAGTCGCGCGCATATTGGCTATAACGGGTATCGCGGTTGGAAAGGAATACTATTGGGGGCTGGTACTGGAGCTGGAACCATTGGTGGATCACACGGACAAAACCCTCGGCGGGGTCTGTCAGCGCGTCAATGTTTTCCTCCAGGTAATCCCGCTGATCCTCGTCCACATGTGTAAACACAATCACGACGTGCTTCCAGAACTGGGGTCCCAACAGTCTCTCAAACAGCCTCAACATGTTTTTCGTGTACTCGTCCAATCTATGTCATACAAACAACTATAGCGGTTACTAGCTGTACATGGAAACGTCGCCATCCTTCACACTTTCTAACTGGCCAATCAAACTTTGCAAATTGATTCTAGTTCGCTTACCTTGTGTTGTGGATGTTGAAGACAAGAACAAACGCGCTCACACCGTGGGAGAGAGTCTTGAAGAATTCGACCATCAGATGCACATTCTCAACATCCCTATAGGTGGAGTCGCACATTCCTGGCCTATGACATACACAAGAAAAGGACATGGTCAGTCAGAAACGATCATACTTTCGTGGATCCATCCAAGTTCAAGCTCGTAAGAACAATTCGCCCTGTTCCTGCGGTCCTGTGAGAATCCTGTGAAGCAGGGTAGTCAATAGTCGATCCATCCCGCATTACTGCGGCTTCCCGTAGCGAACGGGACTGTGTCATTGCCGAGGAAGATGATTCAACGCCCTTTTTCCAGTTCCGAATACGCTTGCATTTTTATTTTATTTTTTGGCACGTCCCGAAAGATGTTGCTGCTTCCGTCTATGTATCGTGTCATCATCAATTGCCGAAAATCTACCCGAGAGATCCTGACGCAGACCAGGGGGAGTTTTCCACACTGTTATCCCGCGTGCGCATATGGCGAATGAAATCAAAAGGTTCTTTAAATCGTCGATTCCTGCGCCATGTGAGCGAATAGAGGGTAAAACCCTCAAAACGTGGCAAAAATGCTGGAGTGTTGGGTCCCGTCAGGTGTGATTTACTGCGTCCTGCAAAGTTCTTTTAGTCCTGTCCAGATAAGGAGGGGAGAGAAGGATGCGATCCAGCATTGATAAGGTACTTACGTGTCGACAATGTGGACAGTGCGGCCAACCTCGGGCAGCTTCCAGTTGCGGACGCAACTACCAATTCGTTGCGTGACAGGCTATACAGTAATTGGAATAAAATCGTGAACATACCGAGGTTAGATAACTCAAAAGAGAAATGAAAAAAAAAGATGCGAACGGAAAGGCGCAAGAACTGTGTCTGATAGGTCCATCTCAGCGGAGATGTTCACTTCCTCGCCTGTTGAAAGTTCAAAGGGTCGAAATGGAAAGAAGAATATCGAAGAAGAAAACCAAGATCTGATGTCGCAAGGGGGAAAGGAGGCGAAGAGTAGAGCGGAGGGACAAAAGTCGACAATATTGTCCGCTCCATGCAAAACGCCACTGCATAAACGTGGAACGGTGGCAAAATGAGAAAAAAGGAAACAACAGAAAGAAGATAGATGGAAAGTGGAGGCGCAAGACTGCCCTTGGACCTTGTCGACAACCCTTATGCACTCCCTCCCTCAAGTCTCGAGCAACAGCTGATCCTCGGGTTCGGAAGGATTACAAATTGATCATTCATGATCACTTTCGCCAAAGTGAGTTGTTGATGACTGAGTGGAATAAGGAATGAAAAGGGAGGTGGAATTGCGCAATCGTCTCTGCCGAGGGTTGCGAAGTCCACAGGCGAGGTATTTGTCGGTGGTTGCTGGTGTTCTGTTTTTGTCGGTTTCCACAGCGCGAAGGATAAAAAAAAAGACGTTGGTCCTCCGAGTTGGCAATACTTACGCCGATAGAGCGTCCTGACTGGAACAAGGGCTCCTGGATAATCGAATTGAGTGTCGAGGATTTGCCGTTTCCGACGGCGCCCATCTATAGCAAAAAAACGAACAAAGCAGGGACAGGAGTCAGGGGTTGGGGGTACAGTGAGTTTATCAGAACAAGTCGGTTCAACTAGGATAAGTGAGGGCAGAACTGGTTCGTGTCTTGCAATGGCAATGGCAATGGTAAATGGCGAAGTGCGCGTGTGAATAGATCAGTTGCGTGTGTGTGTTTTGTTCTGAAGGTCGTACCACTGCGAGGACGATGTTGTTTGCGTCGTTAATCATTGTGTGGTGAGTGAATGTGAGTATGTGTCGAGGGTATGTGTGAAGAAAAAAGAGCAAAAAAAAAACATGGTGAGCGAGGTGAGAAAAAAAAAGTTGGGTAGGACATCGACATGCAGTCACGCCTTTTTATTCTTTCAATCACCAGCGCGAAATGATGTAGATAGGACCAACGTGAACGGATACCATCAACTTTCTTACTAACCCTAAGGACCTCTACACGCTTTCGTTCCTATCCTTCCCCTACTGATTGCATCTTTCCACCTTATATCTTTCTATCCTCTTTTGTTTGTTGCGACTGCCCTTGCCTGGGTGTCCATTCCTTGGCAAGAGGAGTGAAAGAGAGTTGTTGTTATCCGAGATTTTTTTTCCTTCCACGACTGCCGTTTTTTTTTAGTATGGGAAAGAGGAGTGTCATTACATACACATGACCGCATTCTTAGTTTCAATAGCACCGTGCTCCCTCTTTCTTGATTCATGCAGTGCGAGTGAGAGTTGGAGGGTCTGTGGATGGTTATTAGTTATTAATGAGAGTATTAAGTAAAGGGGTAAAATAGTATAAAGAGATCATTATCGTAAATCGTCATCGTCATTGTCACCGTCGGAATGTTCGTTTGACTCAGCCTCAAAGCCTACACGACCCCGCCAAGAGGGTTCTTCTCTGAATCCCACCACCAGGCAACGCCAACTTGAACGCCTGTTTCCACCATCCGCCGGCCCCTCTGAACCTCGTTCCTGATGCCTCCCCACCAATTCGCCGCATTGTACTGGGAGCCGTATCCTTGCTGCTGTTCCTGTTGTTGTTGTTGTTGCTGCTGCTGATCTTGCGTCTGCCGGTAGGTCGCATCCTGAGAAGGCGCGTATGACCCATAAATGGCCTCTGGCTGCTGCTTCTGGTCCACAGGATACTGGTGGTACTGATGACTCGACACAGGTTGTTGCTGGGGCAATTGGTTCTTGTCACGGCTGGCCCAGGGAAGCGCGGGAAGGGATCGAAGGGCTGGGAGGGCCGAAAGAGCAGGTAGTGCTGGAAGCTTCGAAAGACTGGGCAGGTATGAGCCTGCAACGGAGGCAGCATTCGAAAGTGTAGAGGTGGCTGTCGAGGCAAACGGACTGCGAGTGCTGTAGTCGTTTGTGCAGTATGCTCCTGCCCCTGTAGGTGTAATGTTGCTGTAGCCGTTGTTGTTATTGTTATTGTTGATGTTGTACGAGGATTGATAATTTGAATTGAAAGTAGGGTTTGTGTTGAGCCCCTGTCCTTCATATGAATATTGTGCTTGTTGTGATTGTTGTTGATGCTGCATGTCACTTTGGTTGCTGAAGTCGTCACTATTAATAGTGGGAGGTGCAATTGACGCTTCTGTAGATTTTCCGTAATAGGGGCCATGGTTGTACAGCGCATCCTGCTGTTGCTGCTGCTGCTGCTGCTGCTGTTGAAATTGGGGTTGCTGTTGAGGTTGTTGTTGAGGGAGCGAGTGTTGGTTCTGCTGCCAAAGATCCGCAATCTTGGTCGACGCCGTCGCGAGTTTTTCGGAAGCAAAGGTTGATGTCACAGCCAGTGTACTGGAAACGTAGCTTGCGGCGACCTTGAGCTTTGGAGCGAACGCATTATGGCTCTCAGTTGAGAGGTCACTCGCGGCGCTTCCTCCGAACCTTGAAAAGATGGACCGAGTAGGAGCATTGAGCATGAGGGGATCGGCAGCGGCATGGGTCTTTTTGGGAGGTGTATTCTCGACAGTGTAGCCGAATCCATGCTGGCTGTAGTCATTGATGTTGTTGCAGCTGTTACTATTGTATTGCTGATATGCTGCCGAGTTATCATACTGCTGATATTGTTGTACTGGAAGTTCAGCAGCATACGCTTGTTGCGTCTGGTCATAGGTATTGGCGTCGTAGGTGGGGTATGGGTGGTGCGCTAACCTCTTGGTCGCAGGTGCATTGGCTGTTGGGACAGTCGCCTGGTAGGCAGTCGCCTGGTAGGCATTGGAAGTTGCAGGTGTGTATGATGACAGTGTTGGTGGTGCGGAGCCATTGTAGAAGGTTGGGGAGGCGGGAATAGGGGAGATCAGACTCTTTTCCTGAGAGACGTGGTTGTGTTGAATCGAGGAGTAGTGCGCTGCTACTGGGGCAAGAGGAGCCAATGTCGACAGCACGGGGGGGCTCGGGGGGTTCGGAGACGCTGTAGTGCGATGCGGGACTGAAATAGGAGCTGCAGTGGAGGGGTGAATAGGATGGACAGGAGATGGTCCTTGAGCTGGGGCCAAGCCAAAGAGAGCAGAGATGTCAGCCTCGGAGGGGAGAGCGTTGTTGGAAGGAGTTGTTTGAGGCTGTTGCTGTTGCTGTTGGGGCTGTTCCTGTTGCTGTTGCTGTTGCTGGTAAGGGTCGAAGGGAGGGGTATGGAGATCCGAGTCGAACAGCTTGTCGAAGGGCGAAGCATGATCAGAAAAAGGAATGACGGCCATGGGGTCTAATGAGGATGGCTGCAAGGGAGGCATGATGGAGCAGCGAGAAAGGGAAAAGGATGAAGAGATGCGAGAGAAGAGGGATGAGAGGAAGGAGGGTTTTGAGAGGAGGAAGGGAGGAGTGGAGAGAAGTGGTGAAGAAGGAGAGAGAAAAAATGTCATACAAGAACTTTTTTTAAACCTTCCGATTCGGTCTGGAGGTTCCAGGTGAGAGGGAAAAAAAATAGAACAAGTCCGCGCTGATGGAGGGAAAGGGAGGGAAACCGCGCTTTTGTGTATCGCTCCTCAAAAGGAGATAGCCTCAGCGGCCAATTAAAGGCGAGACAGGCAGGGGCCGGCATAGTAATAATAAGGCGTCCCCAACACCCAGCCAACCAGCCAGATCGTTCAATTGGCCCGAGTACCCAGGACTATCCCATCAAAACCCTTGGGCGTAATTGCATTAATAAATGGGGGCCTCACCGAAGACTTAATTTCATACTGTTAGGTACAATCTTGCGATTGTGTTGGTGTGTGTACGCTTGTGTGGGCACGGCTCTTTATTGAGCCTTCAACTCGGGTGTGCGGAAAACCACACACCCTTTGAAGAAGAGAACAATAATAAACAAACAAACCTATTCGAGAGCATGTCAACAAAACATCATTACACAGGCCATGTGCAAAACCATTACCACTACAGTCGACATCCATCTAGACCCGCAAAGTAAAAAACAAAATGAATAGGGGGAAGATTGTATCCGCGCAGCCAAAAATGATGACACTTCTTTGTCCATGGCCCTATCGTAGTTCTTTTTTTCTTTTTTTTTCTTGTTAATGTCTTAGCTCTTGACAAAGATAGCATCTATCAACACTCGATGAAACTAGAGGAACGAGGAACCTACGGTACAGCGGTATTTTTATTATTACAGCATGGATGATGTTTCAATGAGATTAGGGTGTGTTATTTTACAAGTTCTGTTGTGCGGCAAAGGCTTGACATGCCTTCAACTGTTCCAGATAGAATTGGCATACACTCATGTCATTGTTGGTGGCGTCGAGACATCTTGTGAATGCCTTTGCATTTTCGTCGCAAGACGCTGCCGGTAACAGATTTGTTGAGTGGTTTCCATAGCTCGCTTGTTGGAGTGATTGCTGTTGTTGTTGTTCTGCAGGGACCTCGTGGTGAGACGACGAGCCCATACCGAAGGCGGACTGTTGCAATGAACGAAGGGAAAAGATGACCTGGTTAGATGACTGTATTGCTGGATCAAGTATGTCGCAAACGCATGTATGAAGCAAACGAACAAACGATCAAACGAAAAGAAGGAAGACGTACTGTTACTGCGTGGCCGACGGAATGTCCGACAGCAACACCTGCGGCAGTGGCTGCCATCTGACCAAAAAGTCCGGGTTGTCGAGGCTGAGCCATGGCTGCAGGGTTTGGTTGTGCTTGAACAGGTGCTGGTGGGGGTGCGGCTGTTTGTCTTGTAGGCATTGTAGATGCACTACGACTTTGAGTCTGGTGGAATGGGGTTGAGCGGGAAGCAGAGGAACGTGCGCGGGCCATCTTGGTTGCGTATGTGTGTTAAAGAAGGAGAATAGGAATGGGGTGGTAAAGGATGGGAGAAGAATGAAAGGGTAGGTAAGACGGTGGCGGTAAAAGTAGGTACGGGGTACTTGTAAAGATAGGAATGTGATATTGGGGGAAAGATGGCAGACGCCCCTTATTTAAGAGTTTTTTCTTCGATCAGCCAAGGCGGCACCAGGGTAGGAGCCAAAATTTCCATTTCCAGGAACCCTTCGAACCCGATGACGACGACCACCTAGAAATGGATATTTTTATTTTCTACAGGATCTGTTTATCCCTTTATTCTCGACGGTTCTTTTGATTATGGCATTATCATCATCATCAACAGGGGCTGCCGATCGGTCTGTAGACGTGATTCAACAGTCTCCCTCTTATCTAGGGCTAGGGTCTCCAACAGGGAAAGTGGCACAGACACCGATCTGTCAATAAACCGAGACCGAGAGTCCATATCTGATCCTTGATCACTGATCAGACCTTTCGATCAGCATTTAAGTCTATCTAGGTGTGTCATAAAAAATGACCGAAGGGTTTTATATTTAACGATGCCGACGAATCCACTAGATCTGTCGTCAATGAAAGGTACGCCAGAGCAAAGGAGAAAAGGGGTCATCGATTTCAATGCATGCATTCGGATAGGACCAGGCTGTGGGTGGTAAGCAGACAGGCAGGTAGGCAGTAGATGCAATGGTATGTAGCTAATCTGCTCTCTCTCTCAGACTTTCTTCAGGGCATGCGAGAGAGAAAAAGAGAGAAAAAGAGAGAGAGAGAGAGAGAGAGAGAGAGAGAGAGAGAGAGAGAGAGAGAGAGAGAGAGAGAGAGAGAGAGAGAGAGAGAGAGAAAAGAGTGAGAGAGAGAAAAGAGTGAGAGAGAGGGTGGATGTGCTCTTTTTGGCCCTACCTCTGAGCAGACTGGAATGCATGGGCTTCGATGCCAATGCTATATTTAACATTCAACAGCAACAACAAAAAACAAATGCCAAACATTTCGTCAACCCTGGGGGTTTGAGATCCTCCTCTTTCCCTCTCCTTGGTGTATAGCATGGTAGTCCGTAAGTAAGGTGTCTATCGTTCGGTTATGTTTGGAGGAGGATCCTTCAGGAGAGAAAGAAGGGGTTGTTTTGTGTCTATGGTCTGGGACTACAAATAAGGGAATGCAAAGAGGCATTAGTGTGTGTCCATCCGCACCACCTATGATGGTCCAGTCATCCAGTCCAGCTATCTGAGTCTGTTGTGGTGCATCGTCCGTTTCGATGGATTTGGCTTTGGCATGGATGCCATCGCTGGTTGGCTCACAATGGCGGCAGTAAATGTCTCTCTCTGACACATTCATACATTCCCTCTCATAGCTCTCTCTCCCTCTCCCTCTCCCTCTCCCTCTCTCTCTTTTTTCTTTTTCTCTTTCTTTCCCCATCCATCTCCGTTGCACCCTCTCCCTCTTTCCTTCCTTCTCTCCCTCCCTCCCTTCCCTTCGTGCTTTCACTGCCTCTCCTTTCCTCACTCTCAATCTCACCTTCTTGTCAACTCTACGGCGACCCTTCTTCTTCTTCTTCTCTCCGTTCTCCTTCTCCTCCCCTTTCTCCTCCTCCTCTGTCCCCTTCCTTCTCTCTCCCTAACCTGCTTGACCTATTTTACCTTTGCATCTCACTCTCTCCTTTCCTTTCCTTTCCTTTCCTTCCCTTTTGCCTGACCTTTACCTTTACCTTGTCCTTTCATCATCACTTTGCCTTTCAACCTTTGTCTTTCCTTCGCCACCACTTCATTCAACTCTTTATCTATACTCTCCAACCGCCCTTATACCCTTCTGCCTTTTTGTTTCCTTTTCTCCTATATCCACAGCAGTTGATCACTCAAAACAATAAGCGAAAGTCAAGTCCAACAAAAGCAACATCCAGGAACACTCCATTCATAACCCAAAAAGAGGCTCCTTCATTCATTCCTCTTTCCTTTCCACCCATACCCTTTCCATCCCTTCCTGGCTCCTGTACTTTTTTCCAACTTGCCTCCCTACGGACTTGAAGGTTGTGGAACCATCGAACTACTCCCTTCACCGGCCAGCCTCTGTTTGGACTCCTTATTTCTCCTTGTCCCTCCTCTGGAGTCCTTGTCACACCTTAAACTTAACAGGTGAGTGGTCCCCTTCTTTTTGAATGCAATTAGTAATGCGAGCTTGGTTTTGTGCATTAGACTTGCAAAGCGACATGGAAGGTCTTGACATAACAGTTGAACATGGCGTTCCGAGCAATGTGGTCAAGACCATCGCTCTTGAAACCGTTATCGAGTTGCAGCAAGTGCACTCTATCATGAACATGTGAAACTTACCACGGAATACCTCTTATTTTGTTATTGAATGTAGCCTGTACACCGTCTGACCAATGGCATCCAATTGGGCCTTTGACCAGGGCTCGCGCCGATCAGGACCAAGCGTAGCAGAGGCCAATACAGCCATGACGACACCCTTGCCACCCATACTGAGCCAGGACACCCGCTTCCTTCTCTCGCCTATGCCCGCATCCATGATACAAGGACAGAACCTAGGACAGGGACAGTCCAAAACTGCCACTTCGTCGTCCACCACAGTCACTCTCTACCCACTCGAAGCTGTACCATCTCACTTGCTCTGCGCCATTTGCACCCTGCCCTATGAGAACCCGGTCCACTTCCTCCCCTGCTGTCACGTCTTTTGTCTCGAGTGTATCCAGCTCTGGATCGTCATGAATTTGGGTGACGAGCTCCTTCAAAACGAACTCCGACGAGCTTACCCTGCTGATGAAGAGCGCCAATGGATCCTCGACGTGATGGAGGGACAAGGAGGGCAGCATCCGCATCTGCAGCAGCAGTTCATGGTCGAGCTCGCAAGGATGGGCCACTCTCGTTCCCGGTCTGGGGCAGGAGCATCTGGCAACAACAACTTTTACGAGAGCTTCAACCATTTTTCGCCGGCCCAACAGCAATTGCTCCAACAACAGCAAATTCAGCAGCGGATCGCGTTGTTGCTTGAGAGCCGGGTGATGCCCAAGTGTCCAATGTGTCGCACGTCGCTCCACATTCATGGATGGGACAGGATCGAGGAACAAGTCAAGGTCCACACCCCTACCCGACCACGATCTGTTAGCCAATCGGACGAATCGACAATGACAACACTCTCCTTTTCGGACTGGATGCGAAGCAGCATCCAAGGTCAAGGGGAAAGACCTGTCTCTGGAGTGGAACGACGCCGGCGGCACGACAGATTCACAGCCAACAGAGTTGCCAGAGGAGGTAACCGAGGAGTGAGTCGCGAGGATGCCATTGGAGAGGAGGAAGATGAAGAGATCGAGATGGAGCATGTCCGAACCTCGAGAAGTCGTCTCAACCATAGCAACAGCAGTGGCCACGCCATGTCTCCCTTCCCATCTGGTTCCTCTGGATTATCCTTTGCAGCTCGCCATCAGCACCGACTCGAGGCTCGACAGCAGGACGCGTCTGACATGAACGATGACGAGGAGATCCAGAGTCCTACAACAGCGGTGATTGGCCGGCGCCCAAGCGAATGGATGCGGTACCAACAGCGACAACTTCAGGCTCATCAGGAACGAGAACAGGCAAATCGACTAAGAGCTGAAGCGGCTGCTGCTGCTGAAGAGGCCGGCGATGTTCTTCGCCATCACGCCATCACCACAAGTCGCCTGAACGAACAGCAGGAGCAAATTCGTCGCCTCTATCTCGAACAGGAAAGTCAGGAAGAGTTGTTGCGGACGCTAACTGCTCGGGCAGCTTCGATCATTGAAGCAGAGGAGGAAAACCGCCGACAGGCGACTAGCTCTAATACGACTTCAGTCAGCACATCGGACAGCTCTAGTCAGCGTGGGTCTTTGTTACCACGCCACGAGCAGCAACTGGAACTAGCGCAAGTAGACCGACAACTTACCTCGCTCGAACAATCCGGCGACCGGCAAGAGCACGTTGGCCGCCAGAGCCATGAGCCTGAGCAAGATTCTCAACGCGTGCCGCCGAGGCAGTCCACGCTCCAGATCGACACCACGATCACTCGACCTAGCAGTCGCCAAAGCCAAACCAGCCAGAATGTCTCTACTACTCGATCCCGTCAGATCAGCTATGACACTGAAAGTCGGCCAGAGCTGGCGGCAAACCCTTCCTCCATTCAACAAAGCGAGGATGACCAAGGTTTGCAGGACTCGACCACTCGTCGCCAAGGACCACAGGATCTGACGGAGGAAGAACAGCAGTCTTCAGGGAACAATGTTGACAACAGTATACTCAGCATCATGCAGCAGGGGACCCTTGCTTGGGCGGAGCGGCCTTCGAGCCTTCGACTTGATTTGGGGAGACAGGACGAGCCATTGGTACTCTCAACCGGCGATGACGACGAGGGCGACATGAGTGCTTCCGATTCTGTGTCCGACTCGACAATGTCTTCAGCATCGTCAGATATCCAACTGTCGCCCTCCAACGAATCGACACTTTCATATGGAACTACCTCGACATTTTCCCACAGTATCATGAACCAGACCTCAGTAGGAACACCATTTTCGCAGCGGTCATCTACTCATCCTAATTGGGATCGACACTCGCTTTCTCTGCAAATGCCCACAATCGAGACAGAAGACACCAGCGTCGATGCCAGCCACCGACGCACTCTGGACAGTTTAGTTGAAGGCGAGAGGGAGGAATTTGACGAGCAGCCATGGAGAGACCACCCGCGTGAGGGAAAGGATGAGGAGAGCCACACCAGCTACCGCAAGGAACACGAGGGCCTGGGTTGCGGAGAGTTCTCGGGCTCGACTCTGAATCTCGAAATGTCGAGGGCTGAGAGCAAGAGTAGGGCCGAGGGACCTGTGGACGACATTGTCGAGGATGATTCACGGCCTTCGTCTAGCTCATCTCAAACCACTGGAGATGCAAATGCTCTTAACACCGTTGGTCAAGATACCCGCGCCGAAGGACCAACTGTCGATACCCAAGACACCTCATCTCAACCAGACACAGTGCACGATCGGGACTCGACTGGAACCTCGTCTGTCTACGGCTTTCAATTTTCTCAGTCAGCCTGGGTCTCCAGATCCTCAGGCGCGTCCCCTTTGGTCCGCGAGCTCGACATCCATTGCCCTATTATCACTGCAGAAGGATCTGTCACCACCATCGCCAACATGCAGATCGACGCAGATATTTTAGCACGAGCCCGATCCAACTCGGTCCTTCTCTCCGATGACGACCTGCCCAATGTCCGTGATCGCCCTTCGCCCATCGACTCGCCGATACCTACGCCTTCTACTGCTCGACCACGACAACGTTTCCCAGCTGGATTCCCCCTTATGGATGACGAAGGACAGCCAGAGGAGGAAGATGAGGAGGAAGAAGAGGAAGAATTGTTGGTGACGGTGATTGAGGAAGAGGAGGATCGGGAAGCAACTCGTCATGAGTCAGGATCAGCGCCTGAGGAGCACTCTGATCCTGCTGCTAATATTGCCGAGTCTGTTATTTCGTCTGCGGAACCTGAGGTTGTTGAGGCACAGGCTGCATCTGTTTCTACGCCTCAGTTGACTGCTTCGAGCGAAACAGAGGTCGTCGATGAAGCGCAGTCTGACAATGCTGTCGTGGCCATCGCTTCTCCTCCTTCCATCCAACCTACGGTCGTGTCAGAAAGCATTCAAGACCCTCTCTCTGCCGCGATTGCAGGCGATTACTCACCAGCACTGTCGCTCCCGGTGGATGTTCCTTCTGTGGATATCGAGAGCGCCATTGACAGCGTAGACCAAGACCAGCCTGTCACAACGCCTTCCATTGGACCACTCCGAGAAAGTCTAAACTCTCCACCGCCTTTGCCTTTACCTCTTGCCACCGCCGCTGCTGCTGCAGTCCAAGGTCAGGAAGTAGTAGCCTCGGAACCATCGACCCGCGACGTTTCGACCTTGGAGAGGGATATCACTCTTGACGAAGAGTCATTGCTCTATATTCGGCCTTCAAGAGTTTCGAACATCCATTCCTCAGAGGACCAAGGGCTTCTGGGCGCAGCAGCTCCAGAGAGAGCAGCAGCAGAGCCTCGGCTGTCACGTAGCACAGAGGAGGTCGAGCAAGAACCAGAGCCAGAGCCAGCAGCACAGTTCCGGACAGTTGTTCGATACCAGCCCCGCTTGCCCAAGGCCCATGTGATGTCGGACCTTATTTCGCAGATTCGAGTCGAGTGTCCTAACAAGCAGTTTGGTTGCGCAGATACGATGGAGATGCAAAAGACCCTTCAGCACGGTCGGGACCTGTGTAATTTCAGAATGGTAATGTGTCCCCGAGCAAAGTGCGGCCTCAGGATGAGAGCTGATCAGATTTTGGAGCATATCTTGATGGTGGAGCCTAGCAATGGTTTGGGATCATCTTCATCCTCGTCGTTGTCGACTCCTCCTTCTTCTGGTGGTCCTTCATCTGCGCGGTCGGCGTCTTCCAACTCTGGTCGCTCACACAAGGTATGATTTTTTTATAATACTTGCAATTTTGCTCCGATACTGCGCTGTCCTTGGAGCTTTTATTTTTTCCTTTTATTGTTGGGTGTGTGAGTGGTGCGTGTGCATATCGTTATTTTTCTTTTGTTTTCGCGAAGCAGTAAAAGCTAACAGTTGCTCTTTTGTTGTTCCACTTTGCCGATATCTAGAATGGAAACACTCGAAGCAAGACAAAGCTTAGTAGCAGCCAGTTTAGTCAAGCCAGTGACAACCAGCAGAACAGCGCGTCTTCTGTGGTTGCTTCTGCTTCTACTGTGAGCCCGAACCCGTTGATCCCATCGTGTCCTGGCCTGACCTGGGAGCGCGAACAGCTGACCAAAGCAACCGGCATCATTGGTCACTTGACGGAGGAGAACTCGAGTCTTCGACAGATGATTCGGCAACTGACGCTTCAGAACACCAAGCTGACCAAGGAGAAGGATCGTCTTCAGCGTTATGCGAACTTGGGACTTGGACGGGACTAGGACTAGAAAAATAATATAGACTAACGACAACGACAGAACATAATCCATACTCCATAGCAGCGAACCCGCTAGATACCAAAATACCATTCGCGCGTCTCTCTCTCACCTAATCACTTGTATTTGTTTGGCCATGGTTGCCGATGTGGCAGTGTCCAGTGCGAACAACAAAGCCTTACCGAAAGCTATTCGCCCACTGCGAGGTCATGGGCGATGTTGTCAGTCAGTCTTCCAAAAGCCCTATGCCTTGTCCACTTTTTCTCCTTGTACAAAAAAGGGAGTACCTTTGCGGTAGATTGCTACAGTAAGTCGATCTGCATGTGTCTTCTCTTGAAATGCCTAGGTAAATAAAACCATGGAACAATTCCTGCAAGATGAGCGAGCGAGTAATGGACTATGGTATGATGTGTGTGACATTGACATGGGCTGGATCAAGGTAGTGTGCAATAGTCTCACAATGGATCATTTGAACGACGACCTTCTTTTCTTTCTTTCCAAACTATCCAACTATCCGAACTGTCCATCCCGTTCTGCCATCCCCCTTCTCCTCCCCCTCCTTCATTGTTTCTCTTCTTCTTCCTCCCTTGTGCTCCCCCTCCCCTCGCATCTTTTTGTCTCTCTTTACACCCGCCGCAGTCAATAAGAGCGGAGAGAAAAAAATAATCAAAAATCTCGCCGTCATTACTGCGGCACACACGAACCTTGTTGATTTTTTTGCATGTTTTTTTTTCGTTTCAATCAAAGGGCGAGGAGTAGGTGGCATCGCCCTTGAATCTGTTTGTCGACTCTCTTTGTTGTTGTAGGTTTGTTATTGTGGATTCTAGCAAGTGAGCGAGCAAAAGGCAGGGCGCAAGATATCCGATATCCGATATCCGAATTGCAAGTATCGGCTTTTTGTGAGAGAAGAGACGAGAGGCCAAAACTCGTTTTAAAAGGAACAGTGCGAGAATGCGAGGTGGATGGCGCATCACGTACAAAGAAAAAATGATTACGTACGGTTAATGACACCTCTCTCTTGCCCCTCTTTTTGAATCAATTCACAGGCTCTCATATTCTTTGTGTTTGTGGCACAAAACACTTACACGCTGCGGATGGACAGACAACACACCCTTTTTCCATTGCGTGGATGAAGATGGTGATGATAAAGTAGCACGGATGGAAGGGAAGGAAAGGGAAGGGGGGAAAGGGAACGGGGAACACGCACAAGGGAACGAAGAGCGATGATGGCTTGTTTTGTTTGTTTTCCGTCCTCTGTAAGCAAGGTTCAACCACGCAGAAGATGATTTCATGCGTCTCTCTATCCATTTCCGCCCTGTTTTTGTGTTTTCTTTTTTTCTTTATCATTGACAGGAAAAAGTGACCCAAGCCATCATGTCTAAACTTGTGTGTGTATTTTTTTCACTCGCTTCCCTCACTTGGCGCGAGCACTGTTGTTGAGTTGAAGTTTTAGTCGTTGTAAGCACTTTTTATATGTTTAAATGGATATCATTTTGAAATAAAGAGAAAAAAACAGCTTAGTGCTGCTCTATGACTGAGCAAGTAAGTGAGAGTGAGAGTGAGAGTGTCATTCTCTACAGCAAAGCCCGGCCCTTTTTTAGCTCTGCCTCCTCTCTTTTTCTCTCTCAGTCAGCAACGACGCCAGAGAAAACAACAACAACAACAATAAAACGAAAGCCAGCCCAAGACGAAGAGAAGAGAGGAGAAAAAGTCAGCCAGCCAATCACAATGCACCGCAGAAATGGTGTATGTACACATAGTAGAGACAGTACGCATCACCACTTGCAACACAAGGTCCAGCCCTCCAATTCCCTGTCCTGCTGAGTAGCGTCCTGCCTCCTCCCCCCCAACCCCTTCCTCCTCGTTTACTTTTCTCAATTTTTCGCTGTTTTCGCTTCTTTCCTCTTCTCTCTTCTTTTTTTCTTCAACTATTCCACACCCTCATACAAACTATTACACTCGTCTAGCATACCACCAAACTTTACTTACCACAACAACCACTTCTTTGACTCCAACTACTCCATTGCCCAGCGCACCTTCTTTTGTAACATCCTCTTTATAACTCCTCCGTTCTCTCTTTTTCTCTCTCATTCCCTTGCACACATTCTCTAATTGAACACTCTTTTCCCTTCCTGACCACTCGTCACAGCGCCTTTTTTTCTTAATCTTTTCCCTTATTACACACATATACACAGACATATCCAACATGGCATCCGAGGCCGCTTGCATGCAATAGGATCCTTCCCTCCCTCTTCTCTCTCTTTCTACTACTACTACTACTACCTCTATACTGCACCCTCTCATATTTCCTTTAATAATAATACATCCTCACCTTGTTCCCATTCCCTTGTTTCTATCGAATGCCTTCTCTCTCCTGTTACTTCTACTACTAGTCCGTCCTATCCGTCCTATCGCACTTCTTTTGACTGCGCTCTACTACTTTCACTCCGACCGTATTAGCACAAGTTCCTTCACAACCGCCACCTCTTTCTTTTTTTTTCTTTCCCTCCTCTTCACCACCACCACCACCACCCTTACTCTCACTTTCCCACCCCCTGGCCCCCTTCCTATTTCCGTCACCATACGCTCCCTAAGAGTCCCCGTCCAGTCCCCCCCTCCAGCTCTCTCGCCTCCCTTCGCCCATCCTCCTCCGGACCCATAATACGTTTCTACACTGCCCCATTTTCTTTGTAGTTCCTTCACGACTTACGACCTCTTTTTTTGTTTACGTTCTTCGTTCTTTGTTTTCTTTCTACTTCTTTCTTTCGTTGACGTTCTCCTCTCCTCCCCTCCTTTAAAAAGAACCTTTTTCGAATTCGACAGCTTCAATCGTACCGCAGCCTCTGCCCTAGGATCTGATTTCAATCTCATTCTTACGCCACCCGCAACCCCTCCCCTCGACATCTTATCCTTCATGCTGACTTTACAGGCATGTGCAGCGACAACGACCGGTACAAGCTTCCCGCCTGGCGGAGGCCCTGTAGGCCTCTCTGACCAGGCGTCGTCTTCCTTTTCGGGTTCTACTCACTTTCAACCCTCTCGCCATTCTTTTCGTCCTTCTTCCACATCCATAACATCCAACAACAACAACAACAACAACAACAGCAACAACAGCAACCCTACATGCAGGAAACGTTCTTACCCCCATGACGAACAGATACACGACGATTCGATCCTCAGCAATCGTCAGGAACAACATGAAATCACCTCTTCCGACTCTGTCTTGACCACCAGCACGTCTTCCGCCGTAGTAGAAACCTCTTTTCAGTGTCCTCGGCTTCAAACCCAGCAACTCTGCCTTCCAAGAAAGTCCACCCAGCCTCTTGCAACTTTGCAGGGCCTCGGAGGAGTCCCTGGTCAGTGTCCCCTCGATCCCAGTACTGCCAAGGCTAACTTTGTTGACAGTCTTGTTGGTAAGTACATATCTATTCGTCATTAATGGATCTATTTTTTTTTTCTTTTTTGTTTTGCGGAGGCAGCGCTTTTATTACATCTGTTATATGCAGATTGGCTCTAGACATTAAGCCGCAGTAGTCCACCATTTTTTATATTTTTTTCTCGTTGCCGCGCTTTTTTCTTTTGTTTATCCTTTCCTACTGTTGTTCGGTTAGCAGCAGCTGGTGAAGGCGCAGACTAAAGTCACGGTCTCATCATAAACGATATCGATATCGTCTCCGTTCTGTTGTCGTACGTGGATGCGAGTCGCACTGCCTCCGTTGCTCTCCTGCTCCCATCTATTACTCTCAGCCCCCACCCAGCCCACACCACCACCACGTTATTTTTGTTTATGTCCCCCAACCGTTTCCCAGTTCTATTGTGCAACACTACCCCTCTCGCCTCCAACCCTCATCCACATCTTCCTCCATACTCTCGTCGACTCAATGCAACACATACCCTTTACGTACCTGTCTGGCGGCGTGCGGCGGCGGGCTTATATTCTAATACATTTGGTATTGAGTTCGGAGGTGGTCATTTCGACTGCGCCGTGTCGTGATGTATCTGCTGCACTTCACCTGCAAGCTGCTGGGTACGCGTCCCCCGTTCTTTCATCTCTCCATTTACTCTTTCCCTCCGAGATACAAATACCCCCGCCTTCAGTTCAGTTGATGACTCTTTCCCGCCCTCAGTATCGACATGAAAGGAATTTTTTTTATTACTTTCTATCTTTTCCGTCTATCATATCACGTTATCTCTTGCATCACATTCCTGCATCAGTCTTCAACCAAATTCCAACTCTACCGCTCTCATATGACCTTGCATGTTCAACTGTCGATCCATCCTGTGTTGTATGAGTAACCCCTTGATATTCACATCTGTTGTTCTTGTCGTCTTCTTTTGCTTCTTTATGTGTATTCTCTCCTCCCCTCTCTATTTTCCTCTTCTCTCTGGCCGTTGTTCCACTTGTCCGTGCCCTTCTCTCTCCCCCCCTCCTCCTCGTCCCGTATTGGTCAACATGTCGACTCCATCGACTCTTCAACTCATAGACACGGCTGCTATTGTCATCGAGTCTATCTGGCCACCACTTCCCGGTTCATCGGAATGTCCCCAAAAACAAAAGGGTCTTCCTCTCCGCACCTTCATCCAAGAGACATTGAAGCGATCTCGCAGCTCCTACTCGACTCTCCAGACCGCCCTCTTCTACCTCTATAAAATCAGGAACAAGGTCCCCTGCGCCTACTTGAAGCGTCGTCAGGACCAGCTCTATGCTCATCAGACACTGCACTCGCCCTTTTCCGCCGCGGGACTTGCAACGCCACCAGCTTCACCTTATCACCAGCAAAATCTTTCCGAGTTCCCCATCAATGTCCAAGGCCCAGACTACTTTAGTGTGCGCAAGATGGATTGCAAACCTTCTTTGCCATCGCCTCTTTCGTCCAATTGCTCAATGGCGTCTGCCAGCCCTGCATCTGTCTCTGGTTACAGCCCATGCTCGTCGGCTTCGCCGTCGTCCACAACCTCCTCGCCTGACTCGTCCTCGGCTTCGCCCTGCCCCTCGTCGTCTACAGCTGCAGCTGCATCGTGCGCATCTGCGTCATCGACGTCTGCAGGATCGTCATCGTCGTCGCCCAGCCAGTCCAACAGGATCATCTACTGTGGTCGCCGCACCTTTTTGGCCTCGTTGATGGTTGCTTCCAAGTATCTCCAAGATCGGAACTACTCCAACAAGGCTTGGGCTAAGATTTCGGGCCTGTCCATCAAGGAGATCAATGCCAACGAGCTCGTTTTCCTGAAGCTGATTGATTACTCTCTCTTTGTTTCCCATGAAACATTCATGCGCTGGACCGCACTCCTGGTCGCCCATGGTCCCGAGGCAACGCGCAAGTTTATGCAGACAGCAGATGCTGTCCATGCTAACGCTTTCGCTGCTCGCGTCATGTCTGCGCCACCGGTGGTTCTCAATGGGGGTCTTATCCGACATACCGCTCACAAGAGCGATGTCGTGGCCTCAGCACCTTCTCCTGCTTCTAGCATCTCCGAGGACGATGTGGCAGACACTTGCGAGATCTTGAAGAATACTGCATCAAGGAACGTCAAGGTGGCTCGTATGAACACATACCTCCCTACCGTCCATAGCAGTGGTCATGTTGTTCGTGGTTGAGCTCTCTCTCGTTTTCTTTTCTTCAATTCTTTTTTTTCTTCAGGTTGTACTTGTGTTCCGGGGAGTGTCTGGGGTTTTTTGTGGGAGTCTTATCGCAAAGGTTACTGTCATTGTGCAATGGCTTTTTTTCTGTTCTTGTCCTTTTCTTGTCTTGCTCCCACCCGATCCTCCCCTGTTCCTTCATCGTGTTTTTTTTCTTCTCTTCTCGCTCTTGTCGCCCTCTCCTCTCTTCATCTCTCCCCTGATCTTAAGCATTCTGCTTTGGTCCTGTCCCTTGTTGTTATTGCTTTGAGCTTTGGTTTCATTTTCCATATGGTTGGTTCCGGAGAACGTAGTAGTAATAATTAGTCGATTGTATTTGTAAAAAATGGACTCTTTCTTTTCAATAGCTCTTACCGGTCTCCCTTTTGAACCATGTGCTGATGAACAATGCTCCATTGAAAGAATGTATATGGCCTCCAAACTGCGCCTGCGCCTGCGCCTGATAAATACGAAACTGTCGAAAACCATCCGGAAAGTAGCCCACTGCGGTTCTGATGTTGAATTATTTTTTTGTTGCCGCAGATACATCATGAGCTCAAATGTATCTCTCCGGTGCCTGTCTCATCTCTTGCCTTGCGATCCTTTGATATCAAAATAGCACTTTCGGTACGTCTCCTTCATTGACCACTTGTTGATCAAGGAGAAAGACCCTCCACTCCACAAGCACAAGTCAAGGGGAAAAAAAACCATAGCAGTTTCAAGCACGACCACGATTACATGGAGAAAAAGAGATGTTGTTGTCAAAGGATAGGCAAGGCCTGGTTTGCTTTTATTTTTGCACAAGGTTGGGAGTGATTGTTTAATCGAAGAGACCTATTGAATAAAAGCAAATTGAAAAGAACGAAATGTTAGAATATTGTTTAAACAGTAGAGTATTGGCATTGCACCTGGTAGCACTCTTGTCAAATGGAAAAGAAATCAGAGACTTACCGAATCCCATATCGTCATCAGACTCCTCCTTGGCCTCCTCCTTCTTCTCCTCGGCCTTCTCCACAGCAGCGGCACCAGCAGCGGGGGCAGCGGCACCGGCAGCGGGGGCGGAACCAGCAGCGCCAACGTTGGACAACATGGCGGCGACGTCCTTGCCATCGAGGGCCTTGGCGAAGAGGGAGGTCCAAATGGATTCAACCTCGACGTTGGCAGCCTTCAAGAGGGTCTGGAGCTTGTCGGACTATTGTAGGGAAAGGTGAAAAAGGGATATGACCAGGTCAGCGTTTCTGCGCAGAAGGTAAGAGGGGGGAGCGCGCCCTTGTTGTGTTTGGCAATAGATCCCGATCCTCGACTCGATTGCTAAAGAACGATTGCCATCGTCTCACTTCCAGGTCCCGTCATCCTGAACTGCCGAAAAAAGGCGCTGGGGTTCCTTGTTATCGGCGTTATCGAGTTGAGGCAGAGCGTAGCGTCACTTGTTCGGTCGCAGCGAGTGCGGAAGAGCACTCTGCTGTCCCTTCCAAGTTGACAGCACATAGTCGATTGAAAGTCGGTTTGAGATGAAGTTTCATCGATCGGTGGCGATGAGACGTGTTGCAGAGATGCCGAGTGTCGTTGAGCAGCGGCAGTGAGTTGGGTCGGGGCGAAGGAGTAGCTTCCAGTCGATTGAAAGAAGACAATCGGCCATCGGTCAAGTCCGCCTAACCCCAATCGGCATGATCTCCCCTTCTTCCCTGGCGGTGCCCAAATCGCCACTGCAAAAAAAATCCATCGATCCTGGTATCCATCGAGTCGAGTATTGGTCCCCCATTGCAATGGTTGTTGTATTCGTTCATCCATCGGTGTCGGTCGTTGGAGGATGTAGTATTGTTGGACCGATACTTAACGGTGATCTCGACGTGATCGTCGGTGAGGATGAGGGCAGCGTAGCTGGTAGCGAGTTCAGAAGACATCTTGTCGAAAATGTGGTGCTGAAAAGAGAGGGATTCGACTGTTCCAATTCAGCGAAACGATATAATCCTGTCAATTGATCACATGACGTCCTCAATTTTGATGGTAGATGTAAGAAGCGAAAGCTGGGAGCGGAGTACCAGTACGTCATCGATTTTTTTTTATGGTGGGACCTTGGACATCCATAGGAGTTGGTAGCAAACTGATGAATTCTGCGAGCCGCATAGAGGCGTTGGATGCATGAGCGATATTTTGCTTATTTGTCTTTACTCTCCTCACCTTTGCCGTTGAGTGGTAGTGCCAAAGTGAACGGAAGGAAGACTGTTCGCTTGCTGCTAACGCGACCATGCCCTCTTAAAGGTTAAAGGAGGCACATTGGCCGGGTTAATCATTGCCGAGCGAGTAGGAAAACAGCGGCTCGTTCTCGCTCTTCATTTGATGGAATATCACGCTCCGTTGGAAGGTGCTTCTTTCTCCAAAACTAAAGGTCCCCCATTCTTCGTTTGTTCATCCCATTCTTTCCTTCGTTTTGTTCATTGCTCTCATCCTTTCCATACACACCATCATCGCCCATACTCACTCACTCACTCTTCCTCTTTCTCTCCTCCTTCTCCCCTCCTCTCACTCTCTCACTCTCTTACCTCTTCCTCCCCAAAAAAAAATCAGCAACAATGGTTTTCGCTTCTGCCACGACCGGTTTCAAGCAGGATGTTCCTGAGATCCAAAATGCCTTCCTCGAAGACCCTGTCATGGCCTCAATCTTGGAGCGCCTCTTGCCCAGCGATGTTCTCAAGGAAATCACTCCGTAAGACGACTCTTGAGCGTTCCCCCTCAACTTCAGAGAAAAGTAATTGGCGTTGGGTTCTAATACAAAGTGCCGCCTCCACCCTCTTTCTTCTCCCCTCATTCGATAGTGACCTTGTCCAGATTAGCGGATGGTCCATGACTGGTGAGCACTGAAGCTACCTTTTCTCAGCTTAAAATTCTATAACCAATCCCCCTCCACACTTTTGAATTCCCCACGCTCTTTTTATTTTCTCCGATCATGTTTTCATTCTTTCATTGCATGTGACATATCTAACGGCGCAATTAAACACCCACTTACCGAATTGCTTGACTCGATTCTTTTGCTAGAGGGAGCTGCATTGCTGGATCGTATGGAGGAGGACCAGCCCAGACTTCGCCAGTACGACTCCTGGTGCAGGTATGGCCTTATTTCTTCCTTTCCATTGATCCTAGCATGAAAAAGAAGCCATATTTCTATTCAAGAAGCAAAGTACTAACTGTCCTCAACTAATGATGTGCATAGACGGGTGGATGAGCTGCTGGTCACTGAATCGTGGAACAAGCAAAAAACTGTGGCTGCTCGCGAGGGTATTGTGGCCATCGGTTACGAGCGCAAGTACGGACAGTACTCTCGTATCTACCAGATGGCCAAGTTAATCCTCTGGTCAACTGGTTCGGGACTCTACAGCTGTCCTATTGCTATGACCGGTAAGTTGCATTTTCTGTTATTTGATTGACAAACAAGCTTTCTGTGTTACAATCAATCAGATGTTCCACCAGCAACATTTCTCACTCGTGTATGCATTGCTTAACTGTTACAGATGGATGCGCGCGTGTGATTGAGCTCATCGGCACCCAGGAGATGAAAGATGAGGTTTATTCTCGCTTGACCAGCCGTGATCCCAGCAAGTTCTTCACCAGTGGTCAGTGGATGACCGAGCGCCCTGGTGGAAGCGATGTTGGTCGTACCGAGACCCAGGCTGTTTGGGATGAAGAGAAAAATGCCTGGTCGATCTCCGGCTTCAAGTGGTTCTCGAGTGCCACTGATGCCGATGTCACCATGCTCTTGGCCAGAACTCACGAGCCCGATCCTTCAGTTGCCCCTGGAACCATGAAGGACGGAAGTCGTGGTTTGTCGCTGTATCTTGCTCGTGTTCGTGATGATCAAGGAAAACTGAATGGTGTTCGCATTCACCGTTTGAAGGACAAGGTTGGAACCAAGGCTCTCCCCACTGCTGAGCTTGAGTTGGACGGCATGGTCGGCCAATTGGTTGGTCAAAAGTACCGCGGCGTCAAGAACATCTCTGCTATTTTGAACATTACCCGTATCCACTGCGGTTTGAACTGCACTTCGACCATGCAGACCCTCTTGTTGCGCTCCAAGGAGTACGCTCGTCGCCGCGAGGTAAGCTTTGATTTTTTCTATTCTTGCATTCTCAAAGGCCTATGGTTTTCGGCGAGTAGCAAATGAATCCGAAGTTTATTCGTTCACCATTTTTTTTTGCCTCTCTTAGGTGTTTGGCGCGTTGTTGAAGGAGCAGCCCTTGCATCTTGCAACCCTTGCCAACATGGAGCTTCAGTACAGAGCCACTTGTCAATTCACGTTCTACTGTGTTGGCTTGCTGGGTCGCACTGAGACCATTGACAACAACCTACCCGAGATCAAGGATCGCGATTTCCCCTTGCTTCGTCTCTTGACTCCCATCTTGAAGCTCTGGAGCGCCAAGAATGCGTTTTATTTGTCTCAAGAGGCTATGGAGTGCTTTGGTGGCCAGGGCTACATGGAGGAGACTGGCATCGGTCGCGCTATGCGTGATGTCCTTGTCAACACCATCTGGGAGGGAACTACTAATGTGCTCTCGCTCGACCTCTTGCGTGTCATGGCCGAGACTCGTGGTGCTGCCCTTGAGATTTACTCCGACGTAAGTTTACAATATATAACATGTTTTTTGTGGGATGCTGCATGCAACCCCTCACGTTGATACTAAATGTTTGTTTTCTTGTGCATTTCAACCAACAATAGACCATTCGCGAGATCATGGCGCCTTTGAAGGGTCAGTCAGAATGGGTCAAGTCTGCCAAGAGCCTCGAAGAGTGCTTGGTCCTGATTGCTATCCGCTTCACTGCCTATTCAACCTCTGAGGGCCGCAAGACCCTTGAAGCCTCTGCTCGTGGACTTTCTTTGGCCATGGCCGACGTGATTGCAGGAGCTCTTCTCTGCCAGCATGCAGCCTGGTCTCAGGCCAAGGCCAAGGCCAACTCTTCCAACGCTGTGGCCGAAGCAGAGGCCAAGGTCGACCAGATCTCTGCCCGAAGATGGTGCGAGGATCTGTACCGCCGTGTCGATCATCAGATCCAGAACTTGGGACGTGAGGAGCGTTATGAGGAGGACAAGTTGATGTTGTTCAAGTTGGCTGAGACTCGTGGAAACGCTGCTTCAAAGGCCACTTTTGAGAGTTTTGGAGAGGCCAAGCTCTAGATACGTATCTTTGTGTTAGTAAACACGTCCATCCTTGTTTTTTTTGTTGTCCCTGGCCCAGACCCTCTTTTTTTTTTTTTCTCAACGGTTGATCTGATCACATGATCTGCATTGATGACTGATTTTTCTAAGTAACAAGTTCCTGAGCAAATCTCATTCGATCCCTTTCGCCCAAACCCCACTCACTCCAAGAACTCAAGATGATCGCCCCCGTCCAGAACCAGCTCTCGTACGTCTCTTGCTATTGTCACTCACTCGCTTCTTTGCTCAAGGGTTTCCTGACGACCGATCGAGACGCTGCTTATTTGCCATGTTCATCTTTTTCTTCGACTTCGGACATGATGGTCTTCGGATCCGATGTGAAAAATACTTCACAGAAATAACAAAACGAAAAGAGAAGAAGGAAAGCAACGTTCAATCAATACGAAGACATATATCTAACCATACTCATTTGTGTTTTACATCGATGGACAATAGTAAGAGCATGTTGATCCAAATCGGAGTCGGCATGGCCCTCGGAACGTACGTCCAATGGATATTCATTCCCCTGAGACATCACTTTCTTCAGCAGAACGACCACATCTATGACTGCGAAGGAATATGGGGGCAGGAGAGCGATATGATGACACGACCATTACCATGGATACATTTGGGATATGAAAGGACTTGGCAGGACGTATTGTCGAAGAGTTACTAGGCTCAGAGCAACATAGGATGCAATTTTACTGGTGAAAAACTCAGGATTGCACGTATTTTGTCTCGGGAGTAGGAGAGGTCGCAGACTGGATGACCCACATGGCTGGATCGAGGATGATTTATTGAACTTGGGAGACTATTCGAATCGGTCTATGGGCCAACTCTGCTCGAGGACAGGAGTAGTCCGGAAAAAACCGCCCCATCTCACATAGATGCTGTTGCGTTTTGCTCACCAAAAAAAAAAAGCTGCCGCAGGCATAGACACGCGGATCTACACTCGTGGATATGCGAAGCATGATGATGGAGGATAACAGATTGTTTGAGATGTACGAGTACTTATCAAGGGATATGTCGCTCTTATATCTTTGAAACCACTAGCACTGCTGCCTACGGCTACTGGTACAAGGTTGTACTTCCCACCCGTGCCCAGCGTGAGGCCTTTTACGTTAAGCTCAACTCCACCAAGGCCTAAGCGAACATTTTGACGATAATTTTTTCAGCGAGTTTGCAAAGGGGCTTGCAGAGGATGGGTCGAGCACAGCATTTTTGCGTTCTATTTTCCCTCTTGTCCAGTCATTTGTTCATTCGCCTCTCTCCCCTCACTTTCTAGACGCATTTTTATAGAAGTATACACACATTACAGCAACAGTAATACTAAGCAGAGCACTTTGTTCCTCAATGCCCTTTCGAAATACCCATGGCGATTCAGGAATGTGATTGCGCGTGCGCGAATGCGTACTTGTACTGAGTGTGCTCGTACAATCGTACGAGCTTTATTCTCGCTTGGGGGGAGTGGACAAACTCTCTAAGCACTTCCCTAATTATTGCGCATTTCATCCTCGCCATCTGTTCCTTCATCTCCTTTCCCTCTCTTTCGCTATCCATTATGTACTTTGCGAACTTGGGTGCGAACGAGAGATGCGCCATGGCGAATCTCAAGGACAAGACGACAGAGCCTTGTAAGTTCAAAAAACCGTGACGCATTGCCTTTCTGCTCAAAGTATACCATGCGCATGAATTGTACCGTTTTGTACTCCAACAGAAATGGCATGCTTGGTTTGACGCATGCCTTCCTCCCCCCCCCCCCCCCCCCTTCCCCCAACCTCCTTCAACTGCCTCGCCTTTTTTATTTTCATCCCTTTTCCCTCTTCATCGCCATTTTTCTCGCCCACATCCCTCACTTTATTCTCACCAAGCCCTCCCACATTTCCTAATAGTCTTTCACCCCCACCCCCACTCCCTTAGCAACACCTTTCATTCTCTCATGTCGCACTCTACATCGTCCTCAAGTTCCGCTCTGCGGCCCCGAGGAAGAAGAGGAGCAGGAGGAAACGTAGGAGGAGGAGGAGAAAAAATGACGGCGATAATGTTCATCGGCAACACAGGCGTCGGCAAGAGCGCGCTGCTGAACCAGCTCGGAGGCGATTTCAAGTCAGGATTCAGCGAACGACACGGAGTCACGGCCAGCATCGACGAGAAGAGGGTTGTTCTGGGCGGTGAAAGGGTGGTGTTGATGGATGTCCCGGGGTTGATAGAGCCGTCGGGCGAGGCGACCGACAGAAACGCAAAGCTGCTTGTGGAGGCTCTGAGCAGAGGCTACAACTACAAGCTGATATTCGTTGTCCAGGCCTCGAACCGGACCATGACCACGGACGACATGACTCTTATCAGCGAGGTGAACAAGTGTCTCGTCGATGCCGGCATGCTCCAAGGTCATGATGGAGGAAGTGGACGAGGAGAAGTAGGATTGTACGATTTCTCTAACGAGAGGTATGAACCTCCTCCTCCTCGCCCGAAGATTTCGTTCCGCATCATCGTCAACGCGGTCTCAGGGCAGAAAATGCACAATTCGTACGAATGGCTCGTCCAAGACAAGTTCCAGTCCTTCTTCGCAGACAACGACACCAAAGAAACTCCATTCGACATCCAAGTCGACGATGTGCTCCTCCTCCCAGCGGATGACGATGCGATCGAAAAAGGAGGATTCAAAGAGGAACTGACAAGGTTTGTCACAAAGCAGAAGGCGGTCCCTGTCTCTATCGAGGCTAAAATCAATGTCAGCGATGACCTCAAGACAAAGATCAAGTTGGGAGCAGCCCGTAGTCAAGGGTGGATGGAAGGAGCTGTGGCAGGAGCTGTGGGGACGGTCGTTCTTGCCGGCTATATCTATGTCAAATTTCAACAGGCTAAAAGGATCAATGGTCTTCCATAGCGTACTTCTTATATCCCATGCCTTCCCCCTTCTCCATCTTGCCTTTTTCTTCTCATTATTATTTTCCTACCACATTCGCTTTCACTTCCTTTTTTCTTTCTTCTTGGTTTCTAACGTCGAAATAAAAGAACTCGTCAATGGACATCATACATCATGCGCATGGCAACGCATATTGTTTTCATTCCACGAACAAGGAAGGAAAGATAGATGAAGTGCGAAAAAAATATATCTTGGGACCGTCTCCATGTCTTCGCCAAATTATTGACGCAGTGAGTGACTGCCGGTGACTTTTTTTTTTACCTGTCCACCTCCTCTGCTCTTTTGCCTCCTGCTCCGCCAGCATTGTTGTAACCATCGTCAGCTCTCACACTCACAAAGGATATATATAATGCTGGATCAAGCACAGCATTTTGCGTGTGTGGTATATCTCTATCCTTCCCAGTCATTTGTTCACCCATCGCTTCCTCTTAACTTCGTTGTAAATGCTCATGAACGCCTCTTGTTCTTCAATGCCCATTCGGAATATCCAAGGTGAATCGGGAATGTGGTACAAAAGAACGAGTGCAGTCCACAAAGAAGTTTCTCACTTTGACGTGATTTGTTACTTTTTCTTGTCTCAGTTCCCTCCTCCCTCTTTCTTTCTCTTGTCGCTATCGCATCTCCTCCAGTGGCCAGAGCCCGGTCGTCCTTCATCCTTCATCTTCTTGTGCAAGAGACAGACAGTAAAAAAGAATTAGCATAGACTACCAATGAATGGACTGGCACCCTTTTTAATTTCTTTCCCCGACCAGACAGCTGTATCCCCACCTTTTTGCATGTCTTGCAGATTAGTTCGATGTGTTGTCCAATAAATCAAAAAAAAAACCTTCTCTCGATATTTTCCGACATTTGAGGGGGACGAAGGATTACTCATATTGTAACATGGTGTATCTTTTGCACGCTTGCACGCCCTCAACTTCCCTCTCCGCCTCCCTCCATTTTTTTTCTCTTTCTCTTGATCTCTCTGTTCTTCTCTTCTTCTCTTCCTTTTCTTTCTTTGCTCTTCCATCCCATCGACCCTCAACCCACCTTCACCTTCACCACCGTCTTTCTTCCTTCTGTCGTCAAACTCTCGCTTCGCCACTTCCGCCATCCTCATCCCCATCTTATCCATCCTCGTCTTCGTCTTCGCTCCCCGCCTCCTCTTTTGTCTTTCTTTCTTTCTCCTTCCCTCGTTTCCTCTCTCGATCATCTCCCCTTCACCCGGCATATCTTCCTTCAGCCTCTGACATCTTTGTGTCCACTCGTTTTCTTCTTTTTCACATCAACGCTACAACAACCCCCACTCCGCCTCCGTCCCTCGTTTTCTGTTCTTCCTATAAATCTCTCTCTCTCTCGCATCTTCATCATACATACTCCCGTCAAAACATCAACACACACCAGCACAACATCCATACATTCATACAAACACATACACTCACCACTGAGCACATTGAGCATCACATAATCCCGAATCGATCCCCTTCTTTCACTCTCTTTCACCTACACACATACATATACATCCGCCATGACCGTCTCCTTGTTACCCGACAGACTTTCGCTGCTCCGGTTCCCTCGAGAGGAGCTCGAGGCCTGCAGCCACGTTATTCTGAAACACATCGTCTTCCGTGCCTACAGGTACTGTCCTCAACTGGTGCCACCATATCGATCGCCACGCGCCCCCTGCTGCTGCTCCTCTTTTTTGACTCCGCTTCCTCTCCCCAACCCATTCCTCACTTGACTCACTGATCGCTTACTCTCACCCTCGCACAAACACATACTCATACACCGCATACAACAACACACTCACATCCAATATCTCCGATTTTTCTTTCTCAACATAAAGTCAATCGAACAGGAGGACGCGGGACGAACCATTGTTCTCGTACATCGACAACTCGCTCGAGATCTCCATCTTTGGTGACTACCGCGCCATTTCAGTTGACTTTCCTAAGGACCTCTGCCCTGGCCTCGAAGTCTCCAAGCACATTTATCGCGCATTGCAAGTCGATAATGGTGAGTTTCTTCAAGATTGTTTTGATTCAGGGATGATATTATGGGCAGTGTGGCATCTGGACACTCAGGAAGTGAAGAGTGGATAACCAGTTGTTCATTTATGCCAAACAAAACACTCACACCCGCCTCTTATCTTCCTTGTTATTCTCAACTTCTCATATATCCAATATTAGACGACACCTTTAATTCCTCAAGGATATGCACGATCGTTGAGCCGCTTGCCAAGGCAGGAGGTATGAAAAAAAAAAACATCCATCACATCATGACATAGATTTTTCGTTTTCTTTCTTACCCTACCCTTTTGTCACGCCCACCTTGCGCATCCATGTTTTTTTCATACACCCATCCTTGACTGAGAAGGGCAAAAGAGAAGGAACAAAAGAAGGAAGGGATTTTTTTTTGTTTGAGGTTTTGCTTTTGGGTCGTGCATGCTCCCTTTGTCCTGACCAACAGACAAAATAGGGAGACGGCTGCATGCATTGAACTTTCAATCAAAAAAAGGCCCTCTGTCTGTCTGTCTGTCTGCTGTCTTGATAACCCATGCAAGGTGTTCATACAAAACCATGGAATCTCAACCAATACGAAAACAACAAACACAAACAAAACTTTGAACATTGGCGCCATATTCTACATCAACGTCAACATGGACATCAAAGGAGCAGTAACACCAGAATACAAAACAAAAAGAGGGCAGGGGTCATTCGTACACGAGTGAGGCGGGGAGACATGACAGAGAGAGAGAAGGGGGGGGGGGAAGAGGTCTACGTTGGTATTGTGGTTAGATAACCACTTCAATTGCTACCATCTGTTGATTTTTTTTTTCTTGCTGCATGAAGCAGGGCGAGTTTTGAGAAAACAGACAACAACAATGAAGTACACCCACTGACTGTGAGCAATAGAGACATGCAGATGCAGGTACATAAGTCGATAAACAAACTGCAGCGCAGGTCGGTGCATTTACAAACAACGCTGATGGAACAAGCATTAGTTGTTCGCCTTTGAGCGCTGAGAATAAGAAGCAAACAGTGCAAGGCAAGGCAGTGAGGGAACAAAAAGATGAGTTGGACTGTTATCCATCTCGAAATCTCTTTTTTAGGGTTCAACAAGTGAGGATGGACTTAAGCCAAAAAAAAAAAAAAAAAAAAGGAGACAGCTTTCATTTGTGCCATGTGTTTGCAGGGTCGGGACGAAGATGGCGCTAGCATCGGAAGTGACAAAGAGAGAGGGGTGAAGAATATTTACAGTGATGACTCCAATTTATTAGTACCGCCGTTGCTAGACTGGGTCCTTCGCTGTTAAATTATCTATCGCCCGGTTGCACACACGATCCCTCTTCACTAGAGGAACACAATGGCATCATCGAAACTGACTGTGCCCTCCGATCGAATTTTGACCGCTCTACTCTAGTCTCGATCTTTTACATGTCGACATACCAGACTGATTTGTTGTTTGTAAGTGCCAGTTCTGCGTTGTTGGTTGTTGTTAATAACCTTGAGCCCTCTTCCTGTCTGCTGCATGCTAAAAATGATAATGCACTTCTAATTATATCCACCTCTAGGTCCAAGAAGATCGCATCCCACTCGTGTTCAAGACATTGTCGGCGAATGGGTTGCACATGACGTACGACGAGGACATGAATATCACACCACCAGACACCCCCATCTCGGATCAGCACGGCACCAGGAGATATCCCATCGACTCGATCGAGGAAGAGGAGCCTCTCTACGAGCACGGCGAGGAGATGCGCGATCATCCACCTTTCAGAGATAACTACTTAGTCACTAAAGAACTCTCGGAGCACTCCTTGGCAACCCCACCCGGCTCTCAGGATTCAAGCAGCGAAGGAGATGATGAACAGGAGGGGCCATCTGGATCCGCAGTTCCCATGGTGACCTCGCACAATGGAGTCAAGGAGCTCGTGCCCTTAGACATTTACTCGGCCCAGCGCCATGGCAAGGGATCTGGGTCAGCTTGGTCAGAGAGTTTTGCAGGAAACGAAGGGGGTTACGATGAAACCATGCTGTCCAAAGCCTCACCAACGACTGCAACTGCGTTTGAGGTTCGTCAACAGGCCAACCGCACCCTGCCAGAGAACAGTCTTCGATGTGTGGGTCTTAACACCGAGCTGGAGGCAGGGCATCAGCCATGGCTACTCAAGATCATCAAAATCCTCTTTTACCACGACAGGGTCAAGGAAGAGGCCATCCTTGCTGGAAATGGGTACGTCTCTTATCGTCTGTTCACGCGACTATTGTGTTCCTCTTGTCTGTGACTAAAAACTAACACCTTTTTCAATACCTTTCGTCGATAGCCCTACACATAATGCACCGAGATTCTTTTCATTCACAGCGACCTCAGAATGTGTGTCGATGATCACTGACACGTACATCCTGGAAGAGTTTGAGGAGCACGAGCTCTTCATGGACATGGAAACCTGCCCTCTCCGCCTCATCCAGCTTGACCTGCATCGTTTTGACCTTGGTAAGTTGTCTTTCATTTTGGTGGAAGGATCAAAGGTCGATCGCAAAGTTTAGTGTTATTAACGATACTTCCTTTTGTGCATATCCTTATTAGACAAGTACGGTATTATTCATTCGGTGGCAAGACCTTTGACCGAGGCTGGAATCGACTTGCTCTTCTTGAGTACATTCAGTACTGCCAACATTCTCGTGGCGGACCATCGGTTGTCCGAGGCTGAGAGGCTACTCAGTGGTGGTGGCTCGACCACACCTGAGTCTTGAGTACTATTTTGGTTGCACTTGTGGTGGCTGATAGAAACGTGATACGGGTTGAGAAGAATAAAGGAGTCGCCACCATTTGCATACAACACACTGTTTACGAGTTTGTAAGAGTTGCGCTTCTTAGGCATTTGGGAGTGATATTGTATGGTATGACCGAGTGCTTTTACTTGGCATCATATCGTCAAAGGAAAGAATAACTGATGAGGAAAGATATTCTTGTCCAGCCCGAGCACATTCATGGCATGGCTTGATGTGGATAGACAGGGCTGGTTGCACAAAACACAGGTGTATGGTGTGGGTCTATTCCATTTTTCACTCAAATATTCATCCCTTTTTTTTCATTCCACCTTTGACCACACCTTATGTTGTTTTTTGCTCTCCTTTTTTTTTTGCCCACCATGACTATCTCGAGTTCATCTTGACCCAAGTAACCGCACAGACACGCGTATCTTTTATCGCTTCACGCTTTTTTGTTCGTCGATCCTTCTTCCATCTCGATTCCACAATGATCTTATCAGGCATGAAAAACAACCGACCTTGCGTAAAGGGAGACCTATGTGATGCCTATGCTCAGCCACATAGGAGGCGAACAACAAGACGGACTCGACTCTGGTCATCGCTCTTATAAGAACCAGTTCAGTCTCTACTTTCTTTCACTTTTTTTATCACGACCTTGTCCGTCTTACTTTTTCACTCTTCCACCTCAATTCTTTCCTCGGGAACTTCTTCGGTCACTCATTTTCTGGATCATCCCCTCGACTATCTCAGGATATAATACAGCATGGACCCTTCTCAACGATCGTTATATACCTTGCTCGAAGCAAGTGAAGACAACCTTTACGTCGCCAAGGATGCAGCAGCATCGTCGACAAAGGCACAGCAACGCACAAGTGGATGGAGACGATATATTGCCCCTGTCGTCTTGCTTGGCACCATGGTAAGCGACAACAATAAGAGGCTATTCAAGATGAGTCTAGACAATGAGTGTTAACGTCTCAATGATAATGCTATGTCAGTCTGTCATGGTGGATGCCTCCTCTTCATGTCCCCTTCTTACTCTTCCCTGTTCCCCAGGTCGCATCCTCCTCGCCATTTGTCTCTCTCTTCTTTCATCCCCCTTCCTTTTTCGTGCCCCCGCCCCTCACCCTTCTTCGCCTCTGCCTTGCCGATATTTCTGTCCGAACATACACACGACAAGAGAAAGATGGGGCCCGGCAGAATCCGGTTAATTAGTGACGGATGGGAGTTCTTTTCGTTTGTCTGGATCGATCCTGTTACCACTACCTCTGCTAGTCTTCTCGTGTGCTCTTCGTACTCGTAATCCTTACTACTTGCGCGTGTCTACTGTCTGCTCAGTCTTTTGGGCAACCCCCACATACGCAATTTCACTCGTCTCTCTCCTTTGGTATATTTGTCTCTTTCCCTCCACTTTCTTTCTCCTCGTACTCCTCTTCCTGCTTTTGCCCTTGTTCCCCCTTCTTTTTTTCTTCGTACTTTTGGATCCCTGATTTTTCCTTGCATTTTCTTCGCGCTTTGAGTCTTTTTTTCGTACTCCTTTTTTTGGGTGAGGTCTGAGGGAAGAAAAAAAAAGCTCCTGAGTGCTAAAACGCGCGCTTGCGAGCTCACAAACTCCTCAGCCTACAAGAAATACGAGTTTCCTTGTTGGCGACCAGCGTTGATGCTATTGCGCTTCTTTTCCCCTCGCACGACCCCGTTCTCTGTCCTTCTCTGTCCTTCTCTCTCCTATTTTCCATCTTTAGTCTTTCATTGTTGAGCACGAGCACACACAAACAAGGTCTTTGTTCCTCTCTTCCTTTTTTTCTTTCTTTTTCTATCGTTCTCCCTCTCCTTCTTCTTCCACTTTCATTATTATTCTCAATTCTCTTTCTCTTTCTCTTTCTCTTTCTCTTCTCTCTTCTCTCTTCTCTCTTCTCTCTCTCTCTCTCAAAATACTCTCTCGACAAAAACTCACCAGAAGAACGCAACACTCTTTACTCAGGAAACAAAACCGCAGCAGTTGACCATCCGAGACACCGTTCTTCTCTTTCCTCCTGCGTTTCTTTCGACGGAACTCAAAAACACAAACTAGATTCCGACAACGTTCTTGCTTTTGCACGTCTTTCAAGCCAGGACCACCCGCAACCACATCCAACCCAACAACAACAGCAACAACAATAGCAGCAGCAGCAAGCCAAACTTTATCAACTACCAGATCTACGACAGCATCAACGACGTGTACGAATACGATCATCAACTACAAAAGCAACAGCAGACAGCAGGTCGCCACAACGTTCATTTGGTTCCTACACTCTCAGTTGGATTAGACAGTATGTGCATTGGGGTCATTACGGTATCTTTGATTGGGCTCTTGGGAGTCGCCAAGGGAAACCGGCGCCTTATGAACCTGGTACGTTTCCTTCTCTCTTGAGAAAATAAGCGTTTGATGGTTGTTCAACGCGTATTTTTTTTTTTTTGCAAAGTTACACAAAGGAAACCAAGACACTGACGCGCTGGGATTGAAAGCAAAAGTGAGAGACTGACTGGATTTTTTTTTTTTTTTTTTGGTTTGTTGTTTCAAACATAGTACTTTGGGTTTGTGATGGTGTTTATTAGCATCCAAGCACTGTTTGCGGTAAAGGGATTCCTGTCGGGGGCCGACTGGGTCCGGGATGCATTGGATCGGTCATGGACGAATGCTTACGAGACCGATAAGGACTTGATCCGTGACCTACAGTCTGAGGTATGTCTTCTTCTTTATGCCTTTAGTCTTCACTCTTTCTTCGTCGCAGTAAAAAGGCAGTTTGAATGGGATCAAGCTGGAGACTAGTGCCCTTGCTAGCATGACTGTCTGACTGTCATATTCATAATCATTTATCTTCACGATAGTTCAATTGTAAGGGATTCTTTGACGGAGAGGACAGATCGCTGGAGACAAACATGGGATACGAGGGTCATCTCCCAAACTGCAGCGACATTCTCGAAATGACCTTTGGCAGCAGGTTGGAGCGACTTGGAACGACAATCCTTTGGATTCGCTTGATTCAGGTAAAGGAGATTTATCTTTTTTTATTTGGTGTTCATGAGTAGTAGTAGTGTCATGTAGCGTCATTACTAGGTACATGGTGTCCTATCTAACCAAGCATCGTATTGTTATGCAACATAATGACTGATATAGTTGGCGGGAGTAATGCTATTATCGATACTGTTCAGGTACTTGACGATTCTGGACCAGTCGGACGCTGACAAGGACGAGGAGGCTCTCGAGGCACAGCAGCAATCAAAGATGCTCGACGGCAGCAGCCAATCGGGATACTATTTTTTAACAGAGAAGCAGATGGCGGATTGTGATGCTCATGTACCGTTGCTCTTGCGCCAGGAGGGGGATGAGGATGATATTGATTGTGATGATGCATCCTCGGTCGTGTTGTCAGATGATGGGTCCCAAATCACTATTGTCGTTGCATGAACACAACACACAGACTCAAACAAACACAAACATGTAGATAGATGTGGGAAGATGTCAAACAAATGTAATATTACTCTTTTAATTCATGATGATGTGTGACAACAGGAAGGGAATACTCCCGCGGTTTGGTCGTAAAGGGAGGACGAGGATGGAAGAAACGACGGAAGGATGGATATAGAAAAAAAAAAGAACAAAAAGGGTTGTGCGTCCATGCTAGTCTAATACTTGGAGAGGCGTACCTTGTTTTTTTTTGGGAAGAGGAGAGAGAGGAGGAGGAGGAGGGCAGTGCGAATGGGATTTCATCCCGCTTTTTGTTGTCGCGGACTTTTATATGAGCGACGGGCACATGGTTGTTGTTCCCTGCGTGAACTGAAGAAGGGGAACGTGAGAGCATAAAAATATATGGGAGGAAGAACACACAAACAAACAATCAACAAAATAGAATAAAAAAAGGTCCGCAAAACAAAGGAAATAGAGTTGGGGTAAAGAGAAAAAAAGAAAAAAAAAAGAGAAGAGCGAGGAAGAGGCACGTTTTTTCATTCCGCTTGCACGAGAATAGTGGACCCCCCTGTAGACGCACGATGATGACGAGATGTTCTGGTTTTTTTTTGTTGTTGTTTGGTCTCGACTTGCTGGGCGTGCACCCAACAATGTGGGCTCAAGAGTTGTTTGTTTCCCAGTCCGCCCAGCCCCAGTCTGAGTTTTCGAGTGGTTGTTTTGTTTGTTTGTTTGTTTGTTTGTTTGTTTGTTTGTTTGTTTGTTTGTTTGTTTGTTTGTTTGTTTGTTTGTTTGTTTGTTTGTTTGTTTTGGTTAGAAGGAAAAGAGGGTGAGGTGAGCGAATGTTTGTGTGAGGCACAGATGATAAAAAAAGCACGATGGAATGATGGAATGGGACGAGCAGAGAGGAGGGGGGGGGGGGGGTGAATAATGAAACAACAATAATCAAAAGTAGAGAGCGCGGAAACTCATGCCCGGTCCTTTTGTCCCCTATACTTTTTCCTGCATAATCATGGGGATGGGAAGGATGTGGACATTGGACAATAAATATTGGGACAAGCGGACAAAATGGAAGATCGATTTGGGCTCACATCGACTGGGGGGGGATGGGAGAGGGGAAAAAAACACAAGGCGATCAACTACTGTATCAGTCTACAGTGCAAGCTAAAAAACAACTATAACAGACGGCTGAGGCTCCCAAGGGGAGGGACAATTTTCGACCGTTGGAGTTTGAAGCAAGGTGTAAGGAAATGCAAAAAAAAAGTGATGGAACGATCGAAAGGATCATGCCATGGCGCATAGTGTGTGCATTGACGACATGACATGGAAGGATAGTTGGCATGAAAAAGAGCATTTGCGGTAAAATAGAAAAATGCAAGGGACTTTGTGTCTGTTGTGATTCCAATGGAGTGAAGAGAAGGAAGGTGACAGGGGTTGCGGAAGGAACGAAGCAATTGGACATTAGATGCGAGTTTGGTCTTTGTTTGTTTTCTTCATCTTGTTTTTACGTTTGGCTGTTTGTTTGTTTGTATGTTTGATTGTTTATTTGTTTGTTGTTCAAGAGAGTGTCTGTGTGTGGAGAGGGGTGGATGCAGACAAAGGAGCAGTAACAGGAAACAAGATAAGAGTGGTCCGGTATGAGGTATGAGGCGGCGGGCGAAAAATAAATCGATCAAAAAGAGTTTGTCGCCCGCTGACAATACGCAAGAGTGGACGAGTAGAGTTTGGCTGGTGAACAGACAGACAATTCTCCCTCGGCGGGTGAAATTGAATAATGGGCAGGTGGGTGCTGTCGTGTCGACCCAAAGGGACAAAACGGACCAAAGGGACAGAGCGCGATCGAACAGTACTCTCCTTACATACGCACTTGTTTCCAACGAACAAACAATGCAAAGCAAGTTGACGCCCCTTTTCTCATTCTATTCCAGAGATGCTCTCATCCCTAATCTAGTCCTCCTTTTCCCAATTCTCATTTTGTCTCCTCTTTTTGCCGCCCTTTCCCACTCTTCTACTTTTTTCTCTCTTCCCTTTTTTTTCCTTCTCCTCTCCTCTTCTGCTTCCTTTCTCCTTTCCTCCTTTCCTCCTTTCCTCCTTTCCTTCACCCCACTCCTCCCCCTTCCTCGTCCTCCTCTCGTCCGAGTTGCTCTAGACGACATTCAGATTCGCCTCACCTCTCTTCTCATTCGCTTTCAAAAATCAACTCATCTCGGTAGGCTACCCCTTCCTTCTCTCTCACACTCTCCCTTTCTCACAAAACTGCTGTCCCTCCAACTCTTCAATATTACTCCTATGGCTTCGTCTCTTTCAACATCTCCTGGATACCGGGATCTTAGCTTACGCAACAAAAGCAATGCAGGATCCAATATGCAATGACAAGCACCACACTGACATCATCGCAGATTTTTTTTGGACTTGCCACACCGCTGGGGCTGTAGTTCGCTGATGGAAGGCAGCATTTGCGTTTGCTGTTTGCCAAAGCGGGTGTGTGTGTGTGTGGCGAGAGGTGGTTGGGAGTTGAATCTCATCCGCTTTGACCTTCCCCTTTTTTACTTCTCTTTCAGAAAGGGGTAAGGATGATGAGGTGGAAGAGTAGAGTAGGAAGGAGAAGGAGCAGGACGAGGAGAGTCACCACCACTCACAAACACGCACATGTCCGCATAAAATTGCCTTACGAGGGTCGACCTAGTCTTGGACAGACACGACTACGGCAAGCAGGACAGATGACAGGGACGCAAGAAAGCGGTTTTTTTGGGTTTTTGGATGGACAGTCCAAGCCACCACCTAGTTGAATTTCACGAAAGGGGTGGAGTGTGAAGTTCAGGTTGGAATCCAATCAACTGATATCAAGCGTTGTCCACTCAATTCTCCTAACACTTTTCTTCTTTCCCCTCTCTTCTCCTCCCTCTTCTTCCTTCTTCCCTGTTAGCTCCATTCGCACCCGCACAGGAGATCTGGACGCGTCTCCTCCCTCCTCTTTCTCTCTTTTCTCATCCTTTTCCATTCTGCAACTAAAAAACAGGAAACAGGACACATACTACCAACAAAAAAACGCACACAAACACACAAACACACTCACAGGATAAAAAAGGGTCGACGGCACAACAAAAAACGACCGACGAATCGATCGCATCGTAGAAAACACAATCAATGTCAGGAATCTACAACCACCGTCCCATGGTCCCAGGTCGCAGTGCTGGTGTGCCCGAATGGCTTGATCTCATCAAGCTAGAGTTTGAGAGCCTTGGCCACGAAGCCATGGTCGCCAAGGCACAACGGGACGAGTGTGAACACAAGAGTATGTGCATACCCTTCGTCATTTTTTTTGTGTGTTTTAATTGTTGAAACTCGGCTCACACTCGCAATATAAACCACCCAGGCTTGATCATCGCTCACATACACAGACTCAAACGACCAACTTTGGTTGGTTGTACACTCAACAATTCTTGCTGAGTACTGTTTATGTTCGTTTGGAAAACTGAGCAATAGCAGCAAACATTAACAGCAATGTCAACAACAACAACAACAACAACAAACCATCAAAACATACAAACAAACAGCTGGTCACTAGGCACGGAGAGCAAGCTTCATTGGATCAGATCATATAAAAACGACTCAGCTAATAACGCGTTTATATTCTCTTCCTACATTCTTTACCCTCCTTCTACTTCGTCACTCTTCTTGATGCTATTGCTGTGCTTCGTCCGTTCTTTGACAACGCAGTCAACAACCAGATCCGCGAGATGGACGTCTTCAGAGGATTGCTCTACGATCTTGAGAGGAAACACGAAGCCATGAAGACTCAATACCAAATGTAAGTCTTCATTTTTGATTGATACAAAGATTGAAGCGCGCATCGATGATCCTTATATCCTGTGTTTGTTCCAGAAAGTGTCAAAAATTATCAGCTGCAAACATGATCGAAACACTGACATTGATGGTTTATTGCATTGTTCGTCAATCAACTCCTTGATTGGTTCAAAAATAGGGTCGAAGAAGAGGTCGTGAGATTAAGACGCGAGGTCGAGCAGCGCGGAGGTGTCGTCCAGATGCCACACCAAATGTCGCACGCCCAACCACCTCCACCCAATATTGGCCAGGGGCAATCGAATCTGTTTGGTGGAATTATCAGCGGAGGTCCCGGAGGTCCTGGTTTAGTCGCCCCTCCTCAAATGGTTGATCCCTCTCAGCAGCAACAGCAGCAGCAGCAACAGCATCAACAACAGGCACAACAGCAAGCGCAACAAGCGCAGCAGCAACAACAACAACATCACATGCAGCAGGTCCAGCAGCAACAACATCACCAACAGCAGCAGCATATTCAACAGCAGCAAAATCAGCAGCAACAACATCCCTATGGTGGTGGCCCCAACATGCCTCCTGGCCCAGGAGGACCTCACTCTCCATACATGAACGGAAACAATGGAGTGCCCCAGCAAGGACAGCCTCAGCCAAAGCGATTCAAGACTGAGAGTGATGGACCTCGGTTCAAGACCGAGGGAGAGATTCCACCACCTGGTGCCCCTGGCAACATGTACGGCAACATGTCGCCAAACCCCCATGGTGGCCCTAATGGCCAACCTCAAATCTTGGGTCCCAATTACTCACCTGTCCCACCCCCATCGTCAAAACAACCCATGAAGACTGGAAAGGTATTTTATCGTCGCAGCTAGGCCATTCACCCGCAAGACTTTTCGGACCTCTGTAGCGATTCATCTGAATACGATGATTAAACTGCGTCTGTTTTTTTATTTCCCTCTTTCTTTCGATAACTTGATGTAGCAGCAAGGAGGACCATACATTCAGGCAAAGGACGACGCAGGACCTCCATCAGGAGCCAACAAACGGAAACAAGGAGCAACATCAGGAACACCTACCGCAGTTGCTCGTGCCGGTCGTGGTGGCAATACACCCTCGGCCAACTGGAGTGATGATCCCGACAACGTTCCAGCTCAATTGAAACGAGAGGGCGCTGATTGGTTTGCAATGTAGGTTTACGCTAGGATTTTTTTTGATGCTGTTTCGCACACGAGCACGCGACCACGCCCATGAAGATCATGGTACTTACAGCAAATATCTTTTTCTATTTACAGCTCCAACCCCAAAGTCGCCCAGCAGCTGCGAGTTGATCTCGTCCACACGATGGAGCACTCAAGGTCAGCTCACGAGAACCAGTCGGGCATTGAGTTCGTTATGCACTTGAAATGAATTGGCGTTGAAGATACTAATTTTGCTGTATTCTTTTTTTTTGTTTTCGCAAATAGTGTTGTGTGCTGTGTAAGATTCAGCGCAGATGGCAAATACCTCGCCACTGGATGCAATCGTAGTGCACAGATCTTTGATATTCAATCCGGACAGAGTGTGTGGTGAGTATTAGCGTTGCGCGAAAACCACGACTTGATCTGACAGTACCGTGCTTGAAACGAGGCCGTCTAATTGAATTTTATCGCGATCGACTTGTTTTCGTATTTAGTGTTCTTGCTGATGACACCGCTGGAAAGGACGACTTGTACATTCGGTCAGTCTGCTTCAGCCCTGATGGAAAGTACCTTGCTACTGGCGCCGAGGATAAGCAAATTAGGGTAAGCGGCGAATGAATGTTATCCATGAGCATCAGAATGTGCGCCAACTGCATGAAGAGCACCGCCGGCTAATATATTTGTATTCTTGATCTTTCCGCTCACACAAATAGATCTGGGAGATTGGACGTAAAAAGATTCGCATGACTTTGAAGGGTCACGAACAGGACATCTACTCCCTGGACTTCTCTAGGGACGGAAGGATTATTGTTTCAGGATCTGGCGATCAGACGGCTCGTATCTGGGATATGGATACTGGCAAGTGTCTCTATGTCCTCACAGTTGGCGATGTTGATCTCAAGGATGCTGGTGTGACATCTGTGGCTATTTCACCGGATGGCCGTCTTGTCGCTGCCGGATCACTGGATAGGATGGTGCGCGTCTGGGACACTCAAACTGGCCAATTGCTCGAAAAGTTGGAGGGACATAAGGATTCTGTGTACAGTGTGGCCTTTGCGCCTGATGGTAAGACTCTTGTCTCTGGAAGTTTAGATCGGACGCTCAAGGCGTGGGACTTGAACCTTGGTGGCAGACCTGGTCCTAATGGACCATCACGAGGCACCTTCTGCAAGGCAACATTCAACGGACACAAGGTAAATCACGCGGTGTTTTAGCTTCGTCTTGTCGGTCTTACCAACCTGCAACTACGATAGTCTAACCTAGTTTGATTCAACGCATTTTTAGGACTTTGTACTCTCCGTTGCAGTGTCTCCTGATGGCAAGTGGCTTGTCTCTGGATCCAAGGACCGCGGTGTTCAATTCTGGGATCCCAACACTGGACAGGTTCAGTTTATGCTTCAAGGCCATAAAAACTCTGGTAGGTTGTCGCATCAAGATATTGCTGTCAAGTTTTGGATGGAAACTTCTTGTTCCTGTTTACTAACTCGACTCTCCTTATTTTTTTTTTGACGTAGTTATTTCGGTTGCCCTGAGTCCGGCTGGAACCTACTTTGCGACCGGTTCTGGTGATACGCGTGCGCGTGTGTGGAGTTACGAATCGCTGGAAATGTAGCATGAATGAGCATGAAATAAAAAATTCGCTACTTTTTTTTTTACTTTTTTCTCCATTGATGATCAAGCCACCGCCACCATTTCTTTTTCGTTTGTTTTTTAGCTGCCACGCTCGCTCAAGTCTTCTTTCCATTGCATCACTCTTTCAATCGATCCTGACACACAGCTCAACATGTCACGACGCGACATTACTGTGATCCTAGAACGCCTCACACTTGATCATCGGACATCATTGGCAGAAAAGGCGTGCGCGTACCTGCAGGCAGTGGAGTCAAATGGAGCGATCAGGAATAACCCAAGTCATGCTGCTATTTGCGTTGATATCGCAGCCGACCAGTACGTGTAAACTTGCTTTGCACCTGTTGTCAACAGTTATGAGAAATGAGACTGGATACTTATTCGTCCTCTCATTTTAATCATTTTGTGAGTGTAGGTTGTCAATAGAAGTATCCCGACAAGCCCTTATCCTCCTCTCGGGCGCACCGTCGCATGTCACCTACGTAAACGCACTTCAGACACTCACGGGGTTCTTGACAGGATCAGGAAGCAAGGACGAGCGGAATAGTGGGGCGAGCGGCAAGAGTTTTGTGACTCAAGGCATCAACGATAACACACGACACGCCCACATGCGGAAGTTACTCTCCTCCTCTACGGCATCGACCCTTCGACAGCTGGCTGTTCAGTATGGGTCTATGGAGATGGATGATCTGGTTCTGGAGTGCCTGGAGCAGTTCTTTGACGTCTGGGTTCGGTCACTGGTACCAGCGCAGAGAGTTCATGTTGTCTATTCGCATGAGAAGTGGATGGGTGCTGCGTTCTGGTTGTGTGCGATGGCAAGGAATATGGTTGCCCCGAAGGATGCGGAAGATGCAAACAAGGATAAGGCCAAGGGATCGACGACTACAGCAGCAGCAGCAGCAGCAGGAAGTACTATGAAACCGAAAAAGATTGGCGGGCGTCAGGGCAAGGAACTGAAGGATATGATCATGGCAGCTGTCGGACACAAAGTGCAAAAGAAGGAGCTCGAGACGACCATCAAGCTGATTGAGGAGAAGGTGCCGGATTATTTCGTTTCTCTTATGAAACCCAGTGGAGGCGCGAGCATTGTAAAGTCGACTGCCCCAAGGAAACGGAAGGCGTCGAGTAACAGCGACACGAGTTCAGGGGGAGGACTGGAAGTCATCATCCCCGATGGAGCAGATACTTCGGCCACGCAGTGCAATGAGGATGGCAGCGCACCTGGAGGTGATTTTAAGAACATGGAGCAGTCAGGGCCAAGCTCAAGTAGACGGATCGGACAACAAGCGACGGACCCTTATCGGCGGCTCGGAGCAAAGCGGACGATTTCGAATGTGAGCCAGATCTCTCGTTCTTCTGACGTGGAGGGTGATGAGGGGGAGTCAACGAGACAAGCCACGCGACCAGCATCAAAACGCTCAAAGATGGACGTTCAGGCCGGACCAGACCTGTCGTCAGCAGGAATCATGAGTACCAAGAAGGGTGCGTCTCGAAAGAATCTCAAGGAAGTAACAGCGGCGTCACAGACAGCAAGTCAGATGCTCAGCCAGCGGCGCAAAACAGGAGGCATCTACAGCATGGTAAGGAGCTGTTCTCTCCAAGGACGAGACCAGTGGAACGCCCATTGTAAGCATGAGTATTGACAGTTGTTTACTTGTATGCATATGTGTGAATATTAGATTCCACGGGTCAAGTACGAGAACACTAGGGCATACGCCCAGTATCAGGAGTGGAAGTCTCGCATCCTCATGGCAGCGGAGAACGCCGTAAAATAAAAAAATAAAATCATCAAAACTGCTGTCAACTCCTCTTTGCCACCAAATTTTTTTGTTTGAAAACAAATTGTCATTTCAAGGTCCACACATTCCACTCCTTCTTTCAACATCAACCTTACATTCACTTAATTCAGAAACTCATCGGATCACAGGAGATGTCACACGCAACACAAAGCCAGACTGATGCACCATCACCCGAGGCCTCATTTGTCTCTCAGGGAAAGACACACCTCTTGCTGTGGGCAATGGCAGAGGAGTACCTCGAACAGGCACGGTCCCTGTGTTTTATTGCCACTACTCAGTCTGGCTCCCAACCAGGTTGGCGAGCACACCACCAGGACCTAATCATGTGTGCGATCAAGTGTCTAGTCGCATGTGTCTCGATCGAGTCACCTTCTATGACCCAGCTCGACAAGGCCAAATCTCGACTGAGACTGGCCCAGGTCCTGTTTGAGGAGACTGAGAGTGTTGACAGATCCGAGGAGGAGGTCACTAAAGCGGTAAGTGATCCCGAGGTTCTTGTGGTTAACAATGGATCAAAGAATGTCAGTTAATGAGAACAAGGGAATTAAAGCTTTTGCGCTGTTGTTTTGAAATAGATTATCATCGCGGATTCTGTAAGGATATATTTTGCGGAGGATATTAATGCTCTAGGCATGTGTTTTATTACACAGGAGTATGCTGATGTTACGTGTCGACTAATACTTTTCCTCCTGGATGTTTGTAGATCCAAGGGTCGTCAGCTCTGGAAATTCAGCTGAGATTGTACGAGCTGCAGACACAGATTTATATCGAGACGAAGAGGTTTCGGCTTGCCAAGAACACACTCAGGATCGCTTCGGCGGAGGCTGCAAAGTAAGGATATGGCTTTATTTAATGGTAATTACACAAATAGATGTTCCTCATGTATAGATATCTAATATGAAGTTTGCTCTTGTTTCTAGGCAAGGACTACATAACTGGTCATATCAATTATACTTCCTAAAGGCGCGAGTACACTTTATGATGGAAGATGTGGCAGGTAGTCTGACGACTCTGAACCAGGGAGCTGCACTTGCGGAACAACAAGGAGACTTTGATATCAAGGTAGACATTATGGACTGATTTGCGGACTTTTTTGACAGAAAAAAAATCGCCAAGAAAAACTCACTCAAACTATACTTGTATGTCATAGATGGCCTTCTGGATCGTGTCTGGACAGTACTCTCTCTTGCTATCCAAGTGGGATCAAGCCATGTTCTATCTTCAAAAGATGACGCCTCATATGGGCATAGCAGAGCTTCTTGACTTCACCACAACCACAGCAACAGTAGCAACGCCTCCAACAACAACAACCGATGGTGGATCATCACCAGCACCAGTAACGCCGCCATCGCCGGCGGCGCAGGGACCGCCACAGGAATTGGATTACCAACAGTGTCAGTCACAACAATTGAAGGTCTTCTTCTTGATCCTCTATATCTTTTGCATGATTCGGTCGGGACAGGTCGAAAAGACGCTATTTGCGCTCACTTCGTTGCATGGGGCTCTCGACGGAACGCGGCCGAGAGACACAGACGAGCTGCAGGGCGTTTTCAGAGTGTCTCTCAAGAATCGGATCGATGACTCTCCTCAGGGTCGCCAGCAAGCTTCTCAACGACCCCAACAAGCTTCCCAACAACCCCAACAAGCTTCCCAGCAACTCCAACAAGCTTCTCAACAACCCCAGCCAGCCTCTCAGTCGTACATCTGTATCCGGTGGATGACATTCTCTCAAGTATATTGCTTGACTTACTTGTTGTCTGGAATCTGCAGCAAAGCAGATATGACTCAGCCCATGAAATCACAGCAGTTTCTCGTCGAAGGAATCAAGGTGGTCGATCGAGAGTTTACTGTAAACGATTGTAAGTCCATTTGGCGCGTCTGTGAGGTATTCATTTTGTGCAGCCGAAAGTGCCGCTGACATTAGAACTAACATCTTCAAAAGACGCATCTTCCAGTGTCTATGTTCGACGGAATCAGCGGTGGTTCTCGCTCCTGCTGATGACCATGCTCTTACACTTGACCGATGTGTTTTTACTAAAGTTTGAGCTTGACTCTGCTCAAGAGGTATTGTGAATGCTGTCTGCGGATCAAATTAGCTGCCTTTCTCCCTTGTCAGTACTTCAGCTGACAAGATTTCGTTCTTATTATTGTCCACGTTAGACGTTACTGAAGGCCACATATTGGGCACAGGTCTGCGGGGCTTGGGACTTGTTCAAGTGGCGAATCTCGCTGACGACTGGAATGATCATGCAGCTCGGAGGTCGACTGAACGAGGCAATGGACTGGTACAACATCTGTTTGAGCCACTCTGAAAATCCGCATCAAGATCCTGAGGGCTATGAAGCAAAGACCCTGGCTCTTATCAGCACTGGCCTCATCTTTAGCGGCGAACGTTATTACAACCCACAGAGAGTAAGCTGTTATGCCGTCGTCCCTATATGTGATAAGGACGTTGTGGTTGAATGTTCACGAAGTTAACCACCAATGTCGTTCTTTTGTAGGCTAGAGTGATATTGGTGGAAGCCAAGGCCAGGCAAGCAACGATGCAGTCGGCTAATGTGAGGTGTGCGCTTCATATTCTTGACGGCGCAACCAATGAAGGGTTGATTCCCGCCAGGTACGTTATCAGCGGAATGTTTTGTTCGTAAGCAGTGATTGGATGAGATGCTCAAATTTTATTTGTCTCACACGACGGTACTTGGTTGATCAATTGCGCCTAGACAACACTTGCATGAGTCGCTCAAGACATCAGGCAGTCTGATGAACACACAGCTAAGAAGTATATCGCTCATGCTCCTGGGCAATTTCTACAAGGAGGGGCATGATGCACAGGCAGAGAAGATGCTGGCAGCAGGGTTTGCGCATGCGGCCAAGACGTGCAACCAGATTGTCGCAGTATCCACAGGGTTCACATTGAAAGGTAAATATTATGTAATGAAACAGCCCGCGATACACTACGCGGCGTATTAATTTTTTTTGTTCCAAAAGTAAAAACAAAATAAGCACGCGCTGTACACCTGAGGACACTGACCAACTTTTGGTGCATTCTTTTGCTTCTCTACTAAACCCACACGTAGACCTTTACCTGCAGACATCCAGGGGTATCAAGGCCAGCGAGCAGGCCCAAAGGAACAAGGCCTTCCTGGATGAAGTAGACAAGGCGTTCCAGGCGAGGGTACTGGACCCGCTTCTCAATGACCATACTCCCCACAGCAATAGTACGACGTGAAGAATAAAATAAAAGATGAAGCATGTCAATTGGCTGTGCTCGCTCTTTCGTCGATGCTGACCCATGCGTGTGCCCAGCCCAACCCACGTTCTTTATTTTTTTTTTGTTGTTGTGTGTTGTTCTCTCCTGTTCTCTCTCCTTCCTTCCTTTCTTTTTTTCCCCTTCTCTCCCACACCGTGTGTACACTCTCAGTCCTCTTATCCCCTTTCCCGCCATCCTCTCTGCCTTTCCTTCCCCTCATTCGCATTCACACCCACTCTCATTTCTTCACCCCCCCCTCTCCAATAACAAGGATCACATGGACCCCAACGCACAGGTCGCACCAACAGGGAATCCCGTCCGAAGACGCAAAACGGAGCAGGGCGCCGTAAGTAAACCCATCACCACGGACGACTCCACCTCCTTCTCCCCTTCTGCGCTCAACCCTAAACAGTCATTTTTCAACCATGCCCACGCACTGTGCTTCGGCCAAAAAGCGACACAACGAAGGAAAGAGAAAGAGAGAGACAGAAAAGGCGTGGGGTTTGATGGACCGTTCGCGCTCTTGCGAATGACCCAATGCTGACATTCCAAACGTGCCTCTTTTTTCTGACTCGCTTGACAATCACCACGTAGATGAACCCAATAGAAGCGACGGTCACCAAGCTGTTGGTGGCGACGAAACAGCTCCTCGAGGGCCTGACGCTTTGGTCGACGCGGCAAATGAACGAGGACCAGGTGTCGGATATCTTTGTCCAGCTCGCCACCCAATTCAACTTGGCTACCCAGTCGTTCCAAGAGGTTGGCATTGATACCAGGTAAAGCAGAATAAGACACATTCCATTACTGTCGTGCTCTTGTTCTTGCCCAGTCCCCCTCTCCTCATTTTTGTTCTTCTGACCAACCATTGTAATTGCGCCCTGAGAAAGAAAGAAAAAAAAAAAGCGGAAGTGAGACACGGAAACACTAACTTGTTTTTCTTTTGGCAAATCCCCGAATAGCGAGCTGGCACATATCCCCGATGACCTCAGAAGCTGCCTGGAGACGGCTCTCGGCGAGGAACCATCACCGTCATCACTCGACCAATACCTGCCAAAGATCAAGGAAGTTATCATTAACCTTTTGCAGGGCCTGCGTATGAAGCAGAACCTGTACCGCACCCAGAACGACGCAAAGACAGCGCGTATGCAAGCAGCAGTAGTAGCAGCAGCAGCAGCAGCAGCAGCAGGAACTACAGGACGATCCAAGAGCAATGGAAGCGCCTTCCGACAGCCCCACATGAATAGGATGTTGGAAGATGGCGGCGGGGCGAGTACTACTCGGAGCCAGTCACTCAATGCAGGGCCACCACCGACCGTGTCGATTTCTTCTCCGCAGGACGAACAAGGACATGCCGACACCCTGGCCTCCCTTCGCAAGAGCGATGCTATTACTCGTCGTGCCTCTTCTCGACGCCATTCACAGCGATTCTCGACCTTGCTGGAGCAGAATGCCCCTCCAGTTCCTCGAAGGAACCCCATGACAGACCCAGCGATGCTGTCGACTTATGCGGGATACTCCACCCCGCAGGCTTCCAGCCCTCTGGCGAGTCCTAGCGGTTCTATTCCTTATGGTCAGTTCTCGCCTCTGGCGACTTTTGACGCTTACCCAAACAGCCCAGCTCTGTCGAGCAGCAGTATGAACAAGTCTATGGACTGGATGTCTCCCCCTCCAAGCGTCCCGATGCCTATTCTACCCAACGGTAGCATGGTCCATATCCCATCCTCTACCGACGAGCCTATGTTGGGATCGTCGTCAATGGTCAACCCCGACATCCTTAATGCTGACTCTGGAGTTCCCACTCACCAAGCGCAGATGCCATCAGGATCGACTGATACTCTTAACAGCGTGACGGCGCCAACGATCCTCAGCAGCATTGATCCCGCAAGCTCGATGTCCCTGCCATCGTCTGACACTACAGGTAGCGTTGACAAACATTGGGATTTCCATGTGTTGAGCTTTTTTTTTTTTTTTTTGCAGTGTTCATGCTTTTCCGCAAGAAATATTTCGCTTATCACAGTTAGTTTCATTTACCATCTATGTAGGTCCAGTGGACACGAGTCTGACACTGTTCCTCCAAGTGGGCAAGAGTGTAAAGAAGACCAAATTTGAGGGCGAACTAACCCACTCTGGCCTGCGAATGCTCTTCATGGAGAAGTTCCAGTACAACCCAGGACAGGAGGACTTCCCTACCATTTATGTCAAGGACCCGCAGACAAACATCCATTATGAGCTCGAGTCTCTGGCAGACGTCAAGCAGAACGCATTTCTGTCGCTCAATGTCGATGGTAAGAGCAAGCCAAAAATGAGTGTATTCATCTGTGAGAACGAATGAAGGGTGGACCTGTTTTTGAGAACAAAGTCCTGACGATTAGCATTGTTTTTTTTTTTTTGGTTTTCGTGTGATACTAGATTTGGAGAATATTCAGCGTAAGATGGATCAAGGTTTCGCGGCACTATCCAAGGAATTGAGTGAGATCAAGAAGGCACAAGAGACAATGGAGACAGCTCGACAGAAGGCGGCGGCAGCAGCAGCAGCGGCGGTCAAGGATGCGCCTGAGCGTAGCGCGGGGTCGAACCCCGAGAGCTCTGCTCTCCTTCGATCAGTCGTCCAAAAAGTCCTCATCAAGAACAAATCAGCAGCGGCATTGACGAGTCAAGGAAGCATTTCAGCGGCAGATTTGAAGCCTCAACAGGACGAGGTGCGTTCGTTACGCCGGGACCTGGGAGTAGTTCGACAGATGTACACCGAGCTCCAGAGCGAGACCAAGACCATGCTCGGGAGTTTGGCAGGATACACGTCTCAGATCCGCAAACAGGCTCTCGAGCAGCCCGTGTCGGCGAGGATGTTTATTGAGACTGGTAAAGTCAAACTGGATAAGAAGTCGGAGGATCTGACAAACAAGATCGAGGACTTGCAGGATGTGGTTGAGGACATGAAGCTCAACGTCACTCAGCGTCGTGGTCGACCCAGCGATATCTCTATGGCGTTTGTTGACAAGCAGTGCGAGGAGATTGAGCGGGACCTTGCCGAGCTTTCGGATTACATTCCTTCGATCCGGCCCTCGTGGAAGAAGACCTGGGAGGTTGAGCTGCAAACGATTGTGAAGGAGCAGATGTTCTTGAAGGAGCAAGAGGCCTTGCTGGAGGATCTCAAGGAGGACCGGGGATCTTTGATGCAGACGCTCGGAAACCTGAAGAAGGTGGTAGAGTTGCAGGACAAGAACGGCGGGGTCTTGGGAGGCAAGTCTCGAGAGTTTATATTCCAGCCTCAAGTGGATGGTAGCTTTGAGGGCCTGAAGACGGTGATGGAGGAGGTCAAGATGATTGAGCCGGATTCAAACAAGCGTCTGAAGGCGATGGCGCAGATGGAGAAACTGCGCCATATTGAGCTGTCGAACCGGATTGATGAGTTTGAGGAGGAGTTGACGACGTTTGTGGGAGCGAGCAAGTTGAGGAAGACTGGTGGAGCACAAGAGGTCGAGCGACAGAGGCAGCAGAGGGATCTTGAGAATTTGAAGGCCATGTTTGCCAAGAAGGAACAGGATGTCCCGGTCGCAGACCAAGGCGACGGAGCATAGTTGTCGATTTTTTTTTTTATTTTGCAGTTTTACTCAAGTACACAATACACATGGTTCTACTTCTAGACATGAGTTGTTTGTGTTCCAAGGGCCTAGAGTAATGGAAAATTCTTTCCTTTTCAGGGCGCATGCCAATTTGACAAATTTGGGGTGAGCAATGGGTCTGTCGTCTTGAAAGATGGACAAAGCTCAAGAGCAATCTACCCAAAAGCCAAAGTCGTCGACTTTGAGTGTTTTCTCTTTTCTAGGGTGCTGTGGCTGTTTTCAACGGCGTGGCAGACATCTTAGCCAAGCCTGAGTTTTGTGTTGACCAAGGATAATAAGGACGAGAAAAAAAAAAAAAAAAAAAAAAAAAAAGGTGGGAACAAGTCGTCATTTGCCTATGAGAAGTTTGGTCATATTACCCAGGCTTACTATTCCTGTCAACAGAGAGACGCCCCGCTTGAGCAAGTAGGCGCAGATAATTATCTCGATCGCCTTCTGCTTTTTTCTCCGAGATATAAAAAGGGGGCGGGGAGTCGCCAGCTTCTTTTTTTCCAACTTGAAACTGCTCTTTCAACCTCGACACAAAACATATATCAAAATCCATCTTCTACATTCACTTCAAAAACAAGAAAAACACGCGTAACCCTTCCAACCCTCGTTTTCCTTGCACTCTTTCCAAAGCCATGACGATCCCACCGACTCGACACATAGCGCCACTTGGGGCGATAAAGAAGCCAGGAGCATGGCGTCGTGCATTCGGAAACCCATAAGAAACACTACTCAAGAATGATATATGTGGCAACCAAATTGTTAGATCACTCTCACAAAAGGCGTCAAAGCCATCCATGAGACGACGCAATTCGACCTCCTCGTTCACATCAACATAAGGAACAGGGTCATCCTCGGACAGATGATCCTGTGACTTCTTGTGGCCGCCTTTGTGGGTATTCCGAGTCAAGGGTTTCCCCTTGTTGGGCGGTGGCAGATCGCCGTGGCTTTCTTTTGTGAAGCTCGAAGACAGACCTTCCTGTTAGCACCCAAAGGACAAAACAGGTCAACTTCTGCATTAAAAATGGTGTATGAAAATAGAGCAGATATGATGGTACTTACAAGAACGCATCCGGATCCATCGTGTCTATCTGCCAATTAACAAAGTCCGTAAGCTCATTCACAACCAGATCAGCCGATTTGAGTCTGTCCTCCACTGCCCTGTGCTTGAATTGCTCCATGGAGCCTTTGACTAGATTCAGCCATGCTTCCAATGGCATCGCACTCTGCACCTCATACGCATCGTCGTCGCAGTGTCGGTCGAAGTGTCCAACCTCCACGACGCCGTCTAGACGAGCACCCGTGATAGACGTACGTCCATCGAAGAACTCCGATATAAACTGAACTTCATACATGTCCCATGCAATCGTCGTCTTCCGCTCCAAGGCTGAACTTTTGAGGTGTTGGACTTTCGAGCAAATTGTGGGCCGAATTGGACGCTTCCTCTCAAGTGTTATAATCTTGTCCAGCAATGGCAGCAAGAGTTTCCATGTCTCCTGTTTAGTTTCAACCCAGGCAGCACTCTCCTTTGAAGCTCCAAAAGTGGGCGATTCATTTGCATCCTATGACGACGAAAAGAAACTCAAAAGATAACTATCAGTCAATGGAGATTGGAGACCTGAATGTCAACAGTGATTCTTCCTGAATAAAATACTTACATGTTATCAGCAAAACTTGACAACACAGATGTCTGATTAGTCAAAGGCGGTACATCCGGGTCGAAGTCCAACGATCCTTTTTGAGCCCTCCCACCGGAACTGGGTACGATCGACAGAGTAATTGAACCGCACATTCTTATGAACAGGCTAGTGGGACTTTGTGGAAGGTAAATATCTTGTCGACAGCGTCTGCATCCTGCATGACTTGCAAGTAGTCTTCGTCCGTGTATATCTGGTCGCCAAATGCCCACCCACGCGCCAGAAACGTATTCATGAACATTTCCGCCCGACGACGTGACGGAAACTGGGGTGCTATTCGCTTGATTAATGAACGTCGATAGTGTTTGAGGGTTCCACGTTCTTCGCTAGCCAGACGACTTTTCTCACAACAATTCTTGCATATACCCGACGGAGTTACTTTCCCGCTGCCATTGTACCATACTACGTTATCTCCGTCGATGTCCCGGCCACATCTACAGACCAAACCCTGGGGAACGGTTGGCTTCAAGGTTTTAACGATCTCGGAGAATTTGCTGGATCCATGGGAAGCCACAAGCTTGTTCGACCCCTAATATTGAACAGAAGGCTGGCAGAGTCAGTCTCCCAATCCCAGGACAAACCAAAGGGGATGTATGTTGGTGAGTTGACTGTATGTGGTTGAAAAGGTGCTGCAGGAGAGACGAGCTCCAGTGCACAATCTTTGCACTTATAAACCCCATGGTCTGCGTGCAAGTGGCCTCGGTGTTCCTGTTTGGAACGAGATCGTTGTTCAGTACAGTCATCATGGTCACAAGCCCAACCTTTTGTGCCAAGTGGTCGTGGGTGGCTGCTCTTGTGCAAAATCGACTCTCGACGATGGAAGCATGCACCACATACTGGGCAAGGGTGCAACACAGTACCATCAGATTCCACGGTTGACAGGGGATGAAGTGTAAAAGATGGTGGCGTCAAAGACAGTAGTCGAGAAAGAAAGAAAGAAACAAGCAAAATTACAACAGGCTCAACAATATTCTCGTCGAGTCTAAGCAGATCCACAACTTGCTTATCACCATCCAGTCCCGACTCATGATCCACAGCCACTGTTGGATCAAGCCGATGCTAATGAAATGGACCTTGGCTACAATCACCACCAATTTTATTTATTTCATCACCTCACACTTAGTCTACACCTCCGCCGAGCGAAGCTGCGGGTACTATTCTAATGGTATGCAAGCTCAGCATTATTCTCGTCAAGTCTAATTATCTCTTCTCTCTATTCACATTGAACAAACATGTTGCCGGTGACTCATTGATGCACGTACCCTTATTGTGCAATGATCGTCGCGCTGTTGGTGGAAACAACAACTGACCTGTTTCCACCCTCGCACTTGAATTTGATGAATCGTCATGTCACAGTTTTATTTTGTAGATCACAGCAACACCCTTGTTCTTAAAGGCCTCCAATTCTCTCTTGGCGTTATTTCCTCGGTCGGCAGCCTTAGAGAACCACTTCGCGACCTTTGTATGATCCTGGGGACGTTGTTATAAAGTGCGCCGATGCTGAATTGAGCAACGCCATACCTTTGCTTGGCGGCCTTGAGGAACCAGTCCATCGCTTGTGTGCAGTCCTGAGAAACACTTCGACTGCGGTAGTGAAGAACGCCGATGCTATTTTGAGCAAAAGTATCGCCTTGATTGGCAGCCTTGAGGTACCAATCCATCACCTGTGCGTAGTCTTGAGGAACATATTCACTTTTGTGGTAGACACACCCAATGCTGCATTGGGATAGAGCATGTCCCAGGCTGGCGGCCTTGTGGCACCATTCCATCGCCTGTGCTTAGTCTTTGAGCACACCTCGAGCAAAGTAATAGAGCTCGCCGATGCTGAACTGGGATTCTGTATATCCTCCTTCAGCGGCTTTGAGATACCATTCCATTGCTCGTACACAGTCCTGGGGCACGCCATGACCATGGTAGTACAGGTGACCGATTTGGTACTGAGCAGTTGCATACTCTTGCTCGGCGGACATGAGGTACCAATTCATGGTTGTTGAGTAGTACTGCAGAACTTCCTTACCATCCCTGTACATGTCACCAAGCGCGACCTGGGAGTCCTAGTCCCCCTCAGTAGCACTAATCATCATCCGTGCCAATTGCAACTCCACTGACACATTGGCAGTTGCGCTCTGGGGTCCACACTGCTTAGAGTTGTTGTCGTTGTCAAGACGGGGAGTAGTTGGAAGATCCTTGACGGCTGATGTTCGATCGTCAAGTGCTGATGCGGACCTCGAGCTGGCGGGAACGCAAGGAGTCTATCGATGTGAGTGTATTTTTCCATCGTCGTCTCTACAAGACCGTAGACTGGTTTCCGTCTGATAGCGGACGTTGCTGTGGAAGCGGATGTTGCAGTGGATGGCACATTGTATAAGGACGTTGCGTTCGGTGTGGATGTAGCAGTGGTAGTAATGAGCGTCGACGTAGCACTGGGTGTTGAGATGGTATCCTGGAATGCAACCTTGACCCTTATTGTGCTGTCGTCCTGCGGTGGCACTGACTGAAGCTCCAGGTGTCGGACTAGTAGAGAAGCGACCCCCACATTGTCGGTCACTGGGGTATCTACGACCACATCCAAGACGATGTTCGGCACGGCGGCGATCCTGCGAGGCTCAAGACTAGAGGCGAGGTTTTTCTTTGTCCAATAAAAAGAACAGCTTGTATGTCTTCTTTCTTCTCTACCATTGCCTACAACATATCGCAGCCAGTCTATACATACATACTGTGGTCTTTTCCTTTCAGGAACGGAAAGACTCTTGTGGCGAACTTGAACCGCGTTATCAAATGCCCTAAACGATATCGTCCCATAAAATGAAGAGTAATACAACAAAAAAAAAAAAATGCCAGGAAATGTTGGATGAACTGGAGGAAAGTGAACATCCAAGAAAAGCGGCTCAAGTACAATTAGTATCTTTGCGATATTAAGAATACAAATCGAGTCGCTAAAAGCAACGCGACTGATGTTCTCCAAGAAACGTGTTGGATATTCGTACAAGTGCGAATAATGGGAGGAAATGATGTTGAACTACGCTGCGCTGTTGGACATCATAGAGGCCTCCGTGGGCCCTAGGAAGGACGTGATCCGACCCGTGTTACAGCTTGCTGTGTGTGTATGTGGAGAAAGTTTTGTTGTGGTTGGTTCGGCTCGTTTGATGTTCCATGCTCGGTCTGTCGGTTAATTCGCACAATCAAGTCACATACACGGAAAAAACAGTGCATAAAGAGGCGCTTTCCCCTAATCCCTTTGTTTTCGTTCTTCCTTCTTTACTCTTCAAGCCCTTCCTCCCTCCAACACGCTCGACACTTATATTCCTCGACCCAAGCTCGACACTTATATTCCTCGACCCAAGCTCATACACGTCTATCAAACAGGACCATCGCTAGAACAGGACACGCAGCCGTCGTTTATTATTTTTTGATTTCATTCTCTTTACCAAACAATCATGTCACTTCAAGGTACACGCATAAGCGATTTTTTACCTTTGATAAGATCGTCCGCCCGACATCATGAACGATGAACCCAGGACGCAGTCAAGTACCTTCAAACCTGACAAATGACATCGCTGGAAAGGAAGGACACAGAAACTGAACATCCTTTTGGTTCTTGCTTGCCTGGCACCTTTCACTTATAGGAAAGACGCTTTTTATCTCTGGAGCGAGCAGAGGTATCGGTCTGGCCATCGCCCTTCGCGCCGCCAGGGACAAGGCCAACATTGCCATCGCTGCCAAGACAGCCACTCCTCACCCTACTGTAAGGATACAAAGGGCTTCGCAGTTGAACGGAAACGAGTGTACTGTTGCCATTACCGTGGGAATGAAAATGATGTTTACATGTGACTGACTGAACCAACTGGCTTCGTATCGTTGATGGAATACTACTTAGCTTCCAGGAACTATTTACACTGCTGCAGAGGAGATCGAGAAGGCAGGAGGCACAGGTACTTAACGCCAGCTCTACAGAAATATCGTTACCAAGGAGAATGTTGAATTGGAAGTATTGATACGCATGCATTTGTTGTTTCCTACAATGTAGCACTTCCCATTATCTGTGACATTCGAGATGAGGAGCAAGTCAAAAGTGCGATTGACCAAACTGCTGCTAAGTTTGGCGGTATTGACATTCTTGTAAGTTTTAGTGTACTTCGTTCTTTTGTGAAAGATGACTCCGACAACAAAAAGTCCTGGCAGTGTTTACTAACAATGTTTCCTCTTCACCACTTGTCTTCATCATTCTCGCGTGTTGCGTCCATTTAGGTCAACAATGGTTAGTTTTCAGGAACCATGATCCGCCTCGAGGTTTTTATTTTTTCCAATTGGCTCAAAGTATCGTTATTCATATTCGCGTTTTCTTTATGTATGTTAGCATCGGCGATTAGCTTGACAAACACGCAGGAGACATCGGTCAAGAAGTATGATCTGATGCACAGTATTAACGGTCGTGGCACCTGGATGGTCTCCAAGTACGCCATCCCACACCTGATCAAGTCTGGCAAGAACCCCCATATCCTCAACCTATCCCCACCCCTGTCGATGAAGGAAGCCTGGTTCAAGGACAATGTCGCGTACACGATGTCCAAGATGAACATGTCGATGTGCGTCCTCGGTATGGCGGGCGAGTTGCGCCGACACAAGATTGGTGTCAATGCGCTCTGGCCGCTGACTCTGATTGGCACCGCAGCGTTGACCCAGGTCGGCGACATGTCCAATATGAAGTTGCGCACGCCTGATATTATAGCTGATGCGGCTTATGAGGTCTTTCTGAAGGACAGCTCCAAGTTCTCTGGTAACTTTTTGGTTGACGAGTTGTTCCTGAGACGCGAGGGGTTCACGGACATGGATAAGTATGCCCCTGGGGAGCGCAAGTTCTCGCCCGACTTTTTCTTGCCTGACGAGGTCCTCAAGGAGATTGACGAGCTCCGCGCCACTCAGGGCTGGAACTAGGATGGCTTGTAGGATGTCTGCTTGATTGACAGCAAAAGAAGTACAAAAGGCAAAAGCAAAAAGAAAAAATAAAATTTCAAACGCCTCCCTCAAGACCTCAACGCATGATGCAACGTGACCATTTGAAAGAGAGGAAAGAACGTGTCGCCAGCACAAAGGAGAAAAAAGACACTTCCTTCTTCTTTTCTCCTCATTCAACAGCACCCCTTCACCCATCACTTTTCCTTCGTCTTCTTCTTTCAACCTCTTTCATTCACGACTCAACTATACACATAACCATGGCTGCAGGATTGAAAAGTACGTCTCCAACCAAGTCTCGGCTTGGCGGTGCTCTTACCACCCAACACTATACGAACGGACAGGGACAAGTTACCAACGGAAGGCGACAGTAGCAATTTTCTTGGACTCTGGATAGGGGCGAATATCAGCAAGCCAGCTCTCCGCTTACGTTTGTTATACACAGACCACAAACAGCCTCGATTGTGCAAGAGCGTTGTTCTTTGTGGAGGTCATGGCAAAACAGCACCTTCAGCACTGAGCCCTCGCACTCATTCAACGACGTACAGCTAATGTGAAAAGAAGTTGTTGATGGACAGCATGGACTTGGCGTCAAAACAGAATACCCACCTGCCTTCAAAAGGACACGCAGCACGGACAGCTGGTCAATTGGACGATATTCGCTGGCTTACTCAAGACCTAACAGATAATTATCTAACGACTTTCGTCTTTCTCTGTTTCTTCCAATATTATAGCGTAAGTAGAGGATGACGGCGGCGACCCATTATTTTTCTGTGATTGCGGGGAGGAGAAAGAGACAGGCAGCAAACAAGCCGTGACAAGTGCAGATGGGGACAGACAGGACAAGTGACCTCACAAGCAAAGGACAAAACAACAGAACGTCAGGAAAAATCATTGAGAGTTGGAACGGCGCCAAGGGATCTGGTTTCCCTCACAACGCAATCCGTATGAGCATCGAAGACAGGAACCTTTTTCGCCACTTGTCAAACAGCAACCATGGAGTCATGGAAAATGGAAGGGATTATCAGGACCGATACGCACGACAAAAAAAAGACAAAAGGGGCGCCTGACTCGGTACTACCTCCCCCTTCTCAGCCATGCCCTACAGTCTGTGCCTAATCACACTCTTATTTCTTTCATACCTAAAAACTAGTGTTATCGGACTCTCATTTGTCCTGGCTCTAGGCTTTTTGCTCGTCATCATGTCCTGTGCACTCTACAAGTATGTAATAGGTCTTTTGGAAGCAATGTCTTGGTATTCTCAGCGGCCTTGACTGTTGTTGACCGTTGATTAACGACTAACACAATGGTCCTTTGTCCTTGATTCCTCCCCCCCCCCCCTAATGTTTAGCAACTGGTGGCCCCTGTTTGTCGGTATGTTCTCCCTTCTTGCTCACATGTTCGACTGATATGTGACAGTCGCCTTGTTGTTCAATTTGCCTAAAAACTAATTCATTTTATATTGTTCATGGTTACAGTGGCAACATACGTTTTGGCACCTTTGCCCAACGCCGTTTTTGGACGATATGCTGGACGCGATGATGTGATGTCGGACTACCAAGGAGGAATCGCTGACGCTGGATACTTCTTGACTGGATTGATGATCATCACTGGCTTCTGCTTACCCGTTGTCCTTGCCCATGCCGGTGTCGTAAGTCCTTTTGGTCTTTTACGGATCGATCATATTGGAATTGCATGAAGGCTCTACAGTTTTGTTATTGCGCGCTATCTAACTTGATTACGATTTATTCTTGTCATATTGTAGATCACCGTCCCCGCCATGATCATGAGTATCTCGGGAGGTCTTTTGATCTACGGCACAAGTATGTTCATACCCCTTTTTTTGTTTTTGTTTTCGTGGATTATAACTATAGAGAATTCGACTGTGATGCTAACTAAGACGCGCCCGTTTCTTTCTGCCTCTTTCTTTTTGCCTCCTTCATCTCACATAGTCATCTCATATTCGCGCTTCTTCTCTGAGGAAGAGGACTTTTAAATTGATGCGCGGGAGGCCGAGTGAGGCAAGGCGTGATGTTTATGCCTGTTCGCGTGACTTTTGGCGTTGTGGAGAGTAGCAAAGTAGTACTTTCCAGTAAACATTCTAATGAACATTTGTCCAGTGTATCCAGCGCCTGAAACGACAAATATGCAATTGTGCTATCAAAAAGTAGACAGTTCGAACTTCATGGGTGGTGCTTGTTGCTCGCATGATCGCCAGCATTTATTATACTGTGAGTGCTCGTTCCTGTATCTCTGCTACTCCCGCAAAAAGAGTCCTGATCTGTATGGTATTCCGTCTCTGCGTAGTGTTTATCTGCGCTTGTTCTTTTTTGCCTTTCCACCGCCGCTCTGTTGGATGACGGGACTAGATATCGTGACGGGCGCTGCTGCTGTGGCGGGTGCTGCTGCTGCTGAAGGATGGGCCGGCGCTGATCCTGCTGCTGCTGATCCTGCTGAGGACTCTTGTGTTGGTGCTCTGTTGTGCATCTTGGCCATCAGGGAGCGGTTCAGGCGCTCAAACTTGTTCAAGTCCTGCATCTGATCCGTCTTGTATTTGAAGCACTATTGAGTTCATATGACGGGCCAAATGGGTCAGTATCTTTGCCCTTTTCAATCACGTCGATTCAAGGATACGCGTCATTCGTTGAAGGAGGAATGGTAGGAGGTGTGGCTGTAAGAAGAGCCCTATGCTGGTAGGTCAAGTGTGCGAGCGGTTGTTTGAAGTGTAAACTTACAGTGCGGTCGTCCGTCACTTTCAAGACGAGCTTTCCTTCGACATGGCGGTATTTAGCAACATAACGAGTCTAGGGAAGTTGAAGAGATGGAAGCAGGCGTCGAGTTCAGTATGTGTGTAGTTTGGTCGTGCCATCTAGAGGCTCATGGGTTGCCTTTGAATAAAGTCGGCAATATGCGATGACGACGGTGGACGTAGGAGGTTGATGGTTGGTTATTTGGCGATGATGCGAGGGAGCAGGAATGGGGGTTATTACGGTTTTGGGGGACAGCAAATAGAGCTCCTCGGCGGCCTTTTGAAACTCGTCCCACTGGTGAATGTTGACCATGGCGATGGGTGTGGTTGTGTGGTTGTGGAGTAGCGGGAGGAGGTGGTGGTGTGAGGTGTACTTCAAGAGCGAGGTCGTCTACTTCATCTGGAGAGGCGATCAACTTTAGAGCGGTCCCTGGGAGAAGTGCAGAGTGGCTGGCAAAGCCACAGCCTATGGATTTTTTTCTAATTTATGTGGCCCTGCTGCGTGGCAACAGGTTGTTTCCTCCTCTAAACTTTTCAATATGGTACTTGACCGTCAAAGTGGCCGATAATTTTAGTGGCGTCGATATCAGTCCAATAGCTCACCAACCAACCAACCAACACACGCCCATGGATGGAATGATATCCATCACCCACACCAACAAGCATACCCATCCGTTCATCCATCGATACATTGCAACCACCATTGCCGTACATCCCGTCGTCATCCCTGCAGGACTAATTGCTCCGAGGGTGACAACCCGGTCAGGATCCGCCTTGGACCAGTTTTGGCTGAGAGTTGGGTTGGAGTGCCAGGAGCGGTTCTGTAGGTGGATGAGGGGGCTGTTTGAGAGGAGTGTTGTGCAGAGATGGTGATCTGCCAGCTTGCACAGGCGCCCTTTCATCTCCGTTTCCCGTACTGCACTCCATCAGTCTCGGTCACCTGTTTCGTCCGAAAAGGCAGGATCTTCATGAGGATTAAGCAGGATCGCTATATTTTTTTTCTGGAGGGCTACACATCAAGATGCCATGCAGAGACTATGATCGGACACAGTCTTTCACCAATCGACAAAACCAGTGAAATGCCGGGAGACTTGTTCCTCGACAGAAGAACGAGTATCGGGATTGGGCGTATTGGAACAGGCTCTAGCAGAGGTTCAATGCTATCATAGGACTCTGCAGACGCATTATCCAACGGCGTTCGCACGAACAAACCATCGGAAACCACAGACCTAATATATCAGAGATCTAACCTCCAAACAACTATCACCAATTACTTAAAAATCAAATAGTCCAAGAAGGTCAAGTCCACCCCCAAGGTTCAGGAAAACATCTCCCTCGGTCCCCAGGTCCGTGGCGATGAGGAGGTTTTCGGTGTTGCCCACATCTTCGCCTCTTTCAACGATACCTTCGTCCACATCACCGATTTGACCGGTCGTGAGACCATCTCCCGTGTCACTGGAGGCATGAAGGTCAAGGCCGATCGTGATGAGGCTTCCCCCTACGCCGCTATGTTGGCCGCCCAGGATGTTGCCGTTAAGTGCAAGGAGGTCGGCATCACTGCCCTCCACATCAAGCTCCGTGCTACCGGTGGTAACCGCTCCAAGACCCCCGGTCCCGGTGCCCAGTCTGCTCTCCGTGCCTTGGCCCGTGCTGGCATGAAGATCGGTCGCATTGGTATGTTTTGTTCTTTTGTTCACTGTTTTATGCAGCGACTGAGCTTGTCGACCGTTGTCTCCCTTGATGATATTAACGACTATTTATTCTTTGTCGACTCTAATAGAGGATGTTACCCCCACCCCCACCGATTCTACCCGCAAAAAGGGTGGTCGTCGTGGTCGTCGTCTGTAAAAAGTTGTTGCTATCATTATTGTCTTTTGATCAACAGCAATCTTTTCACAGAAAACACACCAATAAAGAAACCAAAAACGTTCTTTTTTGCAACACAATTGTTCACACAAACGAGCGCATGCATATTCAGCCTATGTTTGCTTTTATTCTCTTTCTGTCTTCCTCTTGCTCTTTCTCAGTGTCTCCACTCACATAAACTAAAAGCTTAAGCGTGTTCGTGCTCTTTTCTCTCTGTCCCTGTCCTTCACCTTCTTTTTTCTTGGTCTCTTGCTCCACTCCGCAGCGGCTGAGTTTTTATTTTGTTTGTGTCTTTTTTTTTTTTTTTTTTGGATTTTGAGCATGCGCCTGGGTCGTGGGAGTTAGAAAAGTCGAAGGGTCTTGTGTTTGTGTCTGTGTCAAAAGAAAGAAAGGAGACCAAGAGAAGGGCTGCATGTGCGCATCTTGGATCTGATAAGAAAATGTTTTGAGGGTGGCTTAGATTTCCATTTTGCCCAGTGAAAGTAGCAAAAAAACAAAGAGGCACACACATAAAGTAGGCCCGCCTGTAGAACTCAGTTTTGCTCCTCCTCTTCCTTTCTCACTTTCATTCAGTGTCATTCGTCGCCTTTCTTTGCACTTGTTCGTCTTTCTTCTCATTCGAACAGCAACAGCACGCCCTCTCTTCTTCCTCACCCCCTCTCCCCTCTTCACATCACTTTTATACACACAATGGCCTTCGAGGACGTCCAAATCGCCAAGCCCACTCCTGAGACCTACCAGGCCCTGGACGCTGACCTTTGCAACCACTCTGGCAAGGTTCCCCTTCACGAGCGCTTCCGTGCCCTCTTCACCCTCAAGGCCCTTGCCGACAACGAGAGTGTTGATATTATTGGACGAGGTAAGACTCAAGACACCCACTCGCCAAATACTTACAAACGCCGCAACTAACAAAAACTCCAGGGACAACTAAGTGAACGAAGAGTGTCACTGTAGTCTTTCTACCTTCGTTAGTAGAGCTGGTTGAAACTGTCCTTGTATTTTTTTTTTTCGTCTGACCCACTTTCTCCCTCTCTTCTTTCGTTCTTGTTCTCCTTCTTTGCGCAGCCTTCGCCGATGAGTCTTCTCTGTTGAAGCACGAGTTGGCCTACGTTCTGGGTCAGATGAAGAACCCCCACGCCCACGCTGTCCTCAAGAAGGTCCTTGGCACCATGGATGAGGACCCCATGGTCCGCCACGAGGCTGCTGAGGCTCTTGGTGCCATTGGATCGTTGGACTCTCTCCCCATCTTGGAGGAATACCTCAAGGACGAGTGCGAGGTTGTCTCCCAGACCTGCGAGCTGGCCATTGAGAAGATCAAGTACGATAGCCGCAAGGAGAAGGAGACTCTTCCTGAGAGGTATGTGTTCACACCCCACGCTAGTGTTCGTTGTTGAGCTTGTTTTTGATTTGCTCCCTGTGGGTTGAGAGGGATTGAGGAGAAACACAACTCCCAGAAAAGAAAAAGAACGAGGGTGGCGCCATCTAGCATGCTTGCCATAAAAGATGCTGAACCCAAAAAGGCTACAAACACAAACCAAAGAATGGCCCTAACTTCCCTTACTTTTCTTACTTTTCTTTTTCAATTTTTATTTACAGCGCCTACTCGTCAATTGACCCCGCTCCACCAACTGCTGTCGAGGTTGAGGACACCGCTCAGTTGAGGGAGATCTACTTGAACCAGAAGCTCCCTCTCTTTGAGCGTTACCGTGCTATGTTTGCCCTTCGCAACCAGTGCACTACCGAGTCCGTCTTGGCCCTTGCTGATGGATTCGACGACCCCTCTGCCTTGTTCCGCCACGAGATCGCCTACGTCTTTGGTCAGATGCAGCACCCTGCTGCTGTCCCTTCGTTGATTACGGTCCTCTCCAAGTTGGGTGAGGCCAACATGGTTCGTCACGAAGCTGCTGAGGCTTTGGGATCCATTGCCACCCCCGAGTGCTACACTATCCTCGAGAAGTTCCGTGATGATGACGACCGTGTTGTCCGTGAGTCTTGCGTCGTTGCCTTGGACATGTACGCCTACGAGAACAGCGGCGAGCTCCAGTACGCCGATGGTTTGAGCAAGTAAATTATTATCTCTCAACCACTTCTACCAACCACAACCACTACCACTACCACCCCACCACTCCAGCATTTACAAGGAAATACCTTAGACGAATAAAACACACTGTATGATAGACCCAATTCATTAGTTTCTTCTTTTTTTTATTATTGTTTTTGTTTGGTTTGGAAAAAAAATGCAAGATGGTGAAGGAAAGAAAATCTATGTGCTTGTAGATGAAGGGCGAGTGACAAAGATAGCTTAAAGTCGCAATTTTACTCGCTGTCAGGGAACTTGAAAGAGTGAGACTCGAAATCGATTTGGCCACCCCTGTAGGAACCACGCTTCTTTTTCGTCTTTTCGGCGCGGAAGCCCTTGCCCTTTGTCACAATCATATCCAAATGTGCCTTGTATCCGTATCCAACCTCTGAACCTCCCTTGGACATATAGGTGTTATCCTTGAGCTTGTCGTTCAAAAAGACAACATCCTCGGCCTTGACACGCTTAAAGGGCTCATTCTGGACCTTGACGGGCTTCTGGCCCTCAATCTTCATCTTCTTGGCAGGTGGGGCCATGATGACCTCCTTGATGGCAACTTTCTCCTCTTCGTCGCTGCTAGAGTCAGAGTCAGAGTCGGAATCCGAGCTGCTGCTGCTGGAAGAAGAGCTGGACGAAGAGCTCGAGTCAGAGTCGGAGGCGGCGGATGATGAAGACGAGGAAGAAGAGGAGGACGAAGATGAAGAATCAGAGTCAGAACCAGATGAGGAGGAGGAAGAAGAGTCGTTGCTGCTGTCCTTGTCCTCGACAACCGCTGCGATCACGGCCTCCTTGGTATCAGAATCGACACTGCTAGAAGAGGAGGAAGCGCTCTCCTCTTCCTCGTCATCATCGCTCGAGTCGGAGGATTCAGAGTCGGCGTCGTCATCGCTATCAGACGAGGAGGAAGATGAAGAGTCAGAGCTGGACTCCTCGTCGGAGGAAGAATCAGAGCTCTCCTCCTTGTTGGAGCTGCCGCTGGATCCTGAAGCTGAAGCAGACCTATACAAGAAAAAGGCGAAGCAGCAAAAAGTGTGAGTGAAAATGAAGTGATGTTTTTTCAGGTTTAGATGTTGAAAGTCAAGATATGGAAAAAGTCCGCTCAAAAGACCGTGATCCAGGCTTCCTGGCGGGTTGTTGCTGTTCGCACTTACTTGTCGGCGACGTAAGAGTTGTAGATCTGGATCAAGGTCTGGTCAGGCTTCGAGCTGGACTTCAGAGTCTATAGGGTGATAGAGTAGCAACGAAAATAAGTTGGGTTAGGTCAACTGTTCAAGATAAAATGGTGGCAAAATAAAAAGAAGCTCTCTAAACCAACTTGTAGGTGTTGTTGGGGAGAACGTACGTTCTTGGCCTCCTTCTGGAAGGCCTTCAGGGCGTTGACACAGCCCTGGTCCTGGAGGAACTGCTCGATGAGTGTGAAGAGTTCGGCGGGAGCACCCATGGTGAATGTGCTAGTTTATGGAGGAAGGAGGGTGATGGGAGGAGTGGTGCGAGTACAAAGTCTAAGTTGGAGTTTTGGTTCTTTTTTCTTTTTTTTGTGGAAAGTACACTTGTTTTGATGTGGCTTCAGTGATCCCCAGTCACATCACGTGTATCCTTGCCAATCGCACTGTTTTTCGCTCCCGAACCCTCTCTCTGAGCAACAAGACGTTCCTGATTCCTGCCGCCCATTCCTTCACTTAAACTACTACCGACCACATCTAAATCCGACCGACCATGCTGCGACACATCAACAGGGCCTTGCCTCGCGCCACCCACCAAATCAGGACTCTCACCTCGGCTCGCTCGGTTGAGGAGCCCTCTGCCAACTACCGCCCTGGCAAGGAGGGTTTCGCTGCTGGTATGCCCCACCCTCCCGGGAGCTCCGCCTCGCCCTTGCCCCCACCAGCACCCCGCACAGTCGACTCCGTCCCTGAAATGTCAAAGAAGCATCAGATCAAGGAAAACGGAACGCCCGAACAAAAGTACAAGCTCGAGATGACCAAGCTTCGGCACACATACCAGCGGGAACATTTCAAGAGCGAGGATTCCAAGCGTGTTGAGATTGAGAGACAGCGCAAGGGCTCGTTGCGTCGTCTCCAGGCTCGTCAGGCAGTGGATCGGGCCGAGAACGAGCGTCGTTTGTCATTCGAGCTTTTGATGCAACCCTCGGCTCAGAACGAAGAAGGAGCAGCTTTGACAGGCGCTGATCGTCAGGCTCAGGTGGCCGAGTTTGTGAAAGAGCGCAAGGTCCGTCGCCAGGCTAACTTCCAGAAGCGGGAGGAGCGTACATCAGAGGATCGTTTGGATGCTATGATCCGGTTATATCACGCCGCCGACGACTTTGTGACGATGGAGAACTTGGACGCCAAGGTCAACGAGTTCTACGAGACAGGATTGACATTGCAGAGCAAGGTCTATGTCACTGGCCTGCAGGAGATGGTCAGCGATGTGATGGAGAGCGGTGGACAGGTCTCGCATGCCGGTCTCTTGAAGCGTGAGCAGGAGCTCAAGGATGTTTTGGACGGCACTGTTTCGGGAGGCAAGGTTGGCTATGAGGGAGCCAAGGCCAAGGCTGACTCTGCATGAATGACCACCACAGGCGACACCACGACTTCTACCACCATGTCATAATCACCATCATCACCCTTTGACCACTTTCACCACAGCCATTACCGCTACCACTACTACCACCACGCCGACAACTACAGCGACGACCATTCCCACGTCGAGTACAATAGACCTTTTGTTTTTCTACCTAGTAAATTCACTTTATCATTTTTTTGCATTGATCGAGCTATGCGTCGTTCCTGTTGTGTAAATAATATGTGGTGGCGCCGAAGATATCAAGGTGGTGGCAAATGTGTGATCGTTGTCCTCTTTTTTATTTCGCAATGGATCATTTGTTCCCATTGTTCCCACCTGTATCAGAACCTTTGTATGTGCCTTTATTATTTTTCTTCTCTGAAGGGCCTGCTAACTTGCACCAGTCGGGTGCGAGCCACTCTTTGTTTGGATCATTTTGCTGTCTGTTGTTGTTATTTATTGTTTTCTTTACGCTGCTGTTGTTTGTTGTCGTCTCTTACTGTCATTATTCTTCCACCTTCGTTTGCTTTCTTTTTCCTCTTCCTTTCCTTCTTACATTGTTTTGTTTTCTTTTCTTTTCTTCTCTTTTCTTTTCTTTTCTTTTCTTTTGCTTTCTTTTCTCTTCTCCTTTTCCTCTCTTCCTTCGTCCATTTCGTCATCCTTGCGTTGCATCCCCTTCTTCCCTTCTTCCCTTCTTCCCTCCTTCCCTTAGTCCTTTCATCTCCTCTCCCCCAGCCACCACCACCCACTCACCACAACTACCCCCACCCGCACAAACAAGACCTACCCTCCTTCTCTCATTTTTTTTCCCGCCATTTCGCCCTTCCGTGGCTATTGTTGCATGTCCCCTTCGTCCATCCCCTTTTAAATGTCCAATCCCTACCTAAGCTTTATTAACAGTATCGGCGGCTCAACCGGGAGTCACTCGACTCTCCAAAAACTCGCCGCTTCTTCTTCCCCTTCCACCTCCTCAGTAACAACCACCACCACCACAGTATCAACCAATTCCACCAGCCGTATCCACACCTCGTCCTCAAGACCAACGACTGCGCCAAGACTTCAAGAAAAACCAACGACGTCCTTCTCCTCTGCGTCAAAAGACAGTCGACACGGCTCGTCATCATACTCACACTCGCACTCAAACTCGTATTCAAACTCACACTCAACCTCGCACTCATACTCGCGTCCTTCGACATCTGCCTCAAAACCAAGATCTTCCTCGTCACACCACCACAGTTCAAGCTACAGCAATGGTTCTCAGAGTAGAGACTACAAGTCCAGCAGCAGCAACGGCAACAGCAACGGCAACAGCAGTAACAACCACAGCTCCAGTCGAACCCATGATCGAGCCGATTCCAAAAACTACGGTCATGACCAGGACCGTCGACATTCGAACGGAAGCAAGAGTCACGTCAGCAGCCGTGATACCATCAACCATCGGGATGAGAGGGATGACGGGGATGGTAGGAATGGCAGTGGCAGCTATCATGCCGGCAGTCGAAACGAACGCAAGCGTGAACGCGATGTAGATACTGGTCGTTCGGACGACCCTCGGGGTTATGCCAGGACGCCCAAGGACAAGGACGCCTCCTTTTCTGAACTAAGAGCCAAGAAGAGGCACGCTCGGAGCCGTAGCAGAACCCCCAGCAGGACTCGCAGCAGAAGTACGAGTAGGAGCCGGAGCCGGGGTCCAAGCCGCACTGGAACCAAGCACAGGCAGAGAAGCTACAGTCCACGCCGGAGACCTACGATCAAGAGTAGGAGCAAGAGCAGGAGCAGGAGCAGGAGCAGGAGCAGGAGCAGGAGCAGGAGCAGGAGTCCAAGTCCTATGACGTTCGTCAAAGATTCTAAACCCACCGCTCCTCCCGCACCCATTCCATCACCGGTACCGATGTTACCACAACCGAAATCGCCAGCACCACCAGTGCCTCTTCCCGTCGCCACTCCGATTCGAACAATCACACCACCGCCACCTCCCCCACCACCACAGCAACAGCAGCGCTCTTATCTGGACCTCGATGACACCTCGTCTTTCTCTACGCTCTCGTCGCCTTCCTCTTATTCCCTCTCGCCTCCGCCAATATCAGTACCCTCTTCTCCCGCAAAGGACCTTAGTCCGATCAAGAAGCGACGCATGGAGAGCCTTCTTCAGGCAGAGGCGTCCTATTCCTCACCTTCGTCCCTCTCCAGCCTCTCACCTGAGCCAAGTGATCACTCGTCGTCTGAGAGGGAGCTTGAAGGAGGCGAAATGTTACCTTCACCGGCCAAGGAAGAGGGAACGAACACGACTGCGCAAGATCGCCCTAAACGTGCGACAAAGGAACCACCCAAGAAAGAGTCGCCGTCTCAGCAGGCATTGGAGCTTGAGCTATTTGGAAAAATCATCAGCAAACGCAAGATCAACAGTACCACTATCGCCGCCGCAGCCAGTACCACCTCCACCAAAAAAGCGGAAACCAGCAGCAAACTTAGCAATATCAATGGCGGGAAACAGGACTCGACTTTGGAGCGCAAACCTACGTCGACCTCCTCGATCACCAAAGTCAAACCTGTGGAGTATACTGACGAGGAGGAGTATGGCTCTTTGGGCTCCATTGTCAAGGACGAGCCATCTCTCAACAACCAGAGCAACGGTCACCTGGGGGCTAACGGCAAGCGATCCTCGTTGGATAATGTGAGGACATCAAGGGAGATCTTGACCATCAACACCCAGAAGGGTACTGTCACATCCAAGACTGTCAAAATGCTCCTGAAGTCACCTAAACCCAGCAACAGTACTGCAATCCAGCGTCCCTCGAAGAGCTCTTCCAGTGCCAACATATCAAAGGAATCGTCCCAAAAGCACTCGTCCTCATCAGCCGCAGGGACTGCTTCAAGGAGAATGTCAATTCTGCATTCGGACCAAATTGTTGCTGCAGCCATGGGCCGGTACAAGAACCGTAAGTGGATCTTTTCAACTGCGTCTGTGCATCGGCTGTTGCTGTTTTTAGCAACGTTTTGACCAACATATGCTCCTCTATGCCTAGATTTCCATATGCTTGTGGAGGACTCGGATTCAACTGTCGCTTCCAACCCGTCGTCTACTGGAGGAGACTCGATGCACGTATCACTGGAATACCCAGGAAAGGATTCCAGAGAAAAGTAAGGATCAGATTATTGTTCGAATCACAGGGTTTGATGCATGAATTTGCGTCGTCGGCTAACCTAGCATTGCATGGCTCCATTATCGCCGCGCTTAGGTTCACTCTCATGAAACCTTTCTTGAGCAGGTCAAAGACGGAGTCGGACGACAAAGACGAGTATAACCCGATCGATGATCTCGTTCAAACAGTCAGGATCATCATGGAGCACTTCTTCACTCCAGAGCAGTACAAGGAGCTCTTTGGAACGGCCAGCGAGGGGCTCCATCGCAGCCTGACAAAGTACAAGACCCGGAAGGACGGCGCACAATTTCTGAAGGCGGTCGAGGAGTTCAACCAGATCATGCGGAAGCAAAAGTCGTTGGGCGCGATTCAGGAACATGTTCGACAGTACGGTCACCGCCTTCCATACGATTTGGTGGTACATGTTTTGCAGCAGGTGTACTCGCGCACGGTAGCGGCCCGAGCATCGAAGCTGAACCAATATGAGGCCTTCTCCAACAATGTATACGGCGAGATTCTTCCTATCCTGACCAAGGAGTTCATCCAAAGGACCAAGATGGACGAGAGCAAGGTCTTTGTCGATCTTGGCTGTGGTATTGGCAATGTGGTCCTACAGGTTGCATTACAGACAGGGGCAGAGTCATATGGCGTTGAGATCATGGACACCCCCGCCAAGTTTGCCAAAAAGCAAGCCAGAGAATTCGAAGCGCGCACTCGGTAAGTAGCGCTCTTCAATCGCTATCAAGATTTGTAATGTGTCATTTGCAAGGGTTTGTTCTAATTACAACTCTTTACAACTTTCACTATCATATAGTGCTTTTGGATTGAATCATGGAGCGGTTTCGATGATTCACGGCGATTTCCTGGACACGCCTGGACTGGCAGGAATTCTCGCACGCGCGGATGTTGTTCTGGTCAACAACTATGCCTTCAACTCGGCTCTGAACCAGTCTTTGCTCCAGTTGTTCCTGGATCTGAAAGAGGGATGCAAGATCATCTCGCTGAAGACGTTTGTGTCTTTGGATCATAAGATAAACGTGAGGAACGCAGGGAGTGTCGAGTCGATTCTTCGGGTCAAGAAGTACCCGTACTACACTAATGCCGTCTCATGGACACACAACGGCGGAGAGTATTTTATTGCGACGGTGGACCGTTCTGCTGTCCAAGCCTTCTGGGAGCGTGCTATGACCAACGGCGGCGCTTCTCTGGACGATGGCGGTTCCAGACGGTCCAGTACCCGTAGGCGATAGAGAGGATCGTAGCAGGATACCCCTCCGTCTTTCATTTACCACCTACTTTTTATTACTTTCATCGTCATTATTTTCAACCTTCATTTTATCATTTTTGTTTTCATCATCCCATAACACCACTTTCATGCCGAGGACCGGGCATCATATAGATCCTCCCTTTCTTTGTATTTTACACCATCTTTCCCCCCTCAGCCATACAATTCACAGATTCCCTTACACTTCATTACCGTCATTATCATCATTTGGCATCCTATCTTGTCCCTTCCTACCTATTATTATTCTCGTCTCACCTCATCTTGCAACCCTATTGTCATTAGAAAAGTACCTTGTGTGTTTTATTTGGATGTCGTGAGTGATGTTTTTTGTGTTAATAGAATCTAAAATAATAAAAGAACAAAAGTCTATTTCTGATCCAGCTTCCACTTCTTGGGGCTGAGGGACTCGAGGTAACGGATGGTGGGGGCAATGTAGAAAATGAGGGAGATGAATCCAAGGAGGACACAGATGGAGCTGACAATGAAGTAGCCGTCCTGCTGCAGGACACACTCGCCAGCCAAATCCTGGCACATCGTCTTTCCTGGCTCTGCCGCGCACGAGAAGTCTATTAGATATTAAGAAAGAGGAGGGGAGGGGGGGGGGTTCGCGTTAGATCGGATATTGACGAAGAAGACATGAAAGTGAGTTTGATACCTTTTTTTTTTTTATATTTTTTCTTTGCAGATGTTTTCATCGTACCTTGGCCCTTGGCGTCGACGACGGAGCAGGTCGAGACAGTAAAGTAATCGACAGCCTCCAGGACAAAGAATCTAGGCCAGGTGCCTCCAAAGTTGCTGAGGGTGTTCAAGAGCTATAGGGCAAAAGACACGAGTGCAACATATGGTTTGTTAAAAAATGCAAGTTTGGGAAAAGAAATGAAATTTAAAAAAAAAAAATGAGTGTGACCCTGTAGGTACAAAGTACTTACAGTCATGTAGGTTCCGCCAATGACGGGGTCGGCGATTACGGTCATGAAAGCTCCCATGCTGACGAACGCCACAGTGCTATTGCGACAAAAATAAAACACAAGGACATTTAGTCAGCGTACGAACTCGCGATGGCAATTGATGCTTGACTGGGTGTGGCAGGAATGCGCGAAATAAAGAGAGCAGGAAAGCGTACCTGGTAAAGGAGGTCGCGACGGTGGTGGCGAGGACCATGTAAAAGTAGGTAGGGGTAACAACACCGTCAGCGGGGAAACCATAGACCAAGAGCATGGCGATCACACAGCACGCCAAATGCGCAAAGAAAGCCCAGAGCCACTATTAAATGTAGATACGAATTGGTTAGCAAGGTGGTTCATAATCAATGCAAGTATGACTGTAAGAAGAGACGCCAGAAAAAAAATACGTACGGGCTTGAGAGGGCGGGCACCAGAGCTCCAGCGGACGGCATAGTATCCGAAAATGATCTGGAAGGGGAAATCGATCAAGACGGCCAAGGCCAGGTCCTCCTTGCTGAATCCCTTCTCGAGCAACTTCAAGGCAGTGACGGCGTCGTTGGCGATGAATCCGATCTTGGCGGAGAGAAGGACGAGCATGAAGGACTTCATGTGGGGTAACCGTATGATCTTGAGAATGATCTTGTAGACCGCCTTGATACCAATATCATCCTCATCCGAGCGAGTGCGCTCCTCTTTCTTCATAAAAATCAACCAGAGAGTAATGGCCAGGTACATCATGGCCCAGAACTTGAGGTAGCCTCCCAGAGGAACCAGCCCAACATCCTGAGGGATCGTCCTGAAGTACTTGTTGCTGAATTCAGACGAGTTGAAGGCCAAAAAGACGGTGAAGGACAAGAAGTATCCAGTGTTGAGTCCGATCGTCTGAGCAGTCGAGGCATAGGACAAGTTCTCCTTCGACAACAGGCTCAAAGCCCAGCCGTCGACAGCGATATCCTGAGTCGCGCAGAAAAAGATCAAGATGAAAAAGACGACGGTAAGAGTGCCGACGGCGATCTGTTCCTGAGCCATCCATTCCTCGATATGCATGCCGAGCCAGAGAAACATCAATCCTGTGAGGAGCTGAATTGGAACGATCCATGACTTTCTGCGGCCAATATCCTTGTTGTAGACGGCGTCGACAATAGGCGACCAGAGGAACTTCATACTGTAGGGGTAGTGGGCCAGCGAAAAGATACCGATCTGAGAGTAGCTCATCTTGGCCTTGAGCAAGTAGGGGATACTTCCGAACGTCAACCCCACAGGCACACCCTGAAGGAGATCTATGTGATGATAAATTATAATAAGACAGAACGCATAATCATTTATGCATGATTAGTCCTTCTTCCCTCGGAGCACTATTTCTGTGTTCACAATGTATCAAACATTGCTCGATCTCATCATGTCACAGAATAGAGTGAATTGTTTGAAGGCGGTGTTGAAAGGGGGTGCCTCTGTTGATCGGTGGGAGTGGACAAGGGAATAGGAGATGGAGTTGAGGGTCAGACGCGGAGGTCGCGGAAACTGAGGAGGATGAGGAGACCCGGCTGGGTGAAAAGAACAAAAGGAACATGAAGGACAAAGGGGTATGGGCGAGAATGTCGTTGATTTCACTTGGCTGTGCAATTGACAACTGCCACGACACACTGGTGTTCTTGTGTGTGGGAATGGAAAAAAAACCAAGTGAGGTAACGACAGCAAAGAACAGAAAAAGTGAAGTGCTGACAAATACAGATCCACGGAAGGCTGGAGGGTCCAATTTAAAAGGCAAAGAAGGTGTTTCGCATGAGCAAACAAGAAACGAGAACGTACATAATATGACCAGGAGGGCAAAGTTCCAGGTATCAGCTCCCGACAATGATCCAGACGTCTCCTCAGCGATATCCATGCTCTTGCCGTCTTTATCGTCGTCGTTGCCGTTCTCCTTGTTTTGATCGGTCATCATCAACTCCTCACGCTCGTCGTTGCGCAAGAGGGCGTCGCCTCGCTTCTTCAATGTGAGCATGGCGTCCTTGTTTTCCAGATCGTGCGCAGTTGAGTGCCCGTTGGTGTTGGTGTGGCCGCTTGTCTGGGAGTGGAGTTGCTTCTTGGCGTCTTTGGCTGAAGCTGCAGCGGCAGTAGCGGCTGCGGTCGAGGGGTTCGAGGTCGCCTCGGTCTTTTTGGACATGAGAGAAGAAATATTCTATGGGATGGGATGAGAGTACGAATGTTAGTTTTTTTTTGATGAGTTGGATGGTGAAAGAATATTTTTCTGGGAAAAGAACGGGAGGAAAAGAAAAGAAAGAGTTGGAACGAAGGAGAGACGGGAGAGAAAAAGGCGATGGGACCTTTTAACTGGAGAATACATGGGATAGAAATGGAAAGAACGTTCAAAAAAGGAGTTGCTGGTGTGGCGTGAAATGACGAATCAACTGTGTCCAAACACAAAAAGTGGTGGCTAATTTGGCGATGGGAGATCAGGTTGTGAAGTGATGTTGGGTGTGATGACTTACAGAGTGGCGTTAAAGTGATGGAAGGGATGGAGATGAGGGAAGTAAAGAAGAGAGGGGAGAGGATGCAAAGAAAGGAAAGGGAGAGGGGAAGGGAAAGGAAGGGGAGGGAAAACAAAGGTGAATATGAGAGAGGCCTGGGAGAAGAAGAAAAGAAAGGGAAGAGGAAACAAAGTGAGTGAAATGAAATATTCATTGGTACAGCAGGGCTTGAGAGGAGGAAGAGTGTCCTGGCTGGCTGGCGGGCGCTTATTGGATCAAGGGTCGAACTAATTCCCACTCGGGTGTTGTTTTTAGTGTTTGCGGCCCCACAGCTCATTGACCCAACTAGATCATCGTGGTGTTGTTCCTAGCTGGAGCTCCCTTTCTTTCGGTGCAATCAGCACAGCCGCTGATCGTTCCTGGCAGTGATGGCGCATTGCCACCAACATAACTGTATCTGAACAGATGCACCTTGATCAGTTGTCGCACTTTGTTGTTCCATCAGTAGATGATAGTGTACCTGTCTATGTTCTAGTCTTGTGTCTGTAAAGTACATCGTGTGTGAATGGCGTTGTGGAGAACTGAGCTTGCTTGGTTCGTAAATTATTCTGGGACCACATGAGTGCTTGTGCAGCTCAGCAATCAATTCCCCTCCTTCTCTCCAACGGCGCACACCGCCAGCCATTACCACTAACATCAACACCACACCCTTTTGTTATGAGAATTTCTGGACTGCCCTCTCCTCTTTCCCCCTCCGCCCTTGCTTCCTTCTTTTTGTTTTCTATTTTTTCCTTTCTTTCTTCTTCTTCTTTCACCCTTCCTCTCCCTCCTCTCCTCCCTCCTCTCCTCCCTCCCTCTTCTCTTCTCCACCACCAATTCCTCTCTCTCCCTCTACCTCCCCTCTTTGCCTTTCTACCTTCCTCCTCCTCCCAACTCCGCCTCATTCATTCACCCCCCCCGATGGCAGACAAGCCAAACATCGCCACCATCTCCGGTTCTAATGCTCAACCTGCCGACGATGATGCCACGCTGATGCAACAGCTCGAAGAGGAACTCAAAAACACATCCATTGACGACGACGACGGCGTCTCCTCATCTTCCTCATCCGCTTCCATCGCCTCTGCAAAGGTCCAGGCTAACATGCTCTCTGCTAGGGAACAGGAACTTGCCGGTAAAATAAAAAAAGAAAAGCCCGCATTTGCCACCACGCCTCTCTTTCCGCCCCCACAACTTCCTTCCTCACCTTGCCTTCCACCCCTGTCGATCAATTGGTTGATATAAAAGAGCTTCTTCATCGATCAGTCTGTTGTGCTTGTCTGCACATCCACGGACAGATAGTCAGCCAGTCAACTTGGAACCCCAACTTTTTTTCTTTTCCCTTCCAATTCAACCCGATTGCAATTCAAGCATGCTTATCGACAAAACGTGAAAAATACGTTCAATTGACCCGCGTAACTAACGTTCCCAATTTTTCATCTGCGCAACTTGCGACACAATGACATAGACCAGGGAATGCTGGATGGAGTTCAGATCTTCTTCGAGAACCAATTTGTTGACGCACAGCGGATCTTTGCAACTCAGGACCAGGTCAACCCTGTTTACGCCCTCGGTTCTGGAGCCCTTGCCTTCATGAAAGGTAAATTAGAGTCGACGGAACAAATACCACGCACACATCCACACAGAGATGACAGGATGGACATGTGAAGAAAAAAAAAAGCGAAAGAATTCGCCAGGCCAGAGAATGATGCAAAAGGCAACAGCAGGGACATGTATGTTTGTGAGTGTACAGAGCTGTCTGCACATGACGACCGCAGACAAACAATGGTCAAATGTACTGCGCGAAAGAGATACTAATTCACCTGCTTTTTTTCTTACCCCTTCTTTTGTCTGTATCACCCAAACCTTGGTCGTCTTCCGTTTACATTATTTTCCGTTGGGATCGTCTGACCGCTTCATGGAATAATCGCGCTAATTCCCACGGACACAAATTTGCCCAACCACTAACCACAAATCCATGGAACGATAAACAGCATGTATGACATTCAACGAATCCGACATCGCGACGGCCACAAGGCTCCTTCAGCACGCCGAGGCGCTGTGCAATGCGCAGATCCAGGCTGCACCCAAGAAGACTGTGCCCCTGATGACCTCTGTCTCGAAGCTGGTCTCTTCAGGGTGGAGCTACTTTGGCTACAAGGACACCAACAAATCCATGAGCAACAGCCCTGCAGGAACTCCTCCGCCACCGCCACCAAAATATATGACCAACGGTGAAATCAGAGCAAGAGTTATTCGTGCAGAGAGTTTGCTCCTGACCTCTTTGATCCTCTTGCTCCAGGAAAGCATGATGAGTTACCTCAAGGCGGGTCTTAACTTGCGCAAAGGTAAACCTTTCACTGTTGCATGGCTTCCGATCTCATTTGTATGTCTGGTCCCGCGTGATATAATATGCGACTTATGTGATCGGTCGCTAACTACTTATATGATCGAATATAGGATACAAATCGTACGAGAACGTTTGGCTGGAGCTCAAGTCCATGGGCGATGAAGTCAACACCCTCGTCGACAACAACACTCTTGGAGGCATCCATTTCGGGTAAGTAATTCTCACAAGAACAATGACACTGACTAACGCTTTCTTTGTAAACGAAGTATTTACCAAAACCATCATTATTCAACATCCTCCCATGTTTGATAGGTTGGGAACAATCAACACTGTATTGGCGATGATGCCGGCCAAGATCCTGCGGATCATCTCCTCGTTTGGATACACAGGCGACAAGGCATTCGGATTCGACTTGGTCTCAAAGGCCATCTCGGGCAAAGGAATCCGCTCCCCGCTGGGCTCACTTATGTTCTTGTCCTACTATACCATCCTGGCCGGGTTCGCACCCTCGGTCCTGGGCGAGACCAACATTCCGATTGCGGACAAAATTCTCAAGGACGCCCTTCGGGACTACCGTGAATCGGCCTTTTTCCTCTACTTTGAGGGCCGCAACAGCCGTCTCAAGGGCAACATCAAGGAATCGACCGATGCGTTTGAGTTGGCTTCTAGTAAAGCCACGATCGAGTGGGGATCCGAGTTGCAGAGGTTGTGTGATTATGAGCTCGGATTGAACTGTGCCATTTCGCTCCAGTGGACGGATGCTACTGTGTACTTTGAGAGGCTGGCCAAAGAGAACTATTGGTCCAAGGCTTTCTTCTTGTACTTTAAAGCAGCGTCGCTTGAGGCTGCGGGACATAAGAGGGATGCGCTGGCGATCTACCAGTCGATTCCTGGACTCGTGAACCGCAAGTTTGGAGGACGCACTATCCTGGTCGAGCAATATGTTACCCGCAAGGTCAAGCTGTTTGAGCTGAACGGATTCGAGGAGACCAACCTCCCCGCGCTTGAGATTCTCTTGATCTGGAACGCCTTTGCATCCATGACCCCACAGGATCTCCAGACATCGCTCGCCCAGGTCGATGCTCAGATCAGTAAGAACCGTGGTTCGACTGGACTTGACTCTTTGGCAGTCCTCAAGACCATCAAGGGCGCTATCCTGCATCAACTAGGCCGTCACAAGGAAGGTGCCGAATGTCTGAACTGGGTGATGGACCTGCCCGCTGGAAAGATTGCCGAAGAGAAGTGGGTGGTTCCTTTTGCTTGCTGGGAGGCTGGTGTTGGAAGCTGGATGGAGGATAAGGATCTGGAGGGTGATCGTCGTTGGACAAGGGCCAAGGGGTTCTGGGACAAGGCGATGGGGTTCTCGGGGTACGAGTTTGAGTTCCGGTTGTCGGTTCGGATCCATGCCGCCATGATGCGTATTAACGATATGGTTGAGCAGATGAAGTTGAAGGCCGGTCATTAGATCCTCTTTTTTTTTTGTATTATTAGAATAGATCTTCCAATGTTAACATATATACTCATCTGGGGTTCCGGGCTATTTTATTTTTGCTTTTGTGTTCTGAGTACGCGCATGATCAACGTTAAAAATAACAGCAACGAAAATGGCTGGCAAACGCTTACCAGATTCACTCTTCCTACGATTAGGATCTTCACCGACACCATTACCATCGCCATCACAATAGGCTTATCAGTCTCAGAGTCATTGATCAAATGTGTTTGCAAAAAAAAAAAAAAAAAAAAAAAAAGTTATTATTTGTACAAAAGGGAGAAGGGGTAAGATTTTTCTCAATATCTAGAATCCTGCGCTCTTCATAAGATCGGCACCGCTCAACGTTGGTTTAGGCGGCTTCATCTTATTCTTCATATTCTTCTTCTCCTTCTCGGTCTTCTTTTGATTCCCACTACTACCACCACTGCTTCCAGACTGGACACTCTCCACAACCGACCCCTCGGTGTTCCCACGGATCTTGGACGGTGCGGGCGCCTTGGCTCCCCCAAAGTGATAATCCAATGCTCCAGAGACGACGGCGGCACTTGGGAGTACATCTCCACGGAGTTGTTGTTGCTTTTGGAGGTACCGCTGGTGTTGGAGCCGGTGTTGTTCGAGCATGAGCATCTCTTGGCCACGCATGTGTTCCTGCTCTAGTTGGTGCTGCTGTTGTTGGATGTACTCCTGTTGGGCCATCTGGTGCTGGTGGACTTGTTGTTCCATATCGTACTGCATCTGCATCTGGAGTCGTTTCTTGGCCTGGAGTGTCCGGTCGTCCAGCTGGTAGTCGTCATAGATAGGCTGGGATGTGAAGAGGTGTTGTTGGAAGGACGGTGACAGTGGTGATGGGTAGGCGGTCTGGTATTGAGATCCACCTTGGGGGTATGTCGGTGAACCGAGAGGAGAAATAGGTTGATTCTGATATGCGCCTCCTGCTCCTTGATGATGACTTGGTGGCAAGGGTGCTGCTCGGGTAGGTCGCAGGAGAGAATTGCCACTGGGCGAGGAAAGGAACAAGGGCTGGTGCTGCTGCTGCCCCGTCTCGTCGACTTCCTGAATCATCGAGGGCATCAATCGTTGACCGCCGTTGTATTGCTGCAGAAGGTTGTCACGGACGTGGCCTCCATCAGTGCTGATACTGTCTCGGGAGGCGGCACGTCGGTGCTGGGTAGGTGGGTAAGGCACCTTGGTGGATGGAGGTGGAGGGGCACGCAGGCTGTTGGACCGAACAATACCCGCGGGAACAGGTGGAAGTTCCCTGGGTTCCGTGGCAGCTGGGAGAGTCTGAACGGCCAATCCGATAGCTCTTGCCTGAAGACCGAGTTCACCAGCCATCAACGCTGTGCTGTAGATGCGGATGGGGTTCATGTGGACCAATTGGTGCAAGATATCCATGGTGAGCGCATAGAGACCGTTGAGCTCGTAGCGCCGAGCAAGGATCAACAGATAGTCGGCCATACCAGCCGAGATGGTTGTGGGGAGACTGCCGGTGTAGAGGTACTGTAGGAAGAGTGGTACCACGTCGTCGGGGACGGGCAAGATCAAGACCAAAGGTGTCACATAAGGGGGAGACAACAGCATGGTCGAGAACTCGGGCCAACGAGCAGCAAGCACAGTCGAGTTGGCTCCAAAGAGAGTACCAGCTGCCGAGCAGACTTGCATGTCGCTCAAGCTGGGTCTTGACAACAGCTCCAATCCAAGATCTTGTGCTTCTTTCGAGAACGAAGGGATGGGTCGCTCGTACAGGCCGTAGGCCTGCAAGTTGACCATCATGATGTGATTGTGGTGCTGGAGACGGTTGGCATAGTCCTCGTCGGCGTTGGACGCTTGGTTACCAAAGATGAACAGCGTTCCTGTGGCAGGGTGGAGCAAAGTGCGGCTCCAGGAACCCGTCTCGAGGAGGTTGTCGGTCGAGAGCTGCTCCCACTTGTAATGGGTGAGGTTGAAGGCGTAGATGGCCAGAGTGGGTTTTTTGCCGGGCAGGATTAGGGTGCCTGTGAGGATCAGCTGGTTCTGGTATACGTGTCCTTGAGGGAAGCGAAGGCCGGGTGGGAGCTCGTGACCCATCATGGCCAGTGCCTGGGTCTTTTCGACCAATGAGAAGGATGGAGGAGGCGCCGGGGTGGAGGCAGGCGTGGAAGAAGGCCCATCCATGGCGATGGCCGGGTGGGTGTAGTGTGGGGTGATGACCTTGAAGTCCCGCTGAAGGTTCTTGAAATCATAGTTTGAATAAAGATAAATCGACGGCACATCCCGACCAGTCCTGAACGCCGGTGTAAGTTCGCCACTCATCAGTCTCTCCGAATTTTTGCGTTTGGTTGGGGGCTGTTGTTGCTCATCAGAGCCTCCGTCCGGTGTATCATCTCCTCTCGAGGAAGCTGTTGTCGAGCTTGGTGCGGAGATGCGGCCACTGAGCACCATCGAGATACTCGCCATCGTATCAATGGGACCCGAGTCCGTCGAGGGCCAGGAGAGGTTGGCCGATGTCTGTGGAGAAGATGCGGTCGCCGAGGGGAAAGAGGGTGACGCTGGGGCGACAGAGCTGGCCGATTGCTTGCCGGGTCCAGTGGCGGCAATGGTTCGGTAGGAGCCGCACTGGCCAATGGACTGGATAGAGGAGACCCACTCCCAGGTGTGGAGGTCTAAGACACAGGCATCCTCGACATAGGCCTTAGCCGTATCCGTACCTCCAATGACGACCAGATAGTGGTCCAAAATCGTTGCCATATGGGCCCAGCGGGGTTTGGGAGAGTGCGCATTGACCTGAGGGTGTTTCTGTTGCCAGCGCTGAGTAACAATATCGAAGACATGAAGATCATTTAATGCAGCCATGACGTCTTGGCTCCCGTCGTCCTCGCCGCTCTCCTGCTTCTTGTCGTTTGCGCCGCCGTTGCTGTCGCTTCCGTCATTGCTGCCGTTGTAGACCTTGCCCATGCCGCCAAAGAGAATCAATGACGTACCAAAGGCATTGAGCGTGTGAAAGTACCGAGGACTGGGTGGGACCGAGATGGGATCCGAAAGTGTGCCGGCGTGAGTCTCCTCAACCGGATCTGTCGTCAACGAGAGCGACAGCATCGCAGAGGGGTCGCTCCCACCCTCGATTTCAGGGTCGGCAAAGTTGTTCTCCGACGAGACGTCGTGGAGGGTATCCCAGAACCCGGTCTCGACGTCAAGAACATAGTGAACATTTGTCAAGTCACGGTTCTCGAGCCGGCCACCAAAGCAGTGGAGGGCCGAGTCGTTAACGAGGACAATGGCGGAGCCCATCAAAGGGGGTGGGGGTGTACCCTTTGTTGTAGTCGATGTGAGAGCGAGAGCTTTTGTGGAGACCTGAGTCCGCTGCTGTGGGTGAGAGGGGATATTGTGTCGGTGCTGTTGCTGTTGTTGGTGGTGTTGTGGCGGTGTCGTGTGCTTATATTGGAGGGGCGAGGTATTTGTCTGGAACAGACCGTTACTATTGCTGGCGAACTCGCCCTGAAATGACCGTTGTGTTGATGCCGAGACAGACATCCTGTTGTTTTTTAAGAAAGAAGGTGAATGAGAGGGGAGGAGGGAGAAGGGAGTGAAACACTACTATTACACGCAAAGGGTGGGGTGGTGCGGGGGAATAAGAAGGGAAAGGTTTGGTCGGAAGGCAAGTCTAGAAGGTAAGGTTGAAGGAAAAATGGAAGGAAGAGAGGGGCACGCGACATAGTATATATCCGAGTGAGTCAAGAAAAGATGGATGGTTGAAGAAAAGTGGAGAGGAGAAGATGTTGTCAGCATTGGGCAAAAAACAGATAGGTATGGCCTCTTGTTCGCGCGGTTCATGTCTTGTCAGGAAGAAGCGAGGAGTGTCCAACGGGTCAAGTTATGTATGTTGCTTACCGGAGTGTAGGTATGAAGAGCGTGAGAGTGTAAGCAGAGGAGGAGAAGGAGTGGATGAAGTAAAGAGAGATGATCGGTCCTCCGGAGCAGTAGTCGATTGAAAGAGCAGAATAACGAAGAGGGAGAAAGGGTTTTGGATATTCACAAGAGGGATTGGTGATGATAGAGAAAAAAGGATTAAAGTGTGAACTGTGGAGGTGGAGGTGGAGGAGGAGAGGGATATGTACAATTGGAGGGGAGTAAAGGTTGGGAAAGGGAATTGTTGTGGAGAAAGAAGGAAGAGAGAGAAAAGAAGAGAAGAGAAGAGAAAAAGAGAGAAGGGGTAAAGGAGAGAAAAGCAAAGAAACAGAGGAGAAATCTGAAAAAGGGGGAAAAGGGAACAGGGAAGGGGAAGGAAACGGAGGAGAAGGAGAAGAAGAAGAAGGAGAAGAAGAAGGAGAAGAAGGAGGAGAAGGACAAGGAGGACAAGGCTCACAGACGATATTTTATGTTTTGTGGGAGGGAGATGGAGGGGAGGGATGTGGGTTGGGGAGACCTGGATGTGTATGCATTGGGGAAAAGAAAAAAGAGAGGACAACCAAACCTTGCGTTGCTGTCTGTGTTCACTCACACACCCGCATACAAAAAGAACACCGAGTTGTCTGGCCGCTGCTTGTGCGTGTTGCCAATGGACAGACAGACAGACAAACAAACAAGCACAAGCAAACAAACAAGAGGAACCTTGCTCTCTTGACCCAACAGAATTAAGATAAAAAAAAAACCAAGATGTTGACCATTGCTATTACTATTGCTGTCCTTCATTCTTCCTCGCTTGCACGCTCATCCTCATTTATATATTTAAAACTTCTCTCCCTCGCTCATTGCTGTTATTTAGATGGGTGGCGCCAAACACCAACATCAGCAACAATAAAGACGAGCTAGAAGGAAAATTGCATCCGCAATAACAACGAGAGAACACAAGAAACACAAAACACAAAACACAAACAAACAAATAATAATACTAATAACACACACATGAAAAAGGGGATCCCCTTCTTTACTCTTTCGTCTTTCATCTCCCTCGCGCGCTGTCAACAAAAGTGCGTCCCCGAGTGTCTCTGTCTTATGTCGCTGTTTTCCTTCTTTCTCCAACCGTGACATGATTCGACAGGAGACCACGCACTAGAAATGAAATGAACCAACCAACCATTGCCATACATAATACAGGGCACAAGAGTCGAAAACAACGATGGTCCGTTGTACAGGAACAACAACCCTATCAAGGAAGATTTAGAATCCTCACTTCCTTTTCATACTCCCTCTTCCTTTGTCGTGTTTCTCCCTTTGGTCTACTGTAGTCTTTCCAGAATCCAGTAGGGAAGAAGAAAAGAATAACAGGAAGCGGAGGATTTCGCAGCCAGTCTTTTCCATTTCATCTCCCTCTCTCTCTGATGCCATAAACTCTCTCTAAACCATAAACTGTATCGCCTTTGAACACCGTTGACCCTTAGTCACCTTCATTTGCTTCTGCACAGAACCATGTCCGACGGAATAATAACAACAGCCGTGTCAATGACAATAAAACAACAACATACGGTTCTCCTGTCATCTCTCTCAATTACTCCCGTCAAGTTATTCGATCCTCTTCTCCACCGTCCCTTTACTGTCACTCAGTCATCGAAAATTGGGCGTTAAGCCTTCTTCTCTTCTACTTGCTCCCATAGCCCATGTGAGCGACCTGGTTGAAAGTAAAGTTTTTCTTTGAAAACGAAAAGCTGTTTGAGAGGAAGAGGGAGAGAGAGGGAAGTGCCATGTTCTCCCCCTCCACAATAAATCCAACGATTGCTCAGAAAATGTTTTACCCTGGTGTCTGTCCGTCTGTCAGATCACCAACTCAGGTTCAACCAACCCCACTTGGCGTTTGCGGGTTGGCGTCCAGCTCGTTTTAGCTGAGTCTCCAGAAAAGGAGGAGGTCGTGCATACATCTACACAAGTACTTGCAATGTATGCATGTACCCGACCTGTTTATCAACCAGACAATCTTACCTCTCTCCGTCCTCTTTCACTCTCTTATCGTCACTCACCCTCTCGCTCAAAGTGGCTTCCCCCCTCTCCACTTTCTAGGTTCTTTTACTACGTACATATGGATACTCACCTTTAACTGTCTCATGCTACACTTTTGAGGAAATCCTTGTTCATATGACCGTTAGGCAGTTGGCCCACTCTTGAATACACTAACGAGAAAACAATAAATAAACAGGCTAGGGGGTACCCTTTGAGGGACCAAACGGGACCTAGGCCCGCTTTAGCATAACGCACAAAATAAAAAAAAGTAAGCGAGGGGCGAAGACGAGGGACATGTCAAGGCAAGGAAAATATAATAATGATCGCTTTTCGCTTTTCTTTTTTTTCTTTTCACACTTGCAAATCGTCACGATCGTCGATCGAAAAAAAGATGGGGTAGGAAATAAGCACAACAACTAAAAGCATCCCGCACATACATACTTATTTGCAAGCGTATCCACATGTCACTGCCATCACCGCCATCTCTCCACATCATGAAAATGGGTTCAGGTGCAAAGAGAAATTTGTGGATTGACGACAAACGAAGCAAGACTGGCATAAGGAAAAGAGACGGGGGGAACGTAGTAAATAACATGAGAGCCCCGACATTTCTTTTTCCTCTTGAGGTCCGTTGTATTTTCACTCCACCATGACAGCCTTCAATCACACAAGGCACTAAGAAAGAAAACGTACTTTAGTGCGACCTCATAGCTTGAAACAAACGGCAAGTGCTCGTCCTCATGCCAATCGACACTACCGCTGTGAGCACGTACCATTGAACCAACACAAAAAACAGCCGTGCATCGCGGAAGGAGCAGCAGTTCCTTCTCCAGCGCTCGTTCATATGTGTGTGTGTGTGTGTGTGTGTGTGTGTGTGTGTACGCATGGTATTGTCATGCGAGGGATAGCGTCGTCTAATAGGGAATTAGCAGTGTTCCCTTATGCCTCTCTTCATTTTAGAGTGTAAAGCGACAATCATAATAATAGCATTATTCTCTCTTTTATGGGACGAAGTTCACGGGTGGTCCGGAACTTCCAATGCCGAGAGGAGGTGTTTTCTATTTTTTTCTGTGCGACATGCGGACGGCGAGTACGCTTTGTTTGCCCAGTCTTCATTTCTCCTTCTCAGCCACTTCTTGTCAGTACCCGCGCGCTGTTTGTGCGTTGTGAACGCGTTGAAATCTACTATGATCGAGCAGAGCGCATTACCGATGAGCCCGCATGAACCAATACTTATGAACAGGATGACATCAAAGTACACTCCACTCACCATCGTGTTCGTGAAGAACAAGCCTAGTTGTTGTCTGAGTTGACGGCTTTTGGTGATATGATCGATGTTAGGCTGAGCAATGTGCCGTGTCCTGCCCAACAGTAGAGACACAAAAAGTGAGCAAACAGATACAGATATGTAAACGATATGTGGCTCATAGAGCAGCTGTGCATACAATTCTTCAATCCACATTGCATTTGAATTACCTACCAGGGATTGCTAAGCTAATCTAGTCTACCTGCAGTCAGGTTTTGCACCTTCAGTGCGTGCATTTGTCAGGACGACACCCGTTGTTGGACAAGGGTCTCTTTGTCACCCAAATGGATGATTTGCCTCAGCCACCCGACATCCAACGATGATTCAGATCAACGTCACAAACTCGTCTATTCGTCTGGTCATAAAAGCGTAACACTTTCTCTTCATTCCATCCCCAACCCAACGACACCCAACACTACACAACCATGACCGCCCTCGACCAGCTCAAGACCTTCACCACCGTCGTCTCCGACACCGGCGACTTTGAGTGTAAGCACATACACATATACTCCCTGTTGTTTTTTGACAGTCTTTGTTTTGTCGTCTTACTTTCTCACGTTGCCTTACTTTTGCTGACAATGGAGCGAATCGCAGTGATGAACAGGACGCAAAGAAACTGATCGGCTCTTCTTCCTCACCTTTCGGTGACTCGTCTACTTGTGTACAACAATAGCCATTGCTCAGTACAAGCCCACTGATGCCACTACCAACCCCTCGTTGATCTTGGCCGCTTCCCAGAAGCCCAACTATGCGCACTTGATCGACGATGCCATCGCCTACGCCAAGAAGATCGGAGGGTATGTATCTCTTCCTTTACTTTATCATTTTTATTTTCCTGGGGACTCGTCCCCGCAAAAAAAAATGGGGTGCACTGAGGAAGGGAGGTTCAAACCAGGGCAAAGGGAGCCATGAACAGACGCGAAGGACATTTTTTTTTTCGCCTGCTGTTCACCCTTTCGAAGAGGATTTTTTGCTTTTGCTTCTTTTTCAGCCCAACAGAACTTGATAAGCCATGTTTTACCTGTATGCATGGTTTTCTTTTCCGATTGTGGATGGAGTGAGGATAAGAGTGGGGGGGATAGAAAGGAGGATAGATAATTGAACGCATCGAAAAAAAGAGGATCCATCGCCGTGGGAAAAATGAACGCAGAGGGTCAGATAACAACGCCAAGCGGCAACACCTTGATCAGTTGGAATGTAACGACACAACATACGTTAAGCAAAGAAGTAAGCAGACAGGCAAGTCGACACCTGTTGATCGATCGCGACATGGGATAAAAGAAAACAATCTCAGCAACTCGAGTCAACAGAGCACAAAGGAACACGGCGGGCGTAGCGCGTTTGTGGCTCAACGAACGTGGACACCGTCTTTTGATATTCTGTATATCAGAGGGGGCTTGGGTGGGTGACATGCTAGCATGCGCTGCGCGGTTTCTTTTCCTTTTCACCTTTCGTTGTTGGAGGGATGGGCCAAAGGAGACCAATTGAGTATGCTATGCTGGGGATCGGGTCAACAATGGATCATTGTTAAAGGATCTAGAACAGATCGACATGCAAAGAAAAAGAAGAGGATCAGTGTTTTCGATGACATGATCCTTATCAGCTGTAACGTTGGGCTGGGCGATTGATGACTTCTTTTGGGTTTTACGACCGCTCATGATTTTTGTGGGGTCCGACTGCCTCACTCTTTCACTCACCCAAAAAATAATTATGAGAAGGCTCACTTTCTCAACCCTGATAAGACTCATGCTACTCAACTCCACCTTCACCTTCATCTTCATACACACTAACCCAATGGCCACATCCCTACTTATCTCCGTGTAGTCCCGTCGAGACCCAGACCGAGTCTGCCTTGGACAAGCTCCTCGTCAACTTTGGTGTCGAGATCTTGAAGATCGTCCCCGGCCGTGTCTCGACCGAGGTCGATGCCCGTCTCTCCTTCGACAAGGAGGCCACCATCGCCAAGGCCAAGAAGATCATCGGTCTCTACAAGGATGCCGGCGTCGCCAAGGAGCGCATCCTCATCAAGATCGCCTCCACCTGGGAGGGTATCCAGGCTGCCAAGCACCTCGAGGCCGTCGAGGGCATCCACTGCAACCTCACCCTTCTCTTCTCCTTCGGCCAGGTAAACCTATCCTCAGGATTCTATTCAATTGATATCTGCCGCGACGCATATGGTCTTTCTTTCTCGGAAGATCCGCTATTCAAGCATACAGTAGATCGCGGAACTGTTCCGGAGATCGCACGTGTTCCGAGACCTCTTCGGGGTTGATTATCCCATCTTGCATCTGACTGTTGGGATGTTTTTACTAAACATGTTCTTACAATTGGTAATACCATATAGGCTGTTGCTTGCGCTGAGTCCAAGGTTACTTTGATCTCGCCCTTCGTCGGTCGTATCCTCGACTGGTACAAGGCCGCCAACAAGAAGGAGTACGTTGGCGCTGAGGACCCCGGTGTTATCTCTGTCTCCAAGATCTACAACTACTACAAGCAGCACGGCTACAAGACCATCGTCATGGGCGCCTCCTTCCGCTCCGTTGGTGAGATTGAGGAGTTGGCCGGATGCGACTTCTTGACCATCTCGCCCAACCTCTTGGACGAGCTCCACAAGTCGAACAAGACCCTCGAGCGCAAGTTGAGCCCCGAGCTCGCTACCTCGACTGCCCAGCAGTACCCCAAGGTCACCTTCGACGAGCCTGCCTTCCGCTGGGAGTTGAACGAGGATCCCATGGCCACTGAGAAGTTGTCCGAGGGTATCCGCAAGTTTGCTGCTGATGCCGCCAAGCTTGAGCAGCAGCTCGCTGCCAAGTTGGCTTAAATTCTTTTTCTCCTTCAATCGTTAATTTCTCTCTTTACTTTTTCCATTTTCTTTTGCATCGCTTTCCCCACCCCCGCTTCTGCAATCTGTTCATGACATGGAGAAATTGTACATAACAATAAAATCAACAAAAAAAAAAAGCATGTTACAACGGTTAGTAGGCGACGAAGTAAGTGCATGGAACAACACGCAAACGAGTAGAGATGTCGAACTTGGATACCTTGTAAGGCGCCCATCAATGAGAAGAGGTTCATACACATACATAATCCTTATTCAGTTGCACATACTCCAATGGGCTAGAGAGATGGATGGGGCTGGGTGGGTCTCTTTGTAGGACAAAAAAAAGCGGTGTCGTGAGGACCATTGCTCATTTGGGTCGGTCCAATGAAAGAAACCCAAAAGTATGAAGGAATAAAAAAAAATGAAATAAGACGTGAGTGTTCACAGAACAAATCGAAGAGGAACGTAACAAGGACACGGAAGTCTCAAAAGGAGGTGGTTGCTCTTTTCGTTCTTACTTTCAGTGCATGGTTTGGACGGCGGAGGTGGGGATACGGCGAGGCGGATGATTGGTTTAAGTTGTTTGTGTTGTGGAAAGAAGAATCAAATGATGTATCGTCTCTTTCTGACTTTGCCTTCAACGCGCATGGTAAAACGCGAAAAATATTACAACGCGTGGTTTTTCTCTCATAGGCAGGTTTAAAAAAAGTAAATTCGAAGGCGCGAAACGTAAAAACTGTGTAAAGTAAAATGCGCCCGCAGCACCTTTATTTTTCTTTACAGTGCATGGGCTGTGTCGCTGGCAGTGGGCGACGGAGAAAAATAAAACCAACGAGCAAAAAAAACAAAGGTACCAATGCCTTGTCTAGGTGGGGATAAGGAAGGAAGTCGCCTTGTTTGTCAAAATCAACCATGCGTGTGAAGAGATCATCAGGATAAACATCCCGTTGCGGGAGCGAACCAAAGACATCATTTCCTGCCTCGGAGGACCACAACGTCTCTGGGATCCTCTGGAGTCTTACAGTTCGGGTTGGCATAGAGTATGACACTGCAGTCGTCGGGCAGATCGGCGGAGATCCTTTGGTTGAAGGCGTGTAGTCCGAAAGTGACCATTTCGTTGGCAAAGTTGAAGCCAACATCGATTGCGAATTGTAGAAATTCACAATTTGACGTGATACTTTTCTAGACAGACGTCGAACCCGACACCGGATCGCATATGCAAGTTGCTCTACGTATGGATGGCGGTGGCGGTGGTGAGAAGCGAGGTTATCGTTGATACGAGGGTTGGGATGGTAAACTTCAACTACGTGGGGTATGAAGGCATACGATGCGACGATAACTTTGCGATACGATAAAAGATAACGAGGTTCGTCTACGTTGTGCGACATAATGGTGAGTTAACAACTTAAAAATGGAAAGTGCTCGTGGCGCACGCAAGAAAAAACGAGGCACGGGTACTTACCATGGTAAGCTTGAAGGATGTGAGTGGAAAGCGAATGATAGAGGTGGGGTTGAGAGTGGAGAATATAGACCGGGACGAAGCAGGCATCTTTTATATGTTAGTAAGCATAACAAACACAAGGAAGAAAAAAAAAGAAAGAACCAACGAGATCAATAGTGAAGGTCATCCTTCAAAAGGTACCAGAAACGAAAGAAAACGAAAGGAGGGTTCACACGAAACCATCTCTTCCCCTCCTTTGGCTCTGTTTGTTGCAGAAGAGTAAACGGAAAGAGGAAAGGGAGGCGAAGGTGTTAAGGATGCTGAAATAAGAAGTGCGAAAGATGGCATACATGTTACGCTTTAAAAAAAATAGAACGCGAAAATGTCCCTAAGAAAACAAAGGGTGAGAATAAGTCATGCTCGATCGGGCGCAACAATTGCTCCTTGGTCGTCTTCTTGATCCCTGAAAGTAGTCATTGTCCTTTTCTTTTTTCGCGATCTGGGATGTAACGTCACAACAGTGATTGGATTTTTATACCACCCAGCCCTCTTGCAATTGCTCCAAATCATCATCTCGTTACCTCCATGGTTGAACTGAGTTAATTGATAAGAGAAGATATGATCCCGAGGGGTATACAGGTAAGTCCAAAAACAGGAAAAAAACGCGTCTCCTAGGTGACTTTCACTCGCTAGAACTCATTTCCATCCAGCTTAGAACTGGCGCGCGCTGTTCTGGGTACTTCTACGTTTATTTAGTTTTGGATATGCATGTACACAAATGACGTCTATAGCGCGCCGGGGATAGGGATCAGATGCCTCATCCGCTCGACCTTGACTTTGAGGTACCGATCCAGTTCTTTACCTTTGACGATCTTGTTCTCAACCGCACCTTCTTTAACCTCAAACTCGGTCGCCTCAATACCCTGTTCGATTGCTTCCCAGGATTTAGGCATCATGGGCACACGTTCGACAACGCGGATTTGACTGTCTCGTTCGACCTGCTCAATCTTGTCGGGATTGTTGGTCAGGAGCCGAATCTGATCCAGACCCAAATCCTCGAGGATCCCCTGAGCAACTTCGTAGGTTCTTTCGTCCGCACCATGGTTCAAAAGGAGGTTCGCCATAACAGTGTCGTATCCAAGATCCTGAAGATTGTACGCCCTAAGAAACCGATTGAATGTAATAATAAACAATAATTAGGATTGCAATTTCCCTGCGATCGACAGAAGTAGGGAGAGAAGAGGTGCCTGTTGCTGTGTCGATTTGATATAGTGGTGTTTGGGAAATGTGAAGTGCAAAAAGAGGTGGTGTTCGACGCGGCAAGCATAGATCAAAAACCGGACAAGAGTAATGGGGAGTGGAATAGGAATGAAAAGAGGCAGAGGGCGGAGGAGTAGAGGAGTTGGAAAGATGGGAAGGTGAAGAGTGAAGAGTGAAGAGGCCGTGTATTCCTTTCTTTGCAACTTACTTGATCTTCTCGCCCAAGCCAATGCCGCGGCCTTCCTGACGGAGATAGACGACAACACCGGCGCCCTCTTCCTTCATGCGTCTGATAGCCTCGTCCAATTGCTCTCCACAGTCGCAGCGAGCTGAATGTCCGATCTCACCGGTGAAACACTCGGAGTGGATACGGACAAGTGGGGTACTCGGAGCTGCCGTAGTCATCACAGTGTCCTCCTTTTGGCCCTGTTGGATAATTGACGTCGTTGTAGAGGTAGTGGTGATATTGGCTGTTAGCACAGTCGTAGCAGTAGCAGTAACGGTCTCTGCTGCCGCGAGGACCGTTGTGGTTGTCGTTGCTGTTGATGTCTGTTCTTGTTCCTGAAAAACGGGTAGGGAGGTTAAAGAGTGATCGGCGGCGGCGGCAATGGGTTGCAATCGGCCCGTGTAAGCGCCGCGCTTGACCCGATCCATCTCGGTCTCGTTCGGCTGGACTTTATCCAGACTACAGCTGCGGATCGCATCGCCAAAAACAAAGGCCAGGTGCTCCTTCTTGTCCTGCGAGTTCTCGTAGATGTGCAGAAAGTACTCTGATCCGTCTGGGGTGGGGATTCTGGCCCTAGCAGTGCACCATGCCACTGGTTCCTTCCTTGCTCCTGCAGCTGCCTGGGGTTGTGTAGCTGCTGAAGTTGATACGACAGGTCCAGGGGTGACTACTTGAGTCTGTGGGAAGGAGAGAGGTGGAGTTGCAGGTGGGGTGTTGTAGGATTTAGCGGAAGAAGAGGTTGAAGAAGGGAGAGAATCGGTAGTGTGAGCAAGGGAGCTTCGCCTGGGAACGGGGGTCTGCAGGCCGGAGCTGCAGGAGGAAGGAGTGGGGGTTGGATAAGGATTGCCTTTATGAGTGGTGGTATCGGGAGTGTGGGTAGTGTGAGAATGAGAGTGGTGACGGTGGCTGTGGTGGCCGTGTGAGTGGGCGTGGTGGTGGTGATGGGTATGTTTGGCAAAGTAGGGGTTCATGTGGTCCATGAGGTTCCTGGGGATGTAGTCCTGGGAGTCTGTGGTCATCATGGTTGTGTTTGGAAGGGTTGGTATAAAGAGTAGAGAGGGGAATCAGGAACAGGGGCAAAGGGAGAACGGCGGTACAAAAGGAGAACGGCGGTACAAAGAACGACAAAGACAGCCGAAGGTCTTAATCGGCAGGGCAAAGGAAAAGGAGGAAAGAGAGAGAAGAAAGAAAGAAAGAAAGAAAGAAAGAAAGAAAGAAAGAAAGACGAAGAGACAAAGCGTGGTTCATAGAGAAAATGGTTCGACCGCACCACCTCAGTTCTCGGCTGAGAGAGGGAAGGGGAAACAAACAAAAAATGGTGTATCGCATCTTTCTCTCTCCACTCAGCTCACACAGAAGACACCACACCCCACTCAGACCAATCTCCGGAGATGCTGCAACTTTGACCGAGATCTGCCCAACGGCAAGTTATTATCCTTCTTGACACTCGATCGTCGCTAAACGACATCCTCGCAACCGTACCAATTACTAACCGCCTATTTAATCGCGGGAAGCTAATTCTACCTCTTGAGATAGAAAGGCCATGCTCATCCGGTAAATGCCTGCCTCCAGGGTAGTGGTCTCCAGAGTCCATAGCCTACCTATCAAACGATGTCGTCTGTTGTTCGTTCTTACAACATTCTGCCATGGTGGTATCCAATTATCATGTGATCGAAGAAGAGAATCATCGTAAATGCTTCCACCATTGCGCTTCCTTCCTTCCCTTACTTTACTTTCGTGTGCCTGTCTGTGTCTGTCTGATTGAGTGATTGATGCACTGATCTTTCACACCTTTTTTTTTTTTTTTTTTCCTGGCTCTCTTTCCTTTCTTTCCTCACCACTCCATTCACCCTACACGAACTGAACCATAATGTCCCGCTTCCTCGCCATCTCCCGCCCTCTCGCTGCTACCACTCGCGTCCAGGTCGCCCGTTCGGCCCTCGCCTCCCGCACCGCTGTCCAGAGTAAGCACCTCCATTCACACTCCCTACTCTTCCTCTTTTTCGTTATCACTTTTTATCCTCCTTTCTTTTACCTTTCTAATGGAGTCTGGACAACACAGGATCTATATAACAAAACAGGAACGACCTATACATCCCATCACTCATGTGTACTCGGATCAGAGGAAAAAGCAGGACAAGTCGTGACAAGAAGAGTCCTTCGGAGAACCATCCTATTTTATTTTATTTTATTTTTTCTCTCCGAACTCTTTTATTGGTGTTGCGACCTCAGGGGACAGCCGGAAACGACCACGGATTTTTGTTTCTTCTGGGGGGAACACACGCAAACACGCTACAATATTTCGCGACATTCTTTTTCTACCTCACAGGGAGAGGAAGGATTATTCCGAACGACCAAGTCATGCCTCAACATCTTTATGTCTGGATATAAAAAAGCAATTGAAAGAGTTACACTGGACATTCGCCACTTTTTATTCAAGAAACAAGGGCGTTTTGTACCAATGCTTCTTTGCTCAAGTTCTGTACCCTTGTTATTGCAGGCTAAGAAAGAAGAAAAAAAGCAACAAAGTAAAGAGGACGCGGGAAAAACGGAAAAGTCGTTGTTATTTTGTCTCGGAGGAAGCAGGATGGGGGAATGGAAAAGGGCGAGGCGTTGAGGAAGGAGACTGGACTGACGGACTGGACGGACATGGCGAGAGTCCGCGTTGCCATAAATGGGCCAATTTCATTCCTCCTGCTCATGCGGTGTCATATCCTGCAGCTTTTTTTTTTCAATTCAGCTCAGCTCTAACTGAATCGACCCGCCACACCGGACGGACAGTCGGTCTTGCTGGGTTAGATATCAGTCAGCCATCCAGTCAGGCTGTGGAACATGGAACTGTGTACAATCTTTACAAGATGAAGTCGAACAATGGATGATGACAGAGACGCTCTTTACAACAACAATACACAATGATTGCGGACACAATCTTTAAAACAAGAACAAAGCAACACAATCTGTCGAACTTTCATATTGGAGGACGACGGATACACACTCCTCAGGAACAAGCGGCACAAAGGACAAGAACCAAACAGACTACTAATCGCCATCTCCTCTCTTTTCTACTTCTTCCACTCCACAAAAAATAGTCCGCTGCTACTCAGAGCACCACGAGGAGTCATTCGAGGACTACACAGCCCGTTTCGTCAAGTTCTTTGACAACGTCGACGATCTCTTTGAGCTCCAGCGTGGTCTCAACAACGCCTTTGGTTACGATCTCGTCCCTTCGGCTTCCGTCATCGAGTCCGCCCTCAAGGCTGCCCGTCGCGTCAACGATTACCCTACTGCCATCCGTATCTTTGAGGGTTTGAAGGCCAAGGCTAACAACGATGCCATCTACAAGCAGTACCTTGAGGAGCTTGCCCCTCTCAGGGCTGAACTGGGTGTTGAGACCAAGGAGGAGCTTGGCCTTTAAATTTAAGCATTCATTCATTGTTGTCATCGAAAGAAAAGTAGAATTTTTTTTGTTCACTAAACTATTGTATTAAAACGCGAAAAAAAACAAAGAAAAGAAAGGGGAGGTTGATGATTACGTTCCTGGGTGAAAAACTAGAGTATCTTTACCAGGGTCAACATCGCCTTCTTTTTTTTTTTTTTTTTTTTTTTCCGCTTTTGTTTGTAAAATGCCCTCTGGTGAGAACATTGATCTGAACGATGAAAGAAATGATAACGGTTGCATCAGCCTTTGAGATGAAAGCGGTTGATCAACTTGAGTAGTGATGTCTGTTGATCAAAAATTAGAAGCGATAATGGAGCACGCTGTACTGTACCGAATTGACGGTGTGAACTCACTTCCTTTCTCCGTCATGAGTAAAAGAATTAAGAATACGCGTTGAGGGGATCATCGAAACGATGAGTCCGTGGACAAGACAAATAGCAAGATGAAAAACAACTAGGCTCGACATGCAGAAGAATGATTAAATGTATGCGAGTATTTATGAGAGATGTGCAAAAAAGAGAGGGTTTCCTCCACTAAACCACCAAGTAGTAATCTACAGAATAAAAGAAAAAGAATGAAAAAAGAACAATGGAATGGGAGGGTTTGTGGAAGAGAGAAAAATGAAGAAACAAAGAAAACAAAAGAGAAAATGCTAGACCAGGGGAGAATCCATTTACTTCTTCTCCTTCTTGTCCTTCTTATCCTTCTTCTCCTTCTTTTCCTTCTTCTCCTTCTTCTCCTTCTTCTCCTCAGCAGCGGGCTCCTTGTCCTTCTTGTCCTTCTTCTCCTTCTTCTCCTTCTTGACCTTCTTGGACGACTCCTCGTTGTCAGAGTCGGCCTTGCGCTTCTTCTCTGATGGTGGCGAAGTCATGGTGGCATCTGTGGAGGTGTTGTACGAGGACGAAGCAACAAACTCGTGCTTCTTCTGGCCCTTGGCGTTACCAGCAGCCTTGCGGTCAGCACCGCTGGGCTTGCCGCCGTGACCCTCGAGCATTCTCAGACGAGCCTCGACCTTGCCGCGGTTCTCAATACCAATATCGGGGGTGTCGGTCTCACCGAGGGCATCCACTCTGATCGAAAGGGCAGCCTTGGTGGCAACCATACGGGCAATCTTACCCTTCATCTTGGGTCCAGCCTGACCAATCAAGGAGGCGTGATAGATCAAACCGTACTTGGGTGTGTCGTGCTTGGTCTTCAAAGCGCGGAAGAGAGCCTTCTCGGCACCGAGAATCTGGATGGTCGAGGCGGGGTGCTTGGCCAAAGTCATCAACGAACCGGCGTGGGCAATCAAACGGGCACCGACCAAGTCACCGACGAGGGCAGTCAAGTTGGGGGCGATGGCGTTCATGCGGTTCTTGAGGTACTCGTAGAGCTGGGTACGGTATTCGGTGATCGAGATGATCTGGTCGCAGAGAGCGTGAATGTTCTCCAAATCCTCATCAGCAATCTCAGTACCCATGGAGATCTCGGAAGCCTCCTTGAGCTCCTGCTCAAGCTCCTCGGGAAGGATGTCGGCCAAGTCGGTGGCCGAGCAGTTGGCGCGGAAACCCATCTTCTTGACAATCTTGGCGTAGGCAAGGTTATCGACGATCAACTTGGTCATCTCGGGGAAGTGCCAACCGTACCACTCCTTGACGCGCATAGAATAGGTGTTCAACTCCTTGTCGAGGTCGTCCAAGAGAGCAATGGCCTGAACGATCATGGTGTCGACTTTGTCGGGCGAGAACTTGAGCTTATAGCGAGAGAGAGAGTGGGAGAGACCCAAGACCATGGCGGACAAGTCCGAAGACGACAATCCAGAGAGGAGAGAGTCCAACTGAGAACGGATACCACGGTAAAGATCGAGGGTGGTAGAGTCGGAAAGAACCTTCATGTTGAGCTTCTTGGCAATGGCACCACCTAGATATTATTGGTCAATGTAATTGAATGAATGTTAGCAATTGGATCTCTTTCAGCTTATTTACACTGTGAATTAACAGTGCATATCCAAAAGGCAGGTTCAAGACGGGGATCCTTACCGAGCTTGGCGTCACCGACAATAAGGGACTCCTTCTTCATCTCCTTCTCACTAATCTCCTTGGACAAGAACTCCTTCAAGTTCTTGGCGAGCTTTCCCTCGACCAAAGCAGTAACGGCGGACAAAGCATCGGTGGTGTTCTCGAACTTGGTGAAAGCTCTGAGCTTGACGCTATAGTATCATCAATTGAGAATGAGTCGTGTCGTGTTCAATTGGATAGTTTTGTTAGTTTATCATCGCGTGGAACTAGGCAAGTGGAGTTGTATGATAGGGATAATGGGAGTGCAGGAGAATATCGGTTTGCTGGATTCTCAATACGACTGGCGTAGCGGAAAAAAAGTTTTTCTTTGTCTGTTGTTTTGATTGAGGATCAGTTGTTGTTGCGTTGATTGTGTAGGATCCAGATCCACTGTCTGGCGTTGTTCATTCTGCTTGTTTGTTGAATCCCTTTTCTGCGTTGGTTAGTTATCGTAGAGAGAGAAGTGAGGAAGGAGTGTGCTGCTGTTGAAGAGGGTGCTTGTTTGTGTGTGCAGTGTGGTGTGAAGTGTGTGAGAGTTTGTGTTTGCTTTTGTTGTTTTGTTTGTTTGGTGAATATACGAGTGTGAATATTGATTCCTTACGTCTTGTTGGCCTGCTCTGGGGTCTCGAAGTCCTTCCAGATGGAATCGGGCTTCTCGAGCTTGCCGTCGTCGAGGAGGGTGAAGAGGGCGTAACCAGCGGGAGTTTCGTAGAGGACCAGCATTTTCTGAGATGTGAGGAGGTGGTCGTGAAGGGGGAAGGAGGAAGAAGAATGGGTAAAGAGGAAAAGAAAAAAAAAAAAAGAAAAGTGACTGATCAACACAACAACAAAAAAAAAGCGACACACACCCACTCTCACAATGTTGTGTTTACATTTTTTGCTTTCTTTTTTCTTTTTTTTTTTCACGCAGTCACACTCACATATAAGAAACGCATTTTAATTCTTAAGGGCGTTGTTTATTTGAAGTGGGCAAACTGAGAAAAAAAGTATATGAAGAGCAAAAGAAATGAGAGGCAATTAGTTGTAGAGGTCGTCATCGATGTTACTGTCCTGGCCACCAAAGGCTGCGTTGCTGGCAGTGCCTTGGGAAGCATCGGGAGCAACAGAGCCACCAACACCACCCTCAGGGAACTTGAACGTGTTGAAGCCGCGCGAGTTCTGGAGGTTCTGGGCAAACATCTCATAGCGACGGATATCGCTGTCCTGGACTGACCGACGAGCAAACTTCATAGCCTCCTCAAAGTGGGCACGGGTAAGCTCAGGGACGGCATCCTCGTCATCCTCATCCATGGCCTCCTCATCACCACGCTCCTTGCGCTCACGCTCCTTGCGGATATCGGCCTCAATGTTCTCGCGAATGGCGAGCTTGCAGGCACGCTGGCAGATCTCGGTCAAATCAGCTCCGGAGAATCCGTGGGTAGCCTTGGCGATATGGTCAAGGTTGATCTCGACCGAGATGGGGGATTTGCGAAGAGTCGACTTCAAGACAGCAAGACGCGAAGCCTCATCGGGAAGAGGAATGTAGATCAATTGGTCAAGACGACCGGGACGCAACAAGGCGTTATCGATCTGGTCGGGTCTGTTGGTGGCTCCAATGACAAAGACGTTCTTCTTGGCGTTCATTCCATCCATCTCGGTCAAAATTTGGTTGAGGACACGGTCACCGGCTCCTCCACCATCTCCAGAGGAGCCACCACGGGCCTTGGCGATCGAATCCAACTCGTCAAAGAACATGACACAGGGAGCAGCGGCACGAGCCTTGTCAAAGACATCACGGACGTTGGCCTCAGACTCTCCGAACCACATGGTCAACAGCTCAGGACCCTTGATCGAGATGAAGTTGGCCTGGCACTCGTTGGCAATGGCCTTGGCCAACAAAGTCTTTCCGCAACCAGGGGGTCCGTAGAAGAGAACACCGCGGGAAGGAGACATACCGAACTTCAAGAATTTTTCGGGGTGCTCAACGGGGTACTGGACAGTTTCCTGGAGCTCCTGCTTGACTTTCTCCAAACCACCAACATCGTTCCAGGTAGTGGTGGGGACCTCGACAACAGTCTCGCGAAGGGCCGAAGGGTTGGAGATACCCAAAGCATAGCGGAAGTTCTCCATAGTGACGGCGAGCGAGTTGAGGACCTCAGCATCGATGGTTTCATCGTCGAGATCAAAGAGCTCCATCTTCTCACGAATCTGCTGCATGGCAGCCTCAGAGCACAAACTGGCAACATCCGATCCGACGTAACCGTGGGTCTCGGAAGCAATCTGCTCCAGATCGACATCATCGTCCAACTTCATGTTCTTGGTGTGGATGCGGAGAATCTCGAGACGTCCAGTGGGGTCAGGAATACCAATGTCGAGCTCACGATCGAAGCGTCCGAAACGACGAAGGGCGGGGTCGATAGAGTTGGGGCGGTTGGTGGCGGCCATGACTACAATGTTGGAGCGAGCCTTCAATCCATCCATGAGGGTCAAGAGCTGGGAAACAACACGTCTCTCGACCTCTCCGTTGGTCTTGTCACGCTTGGGTGCAATCGAATCGATCTCGTCGATGAAGATAATGGCGGGGCTGTTCTTCTCGGCCTCCTCGAAGGCCTTGCGCAGGTTGCTCTCGGACTCTCCGGCCATTTTGGACATGATCTCGGGTCCGTTGATCAAGAAGAAGAAAGCACCAGTCTCGTTGGCGACGGCACGAGCCATAAGGGTCTTTCCTGTTCCTGGAGGTCCAAACATAAGAATACCGCGAGGAGGCTTGATACCGATGGACTTGAAAAGCTGGGGGTGACGGAGAGGAAGCTCGACCAACTCACGAATCTGGGCCATCTGCTTGCGGCATCCTCCAATGTCATCATATCCGACGTCAGCAAGGTTTGATTCCTCATCCTCGCGCTTGATGGGCTCGCCTTCACAGTGAATCACAGTATCTTGGGCGACCTAAAATGGCAAGAAAGGGGAGGCGGATTTAGTACAGGGGTCACTGACAATGGACAACACAACCTAACGCAATAAATTTTATATGCATGGCTACCCTTGAAACTCACAATGCAGTAGTCGGCAGGATCAGTCTCAATGACCTTGAACTCGACGGCTCTCATGCCTCCACGGACCAAGAAGAGGTCACCCTTGCGGACGGGTCTGTAGGCCTCCAAAAAGTAGGGCTTGAGGTAAACCTCAAACAAGTTTCCAGTGACTCCCTCAACAGTGTCGTCGACAGGGAGGACGTGAATGCGTTTGCCGTATTTGATATCAGTGCAGGTGTGAAGGGAGACAACATCCCCGAGACGGACACGAAGGTTCTGACGAACAACTGCGGAACGAAAACGTAGTAATAAAGCGGTCAACAAGGCAGAGTTAGCAAAACTTTCCCAGAGTGCCATGTTTTCTTCTCTTCTCTTCATATCTTCATGTCTCTTGTCTCTGTTCCTTTGTGTTCTTGTCCTTATGTCCTTTGCCTCTTTGTCCTCTCTCCTTCGTTTTATTATAGCCTCGTTTCCTTTTTGTGTTCCAGAGAGCTCAATTCCATCCCGCTGATTTCCTGTGCTTGATTACTCTTGATACGAAAAAATAGCAAAGATAAAACATCCTTGGCTTAATTGCTTACCTTTGTTGATGCGGACCTTGGAGTCCTCGATGCTGTCGTCAGCAAGGACAATCAAGACGGTGTCACGACGCTTCTTTCCTTTAACGAGGACCATATCTCCACGGAAGAACTGAAGCTTCTCCATGGTGGCGGTCGAGAGGGCAAGAACAGAGTTGTCGTCGTTGGTGGCATCGTCGACAATCAGTTTGTTGGGTGCTGACTTTTTGCGCAAGATGGCGGTGGCGGGGTCGTGTTCGGGGTCAATGCTTGGCGCAGTAATCGAGGCGTTCTCGCTATAACAAGTGACAAAAAGCGACACACTCTTATTAGTTTTCTACTTCCGAATGTGTGATGAGACTGACCAATTTGTTCTTGTTGTGGTTGTTAGTGTTGTTGGTGTAATGGCTTTTTGAATTGACTTACACAAGCTTTCCCTTGGGGTGGCTGCTGCTGCTGCTATCGGCCATGATGTATATGATGTGGGTGATGGGGTTGGTTGAAAAGAGGTTTTGATGGAACTCGATGAGCGATCGCCTTCTTTTATAGGGCGGAGCGGACGCGTACGTCGTTCAGAAAGAAGTCACATTTTGGAAGTGATTCCAGGTCCCCTGTGATTTATGTTTGAGGCCACTTGAAAAAAGGCTCAGTCTCCACAGGTCTGCTTCTGGTCTGCTTGGTTGCTTACAACACACTGGTGAGACAGAAGCGTCCAGAAGCACCTCAAAGTATAAGCCGCGGATGTAGATGGCCCTTTTTGTCAGCATTGAAAAGCAAGCAAGCAAGCTGCCTTCCAGCCGCAGGAAAGAGTCAAAGGAAAGGTGCAGGAACAGGAACTGGACCAATAGGGGAGAGCAAATGACTCAAAATGAGGGGCCTGAGGGTTTTTTGGTGGCGTCCGTTCTTGGAGAGAAGGGGCCCCTTGATGGATGATGAACGAAGGTGGTCCAAGCATTGATATGAGGACAGTAGAAGATGGTAACAATCAAAAGGTCAGCCCTGATACCCGCACGCACCACTTCCTCTTGTCCAGGTCATGGCAGTCGATCGGTTGAATGAAGAAGCGCAGATATTAAAATGACATGCTCACTCCAACCTCTCCTGTGTTATTTTGTTGTTGTCTGCAGTCATTTTTTTCCTCCGTCCCTCCATTGATCCCTTCCTACCCTTTCCCTCTCCTCCCCTATTGTCAATCCACATCCACATTCACCCCCTACTTATTCTACTCTCTCCTCCTCCATACACGCTAACTCTTCAACCGACTTACTCACACTCCACTCAAGGCAACATCACATCACACAACACCAACACAACCAACTCGTATCCTCCTTCTCACACACATACATTCGCACACACACACACCCTTCTCCTCTTCATTCACTCCACTCACAATATCCAAAATATTGCACCCGATGGAGTCACAGCATGTGCTCAACCCGTGGCAGCATCGGCCGCACAAGCAGGACTTTTACGACAACCACGACACTCTACAGCAACAGCACCAACAACAACAACAACAACAACAACAACAGGAACAGCAAAAACAGCCAAACATATCCCTGACAGACAACGATACCACCTCTCTGGAAGACTTTTTCCAGGGCCACAAACAAGTCTTTTATCAGTCCCAGATGCTACTGCAGCAGCTGCAGCAACGCCAACGCCAACAAAAGACACAGGAGCACGGCCCAGAGGAACAGAGAAAAGGTCCAGCGGACGAGGAGGCTCAGGCAGAGGGCGACGATGATGGCGAGACTGACAGCCAGCGCACGGCCTGGAGTCAACTGGGCATCGACTCGCCTATGAATCAGTCTTCATCAACCCTTGCCGACGCCGACACGCCCATCACGACGGTGATCTATATGACGGATTCTGACTTTGGAGATGGGGACGAGGTACGTCGACTATTAATAATACTTGGAGAAAAGAGGGTTCCTATATGTCATATCGGACCATTCCAGACACGCACTCACCTTCTCGCCCCACTCCCCATGTTCTTCTCCATATTCCTCTTTATTCCCTTTCCCCTTTGCGAGTGCTCTCGTGTCCTACAGTAATGTGCTGCCAGATCCACACCCTCTCAGTCATTCTTTGTCCGTCTTTCTCCTCCTCCCTTTTCTCCGTTGTACCTTTTTATTTCTTTCCTGTTCTTCTTCTCCTACCTCTGTACATGTTCTCATTCCTTCCACCTCAAGATTGTAATCACTTGCTTACAACAGCACCCAATATCTCATTTTCTGTACTTCTGTATTACCGCGATGACTAACACCTGGCTATATTTTATATTTGTGTATGCCAGGGTGATGTTCTTGAGCATTTGGTTCAGCAACTCCAGTCGGAAGTAAAGGGCACACGGGCTACAGTTTCCGAGCTCGAGACCAAGTTGAACTTGTAAGTATAAAGGGTTACTTCCCGATCATCTGAGAGGGATGATAGTAATTGATGGCTGAAACTATGCACACAAGAACAAGAACATGAACAAGAACAAACAAGATAAGAAAGGAAGGCTCACCTATAGCATGTCTCTCCGATGATAATAGGGCCGAGCATTCCAACAGGCACATTGTCGAAGAGCTCAAAATGCTTCTTGCCGAGTAAGTCCTGCTTTGCACCTTGAACACAACAGCGACCTGCTGAGTAGGAAGAAAGGGGAGGAAAGGAAGATGAACAAGATGGGGAAAAAGGCGTTAGGGGGACCGATGAGGATGGCCAGGCGAATGCTGCGGCTCAACTGCCAAGGTTGAAGGGACATGTGTGTTCCACGGGGCTTTTTCTGTGTTTACTTGTGGAGCGCAAACTGGACGACGACAACGGGCGCATTGGACAACAACAGCGACAGGCGTTATTGCGCGTAATCAGACAGTGCCTGTGTTGCGTTTGTGGGTGTTTATGTGATCGGTTGCTCACTTTGGAGTGGGTATGGTTTGGACAGCTGGCTAAAATATGGGTTGGCCATGACAAATCGCGAATTGACTTTAATATGAAATTGGCTGGGGAGATGCTTTGTGCGACTGTGCATACCCTTTGGCTTATCCTGTCTTGCTCGCTCTTTGATTTCGTGCAATGTTTGCCAGCCGAGGAAGGGTCTGCAGCAGATGCACGACAACCGACAACGATGGCTCTCCTTGTGAAAATATTCACAAATTAATTATCTGCGCACATCCTTCTTCCCTCCACCTGGCTTGGCATTGGTCAACGCACGTTTACACTGTGGCTACAACACTCTAACATGATGCGCTCTCCACTGTCCTCTACTGCTTTTTTATCTTCCTCTCTTCCTTCCTTCCATCTCCATCTCACTCTCCTTCTCCACATCTATAAACACACTTTCATCTCTCCTCTATGCTCGCCCTACCCTTACCAAAACTCTCGCACGGATTTTTTTGTAGTGCCGAAGAGAACCTTGCGGCAGCTGAAAACTCCGACGGCACCCACCCATTACTTCAGTCGTCAAAAGGAGGTAGTGTGAGCGACGACGACCTCAACAACGTTTACAACAGGATCTGTATCGCCCTCCAGGCACTCATCGATGATGCACAATCGGCTCTCCAAAAGAACTCGACGATAAAGCACACCTGTCCCAGCCCCGGAGAGGAAGGCGCTACCTGTCATTGCCTAGCAGCAACATCACCACCATCTAGTTCACGAAGCAGCACCCCAAATCTACCCTTTCGGATTGCACCAGGATACGACAGTACACAGGATAGCCCGCTTGCATGTCGCAGCTCGCCCAGGAACTCTACAACCCTCCTCAAACCAGTCCAGACCGAGAACCAGGACATCCATGATTTCACAACGTACGGACCCAAGCCGTTGTACGCAAGCACGGACGAGGTGTCGAGAATGCTCTGGAAGCAAAAGCATGAGGAGCAACATGACAGATACCGCAAGTCGTGCCACAGGTTGACTCTGGAACTGGACGGCCGCCTTTTGTCAACAGACTCGGACGACTCGGAAGCCAGCAGCTTTGATTTATTACGACGGTCAAGACATCGCCTTTCCTCCTCGACCCAATCCTCTCGGCCTTCGACACCTTCCACACCTACAACACCAAGTATACCAAGCACACCAACAACACCCACGACCCCTACTCGACCCCTCCAAGGCATTCTCCGCTCATCCAAGAACACGGAACGGCTCAAGAAGAAGTGCCAGGTGCAATTCCTGAACGCCGACATTGAAGGAACTCGCAATCGGGACTGGGAATCTTCACCACGACCACTCCACCGACCCACGAGATCTTCATCATCATCCACCAAGAACCAGCAAGACAAGCAGCAGCAAAAACTCCAGCCACGCCAGGAACCGGAACCACAGCAAGCAGTGTTGCGACAATATACCCACCGGAGTGTTAGCGTTGGATCCAACAGTTCCCGCGGCGTCGTCCTGCAGCTGTACGACCTTTGGCAACAGACGTGGCTTCGGACACGGATCATGCACGTCATTACAGGGTCGGTCGAGATTATTATTATCATCTGGGTCGTCCTCAAAGCCAGCCAGGCGACATTGTCGTGGTTCGGAGTCAAACCCAAGAACATGAGTGAGTGGCTGATGTTTATCTATGGACAGCGCGATACCGCCGGATCACAGGCCAAAGAGCTCTATGCAAAGGTCAGGAGGGACGGACGGCGAATGCGAGAAGTCAAGGCGCTTACACAGAAAGTGCCCGAGGCGCTGGTGGAGGATCTGGTGGCGGGCGTGACGTCGTCGACCAATGGACTGATGTCCCCCTCTGCGATTGTATATGGACCAGCCAAGAAGATTGTTGCCCATGCAGTCACTGGCGTTGCCCTTGCCTTTATATCCGATGGTGCCCGGCGTCTGCTCAGGAAACTTTGAAAAACCTTGGCGATCGAGCAGGATCTTCTGCAGTTTGCAATGATGAATCATTGGGATATTTCTTTTGTTTATTTTCTTTGTTGTTTTGTATCATATTAGCTCTCACCTCTCTCACCCCTCTCTCCTCCATCATCTTTTTGAATACCCGATATTGCATCCTTCTTTAGTATCACCCTCTGCATCCCAATGATCACCTTTCACCACTTTCATCTTCGTTGCTTTTGTCTTTTTTCTTTACTCTTGCGTCCTCTCTTTCATGGTTGTGTCTTTCGCTGGTGTTGAACCAATAGGATCACCTAATAAAATACCAATCCATTTCCGCGCTAGCTTTTTTTGGACCATCACCACTCCCATGACGGAAATGTACGATTGGTTTAAAATTTTTGACCCTTTCACTTCTCGGGAAGAAAAGAAAAAAAAAAAAAAAAAAAAAAAAAAGAAAAAAAACACGGTCGTGCCAGCGGAAGAAGGATGTTTACGATGGCTGGGAGAAAAAACAATGCTTTTTTTTTTGAGGGGGAGATAAAGTACAATGCATGTCTAAAATAACTACAGGACGATGACGATGGGGAAGGAAGGTATTGAGCGGGCGACCAAAAGATCGCAATAGTGTATGAATGTGCATGTGTGTGTAAGAAAAGGTATTTTCTTATAGGGCGCCGGCAGAGACCCAGAACTTGCGGGTGATGGACTCGTAGCGATCGATGATTTGAGCTCCCTTCGCGAAATCCCAGCCGTCCAGCATCGGATCCTCCATCTCGCCTCCATTATCCGTCGCACTATTCTTTCTCGACCGTCGACCGGCAGGAGTATCGTCTACCTCGACGACAAGCATCTGGACCCGGAGTCGATAAAACGCCGGCTCGACATGATCGTAGATCTGCAAGTACTGAAACTTCGTCTCTGCGAGGACGTTTCTGGCCAGGACCGCGACCGATTCGATGGCTCCAGGACCGGGCCCACCATCACGGATGAGTTCGACGTGGAGTTTCGCCTGGTAGGTAATATTGTTATCCTTGATGGATTGGTGTTGAGACCAGTCGATGTCTTTGTTGGCCAGGAGCCGGAGCCTGGTAGCAGTATATTCTAAGAGTTCTGCGGCGCGAGTAGGGATCTTCCATTCGAGGGTGTAAGGCGCTCTGCTGTACACTTTCTGATGGACGCCGAAGGAGTGCTCGAGTTCGATGGGTTGGATGACGTTGGGGAATTCTTGCCGCAGGTAGTTGTCAAAGTTGTAGTAGGATGCTCTGTTGATGGTATCGGGGTCGAAGGTGTCGAGGTCATCATTATGATGATGGCCGATGTAGGGCTGCGATGGTGGTACATCTGCCCGTGCGCCGTCTGCAAGAAGTGCTGGTGGTGTGATCCGAAGGTTTTCCCGAGTGGCCGTTGCGGAGGTTGGCGCTGTCACAGAGGAAGAGGAAGGGGGAGAGGGGATAGCGCGCTTGTAAATGTTGATGTCAGATCGACGGAGAACAGATGGGAGGCTCTTTTTTAAGCTAGCGGAGGATCCTCCTGTAATCGTCTCGGGAACGTCTGCTGCTCTTTCTGCTCCTGCACCACCTGATTCCGTTGTTGTTGATGTCCTGGAGGTCGAGGCTGGCCTGTCCTTTTCCGATGACGAAGTTGACAACAACGCTGCCAAAGAAGACGCAGCAGTAGCAGCGGAGGCCTTGGCAGACTCTACAGTAACAGCCTTCTGACTTTTCCCGTGAAAAAGATCCAGCACGAGCACATACGACGCCGACGCATCCTCATTGTCGGGGATCTTGGAGGGGACCCAGACCTGAGCAGAGCCCTTTCGGAAGGGAATAAACCTTTTAAGGGAAACAATCTTTTTGTTTGTTTTGGCGTCGGCCAGGATAATGTCGACGGTGGTGTCCTTGGGGAGCTGGCGAGCGTAGGTTTTGGACCATTTGACGAGTTGAACGGAGCCTGCATGCCAGACTGAGCGGGGTGGGGGGACGATGAGTAGGGGTTTGTTGAACTCGATGGTGGTGGGTGAGGTAGTTGTGGAGGTGGAGGTGGGCGAAGTTGATTTTATTGAGAGCAGGCCGTCAACTGGAGATAAAGAACGAGGTGGTGGAGAACGAGGAGGATGTGCAGGTGCAGGTGCAGGTCGTCCCCTTCTTTCCTGGCGCTGTTCCTCGGCAGCGGCCGCCTTTACTCTGACCAACGACCTTTGCTTCTTTTGCTTTTGTTGCTGTCTCTTGGCGTTGGTGTTTTTACTGTAACTGGTACCGGGTCTCTTCTTATTTTGTTTTTGCTGTTGCTGTGTCTTGGATTGTGCTGGCGGGGAGCTTTTCCGTTTCTTGTTGCTGTTAGAAGGGGCAAGTGCGTCTTTTGTCGATCTGCGTCGTACTTGGGTATGTTGTTTCCGAGAAGGTTGTGATTGAGAGAGAGAGTGGAGAGGTTGTGAGGAGCGGACTGGGAGGGCATAGACTCCAGAGATGGAAGAGGAGGAGGAGGATGAGAGGGAGAAGGAGAGGAGGGTGAGGGCTGTTGCGAGGGAGAGGCCCAGGAAGGAGACTGGCCGTGATGAGACCTTCATTCTTGTGGGTGATAGGGAAGGGAGTTGGGGGAGAGCGATGGAGAGTGTGGACAAGAATAGCGAGAAAGAGAGAGGGGGAGAAGGAGGGAAGGAGGGAAGGAGGTGGAGAAGGAGAGTGGGGAGGGTGGTAAAGGTGAGAGAACAAAGAAGCCGGAAAGATGAGAGACAGAGAGTCAAAGTCAGCAGAAAGAAAGAAAGAAAGAAAAAACAAAGGTAAAGAAGAAGGAAAGAGGAGAAAACGAAGGATCGATGGGTTTTGTTTATTTTGTGTACCGTACCTTTGTTCATGTGTGATAGGACATAATCTTTTGAGTTCAATTTACTCAAACTGGACCCGCGCACCATTTGGGGATGACTGAAAGGGCGATCGGCTGGTATGTGTTTGTGTGTGTCTTGGTCTTTTGTTTGTTTTTGCAGTAACATAATCAGAATTGCACTCTTTGATTGCTATTATACTAACGACAGCCATGAGGGCGTAAGACAGTTACCATGTCAATGCCCCCATCTCAGCCACTTGTACAGTACCTGGATGGAGAGACTTCAACCTTGTGGTTGGTACCTGATTGTGCTGTACCTGAGTTTCTTTACTCATTCATATATATTTGATGGTTGAATGGACCACTCAGCACCTCCCTAAACCCGTGAATATCAATCATAAATGATTGCGAGACCCCGACAGTCATCATTAACACAAAAAACCATTTTCAGTCCCAGACTCCTTTTTGGTTTAGTCTCTGTTTGACCAGGTTTAGTCTGGTCTGTTTGACCACAAGGGAGATTTGGCGATAGATAGGTGTCCTTTTTTGTTCTTTTTCTTCCCTGTCCAGCTGTCGCTGTTGAGTCTCATGAGCTCATGGAAGGGCAGTGACCATGGCTTATTTTCTCAACTAAAACGTTTGCTTTGCTCCAGATGTCGGTCCCCCCCCCCTTTTTTTTTGTAATTCATTTTTCTTTTCTCTTGAGAGCCTGAATTTTCATTATTGCAATAGGGGGCCAACATAATGAAGAGACTAAGCAAACATGCCCGATATGAGGGTCTGACCAAGGCAACTCGAGTCCACCTGGAAGGAGACCCAAAACTGCTTGGTCTGCGATCTTGAGCCTCTCTATTCATTATTCTCCCAAGGGTGCGAACGACCTTCCTTTTCGTCTTTGTCCTTCCCCTTGGGGGTAGCCATGCCTTGTTTCTCGATCATTCCACCTGTCTCAGGGCTCAGAATGCCTGCATTATTATCATGCAAGTTTGCTGTTGTTAGGAGATATTATTAACCCAACGTTCCGGAAATAAAATAAAGGCAATGAAAGGGAGCACAGAGAGGTGCTCCTTTAAAGGTAAAGACATGAACACAGAAGCACAGAAAAGGGATCGAGCAAGAAAATATATGATTGCAATGCAATACTCCTTCTTATTGTACCATCAAAAAGAACACCATGATCCGCAACGGGCGAGGAAGGAGAAAGGGGAGGTGATTGCCAGGTCGGTTACAAGATGGATGAACAAAAAGTGACACACACTTCGTTTCGGATTTACACCTTCGACTCATAATCGTTCTTCCTGAATATAGCTCTTCAAACGTAAAGATGGTCGCCATGCAGGGTACGTATCTCTTCTGTTATTTTACTCGTCATTCAGCACTATTAAGTGAGCCTCTCTTATTTGCTTTCGTTGACCCTTCTACCTCGTCTATCAGCAAACCCAGAACATAAATTTCCTCTTTGCTATGTCGATATAAACATACATACACTCACATACACAATCTTTTTACATGTCGTAGAGGATTGCGATAACACTTCTAGTCGACGTTGAGCTGTAATCTGTATCAATATGATGTCCAATTAGGCTAGAGAAAGAGAGGTATAAGGAGAAGGAGCTCCAACTCCAAGATGGCAACCACCCTCCTCTATCCCTACAATGTTTACTGATAGATCGACGCGTGAGCCTTTTCTGCTCCTGCTTGTTCAGATAGTTTTCTTTAGGTAATGATTGTACGGGTTAGTTGGCATACTTGTGAGAGTGAGTGCATGCGGTGCTTTGGTGTCAACAAGTGGATGCGTTTGTGTGTGGCTCCAAGGACTTTGTTTATCGCTTTTGTTTTGACGTACAAGGAGTTTTCAGTACAACACCGCGAGCTTTAGACTTTTCATCCAGCGTCAGTTGCGCCACCAAATGTTGTCTTTGGAGAAGAGTCAAAACATGAAAGTGCACGTAAGAGTCTGCTTCTTGCATCTCCTCTTCTCTTCCCCTCCTTCACTGCTTCTCTCATTCCTTTGCCACCATTCTGCCTCTCTCCCTTCTCTATTACACTCACTATATATAAACAGCAGCATCGCGATCTTCTTCTCCTCTCGCCTCTTTTGTCTCCTCTCTCTTTCCTCAACTCATTCGTCCACCCTTCTCCCTACTGTGCATTCAACTCTCACACACCGCCCTTCGCTTTCACTCACTCTTCTCTAGATCGCCATTGTTTTGATCCTCCTTCACAACAATGTAAGGTGTAACAAAAAGAAGCTTACTCTTCCAGCCACTCCTTAGTCACAATCGGCATGCTATAAGGATCACAGGATTACGCAATTAACAACGAGCACAGCATCAACAGAAAAACAAATGTCGAAATGTCAATATGACAAAGACGCAAAACCTAATATCAAGGAGCCAAAACGAACACTGACTCTGTTGTTATTGTTATAAACTACATCGCGACACTATCAGAACACGAATGCCTCCTAAGCGAAAGAACGCCGACACCGCGGTGGGTGACAAACAATCTTCTGCAAAGATTGCCAAAACGGCGACAACGACAGTGGCAGGAGGAGCAGCCAAGGAGAAGAAGAGCAAGCCCAAGCCAACCAAAATCGAGAAGGCCATCAAGGCGCAGGCAAAGGCCGCTGCAGCGGACCTGGAAGCCAAGGCAAGTAGTTAAACGAAAAAGGATGTCAGTACTACATCAGATACCCATGAACCTGGCATTGAGGGTCAAACGACAACGCAAGGTGGTGGCGGCGGTATTGAAAGGAAGCAGTCCCCTTTTTTTGTATTTGCCCCATAGTCAGACAGGCAGGGCAGGAAGACATACGGCAATCAGGCGTTTGTTGGTTGTGCAGCCAGTCCTTTTTTTTTTTTAGCTGTTATTTTTGCTGCTCTGTCCCTCCCTTCCCACACACACACCTTTGTCCCATCTGCACCTTCTCTCCAACAGCATATTACACACATTACAGACACAAACGCACTGTATTTGTTCCCCTTTCCCTCTCTCTTCTTTGCACACAAGCAACAAAAAGCAAACAAACTTCACCAACCCCCTTCTCGCCTTTCTTTCCTTTTTTTTCCCTTCCCTTCACTTTCCATCGTTTTCCTTTCACTTCCTTCTCTCCGACTCTTTCTTCGCCTCTATCTCAACTTTGCCTTACAAGGGTGCATCTACCTATACCATTCTCCACAACTACAAAAAGAAGCTACACCAGCCGGTTAGTCTTGCATTCACAACACCCAGGAAGTAGCCAGGATCCAACAGAGACAAAGCAGACTACAAGAAGCGGGCACAGCAGACCATGGGAAACAAGCACAGTACATCAAAGGACAACAGCATCAAAACAAGAGGAGCGAGGGTCGACACCACTACCTCAGGAAACTCATTTCACTCCACGTAATGACCTGAAGAGAAGAGCATGCGATCGTTTTTTGTGTTTTTGTCGTTGTTTGTTTATGAGTGGCAAAGAAAGTAAAATACAAAGTGGGACACACCTCGTCTGACCTGGGACATGTCTGTGTAGGTCCAAGCATGTCCGCCTGGAGTCCCGTGAAATAGCCAGCAAACCAGCATACAAACCAACAACGATAACAGCAGTTGTCCCCCCAAAGCCCACCCCGCCAGCGGTTATTTCGCCTGTAGTATGTCGCTTCCTGCCAGCCTTCTCACACCAGCTTTCCCCCCCTTTGTCCCCCAACCTCCCCTTTTTATTTCTACAACCTCCACTAAACCGCACACATCCAGCGGTTGAATTCAACTCAGTCCATACTAACCTCTCATCGGTCTTACTCCCAATTCTCCCCCTTTCAGAAAATATTCGACCCGGAGAAATGCTACCTTTGGTTCAAGACCTACACAGGTAAACGTCTTACTTGCCAAGCCAGGAATTATTAATGTTCGGTTTTACGCCTGGATTTCACATGGTGGATCTCTTCTTATTCCTTCTAACCCATTGTGCCTTTTTGGTCTTGTTTGAATAATGTAGGTCTTGAGGACGACGAGGACTTTGACAGGGAGCAGATCGGACCTGCTGGTATCGCAAAGCTTTGCGAAGACATTGATGTGTCTTTGGAAACGGTAAAGGATTGGTTTCACAATTTCCACAAATTGCTCCTTGACCGAGGCCAGGGTTAAATCGACTAGAAACCTGGGGTTACTTTGCTGTCCTTGAATGCCTTTATTAATGTTTTTGTTTGTTTACCCCCTATAAAAAATAGGTCGACATGTTGGTTCTGGCTTACCACTTGAATGCTGACACGATGCGTAAGGAGAAAAAAGGCGACGCAGTTTGACGAGACGATGATGAAAAAACCCGATGCCGCCACGTGATGATTATGCCGACTAATTGGTGTTCCCGTCTTCCATTTCTTGCACCGCCATCTCATGCTCGTTTAGCTATTTTTACCAAGGATGAGTGGGCTAAGGGCATGAAGAAACTGGAGTAAGTGTCGATGGAGTATTGGACACCTCAGCGAGATCTTTGTTCAACTGGAATGAGCCGAACTACTCTTGATTTCTGTTCGGTTTCGACATTGTCGTTATTGACGCTGGACCGTTTTTTGGTTGAACTATGTAGGGTCGACTCGACCGAGAGGTTCAAGGCCAAGCTGCCAGATCTCGTGGAAAAACTCAAGGATCCCGCACACTTCAAGGAGTTTTACCGCTACATTTTTATGTTTGCCAAGGACTCTGAGCAAAAGTGCATGCCAGTCGATGTAAGGATTGTCTCAAGGGGTTTCGTTACACAGAGAGGACCATCAATGCATAGATTTGATATGATATGATATGATATGATATGATAATGGAAGCTGATCCAATCGCCTTTGCCGTTTTTCCACAATAGACTGCCTGTGCCATGATTTCGACTGTGATGAAGGGCCGTCCACATGAACAGCGCTTTGTGGAATACTTGGGGGTAAGGATTACCGGAAGCTGTCGACTATTGCTCACGGGATTGCAGGCAGGGGTTGTCGACTTTGCAGATCATGACGAGTAAATTATTAACGTTTCGACTCCGTTTCTCTACATTTTACTATTGTAGGTCAAAAAGCCAATCAAGGTCATCAACAAGGACCAATGGTACAACTTTCTCGACTTTTCCGACACCATCAGCGAGGACCTCTCGAACTATGACGGTCTCAGCTCTGCCTGTAAGTTGGCACTTGATATCTTTTGACATGGGAACTGTGGCTGCTAGCACTCCTGTCTATGTTGAATCGTCACGAACTAATCATGCGTTGATCTTTTATGACTACAGGGCCTGTTCTCTTGGACGAGTATGTTGAGTGGCGGAACGAGGAACTTGCATAATCAATACAACTACAACCTCCTGCATCAACGCAGTGTCGCTGCATTCTGAATGACCAGGACTGCGAACTTTTACTGAACGCATGCAAGGATATCCGGCAATTGGCATGTTGAATGCTAAAACTTATCAGTTGGACCCATGCTCGGGATTTCTTTTTATCACTCAAGCAAACACAACAAAAACACATTTCAAAAAATGAGAAAAATAAACACAAAAAAAGCCGTTTGCTAAGGGACCTTGTACGACTCTAACAGAAGGGCTATTGGAGCGAACAAAACAACAATAGCTTTGGCCATGTGCAACCATGACGAGTGTGTGAAGATAATCCAGCTGTGTTGTGTTGAATCTCTTGTTTTTGTTTATTGTTTTTGTCAGATGAAGAGTATTCGTCAGACAAAGGTGTTGGCTCGATATTGTTGTTGCTGTTGTTGCTGTGATCCAATAGCAGGCTCGACCTTGTCACGTTTCCGCTGCTGTAGCTGATAACTCCTGACGCGTTTTGCGGTCTTGTCGACGATGAATCCGGCGACATTCCCGGTGCCCTTGGCGGTGTAGAAGAAGAGGGTGACGATGATGATTGTAGGGATCCCGAGAAGGATGAACCAAATTGAGAGGGAGAAAAGTTTCTGGAAGATGTAGCTTCCTAGGATGTATGATTTGAGTGACATAGGGTATGAGTCTGGGTTCCTGTCTATATATTAGAGAGAGAGGAAGGAGGATAGATGATGTGTGTGTGTATGTGTGAGACGGAAGGGGTATGGGCAAGGTTGTTGTTGGGCTAACACGTTGTTTTTCTTTGGTGGTTAGAGGAAGGAGGAGTTTCAATTCTTGGTCAGGTCGTCTGTCTTACCGAGAAAAGAGTAGAGGGGCGAATGAGTGAATGTGTACGGAAGGATAGAGATGAATGAGTGAACAGAAGATGGGGGAGCAAATGGTGGAGCTGTGGATGAGTGGATGATGAGAACGAGCTGTGAGATGTTTGCATGAGAGGCTCAGTCTTCTGTATGACATATGACAGCTGGCCAGGTTCAAGGCTTGCTACATTTTTTGTGAGCCGTTCGTGGCTTACGCCCACATCGACTCACCTTGAGACGATTTGGCGCACAGAAGTATCGATTCTCGATTTAGGCTCCCGTAAAGTAAAAAGAAGGGGATCCGTCGTTCAGCGCTGGCTTCCAAATGACTGGCGGCAGTCTTTCCTTTAAGTCCCTTCCTTCCCTCAACTATTATTGCTCCTTTTACTTTCTGTTCCTATGAATCTCTGTCCTGGGGCGAAGATTAAAAATGACTGATGGAAGATTGTAAAACCGTGGTGACTAACGGGTGATCCATTGGCAGTGTCTTAGACAAGGTTATGGTCAGTGAACTGCGCGAGGAGTGGACCTGAGATTGCTAGCGGTAGCTTCTTAGCGTTGCCGCTATTAATGGGGCGTGGACATGGTCTTCTCGACCTTGTTTGGATTACCTCTGTGAGAGAAAGCTGCAATACTCTCTTTTCAGATGTGGCATACACACCATTGAAATGAGTTAATATTGTACCATGTTATCTCTCCATTTTTGTTTGACAGTGCGGCTGCTAATTTCTTTAGATGTTCTTTTCTCCGGTTGTATCGCCCTCCCTCACTTCACAGTGGAATGTCAGAATGTAAATGGCCCGACTTGACATGCAGTCTTTGCATTGTTTTTTTTTCTTTGATCGATCGCCTTTGGACAAGTAGAGCAGGGCAAAGCGCCGCTCTCATTTAGATTTTTTTTTCTTGTCGTCCTCGGTCTCCAAATATTATGCTGTCTGTGTGTAGCCCATGTTTTTCACACGATGTTCACCCAATCATGACTTTGTTCATTGTTTGTATCCAACTTGACGTACTCAAGTAAGGGGTAAAAGCCCTTTGTTTTGCCTCTGAGCAAAACCAAACCATGGGACATCAGCGAAAGCAAAAAAGTAAATGCATGGGGCAGTTCATTTCTTTTTCTTTTGATGGTTGGTTTAATTTACATCAAAAGGAGGTAGTTTTTTTTTGGGCGAGGGGGGTAAATACATATATACTCTTTTGTAAGCTGGGCGCTGATAAGAGACGTCCAGAAGGGGAACAGAGGAAGAAATGAGACAATCATCGAGAGAACCCACGAGAATGGCCAATGGGGGCATGCTTGATCATTCTGTTGAGGAGAGCGATGCTGAGTAGACGGGGATGACTGGGGTTTTTTTTCTGGCTCGATGGAACCCACATTAGACTGCTGGACAGGCCTTGGCGGTGACGGTAGCGGCCTGGCAGAAGAGGGTGCCACCATCGCCGTTGATGGCAGAGACCTGGAGAGCAACAGCAATCTATTATTTTATTTTAAATTGTCAATGCGAGAGAGAATTGGGTTAGAATCAGTAACCTTTTGAACTAAGTGAATTGAACAGAAGAAAAAAAGACAACACCCTAAAAAGAGTATGGAAAACTTACGTTTGGGGGAGCGCTGGGCTTGACGTTAACGCAAGACTTGATGGAGTTCACACTGGTGGGGATGGGGCAAGGCTGTCCCTGGGTCGCCATCAAGGCGCAGAGGTCGTGGTTGTCGGTGTAGACGAGACGGCCGAGGTAGCGCCCAGTGATGGACAAGGTCGCGCCATCAATGACGGGGGTGCTGAGGGTACCGGTACCCTCGGCGCAGACGTTCTGGTTGATGCAGAGGGGGTAGGGAGAGATCGAGAATTTGTTGATGGCGATCTGGGTGGGGCCCGAGGCACAGTTGGTGAAGGGGACCTGGGCGTTGGCAACAGCGGCAACAAGGATGGCGGCGACGGCGGCGATGAACTTCATGTTGTTGGTGGTAGGTTGGGGGGATGGAAAGGGGAGTTGGTTTTTGTAGGATGAGGAGAAAAAAATGGAAATTTACAGATGGTTGGGGGTATTTATACCTGAAGCGAGGCTTTTGTCGTTGTAGTTCAAAAGTGTCTTGACAGCATGTTAGGAGCGTGTCGATCGTGTTTAATGCTTCGAGAAGGCTGATGGAGTGCTGAAGACGAAGGAAACGATGGCGGCGATGAATGGATTGAATTGGATTCTGAAATAAGTGGTCCGCTAGAGTAAAGATTTTGTCAGAGGAGAGAGCGCAGAAAGACAGGTAGACTAATAAGGCGCGTGGAAGTGTACAAAGAAGAATAGCGATAGCGGCAAAGGGTACCGAGGTGCAATACAGACGCAGACACAAAGCACCTGCGAGAGAAATGGATGGAAGTGAAGGCAAAGGGAAATGTCAACTGAATAAAGTAAGGGATACAATAAAATAAAGTACTATGCTGTTACGGGATATGGGCGCTGCTCTCAATTTCCTTTTTTCGGGTTAGAAGAAATATGTGGAGAAGGGATGGGTAAAAGGATATGGGATGTGGGCACAACGCCTTTTCTGTGGAGCATAAACTCTCTTTGATCGATTATCTTTCTTTACTTTTCTTCATTTTCTTGTACAATCCCAACATCGAACAGACATTAATATTTCCTTATCCATTCTGTTCGTACTCATGGTCTTCCAAGCCTAGCCTTGGTATGAGCAAAACACAAAGAAAGTCGCTCAAAAGGTGACGATATCACAGGCAAAGATATGGAAGAGGAAGGATCTAGAACAAAACACCAACGGCTGAACAACATGCATTACTGTGGGCGACTTGCATCATACAACGGAGGATTTTCTCACTCCTCCGACCATTCTTCATTCCCTGCTCCTCGGAGGCATTTTCTTTGTACAGTGTTGTGTCCCATCGAAACATACATCCGCCTTCAACAGCGTGCCCACCGCAACCACACTCTCGTACACGAATGCGATAAAGTAGAAAAGGAGAAAGACAGAGTATGAGAGAAGTACAACAACCGCAACAACAACATCGGACGCGCGGTGTGCATGAGCATGTGAGTGGCACTGTTGTCCTATAGATGAACCTCAGGTTTCGTTATTTTGGATAAAGGCTGACAGTGGATCAGGATTACAAACAGGAAGAATTAAGCGAATCAAGAGAAGGAACGTGAGAGAAATACACGAAAAGGCTAATGGAGAAGGTGAGGAATATAATGACAATGGGCATGTTGTATCATGGATTTCAACCCATGGTTTGAGGAAGAGATGGTGAAAAGCTGACTGGAGACAGTTTCTATGGCTTATCCTCAACCATCTTTACAGAAACCTTCCATCATCCATGCTTGTCCCGCCTTCTTAGTTTCCTTGTTTCTTGCTTGCCATTTACAATTGACACTTTCGTTTGGAACATGGGGCAACACTACAACTTGACGAGGCCATCCTGCCATGGTCCCTTTTCTCTCTATGATTAAGCCCAATTCAAAGCAACAAGGAGTGCATGAATAGAGAGGTAGGGTGAAGTTGTGTGGGAGAGAGGGAGGAGGATGCCCAAAGGATGTTCAGTTTGGGATGAATGCTGACAATGAATACGGTCCATGGTGGTAAGTGTCATATCCCAATCAGGCCACGTTCTAGTCAGACTGGAGCGAAAGATCACAACCCCTGCCACCTAGCTGACAAAGAATTAGAGCCGTCCCTGACGTTGTTTTCTTTACTTTCTTTCTCTCTCCTTCCTGGCTCCCTTGCATTGGACCTTGTTGTCTGCTTGTTTGTTTTCGTACTGTTTGTTTGTTCAGCTCTGCATTAGAGCATTCTTTTGTTTGTTTACACTGTTGAAGTCCCATCAAGATCATTGAGCAAGAAGGGATCGATCCCGTCCACTTTACACTGACTTTCAAATCCACCCACTATTGGTTTTTGCTCTTCCTTCTCCACATCCACTCCTCTACCCCTTCATTCACATTGTTACGTATCTCTTTCATTGGACGTCTAGAAAGGGGATATTTGACAACTGGGCGTAAACCTTCCTACTCCTTTTTTTCTCCCTTCTTCTTTTCTCCCTACCTCTTTTTGTTTCTCATTGGGCGCATGCATTTGCAACGGTTTTCTAAGTCTAATGCACCAATGCAAAAACACAACGAAGATAATGTATCCTTCGCACAGTATCACAGTATCCCAGTATTTGACGCACAATGAAGAAAACAAACGACTACAGTCATGTCCAACAATAAAGTCGAAACACGCTCTTCAATAACGAAAACAAAAGAACACAAACAAAACGCACGTAAATACGGCTGTATATTTTTGTGTTGCCAAACCTTTAGTAGTCTATACTCTTTTTTCTTCCCTTCATGTCTCTTCTACCTTTTTCTCTTTTTTTCTTTGTGAGACCCACTTTATGCGCTCCTTTTCACAATACAAACAGAAAAACATGACACGAGAAGTCAATTAGTCAACAAACTACATGTCAGTAGAACACCGCTGCCGGGGGTCCGTTCCTCCGCCTATATATGCCCCCTTGCCTGTCAGGATGATATTAGACCCAGTGGAAACCCTTCAAAAAAGAGGAGCATGTTCACATGCCATTTGCGCATCGACAGCAAAACAACCCCCCATTACAAGAAGTGAAGGAGAAGAAAGAGAGCGAAGGCGCGTTTTGAGGTGTAGGGCTGTTCTTCTTTCGCTCATCGCTGCATGTTTACCTCACCTCTTCGTTTATTCATCGATGGATTGCCTGTACAGTATCGTTCTGTTTCTTCATTGCATTAAAGGCAAGGGGATAAAACATCCCGTTTTGTTTGTTATCGTTGAATCTATTTATTATTTTGCCCGCGCCGTGTGGACTGAATGGGTTCGTTCGTCTACAGTCCCTTTATCGCCAGTTCCTTTGCTCGCTTGGACAGCAGAAAAGAAGGGGACAAAAAAGGGCGGCTAATGATCTTTGTCAGCGGAATTACAGATATTGCAGGACCTCTTTTCTTCGTTATTGCTTCGCCTAGACCCTGACCCACATGGACAACCCTGGGGCGAGATTTGTAGAAACAAGGAAACCACATACAAAATGGAATAGGTTTGGTGTTTTGATCACTTCATTCATGGTGGCCACTGATCACAGCCTAGACTGTGATGAGACCTGTTTCTTTACCCCTGAAACTGATCGTATGTGTTGAACAGGAATCTTCCTCTCTCCGCGTTGTTTTTCATCTGACCACTTTTTCCCTCCTTGCTGCGCGTAGATGAGAGAACGGACTTGGACTGTGTCTTTCCTGGCGCGTACCCTTGACCCATTCTCATTAACTTCATTCATTCTTCCTTCGCCGGCTTGACTCTAACTAAAACATGAAAAAATCAATCCCCGCTGTTGCCTAGGGAACATCGACGTGTTTTTTTTACTTCATTCATGCCTTCGTTCGGCCCCTCCATATCTCTCAGTCAGCGCTCGTTCGCGCCATGTCCATCTTCTTGCCCGTTCATTTGTGAAGAAATTGTGGGATGAAAGAGGATGGCGTCACTCTTTTGACGAAAGTATAGCGGGAGAAATGAATGTATCGAGGGGGGAGGGTGGGCAAGGGAGGTGAATGGCTACCGTTGTTTTGTTGTTGGGGGTGTGGGTGCTGCATCCAATCATTTCGTTCATCCCTTGCCCATGTACCTTAGATTGAAGTACTCTGAATGAAAAGACTTAAATAAGTTTTGTTTGTACGACAAACAATTCGAACCTTTGGGTCAGGTTTGTTTGCGACCCTTGCTCCCCCTCCCACCTTTCCTCGGCGCTCCTTTTCTTTGTTTGTTTTGCATGTTTGCGCCGTTATTTCAATTCGCTTTTTTCCATTATCCGTTCACTTTATGGGAACATGGACTAGATAACCAACTAGATAACCAACTAGCTACATCCTCCTTCCTCCACGCTGGTCTAGTGCTCTAAGAAAGAGTAGGGTGATGAAGAAGAAAACACAGAGAGGAATAGGAAAGGAGAGTAATAGGGCTCGGAATTCATCCTAGAAAAAAACCTATCTTTTTCTATCCCGTTAATTGTGTGGAGAGTAGAAGAGGTGGAGTGGAGGGAGAGATACCACCATGTCAACGTAGACAGGGACAGGGGGAGTAATAGCATCAAATGATGTTTACACGCTAGACACATTGTTTTGCATACTGCTTCTTGTTGCTGATTATCTCAAAAAGGTACTTTAATGCATTAACGCTGCGAAGCGATAATGAGTCCTCTCACTAGCCTCCCCAACTCAATTCTTTCTCCTCACTCCTTGTTTCCAACTCTTTGCTGTGGTTTTTTTCAATATTCTCCACTAGCGTCTATCGGAAGCGGTCAATGTGTTTTCCATGCGTCGTCTCATGTCACCTTCCATTACATTCTCTGCTTGTGCACAACATGAATCGAAAGAATATGAAAGAAATAACAAAACTTGGGCTTTTGGCATTGCTGGATAAATGGTTTGGAAGGAATGGTAGGCATGTAAATAAACACTCCCATGGAAAAGAGCTCAACAAGACTACGCTCCTTAGTTTACGCCCACTTACTGCAAGTGCACAAAAAAATAGTAGCAATGACATGGCGTGCAATGGGCAAAGAAAGAAAAATGAGAGCACAACAACCAAAAAACACAAACAAACAACGGTAGTGTAGCTCAAACAGCAAGGGCGTATGCACAGGAAAGGGAAGAACGGACAGATGAAAGGAGGGAGCTGAGAGCACTTCGTTTCTTCCCGTCCTATGGTTTTTCCTGCCTTTCTTACTTCGCTCTCCCTGTCAAGAAACCATATTTTTCAACCCAGCGAGAGACTAAAAAGAGAGACATGCTCTGTGCGACGCGACGCGCTTCAATTGAATCTCTCTCAACCATTCAATGGGAAAAATGTACAGTACAAAGGTGAAGGATACCTTTTGAGTTTTTTATTTGTGGAGAAGGAGAGGCGGGAGCAAGAGGAGAAGAAAGTTTATTCGGGAGCTTTTTTTAAGTAAGTCGATGGTGAGGGTGGGATGTTGCTTTTACTTTTACCTTTTGCTTTCGGTGGGCTTTTTTGGTGGTGATCGATTGAGAGTCGATGAATACATGTGCTTTTTTGTTTTCTTTGTCTACTTTTCTCTCTCTCTTTCGGTTTATTATCCAAGCACAACCGACTTATGCCTGCGAGGATGGAAATTGTGGAGTGGGATGACATGGACAACGGAAGGAAGACGCGCAGAAAACATAAGGAGGTATCCTTCAGCCCATACCTTACTCTCCTTTTTACATGGGTCCATCAACCATCCGTCCACCGCATTGCATCCCTGTACAATTGCTTGTGAACCCTCCACGAGCATATTGAAGGGGTAAATGGACCACGAAAAAGGCCGTTCAAGAAACAAAAGTGAGTACAGTTGCATTGTACCTCTATTTTCCTTTTCTTTCCGTTCATGCAGATAGCTTCTGCTACAACACCTGCATTAAAGCAAAAGAATATATGGAATGACAAACAGTTTCTCCCAACTTTCTCTTTCTCTCTCTCTCTCTCTCTCTCGCATCCCTCTTTGTGATTCTCGGCGCGTTCTTTTTGGATACAAGGAACGGAAAGACAATCCGAAGGAGGGTATTCCAAACCTTTTGTTGCTCACATCCAGCGTTCCCCTATGGTCCAAAATGCACCATAACTCATACACTGAAGGTGTCTTTTATATGGTAGGGATGAGGCTCGTTTCTTCCTCCTGCCTGCCCTATCTAGCCTATCCACCACAACGCCATAAAGTGTATCCCCCATCAAGCTACGACACGACATCTAGGTGACCTTTTGTCAAGTAAAAGTACAGTCTAGCCATTTTTTTTACATACACCAAACAAAAACACAACTATGGTACGTCCTTCGAAAAAAATAATAACAAATAGCAACAAATGCTTCATGGACTGTTTCGACCATGCTCCCAAAGTGACAAACTTTTAAAACCCCTGTCCATGTTATCGTGTCCTTCTCAGGGTCCATTTTGTTTATTTTTCCTTCCAGCTGGATGTAATTCCACATCTACTACCAAAATATCAAGGAGGAAGATAAGTAAGAAGTGCGTGGCGAGGAGTGTGGGCGAAAGCACTGGGCTGTCTGGCTGGCTGACGACACGTAAAAGTACATGATTTTTTTTTTGACTCTTCACGGCTTCTTTCGGTCGCGAGGAGTAAAAGAAGGGCCAAGGTCCCAAAAGAATGCTCCTGTGCATCGTGGGATAGTATTACATTTTCTATTGTCTAACTTTTCATAACCTTACCCCTATTCAGGGGAAAACAGCGTTTGCCTTTTCGCTATAGCCCGTCCTTCCGCCATTGGTCATGATATGTGTGTTTGTGCAAGATGTTGATGACCAAATGTCTACTCGCAAGAAGCACACAGAAGTAAAAAGCACGCAGGTGCTGTCATCTGAGGCATACAAAGAGGAGTTAATGCATAGAGGGAGAAGAGGACGCGGTCGGTAGAAAATAAAAAAAGACGACGAATAAACAAACAAATGAATACTTGCTCGGTCCTGATGCAAAACAAATCACACGCGCAAAGTCAGCTAAATGCTCCTGCGCATGGTAATACAATAGCAAATAAACGACACATGAGCTTTGTAAATAGAAGAACACGCATATAGGCAATTTGAGGAGACATGAGGATCATTGGCAAGAAGAGCAGTGAAGGAAATGCAGAAGTGATGGTGACCTAACCTTCGCTCCCCGTAAAAAACATCTAGCGCTCCAGTGCGCGTGCGAATATTCCAGTCGCGTCGAAAGCGCGCAATCGACTGCACATTCATTACCAAACATCACTCTAGGGCGTTGTTGTTCATGTTTTTTATTGAAACATGAGAAAGCGAACTAAGCAACGATAATATGAAAAAAGAGGTAGGAGTACAGACACAAAAGATGGATGGGGAAGAAAAAATATGGAGAATAGAACAAGACTATGAAATGAAAAGGAGTGAATTGGAACGAAGAAGGTATTATGTGTGGAGAACACAGTAGAGTTACATCCTCCTTCCGAATGAAAAATAGTAAACGTATAAGAAAAATAAAACCATATGATATGAATGAAAAGAAAATAAAGAAACAACAGTAATTAGGAATGAGAATTCCGTGAAGCACTGTCCGCATATCCGTTGAGCCCTCGTGTCATTTCAACATAGCACCATGTACGAAGGAATGTGACGGGACGAGCTGAAGTGAAGAACCTATGAAAAGTAAGGGAGGACCTGGGGAATGGTGATGGCGACGGCAGCAAGACCAACAGCGACAGTAACGAATCCTCTGAAGCGCTTTCTGTCCTTTTCTGCCTGCTCCTCATCCTCCTCTCTTCCGCGCTTCGATCCGGTAGACCGCTCCTGTTCCTGCTCCTGCTCTTGCTCCTGTTCCTGCTCCTGGCCGTTCTTTTCCTCCTTCTCTTGAACTTCAACCTTCTCCTCGGTCACCTCGGTCACCTCGACCTCCTTGACCTCCTTGACCTCGTTGATCTCCAAGGTCTCAATAATTTTCTCCTCAGTGACAACCTCGGTTGTCCCCTCCACAACGACAGTCTCCTTGCTGCTGGTGACGGCGACGTTCTCGACAATAACAACAGCGGCGGTAACAGTTTCCTCAACAGTCTGCTGCTCCTCCTTGGCAACAACCTCGGTCGATGGCGATGGCGATGGGGAAGAAGCGGCAGCCTTGATAGTGTTCTTGCGGGCAGGGGCGTTCAACAAGGGCAACATGAACTGTTCAATGCTGTACTCCTTGGCGAGCTCTTTGGCTATCGGTATGCAACAAAAGTACGAAGTGGTTAGTTTCAGACGCAAGAAGTACAAGAGGATATGATCCCTTTTCTGCGGCTGTTGTGCCATCTCTTAGATGCATGATTTTGCTGCTTAGAAAGTGGAGTCGTCATTGAGCAATTACAATTCCAGCCCTCTTTCATTGCAGCTCCTTATAGCAGTTTTCGAGCCTTTTACCTTGCGAGATTGTGACCCTAAAAACAAGACACAAGCAGAAATTGAACGACAACATGCGTCATATTAAAGAGAGAAAAAAGGTTAGTTACAGAGTTTTTGCCCCACAGTTGACTACAACCCCAAAAATAACAAATCAATTGTTCTGTTGGTGTTAATGATGTTTTTTTCCCTCCTGTATGATTGGGTGTTGTCGTCGTTGAGGTTGTCGTCGATGTCTTTCGGTTATACCCGTATAGAAAAGCGTTCAGTCTTGATGTGTAGAAAAGGCAGAGTATGCCTCCATCCTTGTCCTTCTCCTGTCGCTTCCTGTGCCCCCAATTGATATTAAAAAAAAAAAAAAAAACAACAATAACAAACAACAGACAACATACCAAACGCCAGCAAGGGAGGCACCACCCTCAGCGTCCTCAACAACAGCGCCAAGAGGCACATAGGTTTTGGTGAGGTAAGAGTTCTCCTTGGTGATCCATTGCTCAGTCGCGGCAGGGAAGGCAGCCTGGAACATCAACGTAGCATTAACCAGGTTGGAATCCATCCGACGCATCACCACAACCTCGCCATCGGCCTTGGGCGCACTCATCTTGAGCACTGCAATCGTCGCCGTCTTGCCCCGCTGGACCTTGACGCGTCCTCCCTTGGGCTTCAGGGCCACAGCAGTTGACTTTTCGTCGGCCAGGAGGGGGTTGTTGAAAATGGGGAGTTCACGCTTGCCCTCCTCGTTGGAGTCCTCCTTGAGAGACTCTTCCTTAGAAGAAGAAGCGGCGTCGATGACAGTCTCTTCGTCGACAACAGTGACAGTGGTGGTTGTTGTGGTTGTTGTGCTTGTCGAGACGGCGTCGACGCTCTTCTTCGAGTCGTCGACGATGACGGCGGTCGACTTTGATTTGGCGGGTGATCCTGATCGAGCCATTGTTGTTGGTTTTTTTTTTAGTTTTTTTTGTTGGTGAGTGAAGGAAAGGGTTGGTTTGGGGCTTGGGGCTGATGGCAAAAAGTAAGAATGATCAAAAGGCTCAAAAAGAAAAAAAAAACGTGGGGGAACGCAACAACAAACTAAGAAAGAAAAAAAATTGAGCTGCTCCCACCTGGTCGACAAACAAACAACAAACGTTGCGAAAACACGTCCCTGAATCACAAAAAATCAAAATCAGGACGCGTTGATTTGTCAATTGTGCTACTGGACTGGCAGCAGTAGTGCCTCACCGTTGTTGTCTCTGTTTGTGCGTGTTTTTATCATTTCAATGACATGACTACAAGTGCGAAAAAAAAAGAATGCCAGTAAGGGTAAAAGAGAGAGAGAATAGAAGTAGTTAAGGAAGAAAGAGAAGAGAAAGAAGAGAAGAGGATATTACAAAAGTGACTCAGTCGGAATCCCCTGGGTCGGATCCACTGATACTGCCGCTCGACGACGAAGAGTCGCTCTGAGACCCGCTACTACCACTGCCCTCGCCGTCGCTGCTCTCGTTACTGCTACCAGAACTCTCACCACCCACCATACCAAAACTCTTTCCGCCAAACTTGCGCACTGGTGGAGGCTTAGCTGGCGTTGATGGCTTCTTAGGTGCCTTCTTTGCCTTGGCTATCGTTGGTGCTGGTGCTTGTTGCTGTTGCTGTTGCTGTTGTTGTTGCTGCTCTCGCTGTTTCTTTTGCTGTGCTAATGCTTCAGCATTCGCCTCCTTGAGGGCGCTGCTAACGAGATGCGCCAGCGCAGAGTTGTCGTTCTCAAACGTCGTCGTGTTGCCAGCCGTCAATGATCCGTTTCCTGTGCCTGCCGGTGCCTTGGCCATAGTTCCCAATATCGTGCTCGCAGAATTAGACTGGAAATTTCCATCGTCATCGACGTCCTCATCGCTGTAATCATCAAACTCCTCCACCTCTGCCTGACGGAGCAATTCCTGACGATAGGCGCCTCCCTTGCCCTTGCCGAGACCAAGTCCCATCGCTGGACGGCCACTTCCCTTGCCCTTGCCAAGTCCAAAGCCTCCCTTGCCTCTTCCTGCTCCTGGCCGACTTGCCAGCTTAGCGACCCCAGACAAATCGGCACCCTCATCGCCCTTCTTTTTGCGTGGCTTTTTCGCTGACGCAGCTTTAGCTTTTGACGCAGCAAGTGAACCAAGCGACGCCTCCAACATAACCGAGGGTTGGCTGCCCAGTGACATAGGTGCACCCACGATTCTTCCCGCTCCAGGGTTAGTGCCCAAGATGTTGCCAGCGTGCGCAACATTCATCGAAGCCATCGCCGACACTGGGTCCAGTCCCTTTGCGATCGATTTCCTCCTCGACTTAATGGGTCCCCTTCCTGTCACACCGGGTTTGAGTGGGTCGGCAAAAGAAATGTTGGGTGAGAGTGAACGTCCTGGACTTGAGTTCGAGGGGTGTCCACCAGTCTTTGACAGAGTTGATCCGCTGTCCGAGGGAGAATCCCGATGAGGTGTTGGCGTAACCTTGAACGAGGGAGCGGTGCCGTATGAGTGTCTGGGGTCGTCTGTTGTTCCGCTGGCTGCTGCATTCGCTTTCCGCTGGGCCAGTTGTTGTTGAACGGCTCTAGCCAATGACGAAGAACCCGCTCCTCCGTGGCGCTTCAATTTGATCACAGTTGCTGAACTACTCGCACCGCCTGGGCTAACCACACCTGGTCTGGCCTGCACTGCTGGTCCTGCTCCTTGACTGTTGTTCACACTGGTGTTAGCTGAAACTCCCGTCCGAAGACCTGTATCCTGACCTCCATGTCGCTGGACTTGAGCTGTAGGGCTTCCTGAGGGCGCGTGTAACATGCCCACACCAGGGAATTGAGTAAGTGCTGCAGGATTCGCGACTGGATCGCCACTGTCGATTAAGGTAGTATGAAGATGCTCTCCTGACATGACAATCTGATTCCTTCCGTTCCTGCTCACTGTCGTCACGGAGGGTGGTGGAGGGAACTGTTTCGTTATAAACAAGGAAAATGAGAGAAGGTTGTTAAGTCCAGGCCATTCTCTACAATAATCTGCAATCCATGTAACAAATCACAAGTATTCGTTCAACGTACAGCACGGTTTGGTTGGTTAAAGTGCAGTGCCGACCAAAGTGGGTAATCCCGCTCCAACTGAATAATGACATCCTCAACGATACGAATCCGCTCAGCTATGGTACAGACAGGTGCAGCCGCTATGATTACAAAATTACAAAATGAATATGAGTACTCTTTCCCACTTTATAGGAACAATTGTAATTATCCCGGATGACTTCAGGTATGACTTACCAAAGCGAAGATTCAGATGGACTTGAATATTCCGCAAACGCTCGTCCAGTCCATTGCTTGTCATCGACAGATCGCTCTGCTGGGCGTGAGTCTTGGGATTCGTCTTTGTGAGCGCCTCGTTCTTGACCGTTTCCAGCTTCATTTGAATGGTTCTGTTGAGCTTTCGGGCATCGACTCTTGCACACCCGTCATCTTCGGCATCAGCATCCTGAGCATCAGCGTTTGTCCCTGAGAGGTCAACATTGGGGACGCGGCCCTTGATGAACTCTTGCCGATTGCTCTCGTTGATTTGTTCTCTCTTATTGGCCATGAACTGAATCATCCGCTCCTCAATCTCGTCCCGTGTGGCATTCTCAAGAACCATGCCGCGCGCATCATCGACTCGTCTCCGCTTGATGGCATCATGGCCATCTAAAGTTCCTGAGATAAAATCGCCGCTATTAGAATTTTGTCGTTTGCTGGATCCTGAAAGACCATCGCCCGCCGTGCTTACTGATCCAGGCGTCGACTCCTACAAGGTTTCAGCATATGATATGCATAGTTAGGTTCAGATGCTTTGGTCAACGGAAATGCGAAGTTACAAGTAGTACCGCAGCTGTTGTTACCTGTAAGAGTCTTGTGAACTTTTCAATTATCTTGGGGGCATTTTCCTGCTGAGTTTTCGAAAGTACCAACTCCTCTGCGGCCATCATGCGACTTGACTCCACAAATCCTAACTGTTGTTGAACATTCAAAATGACAAATTGGTCAGCCCCGTAAAATGAAGATGGCATAGTGTCCATAGCCTTATGCAATTGTTTTCTTGTGTTCCTGGGACTTACCTCCGAGAGCATGTTGACCAAAATATCCTGCCAGGGTACCAAAGTTGCAGTCGAGTGCGTTTTCTCTGCGCCTACTTCCCAAATGCAAATATGATATTAGATGTTTGCGATGTGCATTAAATGATGGAACACATTTTGTGATTTCCGCGTCGCTAAGTTCCTACCTGGCAGGGCACTGCTCGACTGTGTGTCTCCAGCCTGGGTCACCGATACATCCGGTTTTGCCACCGTTGTTACTGGAGCATTCAAGAGTCCCGAATCTACTGCTTCCGTGGTTCCTATGTACGAGATAATCCCGAGAAGAAACGAAATAATTCCATTGAGAACTCAGGTCTTGATCGACAGTGCATTCAATTCGATATTTGTTCCATGCGTGCCTATGATTTCCACTGTTGCTTGCCTACGCACCTGTGATAAGGCCGTTATCCATGATAATAAACTCATCATTGGCCGTGTTGACGGAAAGATCCAGTCCTGGCAGGATAGAAACTCCAAATCCCGGCACGGTAGTTGTCAGAGGTGTCAAATCGACTGATGGTATTGATGGGGTTATTGTAACGCCGTGGCTCGGTTCGATCAAGGACGAAGGATCCTGAGACAAAAGGTCGGCCGCCGATAAAATTGGAGCGTGGGCGATATCGGAGAGTGTGAGATCCTGTGCAATAGTATTGGTGTTGGCGAGGACGGCCTTGTCAGCTTCGGTCACAAGGTGGACTGTAGCTGCTACAGTGAGGTTGGATGTTGTTGTGGTTGTTCCATTGACCTGTATGCTTTCACCGTTGATGGAAGGATTAGGTAAGGAACTGGGGGTGGTGGTTGGGGTCGTCGAGTCGGTCATGATGGTGTCTGGTGCTGCGCCGGCAGGTGTGTCCATTGGCATGAAGTCTAATGCCGGGCGAAGGAAGAGAGAAAAAAAAGGGCCGGCGTCCTGGAGACCTGGTGGTGTCAGCGATGAAAAAGAGCTTGTGTGCGGTTCCTGTTACAAAAGTGGCGGGTTTCTGGTTCGTCCTGTTTCTTGTTTGGTGTGATGGACGATGACGATAGTGTGCAGGAAGTGAATAGAGGAGGAGGGAGTGATGCTGTTGAACAGATGTCTTGTTTGCTGTCCACGCGCGCACTGAAAATAAAAGGAGAGAGAGTGTGTGAAAGGGGTCTAGTGAGTGACAGGGTGTCTCTTGTCAAAGGCAACAAAAAAAAAGGCGAAAAGCGCGTTAGAAGTCTCTCTCTCTCTGTCTGTCTGTCACAGCCAACAAAGAAGCAGTCTCACGTCGAACATGGAGAGACACAGATGATGACCAAAACAAATTCTGGCCAGTCTAAGCTAAGCCATTCATTTCCCCTCCCTCAGACTGGACAACGGAAAGAACAAGAACAAGACAAAGGAAGACCCACTATCCACCCTTTCTTCTAACACTCACTCACACCCTACAAACTCACTCATACATTCACCATGGTCAAACTCGAAGAAGTCTCGCTCGATCACGTTGAGGAGGAGGAATACACCGACACCGACTCCTCTTCCGTCTACTCCGACGACGACGACGAGGACGACGTCGATAACATCGAGTCGATCCTCGATCGTGTCTGGGCCCTCCAGGACGTCATCCCCGCAAAGACTCGCAGGTCCATCGCCGACAAGTGCTCAACCGTCTACGGATGGGGAAAGACCTCCGCCAACTTCCTCGGAAACTCGGCCTGGGTCCTCACCACCTCCGCTCTCCTCCTCGTCTTGCCTCTCATGATTGAGCTCGAGCACGAGCAGGGTCTGATCGAGTACGAGAAGATGCAGCAGCAGTCCACCCAGGTATGCAACGAAACGGGTTATTGTATGCTATTTGAAAGCATTCTGAGCGATGGATAGCCAAGGATCACCAATATTGACCCATTGTCCTCAATTGCTTGTTCAATGTCGTATAGATGCTCTCCCAGCCCGCTGGACAGCAGAAGAAGCAGGCCGCTGGCATTGTTCCTCCCGGCTTCTAAAGGAACAGATCATACACACACTCCGTCATTTTTTTCCGGATAGACAACAGTCGTGACCTGCAGAGACTCACCAACAAAAGATAAGAAGGAGACCACCAACACCCACGGCCCAACTTTTGACCTTTGAATGGCACGATGCAGGAGCAACTTGGGATCTGGAATAGACGGACCGTTATCATCTGTCATGCACCAGGGACTCGACTATCATTCACCACACCAGCACCACCATCAACATACATTATCATATCTGCCTTTTCTTTGTATTCACCCTCCCGCCCACTACTACATCTATTCATTAGACATTTGCAGTTCGTTTTCTGTACCGTTTTCTTTTGTACCATTAAAAAACAGACCATGGACACAACACTCCATTGCGAGACACATTTTTTCTGCCTTTTGAATGTTTTTATTTGTTCTATACGGCAAGTTAAACTCACTGAGCACTGGATTTCCGCTTGCCACTCTTGGATGTTGAAGACTTCACGCCTGATCTGGCCTCCTCCAATGCCTGACGCTTCTGCTTCTGGATCCTCTTCTTCTCTCCGTACTGGGCATCTTGGAGCGCCTGTTTTGTAGTATATCAAAAAGCGATGCTTCAGTTAACATGCGAGCATATTGATTGTATTAAATGGGCGTAAAACGTGAAACGAGTGCGGAGCAAATTCATTACCATTGTAGCGGCGCGCTTGGCTGATGTGACTTCGGTCAAAAGTTCCAGAGCCTTGTTCTCCGAAACGGGGTATTCGCTCATCGTCTTGTCTACAGATCATGCGAGAAAGAAAGAAGAGTCAGTGACAATGTTCCACTTGAAATCTTTCGAAAGTAGCAATGTAACTCGACAAGATTTGAACATACTTATCCTGCTCTCAATATCGTGAACCAGCTCGATGTCACGCTCAGAGACCATCGAGACGGCTTGACCTCCACGTCCAGCACGAGCGGTACGACCGACTCTATGAATGTAATCTGTAGGGTCGCGGGGAATGTCGTAGTTGAGAACCCATTGCACACTTGGAATATCAAGACCACTATAAGATTGGAATAAAGTAATCGTGTGAGACCCAATGTGCCTCAAGACTGAAAACAAGAAGACCGTTCGACCGTGACAAAAGAGTAGGTAAACTTACCGAGATCCAACATCTGTGGCAATCAAGACAGAAATGATTCCTCCGCGGAACTTGGCAAGCGAGTTCAGACGCTCCTGCTGCGACATCTCCGAGTGAAGCGCTGTACAAGCGATACCCAACTCCCTCAACATGACTCTGAGTGTCTCGGCAGTTCTGCATCGTCCTGTAAAGATAATGATAGATTTCTTGATAAATTCCTCTGAACGGAGTAGATAGGCGAGGTATGTCTCTCGGAGGTGGGAGGGTATAAAGATGTAGGACTGGGTCAACGTCTTGACAGTCGAGACGTTGGTCTTGCACTGGTAGACAAATGGTGGTGGTTTGGTAGCGTTGTCAGTAGGTCCTGCAAGCTCCAAGACGGCGTCGGTCATTGTGGCGGTGAAGAGCAAAGTCTGGCGCTTTTTGGGGAGTACCTCCAAAATACCACCCAAATCCTCTGCGAAGGTCTCTGTCAACAGCCTATCAGCCTCATCTAGCACGAGGAACTTGACCTTGGACAAGTTCATGGAATCTCCCGAAGAGTTGATGTGATCCCGAAGTCGGCCAGGTGTGGCAATGATAATGTGAGGGCGCTTGGAGAGGGCGATAGCCTGGGTCATCATGTCCAATCCGCCGACAACGACCACATCCTTGAGGTTGATTGTCTTTCCAAGAACGTTGAACTGCTCGGCAATTTGGAACGCCAATTCTCTGTAATGATAGGAACAAATGTAATGTTTAGTTACGTGATACCTCTGCTTGGTAAGCAAATGACTATTAACATGCGTGTCCTGTGAAACATGTCAGTACCTGGTGGGGGTCAAGATGACTGCAAAGACTCCATAAGGATCCTCGGATAGCTTTTGAAGGATAGGGAGAGCAAAGGCAGCCGTTTTACCAGAACCAGTTTTGGCGCCTCCAATGACATCCTTTCCAGCCAGAATCTCGGGGATACACTTGGTCTGAATCTCAGAGGGGGCAGTGATCGACATGGCCTTGAGAGCATTGACCAACCAAGAAGCCAATCCAAGCTGTCCAAAGCTCAATGTCGACTTGAACTCTGGCTCTTCCTCTTCTTCCACTTCCTCGGCGTCATCCTCTCCATTTTCACTATTGTCCTGCTCGTCAACTTCCTCATCCTCGTTCTCATCCTCATCCTCCTCCTGTTCCTCCTCTTCGGCCGAGATATCCTCCTCCTGCTCCTCGAACTGGGATCCCTGGTCGGACTCTGAGTCAGGCTCAGGGATAGGGGAAGGCAGCTTTTCAGCCTTTTGACGCTTTGTAGGTCTTGTTGCTGCCATGGTAGAGAGTGTGTAGTGAGTTGAGTGTTTGAAGTGAGGTGAGCTTGTGAAGAATGAAAGAGAGAGTTGCTGTGCTGACAAAAACGAATGAATGGCCAAAGGCACAAGAAAAGAAAAAGAAAAAGATAAATCGTAAACAAAAGTGACTGCTTGTAGCAACTGAACCCATTAGATCAGTTGGTGGCGCTTTTTCGACCTACCCAGCGGATAGGAGACAAATCAGCGGCGCAGACCCTTGCTGCACATCCTCATCCTAGCACACTTGTACCCATCTATGCACTTTTTACTTTGACATAAAACATACTACATGTTTATTGCTTTTTTTTTCCATCCTCTTCCCAATCTTCCATCTGCCTTCTGCAAAGGAGGACCGAGCACAAACTCGGAGACAAAAAAATCTATCTCAGCTATGTGTGTCCTTCTCTTCCTTTCCAGCCATTCCATCTTCTATTCGTACCTGACAAGTCAATCCTTGTGAATAAGCTGAAAAGTCAACGGTATTCACGCTGACCAACAGTTTTTACAGAAAAAAGGATCGAGCGTCAGTGTCCCCCATCATCCATGCATGCGACGCGTCCTTTAGTACATTTTGTTCTTTTGAATGCCTTTCGACTTCGCACGTTCCTCTGAACTTTTCTTTCGATTTCTCTCCCTCTCTTTCTCCTGCAATATGTTTGCTCTGCACGTTCACTTCAGTTGATCAGGCCACTTCTCAAGCAGCTCTTGAAGCTTCAAAGAGACAAACACAAGGATGTGATAAACGCGAGGACTAGGCTAGTCAAGAATCCACATTTACACGATAAAGAGACAGACATGGATGAGCGATGATGGTGTCTCCTCAATTGACTATTTTGACAGAGCGCACGAGCTGCGGAAATCGAAGTTGTTCTGAAAGCACTTCAAATCTCTGCTCCGCGCTCAGCGAAGGTGAGAGTAAGAAGTCAATAGGTGTTACAGCGATAAGGGCAATCCTTCATTGTGGGTGTTCGAACCTGACGGTCAATTGGATGAGAAAGAGGGGGCGGTGAGGAAATAAGAGGGGGCGGTGAGGAAATAAGAGGGGTAAAATGCAGGAACGAGAGAGCCGACGAATGTTTTGTCAACCACGCATGAAAAGAAAAAAGAGAGCAAGAGTGAATTGTTTGTGTGCAACCGTAAGAAAAAGAAACCCCCACTCGTAATTCAACCGACATGCAGGTCAGTTGGACAAACAATTAAACAAAAAGAAGGGTTTTCGGCGAGGATAGTTTGCGATTCAGTTGATGAGTGTAAAGAATGGAAGAAACGAAGCACAAACAAAAAGTGGCTAGCTTTTCGGCTATTCGTTTTTTGTCACTAAGTTCATTTCGCTTTTATCCATTAGGCATTCGAAGGAACAACACGCTTCTGGTTGCTTGTTGTTTGTTGTTTGTTGTTTGTTTTATTCTTGTTTATCAACTATTAAACCGCTTACGCTGATTTCTCTTTCTTTTTGTTCTGTTTACCATGGAGTTGAAGCCTGCGTGCATGTGTGTGCATTTTGTCTTTGTCAGGGAAATACATTCCAACACTGTGATCAAGGATAATTCACTTCACTGGTCCAGACTGTCGCCGCACTGGACCTGGCATTGAAAGGAAGCATGCGCCGTCAAGATGCGCGTCTCTCCTTCGCTCTTCTATCCCACGCCCTTATTTACACACCTTGTCCAGGACAGCGTTCGTACCTCACGTCCGCGCCGAACTGTTTTTCTCACTCCTCGTCCCTTCCGCGCTACTGCCGAGCCTTCCTATTAAAATGCTCCATCTTCCACTCTTCTTCTCGTCTTCTTTTTCTCCAGATTGACATCTCTATCCTGCCACTCCTCCTCCTTTCCTTCTTCTTCTCCCCTTCTTCCTCCCTTCCTTCCCATTCGCCATGAAGTTCTCCCTGAAAGTTGCTGCCCTCGGTGCCCTCCTGGCCTCAGTCGCCATTGCTGCCCCCGTCGAAGTCGAAAAGCGCGATGCCAACTCTGACCGCATTGCTGCCTGTTTCGTTGCGTACGTCTCCGTGTTGTATTTACCTCGTTATTGACAGCGATTGAAATGCAGTGCCATGTTAGTCTTACCTATCTCGTCGCGTTTGTTTCCAACTAGTCTTATCTTTACTGGTGCATGGCCCGGAAGCTGCCAGGCTGCTGTTTCTGTAAGTTTGGTTGGAGTCATCAACGCTACATTCTTGTTTCTTTGTCTCCCTTTGACATGACCACGCTATGACCACTAACACATAATACCCCTTTATTCCGTTGAACGACAATCCTCCTCCGCGATTGCCCATACCCGCATGCATAGGTCAGCACCGGTTTGATCCAAGCTATCAAGATCAACCAGATGTCCATGGACTTTACCCCCGCCAACCCCTGGGCACCCACCACCTCGTCTAACAGCGTCGTTGCCACCATGCTCTCCATCCCAGGCATCACCCTCCCCATCAACTCTGTCCGCCAGCACATCATCATCACCGTACGTATCCCTATCCCCTTTCCAGGCTCCCTCATTTGCTTGTGCACTTCATGTTGTGCTTTCCTCTTATGTTGATGTGCCATTTGGCATTGTAGCGAATATTAGTGTTTGTAGTATTTATTTGTTGTTTTCGGATGCACAAACAACAAACAAACAAGGACAGCTCGTCTCTACCTTCTCTGCTGACACTCTGCTCTCAATCGCCTTTTCCATCCATCGCCCTTCGCACACATAGGATGGCGATGTTCAGCTGGGCAACATTGACACCCCATGGTCCACCGCAAGCGTCCAAGGAAGCACCCTCACCACCGCCTTCCCCAGTTCAGCTCTCAACATCTTTCCCAACGCCCACACAGCATTCTCAAACTTTGTCAGCACCCTCTCCACCTCTACCACCCACGATGTCATTCTCCAGGGCGCCGTCGACGTCAAGCTCAACCTCGGCATCTTTGGCGCACTGACCATCCCCGACATTGGCTTCAAGACCACCACCACCTTCCAGGGCCTCAACGGCTTGAAAACTGTCGACTATATCTTCCTGGTCGACACCGACATGGACACCGTCTTTGGTACCATCTTCATGTCCGCCATCGTCAACATCAAGAACCCGTCCAACTTGTCCCTCACACTTGGAACTGTCACTTTCAACACCACCTACAACGGCGAGTACGTCGGCCCCTCGACTATCAAGAACATGGTCCTCGTCCCCGGAAACAACTACCTCATCTCTTCCACCACCCTCGACACCTCCATCACGGGCGTCACCGACCTCTTGAACCACCTCGGCTCCGGCGACTCACTTCTGACCTTGTCCACCGACGCCAACACCTCTGCCAACGTCGCCCTCAACGCCGGCCTTGCCGCCGTCAAGTCCCAAATGACCATCCCCCAGAACTTTGGTTCCTCTGCCATGTCCCAACCCCCTTACAAGAACTGGTCCCTCAAACTCCTCCCCACAACCCCAACCGACTACGTCTTCCAGGCCACCGCCACTTTCCAGTCGCCCTACTACGGTTACCCTCTGCAGATGGTTCATGCCCTCCCACAGTACCAGGACAACTATATCCAGGCACTCGGCATCAGCAACGACAGCAATCAACTGCGTCTGTTCGACTTCCTTGACACCCTGACCTATAACATCAACGGCGATGGCACCGCTACTGTTACGTTCAACATGAAGCTCAACAAGGGCGGCATCACCCGCAAGCCTGTCCTCCAAAAGGTCGTCGACTTTGCCAACGCCAACGGGTATATTACGACCGAGTTCATGTGGTATGCAGAGGTTATTCTCAACAACGACGGCGTCCACCGCCTTGTCGATTGGAGCAACCTCGGAATCGGCGCCTCGAACCCTATCCGGATCAACGTCGGCCCCGACTTTGCCGCCATCATGACAATCACCTGAACAACTTATTTCCTACTTGCTTACTTTTATCTATCAAGCCCTTTCTTCCTGTGAAGCAGGATTGAGGACGTACAATAAAATATCCGCATGCACCTCAACTTGGAGAATTCCTTGCTTCATCAACGTCGGTTTTATTCTTGCAAAGAAAGTACAAGGTACCTTTGTCATATTCATTATGTCCGTGTGTCCAAATATCGTCTCAATCAGATCCAGGGGGGTTTCCATACTCGTCGCTGCTCGTATCCAGCAAACTATATTGCTTGAGAAGGACACATGGTCCGCCGTTCTCGAGGTCGATGTTGTACTGGTAAAGATATCCGTCCGACGTTGCTACCATCACCTGCGGCGTTGTGCTATCAGAAACATAAAGATGAAAGAGAAAGAGTTGTACAACATGTTAGGCTCTGAAAGTTCCATGAACTCATAATATTCTTTCTCGTCAAGACACGCAATAACATACTTGCTGAGAGCAATGACGCTCTGGACACCGGCACTTGGCAACTTGAGGTAGGCGAAATCTCGCGAGGGTTCAAAGATCTCGGTAATGGCGCCTGGAAGATAGGAGCCGACACTTCCAGCAAGATTCCGCCCAAAGTGCATCGACTGACGTCGAAGAACCGATCTATATCAAGTCAAATTGAATACATACAAAAATCATGGTCAGTCAAGTGAATGTAAGGTCCCTTCCTCGTGCCCTTGCAGTAAGTACGAATAATCTCTGCTGAACATACCCCATTCCTGACTTTTTAAAGTCCAGAGATCCGTCCAAGAGTCCTCCATTCCGTTGGCTGTTGTTGGGGCTCGTTCCTCCTCCCAGCTTGAAAATGTGCACTGTATCAGTATCACTCGAGACGCAGAGGAGGGTACTGACAAGGTTGAAGGAGAGTGAATATATCCGTGCCGAATGTGATCCGCGTCTGAACTGGTACAGCCTTTGAGCATTAGGTATCGACCAAATCCGAATGACCGTTCCCTATCGTATCCAATAAAAACAGCAAAATCAAGGATTAATCTTTGCTACTCACTCACACCTGCGACAATATACGATATATACACACTGGCAAGCTCCTCTACATACCTTGTCACTCGCTGTGGCGAGCATGGTTCCTTCAGAGTTAATAGAGATGTTGGAGACGGAGGTCTTGTGGGCCTGAACAATGTTGACGACTTGGAGAGTCAGAGCATTGAAAATCAGCACGTCGCCCGAAGGTCCATGAGAATCATCGCGTCCATGCTTGGAGAAGGGCGAGGTGGGTGAAGGTGTTGGGGAAGGGTATGCGAGGTAGCAGCTTTCGCTCGATGGTGAAAGGGCACAAATGGCTACATGTCACAACGAGCATTATTTGACGCGTTAATTATCTGCTGTCGCTTGCATCGTTGAAGAACATACAAGAGGTGCTCTCAAATATCCTGGTGTCATTACCTTGAGGGTTGGGGCTGGTTTCGATGGTATGGAGCAACTTCATGTTGCTGATGTCGTATACGTAGATTTGGTCCTCCAGCACAACAATGAGCCGCTTTCTGTTGAGCTTGACCGAGAGGATGGACGTTGGGAATGTCAGCTCGCAAATGGTGGATTGGCGCTAATTATTCGGGATTTGAGACGTGGTTAACACCATTTCATAAAACGTTAAGATAGTCGCCAACACGCGTGTCTTGGCATTATTTACCTTGGTATTAATTATTTGCAGTCGCCGAGGTGAGGATGCTGGCCGGTCTCCGGCACCTACAATCGCCACCAAGGATGTACTGAAGAGCATCTCTACTATTCCAACTGAGCTATCGGCTGACAAACGAAGAGAGCATAGGAGGTTATTCGTTTGTCAGCAAACAATAGCGACGCTCTTGTGATACTGCATAGAATCGTTCACGAGTAGGGGACATACATTTGGAATAGCACTGCCCGAAGGGATCGCAGTTATAAATCTTGAAGCCATTCTTTGTCCCGACAGATATGCAGCTGTATGGAGAAAGGGAAAAAGTAAAGGCGTAGAACAACAATAAGTATAAAAATGAAGGGTAGTCCTGACAGGTCACTTTGGTTATTTATCCTACACCATGCCAAGTTTCCTTCTCCATTCTTGAGAATGAGTGAGTTAAGAAACATGCCTGAAGTCTTGGTTGAAGTTGATGAAGAGCAGCTCGCCGTCTTTGACGTTCATTGTTGTTCCTGGGGTTGCTGTGGGTTGTTGTGTTGGTGGGCTATTTGGGCGAGGTGGGGAAGGTGGAGTGGTGTCAGTGTTCTCGACGTGCAAGTTGCAACTCAAAACTTAGGTCACAGCAGGCCATGCCACGCTCCTTAATAGGTACAACTCACAGTCACATGACACTTGGACTTTCATGCATAGGTTATGGAGCGAGAGACGGGAAAGACATGCTGCAGAGCACAATAGGCGACCGAACGTTTGTAGGGGTATGGCACAAGTGAACGTGGACATTGAACTCGACAAAAAAAAGCTCTCTCGCATACATACGTTGCCTACGAGATAACAAAAGTCCGTTCGTTGGAAAGAGGTTGAAACAAGTATGGAATTCCATCATGTGGAGAAAATATCCAGCGCCAAAACGCTGAGTAAGTTGTTTCTCCGCCCTTCTTCCTCCTCCACAAACACAACTGTGCCTGTAGCCGCTTTCCTGGCACTGCAAAGTACTCCGTTCATCCGACCCCATCTCCTATAACCATCCTTACACTCGCTCCCTTTCACTTTAGTGGACGATGCACATGTATACCGAGCTTGTGAATTAGTAACTATCTTTGCTCATGAAAAGCACGGCCTTCAACTCCGGAGTAACAGGCGAAATGAAGAACAAGCCAAGGCTGATAAAAGGGGAAAAGCTACTTGAGGAACAAAGTCTGCCACAAAGAAAGATTGGGGAATGAAACGGTAAACGCCTTGTGGCACATAATAGGTTTGGAATTGGCGTGTGATTCTGTCATGTATTTTTCGTCGAGAGAAAGAGAGAAAGAGACAGATACTTCCTCGTGCTCCAGGAGTGAAAGACAAGGCCGACGGGAAGATGCTATAATTTCGCGATCCTTTTTGTTTCCTACAAGTCCGGTTTCTTTTGACAAATCCAATGGTCGAGATGTAAGCATCTCCCTGAAGAGGATGCGCACCAACACAAATAACAAAGACTCAAAGTCGGGAGTGAAGCATGATTGGCTAGTTTAACTTGGAAGGGTGCACAGAGCACAGAGCATGAAAGAAAACAAAGGAATTGGTGTGGGCATGTGGGCTTCTTTGGAGACGGGAGGTTAGAACTTAGAAGTAATTTTGCCCAGACCTTTTTTCTCTCTCTTGTTTTTGCTCTGAGCAAATTGGGGGAGACACAACAGCGCTTGTCTAGACAGGCACAGACAGACAGCCGTATCCCCCCACAAGGATCTTAGTCGTGTCGCCGTCTGCTTTGCTGCTCACTCTGCTCGTCGTGAATTCTCCAATATGTGGCAGGCCGGCTTGGGGTTCATATTTGATATATTTTTTGTGTGGCGTTAAATTAGAATGAATGCCAGAAAGGTCAGAGGGCCCAGAAGAAGAGAGGAAGAAAAAGGAGCTGGAAAGCAAAGGATTGGGTGGAGGATGATCCGATGATCTACTAGTATAGATGAGATGGCAGATGTTATTTTATGGCAAACCCCTTTTTTATTATTTCGGTCATTTATTCTTCTGTTTGCTGGATGCAGCTTTGTGTGTTTGTTCAACTCACGGGAGTCAAGACCGACCAGACAACGAGTGAAATGTGGTTTGGAGACCGATGGCCCCTGTGTTTACACTATCGGAGAAAGTATGTATGAGAATTACTGTTTACGATATTTGTCTCTCGGTGTGAAGTATGAGAGCAAATCGCTATGAAGTGGCAGGCAGAGGAAATAGAAGGATGGAAAGCGAAGGAATGCGATAAAAACTAGAGGAAGGCCCGATGACTGAGAGCGCGGGCGTGCGCCGAGAGGTGGGATTGTGGGAGAGAAAAGACCGACCAGGAGAGGATGAGGACTAAGACCGAGATGGAGCAACAGGAATTTTTACAGTTTACATTGCGCGCAGCGCGTGCTTTTATTATATGAAGTGACAACGATGGGAGTAAGAGTGAGGATGAAGGATAAGCATTGGCATGCGACGAGTATGGACACCGACGGACAACCAAGCAAAATCAGAAAAAAGGAGAAAGAGCCAGCCGGGGAGTCGCATTCTTGCGCAAGTCAGTGACTGAAATCACCCCAACTCAAAGCGTTTTTGATGATAAGCACACACAACAAGCACCAACAATCTAGAGAGACAAGCAAAGTTTCATTGAAACCTTGTACTCTTTCCACTCGTTCACCTTAGTCCTCCCCACACCATTCATCAAGACCTATATAATCCCACTTTTCCAACCTTTTTCATTTTTCGTTCTTCTTTGCTCAACACCCACCCCTACTGCCATACCCTTTTATTCCCTTCCCTCTTCGTCATCACTCTCCTATAACCGTTGTAGTTACACAGCACCCCTTTCTTAACGAACAAACTCTTTCTCCTCATCGTCATCTTTCTCTAATTCACACTTCATCTTTTCATTCAACAACAATCAACAATGGCTCTTCAGATGTTCTCCAATGTTGTTCCCAACAGCCCCGAAGTCGCCGGTGAGGGCAAACCCCGACGCAGTATTCTCTGCCCCGAGAAGCTGGTCGAGAATTACCCCTCGTCCAAGTCCGGTGTTGTCGCTACTCTCTACGAGAACTTTCTCGAGGGAGTCCACCATTCCCGTAAGTGCAGTTATCTGATTGGCATCAATCAGCTATGAATGACAGATGCATTAGTGTGATACTGATCAATTGTATATGTTTCTCATTCGTGATATATCTTCCAGAGGGCAAGGAGTTCCTTGGTCACCGCCCTATCGTCAATGGCGCACCCCAAGGATACGAGTGGCAGACATACGACAAGGTCAAGGAGCGCGTCACCGCCTTTGGTGCCGGTCTCTCCCACCTCGGCCTTCCTACCACTGGAAAGTTGGGTATCTTTGCCATCAACCGTCCCGAGTGGGTACGTCCTCTTTTTTCTTTTTTTGCTTGCGATTGGAAACGGAAGTAGCAAATTGAGAGCCCCCAACGTCTGACAACACCGGTTCCCCATTTTTCTTGACACGTTGTTAGACCATGAGTGAGCTTGCTGGTTACGAGTACAACTACATCACCGTTCCCCTTTACGACACCTTGGGAGTCACCGCTATTGAGTATATCGTTAACCAGACTGAGATGGAAATCATCATCGCCTCCGTCGACAAGGCTTCCATCGTCCTCAACATGAAGGCCACCCTTCCCACCGTCAAGACCGTCATTGTCATGGGCGAGGTCACCGATGCCCTCGCCTCCGAGGCCAAGCAGTTGGACGTCAACATCCACTCCTGGACTGATGTTGAGAAGAACGGTCGCGACCGCCCTGTCGAGGCTGTCCACCCCACCGCGGAGGATATCGCTACTATCTGCTACACCTCTGGTACGACTGGCACTCCTAAGTAAGTTTCAACGAAGAAAACGAGGCGACGGGGACAATCTTTCTTCCAATACTACCAGACGACGACCGCCAGGGTCTAGATTGGTCCGTTCGTTTTAGATGATTGTACACTTGCTTATTTTGCTCCTTTTTATTTTATTTTATTTTGTAGGGGTGCTGTCTTGACCCACAAGAACTTTGTCTCGACCATCGGTTCCTTCCACCTCATGGCCAAGCACGGAAAGTTCTTCATACCCAGCAGCGCAGATACCCACGTTTCCTACCTCCCCCTGGCCCACGTCTTTGAGCGCCTCTGCCAGTCTGTCATGATCGCCGGAGGCGCCCGCATCGGTTACTACCAGGGGGACACCCTCAAGCTGCTCGACGACGTTGTCATCCTTCAGCCCACCATCTTTGCCTCTGTGCCCCGTCTCTTCAACCGCATTTACGACAAGGTCTTGGCCGGTGTCCAGGCCAAGGGAGGCATTGCTGCCTTCCTCTTCAAGCGTGCCTACAACACCAAGAAGGCTAACCTCAGAAAGGGAATCTTGGAACACGCCCTCTGGGACAAGCTCGTCTTTGGTGCCATTCGCGCCCGCTTGGGTGGAAAAGTTAAGCATATCGTCTCTGGCTCTGCCCCCATCTCGCCCGATGTCATGGATTTCCTCCGCATCTGCTTTAGTGCTGATGTCTATGAGGGTTACGGTCAGACTGAGCAAGGCGCCGGATTGTCCATGAGCTACCGTGGCGATTTGACCCCCGGACAGGTCGGACCCCCACAGTTGTGTGTCGAGGTCAAGCTGAAGGATATCCCCTCGATGAACTATACTAGCCAGGATAAGCCTTTCCCTCGCGGAGAGATTATGCTTCGCGGAAACTCCGTCTTCTCAGGATACTACAAGTCCCCCAAGCAGACCGCAGAGACCTTGGATGCCGAGGGTTGGGCCAGGTGAGTTATCTTGTTATTTGTGGACACTCATTCTCGCGTGCGTGTCAGAGTACGAGTGTGTGGATGTGTTGGGATCAGTTTCACATTACTAACAATTCAAGTATGTTTTGGATGAATAATTGCATAGCACTGGAGATGTTGGACAGTGGGACGCTCAGGGTCGCCTGGTTGTCATCGACCGTGTCAAGAACATTTTCAAGTTGGCTCAGGGTGAATACATCGCCCCCGAGAAGATCGAGGCCGTCCTCGCCAAGCACTACCTCGTCGCCCAGGTCTTTGTCTACGGCCACTCTCTCCAGGCCACCCTCGTCGGAATCGTCGTCCCCGATGCCGAGACTTTGAAGTTGTGGGCCAACGAGAACAAGTTAGGCCACAAGACCTATGAGGAGCTCTGCGCCGAGCCCCTTGTCCGCACCACTCTGCAGAAGGAACTCGCTGTCTTTGGAAAGGAGTCTGACCTCAAGGGCTTTGAGATTCTCAAGAACGTCTATGTTACGCCTGAGCAATTCTCGATCGAGAACGATCTTTTGACCCCTACCTTCAAGTTGAAGAGACACCAGGCCAAGGAGAAGTACGACGCCGAGATTGAGCGGATGTACAAGGAGATTGCATAAATAACTCCACTGGACTATATCAAAACAACAAACAATAATCACGCACGACGACTTCTACATAGCATCCTTAATACCCAACGGTTGGTCATTTGCCACCAAAATGAAACAACATTTTTTCTTGAACAGCTGATTCGTGCCTATTAAGAAAGGAAGCATGTGATGCAGCTCGTGTTAAGGGGCGGCATGACTCCCATATTAATTTTTGCGTCTGTGGTTTTCTTTCTTCTCTCCCAATCAACCATACCTTTGCCTTCTCTCTTTGTGTTCGCTTGATCAACATCCCTCAGAGTCTAACAACAACAACAACAACAACAACAACAACAACAGCAACGACCACTCTTCCGTTCGACCCAGTCTCTTCTCCTCCGAATTGGTGACAAACAACAAATACTTAATTACCCCATGCCAAAGTCGCCGCGCGGCAACTTCAACTACGTAGACATCAACATGTACAGGCCCTTCAACTCGTCGATTACCACCGCCCCAACAACCTTGACCGCACACAGCCATGGATACCGCACTCCTACTCACAAGACTCACGAGCCACAGTTATCGAACCCTGCGTTCTCGCCGACTGTCCATGTCCCGCAGTCGGTCCTGATTAACAGCAACCCCGATGACGGCTACCGAGCATTGATCGACGAGCTTCCCAGCCATATGACGAACCAGGCCTTTGGATTCCGACCACAGCAGCACGAGCACCAGCGCCAGCCCAGCGTTGAGAGTGCACCTCGCCCATTCATTGATGCCCCTCAGCATCACCAGAACATCCACCAGCAGTCTCCGCAGCACCCAAAGCAATCCCACCTACAGCACGGCGTTCAGTACCAAAGTTTTAATCAGCAACGTGACCTCGGCCAAAACACCAACAACAATCACAGCGATAACTTGGAGCTGCAGCATCAAAACGGTAGACAACAGCAGCTCCACAATGCCCGGGCTGTTCCCAGCCGGCCTCCACCAGGTCCTCCCGTTCAGCTCGTCAACGGCATGCACCCCGCTCGACTCGCACTCCTCCAAACAGCAGTAGAACCTGAACCTGAACCTGAGGCTCCAGTACTCTCGGATAGGCAGCTAAGGAAAAAGGCCAAGGCGGCTGAGAAAGGTACCCCTCTCATATTCAATCACTTACATCATCAACAATTCCCACCGCCCCCAGCCCTTCTAACACCACTCGTTCCTTCGTCTCTTGCATGTATTTTCAAAGCGGCTGCTCCAGCGTTGATGAACAAGGTACAAGGCAATTCCACCGCAGCAGCCTCATCCTCCTCAGCCCCCTCACCTGCTGCCGCTGCTCCTCCCGCGACTGCCACCCCTACTCCCGCTGCCGCGAAATCAAACGGCCCGAAGCCAAAGCTGGGGGTCCCGCCTCCCACCAGAGCTAGCCTCGATGCTGACCATTTGACAGTACAGCTTCAGGCCGCCATCGCCTCCAAGAGCGTCAAAAAGCTGTGCAACACCGTCAGGAAGGCTGCAGGCGAGTGCATCGTGCGCGCGTTCATTTACATCATGAGTCGGAACTTCTCGTTCATGTCTCTGGACCTATTTCTGAACCTCTATTGTAAGGCCTTTGGCTGCCCCACTCTTACCGAGCCGCACATGCACGACTCTATGCTGGAGGCTAAACTCTTCAAACTCATGATCGAGACCAAGATTGAGAACGAATATCCACACCGCAAGTTTTACCGCCTCAGTCCACACTTTTTCCGTGTCCTCGAAGACCGTGCCAACTCCACTGCCGACATCCCAGCCGAATGCAAGGAAGTCGTCATGTACGATTTGGCGAACAAAGCCAACCTTCCGCCCGTCGCTCCAATCCCCCCAGCTATGGTTACTTACCTGTTGAACTGTTGGGATCTCAAGCTCTACAACATTGCGCTCACACACCTCGCTTATACTCCCGCGCGCTGGCCAACCGTTGCGCCTCTGAACGATCTCCAACCATTCCTCGCTTACTGGTACACACCTCAATACGAGTTCTCCCAGCACATGGCACCACTCAAATCAGTCGCTGCAGCCAAAGTGGCCGCAGCTGCAGGCAAGGCCAAGGCCAAGACCGGATCCACCCCAACTGGCACCTCCCCGAGCTCCCCTCCCGCTGCGACCTCGACCATCGAGGGATCTACTAGTACCAGCACAAGCACACCTACTGTGGACGCAGTCGCGCTTGCTTTCGAACTCTTGTTAGACACGGCCAAGTTGCAGGGTAAGCCAGGAAATGAGTCGAGGAGGCTGCTTCGTTTGTACGAACAGAGGCTGGTCGATGCGAACGTTGAAGTGTTGCCGCAGGTCACGGCCATCTTGGAGGATGATGCGCTCTCAGAAAACAGTGACATGGAGCTGGATGATGGTGATGACGATGACGCTCCAGCAGCCATCGATTTGACGCCTGCACCGGTCGCCATGACTGTGTGTCCTCCGGCCAACGACACCACCTCGACCCCTACTACCTTTACGCGGACGAACCGGGACCCCCCAATTGGAGCTACGCTGCAAGGGCCAGGCCCAGCGGTACAGTCATCTCAGATCCTGGTGGAGAGCCATGCCCAGACGCCGACCCAGAGCAAGGGCAAGATGCCAGACCGGACAGGCGGACCAGTGAGATTCAGCATGAAGCAGGTGCGATATCAGCCGTATGTTGACTTACATACAGGTGAAGGCATTCCTCGTTCCGACAGTAGTAAGCAAAGTAAGTCGATGGGAGTGGACGGTACCTCGACGAAGGGTAGCTCGGATCGGCCTCGACCAGCGATCCCTTCCAACAGGAACTTACCGACTCTGCCTAGACCTTTATTGCCACCACTCGAGGGACAGGGGTCGTCTTCTGCGAACCCGATGACATTGGCGATGTTAGCAGGAGGTGTGGGTTCGGACATGACAACGACAGAGCCTCTTTTGCGTCGTTCCCGTGATGATATCTTGATGCAGCGTCGTTTGGCGATGAACAAGATTATTGAGTACACGATGAAGATGCCTATGAAGATGGGGCCAAAGGACTAGTGTGGATGTTAATCTGCAATGGTCTGGAAGCCTTTATCTGTTCGAATGGTATCTTCCGAGTGTCGACACAATGTCATGATCCGAATGTGTTCAACACAACCACATCTTCACTTGCTTTCACTCAAAAATGTTTGTCTTGTTTGTTCTGTTGTCGTTTTTCTTCGCCTATTGCATAATCTCTTTGTCTTCGTTTTTCGGCCTTGCGTTTTCTGTTGCGTTTTCACTACTATATCTTCTCTATCTCTCTATCTCTCGCTCAAGGTCACCCGCGTTACTCAAGCTTTGAGGCGTCTTTTGGGGTCTCTTCTCGGTTTGGCTTGTTCCTCTGGATGGTTGGTGAAAGATGAAGGCGTCCTTTCGAGTTCTCAAGACGAGCGAGCCACCTTCCTGTACATTCTTTTCTTCAGTTTCATTTGTCGTTTTACGTTTCGCCGTGGTGGTATCGGGAGCGAGGAACCTTGTCTGCCTTGGTCTGGTTGGTTGTGGTGGGGATATTGGACTCATGGTCGATTGTGGGCTCACTTCATTTTTTTCTCTCCCTGACCACAAGATACTTTCCTGTCGCGGTGGATGATACGGTACATCAACACTATCCTTGACACTCTGCTTTGTTCAAGCACACATATATACTTTTTCAGTCTTTTTCACTTCAGCGTCTGTCGTAGCTTCCTTCCACAGCCTTTACTTCTTTTTCTCAACAAACATCAAACAAACAGACAACAAGGAAAACCAAAACAAGCAATCGGATAACAAAAGGATGGCACAAAGCAAAGAGAGCCTTGAAAAGACATTGAATGGTCAATTAGTCAACTGTGAGTGCATTGCTGGTTTTGCATTGATGGCACCGTTGTGAAGGCTATCGCGCTGCTGGACGAGTCTGACAGGGACAGGGACAGAGAGAGACAAATGCAGACCAAATGAGGCAAAGATGAGCCTGGTACAAGAACTCCCACGTTATCTGGGAACGAAGCAGTGTCCGATTGGAGGATTGGAGCATGTAACTTTAACACTTTTGCTTCTTTCTCCTCTCTTCACTCTCTCCTTATCTCTTCACCTCTCCAGTCCCTCGTTTCTTCACCTTCTTCCCTCTTATTCTCCACTCACTCCTTCCTCACCTCACCTGCTTGCTCATTTCCTTTGTTCATTCAGTTTCCACACCCAACCTACTCATTCTCCTTTCCTACTTACTCATCACAGAGATGCTATCTAGAATCGGCCTCAAGTACCCCGCCAGACTGCACTGCGAAAAGGTTGCTTCGTTCCTCTCGGATGTCGACCGCCACGAGGCTATCATCCTCGCCAGGGGCAGTCAGACCCAGAACCGAGACAACACCGATACCGAACTCGATTTCCGTCAAGAGTCCAATTTTCTCTACCTCACAGGAGTCCAAGAAACTGACTTTTACTTCCTCTACGACATCCCCAATACTAAGGCCTACCTGATTGCTCCTGAAGAGAACCCGACTTTGGCGGTCTGGAAGGGTCCAGATTACACGGACGAGCAGCTTTTGGCGAGGTATGATGTTGATGTTGTGGTGAGGTACCCCGGCTTGTTGGGGTTGCTGAGGGATAAGATTCGACCTAGGAAGATTCATGGTTGGAACCGACCTGAGCAGGGGCTTCCTTTTGGTAACAAGGCGCTGGAGCATGAGTTGGAACATTATATCTCTCATCGTTTGATCCGACCCGCTGAACCTACCGCTACCACTGCGACCACTTCGACCTACAAATCCTCGACTGTTGACGATCGTACTCATCATCATGGACCTTACGGTGACCACAACGGACACCGCTGCGGACACCACAAGCACCGTCACCACGACCACGAGCATGACGACCCTCGTCCTCCTCGCGACCCCAAGGCCCCTGTCCGCGTGACGATTCTGGAAGCGCTGATCCTTGCTCGCATCAATAAGACCCCTATTGAAATTGCGCTTTCACGCGAGTCGACCCGAATCACATCGGACGCTCATCGGTTGATCATGAAGTCGGCCCGCCCCGGAATGTTTGAGTACCAGCTCGAGGCTCTCTTCCGGTACGAGTGTGCCCGTCAAGGGGCCAAGAACCAGGCCTACCTCCCCATTGTCGGGACAGCCGTCAATGCTGCCTACCTGCATTATACCCGTAACGACACGCAGATCAAGGATGGGGATTTGGTCCTGATCGATGCTGCCTGTGAGGCGGACTGCTACGGATCGGATGTCACCAGGACTTTCCCTGTCAATGGACGGTTCTCGAAGGAGCAGGCTGAGATCTATAACTTGGTCCTTGAGATGCAGACCGTACGTTTACCCTCGCATGTGTTCTGTTGTCTCTGCTCATTGAGCGCATTTTTGTTTTGCACTGAATCTGACCATGTTTATCTTTTGTATTTTGATTTATAGTCTGTGATCAACAAAATGGAGCAAGGAGTCGACTGGCGCGAGATGGCAGCTCTCTCTCAAAGGATTGGAATCCGTGGCTTGAAGCGTCTCGGAATTCTCAAGGGCGACGACACTGACCTGATTGAGAGCGGCATCATCCGGATCTTTTACCCTCATGGATTGGGCCATCTCCTGGGTCTCAACGTCCACGACGACGGACTCGGACTCTCAATCCAACTACCCCCATCCACCTCCGCTGCTGCTTCGAAATCCGAAGTCGCAGTGGAGGGGTTCTTGGGCACCAAGGAGTCGCCCATCACATTCCACCGCACCAACATTGGAGAATTGGCACCTCCCTCCACTCGCCGCTCTCATGCGTCCAAGGCTGGATCGACCTCCCTTTATGTCACCCCTTCAACAAAGCTGGAGCCTGGAATGCTGTTGACTGTCGAACCTGGTATCTACTTCAACCCAGCGCAGCTCGAACGCGCGCTCTCTGTTCCTTATGCGTCCCAGTATTTGGACGAGCCCACGCTCAAGAGGTACATGGCTGTTGGAGGCGTCCGTATTGAAGATGTCGTTTTGGTTCTTCCTAACGGCCAGGTCGAGAACATTACAACCGCACCCAAGATCTTGAGCGAGGTTGAGAGGATTGTTCAGGAAGGTCAGAAGGAGTACCAGCTGAGCCAGCGCACGGGCGATGTTGCTCGGCACGAGAGCGGATATTCAGTCTCAGAGAAGAAGGTTTCTGAGAAGGCTATGCCCGCTGTTGCCGATCGTTCCTCATCGTCGGCGGAGGAGATCCCTCGTGGAATCAAGAAGCGTGTGGGTGTCTTCAAGAAGATCCTTCGCGCCATCCGCAACATGTTCTAAGCTCTTATCATATGCTTCATCATAATAAATATATTTATTTGCGTAATAATTTTCTAATGTGGTATGGCCAGAATTAAATGAAAAGAAAAAAATTATTTACCAAAGGGTAATCTTCTCATTCCACTGCCCACTCTCGCGCGCCTCCCAATATCCACCCTTATAAGCCCAAGTCTGGCCCTCAGGATCTTCGGTCTGCGGGTCCGGTCGTTTCTCAAACCACTTAACCTCCCATGGCTCCCCCTTAGACTCCATCAGCTTCCTCAACTCTCTCTGCTTCTGCTCCACCCTCAGTTTCTCTTGATCCGCCTCTTCAACTCTCCCATTCTCAAAGAGCGACTGGTCCGGCCGGAATCGCGTATCGGTCCTCGGCAACTTCTTCTCCAGCCCCTTGGTGAGCTCATTCAACTGCATCGTAAAAGCGGTGAAACCATAGTACCGCTCATGGTTCGGTGGTGGAGTATGAGCCTTCCAGAGCCTCTCCAACTTATTCGGCCCAACTTCTTCCATCAACGACTCGGACCATCTTCCTTGAAGTGTTCGTTTCTTGGCCCCGTTCGCAGCCATGACATGTCCGATCAGCTCATGTTTCGTCCCGGAAAAGAAACTCGATTCCTTGAATGTGAGGAGACAGGTTTCCTTTGTGGTGTGGTTGGTGATTTTCATGTCACCCGTGTGGTCGAGGTATTTGGTTCCTGCCATCAGGTTGCGCATCCAGGTTGTGGGTTTTACGATCGTGAAGTGGTCGTTTGTTTTTGTGAAGTAGATATGGATCGTTCCGTTTGGCATCAGTTCCTGGATTGGATGAAGGAGGTATTTTAAGAGAGAAAGTGTGTGGTTGTCTGTTAGATCTTTTGAACCATTTTTTTTTGCATGTAGGAGCCAGTCGATATTTTTTCGTAAATACTTGATTTGTTTTTTGTTGCAAGATCCCCTTACCATGGACTTGCCCCAGAACTTTGTCTTTGCGCGCGAATCCATTGACAATGTCCAGTTATGCACCGATTCAGCGTGGCACTAATTTTTTTACAAAAGGTGGCAGAATAAATTCAAGGTTAATCTCTTTGCCATATAATGTGCTTCATAGATGATTCGACAGGCGTGGGTTAAAAGGGACCCATGCACAAACTTTAGATGCAGGGGGGGTTCACTTACAGCCATGATAGGTGGGTAATGGCTCACTTTCTCAGAAATGAACTTGAATCCTAGAAAAGAAGGAATGGTTTCGAAGTAAAATGCCAAGAGCGTCAGTTTCAAGTCCAAACAAAAAGGCAAAAAAAAAAAAAGTAGCATGTGAACAACATAAGTAATCAAGCGAACGTACCTTTCTCAGGGCAGACATATTCAAAGGTTTCGCCATGGAGAGGGTTGAATGGTTTACGACCTGCACGCCATTGAGAACTGGCATACCCACTCACTGCAAACGCAGCAACATAGACCAACCGATCCAGACTTCCTGGGAGACTGGCAGCCTTGTCCAGAAGCTCACTATACTCCAACTCCTCGCACAACTTTTGCAGCACATTGATAGGCTCGTTCAGAGAGACCGGCATCGCCACTGTCGAAAGATCCTTGCCCACGTTCTTGCGCAGAATTGAGAGCAGCGAAATGTCCTCTCCCGATACGGGTGCTGGCAAGACAGACCGCCGCACGATTGATCCTCCATCGTCCTCTGGTGCTGTTGGTGGCGCGGGCTGTGTTACGGGTGCTGCTGCTGCTGATGGTGAAGAGTCGCCGCCATCGACAAACTCGTCCTCGTCACTAGAATTGTCGTCGTCGTCGTCAAATCCATTCACGTCAAATCCAGCATCCTCCAGATCCGACAGATCCGCGGGCGACATGTTGGTGGTCAAGACTGCATCGTCCATTGCGTCGTAAAACACATCCGATGCGGTATGGATGGACGAGGTCAAAGAGTTGGTCCGATCCGAGCTCATGGACGTCCGTCCATGTGCGATAAAGGCCTCCTCCAGCGCCAGTCGCGACAGGGCCGATTTTTCTCCAGAGTTGCGGAGGCTGTGAGGGTGGTGGTGATGATGAGGTTGCGCCAGCTTGTCGTTTTCGGCCAAGAGCATCTGATACTGCTTTTCGTTCTTTTCCCACTTTTCCATCTCGGACCGCACCATCTCAAAAGTCTTTGTCTTGTCCGCCGCCAGTTTTTTGAATGACGCCTGCAGCTGTGAATGCAATGCGTCATTCGTCTGCGAGACGTTTCCATCGCTCGTCGCTAAAAAAAACAGGAGCGAAGAGGCCACCTTAGGTAAGAGGCGCGTTTTCTTTTTCATTTGCGTACAGTGATGAAAGCCTGCCCGACAAGAAACTTACTCCGTGGAATGCCAAATCTAGGCAACTTGAACTTGTTGTCGATAGATGACTGACGCTCTCTTCCTGTGGACTTTGGCTGAGAAGTAAGAGTAGACCCCGACTTGACGCGAATCGATTCCAGTTGATCCTGAATATCGCTGAATCCAGCATCCATGGTCGACATTAGTTCTTTCAACGCGTCCAATTGGCTGCCACTCGATAGCCATGTGTTGCTCAGATGGGCGCGTTTTGGTGTCGGTGTCTCCCGGTGGGTCATTCGGTGAACCGATTCCTGAACCGCGCGGTGTTCCGACTCCTTGAATTCTTTGATGACGCTCATCCAGGCTCTGTAATCCTCCACTGTCAAAGCTTTCAGGTGATAGAGCATTGTTCCCGAGTCGATGTGGATCATGTTGGACGCCTTGCTGACGGTGACTGTCGAGAGAACCAAATGGACTTTTCCTCGACAAGGACCATGTTGAACCTTGGAATACGACAGAATCCCATTATCGATCTGGAACCAGCGTTTTGCCCACCCTAAAGTCAACAGAATATCGGAGCAACAATGACAGATCAAAGAGACAAAGAAAATGGGTTAGTAAGCGTATATGTGGCGACTATGGTTCATGGGCAGTGTACGCGCGCTCTTTTTTCTCTGCCAGCCGAAGGATAAGCCGAAGTGTTATTAAAAAACATTTGAGTGGGCAATAAACTCTATTTGGTCGGACGATCGGGGCGCACAGGCAGCCGAACATGTGTTCCTGCTCTCTTCGCGTTATTTTTTTTTGTTTCTTGTGCGGCATTTCTGCGGAGGAGGAGGGGGTGCTTTGTGTTCGCGTGGGTGAAGGGAGAAGGCGAGAGGCGAGACTCGAGAGCACACCTGGACATGGCCTGATGTGTTTTGGTTTCTGTTTGATTTGTTCTTCCCTTGCTCTTCTTTTTACTTTGTGCTGGTGGGTTAATTCGTTGGACGTGTTGTTGTTGTTGTGCTTCGTGTCAATTGGTGGATGGGTTCAGCCCATATACATACCTTGCATACGCTTTCGTTTCTTTTTGAGGAGCCAGCCTGTCATTTCAGAGGTGGGCTGCGCAACGGGAGTCGGCCCGCGCTCCTCAAGGGCGACGAAGAAGGTCAGTCGCTTTGAGGTGTTGATGGAGAACGTGTTGTCTAAAACATGTTCCAATAGTGAAAAAGTATTAATAATAGTTCGTTCAAGGTTTTTTTCTTTCTCTCTCTGCCATTGGATGTCAATCTTTTTTTTTCTTTCCATGGCAGAAATAAAAAGGAATCATTGACGAGAGATGAAGTTCAGTCGCAGTCAGTGTGGAAAGAAGGGTGTCGGTCAGCCCCTTATCAATCATGATTGATTGTCATTCCTGACACCAACAGAAGACAACAACTTATCTGATCGTCACTTTCCATTCATTTTATTTTCAGGGCAGAAACGCAGATCAATAAGTGACAAAGTATTAGTCCAAAGAACTTACCAAAAACGAGAACATAGCTGCCTTCCTCCTGCACGGTGTACTCTCCATGGACTGGGCCTGCACCGGATTCGTAGTGCTGGATAGGGATGAGCTCGATCAACTCAGGGTCCTTGAGCTTGGCAACCGTTTTTTTCTTGCGGAGTGACGGCTGTGTGGTCGACGGGAGCAAAGCCTGACTCGGGCTGTGTTGGTGTGCCCTCAGCCCAATCCCTGCTTCATAAAGGTCCTCGTCGCTCCCACTCGAGTTGGCCGATGTCTTGCTGGGCGAGTATTGTCCTGCCTCGTTGTTGCTGATATGGCTGCTGCTGTTATTGCTGTTGTTGTTGCTGCCATCCATGTTGTTGTGGATTGACTTTTGGGATGATGAAAGAATGCCGCTTCCTGTACTGGGTCCCTTGGAATGAGCAGCGTTCTTGGAGGCCAGGGATTCGGGTCTGGAGGGATGAGCGCGTTGCTGTTGTTGTTGGTACTGATGCTGTAGGCCTCCTGCAGAAGTAGGCGCGGAAGAAGAATGAGGAGGGGCGGTGGTTGTAATGGATGGGGCGATGGAAGTTGATTTCAGCTGAGGAGGACAAAATGCGTTTTTGCGAAAGTAGAGGCCAAAGGAGATGTTCTTCTTTTTTGTGGAGAACCACCAGACGAGGGTCTTTCCTGGCTGGTCGACATGGACGTAGTGTTGAAAGACGTCCCTTGGGGGCACCTCGATCTCCTGCATGGTGAATGGGAAAGAAGTTGTAGGAGGACGAGGAAGAATGAGCGAGGAGTAGGTGTGAGGTTGAGTGAGAACCAAGGCAGGAAGGGAGCGTGAAAAGAGGAAGAGAAGGACGAAGAAGAAGTGGAAAAGGAGGGTCAGTGAGAAGGAAAGTGACGAAAAGTAGGGAGAGAAATTGAAAATGGAAAGACGATCAAGGGGTTGCAAGGTGTTCTTGCAGCAAGAACAAATATGCAATGGAGAAGAAGCAAAAGAGACGAAGGAAAATAAAAACCCAAGGACTAATGCACGCCATTGTTCTAAATTAATCCATTCTCGCCTCTCCCTTTTGTTCCTTTCTGCTATGTAGCTCTATTTTTGCATCTCAGAAGGACCGTTTCCCTGCTTGTTCATCCTTTTCTTTATTTTGTTACAATTGCCCCCTTCGCCAGGGTGTCCATTCCAGTGGGGTGACAGAGACGATCGTTCTTTATTTTTGATCAACAGCACTTTTAATTTCTCAGAAGCACAGTGAAGTAGCCAGTTATGGGGGAAGTGTTCAAGATCGACACAGGGTAGAAGGTGATGGTGCCTGGATGGGATTGACCCTTCTGCGGATCGTCAATCTTTTTTTTGTGAAAGAAGGGTGACACTATTGAATGTGAGATGCCCCCCAGTATCGTCTTGGCTAACCTTGAAAAGAAGGATGAACGAACTCGTTCGTATTCCACAACGAGGCAGAGATGGGCGGGCATCAAAGGAGAGGACAGGCACAGGCACAGGCACAGATACAGACACGTATTATTACTATTACATAAATAGTATATATCATAGGACACAACACGAGCTATTGTTGCAGCGAGCCTGCTGCATGATGGACTGTTAATTCCTTGTTGGACTTGCACATGGGATCCCTTTTCTCTCTTTCTCACTCTATCCTGCTGCATGGCACTTTTAAAGATCAAAATCGACACAAATCCACAGCCAGGACACACAACACACGAATCCACTCGCCTTGCTCTACGCTCTCTTATTTCTCGATCGATCATTGGTTACTAGCTCTGCATGCTCTGTCCATACCCTGGCTGAATACCCTCATCTGTCAACAACAACAACAATAATAACAAATACGCCCAACATTGACAATCAACGAACGAACGCCGCTCCAGGGGTGTTCGAGCACAAATGGAAAATATAAGACCAACAAAGAGAATAGAGAAAGGTAGGGGTGATGACAAGACGGAGGGGAAGGAGAAGGGATATCTACATGTGCTGTTCAAGTGGATAGGTGACATAGTTCTAGCGCAGACGATGAGAGAAGGTGAGAACGAATGTAGGCGTGTAGTAATGGTATAGGTGATGGCGTAGGTAGAGCTGGTGTTGACACCGGAGACAGCTGGTGAAGGCACAGGTGAAGGCACAGGTCCAGGCACAGGTGAGAGCGAGGTGGGCGAAGGTGAAAGCATACTAAGTGACAGCCTATACTATCACACAAGTCGACCCTCTTTCTCTCTTTCTCTTTCTTCCACTCTTTCTCTCCCTGTCTCTCTCTCTTTTGCATAGCCTTTCTCCTATGCTCGTTTTATCCATGCGTGTGACTCGTCAAAGAAAGAACACCAACACCATGCCATGCCAGACGAATCCGCAAGAAACAATTGTCACTTTTGGGCTGTACAAGGCAAAAAAGTGTAAAAACCAGATAAGAAGGAGGCAACCAATCAGGTCCTTGCACCATTCCCACGGCAAACATGTGCATCACGCCTTCATTGCTCTCGACGTTGTAAGAAGTCATACGCTTCCATTTTTTCCTTTTCTTTCTGTCTTTATTTTTCCTTTTGTGGTGGATTGTGCACAAACAAACAAGAAGAAGAGTACCTTTTTGTGACCATGTACCTTCTTTTTGTCTCTCTCGCCAGCCATTACTCTTCGCTCACTCGCCAGCCACTACTCTTTTGCTCACTCGCCCAACGGAATTGCGATAGCATAGGCAACGACGGACCATCCTTCCGAAATTGGATGCACCGTCCTGATGGACACAAATCACACGCACTCTCTGTCTCTCTCTCTCTCTCTCTTTCGCTCGCTCTCTTTCCGGAAACGGATTGGAGCCACAGTCCACCTCGGATACTTCTCTGGATAAACTGGTCGAGTGGTATAAAAAGGACTCGCCGGAATACCATCCGCTCACCCATCCCACCAAATCACCGCCGCCATCCCCCACCCCCAACAACCATCAACACCTCGCCTTTTGTCTGACATCCTCCTGCTCATGAACGACGCTCTGAGGTAGGCAAGAATAGACGGATTTGTTTTGTTCTTTCTGCTCACAGTAACTGTTTACCTTGTCTATTTCTACTAACCACGCCTCTCTCTCTCTCTCTCTCTCTCTCTCTCTGCCTCGTTAAAATCGCACTACTCTAGGTTGGCAGGAACAGCTCTGCCCTTAGCGTACCCATTCGCATCAGCACTGCTGCTTGTCTATCTCTCCAGAAAATCCATTCATTTGGATCAGTACGAGCCTATCCGATCCACCGACAACTCGGACGACCTCGACAACTCCGACGACCTCGACAACACAGCCAACAACCTTGACAGAGCCAACAACAGCACACGATCATCGACTCATGCCTCAGTAGTCGCATTGGGCATCAACCTTGCCAGATTAGGATTGACTGCTCTCCAACTGGGTCTAGCCGTGTTCTCCTTTGTTCACTTCAATCCCGGACAAACAGACAACAACAACGAACAACCAAGTCGCCTGGTCATCTCTGCCACCATCCTCCCTTGGTCCTATGCGCTTGTCCTGGCATTCGTGTTCTTGCTTCGCCCCACAACAGCTTATCGGTTCTGGATTCGTCTCCAGCTGGATCTCTTTTATGTTCTCGAGCTGGTCCTCATGTCGCTCGGAATCTATTACTCCGGATCATTGTCGCAACCCGTCTCCGAGTGGGTGTTGGAGTACAAGTTGCAAGACGCCGCATGGTTGACCGCAGCCCTATTGGTTTGGGTGTCCCTTTTGACTCGCCCTTACCAGCCATCGAACCTTATCAAGAAACAACGAGGGGAGATTCCCGTCGCTGTCTCGTCCGAAAGCGCGGCGTCCGTGTACTCCATATTGACATTTGCATGGGTCAACTCATTGGTCTACCTCGGGTACAAGAGGGTGTTGCAGGAATCCGATCTCCCTAATCTCGAGGCCGAAGACTTGTCCTTGACCACCTCCAACCAGTTCACGTTGGTCAAGTAAGTATATGTGCAACATCAGCACACTATATCGCTTACTCGACTTATTTTTTTGGGTTGCAACTCACACAGGTTGTTTATGTGTGCATCCGATAGGAGAAAGTCGCTCGTTCGTTCGCTGTTTGCTGCCCTCAAGAAAGACGCGTTTATCCAGATCATGTGGAGCATCCCTCACAGCGTCTTCCTCATTGCAGCGCCTCTCTGTTCCAAGAACATCATCGCCTACATCGAGTGCAAGGACTGTGGCCCTCCTACCGCCAGCAACTACGTCTGGGTTTTTGCATTACTTGCGACAACACTGGCGGCTTCCGTCTGTCAAAATGGCTCTTATCGTTTTGCCCGCCGTTTAGCCCTCAAGACCACCTCAATCATCAACACCGAGGTCTTCAAAAAGTCACTCCGCCGAAAGGACATTGCTTCCTCTACCGAGTTCAAAGAAGACGAGGAAGGAAACCGAAAGAAGGACAAGTCTGCTAACATCTCCAGTGAGTTTCTTTTTGTTTGTGTGCTATCTCGTTTTCTCCTTTCTTTTCGCAGACGCAGGGCTATTCGTACGCACAGATGTTGAAGAGCAAGCTAACCAGATCCGCCTTATTTATTACGCACTGAAATAGACTTGGTCGCAGTCGATGTGTCAACTATTGAAGGGAGTATCGTCTCCATGGATCAGCTCTATGGTCTCCCTCTACAGGCTGTACTCTCGTCCATTGGCCTCTACCGCCTCCTGGGCCCAGCAGCAGTTGTCGGTATCGGGTTTATGATTGTTACTATGCCACTCCCAGCCATTCTCGCATCGGTGTTCATGCGGCTGTTCAACAGCATCATGGAGTCCAAGGACGACCGGATGGATATCTTGACAGAGATGCTCTCTGGAATGCGCACAGTCAAGTACTTTGGTTGGGAGTCCAAGTTTGTCGAAAAGATCACGGAAGCTCGCGAAAAGGAGCTGAAAGACAACAAGACGTTGTACACCAAGATGTCTTTTGCCAATATCGCCTGGTCCATCATGCCCCTTGTCAATATGGTCGTCCTCCTTGTCGCCTACACCGTCTTCTATGGCCACACTATCACCGCCTCTGTCCTATTTACGACTCTCTCGCTATTTGAGATCTTGAGCTCGTCCCTGTCTACCCTCCCTTGGACCTTCATTTCGACGATGGAGACTGTTGTCGCGCTGCGTCGCATTAGCACCTTTCTGGATGAAGAGGACGTCGAGAGAGACACAACTCTGACAAAGATCGATGTCAAGACCCGCTCCTCTTCCACAGCTCCAACTGCCCACGTTGCTTCGCACCCCGTCATCGGTTTCGTTCGCGCCACTTTCTCCTGGCCTAGCAAGAAAGTCAAGGCTGTTAAATCAGCCCCGAAGGCAGGTTGGTTCCAGAACCTCAAGTCCAAATTCTCCAAGGCACCGACTCCTACCGAACAAGGAAACGACAGCTCTCCGATCGATGCCCCTGCTCCAGAGCCTGAGGCTGTCATTGAACGCTTCCAGTTGACAAACGTCTCGGCCGACTTTCCTGTTGGAGAACTGTCACTTATTGTCGGCCTTACCGGATCCGGAAAGTCAGCCCTCCTCCTCGCTCTCCTCGGTGAGCTCGAGCGCATCGAAGGACATATGTATCTGCCTCGCCTCGACTACAGCAACCACTCCAACGACCGTGGTTCCGGCATCGCCTATGTCGCTCAGACTGCTTGGCTTCAGAACGGCACCGTTCGCGACAACATTCTTTTTGGCAAGGCCCTCAACCAGGAACGCTACAGTGCCGTCCTCGAGGGCTGCGCGTTGACCACCGATCTGGATGTCCTCGAGCATCGCGACTTGACCGAGATTGGTGAGCAGGGTATTACCTTGTCTGGCGGCCAGAAGCAACGTGTCTCCTTGGCTCGAGCCATTTACTCTGACGCATCTGTCCTGCTGCTGGATGATTGTCTTTCTGCTGTCGACACACACACTGGCCGCCATATCTTCCAGACGCTGAATGGCCCCCTCCTGGATGGACGTACAATCCTCATGGCTACACATCAAGTCCAGTTGACCCTCAGCGCCGCGAGGTACGTTGTTGTTCTGGACAAGGGCAAAGTAGTCGGTTCTGGAACCCCTGAGGACTGCATTCACCACGGCTGGATCGACCATGTCACACTTCCGGCTACCGTCTCGGACCAGTCCAGCGAGGTCGATACTCTTGACGGAGACAAGAGCGCCACGGATCTGAAGGACGGCAAGAAGGCAGCATCGCCGGTCAAGCCCAAGGATGAGGAGACGAAAGCAGAGGGGACTGTTTCACTCAAGATCTACAAGTACTACTTCTTTGCAACTGGTGGCTGGATTGCTTGGGTCCTCCTTGTGGGTATCTACGCCCTCGATCAGGCCGCCGTTGTAGCCGAAAAGTCTTGGCTAGCTATCTGGGCGAACAAGATGGCAGAGACGACCGGCTCGTTGGTTCTCGATGCTGCTCATGCTGTAATTCCGGAACCTGTTGTTGCTTCAGTCAAGGAAGTATTCGCTCCAGGGAATGGAAGCACGTACGGTGCCATCACCATGGCGGCCTTTGGAGAGGGCACGCCGGAATCGGTCAACGTCGGCTTCTACATCGGTGTCTACGTTCTCTTGGGCCTCATCCCCATGATCATCAGCTGCTTTTCCACGTACTACGCGATGGCGGTCCTCAACATCAATGGATCCAGATATATCCACGCTCAGTTGCTCCACAAGATTTCCCGCGCAAGGTCTCGTTTCTTTGACACCACGCCCGTCGGGCGAATCATCAACCGGTTCAGCGCAGACATTGCCACTGTTGACAACGGGCTCATTCACTCTCTCATGACTTTGATGTTTTCGTCCATCATGATCATGTCCACTGGGTTCGTTATCTCCATCAACATGCCCCTCTTTGCAATCCCTGCCTCCTTTATCATTGGTGTCTACATTGCTATCGCGGTTCTCTATGTCCCCGTCTCCCGCGACCTCAAGCGTCTGAATTCTGTCTCTCGTTCACCTATCCTGAACCACTTCAACGAAACCGTGAACGGCCTCACCACTATTCGTGCCTATGGTTTTGAGCGTCGATTCCAAGCCAAGAACCTGTCCAACCTGGATGAAAACAACCGTGCCTACTATTGGCTCTGGTCAGCTAGTCGTTGGTTGGGCTGGCGTCTCGATTTGACCAGCGCACTGGTGTCCTTCTGCACCGGCCTATTGATTCTCCAGCGTTGGGGTCAGATAGAGTCTGGCTGGGCGGGGTTGTGTCTGAGCTACTCGACAATGTTCAACATGTGCGTTTCCTGGATGATCCGCGGCTACGCTCAAAACGAGATGAACATGAACTCGCTCGAGCGCATCATTGAGTACATGAACGTCGAAGAAGAAGCGCCTGCTGTCATCGAGGGTTCTCGTCCTCCTGCTTCCTGGCCCCATGTTGGCCAGATCTCGATCGAGCATCTCACCGTCAAGTATTCACCCGACAGTCCCGTTGTCATCAAGGACGTCTCTCTGTCGATCAGAGGTGGAGAGAAGGTCGGTGTTGTCGGTCGAACTGGTTCTGGCAAGTCTACACTCGCGATCAGTCTCCTCCGTATCCTTGAGCCAACCTCGGGCACGATCCGGATCGATGACATAGATGTCTCCCAGATTGGGCTTCATGACTTGCGATCCAACCTGACTATCATCCCACAAGACCCGATTCTGTTCATGGGTACCCTTCGCTTCAACTTGGATCCCTTTGGTGAGCGCGAGGACATTGAGCTCTGGGAAGCCTTGCGTCGAAGCCATATCATTCCAGCAACTGCGACCAAAGCCAGCAGCAACACTCCAACCCCTGACTCCAACTCGTCCAACAACTCTCAAGCACCATCGACCCACGACCAAGAGACGACAGCTTCGCCCTCTGAGGAAGCCGAGACGACAATTGACCCATCCCAGATCACACTCGACACCGAGGTCCAACAAGGCGGCTCCAACTTTTCTCAAGGTCAGCGCCAGCTGATCGCCCTTGCCCGCGCCCTTGTTCGTTCGTCTAAGATCATCATCATGGACGAGGCCACTGCCAGTGTCGATTTCGAGACAGACCTCAAGATCCAGACGACCATTCGCGAGGAGATGATTGACGCGACTATCATCACCATTGCCCATCGTATCCGCACCATTGCCGACTTTGATCGTGTCCTCGTCATGCAGGCTGGTGAGGTTGCCGAGTTTGACAAGCCCTATACCTTGATGCGACAGGAGGGAAGTTTGTTCAGAGAGTTGTGTGAGCAGTCGACCGAACTTGATTCTCTCCTCGCCATCTCTGAAGCCAAAGAGCGACGCGCCTCGGCCTAAATTTTTTTATCAATACACATTTTATGTTTTTTTGCTCCTATTTTTTTTTTCCATGGCTCCTACTTCTTTTTCATCATTCCCATTTACTTTCACCACTCTCATGCAGTTTCCTTTCGTAACTTAACTTTCAAACAACTACAACAATAAAGATACACCAGATACACTACTCCTTTTCTATTTTTTTATGGCCATTCTCGAGGGTGTTTGTGTTGTTTCGTGCTACATCATTCCTACTAAACCGACGATCTAATACTCTGTGCGTTGGCAGTCGGAAAAAAAAATGTAGACGCGTCAAGTTTGACGAAACCGTCACCTCGCCCTGTTACATCAACATATCCATCCATGAACCTTTTTATTGTTTTCCTCAAAAACATACATATCAAACTCTCCTAAAACTTGCACTATTAATGCACACTGATCTCACCAACACCGTACGGGCACCTAGAACCCCTTATCGATCCGCTAAGTCGGCCTCACTCAGCCATCTTCCGAAAATCGCAAATACTACACCTCAATTGATACCTCAGGGTTTAAATCGGCGCCAGAATTCAAGGCACTCATCTCGAAAACAGAGCTTCTACGGTTTCGTGTTGTAATTGGTTAGCAATCAAGACTCTGAATCTTGCAATCCGAGTTCGAGTCTCGGCGAGACCTCTCTTTTTTGTTTTTTTTTGTTTTGTCGCCATGGCGGTGTATGGTGATGAAGGAGGGAGCATGGTTGTGTGTGTGTGATAGAGTGGGAGACGGAGATTAAGTTTTGGTCGTGGTTTGTACCTGAATCCGAATTATTGGATTGATTATTTTGTCTCATCTCTCACCTTGTTTGTTGGAGAGGAGATGGCAACCAATTGTAAAGATAAGACGAGTAAAAAAAAAAAAGGCGACTAGACGTACAAAGGAAACTCTGTCTCTCATTGAACGCCATTCATCGCTGTGTTGAAGATGCCTTCCAAATCATTTGTCTACGCATCAAGCCTAGTGCCAATACAGGCATGACCCAGGATCTGAAATGCACAGGGTTGACACCAAGGGTCTGGCGCACATCGGTGCCTGAGCCATTGGTAAAAGTCATGGGCCCGGAAGAAGATGAAAGTAGGCCTTGTGGCGTCAGGAAATCAAGCGACCAATAGACAAAGAGGATGTGTTTTGATTTGGGCAAGCTGGACCTTGGACGCGAACTCATGACATGACGGCAAGGCAAGCATCGCCAGGATGGCGAGGTATAAAGATCCCCATCCTTCATTTTCCTTTCTTTTACATTTTCTTTCTTCTTTCGTCTTTGTTCTTTGTTCATTGTTCTTTCTTCTTTCTTTCCTTCCCTTTTCTCCTTTTTCTCTGCCTTTTACTCCTTCTATGCCACACACATACCCTTCTTTCTATCTTACTATACCGGCTCTCCATCCCTCTCATGCCCCGACCCTCGTGCGAGTCCAAGGTCCTCCACTCCCACCCACACAGACAACACTCCAGCCATTATGAAAGAAGGCATCTTCAACAGCCAACCAACGCCCAAAAAATATGACTCACCCACCCCACTATCTGCAACGAGTTTGGACCTCCCTCTTTGGCGTTGGCGATGGTATAGATGTCGCGTCGCTGCTGTAGCTATTCAAAGTCGAGTGCTTGGACTGGCGCTGCTATTGTGTAGAAGATTGTGACAAGCACTCTCCAAAGAGATCGGGCAATTGAGCACTGCTTCCACGTTCTTTTTTGGAGGTTATCAATGCGGAGAGTGGACGTGGATGTGAATGTCGTTAAATCGGATTAGTTGTTCCTGTACTTTGGACGTTAAGGTAGGTTCTGAAGAAAGTTTGTTTGTCTATTGATTTTTTATTTTGTGTCGCAAAGGATACTAGAATACAGGAGAACACGAGACAATGACAGGAGGTATGAGTTTTTTTTTTTTTTTTTGGGTGTGCAAAGGAGAACGATGCTGTTATAGCGCTCTTCTCCTATAGATTAGTGGATGCTCTGGTAGACGACTCCAAAGACAGCACTACGATCGAAAAGGGTTTCAACACCACCATTGATACAGTCAATCTCCCACTGCAAAAAGGTAGTGACGGTGCCATCGAGAGCACCAGCATGGCCAGAGCATTTAGGACCTGAAACTGTCCACCATGCACCGGGCAAAAAGTCGAGGTGGTTGTTGATCAAAATGTCGACTAGAAGTGTGTCGGCGGGGTAAGTTGCGACCAAGGTCTGGATGTCGGCGTTGGCACTCACGAACTTTTCGAGTGATGGTTGAGGGAGCATTGATCGAGCTGGTTGGTTAATGCATCAAGGAAAGAAAAGGGGAGTTTGATAAGGTTAATAAATTGAAAAGTGAAACGCACTCCCATTGTCGTCTCTGTTTATGTCGATTATATTGCTACGAGGGGCCAGGTAAGGTACTTACTTCCTTGGGTTGCATGGACTAGGTTATGGTTGTACTTCAAGTTGCCGCTCTCAAAAAGCATTGTAGCGATGTATGCTGCTCGTTGTCCTCTTTTCGCCAGGTTGTATCTATCAATGTGAACAAGAGCAAGAGTTGCAAGGTTAGTTGGATGTAAAGAAGTAAGTAAAGGGAAGCAAGGAGGAGGCGATGTGACATACTTTGTGATGGCATCGTTGATGTAGGGTAGGGCATCTTCGCAGCTGATGATTTCGCCTGAGGTCTGGGGTGGACAGGTGCCATTGGCGGCAGCCTTGAGTTCATCGATAGTGAGGATGCCGGTTGGAGTGGGGACAGGGGCTGCGGTTGTGAGTGCGATGGTGGCAATGACCAGGGCGAAGATGGCTACCAAAGATGTGAATCGTGTCATTTTGGATGTCTAATTGTTATTATTATTGTTGTGTGATGAAAGAGAGAGAGGTGAGATATATGCTTTTTTTCTTCTTGCAAGAGGGCAGATCGGGTCTTTTTATACCTTTCCATATTCCCTTTCGTAGTACTTTGTGCGAATTGCGATAAAGGGCGATGCCACAGGATGAAAGAACATGACAGGATGGGTTGTTTGTCCTATTCCTGGTTTCTGCGTTACAAGTATTCGCACTGCCACTGCGAAAAGATTCGTGGGTTGTCTATTTTTGAAACCAGCCACTACCTAGCATGCTTCCCCTGAATGGGATCCAAAAGCTGATTTTCTTTAGTGTTCAAGAATAGGAGAACCGCCTGGCCAGGGGAAGGTGGCTAAGAAGCACTAATGATGGTGCCTCTTCTTTCACTTCGCCACATGGGTAAACCCCTTCATGTACCTGAGTTGCCTGCAAAGCAACAGCTTACTCTTACCCCTGCCCTGCCCTCAAGCATCGCCAGACACTCGTTATTCGCACGCCACCATCGTGCATGATTTGCAAGCGACCTTAAAAGAAGGACGTAATTGCTAGTCACGGGCTTGGCTTGGGCCAAGTTCGTCTTCGGCTCCGCTCCTTCTCTCCAGCTTGCATCCACAACGTTGCTCCCTCACCTTCATTCACTCTCAACCTCCCACACTCACAACCACCTCTCGCAATTCTCTCACCCTGCCACAATGCTCGGAAAACTCGTTCATTATGCAGCCGACGCCATCCTGATCTCAGCCGTCTTGGCTGGCATCAAACGAAGCACCGTAAGCTGAACACAACACGCAGTTGTCTAGCAGGAGAGAGAAAGAGAAAGAGAGAGCTCTCTTTAATAACCGCCAACTAACCTCGCTTTGCCTTATTTTCAATGCTGCACTCCTACAATAGGGATTGACGTAAGTTTCTCAAGGACTATGGGCGACAACGTGCTTATCATGCAACATGGAACACAGAAGAAAGCAAGTGTGGAAACGCCAAGGCACTCACTCGTTTATCTTCGTGTCTTTAATATGAATAGTGTTGCAAGCAACAAAATTGAGAGCAAGGACGTTCGGTCGGCATTGGATCAATACCTTGGTATTGGCGAGTGGGTAGTAGACCAGGGTATCATGTTCATGTCCAACTCCAAGTACTTCTACAGAAAGAGGTAAAGAGGCCCTTACCCTGTTACACGGCTAGACACCCACCTACCCAACAACCACCAGTCACTACTCATTATCAAATCGAATAAAAAAAAATGAAAGTGTTTGTGCTTCTTTCACACTTCTGTTTTCATACAAACAACACAACTCGAACCTGAAGTATGGACAGCGATGATCAACACGACAACTACAACAGCGACTTGAATGAGCTACAATCGACTCAGGAACGCCGCAGGTTGCTGGAAGCATACCAGGCAGGTTCGTCCTTTGTCCAACATTGGCATTCACAATTCGAGTCCCCGGTCCAATGTCACAACAGAGAAGCTGATTCCGCCATCCCTCACTTTCGTTACATTTACAGAGCGAGCGTTGAACAAGTCTCTTCTTCGAGCGTCGGTGCGGTCCAGTGACCATTCTTCGCGTCCCTCACACCCACTCAACCACTCGGTTGCAGGCTACCATGCAAGGAAATCTATGTCGGTTAAGGATGGTCTACAGAGCAAGGAGGCTTTGCAGAATGGTGGCGCAAATCAACAGCAACCAGCCCCAAGCACCAAGAGTATTATACAGCATTACAACGCCCTTTCAAAAACCAGCAAACCTGCCAGTACTCTTTTAGGAGTACGTCGACATGGAGCTGTTGCACACAGGGTTGAAAAGAAGCCAATACTGACTCGCCCAGGATCATCGTCAGTTCACAGCTCAGTACAGAGAAGAGACAATGACAGCACTGACTACCTCATACCAACTGGTGTGCCGACAAGCATAATCGACACAGATCACACCAAGGGACTACAGAGTACAAAGGAGAGCATGACGGGTTCATTATGGAGCAGTAGGACATCGGCACCGAAAGCAGCGGATACCTTTGGAACCAAGAGTATCAGGCAGGACCGCGCCACGATCGTTAGCTCGGCAAAGAAGCAAGAAGAGATTTATTTGTCGCAAGCACGGCTCATGCAGTGGTATCTCATGACCAAGAGAGCCGACGAGCACTTTTCAGCCCAAGAAAAGTCAGCGGAGGTAATTCTTACTACGACCTCGAATGGCCTGAAGATATCGTTTGCTAATGAAACCTCTTTCAGCATGTCCTCACACTATGGACTTCATTTATGTTGATCATTCAGGCACAGTTTGAGCTTGTGGGAAGGTCCCTCCTGGAGAAACAAACCAAGCTGCAGGATCTTCAAAAGAGGTTTGAGGTTGAACAGAATCTGGTTAAGCTAGAATCAACTCTGGGTTGCCAGGTACGCACCTATGAAACGGCGGTATCATTTGAGTGAGGTGTTGGTAGCACGTATGCCGAGTAATAACGCTCAATTCATCCTGATTCAATATAGAGGGACCAGCTCCTTTCTATCATTGATGGACTGGACACATTCAAAGCGGACTACGAGGAGTTCACAGCAGCACTGGATCGCGAGGCAAGGGTGCTGAGTATACCCGGAATCGATGACTCCAACCTCAACCAATGGCTCGGACAGATCAAGGACTGCCAAAGTGTTCTGGAACTATCCTCACGGAGATCAGGCAAAGACTGCGAACTTGTAAGTGCAAGGGGATGTTGCCGAGTGCGAGGTGCTTGTTCTTGCTGCATGCTAGCAAGGAGGCTGACATGGTACATTTTATTTGATGCTCTAATAGGTCCAGGCGATTGCACAGGTGATGCAGGAGCTCTGTTGTACTGTCAAGGAGGAGATACAGGAGATGAGGCAATGCGCTGCTCTGGTGGCCGAACTTCGGGAAGCAGAGACAATCGAGGCGAGTCTCCTTGCTTCCAGCTTGCGCTCGAATTAATAAAGCATTCAACGCCCAGTGTGACGGTTGTTTACGTTTTCTTGAGCTACCCCCGGTCAAACGACCCCCTTTTGGCTTGTCTTTTACAATCACTACGCCCAGCTTTTCCCTTTCAACTACGACGATAGTTTTACGACAGCTTTCAGTTCGTTCATCCGCGCCATTCAACATTCAATGGCCTCTCATGAGCCATCTCGCGACAAAGGAATGTCGGCGGGAGTAGAATTTTTGACTTTCCAACACTCGCGTACGAACCAAGGAAGCTCAAGCTCTACGAGGGCGTCGCTTAGCCAAGGCTCCGTAGGTGTTGACTTAAAGGATATTGTTCTGAACATCGACTGTTGAAGCTGTATTTAACCGCGCCCCTCTCCAAATCTGATACAACTTCACAGGCCGACCAATTGGCGTCAACACGCTCTGCATTGACAAGTGGCATTATGATGCCCGTTCAGCAGCTTTTGTCGCCCAACGAAGGGGTCATGAACGCCTTGTCGGGGCTATCAATCGAGCAACTGAACAGCATGGAGGAGACACTGCGGCGCGCCAAAATGGATCGACAACAGTCTTTTGGAAACCTGGCAAGAGTTCCACCCAGCGCTCCGCCTCGTCCTTCAGCTCGACTGCCACCAGCCCGTGCTCCAACTGCGAGCATGAAGCAGTTCATGTCGGTGATGAATACTACTCCAAAGAGTCCTTCTCCTCCCAAGCCATCAATCAAGATTGTCAACGGAGTCCCATGGCTTACATTTACCTATACAACAAGAAGCGCTGCCAGTACACCTTACACAGTTCGAGCCAACATTGACCAGGTCAGCATGGACGATATCCCTGCGAAGTTTCAGGAGACGAATTGCCTCTACCCAAGCGCGAATGGGGTCGAGGAGGAGTACAAGGGGTCTCGACGCGACTATGAGCGAGAGTGTAATGAGCAGGGGTGGAAGCTGGCTCATCTGAACCCGACGGTTCTGAGCGAGCGCAAGGGTGTTCTTCAGCGAGCTGTGATCAGTCTTCGGAATGCGTCCTCTGAGCAAAAATCGCGTCGAGTCAAGAGTCAGGAAAAGAAGACGCAGAGCAAGGCCGTCGAGAAGGATGTGAGGGGACCAGTGTTACTGATCCCAAGATTGATTATTCCAAGTAATTCTCCAGTGCCAGCACCCCTTCCTTTGACATGGCAGCCGGCGATGGTGTCCTCATTGCAGGATGGCACTCAGCGACCGGTCCCCTCTGATCTCACTCCTCGGCAACAGCCCGAAGCGCAAGTTCAGACAGCTACTCCTCAGCTTACCCAACGGCTACCCAGCCTTGGTTCGTTTGAGACTTCAACCAGCGACTTGTCATCGCTGGAGTTCGACGGCTACATCCAAGGCCAGTTCAAGCGACTGCGGCTGCAGATCAACATCAGCGGCATCAATCTAGATGACATTCCGCACGAATTCAAGAGGAGCAACTGTGTCTATCCTAGATCCTTCCTGACCCATGACGACCAGTCTGAGCACTGGAACACCTATGGTATCCGACAGGCCGAGGAGTCCTTCTTGAACGAGATCGGGTGGAAATTGGTAAGGGCTGACATATTTGGTCGCTCATCTGTCAATGCATGGTCAGTTGTTTCTTGTCTGACACATTCCTCTTTTCTAAAATAATAGTGTTTGATCAACAGTGGACTGCTGAACGGGAAACGACTTTTGTTACAGCAAGTGTTGGATGCCTACAGGCGACGATTCCTCCCATCGACTGGTCAACCTCGGGCAAGGGTCGGTCCATCACTGTTGACCCGGAGAAACTCTTCTTCCAGTCCTGTGTATTCACTCTTCAGTGGATCGGATCCTCCTCGCACTCGTCATCGGAATCAACAGGCCCGTGTCCGTTTTGACACCGGAGATCCTATTTCCCGAAAGGAGCATGTTGAAGTCGCAGGCGAGCCCTATTCAGAGGACGATGAGGGAATGGACAAGGCCTCGAATCGGTATGGCAGCGCTGAACGCAGGGCAGCAGATGAGAACGGCGATGAGGAGGACGACGAGGAATATGGTGAAGAAGGAGAGGAGGACAGCGACGACAGCAAAGGAGAGGACTTTGACGAGGAGGATGGGGATGAAGACGAGGAGCCTAGTGAGGGCGACTCTTTTGAGGACGAGTCTGGGGATGGATCGTCTTCCGAAGAAGTGTTTCATTCCCAAATGTCGCTGTTGTCGTTCACTGGCAGCATTCGGACGTACAGTCTAGGCACTGGATCTGGATCAGCGCGGAGTCGACCACGCATCCACTCTACCACTGCTGCTACCGCAAGTTCAAAGAACGCCTCGCCCCTCTCTCGGTCCGAGACATTTCTGACAAGGAAGAGGTCTTGGAACGAGTTTACTCCAAAAACATACCCCAACAGTGGAGGCAGTGGCAGTAACCACCGTGTTCGATTTGACAAGCGGATCCGTCACGGTGATACGGAAGGGGATAGGGATGCGTTGGGATATGAGCAGCATGGACACGAGGATGGACGAGAGCCCGACGGGAAGAAAAGGGAGGGTAGAGAAGGAGCAGGAGTGGCTGTTGAGGACGGAGGTAGAAAGGAGAATGAGAGTGAGCAGGAGGGATATCATGACGGTGAGGATGAGGACGAGGACGAAGGTGAGGGTGATAATGAGGATGAGGATGAGGTTGACTGGTGGAAGTCGCGGTTGAACAATAGTGAGTACGCGGAGGATCATAATCTGGTGAGCATGACGACGGAGGAGCTCATTGGGGCGTTGACCAATTGCTACAACAGCGACGTTGAGGATTATTACGAGGACGAGGACTGAACATGGACGAGCGAGCTATAGATAGGATAGCAATGGAGGAGGAGGGCGATTGATTGGCTAAATGGATGAGGAGAGATGTACGACGCGGCAGGGTCTTCCTCGTCCCTTGTTTTTTTCTTCACTTTTTTTTATTTGATTTGATTTGGTTTGATTCTTGGCTAACCACAGCCTTCTTATCGACGTGGTTTACCACCGCTGTCGATTCTTTTCTTTTCTTTTTTTTCTTTTCTCTTTTGTCCCCTCACTCTCTCCTCCTACCCCTCGGTCGCCCAAACTCCTTTTCTTTCTCTTCTCCATGCCCATGCTCACTCACGACTGACCTCTCCTCCATTCCCTTTTTTTCACAACTCAGCCCTGCGTCCCTTCTTCCTAAAAGAGGACATCCCGCGGCACCTGGACATTCAAACAGAAAAATAAAAAAAAGTTTGCCATACTCACTCACACCCGCCTTCAGTCCAGTCCAGTCCAGTATAAGTCCAGCATGCCGCGACGTCAGTTTGAGCGTCTCCAGGATGAACCCGATGACTTTGACCCAGACGAAGTCGATCACATCGAGCTGACCCAACCCCCCACCATCAACACAGAGCAGACTCACCACGCTCACGCCACTGACAGAGCTGGACCCTCGCCCATCAGAGCAGAGGCCCAGCCACGGAGGTCGATGCATCAAGTTGACATGGACTTGGAGTGGCCGATGATCGACATTCCGCAGGAGCTCAGAGAAATGCATGGAGAGGTCGACTCTAACAGCTGGTCTAACGCCCAAGCGAACGCTATCAAGGTAACAAAGAGAATCGAAAGACAAGACGTTTTAATTGGGTCGAATTTATAATTGAGAGCAACTAAAAGCGCATGCTTCAATCGCTTGTTTGCGGTAATTTTTTTTCACTGGATCATTGGTGCATTGGTCCCTGAACTAAACCAAAACGTTCTTCTTTTTCGTGTTTGTCATTTGTGCAACACAATTTATCCATTCAAAATCCCGTTCCTCAGAACCCTTTCAAGCGACGGTTGTTTCTGTTACTAGAGGACCCCTCCTCCAGCAATACTGCCTTTGCACTCAATGTCTGGGTCTCGATGGCGATCGTCATCAGTGCCGTCATTACTACCATCGAAACCATCCCTTCCTTCCGGTCCACCGACAATAAGGTCTGGTATGTTGAGGGCACATTCATGGACATTCGGCTATTGCAATTGGATTCATACCACACCCGCAACGGTTATCATTCGATACTGATGCATATTCTCTCGCGGTTGACTCAATAGGTTCTACATCGAGACGATCATGGTCGTATTGTTCACGATCGAGTTGATTGCTCGTATCATCGCTCACTCGGATTCATTCAAGCAGCTCAGGAAGTTTGTCCTTTGTAAGTCAGGGACATATGGGAATAGGAGACCATTGCCATTGTGGTTACGCGTCCAGGATATCGGCATTTTCGCGTCATGGATCCTAACTGTATTGCTTTGTTCTTGCGCTCACTAGCCCCCCTTGCGATCATCGACTTTTTGTCCATCATACCCTACTTTATCGAAATGGCATTGACCAGGGACACGGTATGTTGCCCGCACAGGAACATGTATTCAGGAGCATTCTTCAGGGTTGACATTCAGGAATCGTACTCCCAACATGACGAGGAGAGAAGCGACGAAGCTAATCAACAATCGCCCTAACTCTACTCGCCGATATGCTGCTGTCGCGTAATAGACGGTGTACTTTCGATTTTCGATCCTGAGACTGTTCCGACTCTTGCGGGTATTCAGAACATTCAAGTACTCGTCGACGATCATTATGACCATCGAGGTCATGATTGTTGCTATCAAACGGAGTATGGATGCCCTGAGCGCCCTATTTTTCTTCCTCATTACCGGTACCATGTTGTTCTCTACACTGCTCTATTTCGCTGAGCGAGGTAAGCACTATCACGCTATTTCATGTTACCATGACGACGACCATAAATGTGGGATCCTATATGTTATGGACAACCTATTCATCTTCTCACCGACCCTTGCTTCATTGTACGTTTTACGGCAATAGGAGAGTGGGATGATGCAAGGCAGGTGTTTGTGGATGCGAACAACAACCCGAGTACATTCGACAGTATCCCTTCAGCGTTTTGGTTTGTGATGGTGACAATCACGACGACAGGATATGGCGACATGGTGCCGACAACGTTCATCGGGAAACTGATTTCTTTCCCGGCAATGATGTGCGGTGTCTTGCTGATTACTCTACCATCGATTATCATTGGACGGAATTTCACGCTTGTCTGGGAAGCCATGCAGCAGTACCGGCGAAAAGCGGAAGCTAATACTCGTGAGCAAAACGGGGATGATACTGGCGATGGTACGTTTTCTTCGTGTCTCGCAAGACGTGATTTTAAACGGACAGACGTGGAAGGAAGTATTGACATAAACGGTCTTTTTACTCGTACCATGAAACACATAGAGCCAAGGAGGAGCTTTGATAGCTCGCATTCATACGAGGAAGAATCATCGCGGCCAGGATACTCGTCTCTGACAGGGAATGGGACTACACCTGGGCAGCAGGAGGTGATGGATCGATTGCAGGCAATGACACAGGTGCTGAAGCAGAACCAGCAGGCTATGGATACTTTACAGCGAATCCTTGAGTCGCATGACCTCGTGCCCAAAAAGTCACCGTTTGAAGATCCAACACGGCTTTAACCCTCTCCTGTTCTTGCTTCGAGGGAAATAAAGCTGGAAAGTAAATGCATTGAAATATATTTCTTTTTCGTCGAACAACAAGTTTGTTTTTGAGGGGGGGGGGGGGTTTTTTTTAATAAGATAAAGCTAGATTATTTTCTGTGTTAAGCTATCAAGGGATGTGCAAAAGTCGGACAAAGGAAGCGCTCTTCTGAGGGGGTCGAGTCGTCAATGTGAGAGATGAACAGGTCCTTGAGAAAATATAGGCCTTGTACGGATGCCTTTATGGGAGCGCGGACGAAAGAAACGACCGCAAGGTAGGCCTTGGAGGGAGCCAGCTTAAGGGCAAGTGGTGGCAATGACACCGTTGGCTAATGTTACAAATACGAGAGAGAGAGAGAGAGAGAGACGATTGTTAGTTATTCGACGTTTTGAAGAGGGCGAAGTAAAATACACATACATCCTGAGTTACAGGGAAAAGGGAGACTTACCAGCCTGGCAGAAGAGGACACCACCATCGCCGTTGACGGCAACGACCTGGAGAGCAACTCCGATCTATAATTTGACATGCGAGCGAGCCAAAACAAAAAAGAGCATTATGGAAGAGTTGGTTAATGGTTATAAACCAACATTGAAACGCGTCGCGAAAAGGCCAAATGAAAAAAAAAGAAGCAGATGTTTACGTTTGGGGGAGCGTTGGGCTTGACCAAGACGCAGGCAGTGATCGAGGTCATGGTAGTGGGCATAGGGCACTGGAAGCCCTGGGACGCCAACAGCTCACACAAATCATGGTTATCCGTGTAAACCAAGCGGCCGAGGTAACGACCAGTAATGGCAAGAGTGGCTCCCTCGATGACGGGGGTCGAGAGGGTACCGGTACCAGTGGCACAGACCATCTCGTTGATGCAGAGGGGGTAGGGTACCAGGTTGAAGGACGTGATAGCGATCTGGGTGGGGCCAGTGGAGCAGTCGAAAGGGGTGGGCATGGTTGTTTGGCCCGAGGCGACGGCGGCGAGGACCAGGGTTGCGAGTGCGGCGATGAACTTCATTGTTGCTTGGAGTGTTTGGTGTGGAGGTGGATTTGAATGAGGAGAGGAGATGAGGCGTGAACTGAGGAGAAGAAGGAGAGGGGAAAAGGTGAGTGGATGGTGCCTTTTTATAGTGGTAAGGGAGTGGGTGGGAACAGCAGGAGAAGAGGCATGAAAGTGTTACTTGAAGAGGAGGAAGTGTCTAGATCACCGTTGTCAGTTGGTTTACTTCAGCAAGATGCAGGGGTGCGCAACGGGGCATGCGCATGCATTTGTGAGAGCGAAGGGGAGTGTTTGTGGAGAAGGAGGAAAGAAGGAGGTTCAAGACGAGAAAAGTCGAGGCGCACGCGCGCAAGCGAGGGACGAGCTTGTTCATTTCAAAACAGACACAATCCATTCAAGAACTAGCTGGTTGACCGTGTTTGTTCCTCGGCTCACATTCTTAAGCGCGCATGCGTTCCTTTGCTTAGCGCCAGCTGCCTTGACTTCAAAGACCTATTTTTTACCCCAAAAAATAGATGAAGAAGAAGAGGATTGTTCAGCGTTGGGGTTGAAGAAGACAAAAGCTGGACATGGAGTGCTGGTTAAAGAAAACGCAAGGAGAAAAAAAACAATCAAAAAATAACAAACGTTCAGGGACAGAAGGAGAGGCAGGCCAGTGTATAGTTTCAAGTGAACACCGACAAACAACCAACAGCAACAGAAGCCGAGAGTGTGCGTGAGAGAGAGAACAGGCAACAAAAACATCTTTCATGCTCTATTCGCAAATCACCCTAACATCTATTCTGTAGTGCATTGTTTACCTCCCTCAACTACGGTGTTTTCATGTAGGCTGCAAACAGTGTCAAGCGCTATTTTGTCATGGTGTAAGAGTAGGTCACTGGAGGAAGAAAAAGAAGCGGAGGAATAATAATGTTGAGTATGAGAGCGAGATACAATCTACATGTGGAAGTCGTTTGCGCACCCATTTCCTTGTTGCATAAATTTTAACCGTGAAGAATGTGAGCATTAGCCATCCGCTAGATTTGGACAATCCTCGGTCAGGGGAGGAGGAAGGTGGGTACCATCAAGGTTGAAAGGGAGGGAGATAGAGGAAAGAACAAAGTTCAAGGCTGACATGGGATGTGGAGGAGGAGAAACAACGATGTGATAGTGAGGATAGTGAGGCAAGAAAAGTATTTTCTTTGTGGGGTGAGGAAGAAGGGAAGGAGGACAGTGCGCCCGAGTTGCCGAAATGATGACCATGAAGAGTGTACAGGTCATCAGATGTGAATTTCAGAAAACACAAACAACACTTCAGTGGGGCGGGAGAGCGGGCAATGTTTGAGGTGCATACATCCACCCATTCATAATATTTGAGCAGAGGCTACAAGACCAGTCATAAAAAGGTGATGAGGAGAAGGCTCTTTTCTCTCTCTTCTATCGATGCCAATGTTTACCTTTCAGTCACACTCACCCTCACCCCCCCCCCCCCCCCCCCCCCTTGCGCCTTTGTCATTGTTGTGTTTTTGTTTAGTTTTTTGTTTATGGTAAGCGGAAAGAAGGCAGGGCGAGTGAGCAGATAGACCTGGTTCTGACTGCAGATTGAGTGCGCCCTTCTTTTGTTGTTTTCTACAGAAACAATCAAACAACATGCCAGAGGAGGCCCGCGAAAACTGAGCATCTTAAAGTGAATATTGTATATACACACATACATATGGCATTCAAAATGTAGACACTCATTTAGACGGTCGATTGGAGGCTGTTTCGTGTGTTGTTTGTTGAAGGGTATGTGCCTCCCGCAATATCGTGCCTTGTTTGTTTCTATATTTTTTTTTCCAGCGGGATGGTAATTTTATTAGTCATCAGACTGTAGCTACCCGTCCTACGCCTTGTTCTTTCTAACCATCGTCATGCCTCACCATCTGGCGTGTTTTGGTTTTGGTTTTGGTTTTGGTTTTGGTTTTGTTTTTGTTTTTGTTTTTTCGTTTTGTACTCTTTAGAATGGCAAAACATTAACGGAAGGCAATGTAGGAGGATGTTCTGTTGTGAAGGCACTTTTTTCTTCGTTGTAATTGCCATGTAGCTCTTAAAGAATAAAATATTATTCTGTACGCGTTGTGGCCTGTGCGCATCCGTCCCCTTTCTCTCGACCAACCTCTTTCCTCCGTCTCCTCTGCGCAACCACTCGTTTGCTGCTCAAACCCCATGTCCTGTCCGCCGGTCTAGTATTTTCAAATGTTTTCGGAGGCAGGTGCGAAAAAAAATGCAAGGGGATTTAGCACATGCTTGAAGGAAAGATACAGCGAAGGAAAAAAAAACCGCAAGTAAAGGTATGAAGGTGAGTGCGTTAACGGACACCCTGCGTGACTAAGGGTATGCGTTGCATGAATTCGAGAGTGAGAAAGGATGTGGTAGTGCTGGTAGCGATGGCATAGGGTTAAACTCAGACCTTGGCTTGGAACAGACTGTTTTCTTTTTTGCCTCGTTATTTGTTTTCTTTCCATTTGGTATATACAGATAGCAGTTTTCTGTTGTTTGCGTACTTAATCATGTCCTCCGCCATAAACGGATGTTTTTTTGTTTGTCCTTCAAGGTTTTCGTCCTCATGTTCTGAATGTTTGGCCTTCCTGTAGAAATTGTTTGCTTTACAAAGAGCGGGAAAAAAAAGAGGCTTCGGGAGAGCGTGAAGTTTGTTATTACATAACAGCCTTATTCTCACCGAACATGAAGCCCTCAATGCCAAATGTTTTTCTTGTCTCCTCATCCACGCCATCTCCATAGGAAAGAAAGAAAGCAAGCAAGACAAACAAAATCTTGTCAACAAATGCCTATGAGTAGCTACTTGGTGTTGGCATCCTAAAGTGTCACTTTTCTATTTTCATCTAGGCAGTGGAGGCTATCCTAGATAGGAAGAAGCGCGTTCTCATTGCTAGCTTTGCCTAGTTTTTGTTGTCCACAAGTCAGGTGTGTGGTGAGGTTAAATTAAGAGGTGGCGAGTGAACGTAGAAACGAAACAAGGACAAATCACAGAAAGAGTATAGAAAAGCCCAAGCTAAAACAGGGAGCAATAAAGGAGAAGAAGGAGGTGCAATTATGATAATGGGATACAAAGGTTACAAGGTACGGATCAAGCTGGTTGGTCTTAATGGGAAAGGGGATACGAAGTAATGGTCGAATGGATCTTCTCGCATAAACTTGAACGAGATACCAGGCTTTGAAAATGTGTACGTATTGCATTTTTTAATAGCATCCATGCCGCTCAGTGGGGGCAAAAAGAGGTACATTAATGTAAGTAATACTGTTTGAACGTCCTATGGGCAGCCAGGTGTTAGCCAGCTGTTTGCTTTACAGCGAATGATTGCACTTGTGCCAATCGTATGGGAGTGAGTTGACGCCACCAAAAATAAGCTATTAGAGTATGTGAGGCTGATTGGCTCTTCTCAATGCCACTACCTGGGAGATACACCCTCCTTCCCTTACCCCACAGCCTCCATGCAGTCATACTAATATTTCATCCGTATAGAAAGGCGGGCAAAGCATAGCAAGAGCAGGAGCAGGTTGCATGGAAGAGATCGCTCGACCATGCCCAAATAAGGTGGAGTGAGCTACCCTCGGCTGGGCTTTTCTCCGATCCCTTCCATTATTGGGTCGGTCAGTCAGCATAACTCTCAAAAATCTATCGACTTCCACGAAGCCTAACTCCTTTAAAAGTGTGCCTCGATTTTTTTCTCTTTTTTTTTTCGGGGTGTCACTCTTACTTCATTCACACGCCTCTCTCTGTTTCTCCATTCGCCTCCACTTCCTCATCTCATTCTCTCCCTCCATCTCCTTCATTGTGGAGCACTCTCTCCTGCAGCTCCCATTCCTCATCACTGACACCGCCTCCCTCCTCATTAAAGTCACACCCATCACAGGGAAAAAAAAAGATGCCGAATGGAATAGTCTCCGTTCCCTCCGTCGGCACGGTGGTGACACCATTGTTTGTCCTAGTCTGCACCGTCTTTGGTCCTGGTCTTCTCAATGTCACACCAACCCCCTATTTGGCCATTGCCCTCTCGCTTGGCTACCTCGATAGACTTGGCCCCTGGTCCTGGGCTGCCCTCTTCCCCAACCTCTACCTCTTTGCCTGTCTCACCGTCGGAACCGGATTGGCCTACGCAGGCATGCTCCAATCCGATGTCTGGGATAACTCCATGTTGGCCACTCCTTTTCTGGTCGGTGTCGGTGTTGCTTTGGTCAATCTGATCCCGCTTTGGATTCATCTATCCTGGCAGCGTCGGTTCTTACCTCAGGAGAGGTTCCAGAATGGAGCATGGGCTTTGCTCGCTACCCTTGTTGGCCCCTCGGTCTGGGTTGCTCTTTTCACGATTATCTATGCTGTCAGCCCCATTGGGTCTTATGGATCGATTGCTTATACCCAGTTCCAGCTGGAACCTATGGTCCAGTGGGCCTCTGTTGCAGGAATTGCTGGAATCGAGTTCTTCATGGTACGCTTTCACCATCATCCTTTTGCTGCTTTCCTTGCATATTGTTAACTGTTGTCTTTGTGTTCATGCTTGTATTTGTATTATGTTTTCATGAACTGGATCCCCATTCGCATCATTAGAGTTGACATGCGGGTATTCGGTATTTGTAATTCAGCTCACACATATTTTATCCATCCTTCAACTCCTATTCCATTCCTCTCATTCCTTCCTTTGTTCCTTGGGTTGTGTTCGTTAATTGGACATTAGGTTTGGGCTTCGGTGATTCTCTACAGAGCCTGGATTAGACATGTCCGCCTCGAGTCGACAGAGGTCAATACTATGAACTGGAGCGAGATCGGCGCCGAGACCCGCTTCCGTCCTCGCATCTTCCGTCGCCTGCTCCTTGCCCCCACCCCCACCTTTCTCCTCGTTACACTGTTCATCTTCCTCTTTGGCTCGATGCGCTTCTGGAACGCCAACGGAACCTTCTACATGAAGCCCCTGCATGACACCATCATTCCTACTGTCCAGGCTAGTTGTGTCATTGGCGCATCCTCTCCCGACCCCACCGATCTGCCTAGATACTTGAACCAGACTGTGGACTTTGCCAAGAAGGGATCCAAGATCATCATCTGGAGCGAGACCGCGGTCAGTGTCAACAACAGCCAGCAGTTGGACAGCCTCTGGGCCACCGCCAAGAACATCTCGACCACCTATGGAATCTACCTCGGCATCACGTATTCACAGCTCTTGGATGAGCAGTTGCTCAAGAACAAGAACATGTTTACGCTCTTTGACCCCAAGGGACAGGTCGCCTTTGAGTACCAGAAGGCCCACCCTGTGATCATGGTCGAGACGGACACCATTGCTGGACCCAACCATCTCCCTGTTGCCGACAGTGAGTATGGTCGTCTTGGTGGCGCCATCTGCTTCGATATGGACTTCCAGAACTTTATTGCCCAGGCAGGCGATCAAAAAGTTGACATCCTCCTTCAGCCCTCTTGGACCTGGGGTAAGTTTTTTTATGTATTTTCTTCAGTGTTGTGCATAGCTGTCCTTGGTGTGCAGATCTGGAATCGATTTTTCATTTGTACTCATTCTCACGCTTCCCCTTGATTCGATATATGACAGGATCGATTGGTCGTCTGGAGGCGACGATTCAGTCATTCAGAGCAGTCGAGCAAGGATTAACCATCTTCCGTTGCGGCTCCTGGGCACCCTCAACAGTGTGGGACCCTTATCACCAGCTGTTCGGATACAAGTACAACTTGGGATCTGGCGACTTCACAGCTGAGGTGCCACTCCGCAAGCATGTCCCTACAGTCTACAATGCAGTGGGTAACCTGTGGGCATATATCTGCTGTGCTGCGTCGATTGTGTTTTTGATCCTTGTGCTCGTGCCCAAGCGTCATGTCGATCGTTGGTTTGAGGCGGCTGAAGGGCGGATCTTGAGGCGTAGTGGGTTGAGGGAGGGGTCGTCGGGTTCCTCGTTGCCCGTTACCTCTGGCGAAGCTGTGCGTGGCGTCGACAATGCCTAATGTATGTATTTGTTGTTACCCATAGTCCTGTAAGTAGGAGCACTCACTTGGAGTAAAAAACAGTCATTTGCCAAAAGAGAAGCATCCAGCTAGTTCTAGGATCATGTGACGGATGGGTGACATGTCATCTTTTTCTCGTGATGCATTGGGTAGAATAAGCTAGAAGGGATTGACGAAGAACAGCAATGGTTGGCTCCGTATTCAATTCATTTGTCACCTTGAAACGTCTCTTGTCCTGCAGACTTTGGTAGTTCACTGGAGGTTTTAGTTGGTAAATGTTGCTTGGTACTGCCGTTTTGTCAGGCACGGTCATTGGGCCTTGACCCACCTACTTGCATGTACGTATGTCGTATGTAACTGTCAGTTCTTTCCAAACTGCGGCCTCATCGGTTTTCCATGGGTAAGAAACAGCGAGAGTACGAAAAAAAAGGGTCAAGTTGTTCATTTTCCTACTGTTGCACGGGATGAAGGCAAGGTCGGAGGGGGAAAGGTATGCTGTGCATGCTATCTTGCAAGGTCGGAGGGATTGAGGACAGAAAGGGAAGGGACGTGTACTGATGGACCGATGGAGCAAAGGGGCGCACAAAAATGAATGAAAAAAAAAAGCTGCCCTGAAAAATGAAAAAAAAAGAGGTTACAGATGCACTTCGAGGCCATACCGGGAAATAAAAAGGCGATGAACATTGCGTTTGCATCCGTGTACGTGCCTGTTGCCCCATGGTAATGGATGACAGGGTTCTGGCTTCAGTTATCGAGAGGCAATGATGAGCAAAAGGTGAATACATGTACATGTTCATAGCCACAATCCGATGATGCTGACTAGTTGAGCCGACGATAATTATATCGTAACCCACGCGAAACCGTATGTCGTGAACCCAAAACAAGAAAAAAACAAAAAAAAACAAAGAGTTGAACTGTGCGACTAGGAAGGTTTGCTCGATCGTCGTCATCGTCATTCACAAAAGTTGGATCTTGCCCAACTCCTGACGATTGTGTGAGGTGAGATCGAGGAGTGCGAGAGTGTTTGGGGAGTAAGAGCGAGAAACAAGCCATCAGACGATTGATTGAAAAAAAAGCGCGCATGTTGTTGTCCCAAAGACCGTGAGGCATTTTTTTTTCCACCCGCAAACAACCCCCTCTTTGTTTCCCTATCGCCCCCATTTCCATTTCACTAAGAGTTGGTCCACACATACCGGAACATGAGCAATGAACGTGACATCCAAGACTGGGTAAAGTAAGTTCCAAGACGTGTAATTCATCCTGATGGTCCAAATGAGTCTCATTTTCTTGTTGCAGGGCGAGATAACAATTAGCAACACAGGAGGGAGCAGATGGCAATAATTATAGGAGAGCGAGGATGCACCATTCTTCTAGACTAAAAGACCACCAAGCTGAGTTCGAGCCCTTTATTCTCCTTTCTCCTTTCTCCTTTCTCTTTTTCCTTCTTGCTCTTCTCTTTTTTACCTTATTTTTTCCTACTCCTCCTTCCTGTCCGTCTGTCCATCAGTTGCCTTGCCTTCCCTTTCCTTTCTCCGAAACAGCAGCAGCAACAACAACCATTGTCCCCGCCCTCGTCCCTTCCTTTGTCCTGGCCACTCTCGATTGTTCTATATTCTCTCTTCCTTCTCTTTTGTAACATTGGTCATTAGCTTGCTCTTCATTCCTCAGCTACCCCCTCTTCTTCTCCTCATTAGTCAGCTTGCCACACAAACCTCTTTTTTCCTATAAAGGCTCCAGTTTACTCTCTCTCTCCCCCACACTCCACCTTCCTTTTTATCTTTATCTATCTCTTTCCCCCTTGCCCTTTGTCCCTCTCTCTCACTCTTGTAACATACTCATTCTTGTACATATCTTGTAAACCACGCAACCAACAACAAACAACCCCTTCCATTCATTTCTATTGCTCAACCACTCCCAAAGAAAACACCACACTTTCCCTTCACTCTCTTTCACTTGCGCCCTTTTTTACAATATAACAACCATTCTACCTAAAACAACAGCTCACACAAACACACATACATACATACATACATAAGCACACAACCATGGTCACCTTCTCCACAGATTATTGGGCTCCCGCCATGGAGGCCACAGTCAGACGACGAACCGAAAAGTCGCCTCTCCACCTCAACAGCTCACAACATGAAAAACAGCAACAACAACTACAAAAGCCCTACCTCGCTCATAAAGACCACTGGAGCACACTCCGTCAAGTCCCCACCATTGACTCTTCAGACTCTTCCATCCTTGCCTCAGACTCTCATACCGCCCTCCGAAAAACTCTTCATTCAAGCAACAGCAACCACAGACACACTGCTTCCTCAGTCTCGGTCCCCATCGCCGCCAAGAAGCAGACCCTGATCCACAAGATTTTCCACCCCCTCGAGCCAAAATCGGGTTCTCACAGTCCACCTTCGTCCCCCGGAAGCGGAAGCCTCCTTGCCACCGAGGACCCTTACCTCCTCACCGCCACTAGCTCGCTCGAAAAGAAAAACATCTTCAACTTTGTCCACGGTTTCGGTCGCCCTTCTTCCTCTTCGTTTGCAGGAAGCGAACGCAGCGATGCTAAGTGCACGCTCTTGAAGAAGTACGGTATCTGTGACAAGGGCAGCATTGGTCAGGGCGCCACGGCCATCGTCCGGTTGGCCCACAAGATTGAAGAGTCTGAAAAGCTCTTTGCCGTCAAGGAGTTCCGGAAACGGAGAAAGGACGAGACCGAGAAGGAGTATATCAAGAAGCTGATGAGTGAGTTCTGTATCTCCTCCACGCTCCACCACGAGAATGTTGTCGAGACCGTTGATCTTGTTCAGGATGAGCATCAAAACTGGTGTGAAGTCATGGTACGTATCATTTTTGTTGTATTTTTTGTTTAGTATGATCGGGAGAGGATGGGCGGATGGCGGGTGGGTGGGTGGAGGTCGAAAAACAGGGCTATAGCTTGAAAAGTATAACTGCTCGCAAAAGGGTTTAGCGCGGAAAGAATGTATTCGCTATGGGATAAGATGGTGCTGTTGACAAAGCAAACAGGGGTCAGGTCAAGCATGGCCTTGATCAGAGGCAATAAGAAAAAGAAACGATTATCCACGTGGATTTTACATCTTTGACATCTTACTACTCCCTCTCATGTTCTCCGAACAACAACAGCAACAACGAGGACGGCGTCATTCGTGTCTTTATCTGTTCTTGCATCATTTTTTACGTTCCTGTTCCTTGTGGATGGAAGATGAAAGGGGGTGGGGGTGGGTGGAAAAAGAAGGGTTTCTTGTGGTACCCGCCAAATCAAAATGCTGGCACACGCAAATAGAAGAATATGGGGGTGGGAGATCGAGAGTGATGGCGAAAAAAACAAAAACACAAATAAAGAGGCATCTCGCCTTGCGTGATGTCCTTCTTTTTCTTGCATGACATGCACTGTGTTTGTGCGGGATGATAACAATGCAGGATTGGGATTGAAATAGGGAGTGTGCGAACTGAACTGAATGCGACCGTTTATGCTAACCGTGTGATGCCTCTTCCTTTCCAAACATTGTAGGAGTATTGCTCAGGTGGAGACTTGTACAACACAATCAAGCACGGACACATGTCAAGAATCGAGGTTGACTGCTGCTTCAAGCAGTTGATGAACGGCATTGCTTACCTGCACTCGATGGGTGTCGCACACAGAGACATCAAGCCCGAGAACCTGTTACTCGACAGCAAGGGTCACCTCAAGATTACCGACTTTGGAGTCTCGGATGTCTTCCGTATGTGCTGGGAGACAAACGCCCATCTGTCCAAGGGTCTCTGCGGCTCTGAACCTTACATTGCCCCCGAGGAGTTCAAGTCCAAGGAGTACGATGCCCGCCGTGTCGATATCTGGGCCTGTGGTATTGTCTACTACTGCATGGTCTACCAGGGTATCCCCTTCCGCGCCGCAACCGCCCAAGACCCCAACTACCAGCACTTCTTGATGATGCGTGAGGTCAACAACTACGAGCCCTTTGAGAAGCTTCCCGTGGGATGCCGCAAGCTCATGAAGCGGATATTGGACCCCAACCCCGAGACCCGTATCACGATCGAGGAGATTAAGGAGGACGAGTGGTTCAAGAGCATCGAGTCATGTGTCCATGGTGAAAACCAAGATCCTCACCGCCACTTTGAACGCCACCTGTAAATACATTTTTTCCGCCCTTGCAAGCTTTTTTGCCCTTGTGCATTCTTGCTCCTTGCCAACACATCCTCCATAGATTGCGCAAATAAAGTTCAAATGAGTGTTGAGTATGATAATGAAAACCAAGGTGTAGTTTATTGGTTATGGTGCAGATTGAAGAATTGTCTCGCTGGCAACGCTCAGTTCTTTCTTGTCCATTCGGCCCTTGGACTGTACAACTGCAGCAAACGCCTCGAGTTTGGCCTTGTCCAGAATTACATACTGGTCTGAGGCCGAGTCGTACAGGATCAGAAGGTGTTGTCTCGCCTTTGAAGCAGATGACGAAGACGACGGTGTTGCTGTTGAAACAGAGGGCGATGAAGGTGTGGCAGAAAGGCTGTTGGCAAGAGTGATGAGGATATCTGAATCGTTGCTGCTCTCCTGTGCAATTGCGGATAGGTCTTTCAGCAATTGGGCTTCTGTCCTGTCGAGCCGTTTTGCCAATGCTCCCAACTTGAACGATTTCACTCTCTATGTTCATGAAACAAAAAGTAAATAATTGGTGTCAGCAGTCGGGAATGTTTTCATCCGTACCTGAATATGTAAAAATCACGAACGCGAAATGCGAAAACACCGTGTCGATATATTTTTCATTACCTGGATATAAGAACGAAGTTCACGACGAGCGGTCTCTTCTTTGACCTTCTCGGCCTGGATACGTTTCCTCCTAGAATCGTTCTCTTTGGCTTCCTTTTCCTTGAGTTGTTCTTTACGTTTCCGATCCTTTTCGATCTGAGCGGTTCGTTTCCGTTGCCGTTCTTCTTGTGCTGCGGCCTCGTGGATCCTGAACATTTCTTCCTGTTGGCGACGTTCCGTCCTTTGCATCTCCATGAACTATTATGTTGGGGTTGTATACATAAGAGGATGAAAGGAATTAGCAGCAGCTTTGGAACAGAAGGATAATGTTCCAAGCTCAAGACAGGACAAGATTTTACCTCGTGGTATGCACGCATTTGTTCTTTGCGCTGAAGTTTCTCAGCCTTCTTCTTGCCAACTCTCTTGATCCGATGAGCTGTTGCACCCTGGGAAGACCCAACACCTCCATCATCTTCAACGTCCTCGTCATGTTCTCCTGCTGCTGCCCCTTCTTCTCCTGGAACGACATCACCAGGGAAGGGCTCTGGCGCAAACCCGGCACGAGCCCGCATTTGCTGGACCATTTCGTGGTGCATCCTCAGTCGCGCAGAAGTGGTTGATCCCTGTGGTTGCACCTCCTCCTGCCCCTCCTCTCCTTCCTCTCCGTCCTCATCCTCCTCTTCATCCTCGTCAACATCCTCGTCATTGTTATCCTCCTCAGCGAACTGCCTCAAAAGCTCTTCGGGTATATCCCCAGAATCAGCGCCTCCATAAAGTTCCCGAAGTTGTTCCTCTGTCAATTCTTCATCCTGCTCATTGTCCTGGCGACGGTAGTTTCGGAGGCGGTAGATAGCTTCGAGGTATCGGTCTTGGATGGTGTCCTGGTAGGTGTAGATAAGGATCCCGAGGATTGCGACGAGGAGGACTGTTGGTGGGATATAAACTATGGGGTTTAGTGTAGCCTAATTGGGTGGATAAGACGAGGGGTTATAGAGTCAGTATGAAGGATACGGGTTGTTACTGCTGGAATGAGTGGATAGAAGGGTGGTGTGAGTGGGTTGTTGATGATTCGGCCGCAGTTGTTGGTAGTTCTGTTCCTGAAGAAATGGCGCACTCCAATGTTATTCCTGTTTTGCTGTAGACTGCTGGTGGCGTTTAGTGTGTGTTGACAAAGGGTTCCTCTGAGGCGCATTGTATTTTACCATGGCTGATTTGACATGCTCCTCCTTGGTTGTGCTTGGCTTGAGTAGTTGTTGATGAATAAACAAAAAAGGTGAGAGTGTGAGATGTTTGAGTATGTTGTTGACACCTTGGACCCCTTGGAGCGTCGAAGGTAGAAGGGTAGCAGTCACGAGGTTGCATGTAAAGCAAGGTGTGGATCGAATTAGTGTGTGCACGGTGTTCATTCAATGATGAATGAAATGCATGTCGACCTTTTGCTTGCATTTTTTTATTTTCGTTGGGGCAAAAAAAAAGAGTGGACATGGTCGAGGCACTGATCATTGGATCCGTATCGAGGTAATTGAAGGTGAAAAGGCGAGCTAGCGATACAACGTGTGGAAATGGTCAGTGACAGGAGGAGCAAGAGGTACAGCTGATAGCAAGAGAGGGCACCGTCACCTTCTCATAAAGCCCATTTATCATTATTATCAGCGATAAGCAGTCAGTCCCTATGAGGTCATGGTTGCGTTTGCGTCCTTTTAGACGTTCCTCTTCCTTTTGTTCTCTCACCCCCCCCCTTTGCTTGCTTTTCTCTTTGACGCTTTTCCTTTTCTTGTCCCTCTCTCTCTCTCTCTCCCTCTCTTCCAACCAACAACAACAGCAGCAACACTAAGGAATAAGAACACCCCTGTGGCCCTTGCATCCTCTTCCCTCTCTTCATTCTTAATCGAATCCACCTTCCCTTCTCCCTCTTTCTTCACAACATTCATTCTTCATTCCACATCCCTCCAAACACAACAAACAAATAAAACATAAAAAAGAAAAATGGTCGCTGACAACTCGGTACTCACGACAGGCAGACTGCTCGTCGCGACCTTCCTCCTCCCAGACACAATCTCCTTCCAAGTCCCCGCTCGCGACAAGGACGGTCGCATACGCTCAACCAGCCTCAAGAACTGCATCCCCGTTGCCAATGATCGCCTCTTTTCTTCTACCACCCCTCCTGCTACTAATACCATCCCTTCCCAGCAACAACAGCAGCAACATCATCACCACCAAGCCAGCGCCAACAGCACTCATCTCCCTGCCCCGGTCGCGCGTCCAGTACCAACCACGCTTCACCCTCTTGCTGCTGTCGATACCTTCAATGGCGGCATGCTCGATCAGGATCAGATGCCTCTCTCGGTGCCGGCCTCCACTTCAAGAAGAGGCACTCCTCGTGAGATGGTCCTGACATCCAACAGCATCCTTGTCCCACCACCACCCGCATCCCCAAGCTTCTACAGGGGTGTTTCCTCTACAGGCGAGGCTGTGACGACCGTGCCCAAGCTCATCAGCAGCAAGGCTGATCGATTGAAGGATCAGGAGCGTCCCGCAATACCCCAAAGGAGTTCATTCCACGGTTCGCATGCCGTACCCCCTCCTTCGATTTTGGCCCCACCCGAGGCCAAGGATGAGCGTGGCAGAGTCTTCCCCGAAGCAGCTCCTCGCCCGGCTCTGAACCAGCCTCGCAGCAGGACTAATGATCATCTCTCAATCCTCACCCACCAAACCACTCCACAGCGCCGGTCCTCGATCGATTCGGCCAAGGTCTTTGCTGAGGCTGCATGGACGGTCGAAAAGGCGAACGGCGGAAACATTGGACTCCATAATGCCGTGAATTCTATCCAGAGCCAATTGACCAAGCGGGTTTGGGTGGGAACTCTGGGCATGGCGACCGACAGTCTCCCGGACTCGACACGTGGCGACATCAAGGCCGAATTGGCGCTCAATCACAGTTCGATCCCTGTCTTTGTTAGCGATCTGGATTTTGAGGGACATTACCACCAGTATTGCAAGCAGGTAAAATGCCTCTTTCACCTTTTTCTTTTTTGGTCTTTCGTCTCTTTGTTATCCGGTGGGCTCATAGTTCATTTCACAAGAAAAATAATGCCATGTCATGGATTGCTTTTTGGGCGTACATTCAAAGAAGAGGAAACGAAGGTTGGGTTCGACAGGAAATCCATCGGTGAAGATGCAACGAAAACGCACGGAAACACAAACGTACACATCATACAAAAATTGGATCGATCCCCTTGTTGCATTCTCTTGCTCCCTCCCTGCCCGCTTCCCCCCACTTTCCGCCCCTTTGCTTTCGCCGTTTCTCATATCTGATGAAGCAATTGCCTGTTAACAGCAAACAGCAGCGGGGTTGGCCAAGGATGGGAAAGGAAAAAAAGAACAAAAACCATAAAAAATGGGCAAGTTCAGGTCAACAAGAGGCATGGAGGAAAAGAGAAAGCGAAAGCTGCACCGCTTCATGATGACACTGTCGCGTCACTCCTAAATATAATCAAAAGGTTCATATCATCATATCATATCTCGCATTTCTCCCACGCACAGGTCTGGTCGCAATCTTATCCCTTAGAAAAGAAAAAAAGAAAATGAGGAAACGAGGAGGGAGGGATTTCTTGAGGAAGAGGAAGAAGAAGAAGGAGAGCCTCTGATGAGAAATGGGCGCAATCTTGTTCGATCAAACCATCCCCTCTCTAACCACATTTACATTCACTTTCACATTCACTTTCACTCTCACTTTCGCTCCGTCGGTAAACGTAGATCCTGTGGCCAATTTTCCATTATGTGTTGCCGGACAACCTGAGGAGCAAAGGATACCAAGAGGGCTCTTGGAAACACTACGTCGCAGTGAACCGTGCCTTTGCAGATGCAATCGTCGAAAGTTATCGCCAGGGTGACACAAGTAAGTGTTCACCTTCCCCCTCTTCACTCAAGTGTTCCTTATCGAGACAGACAGGGTCAATCTTTGTTTTTCGTTTGGACCCGCACAAAAGATAACGTCGGTCGCGTAACTTGCATATTCCCTGCTCTGACCCATGACGACATGTCACTTTTTTTTCTCTTGCCTTGTCTCTATTCAATTTCATGGCGCATTGCATGTATTAGTCTGGGTCAATGATTACCATCTGATGCTTGTCCCCAACATGATCCGAGAGCGACTTCCCGACGCATCCATCGGCTTCTTCCTGCATATCCCATTCCCCAGTTCTGAAATCTTCCGGTGCTTGCATGGTAAGTATCTATCTTGTCTTTTTTCTTCACGGGAAACTAGCCAGTCAGCTGTCTACAGCGTACATAGTTCAAGTGCTCTTGATTTTTCGCGTTATCAGGGTTCTTTTGGGTCAATGGAGCTAATCTCCCTTCCGGGTTCCTTCCTGTCTTCCTTCATTCATTTGTTTCCCTTTACTTCTCTTCCTCCCATCTCCTCTCACTATCCATCTCCCTCCCTCCTCTACTCCCTTCCACAAAAAAAAAAAAAGTTCGCAAGGAGGTCCTGGAAGGTCTCTTGGGTGCAGATCTAGTCGGTTTCCAAACCTATTCGTTCGCCCGACATTTCCTCCAGACCTGTTCTCGTTTGTTATCAGTCGATTCGAGTCCCAAAGGAATCCAGCTTGAGAACACGGCGGTCAATGTCGGTATCTTTCCGATTGGTATCGACACCAAGACATTGAACATCAAGCGTCAGGATCCCGAGGTTGTTCAATGGGTCAAGGTGCTGAAAGAGAAGTATGCTGGCATGAAGCTGATCGTTGCCCGTGAGAAGCTGGATTATATCAAGGGCGTTCGTCAGAAGATGCTGGCCTTTGAACGTTTCTTGGATCTCTACCCTGAGTGGCAAGGAAAGGTAATGGACCGATAACCACAATGACAGCAAAAAATCAACAACAAAAAGAAGCGCGCTAGGGCGTTCATCCATTTATTCATGCATCACATGCAAAGTATGATAGGGCTAGTGTTTGCATTGAATGCTGACATGCGTCATTTTATTCTTTGCCTCCCCCTAGATTGTGTTGATTCAAGTTGCATTGTCGACCTCGGAACAGAACGAAGTACAGGGCCAGGTGTCGGATGTGGTGACCCGGATCAACTCCAGGTTCAGCAACCTGTCGTATCAGCCCATTGTGTTTTTGCGTCAGGACATTACGTTCAGCCAGTACTTGGGACTTCTCACTGCGGCGGATGTGTGTCTGATCACCTCTCTCCGCGACGGCATGAATCTCACCTCACACGAGTATGTTGTCTGCCAGGAGGAGTCAAAGAACCCCTTGATCCTCAGCGAGGTAAGACTTGCGTTTCGCTTTGTCCAATGTGTGGATGAATATACTTTGTTGCCACCAATTCGGATGATAACTAATGTTGTCGTTTGTTTACGTTTCTCTGTTACCAGTTTGCGGGAACATATGGAAGTTTGGGAGCATGCTTGCGCGTGAACCCCTGGAACTACTCCGAGGTGGCAGAGGCGATTCACGAAGCCCTGGAGATGAAGGACGACGAGAAGGTGGTTCGGTGGAACGAGCTGCGAAAGCATGTCAGCACCAACACTGCTCAGTTCTGGGCAACGGATTTCGTCTCGGAGCTGATAAAGGTCCATGGTGATGTCCAGCGACGTTACTCGATTCATATCCCTCTACTCAACATGCAGGTCGTCATTCCAGAGTTCCGATCTGCCAAGCGGAGGCTGTAAGTCATTTTTTTCTTCGTTCTTTATTTGCTTGATAAAATGGATCGAACGTACGTTCTGCTTGACTAATTGCCTTGTGCTTTACTATCACGTTTTTAGATTGTTGCTGGATTATGACGGAACATTGTTACCTTACGAGCGATCCTTGTCCGTACGGGCTAAAGGCAAGACGACCAACGAAGAGATGCTAAAGATCGTCAAACAATTGGCGGCAGACCCCAGAAACGTTGTCTACATCATGAGCGGTCGCACTCGCCAAAGTCTTGAGAATATCTTTGGATCTATTGATTCTATTGGTCTGTGTGCCGAGGGTGGATGTTTCTTGAGGCCCGCTGGCAAGTCGGCTTGGGAGGACCAGTTCCAGGAGGGAACCGATATGCAGTGGCGCAAGAAGGTCATGGAGGTAAGACTTGATAGCTGTGTCTGTAGGGATGGAAGTATTTCTTCTGTCAGCTCAAAGCTGTGATGTGAAGGAAATCGAAGCTGACTTTTTGTGTCCTTTTGTTCCATGTATCCTTTGATAGATGTTTGAATACTACAAGGAGAGGACGCCAGGATCTGAGATTGAGGAGAAGACTGTCCCAATCGTCTGGGTAAGCTTTTATTACTCGAGGAGTTGCATCCACCTCTCATTTAGCCCTGTGTCGCTTACGCCCACCTACCCTCAAATATTAATTACTGATACATTTTTCTTTCCCTTCCTCACCTCACCCACAACAAATAGCACTACCGCCAGGCAGACAACCCAAGTTACGGACTGTGGCAAGCCCGCGAATGCAAGAACCACCTCGAAGAGGCCATCGGATCCATTTACCCCATCCACACCATTGTCGGCCGGAAATGCCTCGAAGTCATGCCCCGCGATGTCTCAAAGGCCCACGCCACAAAGGCTATCGTCGAGTCCCTCCGTCAACAACACGGGCCGGACGCGATTGATTTTGTTCTGTGTATAGGCGACGATCGCTCGGATGAGGATATGTTTGTGTACTGTAATGGGTTGAAACTGGGCGGTGGGGCTGGGAATGTGGCGGCTGGGAATGCAGCTGCAGAGTCCGCGGTGGCTGTAGGCGCAGATGCGGAGGATGCGAGGGAACATCATCGGGTGGTCACCTGTACGGTTGGATCCAAGGGCTCTGAAGCACGCTGGTTTGTCCCCGGTGTGTCTAGTGTTTTGCAGGGACTTCTGGTCATGGCAAGTCAAGACTAGATAATTCGTGTTGCTACTCCTACCCATTCAGTTACCTTCACAAAAGCCAAAAAAACCCCCCCCAAAATACATTCAACATGAGAAACTCATAACCTTTCTTCTGCATTCAACTTCTTTAACAACATGAAATACGAACAAAACAAAGGTCAACCTCTTCCACCTTCACTAGGCACCATGAAAATAATGTATTAATATTGATTCCGCAAATGAAAATTATGAACAGGCCGTATGTAGCCCCTTTCAAGCAAATGCTTTCCGTTCCACTGTGAGCGAACAAACTGGCCCTCGTCTCAGAAAAAATAAAATAAAACAAAAAAGAGAACATCCTAGTTCTTCTTCTTGCCCTTCTTGGAGACGACCTTGAACGAGCTATCATGGCCACCCGACGAAGCATTGCTGATTCCAGAGTTGGCAGGGGTTGCACTGGCAGGGCCCATGCCGTTAGGGTAAGCATCAGCCTTGCGTCTCTTGATGAATTCATCCGCAAACTGTCGGCCGTTCAACGACTGCGAGTTGGCATAGATCGAGTCCTGGATGATCTCGACAGTCATAGGATCAGGGTTCAAGGGAAACGACAACAACATCTGGATGAAATCCTCCAGGACCACATTCTGAAGTCCCTTCAGGGCTTGACGGCACCAGCGGAGGAACTCCTCAGAGGCGGGGCGGGGCTCGTCCGAGTTCCTGTTGACATTGTGGGCGGGAGCACGGACAACGGGGGCGGGAGCTGGAGCTGGGGCTGGGGTCTCAATGGAAGGCTTGTTGCCACGCTTGTTGTCAACCTCGATCCAGCTGTTGGTATCGACAGCACGGACGACAGGAGAAGAAGCAGTCGAGGAGCTCAAGGAAGTAGCAGAGGCATAGGCAGAGGTGGTGCGGGACATCGACAGAGGCTTAGCAGCAATCGCAGACGAAGTGGTGCCCCATGGACCAGCATTGGCAGAGGCGACCACTGGCTTGGGTCCAACGGAATCGGAATAACGCTTGTTAGCCGATCCAGTTCCAGAGGCGATAATTCCAGCCAACCCAGTGCTAGAGACGGGTGCAGAAGCAACGGGCTGGGCTGCGGCCTGAGTAGATCGGGCGCGCTTGAGAGCAGCCTCCTCCTCCTCCTGAATCTCGCGCAAGGTCTTCTTCTTGGTTGCAGAGGCAGTCTGCCAGGGAGTACCACCGAGTCCCTTTCCAAAATCAAGGACACCAGCAGTAGCGGCAGCGACCTGAGCCTGTCTCTCAGCAGCGCGGGTTTCCTCAGCACGCTTGGCCTCCATCTCCTGGATCTCGCGGAGAGTAGGCGCCTTCTTCTCGGAAGCATCGTCGGTCTTCGAGGGCTTGGCCCAAGGAGCAGGGACAGCCTTGATGACACGGGGCTGTTGCTGCTGCTCAGGGGCTGTACCCCAGCCGGACTCCGAGGGAACATCCTCAGAAGCATCCTCAGTGATAGCGCTCTTGGAATCATCCTGCTCGCCATCGAACTCGGTCTCATGCTCCTCCTTGGTCTCGGACTCGAAAGTCTCCTGCTGAGACTCCTCCTTTGACTGATGCTCCTCGGCCTTGACCTTCTTCTCTTCGACGACAACAGGATCGATCTTCTCCTCCTCCTTCACTTCTTCAACGGCGGTCTCGTGGTGCTCGGCAAGGGCGGGCTCTTCACGGACATCCCCTTGAGTAGGCTCAACAACGGAAGCAGCAGGGACCTGGTGAGTCTGCTGGTCCATTTCCTGATGGGAAGCATCAGCAAACTCGAGCTTCTCAAGGTTCTGAGCAACTGCTTGGACAGAATCCTCGACCTCGGCAGGCTTGGAAACATGCTGCTCTTGGGCATCCTGGTGCTGCTGCTGAGGCTGCTGCTGGGTTTGTTGAGTAAACGACTGGGACTGGTCGCGCTGTTGTTGCTGGTGCTGTTGTTGTTGCAGCTGCATCGTCGAGTGACCACTGTTGTTGTTATCGCCGTTGCCGTATTCAAAGTAATTGTCAGAGCTGGGCTGAATGATCGAGCTTGACCAAGGGCTGCTAGGCTGCTGCCCCAATCCTCCCCAAGGCATAGCTGAACCACCGGGTGTAGTAACTCCTCCAACGCCATGGAAGCCCATGTGCTGCACCTGCTGCAGACGCATCTGGAGCTGACGCTGCTGGGCCTGCTGCTGAGCCAACAAGGACGAGAGGGCATGAGGGTCGTTTCCAAATTGCTGCTGGGCAGCCATGAATTGCTGCTGGTGGAGAATATGCTGCATCTGGATTTGACGCTGCAGCAGCTGCATGTACTGCTGACGTTCCAACTGCTGGTTCAAAAGGCGACCCTGCTGGCTCATAAAGCTGCCGCCAAGAGGGGTCTGAGGCCCACCCAGATTGCCCATCGATGATCGAGTAAACGCATCACCTGCCCAACCGCCAGCGCCGCCGACGTTCGAATCCAGACCTTGCGAAGGACCAAACAGTCCAGAGTTCCATTTCTGATCCAGTCCTGAGAACGAGTCCTGGGTTGGCTGCTGCTGCTGCTGCTGGTGCTGAAGAGGGTTGCCACTGCCTCCCAACAAATCGCCAGAGGAGTGCTGCTGCTGCTGCTGCTGCTGGAACATACGGTCGACCCCAAAGCTGGGAGTTCCGGGAGTCGAGGGGGCACTGATTCCTCCCCATGAAGAGGAGTTGAAGTGGCCAAGACCACTTCCCTGTCTGTTCTGAGCGAGCGAGAGGTTGGGGCGCACCAGAGGAACGGCAGCCTGCAGATCGGCGAGTAAGAAGGGCTTCTCATCTGACCCGATCTTGCGGATCAAGGCTCCCAGGGGTTCAAAGTTGGCATCCTGCTCCCGCTTCACCAGCAGGTCCATGGTGAAAAAGCCGCCCTTGTACCACTCGTGCATCTCCTCCGAGGCAAAGGGTCCTTGAACATTGCCAGAAGGATCGCGGTAAAGCCACTTGCTCAATTCCGCAGGCGCAGGATCATACGCAGGGCCAGAATTGAATCCAGGGGCGTGGGAAGAACTAAAGGGAGCAAAGTTTGATTCCTCGCGGACGGGCTTCATATCCAGAGATCCAGAAATGGGGTTGCCTGCGAACGAGAAGGCGTCACTGTTGCTGGCGCCATTCAACAGACTGTGCGATCCGGAATGGCTGGATTCCAAACCTACATCGGAAGGGGAAGAGCCTGGATCGGAAGAGGTGGGTGCCTGATGAGAAGTTGACGAAGGCTGATTGGGTTCCTCCGGTTCGAGAGACGTGCCTTTGGAGTCGGTGACCGGTTCCAAGCTCTCGTCGCGTTCATGAACCACCCTGAACACGCCGTTAGAGTCGAAGGAGCCCAGAGTGTTCCTGACGGGCGAGTTCCAAAGACCGTCTTCCTGGTCGCGACTACCCTGCTCGGTTCGCTTGAATGAATGGCTTCGATCCTCCGTGTTCAAATCTGATTGGGGAAAGGTATGTAGTGGTGTCGTATAACAATGGAGAGGAAATAGAAGGGGGAGGAAAATAATAAGTGTTAGCGAGTGCAATCCGGGATAGTCAAGTTAGGAATGGGTTCAAGTTCAATTGATAAAACCACGAGACCAAGAACGGTTGTACGAACATTTTCATTTTTCAAGCACAAAAGCAGATCAATAGAACACGTACGTCTTGGCCTGGCACTCGATCCCTGTTGGTGCTTGGAATCGTGGTTGCGAGACTGGGTGGATCGGTCGGATCGGTCGTGGCGACCGGCGTGGTCGCGATCCTTCGAGTGCTCGTTGTTCGAAAGGCTCTCACGTCGCTGTCCCTGTGAGCGTTCCTGCCCTCCTTCCCCGGGTTGGACGGCGCGACGGGCGACTTCGCTGTTGACACTGCCGGAGAGGATCTATGTGATTGCAGGGATAGAAAAACGTATGCAGTGTAAGTTAGACATGGTTCGAAAGGACGTCATGGAAGACAGAGCAACCCGTTTTACATGTGTTTGTCTGTTGCGAAACAATAAATGGATACAACGGGGAGAGCTGTGAGTCCAATCAAACAGCGTAAACAACAACACCAACGAATCTAACCTTGATCTCCTGATCGCTGAACGGCTGAGAGGACATGGGCATCAATGCGTCCTCACTGGTCGCGTATTCGTGTCGCTCAAACTCGATAGGAAACCCGACTGGCTTGAATAGCGACAACATGAGGTCTTTGGAGTACTTGAACGGGTTCAACGTGTCGGAGGCGATGCTCTCGGAAAGTGGCGTCTCATAGCTGCCAGAGGAGAGGGAGGTGGACGAAGGGCCGTTGAGCGATCGTGCGTTAGTGGCGGCGACGGACGAGTAGCTGAATGCAGGGCCGGTGGGGTTGCCACCGCCCACCGCGCCAGGGGCCATGGCGGCGCCGGCGGACTGAGCAGCGAGTTGGCCCCAGTCCTGAAGGGGCGATGGGGCTCTTGGGAGGAGATCGTGCTGGGAGGAGTGAGCTGAGGCGGATGTGGTCTTTGCGGGGAAGCGACGCATCCACTCAGGACCGAAGTTCATGGTGTTCGATGTCATGGTTGGTTAAAGACAAGGGTGGTTAGTGTTGTTGGTTGTTGTGTGTTTATTGTGTTGAGAGGAGGTTGGGTAGATGACCTGATCGTTGTGTTTGGTGCGTGTGTCGTGGTTGTGAGTTCGATGCTTTTTTTTTGCGGAAGAAGAAGCAAAGGAGAAAAAAAAGAGTGCTGGACGCATGGATACCCGAACAATGGAAATCCTGATCTGATCACGTGGAACAGTACGAGAGTGTGATATCAAAGAAGGGTACATCATCGTATATCTTACATGTGTGCAATTAGATGTTCACATTCATGCAATAAGAGATCGAACCGTGGGAAAACGGCCAAAGTGTTCAGTGTCGAGCTCAAGGGAAAAAAGAAAAGAGGCTCGCGCGAAGAAGGGACGGACGTCCTCTTGGGACAAAGGGAGCAAATTCGTATGGATGAGAAATAACGCTCAATTGTTCTCCGGGAGCTCCATTGACCCTGACGGCGACAGGTATGTATGTGCTCTCGTCTTCTCCATGAAATCAGGCACTTGACGTATGAGGTGTTGAGAAACAAGAACAACAATACCAACTTGAAAACAAGTGCCCCTTTCAAAGCCTGTGGCAATTTTTTTTAAATAGGTTTTGTTTCGCCCCTTCTTTTTACTTCTTTTTTCTTCTCCATTCCTCTACTCCTCCCTCATTCCGCCCTCATTCCACCCCCAATGACCCTCGCCCTCCCCTCCATCGTCTCTGCTGCTGCAGGCGACCTCGCCTCCGGCACCCAGTTCGATGCCGTCATCGCCGTCTACCCCTCCGTCTCAGAGGAGCTCGTCTCGGCCTTCAGCTCTATCACCGCCTATACCGCCATCGACAAGTCTTTTGGCTCCGCTTTGACTCTTGTCGCCGATCAGAAGGTCGCCGGCGGTCGTCTCATCCTTGCCCCCACTGGCTCCTTGACCGGCGACTCAGATGACGTCCGCAAGTTCCAGGAGGTCACCAAGGCTGCCATGAAGCGCGCCATTGCGGCTGGTGCCGTTGCTCCACTCTTCTACTTCCCCGCCAACATCGCCGCCGACAACGAGGACTACTCCCACTTTGTTGAGGTCTCGCTCCTTGGTGCCCTCGCTGCCTGCTTCGACCCCATTGATGTCCGTGAGCACTACGAGAAGATTGGCAAGACTTACACTGTCCAGAAGATTGGTTTCCATTCTGCTGGTGTTGAGTTCTCTGCTGACCGTCTTGCCTTTGTCAACGCTGTCGAGGTTGGTCGCCGTGTCGCCAAGGGTAAGTTGGATGTTATTGTTCTTGTAACAATTAGCGTCGACTGCGCATCAACTCTCTTTTTTTTGGTCGATCATTGCAGATCATTGTGGGGGACGATTGCGTGTACACCCTGGGGAGACAATTGCACAATGAAGGTCAATGAAGATGGATCTAATACTGTTGTTGTTGTTGTTGCTGTTATTGTTATTGTTATTCCCTGGGATACCACCCATTGATAGATCTCGGAAGCCCCAACTGCGAGCGTATGACCCCCATCAAGTTCGCCGAGTATGTACAGGAGTACTTCAAGTCCCAGTCGGTCATCAAAACTTCCGTTATGGAGGACATCAAGGTTATCGAGAAGGAGTACCCCTTACTTCATGCCGTTGCCCGTTGCTCCTTGTCTGGTATGTGCTTTTTATCATTTCATGCATTGTGCATCCTCATACTTCTTGTCTCCAACCAAAGAAGAAAAAACCTAAACAAAAAAAAAACATTATACATACGCCACATAGTCCCCAGACACTTCCCTCGCGTTGTCAAGCTGGAGTACAGATCGGATGAGCCGTCCAAGGTCAAGGAACAGTACGTACAAATATACCTTCCGCCATCTCTTTTAGGCAACGATCCGCTCTTTGCCATTCGATCCCCGTTCCTCTCTTCTGTCTTGATGTGAATATCGATCGACCAACCAGCTAACAACTTACCCCAACAACAACAACCATCGTTTTAGCCTTTACTTTGTCGGAAAGGGCGTTACTTACGATACCGGCGGAGCTGATATCAAGGCTGGCGGTGTTATGAGAGGCATGTCCCGCGATAAGTGCGGTGCTGCCTCCGTTGCTGGATTCATGGCCACTGTCGCCGAGCTCAAGCCCAAGCATGTCAATGTCACCATCTTCCTCGGATTGGTTCGCAACTCTGTCGGTTCCAACGCCTATGTCAGTGACGAGATCATCTACTCTCGCAGCGGAAAGCGTGTTCTCGTCGGAAACACCGATGCCGAGGGTCGCATGGTCATGACCGACCCCCTCTGCCAGTGCAAGGAGCTCGTTTTGGCTGAGCGCAAGGCCGGCAACAATGTCCCTGTCCGTCTCTTTACCGTCGCCACTTTGACTGGTACGTAATCACTCTTGCTTCATCAGGATGAACAAACTCATAACAATGAACACTTCATACCAGAGGAGGCTTCACATCAATGGATATTTCACACCAAGGATGCTTCTTACAAAGTACGCTCCATATAAGAGGACCCTTCATATGAAAGATCACTTCGTATCAAAGGACGCTCCAGATCAAAGAATGCTCCTCACTCATGTCTAACCACGTGTGTAACGCTTCATCTCCATTTTATAGGTCACGCTATCCGTGCTTACGGTCCTTACGGTATTTGCCTCGATAACGGCCCTGCCCGCAAGGCCAACATCAGCCCTCGTATCCAGGCTGGAGGACACATTTTGGGTGATCCCTTCGAGGTCTCGACCCTGCGCCGTGAGGATTACGCCTATATTGCCCCTGGAGCTGCCTCGGAGGATGTTGTCCAGGCCAACGACAAAGCCTCGAGCGCCACTGCCCGTGGTCATCAGTACCCCATGGCTTTCATGTCCGTCGCCTCTGGATTGGACAGCTTTGGTTTGGACAAGGAGAAGAAGGACCAGATCGCCTACACTCACGTCGATATCGCTGGTTCTGCCGAGGAGTTGTCTGGCACTGGTTTCAGCTTGCCCGAGGTCACCGGCAACCCCGTCCCTGCCTTTGCCGCCACCTTCTTGCTGTAAACTTCATTCTTTCGCATCACTATTCCTTTCTGCGGTCGAGATCCCTTGTTGAGTTTCGATTGCCGTGTAAAATGTACAAACAAAAACAAATAAACAACATCATCAAACTCCAAAAGACTATTGTTATTTCTCCTTTGTACTCATCTTATGAAATTGGAGTTGGGACCTTTCTCCGATACTCCGAGGGCCGCAAATTGGACTTGATTTGTGTTTTGTCATAGGACCTAAGCGCCACTAAACAAGTATGTCAATTAGCCTTTAATTGCTGTTGATGACACACGGCTGCTGGGTGATTATTATTATTGTCAAGAAACAGCTTCAGGCTGTCCTGTTTGTCTTTGGAATCAACCTGCAGAGTACAGACACGGATTGGGGATCTTCAGCTGCATTGGTTGGTCACCTTGCTGCAGCGCACTGCAACGAAGTGACTCTGGACCATCATTCGCTCCCAAAAAAAACGAATCGGTTTCCTTGTAGCTAGTATGCAAGCAAGCAAAGGTTTGAAGCGAATTACGGTTACAAAGGAGGTATAAGGTACTTATCTCTACTTCAGTTTAGACACTCCTTGTGCCGGTACAAGTACTGAAAGCTGGATGTTGGGGGGAGGGAGATTGCTCATTGAAAAAATGAACAAAAACCACAAAAAAAAAGATGAGCTCATGACAACAACCATATATATTGTTTTTGTGTTGAGAAAGGATATTGGAGTGCACATGTATGTCCCTGACTTTCCGTATTGGTTGCAATATTGTTTTTGCTCAACAATCGATGTTAGCTTCGCTTGTTTGGTGCAGTTCACTCGTCCCTTTTTTTTTGAACCATGAAAAAAGAATACGTGCAGAGGTCTGGGTCAGGGGATGAACAAAAAATCAGGCGGAGAACGAGAGCGAGAAGGCATGCACAGACGAAGAACAGTGCGCCTCCACATTGCCTTTTCTCTCTTCTCTCTCTTACTTCTTTGGACCAACACCTCTTCTTCCTCGCCCACTCTTTCTCTTTCTCGCCGCTCTTTCTCTTTCTCCTTGCTATTTTCTACTCTCACTTCTACTCCTCGCTCTCCTCTCGCCCTCCTTTCTTTTTCACTTTACAATTCTTTCTCCCCTCTCAATCCTTCTTTCACCTTCCTTCCCTCCTTCCCATAAACCCCTGATCCTCGCTATCTCTCTCTCCCCCACTACTACACACAACGCAGCATGACTCGTATGCAAAAGGAAGATTCACTGGGCTTTTACTCACCATTCAGGTCCAACCCAGATCTAACCAGCCTCACCCGACAACGGTTTCGCCAAACAGCCTACTCTCTCCTCAGTGCGACACTTATGGGATCCTCTCTCGGCCTAGTGATCTACCAGCGGCGTACCATTTCCCTCCTCCACAACGATACCACCACCATCAACAGCTCTTTATACCCTGCTTCGATTGAGTCTTCAACAGCAACAGTACCAACAACGACAACGACTACGTTTCGGTTTAGTGTGTTCCTGCTGTCGTGCTGGTTCCCGGTCGCAGTATGGTTCGTGACCCTGATGTCGACTTCGTTCCTGGTCGGTCTCGAAAACTTTATCCCCCGCTGTTTCTCCCCTCGGACAGGCATCCTCGTCAGCCATCTTGTCTTTGCGGTCGTCTGGGTCATCCTCGCCTCTGTCCAAGAGGTCTACGAGAGCCTTTCGTCTTCGTCCCACCAGCAACAACCGCAGGCAGGAGTCTGGCCCTCCGATTCAAGCGATAGCGTGCAAACAAACAACAACGTCATGAGAGTAGAGCACCACCCATCTGTTTCTTCGCTTCAGCAACCACAACTTTACCAAAAATACCCAAGCATGCAACAAAGACAACAAGCACAACAGGGCCAGGCTCTCAGGGATTCAAATCTGACAGCGTCACTCTGCGTGATCTGGTATGTGGCGGTGATACTTTTGGGCGTCGCCACTGCCCTCCTTGCCACCTCCAGCACTGTTCTCGACTCGATGATGGACCAACAGCTTCAGGAGTTGCTTGACCAAGAGGATGAGGATGTTGTCGGGGGTTGTGAGGAGAAGGAATTGGGTTTCAGGGACACCGTTTCAATCACTGTTGATACGTCTGCGCAGAGGATGCAATACCCCCTGGCGCAGAAGTTGACTCTGGCCCTGATGATCCTGGTCCTCTTCTACAGCCAGATGTGGTTCTTTGAATGGATCCACTCGGCCCTCTCTTCCCTCTCCTCCTCTGGTCTTGCAGTGTCGACCCGCCTCGGTCTGTTTGGTCTCTTCTCCAGCTCGATCATGGTCACCCTCGGCGCAAGACTCCTTCCTGTTACCACCACTTCGACCATCGGAAGCCGATAATGGCCTTTTTCTTGTCCTGTACTCCTATTTTACCGAGGTTTTTGCTTTTCTGCCAATTCCATCCCCAAGCCTCGGCCCGTCGTGTTAGCCAGTCGTGTTTCTACTCTTAGATATTTGTTAGCCCTCCCATTTTTTTTATCCTAACCAAAGCCCACATCCACATACACATCCACATACACATCCACACAACACTTTTGTACATAGTTTCTTTCTCATATTTTCCGATTGTTCATATCATAAAGAGTCAAAAGGGGTGCACTGACAAATCTACTCACACTCCCACCAGCCCTGGTCTTTTTCTTCTTCTTCAAGCCTCCTTTCGCTGTCGTTCTCCCTTGAGGCACTGTCTGTGCCATTAAGATATCTGTCTTGTAGGGGCTTGGTTGGCTGGTTGGAGTGGCGTTAGGGCACAGATGGGCGATGACAAGATGGAAGAGAAGAATAGTGTTCTTCTATTTTTACACCTGATATGCTCGTATATATCCTGTTTACGCGCGCCTCAACCTCTTGTACCCGCCAAACGTCAGTTTCTTTTTTTTTCTTCTTTTTTCCATTGAAACATTGATGCACCTGGACATATCCTATACTAAGCTAAGTGATCATCGCCTTTACCAGGTGCCTATCGTTATATTTTCTATTTCTATCCACCACTGCAATTTACATATGTCTCTTCTTTAGCCTGGCTGAGTTCAGTCCTCACCAAAGAAAAAAGTAAGGGGACAAGACCGGATGATGATCGTCTTAAGAAGTGCCTGACCCTGTTTGAAGACCCAAGACATGTTGCGCTCGTCGGTAATAGTTGGTCAATTAAAAAATGGCTGATGATGGTTAGTACCAACTGGCCGTCCGCCTAAGTGGACTGACGAGAAACCCGTAGTCGGATTTCGGCCGTTTGTTCAGGCACTGTCGTTTGAGAGAAGGGGCCACGGAGGAAGAAAAGAGTTCAAGAACAAAAGGTCAAACGAGGGAGATGAATGAGGTGCGAGAGTAAAGACAGGGGAGTGATTTGATGATCCGATTCTTAATGGATGGAACAAGTGGACCCTGTTCATCGCCTACGATTCTGCACTCACGCGCTGGCTCGGGTACACGGAGAGAGAAGATGAGGGTCTGCATTGCCTTTGTTTTCGTGTCTTTAGCTTTGCACTTTGCACTTGTGGGCTTGATGGCGCGTGTATCAATTACCTCGCGACAAGCAACAAAAAAAATATGTCACCGCCACTGCATTCATGCATCTCAAAGAGGGAAAAGGGTGAAAGAAGCAATTGATGATTGATTACGCGGGCTATGAAATACATATTTTGCCTATTGCAAATTGACACAAGCGCGTTCTCCCTTGAAACGCCACTTCATAAAAAACCTTTTGCGAGAAACAAAGCATTGTATGGGGGTAAACAAGCATGGCGTAGAGGCAACAGCCAGGTCGGGCGCACTTTTCATTTGAGGCGTTTTTTGTCAACGAGTTCAACGACCAATTGGCAATCCTAATAGGTTGTGGTTTGTTTGCTACGCTGTTGTCTTTTGTTTGATTTTGTGTGGTGCATGGGTTGCATGGATTGTTGGATAGGATGAGGCAAGCCGCAAGGAACGGGCGTTTTTCTGCAATGCTGTAGGACTTTTGGACCAGCGTACATTAACTTTTCCCCATGACTGCCCTTGCGTTTTCTCTTGCTTACCTTGCGCTGCTTACCATCTCTTTACTGCTCCCCCGACCCCTATACATCTTTGTATCCCCTGCCATTCTTTATGAGACCTGGGGCATTCTTTATGCTTTGCTCCTCCCCCTCCCCTGCCACTCCCTCCATGTGGCAGTGGCTAGTCCAGTCCAACAGCCTTTCAAAACATCGCATCGTTGACAAGGGTACATACGCTCGGTCATGCATTTTTTCGTTTCTTTTGCTCCCTTGTCTAGTCGTTCCATCGCAAAAGCTAGTCTAACATGGCCCATTTTTGTATTTCACTTTGTCCTCTTCCTCATCGTTCTTCCGCATCGCACTTCCGCACCTTCTTCAGCTCTGGCGACCCTGAATCTCGATCTCATCCTTCCGTCATCCCCTCTGTTCTCTTCCGTGCTTGTTGTATCTAGAAGTTCCCCGTTCGCCCCTAAGCAGAACAAACTAACTGCTTCAGTCCGTCCTGCTTTGCACTTTTTTTCCTTTCCATTGAGGCTCCTCCTCCCCATGGGTCCCCGTTTTCGCATAAATCAAAGAAGGGGTGCACCTTTCTCAGTGCTCACGGATAGACGCCTACAGCGTTCGAGACCTTTTTCCTTTCTCGCCTTACAAAACCACGCCTATTACCCGGCGAACCTTCTCTTCTTTATTTCTTTTTTTTCCTTCCCTGGCTTTCTCTTTCTCTTTCAACTTTTTCCTCTTTCACTCCTTCCTCTACGTCTTCCTCTTCCTTGTTCTTTGACACTCTTTCACCTCCTTTACTTGGTCATCCTTCTTTCCTTCCAACTCCTTACATAACCCTCGCTCACTGTGTGTCCTCTCACTCAATCTCTTTTTAGTCTGCCATATTTATCCGACTCTATCTCTCTTCACTTCTTTCCTCACACCAAAACTTCACTGCCCTCAACACCCCTTTCCAACACTTTAACTCCCACCACACCTGCCGCGAAGAAAGCCGAACTATCAGCCATGGACAACTCAACCACCTGCCCTCCATCCCCCACTTCTCCTTCTTCTCCCTTCACAACCGCAGCACCACCCTCTCCAAAGACAACTACAAAACGTCCGCAAAGTCCACAGCAACAACAACAACAACAACAACAACAACAACAATATGAACAACATCAACAAAAACACACCTACTCTGTGCAACAATTACGAGCACTAGCATCCCGGCTCGATCTACTGAAGGCCGGATCTTTGTTGATCCTGCCCTCTGTCCTCCCATACCTATCCTCTGCTCTCGAGGCTCTCACCGCAACTTCGTCTTGTTTTCAACGACAGGGCAGCGGTGGTGAATTTGGCAATGGAGTCTCTGGGACCAATAACGGCGACAACTCTTATGGTTTAATTGAGGAAGGAGGAGCAGTGGGAGCGTATTGGTGGGTGGCCCCATTGTTGCCCTGTGTGGGTCTAGTCCTGCCCATAGCCGTGGCCAAAGTCTTGGCGTCTAGGAGGAGGTGTAGGCGAGCCGGAGGAGGATGCTGTAAAATAAAGCAAAAGGCCAACGGCACGACAACCTGCCCGTACGCAAGACTTTTGAACCGCCTTGGGTTCAGCGGCTGCTCTTCCTCTTCTTCCAAAGATGCCAGTCTGCTTCCTACCGAGGCTCCACTTCTCAACCATGACGACCCGTCCAACAGTAGCAACAAAAGCACAAAGCAGCAAAGACGACTAATGAGACCCCGCACGCTTCTGTTGGCAAGTCTCTGTCTCTGGTCGGTCCTTTTGGCTTCTGCCCCACGGCTTGGATTGAACAAGACGGTTTCTTTCATGGTTTACTCGCCCCTTGACGGATCCTTTGACGATTCCATCCTCACCTTCTCTCCCTTGTGTCCAATGGCCGCTCCTGCCGCGTCTCCTGAAGGTACTGCCACCACCACGAACACCAACGACGAGAGCGCAGCGGGGTTGACATCAACAGCATGGGCAGACGTGTCCGAGTCCGTAATGGACGCACGAGTGCTCGCGGCCGAGAACGACGAAGTCATGGACTCTGAATGGTCCTTCCCTAAGGAAACCCTAGAATCGATGACGGCTCAACAGCGAGAATCGCTTTCGGCACTCCGGGATTTCTGGGATGCGATGGAACAGGTCGTCGGGGACCCTCAGGAGACGGAAGAACTCCGGGAAGAGTTTGAAGAGCAGTTGGATGAACAGCTCCAGCACCACCAGCACGAGGGAGAGGAGGATGGGTATGAGGGTGAGGATGACACGGAGGGAGAGCTGGGAACGACGGTTATTACGCAGGAGGAGTTGGTAAAGGGGATGGAGGAGAAGATGATAGATGCTCGCGATCAGGCCGGTCTTGAAAAGGAGGGCAAAGTCTTTGGGTATGTGCCCTGGTGGACGGAGGGTATGTTGTTTGGTATATCGTTGACGATCGGCGGCATCCTCGTCGCACTCGCCCAAGCCCGTGCTCAGACCCTCGACCTCCTCCAAACGGCCATCTCGCGCGAGAAGCGATTCGGCGACGAGGACGACGATGAAGTCATCGAGTCCTCCTCCTCCACTTTCTCCTCCGACATCGACTCTGACTCTGACTCTGACTCTGACGAGTCCCAAAGCGAAAAGGGCAAACTCGCACCCTCGCAGAAGTCTTCCAAAACGACCAAGTCAAACCCCGCTTTCATCATCCCATGCGCAGCCAGCCGCCTCTTGTTGTTGATAGCCCTGGTCGCCAACTTCTGGGTGGTCTATTCAGAATACTGGGACCTCCCTGCTTTACTCTTTGTCGGTCTTGGGTCTACCGCCGTCCTCCTCGCCCATGCCTGGGTCCCCCACGATCTCTAAACCATGGTCCTTTTTTTTTTCTCCATTTTCGAAATTCCTTTCTTTGCGTCGACTTTCATATATATTACTTTATAGCATAATCATGTACAACGCCGTTGCAAAAAGAATTTGCCTGTTACTTTTTTGTACTCAATAATTAATACAAATACATATCCTACTATTTCATCTCCCTTTGTGTACCCTCGTTTTTCGCGCCCTTGACTGAAACTCCCCATTTTGCCACACACAGATAGATATTTCGTTCCACAAGTTCGTCTTTTGCCATTGCGAAAGATACATCGACAACATTTCTCCACGAAGGAATGATAATGATTTAAAAAAAAAAAAACTTCTAAAGGGCGCAGTTTATTTGTTTTTTTTGAACAAAGGGTCGATGAAGAGGATGAAGGGTGGGTGGGTGGGGTGAATGATACAGAGAATGCAAAAGAAAAAAAAATGGCGGTATATGTACAAAGAGCGAGAACCCCGCTCCTTTTAAAAAAGAAGAGTTTAGTTTACTCTACGACACCCAACATCCAGAAGGGTGGGACACCAGTGCCAGGAAGCGAGCCTCCAAGCGAGTCCTGAAGATCTTGCTCGTCCTTGGCAAGGGCCTCAAAGACACTGGCCTCCAAGCCCAACTCGCCCCACTCGAGAACTCCTTCGTTTGATGGGTTGTAGGGCCTGCCGCCGCGGGCAGAAGTTGCTGGAGTTTGACGGCCTCCTTTCCGGCGGTCGTCCTTGACTGCACCACCACCAGCAGATGTGCCAGTGGCGGTCTTATCGCCCTCTTGGACCAAAAGGGCGCGTGGTGGCACGTGGTCATAGTTTGTGCGCGCGGTGTACAGCAAGGCGTCCATGGTCACCTTGCGCAGGCTCGGGGACCGGTAGTGATCCTGACGGACATAGTTGCGAACAATGTCGCCCAGGCGGTATCCGCGCTTGGACCGATGTCTCCACAGATCCGGAGCCGACGAAATGCCAGAGTTGTCGACCATGCGGGTCAAAAGAGTCCAATACTGAAGGTTCAACGCCGAGTATTTCTCCGTCAACTCTCCGACCGTGTAAAGAGGTTCGCCAGTACCGTCGGGGACCATGGGTGGAGTTGAAGAAGCCAACATGGGTTGTTGCTGTTGTGGTTTGGAGTCGGCAAGATCCTCCATCTGCTCCATTCCGGGCGAGGGCTTCTTGCGCTCGTACTCGTCCTCCTCCTCCGCTAGAGGATCGACTTGGTTGTTGTCATAGTTGGGCGTGGCATCCTTGCTGCTCATCACCGAATCCTTCAACATCGCACCAAGATCGCGAGGGCGCGAAATCGACTGGTCCAAGCTCAAGTCCAGGTCATCATTCTCCTCGTCAATGTACATGCCCGCCAACTCCTGACCAGAGACATCCGACGCCGCGCCACCGGGCTGCAAAAGCCCAGCCATCGATTGACGGGTCGCATAGGCGTTCTCAAAGGGCATTTTGATCTTTCCATCCTGGACAACCATAAACTGACGCCCAACGCGCATACGGCAGCGGTTGACAACGCGGAGGAACAGACGGACATCATCCGTGATCGCCGCCAATGCCGCAACATGAAGATCCATGAATGACGAGCGGTGGTCTCCCTGCTTAGCGTACATGATTCCCTCAGGCGAGTTGACCAAGTGCTCCAACCAAGTCGAAAAGACAAGAGACAGCTGTATGTACTCGTTCTGAGTCAAGACGTGGATGCGGTGGAGCATGCGAACAGAGTCCAGGAAAGCAGGCATGGTGTCGGCCTTCAACAGATCCTTTGGAATCGCTAACAGTGGGCGAGACGACAGGATGCCCTCCTTCTTGGGGATGACACGGGGGAGGCGGTTCAAGGCGGGGAAGGAGTAGCCGTGATCCAGCAAGTATCCAGTCTCCTCGGTCGTGGGGTGGATGGGGACGTCTTGGTCGTGCTCCTGAAGCAAGGTCGTGCGAACAATGTTGGCCGCCGCGCGCGCAAAAGTCTCGTTTCCTGTAAAATAGTGGGCCAAAGTGAGCGTCGTGACCTCGTCGTAAAGGCCCTGGAGAGTAATGACCCTGGACGACCCGTCTTCGTTGGTGGGAGAGGGGGCCGACTTGGGGATAATAGGCTTTCCGAGTCCATCAGCTGGGTAGATGATCAGATCCTCAGCGGACGCCTTCTTGAGGAGGTTGAGACGGGTGGAGAGAACACCATCTGCCTTGGACTGGAGCTCCTGGACCATGCGCGTCACTCCAGACTCGCCAACCCAGTACTTTTGACGGTTCGCCATCAAGATATCGTCCTTGTAGACAAGAAGGTCATTCGATCGGAAGGTCTTGCGCGCGATCCTCTCGTCAATACCATCAATCAAGTCCTGAATAGCCAGCAGACGGTTGTAGGCACGGATGGCAGCCGACTGGCGAGTGTTCTCCTCCTGAGAGCGCTTTCCTGAGAAGAGGCGGAAGACCCATCCGACGGTCTTGAAGTCAGCCTTGTCGGGAATAGGCTCGCGCTCCCTGGGTTCCCAGGAGACCGAGGGCTTGCTAAGCTTTGCTCGTTCCAGTGCGCCCAATCTCCACAGCAGCTCCAGCTATAAAAAATGAATGGTTCCAATGGAAGGATGAGTATGTGTGAAAAACTTGGCCGCACCATATAACACGAACACTATTCATTTCTACTTCTACATAGACACAGCACATACCTTGGATCGACGACCATATCGCATGTCAGGATTGTAAACATCCTCGGCGTCGTTCCTGAAAATGATCTGGGGCTCCTCCTTGGAGTTGGGCCGGGTATCGACTCCTTTCAACAGCTGCGAGTTGTCGACCAGACGAGCCATGGGCACCACAAAGTACTTGAGCACCTCGCCATGTTTCCGGATCGAGTGCTTAATCTCCTCCATGGCATTCTTGGTCAAGAATGAGTTTCCGTCAAATGCAAAGATCCAGCGGGCGTCCACGTTTGTCTTCCCGTGTTGAATGGCGATATTACGACCACCGTTCTATATGAAAACAAGTAAAGAAAGTTAGTAAAGTGGGTCTCATAGCTGTTGTTGGGCCACCATGACCGATAATGTCACCACCCCGGTTTGTTTGGATCTGTGGCATTTATCCTTGCATGAGTGCCTGTCTTTCTGTCCCTTGTATGTGCAGTTCTGACTCTCCTTTTCTGTCCTTTTCTCCACTGTCCCCTCGTCCCCCTTTCATCCCCTTTCTGGTCCAGCGAATTTTGCTGACCTGGCTGTCGTCTCCTGAACATTTTTTTCAGCCCAAGTGGGAGTGTGTGGTCACAGCATATCAAAATGGGAGTTTTGCGCATGTGGACACACATCGGTGTGCCTGACGCCGACCTCCAAAAAGAGAAAAATAGGTGTAGGACAAGGGGGAGGGGGCGCAAGGTAGGGGGAGAGAGCAGTAGAGGATCGAGGGAAACACAGAGACAGAAAGGGGAGAGGAGGGGGGGGGGGGGGGGGAGAAACAGAAAACCAGCGAAAGGAGAGAAGGTGAAGAAAAAAAAAACATACGTTGTTCATGGCATATCTGTTCTTGTCGTGGTAGGTGTAGTCCAGAACTCTGAGCTTGGCGACCTTGGAGAAAGTCGAGTAGTCGTCGGAGGAGAAAAAGTCCGGCTCTGGGAAATCCTCGAGCTTGAAGTCCTGCTTGAGATACTCTGACTCGACAAAGGGCACGAGGAAGTACTCTTGGCGATGGTGCTTGAGCAATTGGATGATGGAGGACTCTGCCTGGGGGTCGACAATCCGATTGAGGACCCAGATTTTGCGGGTGTTGTTGAACTCGGGCTCGTGCTCGAGGATGAAGCGGACGTTGGAGAGAGTCTGACCGGGGCGATGACGAGGTGGCAGATCATTGCCCAGGATACGGTACAGCACAATCGATTCAGGGTCAATCGTCTTGGGGCCCGTCTTGGAACCAGGCGAGTAGCTGTCGTCTGTGCGATCAATTGAGTCGGGATTTGAGCCGGTAAGACCACCATGTCCCTCCTGGTCTTTCTTCTTGTTGTCGGAGGGTGAGTTGTTGTTGTCGGAGCCATTCTCGCTGTTACCGTTGCTGCCGTTGTCATCATCTTTGTTCTGGTCTCTCCAGGCACGGTCGTTGTTCTGTTCTTGCTCTAGGACCCGCTGACGCTCCAGGTCCTGGGCCTGTTGCTTTGACTTGTCGAGAGGATAATCAAAGTCGTATTTGTACCTGTCGTGGTTGTTGGGTTGTCGGTGGGCGGGCTCAGACTGGTGGCGGCGAGACTGCCAGGAAGGGATGGAGGGTTGGAGGTAGATGAGCGAGAACAGGGCGACGAGGGCGAGGATCAGACCAAAGCCGATCACTCGTCTGTTGAGAAGTCGTTTCCGGAGTGAGCGGATACGGGAGGAAGCTGAAGACGAGGAAGGGTAGTAGACAAAGTGCTTGTCGACGAGGGCAGAGGGGATTTGATCGCTCTGGGTGCTGCTGTTGCTAAGGGAGTGGTGGTGCCTTGAGGAGCCGTCGTGGTGGATGTGGTTGTTATGGTGGTGGCCATCATGATGCTTGTCTCCTCTGTTTGCTCCTGCCCCACCTCGGATACCGTTGACGAGGGAGGCAGCGGTGGAGGCGGCGACAGAGGCGATTGTGGTTGGGCGGACGGAGGCAGTGGTTGTGTTTGAGGAATAAAAATTGCTGGAGCTGAGGCTGTTGCCGTTGGGACTATTGCCGGTCGAGGCGGGCATGCCTGTCGTTGTGTAGGAGTTGTTGTTGTTGTTGTTGTTATTATTGTTATTGATTCTGCGGGAATATGGAGGAGGATCCTGCGGAAGGACCATGCCAGGGAAGAGTGGCGGAGGGGAAGGGGAAGTGGATCTGGACGACGCTGCTGATGAGCGATAGAAGGCTCTTGTGCTGGGGGTTGTCATTTATGACATGAACAACTTTATTAAAAAGGGTGGGAGAGGTTGAGTGCAAGGGCGAAAGGAAGGAAGGAAGGGAGAGGAAGGGGGTGGGATTAGAAGGAGAGGGGAGTGGTCAAGAGTGGGGAGGTGATTGAATGGAATGGAAAGGAAGTGATGAAAGAAAAAAAGAAAGGGGAACAGAAGACGAAGGGGAAGTGAGTGAGAGTGAGAGAGAAAATGAGAGAAAGTGAGAGAGTTGAAAAGTGTTAAGTGTGAGGTAAATTATAATGGATATTTCACTTCACAGGAGTAGTTGGAAACAAACAAAGAAAGAAAGACAACAATCAACAAGGAAGGAAGAAAGTGAGAGAGAGAGTGAAAAAGAGAATAAAACAGAGAAGAGAGACGAAGAGATAAAGAAAGAAAGAAACAAACCAAGAACAAGAACAACAAGAAGAAGAGGAAGAAGAAGAAGAAGAAGAAAAGGTAGCAAGTTACCATGGTTTATTTTTAGACCGATGTTTTTGTTTTTCAGGCCCACAGCAACCTACTCTTCTCTTTACTATTCAACTGAATACGAACACAACCATATCTCTTCTTTTTTGCGCTTTAGGCTCAGCTACAAAAGAAGACACACACACCACCCACTGCCCTGTGGCAGTGATCGTTGCGCGCCCTTGCCTTTCTATTTTCTTTGTTATCTATCCCCTCGCTACCCTCTTGGAGTGAGGACAAACGGTGAATGGATTGCAATTCGCTCCTTGGTCTTTCAGTCCCTCTAATCCGTCAGTACGTCCAATTGGCCGTTCGTTCCTTCACTCATTGCGCAACAGAGATAGAAAGAGACTACTAAACTCAGCCTTGACCTGTCAAATAAAAGAATAAAAAAAGGAAGGGTAATGGGCTGAAGAGAGAAGGATAAGAGTCGATCGTGAGTCGCTTTGAAAAATGTAAAAAATAAATGACATGTTTTTAAATGGAGGGGACAGTAAGGCAGCAGCATTGGAACATCAAGGAGTGTGACCTATTTGCTTAATGCTTACTGGTCCGTCCAACAGCAGCAGCAACGAACATGATTATGATGACAAGGTCAAGCATGACGGCCTACAAAAGCAGGCGAGCTAGGCTTGCGGCACCCATTTGGCCCGCGTCCGAGTGAGTGGCGGTGAGAAAAAAGAAAAACCTCTTTTTTTCTATTCAATTGACAAAAAGCCTCATTGACTCGTTATCTCTTCTGTTCCGGCTTCTCTGGGAGCAATTGAAATCGCTACGGGCTGGGTATGTTTTGCACTGTAGGGGTCATTTATATTCAGCCTCTCCAGCACCCTTTCCGGAAGCACTTGCCCTGTCTCTTACTTTCTCTTGACCAAGACAAAAACGCGAAATGCAAAGAACAAGACCGACAAAGGGCGCAAGGAGACGAGGGTATGCTGGGGGTGGAGGGAGAGGGTTTGCAGGCATGAAAAATTAAAAAGGAAGGAAGCAACGCCAATGATCCAAGACATTGGGGAGAGGTAATGAAATGCCGAGGAGTCAACAGAATATAAAAAACAAAGGGCTTTTTTTTGGGGGTCCCACGGGCTGTGGTGTCCCCCCTTCTTCTCCCCCGCCTTTTGTCGCCGAACACATACGCACCGTCCTTGATATCGCAGAGCAGCAGGCGACACACGCACATACGCACCCCTCCTTGTTACCTTGTCATGTTATGATCATTGCGTCGCCTTTTCTTTGTTACCGAGGATTCTCTTTGTTGACTCGTCATCGTTCGCTGTCATTGTTGATGTCCTGTAACTCTATCGTTCCACCTCACATGCCATCATGTCCTTTCTGAGGAGGTTTATTTTTTTTTATTTTGAATAGCTATCCTCCCTCAAACAAACAACTCACCAGCGAAACGAGCGATCCATGATCAATTGAACATCCAGGGCGGGACTCCATTTGTCTCAGCACTGACCCGTGTTCACATCGACATCAACGCTGCTTTGTCTACCTTCCATGCATTCGTCCCTACCCAGCTGGTCCATCCATCCGCCTTCCTCGTCTTCACCCCTGCCTGTTAAAAGGCTAGGAAAACGCTATAATTAGCCGCATAACAAACGTGAAAGAGAGTGATGCCCTATTTTTCTCCCCTCCACTCCCCTCCGCAATAGCGGTAGCAGTAGTTCGCTGAATAGTCCATAGAGTCCCTCCTTTGTGGCAGATAGTCCAGATAAATCTGAAGAAAGGAGGTGGCAATGCCACACGATGTGTTTATTTTAACTCAAGGCGGCGTGCCGGGCTGTGATGTCTGAGAACTTACCAAGGCATCTCTCTCTCTCTCCCTGGCCAGGGTTCAGTATCACCCCCTACCTTCTTTCCAAGCCCAAGAACGATAAGAAATGTTTAAAAACAGCTTTTCTCGCCTGTCTTTGGCTCCGCCTACTTCAGCGTTACCAAGCCTCGTCTTAGGAACATTCGGCTTACCACCACTCGCATGGTACCACTTCCCTTTCCCTCGTCACCGTCCTTCTCTTTCTTCTTTTCTATTGCTGCTCACACCCTCGATGTTATGGGCCCAGATCCTGGGTCATTTTTTTTTTTTGCCACCATCAATTTTTTTACGTGGCAAGACAAAGAACACCTTTTCTTTCCACCTTCCCCTATCTTCTGAGGATACCCCTCCTCAAATCACAATGATGATGATGCGCTAGCTTTGGTTGCTCACATACATTGCGGACAGGACACCCGATGGATCGTTCCCTTTTTCTTTTTAGACTCGCAAATAAACAATGTGTTTCTCTTTCGTTTCCTCTACCCCTCCGCTCCTTTGACAAATTGGATAGATAGACGATAGATTGGTTTTGGGGGCCAGAAAGGGCTGACATATATATTCTGCGCTTCGTACAGGTAACATACATACATACATACATGCATGCATTTAAAATCAACCTAACGTAGGATGTGAGCATAAAAGAAGGGGATAGTGTGATGAAGGGTCCTGGGAACTGCTGCTCTTTACCTGGTCAGGGACCAGTGAACTGGAAACTATTTCTTCCTTCTCTGGTAATTAACGAAAGGCGCCGTCGTTTGTTCCTTCAACTCGTAATTACCCAACCTCTGTTCCATCGATCCTTTCTTTCATTAGCATTTTGCGCCTAAGCACGACGATAAAAGAGAGCCGACACAGTATGATTGACAATTCCTTTGTTTGGCATATGAGTCGAAAAGAAAAAGGCGCTAGGCCGCAATATTGAACCACGAGAATAAGAACTACACTTTAACCATGAGAATAAGAACTACACTTTAACCACTAGACTGATGAGCAATATCCCACGCGAATTGTGAACAAAGGGCAATGATCGAAAAAAGGCACATACGCGTGCTTCTCCTTCTCTCGCCTAGATGGAGCCCACGTCATTCTTTAGTAACCTCCATTCCTCGAGTTCTTAGGCTTGCGAGACGAATTGTCAAACGTGCCATAGGGTGGAGGGTCGCGTGCCAATCCACTGCCAATTCCGCTTCCACTTCCAAGATCCTCATTCAAAAGACCCTCCTGCTGAGCTCGCGCCAAAGACTGTGCTCGGACCTGTCCTGCCAACACCTCATACTGCAGCTGACGCTCCCGCTGCAAACGAGCCTGCTCAATGTGTTGGTCGATCTGCTGAGCATCCAACAGTGCCCTGACCAGGGATCCCTCACCATCATCGCGTTCTCGCTGATATCTCTGCTTGTCGAATCGGTGGAACAACACCGCTGCTCCCAGCAAGCAGACCAACTAAAAAGTATGAGTTCAAGGTGTCCGTAGAAAAACATATTAAAATGTATATTACGACAAATACCAATGTTCACATTGGGCATAACGGCCTTCTCAACACCATACTGCAAAGTAAACCCAAAATACCTCAATGCCTCCAAGAATGGCTCCGATGACGCCAATGGCTTGCAGACTGTCCTGGAAGGCGGTCTGGATGTTATCTCGGCATCCGGTAGTGTAGCGACGGTCAATGGCACAGGTGATGGGCACAGGTCTGTCCAACACATGCTCAAATCCACAGCATTGGAACTATTATCGTTGTCGTTATTTTGAATCGAATTTCAGCAATTAGTTACCAGGATATAACAGTTGGTACACAAAGAATGCGCCCCATCTCTTAGTTCCAACGAGTGATCGCAGTCTCCTTTGTAGCACTAGTAGAGACTTACAAAGCTCTCAAGGTCAAGGATGACACGGGGGTCAGAACGGAAGACCCGGTCCCAGGCATCGTCCAAGACCTCAGTTCCCTGGTTTCGGTAGACGAACGCAATAGCGCCGACAGTGATCTGGAGTGCAATGGCAATCAACAGGATCAACCCGTGTACCCACAGGATCCAGCGCTTTTCGTTCATGACTCCATAGTACCCCAAGAAGGAGACCAGTGAGATTGTGGCGCCGAGGACCAAGATTAGGTGTGGCAGGAGGGTTGAGGTGACAAAGATTGCGGCAGGCGCAAAATAGACAAATGTGCCTATTGGGAAGATGACGAAGAGGTTCCTTTTGTTAGCAAGGTGGAGTGGGGATTCTTTGGTGAAGATAAGATATGGCGAAGGTGGACGAGGAGGTTGCTTTCGCTTACCCACAAAGAGTAGGATCATGCCCACAAGCTACAAAAGATGAACAAGGAAGAAAAAAGACATGGTTAGGATGCTTACGTACCAGAGGCTGGGTTTCTGGGCTCTTACACCACCTCTCAAGATGGCCATGGCAATGAATGAGTAGACAAGGAATCAGTCGGTCGACTTACGAGCGAGAGGAGGTTCAGGACAGCGATGGCGCTTTGTACCGGGCCATAGGACCTTTGCGGTCGAACGATTATGTACATGGTGTTCGTTTGTTTGTTGTGTTGTTTTGTTTTGAATCAGATGTACGAATGAACAATGAGTGTAATGGTGCGGAAAGGGTAAAAAAAAAAAAAAAAAAAAGCGTATTGGGTAAAGTCTTGGCGCTGTCTGTCCTGTGCGCCCAAGCAAAAGCCGCGTGGTCAAAAAATTAGATGTTGTAGTAGATATGTGTGACAGGCAGGAGTCGACTTTGCCCAGCTAGGAGACAACCTGGACGATTAATTTGCTCCGCAGGCTGCCTCACGGTCTCCGACGGTGGTCAGGTAATGGTTGACAATGGTGCGGTCCTTCTTTAGATACATGGGAACCGAAGTCATCTTCTTGGGGTCAAGGTCGATACAGGTGATCTTGTACAGAAACATCTCCTCCTTCACCTTGATCCGGTGACAGGCCTCGTGAAATTCGTTACCAGCATCAACCTCCAGTCTAGGGGGGGACAAAGGTAAAACTAATAATTAGCGCTTTAGTCCATTCATTGGCTCCTATTACGACTTTTATAGATTGAATTAGGTCGTACCTTGACAAGGTAGCATTGGCTGTTGTTGCCACTCCAACTGTCGCAGTCTCTCTCTGAATAGTGATGAGGATGGAGCAATCCTTCAAGGTGGCCGACAGCAAAAACTCGCGTATAAAATGCAGCTGGAGGGGTCCTGGCAACTCTTCCAAATCATCCTCTGGTTCGAACCCAAGCCCTGCCGCGTTATGAGATTCGAATGTGTCCTGATCCTCTGTCATCATTGCATTCATATCCGTCCGGTCCATGAACGCCTCTGCTGTCTCAAGGAACTCCTCCACAGTTGGTTCTGGGAGATGCGCAGAATCATGTTCTATTAAGTATGTGTAGAGTTGATGGACAGTCTCCACATCAAGAGAGTCGAGTGCCTGCTGAAGGCGCCCAAGTCTCCTCAACAATGGCGACTCGACCAAGATCTTTGTCAACACGTCTGTAAGCCTTACGGGTCCAGAATCGTCTTCTTCATAGCCCAATGGGTCATCGCTTTCCATCCACTGTGGTTTCCGATTCTGCTGCTGCTCATGAAGTAGAGTCGTGGCCGATGTTGAGGGTGCCGAGAGGCATTGGGCCATACTCTCTCTGCTCACAGGCTTCTGTATCCCGTCGACGAAAAGGCGGAGGTTATTCTGGGGTGTGTCCACGAGCGCATCCACCGCGTCTTGGACCAAGAGTTCTCTTCCTGAGAATAGGTCGATTGGGCAATACTTGCTGAGAGTACCCTCCTGTCCCGTCTTTATCTTTTGATACTGGTACATGCAGAATCGACACTTGCGTCTCTTGATATCCTGATCCTTGCGGAGAAATGCTGACTTTGTAAGGAACCCCCACTTAGGCTGCGACAATGTGTAAAATATGGAGACGGGATTAGTAGGCATTAAGGTGGACAAGTTGTAAAGTCAGCGTATTACTTTCCACCTAATTGTGCTGTGCTATTAGTACCTTGATCTCGATGGCGACATCTGACTGGCCGGGCGATGGCTTGATGAAACGCGTATGGTCCAGAGCCAGAAAGCCAACTGATTGTGCCAGATCAATGCCCTTTTGACGCCGTGACTCTGGCCGCGAAGGTTCCATTGCCAGGGCAAGCGACGGCAAAAATCCGGGAGGAAGAGCAACCGCAATCTATAATGCGTTTCAGTGAAAAGAGAAACCAACGTATGTCAGCTATGTCATCTCGATAGATTCCGATAACAATGACAAACGACAAACCATAGCGACGGCGTTATCCACCTACGAGCTGCTCAACAAATTCCTGACCGAGGAGAAGACCGATGACCTTAGTGGCAAAGTGGGACTCCATAGTTAGGTCCTTCATGGTCATGGTGCCGTCTCCGAAGTTTGTTCCTTGTAATCCGGTTCCAGGGTCATCGAGTCTATTCGCCTTGCGGAGACGAAGGACTGTGTTTCTCTATGCACAGATAAAGAAAAAGGTACACAGTGCATGAGTATCATGTTGGCACACGGTATAAACAGGCGGGAGATATATATAATCTTTGCCACCAAAAAAAGTATGGCCATGGCGACAAAAGAACATTCAGCATACTAAGTGTGAATGAGGCCCGATGTACTGGAGAACGATGTTTGCGTTTCCTTCGGCCCTGTATTTCCAGTAGTCGACGCGATAGAGTTCAAGGATGGTAGCCATTTTGCCTCGGGGGAGGGACCTTGTGGAGGGCGTTGGGCGTTTGACGGTAGGGTGTAAGAAGGAATGGAAGGCAATGGAACCTGCGCGGCTCATTCACTCAAGATAAGTGTGCAGCAACGGCGTGACTCAGGCTAATTCTTTCTGGTGGATGCTGGGAGCCCTTCTGCCGAAATTCAATGGAGAAAAAAAAACAAAGTCACTTTGATATTTTCTCTTCAGTTTTCTGCTCCATTCGCACCAGTAAACTGATTTGCACTGCGCTGTCAGCTTTCCTCAAACTTTAAAGGATACGAACGGGACCTTTTTTTTCTTTTCTTCTCACGGCTGGTCTTTCTGTCTTCTTTAGTTCTCATTGTTCATTTGTTCATTGTTTATTGTTCATTGTTCATTATTCATTATTCATTCACTCATTCACCACCACTCAACTTGCTGCATCATGACCGCCACTCCACTCCACAACCCCACCCCTCTCTTGCACTCGACCCCTCTCAGTCGCAGGACACAAACGTAAGGCTCCGAGACTTACTCCTACGCAAAAAAAGGAGGCTAGCGGGATGATGCATATTGTTGATGCTTTGCCCTCCTGTTTTCAAATTCTCCTCACCAAGACTTCACTGATGTGATTTCCAGGCACATGCGACATCTGAGACTGAACGCGATACGTCAATTGGACCCTGCCACTTGCTTCTTTTTAGGAATGTCTGGATGAAGCTCGAGAACCTCCAGCCAAGCGGATCCTTCAAGATCAGGTACGTCACACAATTGCTATCAAATGGCGAGAACTACAAGTTAATACCGTAACTGCAGCTGATATTGGCATGGCATCTTCCATTGACGCTGTCGACTTGATACAGAGGTGTAGGAAACATGTGCCAGCAGGCTGTCCAGAAACATGGCGCTCAGACCCACTTGGTTTGCTCATCTGGTGGTAACGCTGGTCTGGCTGTCGCCTATTCTGGCCGTCAGCTCGAGGTTAAGGTCACTATCGTCGTCCCTCTCTCCTGCAGCGAGTTCATGAAGAAGAAGATCCAGGCCGAGGGAGCTTCTGTTGAGGTCGGAGGAGAGGTATGTTGGTCCTTGCAAGTTTGTGCTTGTACGATGGTGAGTTCATTTGGTACATTGCTTTGCATGGCACTAAAAGAAAAGATACCATATCCATTGGAATATGAAATAGGCCTGGGATGAGGCCGATCTCGTCGCACGTACTATGGTTGCCAACGATCCTCATGGGTAAGCAAATGAACATGTTTAAAAGTTGGCCGATCTTTGTCGCCGTTATTGAGCTTAACACTGAAGTCGTGATTGTTGATTGTTGTGTATCAATAGTGTTTACATCCCTCCTTTTGATAATGCTGCTATCTGGGACGGTAACTCGACCATGATTGACGAGCTCAAGGAGCAGATGGGTGGTGCGACTCCAGATGCCATCATCTGCTCAGTCGGAGGAGGCGGCTTGATGAACGGCATCATTCTTGGCTGCCAAAGAGCTGGCTGGGACAAAGGTAACGAGAGCCACTTGGTTTCTTAATCCAACATGATTTCTCAACATGACACACATATCCAATGACCTTGTCGATTCGCTAATGCTGTGCCATTTTTGTTGTTGCATTGCATAGTGCCTGTCCTTGCTGTCGAGACCCACGGCGCCAACTCCTTCCAGCAGTCTGTCCTAGCTGGCGAGCTCGTCACCCTTCCAAAGATTACTTCCATCGCCACCACTTTAGGTGCCAAGAGGGTTTCGGCCAAGTCGTTGGAGCTTAGCATGGTCCATCCTGTCGCTCCTTTTGGTGTTAGTGATGCCATGGCATCAAGCGCATGCTGGCAGTTCCTTGGTATGATTGAGCCCGAGGTTACCATATTATTTCTCTTACTGTTTCAATTCACGAACCTAACTGAGCTGTCCTAACTCATACCTATATCTTTCGTTCCTCACAGATGATCACCGTTTCTTGGTCGAGCCTGCTTGCGGTGCATCCTTATGTATCGCCTACACTCCAGCACTTCTCGCCAACATCTTCCCTCAGTTGAACCAAGACTCCAACGTTGTCCTTATTGTCTGTGGAGGTTCCAACATCAGCTTTGAACAGTTGGTCCAGTACAAGGAGATGTTTGGTGCTGAGGGCCAGCAGGCAACTATTGCTGTTCGAAGTGGAGACCAGATTTTGTTGAAGATGACCACCGAGACTACCCCTCAGAGGGCTATCATCTCCAACTCCTACAAGCCTACGCCCAAGGTCGCTGACGGTCTTGCGGTCTAGAACAGATAGATAGATTGATTTCTTAAGGGCCGCATTGGCCACATATAAATAGTAGAAGATTCCACTTCTTTTCTTGCAAACACACTCACAAGCTTCAGGATTGCAACACAATCAGACGAGACCAACACCAGCAACCAGCACTCCGGACTCTCTGCAACCTTAACGACAACTATAACTACAAGACATCACAGCGCAATGACATCGCCAGGCGGAGGATTGGACATGACAGAGAACCCTTCCAGCTTGATCAGCAAGCGCAAGATTCAGGAGATGGTTGCGCAGATTGACCCAAGCGAACGACTCGAGCCTGAAGTCGAAGACGTATGCGCCCCCTCCCTTCAACCTCTTCCTCATCACCAGCACACACTCGCCTTTCTCTGTGGCGCGTATCGTCGAGAGACCTGTTCAAGGAAGGAGTGTCGAAGCAACTGTCTGACTGATCGCTTGCTTTTTTATTCTGCGATGGAAACAAAACTCTTTGTTACGCCACTGTTTGTTTCCCTAGATTCTCTTGGAGCTTGCGGACGAGTTCATCGAGTCAGTCACCCAGTTCGCCTGCAGACTCGCCACACATCGAAAGTCGTCAACACTGGAAGTCAAGGACGTTCAACTTCACCTCGGTAAGGGACAAAAACACTCTGCGTACTGCCCTGGCGTTACTGCTGTTAGTTTTTTTTTTGGCGCAGCAGAATACAGGAGAAGCATAACGCAGCATATTACTGACGTCCATTTTTGACGTGCTTGCTCAAATGTAATAGAGAGAAACTGGAACATCAGGATCCCAGGATTCGCGTCTGAGGAGATTCGATCTGTACGAAAGTCAACCGTCCCTTCGTCTCACACACAGAAGCTGACTGCAGTCAACAATGCCAAGGCAGCCATTTCGACCACGACCAAGTAACGAAAGCAGTGGATCTGATGTGGAGCCTGCGAGCAGGATGACACGAATGGGGCGGCAAACAGAAGGAGAACCTTTCGTATTATTTTCCTAGTATGACTTTACTTGCATTAACAACAAGCAGGGACCAAGATCAAAGCAGAGGAAGGAGGAAGGAATTGCAACGCAGAGGAGGAGAGGAGGTCGATGTAAAGTAGCGAATTAGCAGAAAACACCAACAAATGTACCACTATTCAACATGTATTCAAAACCATCCAGATTGTAGAACGTTGACCCGGTGTCCGCAGGTGCAGTCACACCAGAGAAAAGTGTGGAGGGAGGGAAAGTGGGGAGGAAGCTTTTTCTTCCGCTCTTTTTCCTTTCTTTTCCTCTTTTCTTTTTCAACTCACACTCATTTACTCCCGTCACAACCAACTCATCCAACATGACAGAAACAACTACCCCCGCTACCCCCAACAAGTTCATTACCGTCTTCTGTGGTGCTTCGCCGTAAGTCAACTGATCACACTCCAGCGGCTCTTTTATTTTCCGAATGGGAATCGACTCTTAACACGACATTGCTCCGTTCTTCATTCGACTTCTAGTGGTCGCGATCCCGAGTACGTCGAAATGGCCAAGGGTATGTTGTTTTATGAGCCTTCAATGCTCCCAATGTTGTCTTTTGACAGCTCGAGAGAGGTGTTACATGTATATACATCTTACCAACTGGTGAGAGAATATTTTGGGGAGAAGAGAGAATTGATGACAAAATACTGACAACTTGCAATTGTGTGCACAACCTACTTTTTATTTTTTCCTTCAATTGCTCTAGATCTTGGACGTGAGATGCTCAAGAGAAACTATGGTCTCGTCTATGGTATGCTCATTATCCAGAGAACAATGCATTCGCTCTTTTCCACAAGTTGTCATTGTGCATGCTTATCAAACTAACTCCAACTTTTTTATTTCTTTTCCACTCTCTGATCAGGCGGTGGATCATATGGATTGATGGGTGCCATTGCTCAGACCATCCACGAAGGTGGTGGAAAGGTCATTGGTGTCATCCCCGAAGCCCTCAAGAAGATTGAGCGTCCAGGTACGACTTTTCTCTTTATGTTGTCCGATGACATGCCACAGTCGTAACCTGTTTGTGCTGACTGTGCTACCATAATTACATCTGAGATGGTGGGGTAGGGGGAGTGTGTCATAGACGCCTTTCACTGCGCCTCTGAAAATTCATGATCTGACCCTGAACTTTCTATTCTCTTCGTTTTCTTCCCGCTGGATACATTAGAGCTCGGAGGCGATGTCAAGAACGACCAAGTGTTTGGCGAAGAGATTGTCGTCAAGGATATGCATACCAGAAAGGCGCTGATGAACAAGCTGGTACGTTTTCAAATTGGTTTTCCGACTCCGTCTACGCAGTCATTGAAGGCTTCAGGAGTGGAGGGGAAAGAGGGAAGGGAAAAAATTGTTTAGTTTGCTTGGTTTGGCTGACTCGAAAGTGATATACATTTCTATTTGAACCATGCTTAGTGCGACGGATTCATCACAATGCCTGGTGGTTATGGAACCATGGAGGAGCTCCTCGAGATCACCACTTGGTCTCAGCTGAGCATCCACACCAAGCCCGTCATGCTCTTCAACATGAAGGGCTACTTCGAGTACCTCCTCAAGTTTATCGAACACTCCATCGAAGGTTTGTTCTCTTTACATTCGTCAATTCCACTTGTTCATACCTGATCTACATTACACTGTTGTGCTAACTTGCTTTGGTGTCGCTGTCGAATTCTGTAAAATAGAGAAATTTGTTGTCGAATGGAGCGCAGGTGTTATGGTCGCAGGATCGACTGCACAGGAGGTTCTTGATAAGTTTGAGGTTTACAAGCCCCCCAAGTCCCGCTTCGAGCTCAAGTGGAACGACGTCGAGACGAGCCAGAACTTTGTGTAGACAGGCACAAGGGTGCCGTTATGCTGCATTCCCGTACAAATAGACAACTACATGGATGCCGTGATTAATTAAGGGCTGCCATATTTGTCAGCCCTGACCTGAGGCAAATAAAAAACAGGAGGACCTCATCTTTTTGTTCACACATCCTCACCTTCTTCCCCATCTACAACCCAACACACTCTTTCACACTCACCATGCCCGTATGTTACACCTTTCCTCACTCGCCACTTTTTTTGTGTGATACAGGAACAGTTGTTGTCGACCTTTCGCAACTCATTACACGCATGTACTCGATGTAACTCTGCTTACTGACAACCTTGTTGTCATCTCCTTCCCATCTCTCTCATTATTTTCCTTCGATTCATTCGCACGCGCTAGGTTTACAAGTACGATGTTACCATGACCTGCTCTGGCTGCAGCGGCGCTGTCACCCGCGTCTTGACCAAGCTCAGTGGTAAGGATATAGCCTTTCTGTCTTTTCTCGATATAATCGCTGGACGTGCTCATGGTACATTGGAAGTTGAAACCGATGGATTAACACCGTCTGGACAATTGCTTATAGGCGTCAATTCCTTCGATGTCTCCCTTGAGACCCAGAAGGTCACCGTCGATTCTGACACACTTTCTGAGGTGAGTTAATTACTCTTGTGTTTTTTCTTTGCAATGGAGTCTGCGGAACTGGGGTAGTGGAAAGGAGGGCGGTTTACTATCCCCAACACTACACCATGTTCCAAACAAGGAGACGCCCTGTCAAATGTTGTCAGGAAGAGGAGAAGATGGGGAGAGTGAGGTGGATAAATGACATTTCGCTGAGAGCTTGTTATCCGATTACTAATATCTTGCTGTCCTTTCGTCTTTTTGACAACCTATTAGCAAGAGATCCTTGAGAAGATCCAGAAGACTGGCAAGGCTGCCAAGATTGCTGCCTAAACTCATCTGACACTTTTTGCTCTCCTGTCACTTTCTCTATCATGTATCTATCGCTCTCCTTTTTTTTTGCAAATGCAATAATAAAAAAGAAAAAAAAAAGAATGTCAAAAAGGCGTTGATGAGTACCGTTGCGGTCCCTGACAGGTACATGTCCCGTGATATTAATGCGAAAGCCACTCAAGCCTTCCCCCTTCTTTTTCAAGGACAGAGTGCAACCATCCGATGCCATTTTCTTCCCTTCTCTTTATTGCAGCCACGGACCGCTTCTTTCTGCGCCAACATATCATCATTAATCATGCTTGACCCACCTAAAGCGACTCTCCTTCTGCTGTTCGTCCACGGCTTCAAGGGCCATGACCACCGCACCTTCCTCGACTTTCCCACCCGCATCATGACCATCTTCACAAACGCAAAGGCAAACCTCGACGTCGAGTCCATCGTCTATCCACAATACGACACTCGCGGTGACTTCAACGTACCGTGCCAGTTTTTTTGTTCTCTCTCGCAAATGCGCAATAACCTGGGAAGGGGGGGGGGGGGTTTTTTGAGATGGCATTGCGCAATGACAGGCACACAACTCTGACACTCACTCTCATCTCAATTAATAGGCGGCGGTTAAGACGTTTGCAGAGTGGACACAGGAGCAGGTCAAGAGCCGTCAGGAATTCAACGAGAAAGTGTACAAGAAGCTGGAGGAGGACGGACAGTCAAGCGGGAATGTTCCTCCGGTCTATGTGTGCTTCCTCGGCCACTCCATGGGAGGCCTTGTCGGTAAGTGTACCAGAATTCGTTCCTCATGCTTGAAAGTTACCCCTTTCTGCTTCTGTTTTTCGAAGAACCGCCAGGTCTTGACCGTCGGCAGTAAATAAAGCAGGTTGAAAGCCCTGTTTCTTGGCAACAAAAAAAAGCCAGACACCCACATGGCAAAATCATTTGAGGAACTCTCGAAACAGAACAGTAACCATGGAACTTTTTTTTTCTTCTTTTTCTTGGAACTATTTTAGCGGCTGATGCTGCACTATATCTGGAAAAGCTTCCACAAAAGTCGCCCGTCGTTGGAATCTTGGCATTCGACACACCCTACTACGGCCTGAACCACTCCATCTTCACACAGGCAGCCTATGAGCGAGCGGCAGGATTGGCGCAAAAGGCGTCTGGTGTCTATTCTCTCGCTTCGGCAGCCTACTTGCCCGCCGCTGCAGCTTGGAGTTCAATGTCGGCATCTAAAACAGGAGCAGCGGGAACAATAGGAGCAGCGGAAGCAGTAGGAGCAGCGGGAGCAACAGCGGGAGCAACAGCGGGAGCAACAGCGACAGGGTACGACTCTAACACTCGGAGTCGGAATCAGACGTCGTCTGCAGCAACAGTGCCTGGGGGATTTAGCGCTGCGTCTTTGTTCTCGTCAGCAGCGGTCAAAACGGAGAAGAAGGAGCCAAAGCCTGCTAGTAGTGGATGGGGCTGGGGATCGATTGCACTCGGCATTGGAGCTGCTGTGGCTGCGACTGGTGCGGCCGTTGTTATCAACAAGCACATGAACGGCGGGATGCAGTACGTGACCTCGCACATCCAGTTTGTGGGCATCCTCTGGAACAGTGTCCAGCTCAAACAAAGGTAACTTTGCCAAACATTCAGTGGACAACTGTTATTATTTGTGTGGAAGTACAAGGTCATGTTGGCTCATCCTATCTTTTCAATTACTCACTTTACATAGGGTGGATGATATTCTTCGATTGCCAATTGGATTCCACTGTTTTTATACCCGAGTCCGCATCCCTGCGGGCTCAACCAACAATTGGACGTCTGGTTCAAGGACATTTGTCGAATTGACATCCATTTCGGACGTGACGGAGCCATTCTTCTCTGCGCGCGAGTGTTCTGGTCAGGATGAGATTGAGGCCCATATGGAGATGTTTAACCCAGCCAAGAATTTTGATTACTATCCTATGGGCGAGGAGACTGTCAAACGCGTCCGAGTCATGGTAGATGAGGCACTCAAGCGGGAGTCCTAGGAGTCTTACAAATAAAAAAAAGGCATCACGGAGTAATTGACAAGGGTCCTTGACCCATACAAAAATAATAAGGTATTGTTTGGTGTTTACACGGAGTAGATGCTGAGCCATGATTTGCTTATGGAAATAGACATATTTTTTACGTCCTTTTCTTGCGATCGCCCTTTGCCATGTCTAAAGCTACAGTGGTTTTTTTTTTTAGTCCAATTGATCGCCTGTGTCAGGTTTGTTGACAGGATGAGCGATAAGAGGATGGAGTATGTGCAACAGAGGCAACCCATGCGGGGCGGATAAATGTGTATCAAGATACGGCGGCGTAAAACCCAAAAAATGCGCGCACTCCGAATTTTATTTTGGCTTTTTGCGTATCCCTTTTCCTTGACTCACCCCACAACCACCTGTATCCTGTATCGTCGTTGGTCCAGTTGTCGCCCAGTCGTCTATTTCCCACCCTTTTTGGGATTCATAATGACAGTTTTTGTGTTTATAGACCTATTCTAATCGCGCCTGCCTGGGGTCTTTTGTTGTTCATTTTTCTTTTTGGGGCGGCAAGCAGAACGAAATAGAAAACAAAAGATGCTCCTGTTCATGGTATCGATTCGAAAAGGCGCATTGGTCACGAATGTGGCTCAGGTCCTGGTATTTAAATCGATGAGGAAGGGCCATGGTTTCATACTTTCCATCATTCAAGCTTCTTTCGTTCCTTTTCTTTTCACTTTCTACTTTATACTTCACCCAATACTGCATCCACCGCATTCTCACTCTCACTTTCACTTCTATTTCACTTAACTTTTTGTGAACAACATTGAACAAAACATACGCAGTCAAAAAGGACAACGGCAAAAATAAAACCATCCACCCTTCATTGCAAGCCATGGCTACTACAACTCAATCAGCCGATCGTCCATCAGACACAATGAACCGCAACAACACAACCAACAGCGAACTCGACGAAAAGATTAGCATCGCAACTCTCTCCCCAGATACAAATCCATTAGATACGATTGAGAATCCGTCCAAGATTGAAAGGAACGAGTCCAAAGACCTTGAGGCAAGTTTTGGCAGTGGCAAGGGACAGGATGACGATGAATTACCAAAGGTTCCAATGACCTTCCCGGATGGTGGGTTTGGATGGCTGGTTGTGTTGGGCGCATTCATGATCCAGTTCTGGTAAGGGGAATGCATCTGTTCCTGAATTTTTATTTTGTTTGTTTTGCTCTTTGTGCCATCCCTCCCTGCTAATTTTTCTCGGTAATCCCCCCTCTACTTTTTTACTCATCCTTCCTTCCTTCTTCAATAGCTGCTTCGGGTTTAACTTCTCATGGGGCGTATACCAAGAACACTTTGTCAACGAAAACGTCTTTCCAGGCGCGGTACTGACAGAAATCTCATGGGCAGGGACCATTGGTGCAGGAAGTGTGTTTATTACAGGACCCTTCCAGTCGAGTATGATCCGACGGTTTGGAACCCGACCCATCATTGCTACAGGGATTGTTATCAGTGCCTGCGGGTTGGTTGCAGCGAGCTTTGTGACGAAGGTTTGGCAGTTGTATTTGACCCAGGTAGGCAAAAGCAGAGGGAAAAAAGTGTTATGAGTGAGGAAGAAAAAAGTTTGTTGGGTGGTTTTTTTTTTTTTTTTTTTTTAGAAATGAAGGGTATGTGGAAGATGAGAAGGGGGGGAAGGAGGAGATCAAGCGATCGATCTGAGCTCTATTCATCCACCTTACTCCTGACTGACTAACTAATTTTACCTGTTTTTTTGTGTTTGCTTCTTGCGTATCGGCAAAAGGGACTCATGTTCGGACTTGGCGCAGGTATGTTGTTCCTCTTTTGTTCATCTTGCCATTTTTTGTTTGATTGATGGATCGCATTGGCCGTTTGGACATGCAGAGTGCAGCAAACGCCCTTGCTCTAACACTCTGCCCGCAGCTTTTTCAGGAGAGGTTGAAGGAGGAAGAAAAAAACTCACTCGTGTCGCACGTTGTCCTTTTTTTTTTTTTTTTTTTTTTGTTGGCGCCTGTCATTAAGGTTCTTGAATGTGCACACCCCTATCCACAAAACAACTCATTCAGCCGAGACTTTGTTGACTAATCAACCCCCCCACCCCCCCAACTACAACCCATGCACATCTAATAGGAATGGCCATCCTCCCAGCACTAACGGTCCCCGTCCAATGGTTCGACAAAAAGAGAGGTTTAGCAACAGGAATCTCGGTCGCAGGATCAGGAATTGGAGGTGCTGCATTGGCGCCCTTAAACCGGTATCTAATCAGTCGCCTTGGATATGAGTGGGCTCTACGGATCATGGCGATCATGTTCGTTGTGGTCGTGTTTTCGGTGTTGCCTTGTATCCGGACGCGTGTTCCACCTATCAAGAAGGGTGGTCCGTTGTTTGATTTGTCGCTTTTTAAGGATCGCGGTTTTACAACCATGTACTTCATGGTAAGTGCCACAGACTGCTTCCAGGAAAAAATAGAAGGCGTGTTGCGGATAAACGAATGATCATTGGTAACTAACGCGATCTTTGTTTTATTCAACATGTGTAGGGAGTGCTGGTGACATTTGGATACTTGACACCCGTGTACCTCCTCCCAACCTACGTCGTCAAATACGGGATGGACAAAACTACAGGCGCAACACTCGTCGGGATCTTTTCAGGCATCAACGCTGTCTCTCGAATCATCTTGGGCATCGCGTCCGACAGATATGGACGTTTTAATGTGCTTTTCACCTGTACATTCCTGGGTGGACTATCCTGTTTAGTGTTTTGGCTGAACGCAAAGACGTTGGCGATGTCGGTGGTGTTTGTGATCTTTTATGGCGTCAATGGAGGTGGGTTTGTGAGTCTGTTCCCTGTGGTTGCGGCTGAGATTGTGGGGGTTGAGAAGTTGGCTGCTGCGGTTGGGATGTTGTACTCTAGCAACCTCTTTGGTAAGTTTCTTTCTTGGCTTCTTTTGAAAGGGATGTTGACTATGGTTATTGAAGCACATACAGAAAAAGATATACTAAACATATGTCGTCAATGTGACGGGATAAAATGGAATAGGTAACATGCTGGGAACACCTATTGCGTCGGCGATTGTTTCGGCGTCGGGTGGGTCGTACCATTGGGCGATTGTCTTTGCGGGTGCGGTGCCTATGGTAGGTGCCTTTTTGTTGCTTTCCTATCGACTGTCAATTGAGCCCCGTCTTTTTGTCAAGATCTGAGCTTGAGCAATTGAAGATACTCGTATTTTGTAGTAGTGAACATCGGTAATGGTCGTGTTGTCCTGTGAATAAATGAGCATAATCCAAAAACAGGGTTCTGTCGCGTGGATGGAGTGGCACATTGCACGTGATGGTTGGACCCCAAAGAAAAAAAAAGTAATGAAAATCCTTTTTCTCAAGAAAAGAGCGATGCTTCTCTTCCTTTTTCTTATTCTTCTCTGCTCGCTCTTCTCCGTCCCCGCTCATTTTTTCACATCCCGTTCGTTCCTTTTCATCTCATCTCTGTATCTACTCATACCCCGTCTACAATCACCGCCGCCACCAACGAACAGACCCTCTTTACTTTCACACAGACCCACTCGAACAAATACTCTCCTCTCTAGCACACACACTGGAAACCCGGACCCTGTCGCAATACCCCCCCTCTTACCTGCAAGAACGGGAACCCACATAACAACACGCACACAGACACACATACATACAACAGCATGCCACCAAATATAGGAGTTACCCGGTACACTATCGGCATCCTCGCCCTCCTCTCCGTCGTCTGCATCTGGGTCTCCTCCAGTTTCCTCATGAACGTACGCCCCTTGTCTTTTCTGCGCAATGGTCGTTTTAGTCATGCTTTTCTTTTTTGTGTACTCCGGATGAGAAGAGAATCAAACCAACAGCAGCTGATCTGCAGTCTTTATTTTTCCCTTGATTTGTCTCTCCCCTTGCTATCATGTCTCTGTGCCTATCACGCCATCGAATGTGCGAATGACTCCCTTTTTGTACGACCATGATGTGCCTGCGCCCGTCTTGACTGCTCTTTGCTTCCACCGCGCTCTCCTTTTCATTGCGGGCCATTCAGAATATCTTTGCAGGGCAAAATTACAACAAACCCTTCTTTGTCACATATGTCAACACCGCCTCCTTCTCATTCTACCTCCTGGGTCCGCTCTTCCATCATTGGCGCGAGTCCTGTGCTGGTGGCCTTGGTCGTGGTTATTTCTGGACTAGATTCTTATCGCGGTCCGAAAAGCAAATGTCGACTGTGACCGAAGAGTCTTCTAAGCAACCATCATCCAACACCAGGTATGAGCCCACAAAAAGGGGAAACAATACTTGCTACCTGCAGATCGAAATGACCAATGCGTGCAAGACAAAAAGACGCCTTTATTAGGGGCTCTCACGTTATTATCGACTGTCAGACGATGTACAAGGTGCGACATGCTGCGTCCTTTTTTCCATTTTTTCCAGTCTAACTCGTGTCTGTCTGTCTGCGCATGTCAATCATGCTTTTGAAAATAGGACATACGGGACTATGGGTCAGCCAGGGTCAGGAATTGTAGTAGGGACACCATCTTCTGGAGCAGGAGCATCTCAATCAGATGCGGCGTCAACTCTGGAAGAAGGAGGTTCATTGGCATTAGCACAGGATGATCAGCCATTGACCCATCGGGAAATCGCAGAGCTCAGCTTTACCTTTTGCATTCTCTGGTTTGCTGCCAACTGGGCGACCAATGCCTCTCTCGCCTATACCACTGTGGCCAGTTCGACCATTTTGGCGTCAATGTCAGGATTTTTCACCCTCGCTATCGGCGCAATTCTCAAGACGGAATCATTCAGCACGCTCAAATTGCTTGCAGTCTGCGCCAGTGTGGCGGGAGTCGCCCTTGTCAGTGAGTCGGATCGGAGCGAAACGAACGACTTGCTGCTGGACCCCAAGGCACCGATTGCGCCCCTTTTTGGAGATTTTCTTGCGCTGATATCGGCCTTGTTTTATGGATGCTACACTGTCCTTCTCAAAGTCAAGATCCAAAGTGAGAGTCGAGTCAACATGTCCCTCTTTTTCGGATTCGTGGGACTTTTCAACCTTGTGCTGCTCTGGCCCATGTTTGGAGTGCTTCACTGGACAGGAATCGAGCCCTTTGAGCTGCCTGCTGACACAAAGATCGTTTGGATGATCGGAATTAACGCCATCGTTGGCACCTTTGTGTAAGGATGCATATCTCACTTTTTCTTTTACACAGATAACTCCCGAGCTGTCAATGCGTTGAAAGGTTGAGCTGCAACTGCCCATCATCCATCTCACTAATACTTTTCTATGTTGCTACTATTGTCCTTCTTGTTGATTATTAGTTCGGATTACCTTTGGCTTCTTAGTATGTTGATGACTTCACCATTGGTGGTGACTCTTGGTCTCTCGCTGACGATTCCTTTGGCGCTTTTGGGAGATGTGGTTGGATATGGCCGAGTTCTTGGAGCTGCTTATTGGGTGGGAGCAGGATTGGTACTTGCGGGATTCTTTGGAGTCAACGGCGTGGCTTTGAGCGAGAGGGATGAAGCGGAGCGAGAGGAAGAAGTGGCGATCCGATCCGCAGCGTCTTGTCCGACAGCCGCTGTAGCCGCTTCAGCCCTTGTTTCTGAGGAACGCCATGGACATGAGCGCTCTATTTCACGCGACGAGACAGAGCGCCTTTTGCGCCCAACTTCGAGTCGCTGAGATTTTTCGCATCCCCCCTCTTCTTTGCGCTAGGGGTTCTCTTTTTTTCCTGTAAACAACTGCCTCCTTTTTTGTACCATAGATCCCACACTTGATAATAATAATCCTTGCACTCTTTTTATCATCTTTCTTTGTTTGTTTGTTTGTTTCTTTTTTCTTGCCAAGGACTGAAGGATCGGCTTGATGTGACCATACCGCAGGGCCAAATCAGGTTTTGGGAAGTTGGGAAGAAGGGGAGTGGATGGACAGATATTGCCCCACAGGATCGTGCACGTCCACGAAGCCGGTTTGAATGGCACGTGCTGGAATGGAAAGAATGCACTGCTCTCATTTTTCCAGCCTTTGTTCCTTGCCTGTGAAGTCATTCCTTTTTTTCATTTCTTTTTGTCCATCCCCAACCGAATTCAACTTTCACCTTCTCATCACATTTCAGTCCTCACTTCCTTTTCAAAGCAACCTCTACGTCACCATCATGTCAGAAGCGGTGGCCGCGCTCTTCTCTCGACCAAAGCCCTCAGCCGGGCTAGGACCAGGACGACTCAACAGCTCGTCTACTCTCCCAAACCTCATCACCCAACAGCCTGCCCAACGACCTGGCATGACCACATCCCTCGCCACCATGACCGCCATCTCATCACAGACAGACATCCACATCACCTCACCTACCGGTACACGTGCCTCTGGAACCTTCTCCACCACAAGCAGCATAAGCACATCAACAGCATCGTCTTCCACGTCGTCCCTGATTGCCACGAGTCCGACTGACCTCCACCACTCGCCTTCGAAACCCCGCACCAACAGCAACGGTACTAATACCAGCGCTGCAGCCCAATTGCTGTCGAGGGTGTCCGAGGAGATTAAGCAGCGACCATGGCGTCCTTTGCCCGATAAACGATTACAGGTTCGCGACCCTTTCTTTGAAAGCCTTGTTCTCTATCTCTTTAGCTCTCATTGGACTCCTTGACCGATCAAAGTGACAAAAAAGAAAACGATGCCCAACAACTCTATCAAGGAAAAATGTGCTGATTTATATCGACCAATGGTGGGTCTTTTCTTCCTGTTTTGCATTAGATCAATGTTAAGAGGATTGATCTCAACCAGATCCTCCAGCGACCCTATGTCATCTTGACGCTTGGAGGTATAGTGATCCCTTACCACTTTTCCTCCTTCCCTCCTTATTTCTCTCCCGAAGCGCAAATCCGCTTAGCCGATGATGATGGAATTGTTCCTTCCAATGAAAATAATATGATTGACACGAAACCTTGTCCCACCTCAATTTGACTTTTCTTTAGATCAATCGTACCAGACATCGACATCGGAACGAGAGCATGGGGATTGGAACGAAGGGTTCGAGTTCCGCGTCACCTATCACGCTCAGCTCTTTGACAGTCTTCAGGTACACCCTCCCTCGATGATCAATCCCTCATTTCGCTGCTCTATTGGCATCACCAGTAGAAGGTTGCATTGGAGATGGATCACGCTTTTACTGACAATCGTTGATCTCTCATGTTACTAGCTGGATCTGTACGACAGGAGCATTTTACTCCGGGATAGGCATGTCGGACGAGCAGAGATCAAACTTTCGCACTTGCAAGGATTACCAGAGTCATTCACCAGGTGAGCTTTGTGGCATGATCGGGGTCCGATGGCGAATAAAGGGGTCCTTTCTTGGTCGTCCTCCCTCTCAAAGATTGAATGCATACACAATGTAATTTTGCATATCACTCATGTTCACGAGACTCACACCCATTCACCCCCTTTTCTATTCATCCTCTTCTTTGCTTGATAGTTTTTATGAAATTTGGGACAGGACGAAATCTGCTAGCACAATGTCGAACCTCGCAGGCAAAAAGACGCTCTCATCCAACATTGGAGCCATTCAACTTCGAGTTCACTATCGCTATCAAAAGCCACCACAGCCAGACGAACATCCGGAACCGCCCATGTCGATTGTACCAGCACCCAGGATATCGAACGAACTGGAGGTGGATTCCGATTTTTTGGCACAACTTTCGGAGGCGATGATGGACGACGCTTCGGACACGAGGTTTCAAAAGTATGAGGACCCCGAGAACAAGGAGCCTAGAACGAATCAGCATGCGGAACTCAAGTTTGCAACAGTGGATGATGACGAGACGGTCGTCCAATATCCTATTCTGGACATGGTTGGGTCATGGACTATTGCACCTGAGACTCAAAAGGTCGTAAAGGCGGTCATTCGAATTGCATCTGCCTTTGTAAGTTCATCTCGTTCAGTTGGGAGGAATGAATGTCAAGTGATCGGCTGACTTTTTTTTTTTTGACTAATACTATGCTCACGAACATTCTTCAACGGACACTAATATTTTGTGGCATCTTTTCGAACTTTGTCGTTGGTCATGGTTATTTTTTAGGGGCAAGGCTTTGAGTTGACGAACGCACAGATTTTGACAGGGGTCGTTGTTCTCGAGAGGTACTACCGGGACGTGACCAGCGAGAGAATAGACACCGGACTGGCTACATTGGAACAAGTCGAGCATGCTGGTTACTTTTGGCGATTCTCCATGGCTTCCTATGTAAGTCACCGAGATATGCTATGTGTTCACTGTGTTCTTACGGGTTTTGCTTATTGTTTGGAATACCAGTCGTTAACTTATTATCCTTTTAAATGATAACTACCGCTTTAGGGCTATGCAGGAATTAACTTTGTGGGCAAAGGAAACGGGATCATGAAGGACTTGATCCGTTGGCGGTCGGACCATGCCTGCGCAATTGATTTCCTTCGCATCCCGCAGGAGGACTTGCTGGCCTACGAGTTCCATGCCTCCAAGGTCTTCCACCCCAGTTACTATGTTGCCCTGGATCGCGCCACCAACTCGATCGTCCTAGCTATTCGAGGCACAATGGTAAACCATGTTAACGATCACCTTGTGCATATCTCGTGAGAACAGTAACGAACAATGTGCTAACATCATTCTATGATTAACGCGTTAAATATTATAGAGCGCATTCGATACACTTACAGATCTGGTTTGCGAGTACCAGCAGTGGAAGGGTGGTCTTGTTCACGGAGGCGTGAAGACATCGGCGGATTGGTTCATGACCAACCTTGTCCCTCAGCTTGTTGCCTACATCTCCAAGCATAAGGTCTCGGCATTGAACATTGTTGGGCACAGTCTCGGAGGTGGTACAGCGTCGATCTTGACTATGATGCTCTTGGACCACCAGCATGAGTTCCAGTCGTTGATGAACGGTAACTTCAGAATTCAATGCCACGCGTTTGCACCGGCTTGCACCGTCTCCAAGGAACTGGCGGATCGGTACAAGGACCATATCCGTTGCTATGTCTATGAGGATGATATTGTCAGTCGATTGAGTTATGGAAGCATGATGGATGTCAAGACCATGATGTTGGGAGCTGTTGAGGCAGCGGCACATATGGGGTTGACAAAGGTGTTCCTGACGGGAACTGATGAAGATTGGAAACCTACGCTGGAAGCCGTCTCTGAAGTCCGCAAGCAGATCAAAACTGCCACCATTCAACACCCAAAGGTACGGAAACGAAATTTTTGACACTTTTTTTTTTGTTTCATGAAAAAGTGGGACCATGAGGGTCTTCTTTCTTTCTCTGACTTGCAAATTTGAACGTGTTATCTGACCATTACATTCTTCCACTTGGTGATAGCTTTATATTGCGGGAGCAGTGTTCCAGCTGTGGCGGCACGAGAATGAACTGGACTGTGTAGAGATGAAACCGGCATCGAATCGACTATGCGAAGAGGTGCTGATCAAGTCAGCAGCGCTGTCTCAGCACCTCCTTGGCATTCTGGACAATGCGTTCCCTAAGGCGCGCGAGTCCAGTATGATGATACCCTCCAACCAAGCTGTCTCTCCCACGACCTTGTCCAAAGAGAAGACTATTCGGCTTACCCGGAAAAAGACCAATTAGATAAAATGTACAAGTGATATAGAGAAATAAATTATGATACAAAAAACAAGTGAGCCGTTGGTTGTTCGCCAGGGGTCGTGTTTATTTCTTTTTTTTTTCGATGTTGAAGGGAGGGGAGTGGTTGGTTGCAAGGAGATGCCATTTAGTTGGGGGTGGTGGCACAGTTCTGGTTCGTCACCGTGGCTGTACAAAAACAAGGGAGAGGGGTGAAAAATTGGATTAGTGAATTGAATGGAAGCAAGCAGACATGGTTTTCGATAGGGTGTACAAGATGGGGTGGATGAGATATCTGGGCGGGGGGGGGGTTTACTTACCAGCCTGGCAGAACAGGTTGTTGCCGTCTCCATTCTGGGCGCTGACAGTCGTACTGCCCGGAATCTATCCCAGAAACAAAGGAAAATAATTATCGAATGATTGATGAGTTTTCTTTGTTATCACATAGAAACCCTCGACGTAAACCCAATGTGAGAATACATAGATAGGGCAACGCTGGGGCAAACAAATAAACCAACCAAAAAAAAAAAAAAAAAAAAAAAAAAACTTACGTTAACGACCGTGCCATTATAGTTAACACAAGCATGCAACGTCTTGGGACCTGCAGCGATAGGGCAGTTATACCCACTCTCTGCCAAGACGGTACACAAATCCGCACTAAAGGTGCTTGTAATTCTGCCCTGGTATTTGACGAGGATATTGAGCCTGGCGTCTTGAATGATGGGTTTCTCAAACGTGCCGGTCAAGGTTCCGCAGACCTTTTCGCCGATACATGCCCATTCGCCGTCCATCTTGAAGGTTGCGTCAGGTACTTGGCTAGAAGAGTCGGCGCAGTTTGTCCAGTCGAGGGCGGTCGCCTGGGAGGTGACGGCGAGGAGTGCGGCGGCTGAGGCGAGGATGGTGGTGAACTTCATGGCGGATGAGGCTGTGAGAAAGCGTGGGATGGGGGTGGATGGGGTGAAGAGGAGGAGGAATGAGGTGATTAAGGATAATGAAAACAAGGAAGCAGGCAAGGTGGTTCTTTATGTACTTGAGATATTTGAACGATGGGTCAATAGCAAAAGCATACGATGGGGCCGACAATGAAGGTACGAATGGCATGTGGGAGTTGAAGGACTGAGAGGCATACTATATCTCAAAGGTGTAAGTGAAGACGCTGATACATTTTTGTTCTGTGGTAGACTGTGAGTGCCTCTCCTCCAGTACTGCACTACTAATGCTGCATTTTTGTGTACAGCATAAACTATGAACACAACAAAGAAAAACGAGTTGAAGCGGATACTTGTCGTAAACAAAAAGCCCATGGGTTCAAACAACCATTACAGAAAATACATTGTAGTCACCGATCTTTGTCTTGCGGGTGAATCCCTCTACGAAAGTGCTCACAAAGGAGAGAAATGGAACTGTGGAGAACCGAGCCAAATTTTGTGTTCAACAGGCACTCTCAGAGGAGAAAAAGGTGTTTGCGCTTGTGGATGCTGCATGTGCATTCCGTACAGAAAAAAAAAGTGGGCTGTTGTCTGTGTTGAAAACCTAGAAGGAATACGGTTCCAGATCGCTGAGAAGAAGGAGAGTCTTGTAAGTTTGTTGTACAACCTTTCTGTTAAAGGCATTTGTCATGGTCATTATTTTCGCGGATGTCTTGTTGAGTGCTCTCTAATCAACATTTCGCGGGTCCTGAAAGAGCGCGTGTGGCTATGTTCAGGTGTCCATGGATCAGGTTAAATTTGATGGAGTCGCGTTCGATTGGTCTCACCTGCCAATGGGGGCGAAGACTATTCGGAAAACCCGTGCGAATAAAGAAGAGGGTTACGTCCCAATTGTCACTCCAAGGATATTTATCCGTAAACAAAAAAAATTGAAAATCGAAGACGAGGTGAGGAGGGGACAAAGTACAATGAGGCAAGCATGTTACAAATAACAAAGTAAGCGCAATTCTTGCTGGGCTATCTTTTGTGTCACTGCGTGCCTGCCATGCCTAAAAAAAAACACGACAGCCCTATTCTTTTTTCACATTGAGAATTTTCTCTCTCTCCATATTTTTGTTTGCTGCATGCGTGTGTTAGACTTTGCTGTCATGAAGCAAATATCCGCTGGTGTGCAAAGTCATGCAACACTGTGGAAGAATGAGAAGGAATTAATTATTCCACTTGCTTTTTTTAGTTCCGTGGTAGGAGACAGGCGGATGAAGTAGCGCAGAGTTTTGTTTCTTAACACTGCTTGTTCATAGTGGGTGTAAAAAGAAAGAAACCCCAAGGAAAGTAATGGTTGGTGAGTTCGATGAAGTAGAACGGGATTGTTGTGTTTCATGAGTGGATGCTAGGAAAAAACGCGTGCCAGACAGGCAGGTGACCTTGGTGCCACTTCGTTCGTGATCTGAATGGTGATGTTGGTGGGGACCTAATACGACGAGAAATGAATGTGGATGCTATGGTTTTAATAACCTTCACTATCGCGCTCATTACATCTTATGCGCGAAAGTACGGAAGGGTAAAAAAACGCAGGACTTAGGTTGACGATGTCTATGTTCCAATCATTGATACAGGCAGTACAAAGCCTTGGTACCGAGAGCAATGGGACAATGAGATCCCTTCTCCATCCTGACCTGGCAGAAATCGCGTCTGTAGGTACGAACATCGCCTCAGAGATACTTAACCGTAATGTAGAGCTTGGCTCCACGGACGATAAGAGCGGACAAGATGCCGGCCTAGGTTTCTCACACGTCCTTCTTGGCGCAGGGCAAGTCGCCGGTCATTTGGAAGGCGGGCCTAGGAGGTCAGCGCGGCTTGTGGCACAGCTGGTCTAGCTGACCGTCTAAGTCTACAAGGAAATGGCGAAGAGGGCAACGGCGGCAGGGGCGATGGTAGTAAATTTTATGGTGTTTTTATTGCTGTTCGTTGGGGGGATAAGGCAGGAATTAGAACATGACAGTTTTTGTGGGTGCTCATATATGAAAAAATGCATGCTTCCGTGCTGAGGAACACTAAGAAGAAAAAACGTGGATTGGATCATTCTTCCGGATGTATTGTTCAATGTAGTGCGTATATGTCTGATATACATGCATTCGATAGTCTTCTCGCTTGAATCTAGGTTTTCCTTTCCGGCGCGCCTGCTTAAAAGGGTCAGAAAGAAACCGCATGCGACTCCGGTTACATGGCAAGTAGTGTTTCAGGTACAGCAGCCCTTAAACGTGCAGGATAACACGTAGAATAAAAAAAAAGGAAGCGGCCCAAACATTTCCCGCTCTGACATGAAGAATAAGCTGGCAGAAAGAGCGCCCAGTACCCAGGCATAAAGAGAAGCCAGCCTGCGGGTTTTGCCAAGAATGAGGTGTATACAACAACAAAAAAACATATTCAAGTATACAAACAGACACAGTGCTTGGCAACAAGCCGTTGTACACATGGATGTGTTATCGAATATGCATATCTCGTTTGTAAGGGTAATTGCAAAACCGGCTTACCGTTGATTTGTTGTTCTGTGTTGTTGTTTTTTTCGTCCCAGGCACCATGAAATGCACGAGGCATTTTCTACACCGGCATGTTTTCATTCCCTTTCATTTTAATTCTTACCCCCTTGCCTCAAAAACGTTTTTATTCACTCCCCGTCCAAAAAGGCGTAAAGAAGCGGAGACTGAAGCATAACAGACAAAACAGGTCCGTCTCCTCGTCCATGAAAGAGCCCACCCGTTTTCTTTGTGGAGGAAGAAAGATGGAAAAAGAAAGAAAGCGGGACCACTGGGTTTGGTGTGAGGTTACACAGCATTGCGACTTTTGTCCTTAAGAAATCAATTGATGCTTTGATCTTGGCCCAAAACAATCCGACAGAATAAACAAACCGTTGGTCACCACAAAACAACCGTAGTTTATCGTCAAATGTTCACATTTGCACCAAATAAAAATCATATACAAACGAATGTCCTATCCGAGACTTCATTGGGGCAAAAAGAAGCAGAAGGTAAAGAACTTTTAGGGAATAGCGCTCGTTTGTACCGTAGGGTTCAGACTGAAGAAATACGAACGAAAGAAAGAAAGGATAAACGAGAATGAACCATGGAGTAAGACAACGCGTGTCTATACGGTTTTTGTCACAGTTTCGGGAAATGGAGCAACGCAGTGGGTTATATATCACCCCATTTTTTTTTGGTTACAGTATCGAAATCCAGGCCGCACAGAGTGTTCTCATTTGGCGTGACGATCCTCTCTCACGACTGCCACGCTCAACTGGTGTAGACACTTTCTACGAGTTAGGATGGACAAGTAGGAAGAGACGCGAAAAACAAGACTGAGCTGAATTGAAACAAATAAACAAAAGCTCAAAACGATGACGACAGTCCTATCATAAATTGGCCTGTGCGTTCCATGTTCCTGAACGACGATCAAATCTCTGATCAAATAAACGTGAAACATTTTTCTCATAAACTGGGCGTGTTCTTTTTTTCAATTGAGTTGTTCATCACCGGTCAAATACATGTATAATCTCTGCTGGGTTGCGCATAGTGTTTATTCAACAACTCCAAATAAGAAAAGATCTTCCTTCTTTACCGTCGGCTCACGAATCCACTGCGTCCGTTGCCGACCAATACATCTCCGTCCTCGACTTTGGCCAACTCGCTCAAAAAGTCTCCCATCAACGTGCTACTGCTGCTCTCCAACAAGAAGGATCCCGATAAGGTCGGTGTTGCAGTCCCGCTACTTCCTCCTCCTCCTCCAGTGCGAAGCGCAAATGGGGCCACTGGACGCGCCGAAGTCACTGTCGAAGATGATGACGACAAGGACGAGTTGATGGCCGCAGGGAGATCAACAAAGCTGCCAGTCATCACCCCCAATCGGCTTCCTCCACTTCCTACTATGCCTCCCTTTCCAGCATTAGACGACAGATTCTGGTTACCACTGCTGCCCCAGGGTAAGATGACCTGCTCCGGTTGGAAGCCATTGGATTTCGCGGCCCTCAAGCTGGTCGTGCTCCCACGTCGACTGTCGCTCGAGAGCGTCGCTGTGTCCAGACAAAAGTCTCTGTCGAAATCCAAAGCAGTTCCGTGGCTGACATGTTCGGTCGCCAAGGTAGCGCTGATGATCGGGGTGCAGATCGCCGTGACTCCTCCACTGTTGGTACTACTGCTGCTTCGCTGATGCTGATGGCCAACGTACTTGCCACTATCCATCTTTGAGTGCGAACCGCTGGTCTCTCTTGTCCTGGGAATCTCGTGGGTAAAGGGGTGAACGCCTTGGTTGTCACCCTGTAGAGGAGACCCCTCCTCGCTCCATGACGCCTCGCCCTCTCTCTGGCCCAATGCCGACGACGTCCTGGTAGTTGCAGGGCTGGGGGCGAGCCAAGGCGAGTCCAGGCGACCTGATGATGCGAGTGTACCATTGTTGATGCTGCTGTTACCGTCGCTCCTCCTGTCCGAGTGCTTCGATGACCCGGTCTCATTGGTGCCGTGACTGTGACCGTGTCCGAGCTCGCTGCTGGTGCTGGGTGTCAGAATACCCAATCCGCGAGGAAAGTGGCCTGATCCAGAGTTGTAGGTGAACGAAGACGACATTGGTGGGATATGAGAGGTCGATGCCGATGCAGAGTGCTGGCGCTGATGGTGCTGACCTTGCTGTTGCTTGATCTGCTGATGGTACTGAGAGCCGCCTCCGCCATTGTACGAAGAGTTGGAGTACGAGGGCTGCTGCCTAGGGATCGAGTTCAGAAGCGGAGATGACTGGCGGGCCTGCTGAGAATGGAAACCCGATCCAGAAGAGTACTCCGAAGCCTGGTTAGACCCATAACTGGAGCCATGAGATCCATAGTAACCAAGACTTGAGCTAGGACGAGGACCATCCAACGATCGGCGGACCAAATGAATGCCTCCAGGACTGCTGTTGACACTGCTGCTCCGGAGGTGATGATCGTGGTACGCAGGTGTGTAGCTGCTTGACATCAGTTTTCCTTCGCTGGATGAAGAGTTCCCTGACCCGATAACAATACTGCCTGTCATCGGGCTGGCGAGTGAGATTATCTCGGGTGCAGATTGTCGTCCCACAAACTGAAAGTGCTGTGGTGGGAATGCAGGCGATGTTGGCGTTGCCGACGTTGTCGTAATCGACGTCGAGGATGTCGTAATCGACGTCGAGGATGTCGATGCAGGGTGAACCTTGACCGCGGACCGGGTCCGAGAAGTGTTTTCCAGGTCCCGCTCCGCGTCCTCCCGAGTCTCTTGCAGCAGTTGTTGCTCCACTTGAGGAATCCTGCTGGGTCGCTGTGCCGCTGCTGGCGCGCCACTATCCGCAAGGACTTGTGAGAGACCATCCTTGTCTTCGTCCTGACTAACGGGAGACTGAAGCGGCGATGACTTTTGAAGATCTGCAAAGGTAAACGGCGAATTGGCCATCGAGATGGCTGGGGAGCGAGCACGAGCGTGAGAATTTCCGGATCTGGCCAAGCTAGCCAGTGTAGGTACCTCGGGGGCGCTCTTTGCACTTAGATTCCCGGTGCCTTTGACAGTCTGTCTCGAGGAGGGCTCCATATCGTCCACAATCGAAGTTTCGTGAGTAGCTGCAGAAGCGACAGTCGTCTTGCAGAAAACTGTAGAAGGTGCCGATGGGGAGAGAGCCAGCTTTGGAATGGTCAAGCGAAGAGATTTTTGTCGGCCGAGGCTAGATTTGGAACGAACACTACCAGTCTCGCTCGATGTAATAGACGAGGATGAGGAAGCGACTGACGGCTCAGCAGAGTGTCCGGTCTTGCTCCGTGCCAGACCAGGTCCGATAGTAGGCGGAGTGGCCAATTGTGCACTGGTGTTGAGCGAATCCAGGAGTGCATTTGAGCTCGAAGGCGAGAAAGTCGAGGGTGTCGTCGGGGTCGAGATGGACGATGTTGTCGAGGCTGGTGATGTGCGAATGTGGCCCAACTGATTCGATCCAAATCCAGTGCGGCTTGGGTTTGAAGGCTGTTCTGGCGTTTTGGGTGCAAGGACAGTTGTGGTAGATGTGGGCATCAGGCTTGGAGACTCCGTGAACTGCGATGGAGAAAACGAGAATGCAGGTAAGTGGGCTCCTTGACTCGGGTTTTTGGGCAACCAGAGTGTGCCAGGCGACACGGGTGGGAGCTGGTCGGTCCGCTCGCTTCCTTGCAGTTCCTGTGCCTTTAAAACGGTCGTCATAGAATTAGCCCGTAACATAGGGAACGATCCAGACATCAGACTATTTGATCGCGAGCCTTGCCGGCTGCCCATGCCAGGTCCCAACCGAGGACTCGTTGCTGGACTGGATTGGTTTGAGGTGTAGGCTCTCTCCCGTGCGTTGAGCGTGCCAGAGCTTCCAAAGGATCCAGAATAAGGCGAGGACGACAACGCTCCCACGGAAATCATCGACATGGGTCTGGCTCTTCCCGTCGTGTTTTGTCCGCTCATTGGAGGGGTCTTCGGTGGAGGGAGCATGATCTGAGGCTTGACGACAAGTTGAGGAGTCATGTTGGGAGACTGGAGCGGAAGAATGGTGGGGCGATGCATGGTCTCGCGTCCTTGTTCGACTGATATCCTGTGGTGATGATGGTGGTGTTGTCCGTGATTGAACATGTGAACCTGGCCGTTCGAAATGGAGTGTCTCTGGGATGTCGATGGGGGCTGGTGAGACTGGCGACGGCCCATACCACCTGAGACAGCATCCAAAGACGTATATCCTGGACCGTGTGCAGGAGATGTCGCGCCGAGGGGCGAGTTCGTTCCGGAGGTGAACCTCGGACCCATCATAGGGCTTCTAGACCAACTGCTGTTGTTGCTTGATCCGCTGCCGGCATCGTCCACATGGGCAATCCTCCGGAAACGGTCATCGATGTTCATCGACGTGGACCGAGTGTGACGCTGTTGGTATTGCTGAGCAAAGTCGTTCGTGCGGTTGGCCAAGGGAGGGCGTGAAGGAGACAATTCCTTGGTGGGGGTTCCTAAGGGTGGAACTACATCTTCTCCCGGTGTGAGCAATTCGAAGGTGGGCACATCAGGCCCACTCTTGGGCGGAGAGAAACCCCATCCCGTGTGCGACGGTGTCCCCCAAGGCATAATATGGGTCTCTTCTGAGGGGCTCTTGGATTCGTCTTCAGAAGGAGCATTGGACCCTGAAACGGATTCACCTTGACCCACACTGACGCCAGTATTTGGAACCTGGTACTGCTCTGCGCCCAATAGTCCCAATGGGTCAGTTTTCAAAAACTCCACTGACGCCTCAAAGGTCACCAAAGCGAAACTAGATGCTCGTAAGATTGAAAAAATAATAATTAGTAATTGCTCTCGATTGATATCACGCAAACATGTAGCAATTGAGGATTGGCGTCTTTAATTGTACCTGTGATCTGACTTGGGCGAATTGATACGAAACCTCTGCATGTAGAACATGTTGCTGCCAAGGCGCATCATACGGGCTTGGATAATAGCAATCGCCAGGAGAGGGATGAAGTCGTCCGTGGTAACAGATACCTCTATTAGATTTACAAATGTACCATCGTGAGTTAGTGTCTGCAATTGTCACCCATGATGGTGGCAGTAACATCTTCATATCATCCAGAGACGAACCTGAGCGCTTCCGCTGCAAGAAACCAGCGCCTTGTCCATTCATGAGATGGTCCTCTGCAACAATGGCGATAGTATCCAAGACCTGCTTGATACAAATAACCTTCTCCAGCGGTGTGTTCCAGACGTAATCGGAATCCTGCTCTTCGTCGTCCTCCGTGTCCTCGGATGGTGCCGGCGAAAACCCGCGACTCGAAGCACGACTCTCAGATTTCGGCCTGCTGTCTTGGACGAAGACGCGGAGCGAATCTCTCAGTTCTCGTCTCTTTCTCTCCTGCTCAGTCTCCTGCATGGCAGATGGTGTTGTGATCCTTTGAGCGGTCATCAGCCCGATTGTGTCCTCCATAGACTGTTGATCCCATGCTCGGAGCAGACCAGCTGCTCCATCCAATGCATTATCAACACGCATGGATCTCATTTTCTCTGACAGTCCCAGCTTCTTGAGTGTTTCCGTGAGCAAGGGGCCTTCCGTCGACGCCAAGCACGATCCGCTGTCAATACCTCGATGTCCTCCCAAACTGAACAAATAGCGGTGGTATATCTCGATCGTCTCATCGACGTCAACATCGCGCTGGGCATAGCAAGGGACAAGGGAATGTATAAACAGCTTTTGGTATAGCTTTCCCAAAACCACACTAAAACGGCGCCAATGAAAAGGAAAGGAATGTTAGCGCTGTTAGCGTCTGTCAGTGCATACATACTATAGCAATAGATTAGGGCAATGACTGAAAGACATACTTTTCGATGAGCTCTGCAAAGGTATCCTGCTCTGCTTGGACTCCATACATGAGCATTTTTTGCAGCTTGACAGAGTCGCCGAGGCAATCCCGATACGCCTTCTCGTAGATAAGACGAAGCTTGTCCAACGTGTAAGTTGCAAACCCGCGGATGTAGACATAGGTCTTCTCGAACTCCTGGCATAGGTTGTTGAAGTCTCGTAGGGCACGACTGAGCTCCGGGAATGATTCAAGAAATGCCATATCACTATTCTCGACGATTCGATAGAAAAGAGAGAATGTGAGCATGCCATTCACTGTACTGTTCAGCCAAGTTACCAAGGAGTTGGTTAGTTTACCTTGAAAAGTTGCGCACGAGCGGCATGACTGGCCCATCCAGAGAGCGATTCAATGCGACGCCATCGCCCTCCAGTGGCCGGTCGATCATCAAGACCCGAGTGGGTTTTTGCGAGGATCCGTTGTAGACCGTTTCCTCCGAGAGGATTTTGACTGAGCGAGGCTGAGCAAAGCCTAGTTATTGTACAAGTAAGAGTAGTGGCAAAACAAAAAAAATCAGCCTGGTGTGTTGACCCATGCGAGCTTGTCCCTGAATTATTCGAAATCATATTGATCTTCATACGGCGGGTGTAGGCGGGCAGTATGGGACTTACCTGAAATTTCTTTAACATACTCCTTGTCTATCTCCACAACTCTGTTGTCCAGCGTAAGATACTGTCCACGATAGTACGGCGAAGGAGTCAAAACGTGCGTTTCTATGGAGTGAACGATAGTACGGAATGTGGTTGGAGTTAAAAAAAACGTGCACTAGTCATTGGGTGGGTTGGCCACTTGATTACTATTAATCATCATCATGCCATATTACGGTCCTCAAAAGAGGGAGAGCATTTGTTTTGAAGGGGAAACATACCCACAAAGGTCTTGTGAAAGATCAGCCCTCCAAGCGTTCGCTCCCTTGGCACACAAATCACATTTCCTGGCTGAAAGCAGTTGAGAGCATGGATAGGCTGTTGACGTTGAGACGACGATCCCCCAGAATAGGCTTGTCGCTGCTGTTGCTGCAGACCAGGATGGAACGAGGGTGACGACCCATAGTCGCTGCTGCTGGGGCTACTGCTGTTGGAATGGATTCTGGAGAGGAATGGCTGCGACCCTGGTACAAAGCCGGATTTGCGGCCCTTGATGTCCAGGTGCTGCTGTCCAGAACTTGGTATCCGATGCTTGGCCTGGAGGAGTGCATGTTGGGTCCTGAGCCAGCCAGGTTCCTGTTGAACGGCGTGACGTTCCTGCATCTTTTGAAGATGCATGTAAAACGAGTTTTCGTCGATCTCCACCTCTCTTTCGTCCAGAAACGATGATGAGTTCTGACTGGAGCTGTCAGGAAGGGTACAGGAGACTCTCCGCGATGACGTGCCGCCATTGGTGATGGTGCTGGAGATGCTATGTGCTGGCGTTCGTTTAGCGCGGCGACCAGGAGTCTTTGTGACATAGCCGGCTGACTTTTTGGACGATGGCGGCGAGGTATTGTGTGAAGGGGTGATGTCGAAATAGGACGGTCCAGAGAGCGGAGGAGTGGCCCACTGCTGCATGTATTCTGACGATTTCCGCTCAGACATCCCATTGAGACCAAGGCCAACAGGAGGAGCTGACTGTGCTGAAGAAGATGCTGAATTGGAAGGGAGCCCGCCAGTCTCCAGTGACTTTGAGGTTGGCCGAGCAGCCGAGCCGGGTATAGTGTCGAGATCTGCCAGGTGGAAGGAGAAAAGGGCGTTCATGACCAAGGCACAGCCCAGGAGTAGTGCGAAAGGAGGACGCAAAGGAGAGGAAAGGAACAAGGTTAGAAGTCAATCTCGTTTTTAGCGTGAAAGACAGGAGAGATATGTCAGCGTGCAGGAAGGAGAAAAAAAAAAAGGAAAACAACAAAGGCCTTCTGAGTGGGGTAAGAAAGACGAGTGGAGGGAGCTTCAAATAAAAAAACCACGTTGCTGGAGTGGTTGATATTCGATCGATGTATTTGTTCGACCTCCCTCTTTTTTTGCAATGTTCTCAGTGGCTCGATCGATATTAGGGGTGGTAAAGACGAAAAAAGCAAAGAGGTCGATAAGAGCCGGTAGGCCGAAGCAAGCAAGAATGGCATGATGACACAAGCACCTTGCGCCGAATGAGAATTAGGTCGAGCTTGAGGATGGGAACATGAGAAGAGCGGGCGTGGTGTGGTGTTGCGTGTATGTGCATGTACGTATGTGTGTTTTCTCCTTGTCTTTTTTGTTCTCCATGTGCAGGGATGTCCTCCTTGCATGTATGACAAAGACGGAATGGGAAAACGAGAGCTGCATGATAACATACACGGTCAAGTCGAAACACAGAACAAAAAAACGAACAAAGCCCTCGCGTGTTTGTATAGCCTTCTCGCCTCTTTTTTCTTGGGCGCTCGGGGAGCTGAAATAGAGGTGGAATCTCGTACCTGAAGGAGGCGACGGACAGGAAGAAGAGGGGACCGAGGAAGTTGATGCAGGGGAAGACGATCGATGTGCATCTGCGGTCGAATTGGCTACAGAGTCAGCAGATTCACTCCCACAAGCATCCTTAGCCTTGGCGAGGAACCCGGAAAGGTCACCCGAACGCGTCGAGCTCATCGCCGGTTTTCCTTCTTGGTCTACAAAGTTGCGCTGGCCGTTTGGAGGGAGGCGAGAATGGGAGGCACTGCTATGTTGTCTATCCTCCTCAGAGACAGGCGAGGCACTATCGTAATAGATCTTGTCCCTCCTGTCGTTAGCCTTGCTCAGAGGTGGTAGTGACATGTTGTGATCGCGAGTCGAGGCCAGGACACTATTGATGTTGCCGTTGTGAATGGCTATCCGCTCTAGTGCCGAAGGGTGCCGAGGGTTGTCCGACATTCGTTTGGCGTTCAGAGTCGGCGATGTCCGTGAGCTGACAGTTGGGCTCGAGTGGACGCTGGAGGTGGATCGCCGTTGCTGAGGCAGGACTTTGCGGGTGACGCCCTTCCCCCAGGCCATGTCCTCATCGTCGTCATCCTCCTCCCGAATTGTTTGATGTTTGGGTGAGCTGTTTTGGGAGCTGTGTTGACTGTGGTGGTGCTGCTGTTTCGGGCCCTGTCCACGGAAGAGGAACGACCAGGCGGCAGAGAGGCTGTTAGAGCGATTGCGTGGCTCCTGAACCTCGTTGCGAGACATGCGATATCAGTTATGGATGTATAAGGCGACGAAAAATGTGAAGTAGAAAGTTGAAGCTGACGCCGAGGCTGAAGGGGGAGAGAAAGGGGAAAGACAGGAAAGGGTAGGGTAGGAGATGAAAAAGGGAACGATATAGTGAGAAGAAAAGAAAAAAAAGAAAAAAAAAAAGGGCCGAGGAGTGCTCTGGTTACTGCCAGCGAATGTATAAGTGTGTTTGAGAAGTTCCAACGAGAAAATGAGAAGGTAAAAAATAGAGGGAGGATCGATGGAGTTGTGCCAATGTTTTAAAAAAATGGCGGCAAAAGAAAAATTGTTGGACGAGAGGGAGCGAGAGAAAGTGAGCCAAGAGGAGGAGGAGGATGAGATGCTGATGAATGATTATGTACAAGGGAGGGGAAGGGAAAGGAAGGAAGGGTTTATTGTGTATGCGACAGGGAGGTCGGCAGGGGGTTTAACGGCGCATGGTCTGTATGCGGTCGTCGTGGGAGAGTGAAGGTTCAAGGGAAGGCGCAAAGAAGGGCAAAGGTGCCAGGCTGAATTGCAAGGGGAAGTGAGAGTGGGAGAGAGAAAGGAGAAGGGAGAAATAAGAGAATGGAAAAAAAAAGAGGATGTGGTGCGATAGACGAGTTGCGTTATGAAGAAGGCCTGAACAACGGTGTCAGCGACATAGTTGACTCTTGCCCAACCAAGGTCAAGAGAGAAAGACAGGGAATTGGGGGAGGAAAGGAAAGGAGGGAAAGTGGAGCTGGAATGAATGAAATGGAAAGAAACTTGGCGGGAGATGGAAGAAGAAGAGGGGAGGGGAGGTTAATTGTGTTGGTGGGTGGGGATTCGTTCGTTGTTGTTTGGAGGGATGGCTGATCTGTTTGGGAGGACGAATGGGATACAGAGTGATGAGGAGTAAGAATGTGGAGGAGGTGGTTTGGCCGAGGGAAAGGGAAAGAAGGGGTTGAATGTGAATGGGAGAAAGTAGGGGGAGTGATGGAATGACGAAGGTATTGTTGATGGCAAAAAGTGGGAAGAAGAAGAAGAGGGGGAGAAAAGGTGGAGAAGGAAAAGAGAAGAGAGAAAAAAAGGAAGAGAGAGAAAAAGAGAGGAAATACACAGAGGAAGAGAGAAAGAGAAACTGAACACAAACAAGAAGAAAACAAGGTGAGAAAGTATTGCAAAGGAAGAGACCACAAGGGGGAGGGAGAGAACAAGCTTATTCGCTTGTACTCATATACAAACAACAGGCGTACTCCAAGACAGAAGAAAGAAAACGGGAGCTAGGAACGATCATTTATTAAAAAACGGCACTCGCCCCCATCACTAATAACCATCCCCTTTGATCACCAGCCAGTGATCACCTTTACTCATAACTAATATAAAGGGCAATGAAGAGAAACATGACCTCTCACAGAAGACATTCAAGTCTATTTCTTTTTGTTCCTGATCCGTGGCAAACAGCACATTGTCTTTCCGCTTCACTTGTCCGTTCTTCAATCATTCATTTATTCATTCATTCCTTGCATTCTTGGATCCACAGCCATGCACGCGGACAAGGGCATGGCACACTTCTTTCTAACTTGACCTTGGGGCATGATCCCCATCTTATCCGCAGACAATTACTTCCCTGTGTCTATTGCTTCTCTGCGTTTTGTTTCCCTCCGTTCCCTTTCTGGGTCTTCCCTCCCCCCTCGAATTTTCTTTTTTTTTTGTTTGTTCTGCTCTTCACTTTGTTGGAAGATAAACGACTCATAAAGGAAAAATGGGAGGGTTCGACCTGGCTTCTTTTTTTGTCCCGGTGCAGTTGGGATCTACCCATCTCTCATACATATCCCACCATTGAGTCACTCGACTCGTTCGATCCCATTTTTTTTTCTTGCGATACGTTTTTTGAAGAAAAAAAAAGGCTGGCATCGAAGAAATTGGATGGACCATCTTGTTTTTTTTTGTATGTCTCCCTTTTTGACGTATGTTGTAGTCTGTCGACGTTGGTGTGTTTGAGAGCCCTTTCGACTCTTTTTTTTTTTTCTTTTCTATCTTTTGTGTCTGTCTGACCATCTGGCTGTCACCCCTTTCTTCTCCTTCTCCTCTGTGTTTCCATTGACTCTCTCTTGCAGCTTTGGTCCTGGTCAGCTACGGACCAAATTGCGAGACGAATATCACAATCTATGTTTTCATTCCTCCTTCAAGATCGATCGTAAATCACATAACTTCTGTGGATCAGACGTCCTTGTAAACAGGTCCTAACCTTTTGCTTAAAGACTGCGGGCCAGGCCAAAGCAGGTCCGTCCCTTCCATGGTTCATAGTTCTTTGTCGGGTATGCATGTCCCTTAGCTATTTTTTCACGAAACTATAATCGGATAGCATAAGCCAACAGCGGCGTCGACATTGATAGCCTTAGCTGTGAGTTCATGGATATGTGTGAGGATGAAACAAGCAATCACCACAAAAATAACAATCAAATCCCCTTCATTGAGAAAAGGGTCACCCAATTGTTCTTTTCCTTTTCTCCTTTGTTTATGTTCTGGAAAAAGAAAATGCTTCTTCCTTCTTCAATGAGCCCTTTTTCTCTTTTTTTCCTGCTCATGGATATCCCCTTTTGGTAGCTTCCTTGTCACGGATGGACTTCCTTGTACGCCTTTAACTTCTTCTCTTAGACCATCCTTTTCATTTTTTTGACCCCGCTTGCCGCGTCTGACCCCTCATTTGTAGCTCTCATCCAGTCATTCTCGTTCTCTTCCTCAGACCCTTCTCTCCTCTTGCCTCTCTCTCTCCTTTATCGCCAATCTGTCCTTTTGTTTCCTCTTTGGAGGATCCAGTTGACATTGGCATCCGAATACTTTATGTGGTGCCAGGCCATCCATCTCTTCATTCCCTTTTTTCGTGTGTTTTGCCGTCCTCTCCTCTCGGCCCCTCTTTGTACCCTTTCTGCTGTTCCTCACAGCGAAACCCGGCTAAAAAAAAAAAACACACAAACGCGGCGAGATGGGAACCTCTCCACCCCATCCGTCTCAACGCACACACGATGAAAACAAACAATTACGCCCTCTGTGGGCATGACCACAAGTTCAAAAACAAACAACGTCTTTACTTTGGATCATCCCCTGCCCTGCCAATGCAAACAATCGACAAACAAGAAAAAGGTTGACGATCGTTTGCATGTTCATGCACCCTTTTGCTTTTTTTCCGCTCTATATTGTTGCTTGTATGCGTGTTGGACCACCTGATCTAGGGCTACGAAAATTGTTTGACCGTTATGCAAAAAAAGAGAAGAGTGTGTGAGCAGGGGAGAGAGAGCGCGTTCAACAAGTTGAAGTAACGAGGGATTCGTTTTTTTTTTTGCATTGAAGTATGTGTGTGTAAGCATGCTGCAGTTGTGCATTGTGGAGTGTGAAGCGATGGGGGGGGGGGAGTGTTAAAAGAAAGCCGAACGGCAATGCATAGAGGTGACTTTTTATTTTCGAGCTAACACCCCCTGTTCGTCACACCTTCAATTGTAGTTTTTTGTGCAACAGCAAACAAAGCAGCCCTCCAAAGCACCCTCCATTTACCTAAAAACAAACACCATTGACCCATGATCCATGGATGCAACAACATTCGGCCCTGAACTACGCGTCTACCATTGTTACTCGCATCTTCCAATCAGTAATACCCTGTCAGTGGGTCAGGAGCAAGAAACAAAACGGACGAATGAACTTACTCCTCTAATCCGCTCGGTCCATCTCAACACAATTCCCTTCCGTCTGGGTTTTCTTACTCCGTCGTCGCCCGCATCTTTTAAAAACTACATAACTTCTCCAAACCCCATCACTGCCACTGCGTTCCCATCGCACTCCCTCTTGTCAACAGCTCTTCCTCCTACCGTCTACAGTATCTTACTGTTAAAGTTGCAGATCCGAACGGACCAACAGCATGTCAAAGAAATGAACAATCATAAACAACCATCACCATCAACCCCCTGCAAGGGTCCCTGATCCTGCATCGCTATTCGTCTACATGAAAATCTCATCGGAGATACAGCATCGATTGAGAGGAGCGGGAGCATGAATGAAGGAACGGGCCACATGCAGACAACCAACGGAAGCATGGTACAATCTCTTCATCTCTTGTCCCGCCTCTTTACCGTGCAGTGTAGCTTTTAACGCCTCATCTCTCGTCATCTTTCTTTTACCGTTCAGGGCAATGCTACCTTTTCACCTCTGTGTTTTCTTTCATTACTGGCCAAAGCAGCGTAATCCTTCATCTCCTGTTTGTCTCGCCTCCACCGACCACAACCCTTCATCTCCTGCCCCTATTCGTTGTACATCTTTGTATCTCTTCATGGAAAGCAAGATCGTACTCTCTCCTTTGCGCGTCGAAACAATGCGAGTACGCTCCATTTGCCTCAGCAACAACAAAATCCTCTACGTAAACAAAATGTACAAAAGGGGTGAATAGTACACTAAATAACCCCCCAATGCAGGGGTTGTTTTCATGCTGTTTGACAATCCGTTCGTCTAAAAAAAAACTGAAATGTCCTTGGCTGCTTTTTTGAGATGGCTTTTTGGCCCTCCCACCCCTGGATTTCGCCCACGGCTGTGCCCCCCTTTCTTTGATGGATCCTTATCTGAATGGAACACAACAAGTTGCAGGATGGTTCTCACACACTACCATGCCTCACACTTCTCGCGAACATCACGCGTATATAGGTAACACACAAGGATCAGTAGCATACACACACATTCACGAACGAGTAGACATGATAGGGGGTTTTCATCAGAGAAGCTTTTCCTTTCTTATTCGACAATTCAATTGGTATGAAGGTGTGAAAGAGAACTATGAAAAGAAAGAAAGACACTCAACAAAAAAAATAGGAAAAAAAAGTAATCCATCACCATTTAAAAAGGATATCGTTGGTGAAGAAAAAAAAAAAGGTATGAATACAACTACAAGTGAAAGAGAGAGAGAGAGGAATACTAGAAAAGAGAAGGAAAACTCATTCATCGAATGCAAAAGAGAGAAAATGACAAGAAACAACGAAGAGAAGCAACTTAGATGCTCTTTCCGATGGTCTCGACACGGAAACCAATCTCTCTCAACTTGGGTGCATCCAAGATCAGACGACCGTCAAAGATGAAGGCGGGCTTCTGCATAGACTCAAAGATCTTCTGGTAGTCGGTCTGGCCCATCTTGAACTCATCCCACTCGGTGCAGATGACAATGGCAGCAGCGTCGGCGCAGGCCTCGTAAACAGAACCGCACACAGTGACGTGCTTGTTGACATCGGCCTCGTTGGTGCCGACACCGGGCTCGGTCAAGTCCATCTTGATCTGCTTGGCGCTGACCTTGGGGTCGTAGATGGCAATGTTGGCGTGCTCCTGGATGAGGTAGGACGAGAGGGTGATGGCAGCAGACTCGCGGGTATCACCAGTGTCCTTCTTGAAGGCAAAGCCGAGGAGAGCAATCTTCTTGTTGGTGACGGTGTTGAAGAGGGTGCGGACAATGCGGTGGGTGAAGCGCATCTTCTGGTACTCGTTCATGGTGACAACAGACTTCCAGTAGGCAGCAACCTCGGGCAAGAAGAGCTGCTCGGACAAGTAAACCAAGTTGAGGATATCCTTCTGGAAGCACGAACCTCCGAAACCGACCGAGGCCTTCAAGAACTTGGGTCCGATACGGGAATCGGTACCGCAAGCATAGGCGACCTCATCGACATCAGCACCGGTGGCCTCGCAGATGGCGGAAAGGGCGTTGATGGAGGAGATACGCTGGGCAAGAAGGGCGTTGGCGGCCAACTTGGACAATTCGGACGACCACAAGTTCATGGTGATGACCCTCTCCTTGGGGATCCAGCGGTTGTAGACATCGACCAACTTCTGCTGGGCAGCGAAACCCTCGGGGGTCTGGAGGCATCCGATCAAGACACGGTCGGGGTTGGTCAAATCAGCGACGGCGGTACCCTCAGCCAAGAACTCGGGGTTGGAGAGGATGTCGAAGCGAATGCCCTTGTTGGAGTTGGCCTCGAGGATGGTGCGCATCGACTGGGCAGTGCGGCAGGGAACGGTCGACTTCTCGATAACGATCTTGGAGGAGGTGGAGACCTGGGCGATGCGGCGGGTGGCAGTCTCGATGTAACTATTAGAAGAAAAAGTAATCCATATTAGATTAGCGACCATGTTAAGAGAGGTATTTCCTTTACTTTCTTGGCTGATTCCTGCCTGATCCAATTCAGATCTAGCGACACTTCTTCCCTCGCCTCGTTATCTTGCTACTCTTCATAAAGCTATGATGCTTCATTTGGTTTGTCGAAGTTTGCTTTTGTCATGCTTTTTTGCTCCATCGGATTCCACGCTGTACTGCATCCAATCCATATGGCCGTAGTTGCAGCGATAAATCCAAAAAGAACAGTGTGAAATTCCTTCTCATGTCTGTCCGTGAAAGTCGCGCGTTCAACTGTCCTTATTGAATGGTGTTGGAAAAAGGGGCAAAAGAAAGGGAGAGGGAGAGGGGTGTGCGGGAATGGTAGGAAAGGAAACGGGAAACGTTTTAACCCATTCATAGAACCAATTGGTTCTGGGGGTCATAAAAACGAAGCCTTTGTTGCTGTAGTTGTGTCGTCAATGAAGAGGAAGTTCACTTACGCAAGATCAGCGGCCATACCGGCTCCCATACCGGACTTCTTAGTGGGGGTGTTGACGGAGACAAAGATCAAGTCGGCGTCAATGATGGCCTGATCGACGTTGGTGGTGAAGAACAAGTTCTTGCCGCGACGAGCAAAGACGATCTCGTCGAGACCGGGCTCGTAGATGGGGAGGTTGTCCGAGTTCCAGGCGTCGATACGGGCCTGGTTCAAGTCGACGATGGTGACATTGATGTCGTGGCACTGGTAGGCAATGACAGCGCAGGAAGGACCGCCTATTCAATAGCAAATGGTAAACAACAGAGCAAAACATGGCGAATCAGTACGGGGTTCCAGCTTCCTGCGAGGTGGTAATTATCATCAGCCATCAATAAAGTCATAAAGTCCATTAGTCAGTCAGTCAGGGGCAGGCGAGGGGGGGAAGAGAAGAAAAAAGTCCCGCCAGTAAAAACACAAGGGAAAACGTTGACGATAGAAAACTACGCCAAGGCACACAGATAGATCCATTGTTGTCAGATTGTTGTTGTCCTGTGGGGATCTTGCTGTCGAAGGCGACCGACGTAACAAGCAAGTCTGAGGTTCCTCTGGCTAAAAGTAAGAAAAAAAGAAAGGTGATCTGGTAGGGTGAGATGAATAGCTTACCGACGTAACCGGCACCGATGCAGCAGATGTTAACCATGGTTGTGAGATTGGAGTTGTGATGAGGGGAGAGAAAGGGGAAGAGAGGGGTGTGATGAAGATGATGAGAAGAAGAAAGGAAAAGAAAAAAAGAAAAGATGAATGAGTAAAAAGGAGATCTCTAATATATAGTACAGTACAGTAAGCTATTTGAGTTTTTAATTTAGTGTACTTCTGATTTGATGGTTGGTCGAATCAACGACAGAAGAGGCCACAGCTCGTTCGCTTACTTTGTTCTTTTTTCATGATGGGTTATTTTTAACATGATGCCAGGTCCGCCCTATCATCGACCCGTAATTGCCCCGGGACCCTCTCCCCCTCTTCTTCCTTGCGCTGGTCTGTCCCCCTGCCCTGGTGCCTGTCCCATCGTGAAGCCAACGATACATTTGTTTGTATCACTTTTTCGTATCACATACTGTACATACACAGCTGCCTCTCCAACCTTCCTCTTCTCGCCAACACACGGGTCACTTCATTGGTCTCCCATTTATATCCTGCTTTTGTGCATTATTTCGCTCCGCATCTTTCACCCCTTCTTTTCCCATCCGCATTCCCACTCTCCTTCGTTATTTATGCCTTGTCCCATTACACGAATGCATCGCAATCACAGTTTCTTCTTTTTATCTTCCTCCCTACCCGGTCAACAAAGAACATTACAGAAGGAAAGAAACCCCTCAGGCTAGGCTGCTCTTTTCTCTCATTCATTTATCCACTTCACTCATTTTCTCTACCCTAACCGTGAGCACAGAAACGAAGAGCCATATTGCGATCTCTGTCCTGAACTGGGGAAGAGACGAGAGAACCAGGGGTAAGGCAATTGGTCCATGTTAACAGAAATATGTAAGGGCGATGAGTGTCCTTTCTCTCGTAGTAGCTGAGAACCAAATAAACACAAAAAGATGTAAGTGCTCTCGTTTATCGTTTATCGCATTCATTTAGTTGAACTTGAGTAAGTGAGTGAGTGAGTGAGTGAGTGAGTGAGTGTGTGTGTGTGTGAGTGTGTGAGTGAGTGAGTGAGTGAGTGAGTGTATGTGCTCCTCTCTCTCTCTCTCATCATCCCTCTCTTTCCCTTCCGACATGCACCTTTTTCCATTGAACGTGGTCCCAGGATGGCCTTACGAGTGGTCGTTGGGGTTTTCTTCTAATTGCTGCCGCGCACTCCTTCTTTTCGCCCTCTCCCTCTCACGTCCCATCGACGACATCTCCCTGCCCATTGACGACCTCTAAGGAGTTATTTTTGCCAACCATCCAACCAACACAACCGAGTTTCAAAAACGGGAAGGAAGGAAAGAAGGAAGGGCAGTCCGCCTTGCTCGTATGCAAGCACAGCAGGGCAAGTGTTGAGCCTTTTATTCGCTCGTCCAACATAACCACATACCTTTTCCTCCTACTCCTGAACCGGACGCAAGAACGATGCTGCTTCTAATGCTTTTATCTCTGTCAGTTATGCCACATAGCTGGGATCGTTTGCGACCCCCTAGACAATTTTGATGTCCTATATGGCACTCACTCGTTGACCCAAACAAGGCTCTCTCACACTCTCACTCTCGAAGACAAGCGGGGCCAGTCAGTCATCACTTACATGTACAGTACTCTGTACTTACTTTTAGATGATTTCCTACATCACCCTGGCGGATGTTATTGACCCCGACTCTCCGAAACACACAATCAGTTTTTTTTTTCTCAGCAAAACGATTCAACGGACTATGATAATGCAGGGACCGACCGCACTGTTCCATGACTTCTAACATAAGCAAACAGCCCGAGCTGTGTTGTGCTCCGCCCGTCCCCCCAGCCTCACTCTCACACTCCCTTTCTTTGGTGCCCTGTTCCAGTTCCTCCCCTTCCTTTGTTTTCCTCCGCCACCTTCCTCTCTCTGTACTTTCATAAGCAAAAATATCTTCGTCCAGATCAAGATCGCCCAGAACAATGTACCTGTGGCTTTTCTTTCTATTAAAACTAGGAATGGTCTTTATTACAAGCGCGAGGTCTCGGTGCCCTACAAGGGGTACACAAAACCTCAGTCTACATCGTTTCTGCTGCTCCTGTTGCTGTCGACTATCGTTCTCGGACAGCACGGTATCGTCTGGTCGGGACACTTTATGCCTTCTTGTTGACCTTTGCCCACTGGGACTGAGCGCCCATAATGGCAGTGGCAGTACTATAAAAAAAAGGACAGTGGAGCAGGTTTTACCAGTTAGCGATGACGTCAATGCCACACTCTTACTCCACACAAAAAAAGTTGTTTTTCGTCTTCTTCAGCCTTGAAAACAATCAAAGACGTTCAAAGCGACATCGATGTTGACTTACCCAATGAGACCAATAGCGCCGTCATCCAAGGACAGGTAGCCCAAGCCAGTGGCGGGAATGAGCATATCCAAACCATCCTGGAGAAGCTGCTTGTTAACGCTGTACTGCTCCCTATTGCAATTAAAAGAAAATGACAATCCGAGGTTAGTTTGTCACTTCAGTCCAAATCATCATAATATCACAAAGGTCAGGAAGCAAGGGTGATAAGGTCGTACTTGGCAATGGCCTTGAGCTCGGTGCGGGCGTGGGACTTCTCGGACTCGGCGCTGTGGGCCAAGCCGCGGGCAGCAACCTCGCGACGGATCTGGATCTGGCGGGTCTTGTACAAACCACCGAGGAAACCAAAGACGATACCGGCTAACCAGAATCTGCTGGCGAGTTCGCTGTACTTCTTGATGTTCTTGAACTTGTAAGCGCCGGATCCATCAATCTAATGATGTAAACAAGCGAAGATTGGGGAGTGAGTAAGTACATAGGATCTAGAATCTGCAAAGGTTTCACGTCGGAGCAAAGGTGTAGTTGTACATGGTAGTCGCGAGGACAACAACTCCTTTTGCTACTAGGTATTGAAAAGAAATAAGCTGTCGCTATATTCCTTTGAACCTGTTTTTGTTTAATGAGTGAGAAAACCGAGAAGATGCGACTTACGAAGATGATTCCGTCGAGGGTCAAGTAACCGGCGTAGGCGAGCTGCTTGCCGATGGTGCTGAATCTGAGGAACTCGTCCTTGACGGAGGTTGCCTTGACAGCGTTCTCGATGTGCTCAACGGGCTTGCCTGTTTAAGGGTTAAAAAATGGTAACCAGCCAATCAAGAGTGTGAGTAATCGATCAGTGACTGTACTGGATTGTCGGGTACATTTTCTTCGTCCTCTTCTTTTCGCAAGGATAGAAGAAACATGCAATGTAATGAAAAAGTCAGGCTCCTAGGTCGTTACCGAAGCGCATCACTATGATAGAAAAAGAATGATGGAATAAAACGGTTCGCGTTAGTCATGTCCAATTCAAATAAAGGCCGACTGTTCCTGTGAGCACAGAAAGAGAAAACAATAGGGCATCCGAGTAAAGTGAACTCCTCTTCTCGTAAACGAGATCATCTCTCATTCGGACAAAAAAAAGAAAAGCTGCACTGAATGTAGAAAAAAATGTCGCCAAGAAAGCCTCGTTCGTTGTGCGTTGTCCGGTTGGGCGAAAAGACTTACGCTTGCGGGAGAGGCCGAGAGTCTTCTTGAGGTTGTTGAAGCGAGCGACGGTCTCCTTGGTGGCGCCCTGACGGAGAAGGTACCAGGCGAGGAAGCGGGAGAAGTACTGGACACCTCTGTAGATCTTGTCGCGACCAACGGTGGTGGCGGTGTACTTGAGCCAAGGCTGGACGTTGATGGGTAAGCTGAGGGCGGTCGACATTGTTAATGGAAGGGGGATGGAGAAGAAGGTGTGTGTGTAATGAACAGATGAGTAAGAAGGGGGGAAAAAAAAAAAGTAAAAGGCGGGGTACTTGGGTTCTACTTATTGTAGGGTGAGTCCGGCTCGCACGTGAAGGTTTGTCGCTCGCTGTAAAAACATGTCCACGATGTGCACACGACCGGAACATGGACAGGATGAAAAAATCATGGCCAACGGAGCAACGAAGTGCATCGAATCAGAGCCAAAGCCGGAGACAGACAGATCGAGATCACACAAAGGTATTACACTGCAGTAGATCGACACATAGTCACACATAGGCGGCAATCCGTTCTCGTTTTTGTTTGATGTTGTCCACGGACACACATACTCACTCAAAGAACGGACACACGTCCATGTTGGATAGCATCCTCGTCTCCCCCACGTCAGTACTTGGATAGAAACCACTCCTTGACACACTCACTGTCGTTGAGACTGCGAACAAATAGCCGAACTCTCTCATTCCTCGCCGGAAATCTGACACAGCTAAAATGTCAAGTGCGGGGAAATATCAGCCTTACTTCTCGCCCGTTAGAATTGACTCTGTGATCCATGTCACCTTCAAGGCACGCCAGGTCTCCGGAATGGGCCCCCAGCTTAATCACTTCTACTACTGACATAGGATAACCAGCATCTTAGCACCTTCGCTTACAGATACTATTGGCACTATTGGTTGTTACTACTTGTGATTGCCAGCAAATGTCCAATGTTGTCGTAAGGTTACATAACAAAACGAGCACAAAAGCGGGCATGAAGGCAGGATCAACAGGAATCATCTACAATCTACAATCTGGTTGAATCGTATGCCATATGCACGACGACAACAAAAAGTTGGTTGCTGTGGTCGTAATGTATCCTGTGGATTTAAATCATCTGTCTCAACTTGTCATTCAGTTGTCACTTCTTCCAGATTCCTTCAGTTCGCCCAGCCACAACAAAACGGTCGGTGCCTCAGAGGCTCAGTCTCACTTACATTTGCACTGAACAGAATGGCCGCCTCCTTTTCCTCTCTTTCTGATGCCCCTTTTTCTCTCTCTTCTCTCTCTCTCTCTCTCTCTCTCTCTCTCTCTCTCTCTCTCTCTCTCTCTCTCTCTCTCTCTCTCTCTCTCTCTCTCTCTCTCTCTCTCTCTCACTCTCTCTCCTTCCCCTCTCATTTACACTCCAGACACACATACAATAGATCTCACCTCTTCACCCTTTCGTTTTACTTTTTACCCTACATTGTCGAGTGCTTACAAACAGTCGACAACAACTCGTCAACAACCCTCAAGACTCGCTCATCAACAACCCCCCCACAGAAAGAAAGACCTGCCTTCAACAGGACCCCTTGATGGCGAAGACGTACGGAACAATGACCGAGGCCTCCTCCGACCAGCACCAGCACCAGAGCCACTCACGTAGCGATGGTGCAGCGAGGCATTCAACCGACGAATCCCCACTCCTTAACCATGGGCCCCACCACAACCAAGACCTGGGCCACGGTAACGAAGTCGGTCCCTCTGCTGGTTTCTGGAGCTGCGTAAGTCATGTGTTTCCTTCGTTAGCCTCATCTCATCACAACTCTAATCAGCAACACATACTGTGTTAGTTGTTGCCTCTGTTACGTTGTGTTGGGTTCTATTTCTGGGAACTGTGGAAGTACAACCGGGGGAGAACATGAACTTCTTCCACCTTCTTCCCCTCCCTGTCCTCCAGCCCACCACAAGGTGGCGCAACCGCTAAAAAGTATTAGCATCACCGCCGTCTTGCTTTTCTGTTGTTCTCCTCTGTCTCTCTGTTTCTGGGCTTGGAACGAAATGAACATGCTTGATATTGAGTTGGACTCCCGCTTTCTCCTTTTCTTTCACTTTCGTTTGTTCGACTTTTTGGGTCCGCGGGAAGAAAAAAAAAATACAGTTGCCCAGACCATGTTTAAACAAGAGAATCAGGAACCACAGAGCAATTATTAAACGAAAACCGTTACTTTTTATGGCGTCATTCCTTCATACTCGCACTACCAATGCGTTCATATCTATCGTCCAAACTGACATGAATCCACCCTTTCTATTTTGTCAACTTTGTAGACGATCAATCTGGCAAACACCATCCTTGGCACAGGCATGCTCGCCATGGTAAGCAAGTCTACCATATCAGGACTCGTTCAACGGAATCTATTTCGACACAACACAAAGGGGCAAGAGAACACTCAGGAGCACAACGGGACTGAACCTTTTTTTTAATGCTTTTCTCTCAATATTCCTCATTCTTAGCCTGGAGCACTTGCCACTGTTGGATTGCTGCTTGGAAGTTTCATGATCGTCTTCTCGGCGTGCGCATCTGGATTGGGACTCTACTTCTTGACCAGGAGTGCTAGTCGGACACAGGGCCGTGCGGCCTCGTTCTTTGCCTGCTCAAAACTCACATATCCCTGGGCAGCTGTTGGATTCGACGTGGCGATTGCTGTCAAGTGCTTCGGTGTCGGCATCTCGTACTTGATCATCATTGGCGATTTGATGCCCGAGGTCGTGAGATCTCTGGGTATGATTGCGTTTGCAGCTGCAGGAGGCGATGGTTCGGGCGACATGGACCCTCAGCTCTGGTTCTTGGTCGACCGCCGGTTCTGGATCACCATCTTTATGGCCATCATTGGACCCATCTCCTTCTTGAAGCGTCTGGATTCGTTAAAGGCCACTAGTGCATTGGCCTTGGGAGCTGTTGTCTACCTGGTCTTCATCGTTGTCTATTACTACACCTACCCTGACCAGCCCTTGCCCCCCAAGGAGGAGATTCGTCTTTTCCATCCTTCCGCCCAGTTCTTCACTACCCTGCCCATCTTTGTCTTTGCCTTCACCTGCCATCAGAACGTAAGTGCGATCAGGAAGTATATGATATAGTACAGTAGAACCCTTGTCGTATGTCCAGGCAATTAATCATACAAGACACTTGGTCTCTTCATTCCCTCCGATAGATCTTTTCGGTGTACAACGAGTTGTCGGACAATGGACAGAGCATGCTTAACAGGATCATCACGACCTCGATTGGATCTGCTGCTGTCATTTACCACGTTGTTGCAATTCTGGGATACCTTACTTTTGGAAACATCGTCGGCAGCAACATTATCCAAATGTACAACGCCTCGCTTCTGGTTACAATTGGACGCATTGCCATTGTGATCTTGGTTATGTTCTCCTTCCCGTTGCAGGCCCATCCTTGCAGAGCATGCCTGGACAAGGTGTTGACCGCATTGGTGCAGTTCTGGCAGTCCCGCTTCGGCAAGGACGCTGACTACAGCACTCTCAACAATGAGCAGGATGATCACGATGACGAGCCTTCGACAGTTACCTCTTCCACAATCCCCAACTCTGTGCAGTTGGACGAACATGGCGAGCCCATCCAGGTGACCTCGGAACTCAAGTACATACTTATGACGATGGGAATCCTCATTGGAAGCTATTTGATTGCGATCACTGTCTCGGAGCTAGAGCTGGTGTTGTCGATTGTCGGCTCCACTGGATCGACCGCCATCTCGTTCATCCTGCCTGGCTCGTTCTACTACAAGCTGCACCAGAATGATCCTTGGACTGGACGTAAAATTTTGTCGGTCTGCTTGGCTGTCTATGGAACTATGGTCATGATCATCTGTCTCACCGCCAACCTCCGTCGTTTAAGCCATGGATAGAGAAAACTATAGACCTTTTCCTACCATATACTCTATTTCCTCATTTACCCCTCTTCTTCGCTTGTTCTCCCCACTCACTATTGCTTATAAACCTCACTTGTTTACACATATTTTGACACGCGTTTTTAATATCGTTATTATTGTACAATTGGTCCCCGAAAAACGAACAGAGACAGAGGAGGGAGTTGACAGTCCGGTGCTGTAAAAGAGAGCAAGTGAGGTTTACTCTGGTGGCTGCAGTCCGCCGAGACCTTCGAGGTTGATATGTGCGCTCTTGGAGTACGAATTCCAGACCTGAGCGATCAGCATCGTCGACTGTGTTTGGTTGTTGACCTGTTCCAGCTTCTGATTCAGCTGCACCAGTGATTCATTTAGCTTCTCCTATGGACATCAGTGACAAAGTAAAAAGTGAAATGGTCATGAGTGTTGAGTGTGAGGGTTACGCACGGGGTGGATGTAGAAGGCAGGAAGGACTGGTAGGATGGAATGGGTGCTAATAGTCAAGAGTGTGTGTTTTATGTACCACGTTGAGTGCGATTCTGTTGAGGAGAGCGGCCTGCTGCTCCTGATGTGGGTTCATGGCGTTCATTTATGTGCTGTGTGAGTGAAGGTGTCTGTTTGAAGTGGTATGCTGAGAAGCAGAAAAATAATAACCGACCCTTCCTTGTAAAGCCGTCAGGTGACTGTCCTACCTTGGGCGCGTCTTTTCGGCTCATTTTTTTTTCAGGCTGTCCAGAAGGATCACCAAGCAGAAGGCTCTCTATCCCACGCCAACAAAACGGTGGCATAGGAAGAAAAAGTAACAAAAGCAGGACAAGAATGGAGCGAGGTTAGAAATACCGAAAACAGAGGCCCCAGCTCTTCCCCTCACTTTTAATGTTTCGTATCGAGTCTGGAGAGAACGATCGATCCCGACACCTAAACGAAACGTTTAGTTTATCTTCCTTTTACCATTCATTCGCATGAAACTGGTTACTGTGACAAAATGATGGGCAAGAAAAAAATATCCCACTCTGTGTAGCTCCGGGACAGGGTCTTTCGTTTTTGTTGACGTTCTGTGCGGATGCTTCCATGGGACCGGGTTGTGCCTGTGAGTTTCACTCTCCCACTTTCTCAAGTTCTTGCCTATTGTCTACTTTCATCAGCTCTCAGCTTTGTATGCAATACAAATAGGCCACTATCCTTAAGAACGAAATGATGGGACTGTGAGGAGTGCTAACAAGTGGTCCGATGATACATCCTCAAGGACCACAACTCCAGACCCGACTTCTTCATAGTTCGCCATAACCCTCACCCAGCCTCACTCGATGATCTCTCCTGAGAGGTCACCGAATCCTCCCCCGTCTGTGCAGACATTGACATCCAACGGATCGTCTACCCTCACACGGCCCCCTGCGCATGGAGCCCTACTTCGTCCTCTTTTGCGATGTTGGTGAATGGGTTGAGGTCTGGTTGGCATATTGATCGACTGGGAGTGTCTTTATCGTCACAGCTGTTGCCGTCGACTTCTTCGTCGGGAGAGTCGCATGTTGGCGATTCAACCACACAGGGGCGCAGTCTGTTGTTGCCTATCTCGAAACATACGGCTCATCAAGACAATACTTCGGATAGCTTGTGTCATTCCAAATCTTGGGCGCAGTCGATCTAGAGTCGAGCACCAAGGACATCCTGTTTACTTTCTATACAAAAATAGATACCCTCCGCGAGCCTCCAGTTCGGTGGTCAATGGTAAACACAGTTGGCCTTTTGTTTGTCATATTCGCCAGTCCCACATTTCTCTACGACGATTACTTATACGTCTCTAACACACAATACACGTTTCTGTCTTTCAAACAGGGCAAGTTCGAGGCGAAGGAGCCACCATCGACAGTTTACAGACTATTGGCATGCAGGAACAACAGCATCTACGCTCTTGGATCATCCGACAATGGTCTAGTCATGTCCATGTTTCCAGAGAACATCTCCTCCGTGGCACTTTATGCGATACGACCTTTACCCTCGTCAATCACAACAGTTGATAACCCAGGAGTTGACTTGGACTGCGTGCGCTCGAGAGTGAACGGACAAGGATGACAGCCGACAAGAGCACCATTTACCGGTCGTGCTATCCTTCCAGAAAGGTATGCATTGCCTCGGCTTAAGCATTTTGACCTTGAACCGACAAGTCGTTTCCTAAACACTTTTTCAAGTTGTATACAAGTTTGACGGGAAAAATTCCAACAACTATCCCCAATCCCTGCAGAGGCCATCTCTATGTACACATCCCTCAACACCCCCTTCCTTATCCCCGTCCCCAACAAAGATCCTGCACCTCCAGCCATCTGGGGACTCATCTCACTCGGCGACGGAAAATTACAGCTCTACAACCTCACCGGAGGGACCACCTTCAACACTCCCAAGATCTTCCAAACAAATCGCCCATACACCTTGTTTCCAACCACCGTCGAAGACCCGCAACACCCACCCGTCACAAAATCAACAACCTTCGGGATGCTCCTGGGCGTCGCAGCGTTTGGATTACTGATGTCCGTCTATGGGATGTTTGTCTACCGCCGCAGCCGGCGTACCGAATCTTTGATGGCCGTAAAGGGCGGAGTTAACAGACAGGCGTATGGAGAGGATGGGTGTGATAGTTTGCCGAGGTACACTCCTCGCGAGCACCCCGCTGATCTTTCCGGGTTTTTTGTGGGAATGTTCCATGGGCGGGCGACAAGGCATCCGAGTTACAAGACTACGCTTTCGGTGAACTTGTCAAGGCCGGCGACTAGGGCGACTATGTTGACGTTTCCTTCGACTTTTGCCGACTGAACCTGCTACTGAATTAGATCTTCATGAAATTTCCATTACCGCGGCAGTCGATGAATTCGTGACGCCTGAAAGGAGTGAGATCGTTTCAGCAGTTCCAGAGTCAACATCAGCAAAATCAGCGACAACAGATTCTGCCTCAGCGACACCAGCAGCAGCAGCAGATTCCATTACAACCGCGCCATTGGAGTCACCAGATCTCTCGCCACCCTCTACCAACACGGCCACCAGCGGAGGCTCTTAGGTCAACGTCCTTGAATAAAAAAATATTTGCATCTCCAAACCCCAGGTACAGCTTTACTACAGTAGAGGACAGACATGAAAAAGCCCAAATCGAAAGCTGATGTTTAGATGGGTATATAACGTGTCTTGTCGTCTCGTTCTCGTCATTCATTGTTCATTCTCCATAGTTTCTTATACCCAATTCCACCCTTTCTTCTCTCCTTCTCCCCTCAGCTCTTGTTTCTCGTTACCTCACTGTACAAGCTTGTTATTCACGCCTTTCACAGACAACTCTTGTCTTATACCATTTCGTCCATTACAAAACACAGCATAGCAGCCGCCGCCATCTGTAGGACCGATCAGATACGAACTCGTGTCACATACCAACAACAAGCTTTACGTGATTGGAGTCGAGCAATCCACAAGACATTTACCAGCGACAATCATCCCCTTCGCACACGCTCGCCTATCGCCGTTCCCCTCGGAAGACGACATCGCGACTGTCGAGAGTACCCCTGAATAGGGCTGCGGCCTCTAATATGAATGGACCACGACTATCTGAATGAAGTCTTTTTGCTCTGTTATCCTCAGGTACACGTCCATCCTTGTTTTACCATACAATGTGTTTGATGGGCAACTTCTTGACCGTCATGCATTTTTTCACTTTCTTTTACTCACGACCTCAGAAACCAACAAACACAACCGCGGACGCGTTCCAGATCTAGGCATTCGACGGGAGCGCATTCCGACATATCAGCGCGCTCACAAATTCAGCACTCACCCCATCGATCAGCCACAATATGGCACCGCACTTTACCATCGCACCCGCAGACCCGTACCCTTCCCCTGGAGGACCAGGATCAGAGGTCCAAATGAGCCTACCTATCGTTCGACTATGGCGTCAAGGGCTACCGTTTAGACCTCGCCAGGAATCTACTACCCCAGCACCACCGCCTCCGTTCAAGCAGATCTGGGTATCTCCAAGTCGCTCAAATTGGATTACGATACTGGGTTTCAGGACTGGTCATCCAACCCTCGTCATACCTCGGTCTGAAACTGATTGAGCGGCGCTTTGGGTCTACTGCTCGTTGGCCTTATTACAGAATTCACACAAAGCTAACAACACCTTTCTCCAACAGACATCGTCGTCGTTGTCCCTCCCCACACGCCGAGCTACTGATATTGGTGTCTCAGGTACCCAGAATAGAGAAGATGCTGATGATACCCTTCCTCCGTACACTCTGTGCGCGCCATCGCCGCTACCGACACCAAACAGAGCAAGGAGCAGCTTTTATAGCTGCAGTTGTTTCAGAGAGCGAGATGGCAACTTTGAGCCACCTCTGTTCCTTGCTGTAAATCGTTGCCGTTGTTATGGCCTTTGCTTTTGGAATATCCACTACCTGAATTTCATGCTAGCGGCTTGATCCCGTGGAGTTCACTTTTTCGCGTGTGTAAGTAAACAAAAGAAAGGCAAAAAAAAATGAATAGGTTTCTGGTGTATGTAATCCAACTCTGTTGTCGGAGTGTGGCGGTGGTGGAGGCAATTGCATTATTCATAAATGAACATGTCTTTTCTCATATCCCTTCCATTACCCGGTAACGTTTGGTTTTTCCTTTCGAAAATTGATATTACCTCACGCCACGCCACAGGATTATAGTGGTGCGTGTATATCACCGTGGCGGGTGCACGTTCTTTTATTGTTTCCCAACATATAGCATTCTATCCGAAGACGGAATTTGTTCAACTATATGTACCTGAACCGAAAAAAATCCCCCCAGTGAAGACATAGAGGAATGAACGAATGGGACGAACAAATCGAGAACAACAAACATAACAAGAGAAAGTCTCTGTCTCAAAAAATGGTACCTGTGTACACGTACCGACATCGTGCGCCCTTTTTTCCCCCACCTCTCGCATTAAGAGCGGATCTTGCTCTTAAAGTGAGTACAAACGAAAGCGTGGGTTGTGTTATTTGTGTTGTTTGTGTCGTGACGCCTGTTACAAAAAGGATCTGATAACTCTTTTTTCTTCTTGAGCTGAGAACGAATGGAAGGGTTGTCTGTGGGTCTGAGAATGAATAAGGGGAATGGGTTCTGTAATGGGCGAGAGAGAAAAAGGGACTCACACGCATCTGGCTGGCTGGGCTCAGGTACCAACCGACTGACAACAACACTAGACAAGAAGACAGAAGGAAAGAAAAAACAGATGAAGACGAGGAGGCAGGCTTGACGCCCAACCGACAGCAGCTGATGTTTGTTGCTTTTTTGTTTAGCATACGGAACACTTGATGGTTGTCTCTTTCACCCTTCGCTCCCCTCTCTGTTTCTTCTCTTTCTTCCTTTCCTTCTCTCTTCTTTACTTTTCTCTTTCAGGCTTAGTCATTCCCCCTCCGTCTTCCTTCTTCCTCTCCCATACTCACATTCGAAACTTGCCTCATACCCTTCCCTCTCACCCACACTCTACTTCGTAACATCCGTTCCTACCCGTTCCTTTTCCCTCTCCCTTCTTCATCCATATTCAACAGCAAAGCACCCTACTCCTCTTCCTTTCATCCTCCACTCTTCTTCTCTATCCACTCACAACTCCAGGAAAGCAATGGACGGAATATTCCCAGTGTGTTATACAACAATCGGCGGCTACATCTACACGGCTGCCTACGATACCCGCCAGAACCGCGCCCAAGCCCGATTGATTGTTGCTCAATCAAAATACTACCCAACCTCCCTCAACAACCTGACCTGGGACGCCATCGGCGAAGTGCCCCAAGACCTCATCCGCGCCGCTCTCTTTGAGGACTACACCTACAACTGTGCTTGGAACAATGATACTGGGACGTTTGCGCTTCTGGGTCAGACTCTTGCGAAATCTTCGATGACGAATACGACGAGTCGGTTTGGGATCGAGTTCTCGACGGCTTTCAGTGGCGGGGTTGTTTCTCCACCGACAAAGAAGAAGCCGTTGCCGTATCTGGAATTTGAGACGGACCCGTATCGGCCTGTAGATACGATTGTGGAGGGGAGGAGTGTTTTGGTGCCTGTTGAGGGGGTTGAAGGGGCGGTTGAGAAGGGGGATGGTGTGGGGAATGGCAAGGTTTGGGGTGGTGGAGGGTGGGTTCATGCGCAGTATAATGTGACCAGTAGGGAGTTGTTGTTGAAGACTTTTCGGTACGATCAGATGTTTTATGAAGCGCCTCAAGTTGCTTGGAGCATGGTAAGTTTCAAGGACAGGGGCAAGGACAGGCAAAAAAAAAAGTTCAATCTGATAAGGAGAGAGACGAAAGACACAGAGACTGTTTTGATTTGATTTTTTTTTCTCACAGAAAAAGATTAGATCCAATCATGTCACTCACCAAATATTCAAGACTTCACACTAATATGTAACTTTAACTCTCGTAATGTTTTCTATAGGACACTTATGGCCCATTGGTGTCAGGGAGAATAGGACCCGTGCCCGGGACAAGGGACTACCACCTCATCGCACACTCAAACACCAACAACAAACTCTACATGGTCGGATCCTCCGTCGTCAACGGAACCCTCCTCGTCACAACTCTGCCCCTCAACCCCAAGAACCTTGGAAAAAAACCTCTTACCGTTGCCCAACCTGAACGGTACCAGGGTCCCACGATCGATTCAGATCTAGGAAAGGACTGTGACCTTACCCATCCTTGGTCTACTGCGAGTGCTCATAACAGTCAGCTCTTTGTCCTCTGCTATCCCAAGATTGAGGTACTTGTCGTTGTTTTACTCTTTCAACCGTACACGTTTGTGTTTGTACTTGAATCGTTTCTTGTCCTTGAGAGGTCCATTTATTTACATCCTTTATTTTCATCTCCTTCCTTCTTCCCCAACAGGCAGAACGGAACAAAGACCTGCAGCTGTTCTTATTCAACGGCACAATCTTCCAAAAGATCGCATCCATCACCCTAACCACAATTTCAACCACAGACCACGGGCCTCGCATCGTTCACATCCCCTTCAACCCCACAACAGACATCAAAGCCTCCACTTGGGCCTACCTCTCCGTCAATTTCGGACGCAGGGGCTATGTCATTGACCTTACTGGCTTCACCACCGGCGGCGGAATCGGCGGGACTATTAATATTGACGGAAGGGCAATCTCCCAACCTTTTGTACTCAATCCCGAGAACCCCTACCTTTCCAACGATATCTACAAGGACGGCGCTCGTCCCCGGATCCCAATCGCGGCCTGGGTAGGCGGATTCCTTGCTCTCCTACTCATCATCCTCTTCGCAGTCTGGATGGTGTACAGACACAAGGTCCGCGCAAAGGAAGCCCGGCGCCGAGAAATGATCGCCAACGGGATGGATCCGGACATGAACCCAGAGACGGCGGGAGGCGTGACACGGACTCAGCATGGCGATGATGCTTCAGATGCCTTGCCGTTGTATACTTTGCGCGCACCCTCGGTTCCGTTCATGGTACAGCAGCCGACTGATCACTCTGCACCTACTATTACGGCTGTAGGAACTGCGATCGCTACGGCCACTGTTGCTGCGACTGCGACTGCTTCTGCTGGTGCGCCGGTAGCAGCGACGCCTATTCCAGCGGCGACGCCTGAACCGTCCGATTTGCCTCCAGGCTACTCGCCTGATCTTTCCACACCCAGAAACGGCCAGCAGGAAGATACCCGCTCTGTCTGCATCGAAAGCGAAACTAACTCTGTCAACACCCCAGCCGTCGACACTGCCTTGGCCACCGACGCTTCAACCGCCCAAGGAACCACAGATGTCCCAGCTGCCGTCGAAAGCGAGACCATCACTACAACTCCTCCTCACCCTTCGACCACCGCTAGTGACAACAAAACCAACCTTTAACTCTCACTTACTCATTTCACACCATATCATTTCTACACCATTCACGTTCAAGCATCGATTAACCATAAAGTAATATTAAAGAGTATAGATGTATTTTTGTGGGATGAAATGCGTAAAGATGCAATAATGGGTGGGTCTATCGTTTTCCGGTTTCCTTTAAGGATTGCGCGGGACTGGAAGGAAGATGCAAAAAAAAAGAAACAGAAGAAAAATAATACAAAAGGAATTCACACACACACACAAAAGAGAGTAGAGAGGTAGAAATCTATGGAATGCAGGGACAAAGAAAGAAAACGCTAAAAATACAGGAGAGTAAGAAGGAAAGAAGGTAATGACCTTCCCTTTTCCAAATGCTGTGCGGGTAGAACATCGGTACCATGGGGCCCCAAGAGTTAGGCTTCAAATGAGGGAAGAGAAAAATGAAAAATGGGGTATAAGTACAAATGTAACAAGTGCCAGCATCCTGCATCCGTAACGTATGGAAAATAATGAAGTGGTCAAAGAAAAAAGAAAAAAAAAGTATCGTCGAGAAGTTCAGACACAAATCCTGCGCGAGGAAGAAGGGTTTTGGTTCTTGGTTTAGAACCAGCTGTTGCCGCCGCTTCCACCTCCAGCGCTATAGCCGCCGCCATAGCCGCCACCGCTATTGCCGCCGTATCCACCACCGCCATAGCCTCCCTGGCTACCTCCGTACGAGTTAGAGCCGCCCCAGTTGTTGTTGCTCGACTTTCTGATATCACGACCACCGGTTTGGGCTCCACCACCACGACCGCGACCACGACCACGGGTCGATCCTCCTCCTCCTCCTCCATACGAACCCTCTCTGGCGAGGGTCTCAAGCCAGCCGGGAACTTCCTGATTGGCCTCCTTCAAGAGCTCAAGCAAGTCACGGACAACGCCCTTGTTGCCGCGGTTCAAGAAAGCAGTGGCGATACCAGTGTTACCAGCACGACCGGTACGACCGATTCTGTGAACATAATCATCGATATCCGTGGGCAAGTCGTAGCTCACAACGTGGGTGACGTTGGGGATATCCAAACCACGGGCAGCGACAGCAGTCGCAACCATGACGGGGCAGCGACCGGAACGGAACATGTCCAGGGCACGCTCACGCTCGCGCTGAGTGCGGTCTCCGTGAATCGAGGTGGCGGGGAAGTTTTGGCTGAGCAAGAAATCCGAGAGGGTATCGGCCATACGCTTGGTCTCGACGAAAATCAAGGTCAAGCCCAAATCGCCCTTGGGCTGGGCGTGGAGAATGTCGAGAAGAACGGAGCGCTTGTCCTCGTCCTCGACGTATTCGATTCTCTGGGTAATGTTCTCGGAGGTCGAACCGACACGACCGACCGACAAGAAGATGTAGTCGCGCAAAAAGTCGCGAGCAAGGTGCTGAATATCGCGGGGGAAGGTGGCCGAGAACATGAGGGTGTGGCGCTGGTCGACTCCGGGCATATCCTCCTTCTCGACCAAGCGTCTGATCTGGGGCTCGAAACCCATGTCCAACATACGATCGGCCTCGTCGAGGACAAGGTACTGAACGTTGGCAAGGGAGACACGGCCGCGCTCGATCAAATCGACCAAACGACCGGGGGTAGCAGTCAACATGTCGCATCCACGGTCAATGGTGCGGAGCTGCTGACCAATATCGGCTCCTCCATAGACGACGCAGGAGCGGACCCAGGAACGGTAAGAGAACTTGCGGGACTCTTCCCAGATCTGCGAGGCCAACTCACGGGTAGGGGCAAGAATCAAGGTCGAGGGGTAGGCCTTGCGGGTGCGGCCAGCACCGGCCTGCTCGGGGAGGGAAGCAGGTCCACGCTTGAAGAGCTCAGAGAGAATGGGGAAGAGGAAACCACCAGTCTTTCCGGAACCAGTCTGGGCACAAGCCATCAAATCACGATCGTTGCCGACAATGGGGATGGAGTACTTCTGGACGGGGGTAGGCTGAACGTACTTGGAGAGCTCAATGTTCTCGAGGAGAAGGGGGTCCAGAGGGGGGCTGGTGAAGGTCAAGACGGGCTCGGGGACGTCGTTACCGGAAGCCTCAACGGGGATGTCGTCATACTTCTCAAAGTTAATACCGGTGCTCTGGCGCTCCTTGTCCTCAGTGCCGTAGAGCTCACGCTCGAGACGGGGGTTGCGGGCAGCAGGGATCTGGACGCCGTTCTTGAAGGTTCCGACATCGCGATCCAAGCGGGGGTAGCCAGACGAAGGGGTGTCGCTGCGGCGACCGCCATATCCGCCGGACGAGGCACGGTCGTTCCAGCCAGCAGAGGACTGGGGCTGAGCAGGCTCGTTCCAGCCGCGGTTGTACCCGCTCTCAGAGGCACCACCCCATCCTCCGGTGGTGCGAGCGTTGTTGGGGTTGCTCTGACGAGGAGGAGCATCCCAGCTGAGTAGTTGGTAAGTTCAAGAGAGAAGATAAGAAAAGAAAATGATTAGTACGATGCGAAAGTTAAGGAGGATGCCTGAGAGGGGGTAGGGGGGTTTCGATCAGGATAAGCCTTTTTTGTGCTGTAAAGTGCTCTCTTGTGAAGATACATACCTATCGTTGCGAGGAGAGGAGGCAGCGGGGGCCTGGTTTCTCAAGTGAGGAGGAACGTAGGCAGGACGACCACCGGAAGGACGGCCGCCACCGCGGGATTCATTAACGCCCATACCAGCTATCATTTAGGCAATAGAGTAGAGATGACGACAGAGAGGTTAGCACTAAGAACTGATCAGATTAGACTGGAGCTTGACAATAATGCTCTCATCCTGCAAGTTGAAGGCTGATGAAGACGTCGATGAGAGTGCGGTAGAAGTTTGCTGATCTGACTGCGAAGGGTTTGCAGCTGATTCAGACCAGAAACAGTCTGTGCCAATAGGTAAACAATAAACAAAAAATACAAAAGTGATCACGTTTCGGTGATGGTCCGTTCTCGTTGATAAGACAGATGATGGCGAAGGTGGATGCTGGCTGTTGTTTGCTGGTTCGTTGTTGCGGGTGGAATGGTCCATGGGTTATGTGTTGTCAGTGTTAGAGAGAATAGGAGTAGCTTACCAAACTGCTGATTGAGGCCGTTCAAGTTGTCATTATGGCTCATTGATGAATATAAAAAAGGGAAGAGGGTGAAAGAAGGGTAAAGATCTTTTTTCCTTGGTCGTCTCCTTTTGTCTGTTCATAAACTTTTTTTTTTTTGCTTCTCTGGGCATTAGGCAAACTGCGGGTTATCTATCACCTGATACAACAAACGCGATAGCTAATTCTGCAATGACGTAAGCATTTCCCCGCCAAGGGACTGATATCACTGCCGAGACATGTCACTAATATCACATCAAAGCTGAAGCACTGAATGGTACTGTCGATCGACAAAGGCGGGATGTGGTTTTGGGGGATCGTGGAGGAAGAAGGGAGGCAACAGGTAGCATACACGGTGTGTGTATGTGTGTGTTAGAGCATGCACATATCCCCCCTATGTGTAATGACAAACAGAAACGCCGACTTGCGCTCGCATGTGCTTTCCTTTCATACAGAAAGATACATAGGTTGGTTCTTGTTGTGTTGTGTTGTGTTGTGTTGTGTTGTGTTATGTTGTGTTGGCAAAAGATAATTGCTCTGTTCAACTCAACCCTATACTCGTTTTTCTTTTCATAACACTCTGAATTAGACCTTGGTGCTACCTACTGTTGCAATGAGCCATCTGAGCACCCATCCAAAGCCGATAATAAATAATGCAATTGAATCAAGCCTAGCCGTGGCCGGGTAGTAATGTAAATAGACAGAGCAGGGTCGAAGAAGGAGATGGTTAAAAAAAGAGAGCAAAGGAGGAGTAAAGTAGTAAAATAGCATCGGCGTCTGCTTGAAATATGAGTTGTGCATTTGTGTGGGTGTGAGTAAGAGGACAGGATGTGCCACCCAACCATGCCAGCGTGTAATATTAACTACATGAACCCCCACCAACCCACCAATCCAATGCTCAGCCAATTTGTCAGGCACACGCCCCAGGGTTTTTATCATGCCTTTCTGTCAATGCCTTTCTACTTCCTACCGTTTGCACGCTCCTTTCCCTTTCTTCTCCCTCTCTTTCTTCTTCTCAACCTTTTCTCCCTCCTCTCTTTCTTCTCATTCTTCTTCTCCAACCTTGTACCCTTACCCGCCCTTTTAACCTTTTTCTTCTTCTTCACCTTCGTCCTTCCTTCACACTCCACTCGACCACTCTCGCCCATTCACAATTCAACGGCACACCCACACGGCACTTTGCCCATGCCTCGACCTTCCTGATTCTTCCCACTAACACCACCACCCACAACCTTCCCGCTCCCTCGTCTTCTCTTTCCCGCAACCTTCCTTTTCTCTTCACGTTTTTATTACAATTCCTACTTTGCATACACCTTTTTTAACTCGACGACGACCCAAGTGTCTTTATGTTAACTGAGAAGAATATGTTGACAACCCCGGCGCGTCCAACCTCCCTCAGTCGAAACCAATCCTTCGAGGTAACGATAGCTTCCGTCAGGGTGGGCATTTTGCATAGACCAACAGGGCCACACACAACACCGTCCAATGGAACACAATGGAGCAGAGAGGAACTACAGGACAAAATAGAGTGAGCTAAAACAAAGGACAGGACACTCAGCGAGCAGGGCATGTCAGGATAGGGAATAAGCATCCCCCAGAAAGAGATAGATGGAAGGTGGCCAAGTACGAGAGAAAAAAAGATACGTTTGCTCGAGCAGCGGAGCGTTCTTTTATCGTTTGCTCAGCGAGGGTGACCATTACCACCACCCCACACAGACACAGATATAGCAGTACGAGCAAGCATGCATGCCTTGTCGTTGCTTTTCTTGGGCCCTTCTTGTATTGGACATTTGTTTTTCTTTGTCTGTCTGGCCTTCCCGCCTTGCCTCTATTTTTCTTTGTGCGTTTCCACACTCACCCCGGCTAGCCCCATATGTATCGTTACCACACGGGAATGGCGGCATCTTTGAAAAGGGTATGCATGGGGTCCTGTCCAGGGGCAGGACAGGAGAGCAAGGACTACCACCTTTGGACCCGATAGCACGGACGCACAAAAAATGGCGACTCGTGATAGATATTATCTGAAGATATATCATGCCATGCCTTGCCATGCCTTGCCATCCATCTTATTCAAGCAACAACAGCAACATCATCATCCACAGTAACTACCACGACTGCAGCAGCAACAGAAAACCACCTCAATATTCACCCTTGTACTGTACTTCACACAGAGACCATCTCAAACTCTTGCACAGTCCACCACTCGCTCTTTTGGCAACTTCCTTTCAAGTCCTTGCTTTCGTCAAAAGGCAGGAACGAGTCCGTGTGACAACCCATGTCCTTTTCACCCCTTCACCACCCTCACTCGTCTCTCCTAATCTCGTTGTTTCGTGCTTCACACCGGTGTTTACGCTTGGGTCTGTTCGCACGAGGGAGCACAAAGGAATGGAATGGATGATCCGTCCTCGCCCTTCCTTCTCGTCCCATCGTCACGAGAAAAAAACGAGGGCCCACCGACCCCTGAATGAGACTAACTTGGCCCCTATCTCCTTCCTCCCCTGCACAACACACATCCCAAACTCACCACCACTACTCTTCTTTCCCTTTTTTCTTTCTTCTGAACTGACAGAGTCCTCCGTGCCCGCCTTACAACCAAGAAGACATCCTGGGTAGGTGGTTTATTCATCTGAACTTTTTGCTTTCCCATGTGTCAATTTTATACCAGCAACCCGAAGGAGAAAAAATATATGTCCACTGTTACCATTCCCGCGGATCGCTCCCATCCTAACATTAGAACATCTTGGATCCTTTTGGTTTTTTGTACAACCCTCCATCCAAAACACTACTATCCCGATCAAACCAAAAAAAAAAAAAAAAAACTCACACACATACAAAAACAACAACATAGCACACGCACCAGCATCAGAAGAAGACGAGCTCTGGGCCGAGCTGGAGCGGATAAAAGACGCAAGGGCCTTGCGAGAAAAGTTCTATGCTGAACACCAGCTGATGCGTGAACAACTCAATATGGCCGGTCGTTTTGGTCTCGATCTCCAACAAAGTCTAGAACAGGCACAACGCGCGGAGCAAGAATCTTATGCCCAGGTAATAGCAAAATCGACACACGAGCGACGACAATTGGCGACCCTTTCGTATCCTATTCCTAGGAGCTGAGCTTTCCTTTCATGATGCCTATTCTTACCTTTTCTTTCTGTTGCTTTGTTTTCCGCCTCGGCTGCTGGTCCGTGTGTTTTTGTACTGGCATTGAATATATATTAATAGCTCCAATCGTTACAGGAAGAAAATATGATGCTCCAGTCAAGAGCCCACCACTCTCGTGAACTCGCCAGCCATCTCACAGGATCACAGGACGAGGTCATGAATCTGACCAACGAAAAGGACACCCTCCAGCGCGAGCTGGACGGCTGCCGTCGAGAACTAAAGACGTTCCGCAAGGAACTCGACAGTCTTGTCGGACAGATGACCGAGATGGGAACCGAGGTCTTGGACGCCAAGACCAAAGTCAGTCATTACTCTCGTCGATTGAACGAGGTCGAGCAGGAACTGGGCGCGACTCAGGAGTTGAACGTCAACCTGCAGGAGCAATTGCATGTCGCCGTTGAGAAGCAGAAACAGGCTCAGTCCAGTACTGCCCAGGTTGTTAAGAATATGCAGTCTGAGTTAGGGAAGGTCATCTCGGACAAGACGACCATCCTTTCGACGCTGGAGGAGTTGGAGAACAGACAGGACAAGTGTGAGGGACGAGTTGTCGAGATGATGACCAACACTCAGGAGTATGCCCAACTGCTGGATGAGGCCCAGACGACGATTCAGACCCTCCGCATCGAGTCTGAGATAGAGGGCCGCGGATGGACCCATCAGATGCCAGCGTCTAAGCGCAGTGTCGGCCAACTCTCAACCCTTGCGTCGGAGGATCCCGAGCTGCACCAGCCAGAGTTTGACACGCATGAGGAAGAGCAGGAGAATGTGCGTGAGGGGGTTGTGATGTCCCTGGGCATGGAGCTCGGATTTGGCAACATAATCAACAACGACGACGAGAACAACATGGTCAGCAGCCCGGTCGAGTTGGTCGTCACACCTACCCCATCCACTCCAGCCCCTACCTCATACCCACCCTCGACTGCTGCTTCGACCAAGCAGCCGACCCCTACAGAGTCTCCTCTGGCCCCACTCTCTAATCCTGCAGCACCCCAGACAAAAAAGTCCGTCGTCCAACCCCAGCCAGAGCCACGACAACAACCTCAGCCGCCACTCAGCGTCTCACCCCAACCTTTCCAAAGCCCCAACACCTCCGAGTTTCAACAACGTCTTGAGGAACACAATATCCTCCAGACTGTTCCGTCGACTGGCCAAAGCCGTCCAGCATGGAATCCTAGCGTCTCGCTTGAGAACATCTTGCCGACTCCAACGCAGGGCCGATCCCGGAGCACCAGCCGGGCTACTTCTCGGAGCAGCTCGAGGTCTGTCAGCCAAGCCAGTCTCCGTCATTCGCCTTCGTCGACGATCAGAAACAACGGCAGCAGCATCATCAACTCTCGAACCTCAGTCATGCCCTCTCCCCAGATGTCGCCTCACTCTATGTCAACCACCAACACCTCGTCGTTGATGGATGCTATCTCGGCCCATTCAGGAAAACGGACCACCGTCTCTGTAACATCGACTAACATCAACAACAATAAGTCATCTCGTCCCAGGAGTCGAACTACAGCTACAACAGTCGAGAAGAACCCTGCCGACAAGAATGCCGCCCCAGGACTCAAGTTCTTGGCGGCCAGGAACGGCGGCAACACAGATCCGTCAAATGTGATCACCAAAACTAAAACCACCACTCCCAAGGCTTCCACAACCACCAAGCCCACCCGGGCTGGAACAGCAACAGTCACCAGCCCTACTCCTCCAAGAGCTGCAGGAAGTGGTCGTACAAGAGCCACCTCGGCCAGTGTGACAACAACGACAACGATGACAGGCACTACTAAATCAGGACGCCATCTCAACCCTGTAACCATCAATGGCACCGGCAGTGCCACCCAGACTGGCCGTTCATCCCCTGTCTCACCGCGTCAACGCATCCGAAGCAGTATCAGTAACGGCAGCCTCAACCACCAAGCAATGTCGCCCTCGCCGGTCCCTGCATCCCCCTCGTCCTCAACAGCGACCCACGCAACCCAGGCGACCACCGCGTCGACCGCACCCGAGACTCAGTCTGTCTCGCGCTCGAACACCTCCTCTCCCAAGGACGTGTCCCGCCCCTCCCTCTCGCCATCCCCCTCTTTCCTTTCTTCACCTTTGCCCTCCTCCGAGCCCTCAGATGCGTCCAAGCAATTGAGGGCCATGGCCGAAGAAAGTTCAAATGGTACTGGATCCCGTCGCCCATCCGTCACATCCTTGCCTCTACCCTTACCCGTCCCCGTAGCTGCCGCCATCCCCTCTTCGGCTTCTTCGTCCAACAGTATCGCAGCGATCGGGACTGTGGCCATGCCTGTGACCACCGGAGACCTTGTTGCCTAAACCTCTCCAAAAACATACCCCCCTCCCCCTCTCCTCATTACTCCTCATTCACAACCAATCCATTCTACCTCTCCTCTGTTCTAGTTTTTTTTTTCTCTTTTCTTTTCTTTGCTCTTTATCTTCTACAAATGTACTAATAGGTGTCTGTTCAAAAAAACTATACCCATGGCGCGCTTTCCCCCTCCATATCTTTTTTGTACCAACAGACCGAACCGCGCGCGCGATGAATAAATGCACACACATCCCTCCCATTTCTCTTCACTGTTTGTAAAGCCAGATAAAATATATGTATTAAGACAAATGAGCATTTCAAGAATGGGGGGAAAAAAAAGAAAAAAACTAGTAAGTATTATGTATGTAAGAAACAATAGATGTAAGGTAGAAAGATATGAAGCTTTAGGCCCTTCTTTTTTTTTTTTTCTACGTGGTGCGCTGAATGGACTTTGTGCGAGAGAAGATGGTCTTGATGGTCGGGACCATATTCAACCCAATAATCTCATCATTCAACGTCGTCGGCCTCAACTTTCTCAACACCAACTGTCTCACACTGACATAGAACAGAATAAACACTCCAAACGCAACAGCAATCAGCAGGTACACGAACGGGGTATCGTTCGACGTTCCAAAGACGACCGGCAGACCTGGACAATAGACTATAAAGAAACCCAGGCCAGCGCCGAAAGCACCTCCGATGAAGGACCGAGGGTTGGAGAACATGTACTTTCCAAAGGGGAGCCGGTATTTGGTCTTGCAGGCAAACATGTTGAAGAGTTGCATGATCATGATGCTGAGGTAGAAGGAGGATTGGGCTTTTGCGAGGAGCTCTAGGTTCTGCTGGTCGGAGGTTGAGGAGAAAAGGTCCTGCTTTTGGTATTCGACTGCTTGGGCGGGGGTGAGGCCTCCTTCCTGATAGAGGACGACAAAGAAGACGACTAGGGCGCCGATGGTCTGGATGATTCCAACTTCGAGGTATGCCCAGGAGAGGAGGTTGGCGTCGACTAGGATCTCGTCATCGGTGTGCTCAAACTTCTCGCGCCAGTAGAGTCGTGTGAACAGGGCCTTGAAGTCGTGTCCGAACCGGGCCATGAATGAAGGCTTGACTTCTTCTCCGGATTCGGGGTCGATCGTTGGTGGTAGGGCACGGGTAGCCATGCGACGACGACGCTCGATCGATGCTGGGGTGACGGGTTTACGAGGAGGAAGTTTCATCAATCCAGCCTCGGACTCGGGCTTGTCCCAGGCGAACGTCAGAGAGATGCACAGCTCGAAACCCAGATCGATGACGAGGATCAGCATAGCAGAGATGGGCAGCGGAATCGAGGCAATGACATAGAGCAGGTTAGGGATAACCTCGGGCATCGAGTGGGTAATGGTGTACTGGATTGACTTCTTGAGGTTGGTGAAAATCAAACGACCCTCCTCAATTCCACGAACCGTCGAGGCAAAGTTGTCGTCCAACAAAATCATCGCCGCAGCCTCCTTAGAGACATCTGAACCCGAGATATTCATCGCAATTCCCAGGTCAGCCTTCTTGAGCGCAGGTGAATCGTTGACTCCATCTCCTGTCACTCCAACAATATGGCCGAGAGACTGGGCATGCTTGACAATCAGGAGCTTGTGCTTGGGCGAAGTACGCGCAAAGATAATCTCGGGCTTGGAAAAGATCAGATCCCAATCCCGCTCCGTCAACGAATCAATCTGCTCACCATGAATCACCACTGCGTCGTACTCGTCATCTCCAACTTCCTCCACCGAACATCCACGGTTCTTGGCGACCAGTTCCTTGGTATCTGACAGAACCAGGTTGATCTTGCGTCCAATCGCCTCGGCAGTCAAGGGGTGATCACCGGTCACCATCATGACACGGATACCGGCCGACCGACACCGTCCAATAGCCTCACGGACTCCATGCTTAGGAGGATCCTCAAGCGAGACAAGGCCGACAAAGCAGAGGTTGCTGGTGGGGTAGTTCTTCTTTTCTTTGTCAAAGATATGGCTGTCAGGGTACTGGTCGTCGGGGAGGAGCATCTGGGCAAAGGCAAGGACACGGTGACCCTTGGACGCCATCTGGGCATACATCTCGTCATAGGACTTTGCATGCTCGGCCGTGAGAGGAATCGCAGATCCATTGATCAGGATAGTACTACAGAGACGTAAGATTCGCTCCGGGGCACCCTTCATCAACAGTGTGAACCGTCCGTGGTCGTGGCTCTTGTCGTGGATGGTCATGGCCCATTTGTTCTCCGAGTTGAAGGGGACCTCAAAGACCTTGGGGTACAGGTCGTTCATGTCGTCAAAGTTACCAATGTTGGAGGAAGCGAAGCGGGTCAGGCCAGACTCGGTCGCGTCACCCAGGACCTGGCGTTCCGGAATAGGAACATCGGTGCGATCAAACTTGGCGCGAGAGCAGAGGGCAGCGATGGCGAGGACCTCGGGGATACCGGGCGAGCTGGCGTCAAAGGGGTGTCCATCATTGGCGGCACTACGGAAGGCCGAGTACATGGTCCCAGAGGACCAGATGTTGGTGACAGTCATCTGGTTGCGAGTCAGTGTACCAGTCTTGTCGGTCGCCAGAAGGGTGATTGCACCAAGAGTTTCGACTCCTGTCAGGTCCTTGACCAACACGTTCTGGGCGGCCATGCGTTTGGCAGCGATGGTCAAGAGCATAGTGACGGTGGCGGGGAGACCTTCGGGGACCCAGGCGACAAAGACTCCGACGGCAAAGTTGAGAGTGCTCGAGATACCCGAGGAGCCCTTGGACCGGTAGACGGCGAAGTATCCAATAAGGAAAAAGACAATGGCTGTGGTGATGGCGATGGTGGCAATGATTTTGACAAAGTCGTCAATCTCACGCGAGAGGGGCGACTTTCCTGAATCCTCGCCCGCCGTCAACCCAGCAATTTGACCCAACACCGTGCTATCTCCAGTCCGAATGACCAGTCCATACCCCTCACCGTTGATAATAAGGGATCCGTTGAAGGCCAAGTTGCTCGCCTCGAGCGGGTTCTTGTGTTCGTTGATGGGGTTACGATCCTGAGGGTCTGCTTCGCCGGTGAGGGAGGAGTTGTCGACCTTCATGTCGGTACAGGCAAAGATCATCACATCTGCGGGCACCTTGTCACCCATGCGCGAGAAGACAATGTCGCCGAGGACCAAATCTGCAGCAGGGATGGCAATGACTTTACCATCGCGGACGACGTTACACCTTTGAGGCATTAGGTTCAGGAAAGACTGCAGCACGGCGGCGGACTTTTGAGCTTGGTAGAACTCGATCAACGCGTTGAGAAAGGCGACAATGATCAGAATAGCTCCGAGGTAGGTCTAAAACAACAGGGGTGGCGTAAATAGGGAGACGTTTAGTTTTCTTTTGTTGCTTTCATGTCAATATTCATGCTGGAGGTGGCGAGTTTTTTTTTGTCTTTTCAGGTCGACATTTTCCTGCTGCAGGAATGACTCTGCCTGCACGACGGTCTGAGCGTGTTTCGTCCACTGGTCGGGGTTTGCATTGCCTCCGTTACTCCTTTTCATATTGTCCACAAACAATGGTTTTACTTACGTTGACCCTGTTGTTCTTGGGATCAATAGCAAGAAGAACATAGTTCAGAATACCGGCAAGGATCAACAACAAGTTGAACAATGAAGTCAGGCAATGAATGAACTTCATAAAGGGTGAGATCTGCTTGGGTGGCGCAAGGATGTTGGGACCATTTTCGATCAGACGCGCGGCGGCGACTTCGGAGGAGAGGCCGAAACTGCTGCCTGGCTTGGCCAAGTCAACGCGAGTGCCGTGTCTGGCGGCAATGTCCTCAATCGGGAAGAGATGCTCCGTCTTTCGTGTTGTTGATGTTCATGTAGTTGAGTCAACATGATAAAACGAAAGAGTATGTTAGTGATGCGCCATGATCAATATGCATACTGGGAGAAGGTATCATCATGAATATACACACGCATGTCAATACGAATAAAAAAGAACCAGTATGCTTACAATGTCTAGAGTCTTTTCTGCGACACCAGCCTTCTTGCCCTTGTCTGCTCCATCTGACTTTTCGTTAATAGGAGCAGGCTGTCTCGCGGCTGAGGCAGAGGATTCGACGGGGATAGTTTTAGTTCTGGTCAACTGGAGGGGCTCATTAAAGTCGATTTTGGTCGACTTTTCGATAGTGTCGCCGTTTGGTGGGTTTGAGGACGCCATGGCGTGTAATCTTTGCTGTTGTGGCGGCTAGATATGCTTGCCGTATGATGCAAAGGTAGCGAGGGCAGGGGAGGGAAGCGAAGGAGAGGAAGGAGGGGAAGGAGATAGAAGGAGGAGAGGGTACCAAATTGACGGTGTAGTGGATAGGTGCAGCGGACAGGATTAGCGGGAGCGGGAGTGGGATGAGGAAATGAAGGAAGGAGGGAAGGAAGAGGACGGGAAAGGGAAGAGAAAAGAGAAAAGAGCAGAGAGAAGAGAGAAGAGAGAAAAGAGCAGAGATGAAGAGGAAGAAAAAAATACAACGTGGTCTGGTTAGTCAGGGTCCACTGTTTGTGTTCAAAAGTTCAAAAGGTAAAGAGGGTGGACAAGGGTGCCTAAGGATGCGATTGGCTGGTATAGACAGGCAACAGCGACAACAAGCCTATGTCCCACCCCATCCATGCAACATGCCACATGGGATAACAACGCCCTAATCTGCTTTCACACACACTCTCTGTCTATCTCTCCCTCTCTCCTTGTTGGTTGAGCAGAAATCCTTATGAATGAGGCATTTTTTGCCCGTGTGCCAGAAATCTTATTTTCGACTCTATCGACGACGTTGTTTGCGACTGGTCCTCATTCGCCCCTTTGCTCTTTTCCACATAACCCTTCTCTCTTGCTACTGGCCCAATCTCTTTTCTCATTATTCTCATTTATTATCCTGTTCAGCACCCAGTCTTGTTTCTGGACTGGATATGGAATCGTCTATCACTTGTCCTTGTCGGACAGCCCGAAGAGAAGAAGGAAGAATAAAAGGGTATCTCTCCTTCCTGAAAGGGACACAGAGACCAACCACCACCGCAATCAACCATAATACAAAAAGGGGGTGAGGCGGAGTACGTACTGTACGAGCAGGAGAGGGAAGGGGTCAGCGGGGCCTGAAGAAAAGAAACGAAAAAGCGAAATGCGCGTCATAAGGCAAGGGGCTCGAAGAAGGAAGGCTGAGGAGGGAAAATGCGACAAAAAAATCTCACTCGAACCCCAGCCAAAATAAAGACGACCAGCAAATAATAAACCGCGGGAAACCGTAGCCTAGGCCGTCGTTCCTTTTGTCGATTCTGCTGTTCGTTTACACAAGCAATGACATGGACAGGAAAAGCACATATGCATAAAGAAATCCTCGTCCCTTTGACCACCGTATACGCCACAAACAGATTATGCTTCATTGTTGTTGTTCGATTGTTGACGTCGTTGTACACACAATAACAATGCCAAGAACTTCGTACCTTGCTTTTGCGTAACAATTGTGTTCTCTTTCCTGTCCCAACGTTCGATGCTATTCGACAGAGTGTTCGATAGTATGGAAAAGATACCGTGCTTGACAGGCGGAGGAAGAAATGAACTGTGTGGAGTGAAGTGAAGGAAGAAAGAGGGCTCAAAAAGTCAGAAAGAATGCGGTCGGCTTTTATGATGAGGAGGCGGGTTCAATTGTGCGATTTGCTACTTCGCCTTTCATGCCCCTATTGACCCTCGAACCTACCTCGTCGGTGGTTGATGTTAATTTTTTTAGGAGACACTCGAAGGAGTGGTCGTGAAGAAGAGGTAGGGCTAGCGAAGGTTCAAGGAGACAGAAAGGAGGAATTGGAGGAAAAAGAAAAGTAGAAAGAAAAGTAAAGATACGATTGTTGTGTGCAAAGTGAGAACGTAACTTAAAAGAGACAGGTGCAATGGGCAAGAGGGGGCGAGTAGAAGGGGTAATGGACTGAATAGGCTAACTTCCTATTCCCCTGTTGTCGTCTTCTTCTTCCTCCTGCCATACTGCCCATGGTAAGGGACAAGCGCAAAGCACAAGGAACATGAACACGCTCAGTCATATCGATCAGTTCTTCCGAGGTAAGAAGCGAGATATAGGATCGAGGGCTTTTCTTGATGTAACGTCGCACTTCATGGTTCATATTACCCTGTCCCTGTCTGTCCCTCTCAAGATCAGGTTCATGACTTTATTTCGTACCACTCGACCCTTCTTTCGTCGTCATCGATCATTCTCAGTCAGATAAACGATAAGGGCTACCTGCAGTACGTGTTGCACAAGGACTACAGAACTAAATGAACAACTAATCCAAAAGGTTCAGCCGAACACTGTGGTTACTTCGTTACTTTCGTGTGCAGTACAGCATAGCTACAAAGGACTGAAGTAGACCTTGCCCTTGACGCACTGCCAACCTCATTGCAGACTGAAAAGAAAATCATATTTATCACCATGGGGCTCTTCAATATTGAAAGTGACACCTTGTGCCCTGGGAGGGCCACCAACTAACCCTCATTTTAGTCCTCTTTAACATCCTGTCGCTCGTCTTAGCTTGCATGTTTTTTTTTATTCTTTTTATTCGCTCCTATGGTCAAGAAAATGATGACATCGTTGATTTAATTGTCGACCCCCTGTTTTATTTTATTTTTCTTTCATGTCATTCATTACAGATATATGTTGTACCTGTGTGCCTGAGTTTAAGAAAGTAGTGGATCAAATGCAAGGTCAGGGGTGAACATGATCCTCGTCCTGTTTCCAGGACACTTCAGGTCCAAGGGTCAAAAAGAGATATAGAGACTACGACAGGGACAGAGACTGTCGCGTTAGATGGGTCCTCTTCGTCACAGAGAGAAATAGAAGATGCGGAAAGAAACAAAAGTAGACGTAGGTGCATGTCGACACCCCTTTTGAACACGATGAGTAGAGGAGGAGCGACTTTGTTACACCGTTGCAGTGTCCTTTGCAGATCGAAAGGCAGAAGTGTCTACGTTTGAAGGAAGAGAGCATCTCGTAATTCGACACACCGGAGGAGGAAAAGCAGTAAGGGTACAGTGTTTGGGTCTAGGTAGGGCATCGATGTGGTTTTGGAGACCATCGATAACGACTGATAATGGTATACAGTTGTGTGTGTTCCTTTTCTATGGAGACCTTTGAAGGTAGGTGGCGCGTCTGTCCTCGTCGTGACCGGTTTTCATTTAACTGCTTCAGAAACGATAAACAACCCAGAGCGCGTCCTTTGGTACCTGGCTCTTCTCTCTCTTTACCAACCCTCATCACGACTCCGCAGAATGACCTTCACGCCATCCATCCACCCCTGGAGAGCACCCGACCAACATGAGGAGCACCAATACCTCGCTATGATTCGCCACGTCATGGACCACGGCGAATTCCGCGCAGACCGCACAGGAACTGGCACCCGCTCCATCTTCGCCCCCCCCTCCATGCGATTCTCTCTCGAAAACGACATCTTTCCCCTCCTGACCACAAAGCGAGTCTTCTTCCGCGCTGTAGTTGAGGAGTTGTTGTGGTTCGTCAAGGGCGACACCAACGGACTCCATCTCTCAGAAAAGGGTATCAAGATTTGGGAGGGTAATGGCTCGAGAGAGTACCTGGACAAGGTCGGATTGTCGCACCGCAAGGTTGGGGACTTGGGTCCTGTTTATGGATTCCAGTGGCGTCACTTTGGGGCCGAGTACAAGGATTGTGATACCGACTATACGAATCAAGGTGTTGATCAGCTTGCGGAGGTCATCTGGAAGATCAATAACACGCCTACTGATCGTAGAATCATCATGAGTGCCTGGAACCCAGCTGGTAGGCAATATATTTTTTTTCTCGTGATTGTAACTGGATACTTGTTGCCACCAATGTTTGCTAGCACAATAGCTTCACCCCTATGCGATTTTTTCGATTGCTCTAGGCTAGCTCCAAGGATTCTCACTGACAATCGTGTACCTCTATTTTGAAATGATAGATCTCGGAAAGATGGCATTGCCTCCTTGCCATATGTTTTGCCAGTTCTACGTGTCAACACCAACAGAGGAACAGCCCAGGGCCAAGCTCTCATGCCAGCTTTACCAGCGATCGTGCGATATGGGACTCGGTGTTCCATTCAACATTGCATCGTATGCGTTGCTGACAAAGATGATTGCGCATGTTACGGATCTGGACTGTGGCGAGTTTATTCACACCATGGGTGACACCCATATCTACCTGGACCACACCGAGGCACTGAAGATCCAGATCGGGCGTGAACCGCGTGCGTTCCCCAAGCTCTATATCCGCCCTCACCAGACGAATGAAGCTGAGGCTAAGGAAGGAGTCAAGAGGACGATTAGCAACATTGATGAGTTTATCTTGGAGGACTTTGTTCTGGAGGGATATGAGCCCCACAAGAAGATCGACATGGTCATGTCCGTGTAGCCACTTAATAAATGGTGCGTTGTAGCGATTTGAAAGCAGGTCGATGTGACTGGCACCAATGAATTTGCGCCACTTCATCCACTGCGACTCCAGACAGATAGACAAGGGTGGGCTGCTGCCTGGTTGCTTCTTGTCGTTGATACTCCCTTCGTGCTCACAGACTCAACACTCGGCAACTCTCTCCTTTCTTCTTTTTTCTTCTTTCACTTTCATCACACCACACTCGCACTCACACTCACACGCACGCAGGCAAACATCAACACCGACAACAACAACCATCAATACAGGACTGACAGTCATCCATCCAACCGCACTGTCAACAATCACCATCAACCAGCCCACTACAACCAACAAAAAAAACCTAGCAAGGACACAGGCATGGCCATCCCAATAGAGACATGGTACTACGATGTGCCAATCGTCACTCGCCTCTTCGCCACCGGTGCCGCCTTGGTCGCCCTTGCAGTGGTAACACACCCTTTATCCTTCGAAGCAAAAACGCAGAAGTCCTTCTTTTACAACACTTGCAGTTCATTCATTAACAGCTTACGCCTTTCTTTTTACTTTTTTCCTTCTGTCATTAGCAAACGGGATTCACCAATGCGTTCCAGCTCTACTTCAACTACCAACTGGTCATTTATCAACACCAAGTAGGTCCTCAGTCCGCCGTTGTATTTTACTGATACTCCTCGCACATTGACTCTCACAGCGTACGCACCGATATGTCATCTCTGACCTTGACCTTGTCTTTCCCCTTGTCTGTTAGTACTGGAGACCGATCACGACATTCTTGTATTTTGGGCCCCTTGGGCTGGATTTCGTCTTCCACATGTTCTTCCTGTAAGTCCATTATGTCCTCCTGCAGACAAATATAAAGAAGCACGCAGTCCTCACGATAAGGCATTGATAACCGAGGTATCAGGAACAAGGAAAAGTGCAAACAAGTGCATGGTCAAAAAAGGACGATTCAGCAACAACTCTTCGGAGAAAGATAGTGGCACAAATGGAATCATTGGATCTAGACACGCGGACGACCGATTCGTAACCCAAGTGGCGTATGTTCTGCACTCGCTCGTTCGCTCACACCTCATTGACAGAAACGTTACTAAGACTACAATTTGATGATGTGAATGTCTTTAACATAGAGTGCGATACAGTAGGATGCTGGAAGAAGGATCTTTTTACGGACGCACAATGGACTATGCCTGGATGCTCTTCCTCTCTGCCATTTCTCTATTGGTAAGCACCCGCAAGGAAGACTATGAATGGCGGACGTACAATTTCCGAACAATTGGATTAGATCCCAGGCTGCACAGAATTCGTATTGATTCATACTTTGCCGCTTGTACCTAATAGTGTCTGTCGCCATTTGTGGCAATGCCTTTTCTTGGATCTCCTTTGGCATTCACGTTGGTATACATCTGGTCCCGGCGCAACCCCTCAATCCCACTAAACTTTCTCGGCTTGTTTGTGTTCACGGCGCCTTATCTGCCCTGGGTGCTTCTTGGATTCACGCTCCTGTTGAACAGCCACTTTCCAACGGGTGATCTGATGGGAATCGCCGTTGGACACATCTACTACTTTTTCGAGGACGTTTGGCCCAAGGAGCAGGCTTCGGGAGGCAGACGATACCTTCAAACACCATCCTTCCTGTACGTTTATTTCTTTTCTTGTGGGTGTATGTTGCCCTGATTGTATCAGTGATTTTGTCTTTTGTTTTATTGAAGTGTTTTTCTTTCTCTACTCAACTCACATAGGACGCGCCAACGTGGAGTGAACATCTCTGCAGAACTTCAGGATGAAGCGTTGCCGGAACAAGCAAATGCAGAGCAGAGTGGACACTATCCAGAGAGCGAGCAGTCAGAAACAACCGCACCCACAACTACCCTCCCATCTGCGTCAGGATCGCCATCATCAGCAGGAGGAACTGGCTCAGGAACACCTGCGACAACGACGGCTTTGGAGAGTGGACCACGCGTCGAGACTCGTAACCGACCCAATGCCTCGGCACACGACCAAGTGGATCCTCTTTCTTAGAACAATTTCTTCTTGTCTTCCTCACGCCTTTTACCATGTAACCAATGGACAAAAAATGAATAAACATAAACGAAAAGCTGGCCTTCAAAGTACAAGAAGAACAATTGACGGTTTGGTATAGTTTTTCCATGCACCTCTGTCGCCGGTATGTGAGCCCTATCCATTAGCTTTCTGTCCTGCCCTGATTTGTGACACCATTCACAAACGGAAAAGAAAGGGGTGGCGAAAATGAAGCCAAGGGAACGACAACAACAACGGATAAAGGGTGGAATTGGTTGGTTGGTTGTGAGGGAGAGCTAGTTGGGAGACGAAAAAAGAAACAAGGGGTGCACACACACACACAAGGAGTTGGTTCTCTTCTCTCCCTTTTTCTTCGTTCACCCTTTCCTGCATTCATCCTTTTCTCATCACCAAAACCCTCCATTCACATTTCTCTTCACTGCCAGTTCGACAACGTTTAAATACATGGCACAAACAAAGCTCAGCAGGTTTAAGCAGTTCGATGCCTACGCAAAGACACTTGATGACTTTCGAGTGAAAACTTCCACCGGCGCTGCAGGTAACTTCTTTTTTCCCCCTCACTCATGTAGCGCCCCCACCTTCAACACGAACAACAAGCTTCTTTTGTTTAAGCTCGTTCCATGTCTCATACATACTCGACTATCTTTTTTTTTTTTTTTTTTCTCACTCGCCCCTGCAATGGATAAAGTGACGATAGCGAGCGCGGTGATTATCCTGATCCTGTTCTTTGGAGAGCTGTTCAACTACCGGGCTATCCATGTCGAATCGTCGTTGGTGGTCGATAGTGGCAGGAAGGAGAAGATGAATATTGATTTCGATATCAGCTTCCGCAAGATCCCATGCTACAGTAAAAAAAAAAAAAAAAGACGACGCGAGGTATTATATCAAAGGATCATATTTCCAAAGGTTTTTTGACATGTATCTTTTGTCCCCCTCTTGTTGAATTGAAAAAAATAGTTTTGACGCTGGATGTGATGGATGTTGCGGGAGAACATCAAGCGGACGTGGCGCACTCGATCTACAAGACTCAACTGGCTCCTGACGGCACCGAACTCAAGCACGAAAAGACCGAACGTAACGTTGTGCGAACCCCAAGTTCATTAGTCGCGTCTCTAGGATGGTGCTGCATAAGCAATATGGGGGGGTTTTCAAAACCCCGAATGTCGTTCATTGATCGTCATGTCTCAGCATTAACCTTTTCTTTCTTCTTTCCCCAACTCTCGACATGTACAAAATAGACCTGGGAGATACAGGGCCAGATCCAAAGGTGGTTGGGGAGAACTACTGCGGTGAGTGCTACGGCGCCCAAAAGCCCGAATCCGGTTGCTGCAACACCTGCGAAGACGTCCGAAAGGCGTACGAAACCTCCGGCTGGTCCTTCAACCACGCAGAAACCATCGAACAATGCACCCGAGAAGGATACCTCGACAAGATCAAAGAACAAGCCAACCAAGGATGTCGCATCCGCGGGAAAGTTACCGTCAACAAAGTCGCCGGTAACTTCCATATTGCTCCAGGGAGATCCTTCCAGAGGGGTAGCGCGCATGTCCATGATATCCAACAGTATTTGGAACAGGGGCTGGATTTCTCGCATCAGATTGAACATTTGAGTTTTGGGGAGAAGATCCCGAATGTTCATAATCCCTTGGATGATACGAAGGCGGAGAATGCGGAGGGGTTGTTTATGTTTCAGTATTATTTGAAGGTTGTGGGAACACGGTATTATTATCTGGATAAGATGCCGGTTTTCACGAACCAGTTCTCGGTGACGCAGTATAATCGGAACTTGCAATATAAGAATGCTTGGGGCCAGGTCCAGGCCCCCAATGGTCTCCCAGGTAAACCCCCCCTCCATGCCCGTTCTTGCTTATGAATTATCTCCGCATCCAATGTCTTCTTTTCTCAACAACGCTTTTACTGTCTTTTGTAATATACCCTGATAGGTGTGTTCTTCAACTTTGACATCTCGCCGATGCTGGTGATCCAGAAGGAAGAACGCAGGTCGTTCGCCTCGTTCCTGACGGGAGTCTGTGCCATCGTCGGCGGCATCTTTACAGTCGCCGGGCTTTTGGACGGAGCCATCTGGCGCGCTGAACGGACCCTCAAGAAGAAGATGGAGCTCGGCAAAGCTTTTTGAGAAGATAATCAATCACATCGAGAAATGACATCGTTTTTGTACTATGATACATGTGTTTTCATTTTCTTGCTTGTACAATGTCTGTTTTACAAAGTGAATAGGAAGTGAGGAGAAGAAAGAAAAAAAAACGTAGACAAATATGGAGACGCAAAAGAGAAGGGTACTGAGTTGCCAAGCACGACATGGCGATCAGCTTTCCATCTCTTTGCGCCTTGCTTGGATGGCTTGGAGAAGCATCGACAGCATTGGCAGTGCTATTGTATGAATCGGGGCCGAAAGCTGAGAGGGAGAGAGAGAGAGAGAGAGAGATTCATATGAAAAAAGGTGCAAACGAAAGAATGAGTTGATTAAAGAAAGTCCACAAGCAAAAGGGTTCATTTGGTCGATAAAGGGAATACAACAATCGGTGGAAATATTTCGTACCTCATACAACTCGATCTTGCGCTTGGGTCTCGGATCGACCTGCTCCATATCCTCGTCCTCGTCATCAGGTTCGGCAGGCGAATATGGGACAGACGCCAAATCCGGATATTCAACAACCGGCATCTTTGCCTCCCTCGCAGCTTGAACCATTTTTTCTTTACTTTCTTCGCCGAATGTCGCCGGCTCCACGCGACGCTTGTCCTCAGGATGCTCAATCATGAGTTTCTGTGGAGGTCTCCAGAGCTGGCCTCGGACGAGATTTTCAGTCTCTTCCTCGGGAAACTGGAAGGTCGGGACTGCTGGCACGGCTGGCATGGATGGTTCGTCGGCGTGTGCTACTGGCTCTGGGGTTGGCTCTAGGTACGATTGCTCTGAGTATTGATGCTGACGTTGTTGCTGTTGGTGGTGCTGCTCCTGTTCTTGCCTGTACTCATGACCGTGCTCATCTTGGTGCCCATATTCATGACGTCCACGCTCGTACCCAAGATCGTAACGGCGATCGCCGTGGTCGCGCTCGTATCCGCGCTCGTATGCATACTCGTCGCTATACGCGCGTCCATGCTCGTACCCCTCCGGATACCCATTGTCATACCCTTGATCAAACCCTCGCCCTTGATCGTACCCGCGGCCATCACTATGGCGACCGTGGTCGCGATCATCCTGATAATGCCGGTCCCTGTCGACTTCATACTCCATCCTCCTCCTTCTCTCATCCTCCTCATCATAATAGCCACCCCAGTTCTCTCGGTTATCCCAGCCATCCCAGTCATCCCGTCGGTCATCCCCCAGGTCATCTCGGTCACTTCGGTCGTCGTCCCGTCTACCATCATTCTCGTCATCGCGACCATACTCTTCGTGGCGGTGCTCGTCCGGGTGAGACTCAAAGAATCGAACCTCCTTAATATCGTCACCTGCTCTGAAGCGAACGGCTTTCTTCCTCCTGTTATCGGGCCTCAGGATTAGTGCAGACGGAATCAATCTACCTGACGGGGCGACGATGTGAGACCTTGCGCCGGCTGGCGTAATAGCTACCCCTGTGGTCGTGCCTGAGGATGAGGTTGTGGTTGCGGTTGTAGCTGTGCTTGTATTGGCAGTCGGAGTTGTTGGGGCTGTGGGAGTGGTTGGTGCTGAAGACGGTACAGTAGACGCTGTCGGGGTAACATTCAAAGGCACCGAGATACTCGAAAAGAAATCCTGCTGCCGCCCCAAGACAACGTCTGAATTCGATGAGGATGACGCGCCCTGGGCCGTCCGGGGAGAGCTCGTTGCTCGAGGCGACTGGAGGGGACCTCGAGGGGAGTGCGGTTGACGGGGTGAAGAGGCAGTCTTGGAGGAAATGGGCGATGTAGGCTTGTTAGTGGGCTTGGATGGGAGGTTCCTTCCTGTCAGTACTGAGAGCGGTTTGGAACCTTTATCGGTGCGTAGACTGGCTGGACCTCCCTTGGCGGTGGGTACTGACGATGATGAGGGTGCGTGAGCGGAAGAGGAGGAAGTGGTAGAAGAGAACGTGGAAGAGGAGGTTGTTGTGTTCCTGTTTGAGGCTGCTGAAAGAGTCGACTTTTTGACAAAGTTGGGTAATTGTGAGAGGGGCTATCAAATCGTCATAAGAAAAACGTAAAGAGAGTGTCAGCATTGACATGATTTATCAAATTACTTTTCAGAACTAATCAGTGTCCAGTGGAAACAACATATTTACCTCGGAGGCGCCTGCACTGGGCCCTACATCCAACTTGGCTCGCTTACGGCCATCGACCAGCAATTGACTCGACCCCGGCCGAGAACCGTGCCGATCCCCCGTCCTGCTCCACTCCGCAAGTAGTTCCGATGCCGCTTCGACGATCTCTACAAGACACAATGTAGGCATGCATAAGAGTTAGCTTCCGGCTGTGTGTCAAGGCGCCATTACATATACGTCACCAACCCCTACAACATACCTTTAGGGTACGCTATGTCGTTCGCGAGCAACTTCATAACACGCGTATAGTCCGAATGACGATATTCTGGAGGCGCACGTTTCAAGGTCTTGATCGCATTCGTAACAATATGCACAACCTCCTTTGGTTGCTGCTCGCCATCGTATGGGTCCTCCATGTTATCAATCTCTGTCCTGCCCTCCTTGATCCATTCAACAATCCTAGCCAGTCCTTCAGTCTTTGCAAACCTATGCTCATTCAACGGGAAAGTAAGTGCAGTGTTAGAATACAACAGTCAATGCTTTCAAACCATAAACGATGCCGGGAGTAAAATTTAGTCGCGCCACATACTCATCATGAACTTTTTGGTCCTTTGTGTAACTAAGTGAATTGATGATATACTTGCGCCCAAGTGAGTCTCCTGCCATGAGCACAAGCTTTGCAAGTTCAGGGACATGTTCTTTGTGGGCAATAGACCCGCCTCTCAGCATGGGAAATAAACTGCTCCTGATTTGAGAGGTCGTCATCTAGATTGCAAAACGGAAAATAGTAATTTCGCTACTAAATAATGGCCGTCATCAACATAGATTAGAAACCCCATCAAAACATCAACATCCGACAATACCTGGTTACTTGAGTCCCCCTTGTTCGGCTGCGCTTTATCAAGTAGAAATTTAGAGGAGGACAGACTCCGCGCTTGTATGGTAGAAGGACGGTAGTTAACGCTTCCGCTTCCTAGGATGCCATCGGCTGTCGGCGTTTCTTCTCGGTCATTACTATATACACGGCAGAAAAATTAGCTCCACCTCCTATGCTGATCGATATCTCCTCAATGTATGCTATGACATCAGATATGCTGACAATCTGTCTCACCTTGTTGACGCGCTGGAGGCAAAAGTTGGCGCGACATTCCGCGTAGGCTCGTTCTTTGAGGGCTCGCTCCGTGATGGCTCGTTCCTTGAGGGCTCGCTCCGTGTTGGCTCGTTTCTTGAGGGCTCGCTCCGTCTTGGCTCGTTCCTTGAGGGTTCGCTCCGTGTTGGCTCGTTCCGTGTTGGCTCGCTCCGCGAAGGGTAGCTTTGTACCTGCGGAGCGATTGCTACCGACGAGGTGGCGTGAAGAGGTATAGTATGGGAAGGAGGTATCTGCAGCGGATCCTCTGTCGCTTCCTTCTTCGCTTTGGAGCGCCTGTTGGTGAACCAATTCCGAACCTAACAGTTGATAATAACGCATACATGCATTTCGATTTAGCAACGAGATAGAGAGCTTATCATAAGCGCAAGTTTTCATCAATCATCCATGCCAAGGAAGCAGAAACAAGCCTACCTTTGTTACGGTTAATGACAACCTGGCTGCAATCTCTAAGATTTCATCCGTCTCTGGTCTTGGTTTTTTCTTGAAGATCGACTCGAGATACTCTCTCTGATCTGCGGTGGTCCGTACTACTGTTGTTGGCTGTGAGCTCGTGATTGTAACTGGGGTAGCAATGGTAAGAGCTGGTCTAGCTATTTGCATATGAAACAAAAGACAAAGGAACGGTGTTAACATCCGCCAGTTCAGTTGGCTACTTCTGTTTAGTTCTGTAGGCGCGTCTCTGCTTCGTTCCTTGCAAGAACGGTTCACCGCGCAAAGGCAGAGCTGACGCGTAGTTGTTTCCAGGATCTCACATTTTCATGTCACGCGTGTTCTCACCAGACGTCTCTTGGCGCGTGCTTCCAAAAGCCTGAGCAGCTGCCTGAGAACTTGAGCCGCTGTCATTCGAAGGCGGTGGTCCGTTGTATATGAAGGGTATATTCACGGACGAGACAAAGAATCTTTTCTGAATCTGCATTGATTCAGAAGCTCCACTGTTGTCTCCTCCATTAGTGCCATTGGATCCGGAGGACGAGGTTGAGGGTAAGGAGGGTAAGGGTTGGTAACCGTCCCAAGGATTCTGGCCTGAGGCCATCCCTTTTGTGTTTCAGTGGCGACGAGGGGGTATGTGTGCTGCTGTTGTTGTTATTGCAGGTGGAGGCGATGTGATGCAGTTGTGTTCTGCGGATGTGGCGCGGATTTCTGGCTGACGTGAAGAAGCGAGTGAAGGCGTTGATGTTGGAAGAAGCGGAGGACGTGAAGAGCAGTGCCAAAGAGAGTGTCAAAATGAAAAAAGGCGAACAAAGTGGCTTGTCCCAGAGCTCACAATTCTTGCCACTAACTTTTATCACTGACTGATGCAAATAATGACAAAAAGGGACCCGCCAGGCACAATTGATGCAACTGATAACTGATAGGAACGCTTGCGCCATATAATGGTGATCCCGAGAAGCTCGGAACTGCGTTCAATTCATCAGCGGAGGTTCCAGGCCCCAGGACTTGGCTATCGTTGCTTTGCCGGACAAAGCCATTAATCGAAACTTGGTGGCGCCGATTGGCCCGAATGCGAAGTAATGACTGTGCGGCTCTCTTTGTCGCCATTTTTCCTCTGTGTCCCTTTCCCCTGCTGTCGATTATTTTTTTTTACTCTTTTTTTCTCACAAAGCTAATCTTTGTGTTCGACCTTATCCTCTCTCTTTTTATTTTACTACATAAACCGTTCTCTTACTTCTACTCATTATCCACTCATTCACTCTTCACTAAAACCGCAATCGACCAACGGTCACTCTTTCTCCTGCACAGACACTCTCTACTCTCCACGTACCACATCTCCCTTCACTGCTGCACAGCTTACATCCCCAAATGATCCAGGACCACAAACCGGTCTCATCACTCACACGAAGGAGCAGCAGCGACCAAGAGGACAACCTTGCATCCCTAGACCCCAACCCCATAAACCCTACTGCGACAACAACGGCAACAAAGCGGCACGTTGCAACGATACCCAAGCCCATTTCTCCAAACCCCGCACCCATCCCCGACGCAGCAGCACAGGGCGACCCTGTCCGAGCCAAGACGGACAAGCCTCGGCCGACTGGATCGCTTGTAGACCTTCTTGTGGCGAATCGGTCGTACTGGACACTTGCGGTCATTTTGCTTGCTGCCCTTGTTGTCATTATTCCCCAGGCCCACGAGCGCCTGTTCTCGAGGGGTTAGTTATCAACAAAAGGGAAATGCATGTGTCAATTAATTGGTCATGGGAATGTTGTCTGACCATGTCTGCTCCTTACTCTAAACTACGTAGAATTGCATGCTTCGAGACCATGGCCTAACAACATCACTTCGGCACACTGCAAAAAGGCACATCCAGGAAGACCTCTAGTCCAGTATGTCCTCATGGTCGACGCTGGATCCATGGGCTCTCGGATTCACGTCTACAAGTTCAACTATTGCAACGCTACACCTGAGCTGGAAGACGATACTTTTGGACATGTCGAGCCAGGATTGTCTTCGTACGACGGCGACTCGGAGGGTGCTGCTAAGAGTCTTGACAAACTGTTAGATCTCGCTCTCAAGACTGTCCCTACCTACCTTCATTCAAGTACACCAGTCGCGGTTAAGGCTACAGCGGGTTTGCGGCTCTTGGGAGAAGACAAGTCAGAGATGATTCTGGCGGCTGTTCGCAGGAGGCTTGGATCCATGTACCCATTCCCTATCGTCAAGGATCAAGGAGTCGCTGTCATGGATGGCGCGGACGAAGGTATGCAACTGTTGCTGGCGTTTTAGTCGTTTCTACTTGTGAGGACCAATTGATTATTATACTGAGAATGGTCCCATTTTTCGCATGTAGGCGTGTATGCATGGGTCACAGTCAACTATCTGCTGGGACGATTCAAATCTTTCAAGAAGATACCGACTGTGGCGATCTTGGATCTCGGAGGCGCCTCGACACAAGTTGTTTTTGAACCACGCGTCGTGGGCGGACACTCGGTCGCACAAGGAGATCACCGATACCCGATGAACTTTAACGGAAACGAATATGTTCTATACCAACACTCTCACCTCGGCTACGGACTAATCATGGCGCGTTCTCAAATCAACAACTATGTCGTCGCCAATCCTCTGGATTCTAATCATGGAGTCTCTCTTGGCAACAAGGAATATGCGCATCCTTGCCAACCGGTCGGCACTCGTCAGAACTTTGTGACCGCAGACAATGAGCAGGTCGTTCTTGTGGGCGTTTCGGACCCAATGGACCGGTGCAAAGCTATGGTGGAGGCCATATTTTACAAGCACAAGAAGTGCGACATGTCGCCCTGCTCTTTCAACGGAGTCTATCAGCCGTCGCTTCACGCCACTTCCGAAGACGACATTTACGCGTTTTCGTTCTTTTTCGATCTGACGGCGCCTTTCCGACTTGGCAGTGCTACGCTGGCACAGGAGATGACGATCGGGGAAATCGAGGAACTGGCGGAACGGGTCTGCATTGGCGACGAGGATGGCTTCCTTGAGTTTCAGGACTCTGCCGAGGCTATGAAGGAGCTCCGCAAGTCTGCAAACATCTGTATGGATCTGAGGTTCATCTATGGGCTCCTCCAGCATGGTTATGGCATTCCCAAGGCACGCAAGATCAAGCTGGCCAAGAAGCTGAAGGGATACGAGACAGGTTGGACGGTCGGTGGAAGCATTGCCATTCTGGAGGACAATTGGTTTGTTGGATCGTTGATCTGAGATAGATACCAACCCTTCTGAGCGTGACCCCGTAGATAGCAGCAGCATGGACAACACCAAGAATAAGAATAATAATAGTCCTCGTAGAGAAGCGAAGAGAAGAAAGAGAAGTAGCGATATCAAGGAGTAAAGTGCCTGAAGATATTATTTGAGTATGCATGTGCCTTGATCACCGGCCCCCTTTATTTCCCGAGTGAACGAGGGGTGCAAAGAAGCCAAGTGCTCGCTGGATGGCTGGCTTGCATCCTCCCTCTCTTTCTCTCTTATACCTGTCGTCTTATCGTCTTGTCCCCCTTTACGCCTTTCTCTCCTTTTTTTCTTTTGATGCTTCTCTCCTATTCCTTTCCTTCTTCTCGCTCCCTTCATTCCATCTCTCCTTCCTTCTCACACACCATCGCGAACTCATCCTTTGTACATTCACTTCCGCATTCTCACCTTCATTACCTTCCCACCTCCTTTCCTCTTCTTCACCACGCTCCATCTCATCTCACACCACCGCATTCCTTCGCAACTACACCTCACTCTGCCTTCTTCGCCCGACAGCGTTACGGCCAGTCAAGATGGACTCGAGTTTCTGGAACAAGTTGAAAAAAACTATCATGACCACGCACAAGGCCCCGCCCAGTAGTGCCTTGCAGCTAACGCGGTTTAACAATGGTTGGCTCGCTATCCAGGTACACTCTTCGTTTGTCTTGATATTTTTACTACTGTGTCCACTACTAGAGCGCGTCAGTGAACAATGGCAGATAACCTAAAATATTGTACGCAACACATAACCTTAGACGGCGATCTCTACGGCAGAGAAGAGGAACGTGTCTATCCAACAGACAGATATACCTGTCCGTCTGAAGAACATGGTCGACCTCCTTGTGGACGAAGAGTCCCGGCTGGACGATGCCAAGGGGACAACGGGCGTCTGTATGGAATACCTTCTCAAGCACCACGTCCTCGGTAAGCTGGTCAACTTGGCCGAGAAGGACCAGCCGAAGGGCCTCACGGGTGAGACCATCCGCACGTTTGCAGGGATGATCAACCTGTTGGACGACCAATTCTTGGTCCACAACTCTGTCCACAAGCCCACCGTTATGCTTCTACGGACCTGTTGTGGACCCGGGACTGAATTCGAGGAGAACGAGGACTACCATGAGGACCTGGTCGATCTGATGTACATCCTCTGCTCCAAGATCCATGGTTATCCAGAGCTCTTGAATATCTTTTTCTATGACCGACAGTGGCTTACTGTGCCTGAAAGGGTCTCGGCAAAGAGGTTGCAGAAGAACAGGGAAACGATGGCGCTTTTGAGGAGTATAGGTCGTCGGTCGAGTCTGGCGCTGTCGTCGATGGAGGATAACCCACCTACCAACACCCCGGCTTCGACACTTGACCAAAAGGCGGACAAAAACTCGCTCAAGGAGGAAGACGAAGGCGACGACTCTGAGGAACCCCTTGTTCGACCAGGTCACCTTGCCAGGAGTATGACCGCCGCCAGTCTCCAGGGTCATGAGAACCATCAGGAGTCGAAGCGAGACTACGAGTTCCTGCTGTTTACGTATCTGTCCAAGTTTGTGCATCGAGAAGGAAAGTCAGGGGACTTTGCGAGGACAGGACTCTTGTTTTTGATGGAGTTGGCGACTGGCTCCTTGGGCGAATACATCCTCGACTCGGATTTCTCGTCGTATCTCACGGCGGGTGTTGGAGCATTGTACTCGCAGCTCCCTCGAAAGTTGATCGTCAAGGCTGATTCCATCAACCTGACCGCCAGCAGCACAATATCACCACCACCACCGGATCCTAGACCATCGAGGAGAGCCAACATTGAGCTGTCGACATCCAAGGATTTCCAGTCTAGACTAGATGCGTTCCTGAGAGTCCTCGAGTTCTGTCAAGATGTCCTCATGCGCTGTCCTAACACCGAGATCGCCACCACGCTCTTGGCATCGTTCAAGACGGTCTTTTTGGAGAACATTCTTTACCCGTCGATCCTAGAATGCTCCGACACTGATGGAAGCTCGGTCGCCGTTATCAGCTATATCGACTTGATCCTGCAGGTACTTGAACACGAGGCCCTGGTCGATCTGGTTGTAGGGTTCCTGATGGCTTCAGAGGAGGAGGATACACGGACCAAGGATGTCGAGGACACCGATGTCTTTGCCGAAGTACAGAACCCTCAGACAACTTCGCCCTACTTTATGGCGACCGGGCGCTTCACGCTCAAGGATCTTGTCCTGTCACGACTCAAGTCTCGATCGCAACCTACCGTTATTGCGACGCTGAAGTTGTTGCACACGGTGATCACTCGGCATTGCAAGTATTCTCTCAAATTGCTCAGTATCCAACCCGACAATCGTGCAACCTCTCTTATCGAGGCCCTGGACATGCCTGGCCAGCACCCATACAGGAGCGTGCCCCTGATCAACCACCACGCCCATGAGCTCGACCTCTTCTTTGGACTCATTGCGACCATTAACCCCGGGAACACCCAGGAGATTTTTTGTTGCGGATACGAGTCCTACCTCCGAGATGCTGAGGGATCGATCGAGCATCATCAATGTTTAGTGGATGGCAACAAGACGGCGGAGGCTCAAAAGACTACCGGCAGCTCAGTCTCGGAGGCAGAGCTCAAAAAGCAGCGGCGTAGGAGCACAAAGTACGGCAACCGAACAAACGACATGACCGAGGAACTGACAGCGGAAGCAGTAGCGCAGAGTCTGAAGAAGGCTGGCGAGGCTGCTGCTCTTGGTCATGCAGGAGGACACTCTCATGAATCTCGTCACTCAGTACCGATGCATCGTCTCCTTCCTTCGGATCCTTTGCTGCAGATCCTTTTGGGCACCTTGTCTCATTTCTTTGCGCACACCGTCGAGTTGAACCTGGCCCTCACCGGAGTGATTACTTCCCTTGCAATCTGTCCGTACCGGTCTCTGGAAGGATGGCTCCTGTTCAAGTCCAGCGATGTCAAGAAGCCCAATGAGGATCGTGGCTCTGAGGAGGACTCTGACAGTGGCGACTCTCAGGGCTTGCATCTCATCGACTCTGAACTCGACACGGCTACCTTGAACGACTCTGACGACGAGGACACCCTTCCTTCCTATCTCACTCGGAGCTCGACGAGGGCCGGCATGGAGTTTACGATGCCCTCAGGCCCACCATCCTTCAAGTCCTTCCCTCCCTTCTTCACCATGTTGCGGACGCTCACTCAGCAGGTGGATTACTACCGAAGTGAGATTGATGGCTTTGATGAGTACCTCGCAGATCGTCGACGAACGCTTCTTGGTACTGCTATCGAGTCAACGGTAACATCTGCGGCGATGATGACAAGTAGTCCTGGGGGTCTGTTGGGAGGAGGAGGGTCATCGTTCGACCAGTCACATAGCAGCTTGCCGTCATATCAGTCTGGATACAACATGTTTACATCCAGCGAGTCGTTCTTTGGAGGCTCCTCGAGCGATCTCTTGGGAGGTGGAGGCCGTCCTTCAACTCCAACCATCTCGACCGGCAATATACCCCATGCAGCTAGCGGTCCCACTAGCCCCAGATATCTCGGCAGCGGTGGACAATCCGGTGCGGGGTCGAGAGAAACATCTCCAGCGCCTCAACGTGCCAACTCCAAGACGCCTGTTCAGGGAAGCGGATTGCCCAACCCGGTCTCAATGGTCAAGATCAGTTCCCCCCGCGCTAGGAAGAGTAGCTCCCCGTCCAGTCTGATGTCGACTCCTTCCAACATGTCGTTCTTAATCCCGCCTGGCGTTGGTGGCAAGCGTAATTTCAAGTCCAATAGTAACAGTCCGCTCGCGACTTTTGAACCGCGCTTTCCCTCGGCCCCAACGTTGGAGATTGATGGACAGTTGGCCATTCCTTCGTCGTTGCCTGCTTCTTCGTCACAGCCGACATCGGCAACGACGGCAGGTCCTCCTAGGGCACTGTCGCCCGTCCCTGTGTCACAGCCGAGAGCGCTTTGGGCTCCTACCCCGACCAACGCGACCAGTTTGTCTAAAGTTGGTGGAGGACCCTCCCTTCCCAACTTGGCCTCATCTGCTCCATCGGCCCCTGTCCCGTCCACACTCCCTAGCAACTATCCTCACCATCACCAGACCAACTTGTCCATGTCCCATTCCCAGCTCGGAAACCTGGGTACAAACAGCGCTCTGGCCAAGACAATGGAGACCATGATGATCAAGCCCCTCTTCCCGGATGGGTTCGTGAACGACTCTGATAGCGAGGCCGAGACTTTGTTGGATATGGAGGCTGAGTTGAGTGACAGTGACGATGAGAGCGATAGTTCTGACGACGATACCAGCGACAGCGATGATGATGATGATTTGGATGATGGTGATGATGATACGGATGATGCCGACAGGGAGGTTAACTCTGATCTTCAGGAGCCCTCCCGAGAAGCGCGTCGGCGTCGACGTAAGCAACTCCGTCAGCAACAGCAGAAGCGAGGCGTTGTGGGTGGGAACAAGGGGATGACGGCCAGCTCTAGTCAATTGCTCCAGCCGCCTGCCGTTCAGCCTAAACGCGGGGTTCAGCAAGAGCAGCTGGTGTCGTTGGGCCAGTTGTTGACGAATGTTGTGATCTTGGAGGAGGCCATCAAGGAGGTTATTGCGGTTGCTCAGGTCCGGAAAGGGATGGGGATCGACAAAGTTCGTTTCCTTTAAAGAATTTTATTTTTGAGGAACAGGAAAAGGAGGACAAAAAAATAAATAGCTGTGAAAAGGCATCATGTATTTCGATAGGGATAACCATGGGCAAAACATAACATGCAATGCTGGAAAAATCATCAATCGACGGATTGTTCTCAAAAACCACACTACTCGACGCCCATTCGTCGGTTTGCTCTCTAATACCATTGGAGAGCAAAAAGATAACAAGGTCGTTTTTTTTTTTTTTTTTTTCTCTTTGTGTTTCTCATCTTGCAGGCAGGACATGCATGTCAATTTTGTTATACGTTTTCTTTGTATTTTATTCTTTTTTTCCGATACTAATTGAAAGATAGGTATGTGGATGGAAGTATGTTCTTGCGTGTCTTGTTCTTTGTGTTCAAGTGTTCAAGTTTTGTGTTTGTATGCAAAGTAGGGTAAAAGGTATGTAATGTACGAGTGTTTGAGATCAATTAGAGGAGTGAGTGGGTGCTAACTACAGGGGGGGAGGGAAGGGTCAGGGTACTATGTAAAACTGATTGTATGGGTGGTGAGGTTTGCTGTACAAAAATGCGGTATTACGAGAAAGAAGGAAGAAAAAAAAGACAAGGTGTAGAAAGAAAAAAAAAAAGGGGGGGGAACTTAGAAGAAAGGGACAGGGCCATGTCCATTCTGCTGGGGATAAGGATAAAGCTGGTGAGAAGAGACGTTTCTCTGCTTCTGCAAGTTGAGTCGGACAAGTGCCTGCTCTCGCTGGACCTGTTCCTGTTGGTACTGCAGAAGTTGCTGCCGCTGTTGAAGGAACTGGAGCTCGAACTGCATCTCATGCTGCAGCATGGCTTCCATCCTGCGACGACCTTCCTCCCTTTCCTCCTCCTCTTCCTTCTTCTGTTCGCGCTCACACTCCTCCTCGGAGTCATGGTCATGGTGGGAGTAACCAATAGGATTAAATGTGATCCCTGTATCGTTAGAACCGACACACATGTTCTCTTCCTCCTCCTCCTCCTTGATCATCTCGCGTTCCTCAGAAAATGCATGTTGGTGCTGCTTGAACGTCATCAGCTGTGTCGTCGTCGTCGAGGTAGAAGAAAAGGTCGAGACAGCCGACGGGCATGGGGAGACTGCTGGGGACGATGAGACTGCAACCAAAGGGGCAGCAGTCGATACCAATGGCATCGACGACGAAGGCGGTAGGCTCGCTTGCAACATCTGGAGAGCAAGCCAGGCTTGCGGGACATTGTCATTGTTCTCCGTGATCGAGGTCTGACGACACAAGGCAGTACCTCTCAGGGCCAGGGGGACTGCAGCAACTCGGTGTTGTTGTTGCATGAGGGACATTGAATCAAGTCCCTGCTGATGAGCTAAGACGACACTTCTGCTGCCATTGGGAGATCCGATCGAGGGTGAATGGGAGAACTCTTGTGCCATCGATGTCAGACCCAAAGTCGATGAAGAGAAGCCTGCCCAATTATTTGCACCCATGGAGGTCGTCATGGCTGTATGGCTGGACGACGGGACGACTGGGGGCGCGATAACGGGAGACGACGACGACGCGGATGAATGAGGGCCGCTGCTGCTGCTGCTTCTGTGCATCGCGTAAGGGTGATTCCAGACGGGCAGGGAGGGGCGGCGTCCAAGACGGACGACGCGGTGCTCCAGCGTCGCAGGAGAGGCGGGAGAGCTTCGAGAATGAGCGTGGTAATCCAAGGACACGCTTTGAGGTGAGCCCTGAGAACTCAAGTACCGGTGCTGGTGCGGTACAGTGGGAACCACTTGGTAGGTCGATCTGGTGGGCCGCTGAGGGAGGGACATGACTCGAGGACGAGGGACGTAACTAGGCTGCTGCTGCTGCTGGTGATGACGATGGAGCTGTTCTTGAAGGTGCATCTGATGCTGTTGCTGCTGTTGCTGGTATAGTCTAGCAAGCATGATAGCCTCAGCAGCAGCCTTACTACCACCCTTTGGTCGGCCTCGAGGCTTGGGTGTCGCGTCTCGGCAGGTCAGAGCTTTGGAAGGGTGCTTGAGGCAATTCTGGCAAGGTCGGCCACTATCACATTTAATATGAGATCGCTTGCAACTGGCGCATGCCGTGATGGCCGGCAGCATAACCGCGGACTCATCAAAGTAGGTCGAGGTGGGGGAGGACACCAGGGAGGACGAGGCCGAAGGAGAGGAGGACTTGGATGACGAAGCAGACGACGATGAGGATGAGGATGAGGAAGAGTGGTCATGGCCGGGAGGCGTAGATTGACGACTCTCCATCATCAGACCGGCAGAAGAGTCGATGAAGTAATGATGGCCATTTTCATCTCCAGCGGCGGAGGACGAAGTGGGAAGGAAGGATGGGACGCCAGGAGGCAACGAAGAGAATGAAGGCAGAAACGAGAGATAGGTAGGCGTTGCTTCTGCTATTGTGGTCAAAGGGGCTATTGCTGCAGAAGATATCGATGAGGACGTAGAAGGAACAGAACAAGGATCAAAGGCCGATGACCAGAGGTCCAAGTCCTGCATACGATCGGCAGACGACTGAAGATGATGATGTTGTTGTTGTCGAAGACGCTGTTGCTGTTGATGGTGATGTTGTGATTGATGCTGTTGCTGTTGCTGCAATTGGAGATGATGGTGGAGGGAATCGAGAAGGTCCTCTGGTCGGACCATGTTATTGTACATCGAATCAATATCAGAAGCTCCCAGACCAGCTGAAGAAGCAACAAACGCGGCAGTGGCATACTTGGACGATGACATGATCGACGAACCCTCCGAGGACGATGATGAAGTCTGGTAGAGGTGGTCGGGCGTGTGTTGCTGTTTAGTAGAGTCGGAGTCGTTGTTGTCTCCGCGATAAGGGAATGGTTCAGAGAAGAGTCGAGAAGTCATATGTGGAAGAAGTGAATCGACACCAAGTGTGTTTTGTTGAGAGAGTGTTGTCATCGCCTAGGTGTGTGTAGGAGACGAGTGCGTGAAAGAGAGAGACAGAGAGGGGGATGTAGCGTCGAAGGTGATTATTTGCTGTGTTGATTGGTTCGAGTCGAAGACGCGTTTTGGTGAGGGCGTGTGTAGTGCTGGGGCTGAGGGAAGTGGTGAAGAAGAAAGTGAGAGAGAAATATTTTTGTTGTTAAATATGGATCGGTGATTTAAAGAAAATCATTGTCGCTCTGCAACATCAAGGACAGAAATGGGGACATGCGAATATGTGATCTGTTTGTGTTTGTTGCACGAGAGTATTATGAGCCGTACTATACCTGTTTGAAAAGAAGGCTCCCTTGTTTTTTTTTCTTTGGTCTTTCCTGCCTTTTGAGCGTCAATTGTCAATTAAGGAGAGAGAAAAGAGAGTCTTTGTTGTCTGGGCAAAGTAGGTGGATTCAGGCGCAAGGATGAGATTTTTTTTTCTTTCAGTTGCAATGTTGGAAAATGGAAAGGGGAGAGAGAGAGAGAGAGCAGAGGCTGGGAAGAAGGAAGGGAGAGGAACAAACGGGAACGAGAAAATGGGGGGAGGGGAGGGGGAGAAGTTGAGTGAGGGGAAGAAGGGAAGAAGGGAAGAAGGGACAAGAAAAAGAATAGGAAAGAAATCGAGGAGGAGGTGTATGTGTGTGTGAAGAACGATTAGAACGAGAGTTCGGTTAACCTCGAAGAAGATCGACAATCAAACAAAAAACAGGAAGGAGAGAGCACAGAAAAAGGTACAAAGAAGGGAGAGCAGGACAAAGTGAAGGAGAACAAGAAGGGAAAAGATTTGTTCAAGGGGTTGGATGAGTAGTGCGTGACAAAATGATGTAAACAGGCAAAGTCGGTTGCAGAGACGAAGAAGAAAGGATTGGAGCGGGGTGGGGAGGAGAGGAGAAGCGATCAAGGGCAGTGAAAATATAGGGTAGGAGGAATGGGTGGATGGTATGCAAAAGGCGTAGCAAGTTTTTTGAGGGAGAAGAGAGAAAAGAAGGAGCGAAGTGAAGGGGTATACGTATGTGTGTTGTGTATGGACAAGTGAGCAAGAAGAAGGGATGGCAAGATGGTAAACAAACAAGAGCAGGCAAAAAGGGACAAGGAAAGGGATGTATGCGTGGGTAAGCAGAGAGTGAGCGAGTGAGGTGAAGAGGAGGGATGTGAGTGAAGGAGCTGTAGGAGTAGGATTGGAGGAGAGAGCAGTTGTATAGTAGTGGTTGCTGTAGGGTAGTGGCAGAAGTAGTATGTAATAGCAAGTAAGTAGTAAGAAACAAGAAAGTGAATTTTTTTTGCTTTTGGGGACATCGTCCTCTTTTATACAGAAAAGCCATGTGTAACGGAGTGGCAAAAGAAACAGAACCGATTGAATAGAGAGCAACTTGAATCGATATACCTGAGTCTTTTCGTTTGTTCAGGGGAAGGGGACAACGAGAGTTCTGTCTCGGTCCTTGTCTTGTCAGTCTGCCCGTTAGTCAACGTTCGTCAATCAAGCTTGCCTTTCGCCTCGTGCACACACATATACATACCTTTACTTCACAAATTGGGCATGGTGTAAAGCTGTAAAGCGAGGATTGAATTGAGTCAGCAGAGTAAGTGAACATGTCACTGAATAGCACTATACCCTGATCGAATCAAACATAAAATAAAATAAAAAAAAAGGGGACAAGGGACATGTTCCCGCCAGAACACAGTAAGAATAAATAAATAAATACACGGCATAATCCAAACAAATCCGAGGAAGTCTACTGGATCCATGCCATGGCACCATAGGGAATTCCAATCAATCGAGCTGACTTGTATAGCATACTAAGAATTTGTGCATTAGAGAACATAAACGAACTGTATTCAATCAAAGACGGGATGCTTGTATCCGAATGCACTCAGTACACCCAACACCCAACAAACAAGCACAAACAACAACGAGGACGATAACAAAAAACAAAGTAAGATGTATGCATCCATTCGCTCATTCAGGAACAAAACAACGATTAGTCAGGGTGGGCTGGCTCGAAAGGAGTCGGGGTACACCAGCAGACAGTACCATTGCACGAGGCAGGAAATAGGAGTGAAGGGAACCTACCCAACAACCAAGCAAAGAGAAAAAGGAAAAAAAAGGAAGGAAGAAACAGTGGTGAATGTATACAACTCGCATCCTCCCACCATCGAGGAATTGTGAACAAAGCGAAAGGGAGTGGTAGAGAATACAAAAAAAAGGAGTGAGATCCCCTCCCCTTCAACCATCTCTCTTTCGCGGGTCAGTCAGTCACTCAGGCACAGCGCATTGTCATCGTGAGGGTCCGTGGCTAATCGACTTTCATTTCATTGGTAATGATATCAGGGACCCACACTTTCTTGCTTCTCCTTTTTCTGTTCATTCCCTTTTTATTAGGTTCCCTCGTCACAATGCTATGCCCAGAACCACAGAAAAGGGCAAAGGCAGCAAAAGTCGACAAAAAAGATGCATGGGTGCATGTAAAAGCAACGCGCGTAATGGCCCTCCTATACATGTAGAGAAATTATGACTCTAAAGTAAGCGTGACGACAAAGAAAAGCGGGACAAAGGGGACGGGAAGTGGGAAGCGGGTATGGCCCCTGTTCCAGGAAATGTTCATGGTTCTTTTTCTTTCATCGGCCCCTTTTTGTCCGTCATCGCATGGATACGATACCTGCAGTCATTTTTTCAGAGGATCGAGAAAGTGCTCATTATTTTGCAGCTCCTCCTTTTTATTCCTCCTCGGTGGAAAGCGCCTGCCTGGTCCGTGTCGAACAATGGAGAGAAAGTGTGTGCCAAAGATTGCGAGAGGACGAGTGAGCGAAGGTGAGGATAGTGATCGAGAATCAACGATGTATCTCCGGATCCGACCCTCTCCTTCTCCGTCTCTATCCTTCACTCCCTCGAACTCTCCTTTACTTCTCAGCTCAAGAGAGACCTCACTGTTCTTTCCCGCAGATATTCTTTGTGCTGGTGTTGTTATTTTATTAGGAGCCACGAGTTAAAAAGGCGTTTGCTTTGTTTTTCAGGAACAAAGGAAGGGGTTGAAGGGGTAAATAAAAGGGAGCTTTACAATGCACGAGGTAGAGGAGAGAAGTACCAGCTCAAAGTACACTGTGCACTATCCGTGTAGCTATCTCTTTCCTTTCTTCCATCCTTCTTTCCTTCTTTCCTTGTACCTCTTTGTAGAGCTGAGGGGAAGGGGGAAGAGATAGATGGATAACAGAAGCGACAGAGGAAGTGAGTGAGAGAGAGATGGTTCATGCAGAAAAAAACATCCAAAAAAAAGACCCCTCTCGAACCATGGCGCAACTCTTGCAGGGTGACTGACTCTAGTGTTATTGCTTTTTTGTTTTTCCCACTTGCTCTCTTTTTGAGCGCACATGTGCGACCATTCAAGCCACGGCTGCGACCAAAAACACAACAAACACAAAAAGGTGAAAAGACCAAAAGACGCGGGAAAAACGAGGCGAGAGTGCTCACCAATGGGTAAGGCGGCATTGGCTAAATGCGACTGAGTTAAGTAAAAGTACAAAAACACAATGGCGCTTGTTCGTCAAAGAGAAAAAATAAAAGTTAGAACTCCTACTCTTTTGTCTCTACTCGGTCATAGTATCTCAGAGTACATGTACTTGGCTTGTGCCTGAGCTGGGATTTTCTTTCCTTTTGTTTTCTTTTTTTCTTTTGAGAGCATGATTACGTTTCTTTGGAGTGGTTCGCTTGCTCGCCCACCTTTTTTTTTTTTTTTTTTTTTTTTGTTGCTGCTCTTCGTCGCTGTCAATCGTCTGCCACATTGTGGTGTTGCTCTAGCAAAGAGATGTAGGTGCATAGAAACAGACAGCCGCACATCTCTCTCCTTGTCTTTCATCCTTGCTATGACTTGTCTCTTGTCATGCAGTATGCACCCCTTGACTATTACTTCTGCAAACATTCGACTTTTTTTAGTCGACATAACGAGCCATTGAAAAGGAAAAGAGATAAGGGCATGCACGATCGGCCTTTTCCTTTACCTCTCTTTTTCTTTTCTCTCGCTCTCCGTCTGTAAGTATGTATGTCTGTCTCTTTAGGTCCCGCCATCTTGAAAGTTGAAAAGAGGAAAGCTCAACTTGCATGCCGCCTTAAAAGCTGCATTTCTATTGTTATATCTCTAGTCTCCCATCTAGACATTCGCTCACCATCTATGTACTACCCATTACCTCTACCTCTTCACCAATACCTCGCTGGGTACCCATGACCCATTTTATCACCTCTAAAACAAGCCACTCTGTCCCCCAGCTCTGGCCCACCTTACTCTTGCCGCCAATGCCCCTGATCCATGCGCCCTCCGCCCCCCTTTTTTGCTACCCCCTCTTTTTCCTCCTTAAATGAACCGAATGAACAATAGATTGTCATCCTTCAACAAAGGGAAAAAAAACACACTCACACGCCCCTTACCCAGACCAGAATGGCCAACAACGATTCCGAAAATAGACACAAAGAAAAGGAAAGAAAGAAAAGCAGATATCAATGCGCAATGGTACCATATATGTCGGCGTGGTGTGTGATATTTGCGTGTGTTTGTGTGTGTGCTCATGAAAAAAAAAGAGAACCAAAAAGAAAATGGTCTGTGTGCGCTATGCGCATTAGGGCTCTATTTTTTCCTCTTTCCTTCACCCTCGCATGTCCTTCCTTTTTCTTTCCCTACCTTCCTTCGATTGACATGCTGTGTTCTTTGTGTTTTTTGTGTTCTTTGTGCTTGTGTAAATGAGCCAAGACATGGAAAAAGAAATCCATCCCACCCAATGCTAATGCTTTTGAAGGAGCATGGGCGTGTTTAGTTTTCGCCAGGGTAACCATTGGGGGGGGGGGAGGGAATGGGATCCTTGCCTTGTCCTTGTCCAGTCTTGTTGTTCTTTTTTCTCTCCTGTGCGACAAGGTTCAGGATGAATTCTCCTTGAGCGGGGTTTCGTTCTCCGTGTTCGTGCAGACAGACGTAGCCGAAAGGAGTAGGGATAAGAAGACAAAAAAAGGAACTGTGAAAAGGAAACAAAAAATAGGCGGGAAAAAAAGGAGATAGGGAAGAGCTCATTTGAACACTCTAGATTCCAGACATGTCCTAACTTCCTCCTTCACGCTAATTACAACTACCAACAACAACGCCACCTTACCAGCGATGCCTTGTTTCGTTTTAAGTTTTTACTACAGTACGTGTTGTTGTTGCTTTCCGTTGGTTAGTTATCCGAACCAGTTGGGGGGTCAAAAAGCACAAACAAATACAAATACCACTAGTGCTAGGGCGCGTTTCCAGAACAGGTGGTATAAGAAGGGACAGTCTGAATTGCCCATAGCTCCCAGTCGCCACCGCCGCTGTTAGTTTTTCCGCCTTTTTTCTGACCCAACAACTTGTTCATGTTTTTTTGCTTTTCGTCAAAATGGAAGGAAAAAAAATAGGTAATAGCGCACTTCGCCCAAAAGCAGTTGGTGATGATAGCAACGTTCAGTGTGAACGATATGTCTCTTCTTCCTTTCTTACTCTTCTTCCTCCACAGCCGTAGATGATCATGTTCATCTACTTTTTCATCTTGCTCTTTCATCTATTCCTCCCACTTGTGATGCATATTACTGACAGTAAGATGCGATAGGTTGAAAGGACCCTGTCCCAACCAATGGCAAAGTGTAAAGCATGACCATGGATGGGCCTTCAGAGAGGCTCCCCCGCATAAAACTAGGAAGGGGTGGCGGGAAGAATATATGAACACAAAGGAGGGGTGGATGGAATGAAGGATGGGATAGAGAAAGGGATATGAGTCTCTCTTTGAGATTGAAATGAAACGGTCAAGGAGTGCATGACGGTTTTTATTAGTTCTTCAAGAACAATGCATACATCCAGGAGAGATGAAGGGGTAAAGAGGTGAAGGGATGAAGGGATGAAGGAATGAAGGGAGGGGTGGAAAGGGGGGGAGTGGAAAAGGGAGAGAAAAAAGCGCGGCAACATTGATGCGATTGGTGATTGTTCCTGAGCAAGTGCCACCATCCTTGTCTTACCTCCTGCACGGGAGGACTTCCCTTCACCTCTGTGCGATCAATGATCACTTATTACCTTTTGCCCGGCTATTGAAAAGGCATTCAATCCAAAGATTGCGGGGGAGTGAAAATACTCCCAGGTCATGGAGTTGTTACACGGCACCAATGAAGCCCCTCCATTTTATTGACGCCTCTTCCACCTCCACTCACACATCGCCTTTTTTTGCATAATACGCAAAACACTCCTTCCCAGCTTGCGACGCGCCCAAGCTCTCCCACCCCGATATCAACAAATCCAAACACAAGCTACGAAAATTAAAATTGGCGGGAAAAGAATGAGAGAGAGTCAGAGGAGGGAAGAGAAGGGAAGGTAAGGTAAGGGAAAGGGAGATATGTTTGACAGAATACGGACGATGGTACGAAAGAACAACGCACGAATGAGAGCAAAGAAAAGAATGGTGTAAGCAAATGAGCAAACAAAAAAAGAAAAAAAATTGGCGGGAAAACAAAGTTTGGAGGAATGATGAATCAGTGGACGGGAAAATGACACTGAGGAGTGAATGACCCCCCTGGACCGTCAACAATAACAAAGGGCAGAGAGACAGAGGGAGCACCCGTGAGACATTATGAGATGCATTGTGAAAGAAAGAGTATTGAATCGGAGGAAGAGATGGGGATCATTCATCATGCAACGTTTGTTCCGCGACGCTCAACCTACTAAATTTTTTTCCCGCGCAATTTATTTTACATATTCATGCTTGCTGTTGTTGTTGTTGTTGTTGTTTGTTATTGTCGTTTGTTGTTTGTTTTTGTGTATTCTCCTCGGTGGTCTTACGTTGTGTTTGGTTGAGATAGCAACCCCCTTTTTTGTTCATTTCATTTTTTTGTGAGAACAGTATTCAATGGGAGGGTCTAAGGACTGGGAAGGAGACACGGGCCGCAGTGGCTAGGTGGACCAATGAAATGCATTCGCCCAAGCACTCAACACTTGCTTTTCGTATAAACAACATGAGTAGGAAGTACAATACTTGTGGTGCTGGTGAACAACGAGGAGCATCAGCAACATTTGGATGGGGGAATGGTTGCACGTTTATCAAAATGATAAAAGACACAGAGTAAGTGAGGGTAGCGGTAGGATGACGACTTTGAGTGAAATGAGTGAATGATCGATGATGCTGAGCATGGTAAGGAGGAGTTCGAAAGTCTAAAAAGAAAGCAAATAGCAATGGGCTAGGAAATGTCCATGGTATGGGATGATGTAGCGGGAAGAAACGAAGGAGTCACAAAAAATCATTTTGTCATGCCTTACAGCCGTGTTCACCAATGCTTAAATTTTCATTCGTCGGCCCAATACTACACATTAGTCCCATGACCATGCTCCAAAGAAAAATAAAAATAAAGGGTCAGCATGCACAATTATTTCATGGGTCATTTCTCCCTCTCCCCTTCTTCCTCTCTCATTCTTAAGCCCCAAATCAACACCATAGGTCACAAACACAGGATTCGATCACTTTGCATAGAATGGTGGAGTAGATGCATAGTGCAGACAGGGTACAGCGACTATGCATCCTGCTCACCTCATCACTCGTGTTTACCTTTTACCATGAAACGAACGACATATTTCTTTTATTCGTCCTTGTCTAGGCGCAACTTACTCCTTCCTTCTTCTATCACCTCTCTCTCTCTCTGTGTGTGTCTCTCTCTTCTTCCCGCACCCTCATTTCCCATTCCCGCCCCATTATCCACTAGACACACTACTGTACTATCAATATATCCATCCATGATGAACCATGGGGTCAGTCTCATTTATCATAGAGTGCCGCGGTAAAACGATCGGTAGATTGGATTGGATGGATGCACACCAAGCCAATATGCTGGCCTTGAAGGTTCATTTTCTTGTGAGCGCTAACTTTCCTTCATCCTCGGGCGTTATTTTTTTGTCACCCGTTTTATTGCCCGCTCCGTCAACCGATAGAAACGCCCTCATCGACTCTCGCAGACAACGCGTTCTGATCTTCTTTCTAGAAGGGGCCGACTATAAAAGTCATCGCCGGATCCCAGACAGAGAACGGTATCCAGCTGCTCCAGCGCACTGCCTCACTCCAACACAGCCACACACAAACCAGTCCCCTCTCTTTCCCACATACACAAAAGTTGCTGTCCCTCGTCAAGTCCACCCTCTCGATCTCGCTCGCCTTGCTCGCAGTCACCTCTGCAGCCCCGCAAGGTCTAGCCTACTGCTCTGGCTCTGACCTGAGCTACGGCGATGGTGGCACCGGTACCCTCTGCTCAGGACCTGACTGCTGGCCAACCCAGGTCCCCGTCTCGCCCATCACGATCGCCCCCGAGACAGACTTTCTCCCTATCAACAATGTCTAGCCTGTCGTCAACGTCTTTCTTCCAAACATCACCGACTATAGCTATGACTACAACTACAACAATTATGGCAACTATAGTACTCTGGGCGGTCTGGGCGATCATGGTTATGCTGACAATTTTGGTTATCTCGGCGGTCTTGGCGGTGGTTCTTGGGTACTGTTCTCGGTGGTAGCAGCCTTGGTGATCCCGGCATGCATGGTTCTGTTGGCGGTATTGGTGGTGCTAGTCTTGGTAGTGGTACTGCTATCGCTGGTCTTACTGGTCTCTCTGGCGGTCCCGGCATGCTTGGCCCTGTCAATGGCCTCAATGGTGCTTATGGTATGCTCGGACCTGTTAGTGAACAAGGTCTAATCGGTGATCGATGCCTCTTTCTTCCGCTCCGGGTGCCGGTGGTCTTGGTGCTCTCGGTATCGGTATGCTCGTTGCTGCTGGTGCACAACATCGCCTGGGTCCAGGATTAGACCTACTTTAGGCTCCCGAAAGCGTTGATTTTCCTTTGGGTGTTGTTGGAGGTGGTGTCCCTGCGTTGATGGGTGTTCCTGCCGGTCTAGGTGCTATTGCCAGTGGCGGTCCTGCAGATCTGGGCGGTTTCAGTGCTGGTGCTCCCGCGATGCTGAACCCTGGGGACCTTGGTGCTCTTGATGCTCTTGGTGCTAGCATGCCCATGATGGCTAGCGCTGCTGATGTGGGTGGTATTATCGCTGGCCTCCAAGACGCTCGAAGTGGTATCGCTACTGGTGTTCGAGGCGTCGCTTGAGTGTTTTGGGTTGGGTAAGGCAAGGGAGGTAGTCAACCCTGCATGCATCTGGTGGCACCACCCTTGTTGCTAGTGCTGATTACGAATGCTAACATGCAGGTGCACTAAGAAATCAAACAAGAAAGGAAAGAGAAGTGGTGAGGAATAACAAGCAAAGCAAACCCTCTCTTTCTCTTTCTTCTCTTCTCTCGACCCACCGAGCCACCGCCTTTTTTTTTCATCTAACTTGCACATTGTTCTTTGATATTCCCTCGAGTCGAAGGCGTGAGTATCTGTTTTTTTTTTGCTCTTGACTGCAAGGACTTAAAGCACGTTCTCATTTTTATGTATTATGTCATGTCATTCTCTTCTTTTCATCTATTCATAAGCCTTGCGTTGAACCTTCATCATCAACAAGAAAACAAAGCATTAACCTGCAATACTTTAAGGTTCCTCAGCCACGTCCACATTCCTGAGACCACTTCCTTTGAACGAATGTCCTCTACTGTTCAAATAGAACGTATCGGTGTCGAGGCAAACTCGAACGCTCCGCGAGACAGCGAATCTACACCGACCTCAATGTAGGGTGGAATGGCTGGTTTCTTGCGACTTGGCTCGGTAAAGTACTTGAGGTACTTTGCGTTATCTGCTGGCCGTTGAACAAGTGAGGTCCACATATCTCCTGTGAATCTGGTCTGTTGTCGCCTCAGTTTCAGATCGTAAAGAGAACATACAGTGCCATTGTCACGGTCTAATGCTGCCTATCATCTGCCCTCAGATGGCCGTCTCCTTCTTATCCTGGCAGGAACAACATCCGCTCGCTCATGAGCTCCTTCTCTTCGACAGTCATGCGCTCGTATGCTCTTAAGTTCTGACCTGCAAACGCGCTTCTAGTCTCGAAGAATGATTCCAACACCCCAACGAGGCGAATTTCTGTGATGCTTCCCTTGGACTTGAGTTTCTTGGACACCTTCGCGACAGGAGCTCCACCTTGCTTTGTGCTGGAAGTCTCCATACTGTCTGCCGCGGTCGACTTGGTCATCGTCTTTCTTTTGCGCTTCGCTTCTACCTCGCCCATATCCTCCGCAAGGCGTGCATGAATGGTAGGTGCTCGGGCACCAAAATGTTGTCGCTGCTGCTTCTTGATGTCCTCCTTGATGCCACTCATCATCAAATCTACACCAAGTTCCTGAACCGCGCCTTTCTCCCATGCTCTTTTTTAGACAGATTTGTCTCCTGGCCCGAACCCTTTGATTTCTTTCGCCTTTCTTCCAGAGTTGATTTAAGGGAGGATGGTGTAGACGCGGTTGTTGCTGGTTTGGTTGATTAGGCGAGACATGTTGATGTTTTCTTCTTTTCACAAGGTTTGAAATGCAGGAGTTGAGAAGTGGAGAAAAAAAACGTAAGTGTGCGAAGTGTGAGCGAGAGGGAGGCAGAGAAGATGAAGAAATAAATGAACAAGTGAATATGGGAAGAGAGTTGAGCAACTGAAAAAAGAAGTGAAGGCGGTGGGATACGATTAAAAGATGGAGGGTAAGCAAGAAGAAGACAAAAGAAATAACAGAGGCAAGAGACCTCAGTTGTGTACAATGGCTGTCACACTTGTTCCCGTGTTATTTTCATCTGTTGATGACCATTATGGTGGTACGCCTTAGTTGGTTGATGGCCAAGCTGTTTATCGCTATGTGAATCAGCATGGATGGATTGAGGTGGATTATATCTCTTTGTGGGCAACTCTCTTAGTTGTTGACATGGCTCTGGTAAGGCGTTTTTTTTTCGTAGTCAATTTTTTCATTGGCATGGCTTCTTTTCGTAGGTAAGGCTTCTTTCGTAGGTAAGGCGTTTTTTTCTCTGGAAATGACAAAATGACACGATAGACACAGTAATAGCCATCGCGAATACCCGGCCAAGTCTACTCTCCTTCCATTTCACTAACTTTGTGAAAGCACATCATGCTTGAATCGGCCTCTCTTTTTTATTCTCCTACCTCTGTCTCGTTTTCTTACATTACATTTTCCATGCACAACAGCATGTCTTCATTCCGTGGGAGCTGACCCAGGGCATCTCTCCCAAGGACAAGACATCTAAATACCAGCCCCCGAAGTGACTGGAATCAAGGATACGGTTACATCACCCGTGATGGCTTCTCCCCGTGTGGCTCCTCGCTAGTCACACATGATGATGGAACGTGCCCTAGAGCGACCAAGGACCCTCGCGCTGCTGATGAGCGGCCGTTGGAGGGTTTGTTAGGAAGGAGGAGGCTGTCAATGATGGAAAAGAGAGAAAGAATCCTCTTTATTCGTATCTAGTTTTATTTTCTTCTGTTTAAGCTGTAAAGAACTGCGACAATTGTTGCGCAGAGCCAGGTTCTGGACCGGACTGCAACTGGCGGATGGTGCATTGAAAAGTTTGGTCTGTAATCCCAATTTTCTCCAGGTACGGAAATTGAAACTCGAGGTGCTTGAAATAACAAAATTGCAAGGCAATTTGAAAGGAACGCTGGCTTAGGGGTGGGTAAGCACCACTTTGGGGATGATCCAGCGATGTACCCACAGTAAGCTCAGGGAGGAGTGCTGCCTGGCCTTCACCGACTAACTGCGGATACTCAGCGCCAGGACCCTCCTATCGACGGCTGCAGGGTCTACGTCACCGCTTTTCCTAATCGCTTCTGCTGCACCAGTTGGTGGCGCCAAAAGAAAAGTAGATCATTTATGACAAATTAAACAATAACGCGAAGTCAATTTGGCCGAGTGGTTAAGGCGTTTGACTTGAAATCAAATGGGTTCTCCCGCGCAGGTTCAAATCCTGCAGTTGACGCGATTCTTTTTGCTTATCATTTCTGGCAATTTTTTTTTTGGAGGTTGTCTTGGCTGCAAAAATCTGAATGAAGAGGTGGTTCCTGACTATCGGGAAACCTGCCCAAAAACACAGTATCGTAGCACTAGGTTGCTGCCCAGGGCTTTATTCCTCTTTTTTTTTTTCCGTTTGGGGTTTCCATTTCCTGAGCCCCATCGGCCTTTATAATTTGCCACTCTCCTTGTCAACTGTGTTTTGAGTGTTCGGGGGGACCCTCAAGCAGAACGCCCCCAGCAGAGCCACAGTCGTATCCCTTTCAAAGTCAAGTATTATAGTTATTCTGTCTTGTGACATGCTTTATTCTCTTGGTGCCTCGTAACCTTGGCATTGTCCAAAAAAAAAAAAGTCGAGGTTTTCCAACGTGCCCAAACAGCTATTTATATGACACTCCCAAGCGGAACACCCGTGGCAGAGCTACGGCCGTCTTCCTTGTCAGGTGTGCTTTGTCTGTTCGCGGGGCCAGCAAAAGCGATGATCCAGTGTTTGCGAGTCTAATGTTTTTGGCCAAGTTAACTTGTTAACAGTAAAAGGTTAACATTAACCATCTTTTGTTCCCTCTTCCTTTTTTTTCACGCGTCATTTCACTATTTTTCCTCTTTCGCCTATACTTTGTTTTGGTCATCCATCTGGATGAACCTTCGTCGTTTTATTTGCGTTGACGACCTCAAATCAACGCCAAGCTGCGCTTTTTGTTGTCGTTAGATTTCTTTTCTCTTTGTTGCTCTTGTTATTATTCTTTTACACTTTCAGATTCTCATCTTTTCTTTTTTTTTCCCTTCTTCTTCTTTCTTCCTTTCTCTCGTCGATGAGTCCCTACATATTCACTTTCACCCTCTCTTGTTTTCACCAATCTCATGACCCATTTGTTGATGAGAACCCGGTTCCGATCCCTTAGTGTGTTGAAACCCGAGTTATCGTTCACTTGTGCGAGGGCACCTATCAAAAGCTTTTTTTTCCAGGGCAGAGGATTGGCGCATCAATACACGACATCCATGCACGTACATCCATAGAGGTGTCGTAGCAAGTGTGCGAGGCGCCTCGCTTCGACACATTCATCCGCCACATATCACATATAGCATCTAGTCTCCTGGTATATGGCACCCGAGTTGGGGGTTGTGAGTGAGCCTAACAAGCCAAGGATTATCGAATAGATATAGACTAACCCTCTAAGCATTGCCCACCCATTTTTGGCGCCGTATACGGTGCCTCATAGTTTTTTTCTCTCATTGCCCTTAAACGGTGCCATTGGATTCTCGATAATCGTTGCCCAACATTGAAAATTAGTCATTGCCAGTGCACACGGAGCCCAACGTGGTGACGCCAAAGGCTCGGCTAAAGCCCCGAGCAGAGATTGCCAGCGAGATTGCCATAAGAAGTTCAAAGTTCACGACTCGGAATTCAACGTCGAGTACTAGCCGTGAACTGCCTGCACACGCGATCACATTCCTTTTTCTCACCTCCCCTGCTTCTCCATCACAATACACTATTTGTTTCGCATGCTTAATCTTTGCTACGATTCATATAGAACCGTGCGTCTAGAAAAGTGGCGTGCAAGCCCCGTTGACAGTGTTGCAGCGGCCCGGGGCTGGCTGGATGAGGGAGGGGTGGGCAACGGTTAGTAGAGGGCAACGTGTATATCAACCCGTGGTAACGCCTAAACTCTAAACCCAGGGCAACGAAAATACTATGTGGGGCATCGTATAAGGCGCCCAAAATACGTGGGAGATTCCGCTCTGATATTGGATGCTGGATATGCTGACATGCAGTACTCATATTTAAAAAACCTGTTCGACCGCAATAAAGTGTTGTTTTAAGCACTGACTTTAAATGGGAACATGTATAATAAATATTTCATACAACCGTCGTTAGTTTTGTTTGAAAAGGCCCAATTTGACGAAAGGGGCACTCAGGGAACGCACCGCCAAGAACGTGAGTTCCACTGCGGTATCTTGAACACAGGGCAAGCCAGACGGTCTAGGTTGTCAAATAGATTCATCTGGAGGAAAAACATCGGCGCGGTCGAGACGGTCGTGCCGGTCGAGGTGAAAAAAAGCATCCACACGGTGTCATAAACCCAATTGGTTCTTGTTTTATATTCTTCTTCGGTGTGCGAATGCGACTATTAGGAAGCTTTTAACATCTTTAATTGTATGTGAACGCAGCAGCTATTCTGACTGTACAAGATATTCTGACATGTCTCCAAAGGCATGATGTCAGAATATCTTTGTAGGTGGATAATATGACTTTTGTTGGTGTCAGAATAGCTTCTGTGAGGCAAAGATTTTGGCATTACAGCCAGAATATCTGGCAGCAAAGACTGAGCGAGAAAAGCTGACGATCATTGATTTCACCATTTCTTTTCTTGTTAGAGAGAAGTTTGGTAGATCGGATCGCTTATCATTTTTCATCGATAGGGAGCAATGCCTAAAGCCTTGATTAGTCAAACGCATTGACTAAGTATTTTTGATCCTGGCACCCTGGGTACTCTGGTGGTGGCTTGAAGGATCGCTTCAGTTGCGTGGGCCTGGAGGTCATTTGAGAAAAGCTTCGTGATAGACCTAATCCATTATCTATGTGTACGCTCGCGCGCGCTCCTGAACTGCACCGCCTAGTCAGCCAGACATCGCGAGGCAATAAAAAACCAATTGGGTAGAGTGTGAAAAATGAATGTCGAGCGGAAAAGCAGTCCGCAGGAGGAAGCCAGTGGTTGGTCCCTTTTTTCTTTCAGCAGGCGCTCACTTTTCGCACCAACCTTCTTTCCCTCACCCACACTCTCCTAATCCCTTACCGCGTGCCGTGATCGGGCCATCTCAACAATGACCACCACCAGGCCCCATCGTCTGCTATGGTCTCCCCATCCGAACCATAACCAGTTCCTCATTGGCTCCACAGAATTGCGCCTCTTCAAGTGGACTCCAGAGGTACAACTTCAACTGTTTTGTTGCAGTGATGTCCACCCGCCATAAAACAGATTGCACCAGTGTTTGCAAGGTGACTCAACCGTGCTATATATCTTTTACTTTGTATCGTACTAGGATGCGGATGGGAAACCTCACGCTACTCCCATCGCCGTCAACACCGATGTGTCCCTTATGAAGGTAAAAAGAGACAGCCAACATTATACCGCTTGATAATCTGTCGCACAGCACTGCGCTGCTACTCGACTTTGCAGTAAGAGATAATCTAATCATATGTATACAGTGCTTTACTTGGTCGCCAGACCCAAATTACATGGACCTCACTGCTGTAGGGTTGACAACTGGACGTACTTTACTCATCCGCATGCACAGGTCAGAACCTTGGATATTCGAGGACAAGGGGAATGAATTTCGGCCGGATACCCCTCGCCAAGTCTCGATCGCGCAGAATCAACGCACATATCCATCATTCAGCGCCCGTCATTCACGCGCGTGTAATGTCGTCGCATTCTCAAAGGAGTCGCCTAACCTGCTTGCGGTCGGCCTCGACAAGGTGCGAAACGACTACTGCCTGATGGTCTGGGATATCGAGCAGTCTATGAACATGTCAAAGGGATCCGACTCCAACTACGCGCCCTCAGGATCTATCTCCGTGACCAACCGTTCTACCACCGGCAGCCTGAAAACATCACGATTCGGGCGAAACAGTGAACCTTCAGAAAGTTATTTTGGTACGTGTTACCCACGCCTTCGTTATTGTGACATGGAGATGAGTCATGCACTACGATGAGCATTGTAACCGACAGCTCTGAATCTTGGCTGTTATAGATACCAGGCTGTCAATGAACCCACTCTCTCTTGCTGATACTGGCACCGCCAGAGCGCTGAATGCCTCCAGGTAACTTTTCAGTAACAACATCTTCGTCTCGACAATAATATGTGTTCACGCCGGTCTTTAATTCTAACTTTTCAGATAACTCTTTCCCTCAACAAATAGCTATGACCAGTCGACGGATGTCAAGCCGTTGTGTCAATACGGTTCAAGCGAGGTCATCTCCTCATGCGCGTGGTTTACAAACGAGCCTAAAGTTTTGGCAGCAGGAATGGGCATGAAGTACATTCGCGTGTACGATACCAGAGGTAAAGCAACAAACAACTACGAAAAGCTTGTCATACCTGCTATTTAATTAGCCCCGCAATACTAATATTTTTTTTCTCACTCCGTTTGATAGAGGACCCCAACTCCCCTTCATCACTGGTAATCTCAACAAAGGCTGTACATGGACTGTGCATGGATCCTTTCCACGAAAACAGGATGGCCTCATGCTCAGACGACGGCGTCATCAAAATCTGGGACATCAGAAACCCATCTCAGCAGATCCTCTCGTTCTACACCGGACCCAAGTCGGCACCCCAGTCTTCAACACTCGTCCGGATATCATTCAATCCTCAAAGATCAGGACTTTTGGCTTCCCTCACCAAGGAGGCAACCTGCCTCAAAGTCTGGGATATTCAGGAGGGGACCATCAGAGCGCCCAGAAGCCTCTCCAGGATGGATAGCAGCCATAACCTTGACGGCAGCCTTCAGCAGGGCCCAAGCAGCGCTGTTGGGTTATTGTCCAGGAGTCACGACCGGGAAGGCTTACAGACTGTCCGTGAATCAGAGTCCGACGAGGCCGAAGTTGGCATCCCTATTCTTTGGAAATCTCGCCGAAGTATGTCACTTTGTTGTTTGGCATCGCCTTCGTCTCCTCGGACAACCCTTTTGTCCTCATCATCACGCTGACACCTTTCACCTCAACTTACAATCGTTTAGCGAAACCGTCGTCGAAGCCTCTTCAATCATTTGCATGGATCCCTACATTTGTTTCCAACTCGACCTCAGGTCTTATTTCTATCAACAAGGAGTCACTTATCGAGACGACCCTTCTCAAGGAGACTTCGCACATTGCATGGGAGCCCAAGGGAGCTCTGGTTGTCTCGGACGGAAACGCAATTTCGTGCTTCCCCAGTCAACGTTCCTTGGCCGCATCGGCACCAGAGCCAGCTCTTCAGCACGCATTCTCGGACATGAGGAAGCGCAACTCCAAAATCATCAACCTCCAACTCCCCGCGAATCGCAAGGTCAACGGAGACTCAACTGGGCCTATGGACTCTGCCTCAACAAATCCCCCGCCAGCAATCAGCGTGATGCTTCACAACAACTTAACTGACCCATCTATTGGAGATCCAATGAAGACAAACGGGATGAACAGTGTCATGGGAGATCCCGCTCGGAAGCCACCTTTGACAGCCATTGTCAACAGTGGCTGGATTTCGACAACAGCCACACAAGTCGACGAGAGTTTGGAAGAGGATGTCTCAGTGACTATGCGCGAGGGAGCCATCAAGGGATACTCAATGGATGCAACCACCAACGTCAATCTTGTCTCACCAGGACCGCTCAAGGACTTTTGGGCATGGATGATTCGTGCTGAAAAGATTGCTCAAAAAGACGGAGCTCGCATCGGCAAGTTTGATTTCAGCTACCAGGGTGTTTTACCAGTTCTCTTGGGCAACGGAGGTACGGACCAGTATTATTTTCCATGTGTATGTTTGCTTCCTTCATCTTGCGCAACCTGATTCTAATCTGCGGTATTCGTCTGTGTGTCGCAACTATTTAGTTTCGAGAAGATCAACACCTTCAGGAACGCCTCGTACCATGTCGCCACTCCCACGATCCTCATCTGACTTATCGAGCCAGCTTTCCAAGCAGGTTGATGAGATTCCCATTGTTCCTACACTCAAGCTTGCCCAACGGAAACTGGGTCTCAAACTGTGTGGGTCAGAGCTGTTACGGTCCGATCTGAAAAAGACTGTCGAAAGGTACCTTGCCTTTTTTTTTTTTTTTTTCTTGAGCTGTGAGTAGTTATGTTGTTTTGGCGTGGACAAGGCACTAATTCTATCTTTCTTGCTTTTTGATAGGCTTGAGGAGGAGGGTAGCTATGAGGTTGCCGCAGGATGGGCCTTCTTCCATGGAGAGCTGGATCTCGCCATTGAAGTCCTGAGCCGAGGAGGTAAGGAATTCAGGTTAATTTGCTGTAATCAACATGGCGGTGCTTCATTGCGTTGTTTTTTCAACTAATCAAGGATTCTATCGTCTTTCGCTTGAATAGATGATAAACTGAAGCTAATGTCGATTGTGGTGGCAGGATTCAACCGCAACCATAACAATATGAGCTCTGCAACGCTGGGTGGACTCTCTAGCAACAGCGAAAAGGCGGCTAGCAGCGCATGGAAGGCACAATGCAAGACCCACAGCCAAGCTCAGTCGAATCCCTATATCAGGGCCATTTTTAGCTATATCGCGTCAGGAGACTGGAGGGACGTCTTGGAGGAAAAGAGTCTTTCGCTGGCAGACAGAGTCGGTGTTGCCTTGCGATTCTTGAGCGATGACGAGGTAGGCTGTTGTTCCCACGTAATCTGCGATGTAATCACGCTGAACAATGTTGATACGATGCGATATAATAGCCTTGTTCGCTAAAGCCAATCCATGCCTTGTTACTTTGAATAGTTGATGGCGTACATTCAAACTACGGCGGAGAGTCATACCAACTCGGGAGAGATTGGCGGAATGATTCTCTCTGGACTGACAGAGGCTGGATTGGATCTGTTGACCAACTATGTGAACAGGACCGGAGATATCCAAACCGCGGCATTGGCCTCGTCTGTCGCTGTTCCTCGCTACTTCAAGGATGGACGCGTCGAAGAATGGGTTGACTGTTACCGGGATCTCTTGGATCGCTGGCAACTCTACTATACACGTGCTCGGTTCGACATTGCTCGCGGACGGTGTATTCAGCAGAGTACCTTGAGCGGAGTATCAGCAGCAGACATGACGCCAACTCAGATCTATGTTCGCTGTAACTTTTGCAACCAGAGCATTGCACGCAATCTTTTGATCCCTGGAGTCCGAGGTCGCGATGGCCGTCGACTCATGGTTCAAGGTGGCCCAGGATCTGGCGGACATGGAGGCATGCATGGTCACGACAAGCAAGGATCAATGGGCGGAATGGGTCAAGGTGCGGCTGCGGCACCAGGAGCACCTGGATTAGGAAGTGGTCCTGCCGCCAACTCGAACAAGTCAATTGTTTGCCCAAGTTGTAGCAAACCCCTCCCACGTTGCGCCATTTGTCTCCTCCACCTTGGTGTTCCAGCCGAAGGCAACGCGTCGTTGGGGGTTTGGTCCAGTCTAGGCCACAAGGTTACCGGAGAAAGTAAGTCTACCGATGTCATGCGTTGCTTTCATTATATGCTCGAGTTTATTAGCGGAACGTTGTATTAACCTAGATTTATTGACACGATGTATTTATCTAGAACCAACGAGTTTTGACCTGTGGTTTACATGGTGTCAGACGTGTCGACACGGAGGCCACGCCATGCATATGGCGGAATGGTTCGACCGACATACCCAGTGCCCTGTGAGCGACTGTAATTGTCTCTGCTCCACTCACGATGCTCTTTGAGGCGAATAAAAGACAAATGAACCTTGAATAATCGCGACCCCTACACGTGACCGTAGTTAGCAGTTTTTGATGGTTTTTGGTTCTTTCTTCTTCCTTAACTCGCCCGAAAAATACTCTTTACCCACCTTCCCCCACACTACTACTACTACTTTCACTTTTCAAAAGGAACCTCCTCCTCCTCCTCCTCCTCCCACCAACAACTCTTCTGACCTTAGCCTTACTTGCCTTTACAACAACCACGCGCAACCATGGAAGAACCCACCGCTGCCACAGCCATCGAAGAACAGCAACAGCGCCCAGCACCACAGACAGCCGGTCAGTGGGGTGTCAAGGAGTATGTCAACCCTAACGCCGAAGGGGTCTGGGCCTCAGAGCGACCCGTCTACGAGTGGAAGGAGGACTACACCGACGAGACCGCACCAGATAACGCCGAACTCGAACATGAGCTCTTTGACGAAGAGAACCGCATCAACGCCGGTATCTACTTTGACAAGTACAAGACCATCTCTGTCAGCGTCAAGGGCGCTCCTGAGAACCGCCGAGTCATGAACGACGTGAGCATTTGTCTCTTTGATCGTTACTTTTGATCACTGATCCTATCGTGCCAGATGTTGTGCATAGGATGATGGAAACTTAACTCGTTTTCGTTATTTACTGGATAGTTCAAGGAACTTGCCTTGCACCCCACGATCCTCGAGAACATCGTCAGGATGAAGTACAAAGAACCCACTCCTATCCAGGTAACAAGTCTATGCCTTTCTTTTGACAATCAGTTATGTCTTTGCCTTTACCACCTCCACAAGCTCGAGTACTGATCAACTCGTCATATTGCTTCATGCGATCACAATACCCATAGCAACATGCCACCCCACTGCTCTTCGCCGGCTATGATATCCTGGCCTGTGCCCAGACGGGATCCGGAAAGACAACAGCCTTCCTTACGCCGATCCTCTCAAAGCTGCTCTCAAAGCTGTCCAAGGCACCATCACAGAACCGACCTGGAGCCAGACGCACCAAGGCCACTCCTCTCGCTCTGATCATTCTACCTACCCGAGAGCTTGGCATTCAAATGTTTGACTCTGCTCGCTCTGTAAGTACAACTTATTGTGTATTTGCTTTTGACTGTTGCCTATTATTCTTTTGCCACCAAAAAAGCGAAAACACTCATCATACCAACCTTTGTAATTTTATTACGGCAGTTCGCATACAGAAGTCGCTTGCGCCCGGTCGTGATATACGGAGGGGCTGACATGAAGTCCCAGAAGGAACAGCTTTCCAGGGGCTGTGATATCCTGATTGCCACTCCTGGCCGACTCATTGACGCGATCGAAAGGGGGCTGGTCAGTTTCACCAAGGTCAAGTATGTCATCTTGGACGAGGCTGACCGTATTTTAGACATGGGATTCGAACCTTCTATTCGTCAGATCATGATGGCTTCTGATATGCCCAAGGATGAGAGCCTGCAAACCGCGCTCTTCAGTGCCACATTCCCATCCAGCGTCCAGGTCCTCGCACGTGAATTTCTCAAGGATGACTACATCCGTGTTCGCGTCGGAAGGTATGCTTTCCGTTGTTGCGCAAAACAATGTTCGGCCGCTAGTACTATCGACATTGCTAACGTGCGCGTACTCTTTATTCGACGCGTTTATGTAGAATCGGAGGAACTACGAGCGACATTATGCAAAAGGTGGTCAAGCTGGAGGAATACCAGAAGGAGGAGACCTTGATCAACCTGCTCTTGTCCCAGCCTCCTTCGCGCACCGTGATCTTTGTGAACAGCAAGCTCAGGGCTGATAACCTGGACGATGTCCTCTATAACAAAGACTTCCCTTGCATCTCGCTCCACGGTGACCGCAACCAGCGCGAGCGTGAGGCCGCTTTGAATGCCTTCAAGACCGGTCGAAGCCCTATCCTGATCGCCACCTCGGTCGCCTCTCGTGGCCTGGACATCAAGGACGTTCTTCATGTGATCAACTACGACCTCTGCGACGAGATTGACGAGTATGTGCACCGGATCGGACGCACCGCCAGAGCCGGCAACCCAGGCCTCGCCACGACCTTCTACACAGACAAAAACACCGTCATTGCTTCTCAGCTGGTCAAACTCTTGGTGGAGTGCCAGCAAGTCGTCCCTGAATTCCTTCAAGAATTTATGGATGAAACAACGTAAGTGTCCTGTAATGCCATAATGGCGATGCGAGGATAGTCTCCTTTGACGACCACTGACAAAGTATATATTGTTTTTGGTGCTGCACCTTCTTAGAGCCTACGAAGATGCCGACTTTGTAAAGGAAGACGAAGATGGCGGCTTCGGGGTCTCTGGAGACGGTGCAACCAAAGAAGACGGCGTGTCGGCCTGGAGAGCAGTTGACTATCGAGCTCAAGTCTTTGACGGTGGCGATGTGGGTACTCCTGCCAAGGTAGCAACTATCTCCGCGAGCAATGATTGGGGCACCCCCAAAGGGGCAGTTACCTCTTCTGGTGATGACTGGGGTACTCCCCTTGCCAAGGCGCCAGCTGAGGCAAGCCAGGACGGCTGGGCTGCAACTGCCAATTGGTGAATCTTCACCGCCCGATGTGCAAATCCTTAGCTAGAAAAAGAAAGAAAAGGGACGCCACCAAATGAGCCATATCATCCTCTCTAGGATCCACGGCTGGTCTCATTTGGTCGCGTCCTTATTCTTTCTTTTTCCAGCTAAGAATTTGCACACTGCACTTTCTTTGAACAAAATAATAGCATAAGAGGGCGAGAGAGAACTCGTGAACAAAGATAAGCAATAAAAAAGGGCGATGAATGAAGAGAAAGGCGCCTTCTGCATCCTTTGTGTTCTGCCTGAACTCAATTCGAATGCATACCCTGCATACTCGACACATGTCAATTAGCATCCTTGTAGTTGGAACAGAAGAAAAAAAAACAAAAATAAGCCATCTGCTCTCGTTTGGATCAAAAATGTACAAAAAGGAGCTCCGATGCCTGTCTTCTCTTTTCTCACTTCTCTTTCCCTTCTCTCGCTCTTTCCTTACCTTCATTCCCTCCTCCCATCCATCCACTCACCATGATCCCTACAAACAAACCCGGCAAGAAATCTCTGTTTCAAAAAAGGGCCACCAAGGAAACATGGTAATAACTTCGCTTCTATCCTCTTTTCCCATTAGGACGAATCTTGAGAACGACGCCAAAAAAAAATGCGTGCATGCTCTACTCTATTTTCTGATGGCCCCTGTTCTTTTTTGCCCTTGGTTCTCTTCCGTTATTCTCAGGTCACCTTTGGCTTATGGATACCTCTCGCTTGTGATGGGTAAGCAAAGGCAAAAGACAAAGGCAATTGGCAGCAACCATGAATGGTGCTTCTCTCGACTGACGAACCCCATCGACTCTCTACCCCCCTCACCCAACATTTTCTTCTATTTCATGTTACTCTCACTGAGGCTGGGGACACAAACAACAACAAACAAATGTGTACTCCCTGATAAATCGATTTCTAACACAGACACATGCATGCATGCATGTTTGTTCCTCATTTCTCATTTTAGCCGGGAGGGTGGCCAAGTACACAGGACAGTACATTACAAGGAAAACCCCCAAGGAGCAACCCTTCATGATTGGAGTCGCCGTAGCGATGCTGTACCCGGTCATTGAGACCGTCAGTATCCGCCAATACCGCCTCTTCATGAACACCTGCCTGAAGATGATCAATATCTGGGCCGGGCTTGGGTCAGAGTCCAAGAGAGCCAAATGGGCGACACATGTTCAGGGACAAGGATGGCAGGGGTACTGGATCCCGTTTCAGGATCAGGTCAACCCCGTTGGTGCGATTAAGAGGGGCGAGGGGGAAGTGAATATTCCCAAGACGACGGTTGTTGGATCTGGATGTGATATTGTATTGTTGGCAGTTCATGGAGGTGGATTTATTGACGGTAATGCGCTTATGTTTCTGGATTATTTCAGGAAGTTGATGAAGAGTGTGCAGCAAGCCCAGGATGTTAAGATTGGTATCCTCTCGGTTGAGTATGGTAAGCAAAGACAGGCATCGCTGTCTTTCTTTCTTCCTTGTTCTCTCGTTCTCTCGTCTCACTCGCTTTGAGTAATGGGAGAAATGAGAAATCGAAAATTGCTCCTCTTCTTTGTCCTCCCGCTGAGAGAAAGAGTACGTTGCTCACAACCCTTGTCTGTTTTCCTAATTGTGAATATTTAGGTTTGTCACCAGAGAACCCATTCCCAGTAGCATTGAACGAGATCACTGCCGCCTACCAGGATCTTGTCAAGCAGTATGGAGTCAACTCAAAGCGCATCATCATCTGTAAGTTTTGTTTAAAGCGTTTTCATATCGTTCTTTGCTTGCAGGAGCATGAATTGACTCCTGAACCCCTTTTTCATTTTTATTTTTTGTATGTCATCGACTGACTGACCTGTTGTCAATTATTTCTTTGTTCTCGTTGTCAATAGTCGGCGATTCGGCAGGAGGAAACTTGTGTCTCTCAGCATCCCTCAAACTACGCGACGCGCACCAAGACTTAGGCGCCCCTGCAGGACACGTCCTAATCTGCCCCTGGGTCCGAAGCCCCGAACCCCTCCACTCCTCCCTCTACGATGTCGTCAGCGCCGCCGGTTGCGAACTGTATATCGAAGCCTACACTCAAAACAAGCCCGAGAACCTCGCCTCTCCTTACACATCACCCTTCAACAGCCCGACGCTTGCAGGACTATCGCCCATGCTCGTGTTTATTGGCGGAGTCGAGATCCTGAGATCGTCGATTGAGGAGTTTGTGGAGCTTGCGAGGACCGAGGGTGGGGTGGATGTCAAGACTGTGGTGGCGGCTGGGAGGTCGCATAATTATTTCTTGTTGGATGATATTTCGACTGCGAAGGATAGGGAGGAGTCTTGGGCGGCTATTGGAGAGTTTGTGAGTACTGCCCATCAATGTCGTCTCGCCTCTCTTGAGAACTGAAAAAAAAAGATGCCAATACCATTGCTCGTTAAATTAAATACGTAAAGAAGTATCTTGTTCACAAGTGAAGTTCGTGCTGCATCATTCATTTTTTGTCGACCTTAAAAAAACTGTAAGTTGACAGCTGGAGAGCTGCTCGTTCAGACATCTCAGGAACCTAATCACTTCAATGACTGGGAATAATGTTATATCATCTCCAAGGCAGTGCATTTTGGCGCCCTGGTTCCCTGATATACGCTGCCAAGTTCCAGGAGGGCTTTTTTTTTGTACATAGTTCCAGGGCGGCTTTTTTTTTTCGTACACAGTTCCAGGGCGGCGACCCGCCCCAGCCCGGCGGGCCGATTTCGTCACGTGCGTAGAAGCTTAAGGGCTATTAAATCTAGGGTTATGGGATCAAAAATGTCTAGAAAAACTGTATGATTCATGTGCCCGGCTAGCTCAATCGGTAGAGCATCAGACTTCTAATCTGAAGGTTGCGGGTTCGATCCCCGCGTTGGGCTTAATAGCCTTTCCACGAAACTTTTGACTTTGTTCACTTTCCTTTTTGCAGTTCGCCGTTCTTTCTCGCGTGTTGCAGGTGTGTTCGTTTATCTCTTTTTTTTCTTCTTTTCGCGTTCATGTTGTCGTCAAGATTATGGTTTTAGTAGTTTTATTTTTTCAGAAATCATGGTCATAATCTATCGAGGAGAATAAGGTCGAAGCGCAGAAGACGACAAGCCATTGTAAAACTCCTCATCATGCTGCCCCTGCCTATGCCCTTGCTCTGGTGCTGCAGCGGCTGATGCATGGTTCATATTCCCTACATAGGCAATCTGAATCACACTCAAATCACTCTCTTCACTATCCTGTCGCCGGTGTTGATATGGATGGGGATGAGCTGGAGGAGTATGATGATGGCCAAGGGCAGAGACTGTTCTGGGATCGACTATCCGAGGATCTGCCATCATCCTCATTCCCATCTCTTGATGTGCTGTTGCAGGGTTCAGGGGTCTGTTAGCGTTATTGCTGCTTCGATAGTTGCTACCGGCGGAGCGCATCCGTTGGAGTTCTTGGGGTGAGTCTTGGTCTTGGGCATGAGCGGCGGCGGCGGCTTGGGTGATGGACGGGTAGTCGCGAGGGGGACGAGAGTCCATGGAGGAGGCGCTTCTGCCGCCAGGGGGAGGGGAGACGGCGCCACCGCGAGTGGTGGAGGTATTCCGACCAATAGGGGAAACAGCGCGATGTGGGTGATGATGCATGTCGACTGTAGGTGTGCTCCGACCAAGAGCTGCCGCCTGGTGGGATGAGGGAGCAGGACGCTCAGAGGAGCGCTCTGGACGACTGGCTCCACCGCTATTACGGTTGTTGTTGTTGGAGTTGCTGGTGTTACTGTTGCTACTGTTAGGCTTGTAATGGCTGCCTTGACTGAACGTGCGTTGAGGAAGACTGCCCGTGTTGTAGTCAGAGTCGGTAGCGACGGAGGTCATGTTGTAGTACTCGTTGGATTGCTCTTGCTGCTGTTGTTGTTGCGCCTTGGCCAGAGCTTCATGGTAGTAAAGCGTCCGGGTCTCCATTTCTGGTCTGCCTGTTGGTGAGGTAGGAGATCCGTGAGGTGGAGGAGAGGTGAGAGAAGTAACCTCCTTGGTGATATCGGGCTGCCCGGCAGAAGAGGTCACAATGGTCAGAGAAGGGGGAGGAGGCGACAGCGGGGCCAAGGTGATGGCAGTGTCGTTTCGACTATCATGACTGAACGCGCGAAGGTGTCCGTGCTGGCGTCGCTGCTGCTGCTGATGTTGGTATTCTTGCTGATACTCCTGTTCTTGTCGGGAATCATCCCGAGCCCAATATGGATCTAGAATCTCTCTATCCTCAGCCCCCGCCGCAACCACCAACTGCGCCTTGGAATCGTTCTGGAGGTTTTCCTCAGATTGAACCTCGTTGTTGCGACGTGATAGACGGAATCGGTCCGAGTGCCCGCGCTTGTTGCTGATGGTGATATCGTGGCGTCCACCGTTGTTGTTATTGTTATTGATATTGTTGTTGTTGTTTGAGGTGCTGTTGTCGTGTGATCCGAGCGAGGCTGTGATGACGGACTTTCGAGGGTAGAAGATGAGGGTCAATGTCACCCTAATTTCCGCCCGCGCGGCGCGTATCACGAAAGAGGTACAAAATAAATGTTTGGAGAGAGCGTTGCGAGAGCGCGTGCAGAAAGAAGAAAATGGAGGAGGGCGGAAAAAAAAGAGTCGAAAAAAGTGGTTAGTTTTCTAATTGCACTATATGATACGCGGTGGTTCGAAACTCTTTCTATCCCTTAGAGCACATGCGAACGTGAACAGCAGAATAAATCGCAATGGTACACAAGATAATTTGAGATATCTCGCTGCAACAAACAAACAAAACAACGGCAACAGCAACATCCGGTATTAAAATATGCAATACAAGAATGATGCGCGCCTGTATGTAATTGTATGTGTATGTGTGTATGTGTGAGAGCACCGACTTACCAGATAATGACTTGGAAAAAGTTGAGGTTGGTGATCAGGAGATCCGATGCGAACTTGTTGCCGGCAATCGTTGGGTGTGGAGTAATGCCATCTACGGCCACGATCCCGAGCGAGAACGAGCATGCAAACAAACTAAATGTCAAAATGACATTCTACAAAGAGATGGAAAAGAAGTAAACAAAGGGGTGGTTTAGATGAAACACGTATCCTTTGGTGAGTAAAAAGTCGCTTCTCAAATGCTCAAGGAATAATAAACAAACGTGATGTGCTGTCCCGTCTTGGGCGTAATAATCTTTTAGAGGATTGCAATTAACCAAGAACAAAACAAAACAACAAAATAACGCGGATAAATTACATACCATGTCCTTAAAGTACTCAAGCTTCTCAAGAACACTCAGCGTCGACTCATTCATGGTAATCGACGCATTCTTGACCAGCGCAACCAGTCGGAAATGAATCCTCAATCCCAGCACACCTGTTGTAAACAACAGGATACAAAAGATCAAGTGAGGAACGACTTCCCTGTAGACAAAGTCATTCCTGAACAGGTACTGGACAGTTGGAAATAGGACGACGACTCCACAGGAGGCGATCAGGTGGACCTTGAATTCAAAACTCGACATGAAGGTAGATTTGGTGACCGATTTGGAGATGTAGGACCAGAAGGCTTGCAGCAAAAAGAAAGCGCAGTTCTGGAGGGACAAACTGCAGGCGAGGGTGTAATAGAGGGGCTCGACATGGAGTATGTCTTCTTCTGTCCAGGATTGTGCGGGTCTGGCCTGGATTTCGTGTGTCTTGGGGTTGGTCCAGAACCCTTCGAGGTATTTGAGTCGGGCACTTCCTATGTCGTAACTGTTTCCCCAGGGACGGTGCGAGGGCGTAGAAAACAAGAGTTACCCAAAAGATGGTACAGTAGATGGAAACGAAAAAAGAAGGTCAGAGAGAGGTCATGGTATTGAGAGCGATATGAGTCGTTGTTGTTGTTTGTTTTGTTTTGAGTTCTCGGTCAATTCGGTCAATTTTGCATTATCTGTCCCGCTGGCCAGAACTGGGGACTGGTGGAGGAATAAGCACTAATGGGATACAATAAAAAGCATTGAGAGCGTATGTATACAACCACCAATAACCAACAGCCCAGAACAAGAAGAAAAAAAAGAGCAGCAGGGCGTAGTATGTCCGTGCCAAAAGAAGAAAAAAAAAGAAGGCCTGAGGTGCGTGGGGACCAATGAAATCCCTCAGGCACCGACCCCTACGATCATTTATTTTGACTTTCGATCGCCGGTAAACAAGTCCACTTTCTCCACTTTTTTCTTTGCTCATTTGGTTTTTTGTTGTTTGGGTTTGGTTATGTTTGTTTGCCCTGATTATGATGATGTGACGAAGGCGAGGGTAGTGCAATGCGACATCGCCCTTTCCGTCTAACCCGCACTTTTTTTGTTCCCCTTCCCTCCATACTCATGTCTCACACACCAACGTAACACCATGCACACATACAACGCCCTCAATATAAAGAAATCAAATCAGAAGATCAGGACATTTGCTCATGCTGGAAATGGAGGGAGAGAGAGCGAAAGAGAAAGAGAGAGAGAGAGAGAGGGGGGGACAAGTGGAGAGGGGGGAGAGCCACAGGCCGAGACAGAGTATGTTGTTTGTTGTGTGCACGAACGTTATGTGGAGGGATCATTTGCCCAAAGGTCTTCCGACCCATCCACACACTAAAAGAAGGAAAAAAAAAGGTCAAAGTGTTCTTCAAGCTTACGCAAGTTGGAGTCCCAAGGAGACGAGGATAAGGACCGTAACAACACTCCTCAACTCAAACCGTAGGAGTCGTCGCAAACGGAAGGCTTCAAAGCGATCCCATCGAGAGACGTAAAAGAGGAACCAGAGGTAGAACCAAGTCGTGTTCACCGCACGGTGGAGGTAGGACATGTCGGATAAGTGTGTCATGATGACGGGGAGCTAAGAGGATTGGATTAAAGTAGGACTGTAAGGTATTTGGTTGTTGTTGTGGAGCGAGGGGGTATAGTATATGTACAAAGATCCTGGATGAGAATGGAAAAGATGGGTGCTGAGTGAGGAAATTTAGTCGTAAGCGTTAGAGGGTTGGGTCGACTGGCAGAACGCGCTGTTGGGCAGAGGACACAGGAGGTCGGTTGAAATGAATAAGAACAATGAAGGGAGTTGTAAGGAGAATAGAGCCAAGGATATTGAGAGAGGTTAAGTGGAGAAGACAACAGAATCGTGTAAAGACCTAAATAAAAAAGAATACGAAGAGTGGGGAAGGGTCCACAATTATATATCCACGTCTACAACTCCGGAAGTACATGAAATGTCAAAAAAGAACGCAAAAAGTGAGAGAAAGGGACGGGGGCTGTGAGCGGGAAAGAGAGAGGGAGGGATGCATGATCGACCGTTCTCCCTCTCTTTTGCCCAAAATGTTCCTTGCATTGAATCGGGGGCGAAAAAAGATGGAAAAAAAAGGTTCGAGGCATGCTCTCTCTTTCTCTCTCCTTTCTCCTTCTGAATGTCCTTCAGAACTCCTGTCCTGCCCACCCACAGCCCAAGCAAGGTTAGAAAAGCAGGAAGATGCTAGGAACTCTTGAAACCTCGCAGCCAGCGACCCGTCGAGTCCAGCTTGAAATGGATGAGTATGGACCCCGTGGACAACGCGGTTGTCGAAAAAAAGCGGCCAAAAAGGGTAGAACCCACCGTGAGAAGTGTGATCGAAACTTATGAGCAGTTCATTAATAAAACCGATCGTTGAGACTAATGGGTTGAGTCGCACAACACAAACATACAGAAAGCGCCATTCCTACCCGTTTTCAAGCAGGCTTCTAGTTGCGGGTGCCTACTGATGCAGTAGAGAATGATATGTGTCCGTTTGAAGAAGAAAGTTGTTTAGAGTACTGCGCCCTTTCCTAAGTAAAAAGTAAGGAACCTATTTTTTTCAACGCACGATCCTCCTCTCGCTTTTGGCTCTTTGGAACGCCATTTGGCCTGGACGAGAGAAAAAGAACAGTGGACGACAAGCAACAAAAATAAAAAGTCCGACAAAGTGCTAGCCATATCTACCCGTTGGCCTGCCCATTCCGCCCCCTCTCCGTCTCGCCACATCCACAGCATTGGACATCATTGTTAGACTATTGTTGCTTTCTTCGTTCATCCCCCTCGGACCAAAAAGGGCACTGTAGTCCTTATTTCTTTTCCCGCCCTTGAGATCGGGTAAGCACATTGAACGCCTCCTGGTAACCAAGACCAGGAGTTTTTTTTATTTATGTTAACCCTTGTTTTTCCCGCCGCTATCGCCAATTTCCCCCTTGGATGATCGAAGTGTACGGGACAGAAAAGTCGACGACAATCAAAATAATTCTTTTTAGCGCACCTTTTTTTCGCCGACAAGAGTCCCTGCAGGACTATGGATGGAAGATGAAGTAAGCAAGTTAAGGATCAAGACAAAGGCATGTTCAGCTTGAATAGGCAAGGGAGCTGGGCTTGTGACCCTCTCATCTTTTTTCTCTTTGTTTGCTTTTTTTTTTTTTTTTTTTTTTTTTCTCTTTGTGTGCAGCATTAGCTATTAAAGCAGCAATAGGATCTTCTTGGTAAGGACTGTTTTTTATTATTTTGTATGTAATGAGCAAGAAATGAAGTTTTGGTTTTGTGTGAAATGCGATAATGGACAATGCGATGCGTGCGGTACAAAAGTCATGAAACAGAAATAAAAGAACATAAAAAAATAAAAGAATGGGGAGTTGTGTTTCGCGGAAACACGAGTACGTTGCGTCCGTCTCGCTCCTTCATCCAGACTCCATCGTCAATCGTCGTCTTTTTTTGGTGTTGTTCCTGCTCTTGCTCTTTACAGGTCATCCTCGCTGTCAGAGACCTCCTCTCCGCGGGCCTTGGCAACCGCACGACGCTTCTGCTTGTCCTTCAGCTCCTTGCGGGACAACTTGCGAGTCGACTTGACCTTCTCAATATTGCCAAAGGCATCAATCTTGGTCTCGGCCTCCTTCAGCACAATCTTGCTCTCGGCACGCTGAGTGTAGTTGTTGCCCGTGACAGCCAACTCTCCCGCGTTGATGCTCCAGGTCTCGGTGCAAATCGCCTCGGTAAAATCGCGGTGGTGAGAGATGATGACAACTCCACCTCCAAACTCCCTCAAAGCCTCAGTCAAAGCTCCAAGAGAGTCGCGATCCAAGTAGTTGGTGGGCTCGTCCAAGACCAGGATGTGAGGGTTGAGCCACATGGCAGCAGCGAGGACGACCTTGACCTTCTGTCCACCAGAGAGACCCTTGATGTGGTTGTGCGTGGCAAACTCGGCAGGGAGTCCGAGATCACCCAGGTGCTTCTCGACCTCAACAGCAGTCAACGAGCGAGTCCATGCTCCGGCGCGGGCTGCCTCCTTGTCATCGAAAGCCTGGACAATCTTCTCGAAACCCCACTCCACCAACTTCTCCCGGGAGATCCAGGAGTTGTCGTCGTAGGTGCGACCGACCCACTGGACCTCGTACTCGAACGAGCGCTTGGCCTTGCGACGCCCGTAAAGGTCCTCGATCTGAACCTTCTCGATCTTCTCGTTGATCTCCCACTGAATCAGCTTCTTCATCTGGGCCTCCTCCTCGGGCGAGATCTGGCGAGAGGCCTTGCTGGCCAACTCACGGTCCTCACCGTACTGATAACGCCAGCGAATGTACTCGTTGGGGGTCTTAGTCAAGTGCTGCTCGACGTGGTGGAAGGCGTGCTGGGCAACGTAAGCGACACGGAGGTTGGGGTGTTTGATGACATCACCAACTTGAGGGATTGTCTCTCCGGTAAGAACCTTGATGAGGGTGGACTTTCCTGCTCCGTTGGGTCCAATGACTGCCACACGCGAGTTCAACGAAACCTGAGCTGACATGTTCCTGATGGTTGGGACGGTGTTTCCAGGGTAGGTGAACGAGATGTTGGCGAAGCGGAGCAGAGACTTGTCCTTGGACTTGACACCGTCCAAGAAACCGGGCTCGGGCAGACGGAAGGTCACCAATGAAGACTTGAGCTCGTAGTAAGACTTGGCATCGGGGTACTGCTCAACAAACTTGGACAAGTTTCCACGGTACTTCTTCAACTTGCGGCTCTCGTAGTGGATGATGCCAGTGCAGACCGTGTCGAGGAAGCTCGAGTCGTGCGAGACGATCATCGAGGTGACGTTGGTGAGCGAGGTCAAGTAGTTCTCGAGCCAGGCAACGTTGGTAACATCCAAGTGATTGGTAGGCTCGTCCAACAACAAGATATCGGCGTTCATCAACATGGCACGGGCCAACTCAAGCTTCATCTTCCATCCACCAGAGAGGGAACCAACAGCCTGATTCTGCATAGCAGTGGTGAAGCCGACGGATGAAAGTTTCTCAACGACCTCATCGCGGGGAATGGTGCCCAACTTGGGATCGGCAAACATGAACTCGACTACGGGGAGGTCGGCATCCTCAGCCTGGAGGTTGTGCTCGACAAAGACAGTGCGGAGTTCGTCTGCTGGAGGGAAGCCCTCGAGCTGACCATCGGCAATGGCGCGCATGAGGGTTGACTTTCCAACACCGTTGGGGCCGCAAAGACCGTAGCGCTGACCACGGCGAAGGTTGAGGCGGGTCTTGTTCAGGAGGATCATACCACCGTAGGCGAGGGAGAACTCGCAGTCGCAAAGAAGCTCTCCCTCCTCGACATCGGCAACAGCGGCATTGGCACTGGTGTTCTTGGCATCAAAGTCGACATAGAACTTGTGGACAGCGGTCGAGACACGCTTGACATCATCCTTGGACAGGAAGGTTAAGAGGTAAGGACTGATTGAGGCATCCCAAGCATCGGCCTCAAAGTCACGGCTAGTGATGAGCTCAGAGCAGAGAGTTGCGCTGTAGTTCAAGCTGGCGTTGATAAAGTCGTCGGGCTTGATGGAGGCACCAATGGTCGTCTTGAGGGTCTCGAGGACCTCGCTGGGCCTGACCTCGTAAGCAATGTTAAGGTTGCTCTCCTCGTGAGCCTTCTCTCCACCTCCGACACGGACCAGGGTGGCACGAGCACGCTCAGCCACAGAGCGGAGTTCGGGTGAAGCACCAATCTCGATCATACGATCCAAACCGGGCAAAAGCTTGGGCAGGAACTGCTTGGCGTGAGCGGGGTTCTCGACAAGCTTGCACATGTTGTCGATAATGACAGCGGTCTGGCGCTGGATGGCAGGGATGCGCTCAGCGAGACCGCGGACAAGGAGGGGGCACATGATAGCGAGAGTGGGCTCTTCGACGGTGGTGACGAAGGTGGTCGATGCAAGCTGGTGGATACACTCTGGTGCTTCTTCGGGGCGGTTGATGCATCCGACGAGGAAAGGGATGGACTTGGTCAAGTCGGGGTTGCCAACGACATCGAAGCAGGCAGTAGTTGTCTTTGTTGCCTCAACACGGACCTATTGTTGTCGTCATACGTATCACGATTAGTGCCTTAATTTGATTTTTGTCATTGTGTCATTGGTGTGATAGCCCGATGCGCCAAGATCCGTAGAGGAGAGAGAGGGGCAAGCCGTTACCTCTGGGCGAGTCGACCACATGCTGGCGCTCAGGACGGGGACAATCTCGGAAAGGCACTTGCTGATTTGCTATTAGGAGATAAGACCAGCCGCAGCAAGGGCCAAGGAGATAAAACAAGAACGAAGAGGTCAGTAACAAGACAATAAAAGAACCCCTGGGCGTTTTGTCAGCTCATGCGCAGCTTATAGCCATCCAGGCTAGCCGTTCTAACAATAACCCGTATGACGTCGTGATCCTTACCTTGGGCGACGACTTCGAGAGGCCTGCTAGGAGCTGGAGAGAACCGCACTGCGACTGCCAGCGTCCGTTCTCGATCGAGTCAAACAAAACGGGCAAAAGCAACTTGACAGCATAGCGGGAGGGAAGGGCCATGATAGCCTTGGACGCCTCATCAGCGGCATCGCGGACAGAGACGACCTTGTCGGCATATCCGTCCAGGACTTTGGGGACAAGGGGGATCAAGTAAGGCTCGCCAGCCTGCCCGACAGCATGGCTCACGGCCGAAAGGATCAAGTAGGCTGTCTCGCGGAGAGGAGCCTGCTTTTTGTTGTCGAGGAGGGTAGTAATAGTTTTGATGAGCTGTCCGTCACGGAAGGCGCCGATGATGCCGAGGTTCTTGACCTCCTCTGCGACCTTGGCGGCCTGGGACCTTCTCGCGTCGGTGGTAGTCTGGACCTGGGTGGCCTTGACAAGCTCGTTGAGGATCTGAGTGTTTGCGGATACTGAGGACATGGTTCTTTGTTTTGTGTTTTTGTGTGGGTGCTCGTTCAAGTCTATGCTGGATGCAATGAGCGGAGTGGGGAGTGTATGTGGAGTGCAATGAGTGGGGAGTGTACAGAAGGGGAGGGGAGTGGTTTCCAACTAGGTGTGGAAGTAAAGTGAGGGTGCGGAAGCGAGGGTTGGGGGTGAAAAGACAAGAGAGAAAGTGAGGTGAAGAGAAGGAGGAAACGAAAAGAGGAAAAAGGAAGGAATGAACGAGCTTATTTATCTGAGTGTGTGTTTGTCTTTGTGTTTTTCCTTGTGGCCATTTGGCCCTTGCCTCTTTGTCTGTCCCTTGTCTCCCTCTCTGTCACTTCTCTCCCGAGGACCCAAGAATAGAAAGGAAAACAAAACAAACAACGACGCAAGGCAAGGCAAGGGGAGACAGACGGAAAGGAGAGAAGGGTCATCAAGGTGAGCGCACTGTTGCCTGTAATTTCATTCATATATTCGAGTATCGTACTCTACTGAAAAACAGCGCATGGATAATACAAAGGCAGTAAGACACACAAGAGCCATCTCAGTACCATCGATGATTGTTTTTTTTTGTTTATATGTCTGTCTGTCTGTCTGTCTGTCTGTCTGTCTGTCTGTCTGTCTGTCTTGCTGTTGTTTCTTTGTCTGTCTTTGTTTGCGAAGAGTGGTTCAAGTGGTTGTCCCGCCCATCATTCCTTTGTCTTGTCCTGTCTATTGCTATCTTTCTCTCCTCCATTCATTCATTGCCTCCTTCACCTAATTGTAAGGAAGAAGAAAGAGTAGACGTACTCAACCCTTACAAACCCTTGCAACAAGCCAACAGGCCAACAAGCCAAGCAACCAACCAGCCAGCCAGCCAGCCACAACAGCATGCCTCAACAAGTAGCCCCCTTCCTTCTCCTTCCCTTGTCCCTTGTCCCTTGTCCCTTGTCCCTTGTCCCTTGTCCCTCGTCCCACCACTCATCATCTCCTTTTACTCCTCACCCCTTTGTGTTTTGCTCGCCTCCCTGCCTCTGTCCGTGCTTCCTAATTTCTTTTTTTGTTTTCCTTGGTGCATGGAATGGAGGAACGAATCCGAAAACTACTTTTCTTTCTCTTTGCTCTTGATGATCCAGTGGAGGTATAAACAGACGCTAGTTTCATAATCCAGCCAAACTTGGGCTATAGCAAAAGGAAAACAAAGAAAAGAGGGAATGGTATTGTACTCTTGCTTTGAAGATGGAAATGAGTTGAATGGAGGGAGTGGACTATTGAATGAAGAGTGTACGTGAGGAAGCGAGACAGAGAAAGGAAAAATGAGGGTGCTGTGCAAAATAGAAAAAAAAAAATGTGGGTGGGTGGGTGGAGGAAATGAATGAATTCTGAGCCCTCGGTTGGTCGCACGACCAGCTGTTGTTGTCGATGGCTCATGGTTCAGATGAGGCTCAATTAACTAAAGAACCAATAACTGAGGAGGAGGATGTGTCCCCAGGGTTGCTTTCCATCGTGTCCTGCGTCCTTTGTCCTGTGTCCTGTGTCCTGAGTAATATAATGATGGCGAAAGAAGGAACCATTTTTCAGGCGGAACTCGCCTCTTTATAAGAAACTCAGATTGCTCTCGTTGTTTTCAACTCCAATCGAGATGGATAGCTCTACTGGAGTGGAGCCATGCATATCCTCGAAACCATCGAGCATGTATGTACTATACTTTATTTTCTGTTGGAAGAGGTAAGTAAAAACTCTAAGAATGGACATGATGGTTATCGGGCAGCATTGAGTCGCCAAGTGATAGGAAACACGATGATAATGGTCCGAGGCTACTTGAGATATGGGGCGCGAAGGCAAAACCAACCAATCCGAGTGGGGGAATCGCACGCGTTTCTCCGAATGGCGAATGGGAACAAGGAGGGCGAAGAAAGGTCCAAAAGGAGGAGAAGGGGCTCAGTCTGGACTGAATTGAACTTGCGTATTATCTTTTTCGAAGAATAGACACGAGAATAATAATTGGCAACCCTTCTTTACTTCTTGACTACAGGCAGGCATGATTGTTTGAGGAGAAGGTATGTATGGTATGAGAAAGGAGGGAATTGCTAACTCCTGAATGTCAACAAAAATATTTTCTTGTGTGTCCAATCCTTTGGGTTTCCAGTGAGGGCATGGTCAATGCCCAGATCGGACTTTGGAAACGCAGGAAAAGAAAAGCAAAAAAAAGGAGCCTTACTTTGCAGGGAGTGAGAATCAAATACAAAAACCACAGACAGATACACATGCCTGCCTGAGGCGATACAGAAGGTCCATGGTAGACTATTGTTGTTTGCCATTCCGTTGCTGATGATGGCGATGGAAGTGTAAAAAAGTAAAGGGCAGGGGGCGAAATGGGAGAGCGGACATTATTTTCTTTGGACAACAGAAAGAAGAAAAAAAGAGTTCAGGCACAAGCCAATACTTGATCTGAGATTCAATTCAGCCCATCCCCTTCTCCTTTTTTCACCACAAAACTATTTCGTTATTTGCCTCGCCGATCAGCCTCTCCTTCCCTTGCTGCTTTCTCATCATACACCCTTCCTCTCACCCCCTCTGTCCTTCCTTCCTTTGATAGCCATCACTTCCTTCCTTCTCTTCATCCAGTCATGACCGCTTCTTTTATTATCTTCTCTCAAACACGTCATCCATCCTTCACCGATAAGAGTCGCAGAACAATAAAGTCACACATACTCCTTGCTAAACAAGCTAACTCTTTTGCTCCGCCCCTTCTCTCTCTCGCCCTCTCCTTCCCGCCATGGATGTGTGGTTCGGCAGTTTCTTTTGTTATTGCTATGGTTCAGTCGCATAGTATGTACGTGCTGTACTTTTGTTTCAAGACCATGATGTCTGTGATCGAAACATAGTCCAACAAATGACGATGGAGAGGTTTAAACATAGAACAATGAGAACGGGAGAGAGAAAGAGAGATGGACGGAAGGAACCAATAGCCACGCGCATGGTGCTGAAACAAATTTTGGACGCAACGGACTGTATTCCCGCAAGAAGGAGAGAAGAACGATAGAGAAAAGAGATACGCTACACAGAGTAGGAAGGGACCAAGGAGAGAGAGAAGGGAAGAACAGAAAAAGGTGCATGTGCAGAAAATGAGGGTTGGATCAACATGTATGGTCATTTATTCATTACATGGTTCAGAAATAGATGTAGGATTGTACACGCAAAAAAGAGAGAGAGGGGGTAGGAGTAGAGGAAGAGGGATGAGGCAAGTAGCTAATTAAGCATGTCCAACAGAGGCAGAAGCACCCTTCTGCTCATCCTCCTTTTGTTCGTGGACCATGTTCATGAAACGCTTCAACTCCTCCTGAGGCATAGGGTAGCAATGCTCCTCGGCAGGAAACGCACGCGACTTGACGTCGGCACTGTACTCCCTCAACGCGCCCACAATGTCGTCTGCCAGACTACGGTAGGTCTTGCAGAACCGAGGTACCTGTCCGTAGAGACCGAGCATGTCCTGCTGGACCAAGACCTGGCCAGAACAGCCAGCACCAGCACCGATACCAATCGTCGGGATGGAAAGGATATCTGTGATATGTCTTGCGACTGGCTCAGGGACGGCTTCGAGGATGATTGCAAAGCAACCAGCCTGCTGAAGGGCAATCGCGTCCTCGATCATGGCCTTGGCTTTGGCGACAGTCTTGCCCTGGACCTTGTAACCGCCCAAGCTGGCCTGACGCTGTGGAGTGAGACCGATGTGACCGATGACAGGAATGCCGACCTGAGTGAGCCGCGCAATGGTGGGGGCCATCTCTTTTCCACCCTCGAGCTTGACGCCCTCGACCTTGCCTTCCTTCATCATTCTCACAGCATTGGTGACAGCCTGGTCAGGACTGGTCTCGTAGGTGCCAAAGGCCATATCAGCAACCAAGAAACTGGATCGGGTACCTCGGGCAACGGCGCGGCAGTGGTGCAACATCTCGTCAATGGTGATTTCTGAGGTCGAGGTATGACCGAGGGCGACCATGGCAAGGGAATCGCCGACGAGGGTCATGTCAATGCCGGCCTTGTCGACCAGGGTTCCGGTGGGGAAGTCGTGGGCGGTCATAACAGTAATGGGCTCCCCGCGCTTGTACAACTTGCGGAGAGTGGCTAGGGTGACCTTTGGGCGAACTAGTACAACCAATTGGGATGAAAAGAAGAAATTAAAAATGGTGGTTAGAAGAGTCGGTTGGGCAAAGTGCGCGCATGTTTGGGCGATCGGTGACACGATGAGAAGGAAGGAAAAGTGATGATGCCATCGAAAGGAATGCTGTGTTGAAACCAATAACCACAGAAACCTGTGCGAAAACACAGCAGAGGAAACTTAATCTGAACCGGAGTAGAAAAAAAAAGACTGGCGGGGTGCAGAATATGAAGAGCCAACAACAACAACAAAAACAATTGTGGAGATGGAAAGGGTGCAGAGCAAGAAACAAAGTGGAGAGGGATAGAGAGTCTTCGCCTCATTGGGCCATTGAACCCAATGGTGGTTGTTCCCAACAGCAAAAGGATAGTTGGCGAGAGATTACTGATGAAAGAGAGGCAAAAAGAAACGAGTGGAGAGGAATGATACACTCTCAACATGCCAACAAAAAACGATCGGGGGTAGGTTGAAGGCAAAAAGTACATGGAAGGTTCTCCCCCTCTCTTTCTTTATCCGAGCTCATTCTCCCTCATTAAAAAAAAATAAAGGAAAAAAAACGTGCGAATTTGATGACACAAACACATATCAGGGGGGGACAAGAAAAAATCAAATTGGGCTTACCCGACATGACAGCATCGGCTGGACGACTACTGTAACTGCGCATGTGCGCACTTGACCAAAGGGGGTGGTTCATTGAAGTGTCTCGCACAACCTGTGGGCCAGTAACTCGCTGGACAATCCTCGATGACGCACAGGCAACAAGGCCAGCACTGACTGACCGAGGCACTCTGGAGACGGTCTTGCTTGCGACTTGGACAAATCTTGCGGAGACGGCAGACATCTTTTGGTTCTGGGAACGTGGAGTGGAGTGAGGCGGGAAGTGGGGTGAGGTGAGAAGTGGTGGGGTGAGCTGAGAGGTTTGATTTTTTTTGTTGAGCTTGCAAAGTGAAGAGTAGAAAGAGAGAGGAAAGAAAGAGGAGAAAAAGAGTCGGCGTGAAGAAGAAAAGTCTCTTTATTCAAGACGAGAGTCGAGGGAGGAGGAACCCTTTTCCATGGCTTGTCTTCTTTTCTTTGACGAAAGACGAAGAAGAAGCGGCATCCTTTACACTTTGATGGGGAGGTGGGAGGGTTTCTTTCATTTTTGATTGCGGCACACTCGTTCGCTGAGCAGAGAAGCCGACGGAGCCAGCGAGATGACAAACCGAAGGTCATTTTTTCATGGCCTGACCTTTTTTTGTTGTTTTTTTTCCCTTGCGTTCTTTATCTCCTTTACACTCGGACAACCTTCCTCATTTAGACATCACATGACTACTTCTCATCGTACGATGTTGGTGGCGCTTTGTTCATGAAAAAAGATAAAATGCCAACGGGGCGCAAGTGATATGATCAGTTGTGGACTAAATCAACATACGATATCTGATCTAATGAAACGAGAGCAGAAACGCGTCGAAGATTCTCAAATACTCTGTGTGTTTGTGTATTTGTCTTCTTTCACCTTGCTTCTTTTCTATTTTTTTTTCTTTCGCAGTTGGCAGCATGCTTCTCAGCCACTGAAATAAACTAAGTTCAATTGCTCCTGCGTGCGAACTCACAAAACAAAACGTGCAAGTATTGTTCCCTTTTATGAATTCGTTTTCCGACATCCATACGAACAAGGAGCATTCAGTACATCCATCACAGACGCCGCTGCCATCGGTCCCACCATCGCCACCGCCATCAGTCCCACTGTCACCGCCGCCATGTCGTCATTTCAACGCGTCTTCGACATCCCAGAGGTAGTGGACCTGCTCATATCGCAGCTTAACAAGCCAGAGGTATCCATCCTCCCGCGCACCAACAAGACGATACGCCGGCACTGCACCCCCTGGCTCTATAAGGCTCCGGATTTCCGTCACGACATTGAATCCATGGGCTGGAGTTTGTTCCGGGAATGGTGGTGTTCCTAATACATCACGACCTACACGGTTCCCAACACCTGATTTGCACACTCGTCGGGTCCTGGCTCTCCCGCCCATGACCCATTTGTCTAGGGTCACTCTGGAAGGATCTTCTGGATAGAACAATCCCCGCAGGATGCATGTGCGCAGGACCCTCGAGCGATACTAGGACAACTGTGCTGGCTGGTTTCTCTGAATCCGCACCTCACGCACCTGAACCTTAACCCGCTATCCATTAAGGATCCACACAGCTGTCAGCTTCTTGTCGAGGCCATCGCCGGACTGCAGGGGAGGAAGGAGTTGGGTTTTTGGATCGATTGCAGGAGCCAGTATGCGTTTCGACTGGGAATGGTCCTTTTCTACTATGTCAAACCCTAAATCGGACTTTTGTCTAGAGCTTGTATCAAGGAGGCAACAACGACCGCGAGCAGGATCATGATGGCCTTGGTGTAAGTAGCGATGGTTTGATGGGGATGCCCAGGAGACAGGAGCTGTTGGTCAATCTAGAGACTTTGGCGCTATGGGGCTTGAGCGACCATGCATATGTGAGCAACATCCTCTCGATTCTTGGACACTGCCCCAATATCGTCAAGCTGGCCACCTTCGATACCGACAACGAGCAAACGGCGTCGATCATTGTGGATTTTGTCGGCAGAGAGTGTTCCGGAATTTGTAAGCTGACTTGTTCTTGGGAACATCGTGGCCGGGGTGCGATATTGCCCTTCAGGATCTGGAGGTGTTGCCCGCTCAGCAAGTCACAGGGCTGGAGATGTGTCAGTGGCACTCGGTTTTAATCAACCGATTATCGGCCCGGTGATCCTGCAATACTCGACGACCCTTCGTTTTCTGAACCTGGAATCGAAAGGCGGGATCGCGAGAATGCCTGCTGCCGTCATCTTTGAGAATTGAGTAAGCCTGGAGTCGTTGCAAACGCTTGATGATCGTCTGGGCCTGTATTCGAATTTGGACGACATACAAAAGGCTCCCTGGTGCTGTTCTAGCTTGTGGGATCTCTCGATCGGTTTCAGCGGCTGAAAACTCCCCTTTCACCACAGCAACCCCGACAGTCAACCGTGCTACTCTAACCCAGCGCCTATTATCCTTTCTGAGGCCGGGGCCAAGCACTTTGCGCGGCTGGAGAGACTCTATTTGCAGGTTGGACGGTTGACACAGCTCCGAATTCTGCAGTTACTGATGGTCAAGCTTGACGGGGAATATCAGCTGGAGGGGGTTCAGTGGACGTACCAATGGCGTTTCCAGCCTTGGTGAGATTGGGAGACGTCCACCAAGGTCGAACAAGGTATCTGGAACCACCTTGCCGGATTGAAGAAGCTGGAGAGAATCGCAGGATCAATTGATATCGACAATGTGGAAACAAAAGTGACGTCGGAATGGAGAAAAGCGGTTTGGATGTATGAGTATTGGCCTCGTCTTCAGACCGCTTATCTTTAGCTCAGAAGGTACTGTTACGGCGCCGTTTAAATGGCTTAAGGATAAGTATATCTAGGATGATTTTTCTTTTTTGAGGAAGCAACTTGATTGCTTTGTTCCTCTTTCTCTCTCTCTGCTCGAAAAATAATAATTGCGTGTGTTCAAAACGACCTTGCTTTTGCTTCTCTGCTTTGTCATTTCGATTGAATTCTCATTTTTGGAAACAATAATGATTTATTCAACAATCCATGCACCAATACGCTTATTATACTTCACAATGAACTCGCCCAAGTCGCGCACCACAAACGCACAAATGACGAGGTTCAAAAACTCGCCGATCCGGCGGAGACGGCTAATAATCTGGGCATAGTAGGTCTGAAGGGACGAGGCAAAGTATGCGGGACCCGACGATGTGGCGGACAGAGCAGTATAGTGGCGGTACATTGTCTCGAGGATTGTCGCAGACTGGAAGAGACGTAGGACTGAGTCTGTATATACTGTCGTGTCGTCGCTATTTTTGTGAAACGAAATTGGGAGATGTTAATTAGGGAGAGAGTTATTGAATACCCGTATTTTTCCCCTACGGCAAGCGAGATTGAGAGTAAAGAGGGGCTTACACTTTGTCGTTGGCCATGGATTTCTGGACAGACTTGGAAAAGTGCTTCCACTGGCTTTTGAGATCATTGCTAGCTCCAATGGCGTTCGTAGCAGCATGACCCTCCTTGTCCTTGTCCTTGCCAATATCGTCCTGATATTCATGCTCTTGGGGTGAGAGCAAGTCCTGAGCTTGATGCTGATGCTGTCGTGCAGTAGCAGTAGCATTAATGCCCACGGAACCACTGTTACCGGTGGCACCGTTGACAGCATGGGGACCAAAGTATTTCCCAGGCCGATGGACAAACGACAGTTTCTTGCTGAGTTTGGACCAGATATGTTGCGCTGTCGATTCAAGGGCTTCGAGTTCTTTTGTCAACAAGATTCGGTCCTGCTCGGTGTCGATCGAGTTGTAGGAAGGGAGGACGGTGGTACCGCTGCCCTTGTCGCCACTGTTCCTGTTCGCGGATTTTGTGGGTTTTACGGGTGCTGTTGATGTTGGTGTGGAGGATGTGAAGAAGGCGGGTTGGGAGAGCGTGGTGGGGGTTGGTGGATGAGTGATAGTCAGGGTTTGAGGAGCCAGTGCGGCGGTGGCGACTGACGCAGATGTTGATGTTGTCGAAGTCGTTGACGTTGACTGGAACGAGGCCTGCGAAGGGGTAACAGGCGACGAAGGCGAATACGGCAAGATGAACGACGAAGAACTCGAAGACGATCCCGACCTCGATCCCGCCCTCGATGACGAACCTGACCTCGGCACCGACTCCAAAGGTCCAAACGAAGAAGATGACGAAGCAGGCGTACGAGGTCCAATCATCAAGTTCAACATGCCGCGTTTCGACTGTGCGACCATCTGTTCCAGCATGAGGGTAATAGTATGACAGGCAGAGACTTTGGCCTCTGCGGCGGGGAGGCGAACCATGGTTGCGCGTTGGTACCAAACTTGTCGGGGCACGTGGACTTTGCGAGTCAGGAACCCTCCAGTGGTCATTGTCAGTTCTAGTTGGCGCATCATCCAGAAGCATCGGAGGAATGGGTCTGTGGGTTGCGGTGGGATTTGTGGTGGTGGACCTCGTGGCTATTTCATTATATAATTAAAAGAGAGCGTGTCAATGAGAGTGTTTTCTTGCGAGGTAGAAGAAGCATGTTTTTAACGCGTCTTGAATTTTGTGTCCTGTTATCAAAAGAAACTTACGATGCTCAAGCCTCCGAGTGGGTCGTCGGACGAAACAAAGTCCAAGAGAACGCTCCCACCGGCAAAGGTGGTGCTGGTGGTCGTGGGACTGTGCAGCGCCGCAGAAGTGCTACTCAACTGCGAGAAACTGCTCTGACTCCGAAGCATGGTGATAGACTGCTGAGCTCGAGGGACAAGGACCCAAGGTTGACCCTGCGACTGTTTCCGTTGATGCTGCCTCTGCCTCTGGTGCTTCTCAAAATTCTGTGCATGTTGATGCTGTGGACTCGTCGGTCGATCCTTATCCTGATCCGAATTCTTTTGATACTTGTTATGAAAATGTGTTCGAATGGGACTCGAAGACAAGAACTCGGCAGCGGTGAGCGGTTCGTTATCGAACAGATGCAGAGACGTCATTGAGAGTGAGCCAAGCGTCTGACTGTAGAGTGCAATTCGCGATGGTTGTTCCGAGGGGCGTCCTTGGTTTTGCTGGTTAGGTTGCAGTAACGGTGGTGGCGACAAAAGTTGTTGCTGTTGTTGCTGTTGAGCTGGTGGTTGAAGTGGGAGGGACGATTGTGAGAGCGATCGTCGATGAGAGTGGTATATGGTCTTCCCGTTCACTGCCTTCTTGTTTCCTGGTAAGGGCTTCTCATTGACCGCAGTTGTACTAGGTTCATGCTTCTTGCGCTCCACGTCTGGTCTTGCATTCTGAGAGCCATCATAGTCCAACGGCCCTATGTATGTTTTTTTGTACGACATCCGCGTCAAATTAGATTTCTTGTTAGCACGATAGCAAACGTTTCAAAAGTAAAGTTCGGGGGGCTCTATACTAATGTACTTCATTTCATATTTTTTCTTCTGCTGCGTTTTTTTTCTGACGCCTTTTATGAATAATTAATTACCTTTGGTGGGGGAACCCTGTCGTGGGAGTGGATCCGCCGAGAGCTCATGCACGCCAAGCCAGGACTCAGAAAGATCGAATCCCTTTGTCAGGAACTTTGGTAGCCATTCGTCAATCTCATTACGATCCATCTCTTCCCGTGGTGAATGATGCTGAGGAAGGCCCGTTGCTTTCGTTGTCGACTCGTTGTTGTTGGGCTCTGGCGAGCTCTCGGGTGACAGCAAAGTCGAGATTTTAGGTGGTGGGATCGACTGTTGACGCGGTGGATAGTGCAATGGTGCTCCAGCCTGTGTCATCAGTTTCTGTTGTTTTTTGAGCTGTTGTTGTTGTCGTCGAGCCTGCAGAAGCGTTCGGTGGAGGGGCGACGAAGGCGGCGATGACGACGTCGAGGACGACGCCGACGTGAAAGACATGGATAATGGCGAAGGTGACGATGGAGAAGTCGGTGATTTTAAGGGCGGGGGTGTAGGAGTAGCGAGTATGCTATTGGGCAGCGAGTTCATAAAGACTTTGTTGACTGCCAGATCTGGTGTTGGTGGCCTCGTCTTGCTAGGCGGTACCACCGCCGCAGATGATGATAATGAAGGAAACGGCGTAGACTCTACAACGATGGGAATGCTCTCCTTGGTCACCTTGCTTGGAGAGGCAGGTCGCAGCGTTTGCGGTAGTGGCGCAGATAACGCCAATGAACCAACCGTCGCTGCTTCTGTCGTTGTTGGAGCAGTGGTAGAAGAAACAGGATGCGGACTATGTGGAGGTGACAACGAAGGTTTCTTCTGCAGTCGTTGCTGAGCTTTGAGTTGGAGTTGCTCGGCTGCAGAGATCAGGTTGCCTGTAATACGGGTATTGTTGCTGGTGGGGGCAGTCGGCCCTCCTCCTCCTGTGAGTTGTTGAGCTTTGAGTTGGAGTTGCTCAGCCGCAGAGACCAGGTTGCCAGTGATAATACGGTTGTTGATGGTGGTAGTCGGCCCTCCTACGATAGGTTTGGCATGAAGCCGCACCTGCCGTCGTAGAGGCGACTGTCCTGACATTGTGGACGATGAGGGACTGGTAGGACTGGCGGGACGGGTGAGGATGGTGGGGCTGGCGGTGCGGGTGGGGATAGTGGGACAGGCAGGGTGAATGGTTGTTGTTGTTGTGAGGGAGCCAGCCCTGGCACGGCGAAGTCGGTGTTCTTGAGAGGGAGGAGCAAGAAGTTGGATTGGAGGTGGGCTGGAAGTTGATGAGAACTGTTGTTGTGAGGAAGAAGCAGTGGCGCTGGTGGTGGCAGTGGTGGGAGTGGGAGTGGATATGGCAGAGGATGAAGTGGAGGGTTGAGAGCGAGTGGGAGCAGGACCAGGAGCAGGGGGCTGTTTTTTGATCTGTTTCAATGAAGACTCGTCGACTGTTGCTACTGCTGGAGTTGTCGTCGTGTTTACCATCATTGTTGTTGGCATTGATGCTGTTATTGACGCTATGGCGGCGGCGGCAGCGGCGAGAGTTGTTGATTTTATACCCGTTGCTGTTACTGTTGTTGTTGATGTAGTGTCGGTGGTGTTGATACTTTTGATGGTTGCATTATTAGGCTTGGAAATTGCTGTTGTTGCATAAGGAGTCAATGCGTATCCTGCACGGGAAGGGGAGGAGACGGAGGAGGAGTGCATATTTAGAACATCGCCCTGTCCCTGAGAATAAACGCCCTGTGGCGACAAAGGGGGTTCATCATGCAGGCTGCAGAGACCTACTGTGGTTGCCGTTGTTGTTGTTGCTGTTGTTGATGCTGTTGATGTTGATGTTGTTGTTGATGTTGTTGACAGTGCTGGTGTTGAGGATTCGATGTTCAGCGACTGGATGCGATATTTGTAGGAGTCGTGCTATCCAAGGAGTAACCAACATTGTCAAGGGGAGTGAGAGAGAGGGAGGAAGAGGGAGAGGAGAGTGAGAGACAGAAAAAAATAATATTTTAACACCCAAAGAGCTCCTACAAAACAAGAACGCGAGCCATAGGACATAAGAGACACGCCAAAGAAGCTTATTAAAAACAAGATGGCTTAAGCGTGTTTGGTGGATGGATTCCAACCGATCACCTCAACAAAGTTCAGGTACGATCAGTGTAACGCCCATTTGTCTCACTCTTCTGTTTCTGTCTCACCCTCGCGCCTTTTCCTTTCCTTTTCTCTTGTTTTCCGCTCCGCCCCAACGAAGGAAAAAAAGGTGCAAGCAAACAAAGGAATGCATTCCTGTATTGTGAACTTACGATAGCCAGGAGGCGGTTGTATTCTTCAGGTGAGGTGGTGCTCTTCATCACCATCTCGAGCAGTGTCACGGCCTTGCCATAGGCCTCGAGGGCTTCGAGTACAAGACCCTCATTGTCGAATTTGACTGCCGTCTGGGCCTCAAGTAAAGCCAAGGACTTTAATGCCTTTGAGCGCGTCATGGTCGTCCATGCTGCTGAATCTGACCCTGACCCTGTCCCTGACTTGGGCTCTTGACCGTAACTAAAGAGCTGCTGTTGGTGGTGGTGTTCGTCGTTGTGGTCATTGTTCAGTTCGGGCATGTTCCAGGAGTGTTGGACATGAATGTCCATTTGATGTACAGTTGTCTTTTTACAATTAGGGGTACTTTAGGTTTTGAATGAGGCCGCGCAGAAAAAAAAATTAGGGGTGGAATGTACAAAAAAGTGGGACGAGAGGAGAGAGATGAGGAACGAAAAAAGCAGAAGAAGAACGAAGTAAGAAAAGGAAGGAAAGGAAGGAAGGAGACAGGGATAAAGAAAGTGAGAGTGAAAGTGAAGGTGAAAGTGAGACGGATGCACCAACAACTCCAGTTAGCGGGGTAGAAAGGGCGGGAGGGAAATAACAAACAAAAAAAGGGACGCCGACTGATGGGGGTTTGGAAGTCAAGGGGAAGAGAGAGGAGGACAAGCGACAAAGAGGGACGAAAGAAAGGGACGAGATGACCCCCAAAACAATAAGGGTGGCGACGGCACGATAGCACGCTGCAGGCACCAAGGGACACAATTATTAGAATGAAAAAGTGAGGGGTGGTGAAAGTATGGGTGAATGGGTAAAGCAAGACTAATGTAAGAAGAAGCAATAAGTAGTCAGGAGAGTTGAGAACGAAAAAACAATGTAATCGACAATGCGAGATTGACAGAAGCACGCTCCCTTCCCACTCTCTTCTCCCCCCTGTTAGTCGCATGGCATCAAAATGGCATCAAACAGGTTATTTGGCAGTGCCAGTGCCAGCGCAAATGCGCCACTCTCTGTCCCTCCCTCCCTCCCAACGTGGAGAATGTGAAAAGGGAAAAGGAGGAAGGACGGGAGAGTGAGACGATGAGGGGAGGAGAAAAGGGAGATGATGCATGCAAACTGTATTCCGAGATGGTCTCTTAAAAGCAATTGCAAACAACCAATCGTGGGCGGGCAACATGCGCTTTGCTTTGCTGAGGTCAGGAGCAAACAACCCGCGTACGTCTCCTCCGTCTCTGCCCTTTTCATAGCTTTCGAGTACAACCCCTGTTGATCGATTACCGCGTGTCCTAAGACTGCCTGTAAGGGTCTTCTGTGAATATGTCACTACGTCGAAATGGCGAGTATAAAAGCGCAAAAAGCAATCCCGGTCCACATACGCCCCTCCTTTGGTAGTGTTGGCAACAAGTCGAATTTTCCTGTTTTTGTATTTTGATCGATTCGTATGCATTATGCAAACCACGAGGCGGACGCGCCTTCCTCTGAGGAAATTTTCGTCATCCTCAAAAAATGCGATCGACGAAGGAGATATAAAAAGTTTGGGTCTGCTTCTTTTTCTTTTCCTTCAAACACATCCTCTCATTCATCAATCACAACCACAACCACAATCACCCCCACCTCCCCCAGAACAAAACATCCACCATGGCCACCATCACTGTCTCTCCCGACTATGGCTTTGTAAGCTCAATTTAACTTTTCAATTGCTCGTTCCAGGTGCATATTTAATTGCGTTTGAAAATCACATTCAGATTCTAACAATCTTTCCTCTCATTCCTCAACAACATGCATAGGTTGTCGCGGTCGCGATCGCATCCTGCCTCCTTGTCTTCTTCTTCGGCTCAAGAGTAGCATCCTACCGCAAGATTGCTCAAGTGCCCCTCCCATTCCTCTACGCAGACGCCAACGAATGCAAGGAAGACCACAAAAAACTCATCTTCAACTGCTACCAACGCGTCCACCAAAACACCCTCGAAGGGTTCACGACATACCTCGTCATGCTTCTCCTCGTCGGACTTGAGTACCCGATTGCGTCAGCTGTGTTGGGAGGTATCTGGTGCGTGGGACGGTACTTTTATTACTACGGTTACTCGTCTGGTCATCCCGGCTCAAGGCAAATGGGTGCTTTTGGACATCTTGGATGGTTGGGTTTGTTGGGCTTGGCTGGAAAGATGGCCTTTGACCTTATCATGTCCAGGCCTTAAACCTCTCCCTTCTCTCCCTCTTGGTCTTGTGGAGGAGAAGCGCAACTTCATTTGCTCGTCCACATTTTTAGTTTTTCTCAATAAACCATACTAAACGAGCAGTAGTACCCTTATTTGTTCGTGGTCACGGTGTCTTGGTGTCTCGTCCGTTCATGCATGTGTGGTCAGTGTAACACGGCAGGGATATACTTTTTAATGCCGATAATGTTTTTATTGTTGGTAAGTACGTCGAGTCTAAGTCTCCTCTGCTGGATCTGGCGCGATGGTGTTGGTTGTCGAGTCGCTCTTTGTCGACCCGTCCTGGTTGCCCCGGTTGTTGTTGCTATTATACTCAACCCCATGACGTCTCGGTTCGTCTACTTCACTCCCGTGCTCAGTTGCATCGTTATCGCCCTCACCGTCAAATTCCTCATCCCCATAGTCCTGCTCCGAACCAGATTGGTACTCAACGTCATCATCGTCGTAGCCCAGCTCGACTTCCTGACCGTTGAGATAAATCAACTCCTCGCCCGCGCCAAAAGCAATCGGTTTCGCAGTCCGAGTGATCCGAAAGCTGCCAGAGCTTCCGCGCAATGGGTTGTACAGGATAGGATGTTGCGCCACACTGTAGTCCTCAACCGCCGTGGCCCGCTTCTCGCCGCCCTCGCCACCCTCCTCCAGATCAAACTCTCCGTCTATCCTCGTTGACGCAATCGACGGCGAGGAGAAAGATCCGTAGCGCCTTGGACTGGACGAGTATTGTTGCAATAGTGGGCTGCCAACTCGTGGCAGGCTTCTCTGCAGCAGTGGTTTTCCGAACCATTTCTTGGGCTTGGTTATCCTCGGTAAGAGCAAAGAATTACTGTTGTTAGGTACTAAGGGTGAGTCCTGAGAGAAGTCTCCGATACCTCCTTCACTCCCACCCTGCGCCTTTGTTGAACAAGGCGATCCAAAAGCTTCTGAACCTTCATCCAAGTTGTTCTGCCAGCGTTTGGGCGTCCACAGAGATCCCGATCCTGATGCGAGTGCGCCTCCAGACCCAGGCCCAGATCCTAATGTTTGGATACAGTTCAAGGCAGGTCGCTTCTTCTGCCTTCCAAAAAGCGACCGTGACTGAGAGGGTACTGGTGAAGCCACAGTCGACGTTGATGCCGAGGCGGCTGTCTGTGGTACAATCACTGGCACGTCCATTTGAATTTCGGGGTTCTCCAATGCACCACCATCCCGCCGATCAATGTTCTTGAGTGCGAATCCGACAATGATTCCACAGAGACCCATGGCGATAAAAAACATCTCGACAGGGATAAAACTGTCGCCAATGACGCGGATGGTTGCGACGATGGGTGGTGCTATTGTGAGTGAGATGTTGAGGAAACTGGTGCTGATCCCGTATCCTTTACCCAGATGCAGTTCGTTTGTAACCACGCTACGTGAAAAATGAGTAAGTGAGGGAGAAATAGGGGAATAGGTGAGATGGAATTTATCGAAATACAGTCAATCAAGCGAGGTTTTACTTGAATATGATAAAGGCACGATTTCATGCAACCTACCAAGCAATGGACGGCCAAAGGGCAACACCGTACATTGAATAAGCGACACCCAGCAGAGAGAACGCGAAGATAGGACTCAACGAGGTGAAACCCAGTGTCGTATGGACCACGACCATAATAGCAGCTGAAGCGATCAGGGTACTCGCTCGCCCACCATATTTATCCACAATGAATCCAAAGCCAGGAACAAGAATAGCCCCAAGGGTATCAGGGATGCCCATAACTGCTGCAGCCTTTCGAGGGTTGTCGTGGTACCATTTGGTTTGCAAGAAGTCGCTGGCAATGTTGTTGAAGGGAACGACCGTGCCATAGAGTAGGACTACGAGCGCGCAGATCAGCCAAAAGGTCGATGGGAAGAACTCCAGATCTGCCACCCACTGTCCCCACCATGAATCATGATGTTGTTTCCGTTGTTGCTGAAATCGCGGTTTCTGCTTCGGCTCGTCCTGAACTGTGACGATATGGAGGGATGGTCGAGTACCTGATCGAGTATAACCCGGTTTGAAACGGACACTGCGAATCGACTCGCTGAAGCTGGCCTCCCGTCTCAAAATTCCTGGGAGATGCTGCAAGATTGCAGGGTGGCTGGGAGATTTGACCAAGGTTGGTGATAATGTCTCATCTGTACCAGACGTGGGTAGATAGAGTGGCATACTGTCTGGTTGGTCAAAGGTCGAAGATCGTGGAAAGTGGGCTGATAGGAGGGGTGTTGCCGCGTCCAGCTCGTGTTCCTTTGAGTCGGGGACTGATCGCGAGGATTGTTTCATGAGCGTTATTAGGACGACTGCTGACATGAAGGAGGCCACACAACTGAGCGTCCCGATCCAGATGGCTGTGGGCACATCCCATTTCTGTTCCGCCCAAGGAGTCACAAGGGTATTGACAACAGACCCTATTGGTGTAAGCAGTTGTTGTGGTCAATGGATGTAGGGCAAGATGTTGTTATCATACTGTTTTGTGCGATATGGCACGAGTTCACAAGCTCAGTCGAGGCAACGTTCCATACCGAATCGGGCAATGCAAAGGTTCAGGCCCAAGGCAAATGCAAGCTCGTGTCCCCTATTAGTTTGTGTTAGCAAAAAGAAAAGGGGACAATGCGATGCGCGGGATGCATGAGTATCTGCACATGCAACAAAGAATGAAGAATGCATTTGCTCTTTGCTCGAAATAAAACCACATTATGTGTCCTCATGCTACTACTCACCGGAAGTGCATGGTGGTTATGCTAGCCTGGGCAACACCACAGCTTTCGCCACCGACACCGAAAATGGCCCGCCCAACGAGCATCATCCAGATCTGGCGAGTCTGGACTCCGACGGAGAAGATTGTCTGCCCGATGCAGACGCAGGCGCTGAGCCCAAGCAGGACCCTTTGAGGCCCGAATCGGTCGACGAGTGAGCCAAAGACGAAGGGCAGGACGGTGTTGGGGAGCGAGTAGACGCTGTAGAGGGTCGAGAGGAGGTACTGGTAGTCGTTGTAGGGCATGTCTAGGTACTTTTGAAGTTGTGTGTTGAGTGCTGCAGGATTGTCGTATGCTAATGGCCGAAGTTTTGTGTGTGTGTTATTGGTTCCCAGACGGGGAAGAAAGAAGTTTTTTTGTCAGCCAGAATGGACGCGCGATAGAATATCGGTCGACACATAAACAGATACCTTATGCACCAACCATAACCCAAAAGACCATAAGCAAAAATCGCAACGCAGAACAAACACGCCAGGAAGAAAATGAAGAGTTTCTCTGTCTTTACCAAAGTAGTTGCCAAAGAGTAGAAGGCAGGAGAGCGAGAGAATCAGCCAGCGTCTTGAACCTTGTCCGTTGATAGAGGGATGGTCAGAGGAGACGACAGGCTCCAGTGTCAACGAGGGTGAATGCATGACATTGGACCGTGTGATGTACAAGGGCGGAAAGGACTCTAATTGTGACGAAGGGGGTTCGTCGTCAACAGGTCCTAGTGTACTGTCGAGTGAAGGAGTGCTTTGGTGAGCCATAGTCGTTATTTTTGTTGTTGCCGCCCTTTCCTGACTGGTTGACTGGTGATGGGCGTGGTGCAAAAGAAGTTGGGATGAAATGAACGAATGAGAAGAGGAAGAATGGACGAGGAATAAGACATGAAGCTAGTTTGGAGTAGAAAAATAAGGAAAAGAAGGAAAGTAAGGGGAGAAAGGGAATGTGGGTTTGCAATGGCGGGGAGCAGCGACCAAGTAAGGCTGCTTCCTTTTCTTCTTCTTCTTGCTATTGGAAGAGGGCGGCGGTGAGTGAGGGCAAGACACCAAATAAAAAGGAAGGAGAATAAAGAAGGAAAGAGTAAGAACAAGGTCGACAAGAGAGAGAGCGAACCAAGAAGTAGGATGAGAAGGTCAACAAGGTCAGAGCGACGGGGAAGGAAGACAAAAGAGATGGAGGAGACGACCCTGGCCAGGGATCGAGGGGTAACACCAAATAAAGGAGACGGCGAATGGTGCGTCAGTGGTTCACAATCCTCTATAACAACAAAGAAGGGAGAGCAGATTGGAAAAGGTGGAAGGATGATGAAGAAAGAAAAGAAGGAAGGAGGCGTGGAGAACAACAGCCGCGGTTTTGTCTAGGATAATGACAAAGGGGAGAGAGCTCGTTTCCTCATTGATCAGTGACCACTGATCACCCAAGAAAGACCCCCAAACAAGACAATTAAAGTCATCAGTGATTAAGGGACACACAATGTACGTATGGTGATGGGAAAAATACCCGTACGTTTTGACAGGTTCGTGTCGATTGGACAGGTCGATGTCCGGATCGGAATGGATTGCTTGAGAAAAGCCTAGGAGAACTAGGATGTGGATCTGCTAGGAACAAGTCTTTTAAAACCCTGCCTGTCTGCCTTTCTTTCCTGCCATCGTCGTTCATGTTTCCCCTTTAGCAAAGTAGTCTGCGAGAGGATGGGGGCTGCATGCATGTTTGTGGGAGATAGAGATGAGAGCATGATCCTGGAGCATGAATACATAAACAACAAAACAAACAAACATGAAAAAGTCCGTCTGCTCTCTGTGAGGCTGGTTGGCTGGGATGGGTTGCTGGCCTTGGATTATTTACTTTTTGCAAAGTACACTAGTACTGCCTGGCAGACGGAGAGACGGAGACAGACAGCGAGGGAGAGGGATGCAGCGAGTGGGAGAGAGAGGGGAAGAACAGAGTTTTTCTTCTTCTCCCTCTCTGTCACTCACTCTTTTTTTATCCCTTCTTTTTTCACTTCCCTTCTTCACAAAACCTTCATCGCCATCATCATTCCCCCTCTCTCGCTCACTCCACTCCCACCCACTCCTTCCGCCCTCAACCATGTCCGCATCCCTTCTCCTTGAGATGCTAAGGCGCTCGGGCCTAGAACATTACTACCCTAGGTACACACCCCAATAGAGAGACATCAGGAAGGAAGAAACAAAAAAAAAAATGTTGAGAAAACAACAGCAACAACATCAGCTTCGACAGTGCTCACAAGACCCTGATGACCCATGGAGCACACCCCCTTTGCAAGCGAATGGTCTCAGGAGTAAAAGGAGCTCGCCTTAACAGTGAAGAGGCAACTTTTGTAGCATGTTGACAATTCTTTCCCTTACTCGGAAAGAAGAATTGAAAAAAAAAAGAGTTCATTACCAACCCAGTGCGAACCGACGCTTTTCTTCGCGTGTGATCGCGTGGAATTGCCCTCCTTTCTTTCACTTTCTCTCTCCCCTGGTGTTCACACGCCTCCTGAAGGTGGTTTTTGGTTATTTTCGATGGTCAGTTAACACATCAGTGTCTGCTCTCTTCCGTTTTCCGTGTCTAGTTTCTCCACACGCGGTATTACACAACTTGATAACTTGGTCCAGGTACGAACGAATCCTGTCTCGCTCTCTTTTTCTCGCCTCGACGACACAAGCAAAAGAGAGTTATGAAGTTGGTCAATTGGTCAATTGCTCGACTACAAGCGACCATAGTGGTTGCCTTCCAAGAGCTGGCGTCATTCTGATCCAGACCAGTATCGTCTCCCTGACCCTGTGGTTCTTTTTCTTTTTCTTTTTCTCCTCGTCCTACGCCCTGCACTCCTATGTTGCATGGTGTTTTCTTTTTCTTTTTCTTTTTCTTTTTCCTTTTCTCTTTACTTTCTGCATGTATATGTAGCTCACAATGCAGGACTACAACACATTAGGGGTCACGAGTATGGAAGACCGTCGAAAACTTTTTCAGCTTATCCAGACCATCAAAGCCCAATATGTTGACAACCCGGAACCTTCTCCTCCTATGGCTACCGCCTCTATCCCGCATTCGTCTGCCGCTCCACCTCTTACTAATGACTCGGATGACATCTCCCGCGGATACGGCGCTCAAGCATTGAGTGAGATGTCCAAGAGGTCCTCGGATGCTCGCCTATCCATGTCGATGGGTCGTCGATCGGGAGCCAATATGGTAAACAGCCTGAGCCATTCCAAGAGCCTCTCGACTTCAATGGCATCATCGTACCAGCTCCAGGAACAGGAACGCCTTCAACAACAACAGCAACAACAGTTTCAGCAGCAACAACAGTTTCAGCAACAGCAACAACAGCAACGCCAGGCGCAAGAATACGATTATGAGATGCAACAACAACAGCAGCAGTACCAGCAATATCAACAACAACAACAGCTTTTGCAACAGCAACAGTATAGGCAGCAGCAGCGTGAACTAATGCTTCAACAGCAACAGCAACAGCAGCAACAACAACAACAACATATGATGCAGATGGAGCAACCGCGTCAGTATGCCGACGGCAGGGGCTTCAAGGTGGCATCAGATGACGAGGAGGATCCTATCCCTATTCAGGAGGCGCAACGTGGAATGAACGCTTACAGTGTTCCATCAGGCGGACGGGGGACTCTTGGCCGGAACAGCTCTTACACGGTCAACGACATGATGGCCAAGATCCGTGTCTGTGTCCGAAAGAGGCCGCTCAGCAGCAAGGAGATCCATCGTGGCGAAAAGGACATGGCCAGTGTTTCTGGTCGTCAACTGGCCGTAGACGAACCGAAGTATGTTGTTCACCTTGATCTGTTATATTTGCTCAGTTTTGTGCGTGAAGATCTAACTGTTTATTTATTTTCTTCGCGCTTTATTAGAGTACGATTGGATATGACAAAGTTCATTGAACGACACAAGTTTGTTTTCGACGAGGTCTTTGATTCTGATTCCACCAACGAGGATGTCTATAGACGGACGGCTTATCCTTTGGTTCAATACCTCTTCGAAGGAGGAAAGGCTACCTGCTTTGCCTAGTAAGTGCAATTGGTTTCTGCTTTTTTGGTCGTTGTAAGAGAGTTACACTCTTGAGCCACTTTCTAATCAACCTACGACGTTCAAAAAAAAAAAAAAACTGTGTTAATTAGCGGTCAGACGGGAAGTGGAAAGACCTATACTATGTTGGATGACAGTCAAGGTACGTCTCATTTCCATCCCTGAATGGAAAGACCTATTCATGCTTTAACGTTTTGCCTAGCCATTCAATAACTGACATCTCTCAACGAACATATTCGGACTTCAATTGTTACTCAAATAGGACTTTACGTACTGGCGGCACGGGATATTTTCGTCAAGCTTCGAAGCCCAGAAAACTCGCACCTGTCGATCTTTATGGGCTTCTACGAGATTTACCAGGGCCAGCTGCACGATCTGTTGAACGAGCGCAAGAAGCTGCATGCACGTGAGGATGGCAAGAACGGCGTTGTTGTCGCTGGACTGAAGGAGTTTGAGATTGTGAATGTCGAAGGATTGATGCAGGTCTTTGCCTACGGCAACAATGCTCGCAGTACAGGTACGAGGTTTTTTTTTGTCTTCAGATGGAATTCTCATGTTACAAGGGATCTCGGGCTCCGGCAGTATCTGACATTTGTTATGTTTATGTTTCTGACCTTTATAGGAAGCACTCGTGCGAATGCAGACTCTTCTCGGTCGCATGCCATCATGCAAATTGTGCTGAAGGACAGGGCTTCCAAGACTGCGATAGGAAAGCTGAGCTTTATCGACCTTGCCGGAAGCGAGCGTGGCGCCGACCGTGGAGAGACCGATGTCAAAACAAGGTATAGACTTGTTTTGTTTTTCAATCACGGCTATGCCTAAACAAGCGATGTACCAATGTTTAAGTTGGCACATGGTTCCTTTCTCTTCCTTTATCCTTTGCAAAACTAACATTGTCCTGCAATGATATCATAAACGGAATAGAATGGAGGGTGCAGAGATTAACAAGAGTTTGTTGGCGTTGAAGGAGTGTATTCGTGCGCTGGATCAGGACAAGAAGCACACTCCGTTCCGTCAGAGCAAGTTGACTCAGGTCTTGAAGGACTCGTTTGTGGGTAATTCAAGGACTTGTATGATCGCCACGATCTCGCCCAATAACTCGAACAGCGAGCATACCCTCAATACCCTTCGCTATGCCGATCGGTAAGTCAAATTTGTTGTGGAGAAGAAAAAACAACAACAACCAGGAATTGGGGTTTAGTTTTGTTCAATGAGTACGTGTTTCTGACGCTTTATTTTCGTTTATAACCAAATGAATAGTGTGAAGGAGCTGAAGGCGGAAGGAGGAGCAAAGGGCACGGCGCCGTCAGATACCGAAAACTACATGGACGACACCGAGGGCGAACTGGGCGGGACCACAAGCGCCTACGACGACGACGACTTTATCTCCTCGACCAGCGACAACATTGCCGACGAGACTATCGACCTCCTCGACGACGAAGAGTTCCCCCATGCCCTAGACCAAGAAGAAATGGACCCACATCCCTTGGCTACCTCGACCTATGACCATGAACTAGAGGAGCCTCCTAGCCCGGGACATATCTTGCGGGGCGGGTTTGACGATGGGGAGGAGATTAATTCGAGGAGGATGTCGTATCAGCAGCAGCAAGCTCAGGCGCAGAGGCAGCTGTTGCAACAACAGCAGTTGCAGCATCAGCAAAATCAGCTCCAGCTGCAGCTGCAGCAGCAGAAGTTGGATGCGGAGAAGTACAGGGAGCCACCGGTGCCTTCTTCGAGTGCGTCGCCGAGGCTGAAGCAGTCGACCGCGTCGTTGAAGGGGTCCAAGCCGGAGGCGTTTAGTCGACTCCCCATGCCCCGTGGTAACTCTGCTCAACAGTCGCAGCCGCGTACGGCTTCGCCGACTAGCAACAGTCCTACTGCGACATCCATCCCTCCTTCCCAGCGCCAATCTTTGAGCAACTCGAATAATCGGAGAAATTCGTCCAACCCATCGCCGCCCTTGAGCTCCCGGTCTGGACGTGATTCCCGCACCAGCCCTGACGGCTCGTCCTCCAACGAGACTGCCTCCACCACCACCAACACTCCTACCACCACTCCAGCAACCGCTAATGGTATCCACAAGTCCGTCAGCCGCCACTCACCCTCAAACCTGAAGCGTCCCTCAGTGACGACCCTCCGACAAAGCGGCGGAATCCGCTCAAGCACCAGTAGCAGTGCACCCACCTCAGCCCTCTCAGCTGGCCCCACCAGCGCAATCCCCGACTCTCATTTCGGTCTCAACTCTCCAACGTCCCCCAAGATCTCCACACCAACCTCCGCCACCGCCACCGCCACCACAACCCCAACAACAGCAACAACTACAACCGGAGGCGGCTCTCCCTCCCTCGCCTCTTCATCCTCCTCCCTATCCTCCTCCACAACAACACCATGGACATTCTCAATCCCCGAGATGCAATCCTTTGTCCGCGAACACCGCGCAGAGCTCCAAGAATGCAGCGAATTGACAAAACGCGAGACAAAACTCTTGAAGGACGTCATGGTCGGCATGTCCTCCCCAGCGATGGCCCAGACGACGGGCTATGGCGGCGATCAGGAGTCGTTCCAGAGATACCTGGATGAACTGGACGAGATTGTCGACGAGAAGTTGATTACTATTGTTGCCATGTCCCAGAAACTCAAGACCCTTCGATCACAGATGTTGTAGTTTCCAATTTTGTTGTTTTGTGTTTTGGTCATAGATATCTTCTTTTTTTATCTTCTTTTTTCAATGTACATTAAAATACTCAGAAAATAATATGACATTTTTATTTTGTCGACAGATGGTTCTTTGTACTGTACAGGTCTCCTGCCCATCCAATTACGACCGGGGGACAGGAGGGTTAAACCCGGCGCGCTGAGAGGCCATGGCAGTCCGCCGTTTGGGTCCACCACCACCCCCTACAACCTGGTCGATCATCTCCTGGAGCTCTTTCGCCCTACTACTCTCCTCCTTATGCTTGCTCTCAGACGACGAAGAGGAAGAAGACGTAGAGTTTGGCTTGGATTTGGCGGCTGGAGGGAGTGCGTCCTGGTTACCCATCCTTCGGCCAGACACGCGTTCGATCTTGCTGAGGATCCCCTGCAATGCCATGTTGCGGGCCTTGTCCTCCGTCATCGTGTACCGCTGTGTCTCAAAGGCCTCTGTTGACGCCGTCTGTTGGTACAGGGCATTCGTCAAGCGAGTCATGTCCTTGATCAGAACCGACTCGGGCGATTGCCAGTCCTATTTGAGCGATAATACAATTTCCAACAATTAGATTGCTAGAAGTAACAACCAGGATTTTAACAACAGAAATGGGAACACAAATTGTTACCTGGTCTTTGAGACGCATCTTCTCTCCACGCTCAATCTTGTCACCGATCCGCGCTCCCTCAAGCTTCCACTGCTGCCGTGGAGAGAATTCAGCTCGTTGAGTTGTGAAACCAGCCTTGGCAGACTCTGCAATTTGGTTCATCAACTTGTTCAGGTCGCGGCTCTTCTCTGCCGGGATAGGATCGACAGCGGCTGTCTGGCGACGGACTGCTGATGAGGAAGACGACCCGGCCCTCTCACCCCACTGGTACTTAGAGATCTGGTCGATTGTGCTAGAAACGTTGGCCTGTGCCATCTGCTTCTTCTGGGTAGGCGACATTTGTACGCGCTGGTTGTCCATCCGGGGAGCCACCCTAGAGAGACGCTCGATCGCACCCATGACATTGTTCAAGTCGATGCGCGTCTTCTCATCATCAAGACCGGACGACATGTTGGATCGACTTGTACGATTGGCCACACGCAACATTCCTCCCTTGGCATGACTATCTTCGGCAGGAGTGGTGGCCTGGTCAGACTTTTCGTATATCCGGTACTGGGGGGCAACATCGTCGTACTTGGGAAGATCGTCCAAAGCGGCCATGTCCAAAGTCTGCTGGTCGAAATCGGGTGCTGGGGTCATAGGCGTCCAAGTAGAAACGGTGGACGTTCTTTGTTGTTGCCTGGTCGCGCGGCTGTTGTCAAAGGGGTTGGCGACTGAAACGTGCCTACGGTCTCTCTCTTCATCCGACTGGCTGTCGGTATCTACTCCATCCCCATCCTCCAGACTGCCCACCGCTTGCCAAAGGAACGACATCTCATCCATAAGCTTGTCCAGCTCACCCCATTCACGTTCCAGGTTCTTGGCCTTCTCAGACTGCGCGGCATTCTCAGGATGAAGATTGGATCCGCCCATCGACCTCACAGGACGCTTGCCAAGGTCGCTGTAAGTGGTTTTCTGGACTTCAATCTGGGAAGTCGACTGAGTCCTCCGACTCTTCATAATGCGAACCTGCCGGTTAATGGATTGGATGAATCCGCCAGTAGCGCTCTCAGAATGAGTCAACGTCTTCTTTTCAGGAGACGAGGGGAGAGAGGAGCCCACATGGTTACTATCGCCGTTGTTGACGTGCTCTCGGAGGTTGCTCTGGTTACTTTGAGAGGCGCGGAGGGGGTTCCGGACAAAGGAGTTGGACGACAGTCGCTTCCAGAGACGAGAGGCTTGATCAAGCCCCGAGTCAGCAGATTCGGTGCGGACGGGGAGACGAGGTTCTTGCATCGTGTTCAAGATCCGATAGATGCAAGCAAGCAGAGCCGCGAGTGCACAGGCCAATTGGTATTCTTGACTCTCAAAGATTTGAGAAGGATGGAACTGTGAGGGGGACGCTGATTGATGGTGTGTGTACTGTCTAGACTCGTTTTGTTGCTGGCGATGGTGGGGAGACGACGATAAGGTAGATGGGTCACGGCTGCTGTTGCTTGGGATATCAAGGGGCTCGTGGAGGACATTCTGCGCTCTGAGGTGGGACAAGGAGGAGTTGCTACTGTCTGTGGTGTTCGTAACCACAGTGAGTTGGTCGACCTTGCGTGAGAGTTCGTCCAATCTCTCCAAGGAAGATGCGGCCATTCCAGCGATAGGCGTATCAGAGAGGGACATTCTCACAGTCGTCCTGCGCGTCGAAGCCTCCTGCGGCTGAGAGTCCCCCTTGAGATAGGAGAGGGACTGTTGTTCTTGCTCATGCTCAGGGGTCCTGAGGCCTCCCTGGTTGTCCTCCGATCGCAGGAGTGGGAGGGACTTTCGTCGAATCATCGCTCGGGCTTGAAGCGTAGTCTCATCCGCATTGTAGACGGGGTCGCTTGCTGTCACATCTGAGACGACTTGTTGGAGCAGGCCATCCAGGGCTAGCATAGCAAGGTTCTTGAGGGATTGGAGAGACTCGATGACATCCTTTTGGTAGGTGAATGCATGGACATTGTAGTGATATGGTTAGGGTAGTAGTAAAAGAAAAAAAAAGAATATAGGAACATCGAGTAAGCACGTTGTTCAGAATCTGCATTCCTCGTGGAAGATGCACAATCCCCAATTAGAGCATTCGCCAATACCCTTCCCTCTTTTCCCCTCTCGTTTGAATAGTATACAGAGAGAGAGAGACGATTGGGATGTCCAAACAGATTAGAACACTACTACAAAAAATAATAACGACGATATCTTGTTTGATCCGATTACCTCGTTATCGGTCACGACCTTGCTCAAAGGCGACTCACTCCTCGCCTGGGGCTCGTGAGTCGAGAGAGGTCGGGATGTCAGGCTGGATCGATGTTCATCCAGACCGAGAAAAGGGGCCGAATGACCATGAAATGAGTTTCGGTACTGTTGGGAAGTCTGTCTCCTTGTGTTGTTATTAGTGCTATTGGTGTAGGCACTACTGCTGTTATTATTAATCGTGGCCGCATTATGGACGGCAGTGGCGTTGATGTTGTTGATTTTGTTCTGATGGACGAGATGGGCAGGCAATTGGTATTGCAGCTGCAGCTGCACCTCCTGTTGTTGCTGTAATCGTTGCTGCTGCAGGAGAAGTTGCTCTTGGTGGGTCTGTTGGAGATATTCTTCTATGCCTGGGATCTTTGAGGAATGGTCCTCAAAGATGGACTCGACACAGTCAGAGTCTGCGGTCGTGATGACTGAGGAAGGCGATTTGATAATGACTGGTATCACCCCTTGGAACCCCCCCGCCATCGTCGACTCTGTGTTGGTTGAGGGCTCTTCTAGGCCGTTGTTTGTTGTTGTGGTTACTGTTGCCACATTGATATTGTTAGAAATAGCAGCTGCTGTTGTTGTAGTAGTAGAGGAGGAGGAAAGAAAGGGGTTTGGGGAGAAGGCCTTGTCGGATTGGCGCTCGAGTAGGAGATCAGGTTGCCAGGGCTCCTTTTCGAGACGACTGATGATAGCCATGTCCTCGTCCTCTTCCTCAAAGGCTCTGGTCGAAGCAGAGCGCCGCGTCGATCGGTTCTAGATACGAATTGCAAGTTGTAGAATAGAGAGCGTCGTCGCCGTTCGTGGTGGGGTGAGTTTTTCCGTTTTTCCCTTGTAACACTCGAGTGAGGGGATTGTCAAAAGTGGTTGGCTGGTTCCTGCGGGGTCATTGTTTTACCTTGAGTTTCTTTTTGGGTTGCATTGCGAGAGCCATTGTGAATAGGTGAGTGGATGGGAGTGGAGAGGAGAGGGGTGTTGAGTTATGAAAGGTAAGAGAAGGAGAGTGAGTGAATGGTTGAATGAGCGAGTGAGTTTGGTTAGGGGAGGTTTGAATGAGAAGCCGTAGAAGGAGTAGGATTAGTAACTGGGTATTAAGGTATTTTTAAGAAGAGAGAAGTGAGTATTAAGAGAAAGAGAGAAAGGGGGGAATAGGGTGATGAGGTGAGGCAAGGGTATTATTTTGAGGAAGGGAGGGTATAGAAAACAAAAGGAAGAGGACGAGAAAAAAGAGAAGAGAATGAACGGGGACGGTAATGAAAATATGCACAAGAGCACAAGGAAAAAAAAAAAAAAAAAAAAAAAAACGAGGGTTGGCGAGGTGGGGGGGGTGGGGGCGTGCAGTGGTTGTCGGTGTCAGTTATGCTAGTGCCATATGGACAGCCTTGTAGTGGTCAATGTGGAGGGAAAGGAGTGAGAAGGAGGGGCTGCAGCAGAGTGAAATGTTTTGTTTGATTTGTTCAACACTTTGTGAGAGTAAAGATTAGAGAGAGAGCAAAGGAAAGACAAAAAGGCAAACGCTTCATTGTTGAGAGCACATTCGCTTGTTTTTTTGCCTTTATATGTTTTGAATGTGTTCTTAGTCTGCACCGTGTGCTTGTTTGCTTTGATTGTTTTGTTTTGTTTTGCTGCAAAAAGCAAAATAAAATAAAAGCAAATACTCATGCCTGATGTAGGCAGCCAGGAACAAACTACTGCCATGTGCATTGTTTATCATCTGGCTTGAATTGCATGGGCCAATGGGTCAATCAAACAACAGCAACAATCAAAACAGATGGGCGAAGGATGCCACAGCACTGCATCAAAAGAAATAAATAAAAAAAGGCTATGGAGCTCAACTGGACCTTCGGATCAGGAATGGCCAGATGGGTGGATATCTTCGCCGAGGACAGGAGAGGCAAACCAGGACCGACAGGCCGATACGAACAGGGTCAACGACACGGCACACAAAGAAAATTCAACGCTGAGGAGAAAGAAAGAAGAAAAAGAAGACGACAAAGAGGACGGAAAACAAGGAGAGTCAGTCATTCAAAGGGGAGACTTAAGCTGAGATTTCGATTATCCATTGCGTAGCTGTGCCGGGATAAAGAAGGACACATAAGGGGCCAGTGAGGAGAGAAGAGGAGAGAGGAGAGAGGACACAACGGTCCACTCCGTTGTGTCCTCACTGCCTAGCCGGCACAGAAAACAACATCGACAACAAAGAAAACAGACAGCGACTCAAGGAAAGGACGGAACACCGTGAATTAGAGCAACAATAGTAACCATGAGGATCAATATGACTGTTGGTATTGGTGTTGGTATTTGGACCTCTTCGCCATCGACCAAAGCGAACAAGCCAAATCGTTGTCGTTGTGTTGCGGTGTCCTGTTCTCTCGCCTCCTTTCCTTCTTCTCTGCGTCAGAATGGGAATATATCATAAACACCTTTTAACCCACGTAACCCACCATAGTTCAAGAACCTTTCTTCTCAACTGCGCGGCTCTGCCTTTGTTTGTCCTAATATCTTCCTCTCCCCTTTATTTCTTTTTCGTCTCTTCTCTACGCATCGCTCAATACACCTTTCTGCCGGCCCCATGCAATATTATCTCCGCGTGTCTTTTTCTCAAACAAGGAGCCGTCCCGCTGCAGTGCAATCATTCCAAAATTCAATATTGCAATAAAGCTCATTTTTTTTACACCAACAACCACCCCCACCCCCCTAAGGTGGCACCAGAGCGGGAAGGAAGGAAAGGGAGATAGGAAGAAAGGGAAGAAGGGGCGTAGAGTTTTTTATTTTGCCAAAATGCGCGGCGCCGCCATCATGCAGTGTTTGACTACAGAAACACGGATAGGCGATGCAATTGTCAGAGGAAGAGTAGGAGCGCGCAGGCATTGTTTTATTTTGTGTGCTTTTTGTGCTGATAGCATTGACGGACATCACAATTAACTTGAATGCCAAAAAGGCGTACATATTGAAATTGCACAATACCCCCTCAAGGTTGGACTTGGACTGGGCGCAATGCCCCCGGCTCTGAATCTTTTGAATCGGAAAATAGCAACGAAGGGGTCGGTTTATCTGCACCATTGAGGCCGACGCTTCATTCCAATGAACCCACCTTTATTCATTCGGCATGAAGCGGGTAAAAAATGGCAACGACACCGCCAGAACGACAGCGACATACAGCAACCGAAGATGAACATTCGATAGTGCTAATTGGTCCTGCTGCCACTTCTCACACAAAGTACAACAGAAAGAAAAGTAGAAAGAAGAGTAGAAAGAAGAAAACTCCAAAGAGAAAGGCGCGTGGTTTGTGAGCCTTTTTTTTACTTTTGCTCAACAACACTCGAGCCATCAATTGCGTTTCCATGAACGCACCACGTATGACAACTCTATTCGATTCTGCTGTGCTGTTCATCGGATTGGTAAAATCAAAGGCGTGATGTGGTTAAAGAGAAGAAAGACAAAGCATGTTGAGCAGAACCACTTTATCTGCTCTGAAGGCACTGCCAAATCACATCCACAGTGTCCCCCACCCTGCCTTCCCTTTTGTTCGATAATTAGAATATTTGTTTAGTCATTTCCAATCTACCCCAATACTAAGAGTTATATAAAAAAAAATACAATCCGACCAGGCTATCTAACCTCATTCTTTAGTTAGAAGAAAACTTCTTGGCAAACTCGATCAAGGCTCTGGCAGGGCGACCAGTCATACCCTTGGCGTAGTATCCGGCACTGCTGGTGGTGTCCATGACTCCGGCAATATCGATATGGGCATACCGCACGCTACCGGCCTTCACGTTTCCAGTGGCCTCCAAAGGAGTTCCGACCTCTGTGGAGGGCTCATCCTCAGCCTGGGCGAATCCGTCGTCTCTCTCGACACCGTGGACAAACTCGCGCAAGAAGATGGCAGCGGTACAGCTTCCGGCACTGCGTCCTCCAGTGTTGATCAAGTCGGCAACGGTGTTGGCGGTGATCTGGGGCAAGTAGACGCTGTGGAGGGGCATTCTCCAGAAGGCCTCGTGGGCCTCCTCTCCGGCGGCGTCCAACTCGGACCATAGAGAGTTGCTGGTCGAGAACACTCCGGCGTAGGCTCCTCCCAAGGCGACATCCATGGCACCGGTCAAGGTGGCCAAGTCGATCAAGGTATGGGGCTGGTAGATCTTGGAGATGAAGGTCAAGGCATCGGCAAGGATGAGACGGCCCTCGGCATCGGTGTTGTCGACCTCGATGGTCTTGCCCGACATGGAAGTGACGACATCACCGGGCTTGGTGGCCCTGCCTGAGGGCATGTTCTCGCACAGGGGGATACCGGCAACGAGGTTGATGGGCAGGTTCAAGGCAGCAATACCCCAGATGGCAGCGGCAACGGTGGCAGCACCACCCATATCTCCCTTCATGGCAGCCATGTTGGCCGAAGGCTTGATGGAAATTCCACCACTAATTAAATATCAAGTAGAATAAAAGCCCCATTCGTTAGTAACACATCCAGATATCACACACTCATTGCGCCCATGTCGTTGCATCCAAGCTATAAACAAAGCTACTTACGTGTCAAAGGTGACACCCTTTCCGACCAAGCCCAAGGGTCTATCGCCAGCCTTGCCTCCTTCGTACTGGATCTCCAAGAACTTGAGGGGCTCATCGCTTCCGCGAGAGACGCTCAGGAAGGCACCCATCTTGTGCTCCTCAGCCCAGGTCTGGTCGCGGACATGGACCTTCAACTTGCCCCCCAATCCCAAGGCCTCGACCTCCTTGAGGAAACGCTCGGCGAACAAGGTGGGAGTCATGTGGTTGGCAGGAGTCTCCATAAGGATACGGGCCAAATTCTGAGCATGGGCCTGGATGAGGCCGTTCTTGAATGCCTGGATCTCGTCGGGACTCTCAAGATCCAAAGCAGAGATCTTGATGTCCTCGGCAGCGCCCTTCTTTCCTGACTTGAAGTAGTTGAAGTTGTAGAGTCCGAGCGAAGCTCCCTCGGCAGCAGCCTGGTCGTGGCCCATTCCAGCAATACCGATATCCTTGGCCTCCTGAGCCTTCAAAGCCTTGACTCCGGTGGCAACCTGAGAAAAAAACACCAGTAATGGGTTTAATTGTTAATAAAAATGAACAGGCAAGGTTGCCCATGCCTCAAAAAAGGTGCAAAAGAAAACTTACAGCAGCACGGACGCGATCTTTGGCAGCAGCGCTAGTTCCTTGCTTTCCGAGACCAACGACGGCGACCTTCTGGACCTTGGAGCCGAGGCCGAAGTCACCGTAAAAGACGCGGCTCTCGCCAGCCTTGCCCTTGGCACCGGCGGCCTTGAGGATGGTGGCGAGGGAGTCCTTGCCGTTGGCTGCGATGGATCGGGGGACCAAAAGCTGGCCGTCGGCATGGAGACCGACGATGGCGGCGTCATGCAACTTTGCGGATGAGGTATGGAAGTTTCTGAGGGCGGTTGTCATTGTGCGAAGGCGGAACATTGGGAGAAATGAAAAGAAAAGAAAAGAAAAAAAAAAAGGGTGTAGTGATCGTGGGAAGGACGAAAGAAGGAATAGCAAGCAGACGAACAAAGAGGCGGGCCGGGAAAACCAGGTGTCGGTGCCTCATTTTTTTTGTGGTCAGCCAGCCCAGCCTTGAGTTGTGCCCCATTTTTAGTCTTGATTGTGATGGATGGGGACAATGGCGTCTTGCTGTGGCTTTTTTGTATGTGTTTCGTGGGAAATTTATTTTCGCAGGGATGGAAAGAGTACAGGACGAGAAAAAATATAATGTACTGTAGTTGAAAAAGCCTATTCGTCCTCGTAGCGCGATCGGATACGGTTGCCGCCTACATCGTCAGCTCGGTTGGGCGCACGCGTGTGAGCCGTCGCCTCGCCTCCAAACGAAATCTTGGAGTGGTCGCCGATAATGCTATTGAAAAATAGAATCACAGTACAAGCAAGGGTCAGTTGTTGCCTCATCTTCCTTTGCACTCTTAATCAAAAAGAGCAGCCAACGAGTCCTTTGAATTCAAGTCCCAAGCAATCAATTCACTCACCGAGGTCTGGCAATATGAAAGGCGGTAAAGACAACGCCCAGGCCAGCGCAGATTACCGCAATGGCAATGTATCCAATGCCCAAAAAGCTGTTGCGACCTCCGATGGCGCCAATTGACGAAATCACAATGTACTTCTTTCCTCCATATGTCTTAATGGGGAAGTCTAGACAAAAGAAGCAGCACACAAAAACAAAAGCCATGTTAACAACAACGACCATTACGAGAAGACCATACATCCACAACGCAATTCATATCAATCCAAGTCGCTTACTCATATCAATCATCATCTGGTATTCTCCTGCGGGGAGGACCTCAGTGCCACGACCATAGGTCTTCAGGAAAGTCGACCAGCCAGCAGTTCTCATCCAGACCTGGAAATGCTCATCCGTCGAAATCAAAGGCGGGGGAAAGGCGACAGAGTACTTCCCGTCAGGGAAACGGGGGCGCCAGTTGGGTGGAGGGAGGATCTCATCGAGATTAGTGTATCCATAGTTTGCATACTTTCCTTTGTCCGCAGGCGAGGCGATTCTGTCGGGCAGGAAGATGTAGTCGGCTCCTGTAGTGGTGGGCGCTGCAGTCAATCCAAAAATAGTGTCTAATGTGAATGTATAAACAGGTTGTTAGGACTTGGTTGAAAATTGACCAAAGTCCAATATATCACTCAAATACAAAACCTAGCTGGGCTCCTTGGAGGTCTTACCATTGAACATGGAGTTGGCGATCAAACCACAAGGATAGATAGGGACTTCGCCTGTAATGTTGCAGCCCTTCCTTGAATTAAGTTCGGCCACACTCGCGGGCGCTCCGTTCAGCTGCTTGTAATCCAGACTCTTGGTATATTTGCGGTGGTTCTGGAAGAAGTTCGTCAGCTTATAGTACATCATGACTGGCGGCTGGAAGTCGGTGGGGATGGTAATGTTGACTGTGCACGTTTGGACGGGATAGGTAAAGGGGGGTGTGCCGGCGGGGCTTTCTGGAGAAGCGTCGACACTATGGATTCCGTTGCTGATCATGTAGCTTGGTTTGGTGACGTTGACGACGGACGAGTGCACAAAGTTCACATCAGACGCTGGTGTCCATGTAAGGGCATCCACGCAGTCTGTATATTCGAACGACATCTCTGTGATCTATCGTGGTTGCAGGAGTGCAGAACAAGGCAATTGAGATAATAATGAGTGGGCGAACGGTATAAATAACACTGTAGCACACAGCCACCTCAGGCGGGCGCAAACAGAGGTAAGTCCCAGTGTGTTGAGCGCAGGCTGAAGAACAGGGTTCGTCATTCGCCCTTCGGCAAGTTGGGGGTTGTAAGAGGTTACACTGTTTGTTTTGTATTCTCCTGATTCCTGATGAGCATTGACGCCATACCTGGCCGTTTCTCCAGAGGAGCAGTCCTCCCAGAGGTGCAAACAGGATGCCGAGGATGAAGAAAGTCGGAAGGACCGACTTTGCGGTCAAGATAGGCTGCCATGCCTTCAGACGCTGTTGTTTGAACGAGGTGTCTATTAGCAAAAAGGTAAGAAGGTTGTTTTAGGGGTGAGCTGTCCAGTCTGGTGTTCATGTCCAAGGAGTCCCTATTCCATCCTAGGCTCAGGGTCTCATCAGAACATTCTGTAAGTGTAATGGACATGTCGTTTGCTTGTTTTCCTGGACATACTTGGTGGCCGGTTCTTTGGTGGTTCATCCATCATAGTGGGTCGTTGTCGGATGGAGGGTGCGGTGGATGTTGTTGTTGTTGTTGGTGAAGAGAGGAAGGGTGAAAGGAAAAGGGAGGTGGATGTAGTGTGGACTGAAGGAACAAAAAAAAAAGGATGATGTCCGCCCACGAGGCTCACTCTGAAGGGGAAAAGGGTCTTCCTGTAATCGCACATGCTGCATTCAAGTGGTCATTTGGGCTTGGCTTTGCTTTGCCACCTTTTCTTTCAAAATTTATTTTTTTCAAAAAACGATGCCCGAAAATATCATAATTCAGGTACAAGATGCGAAAGCGCATTGATGTTACCAATAGCCAGCAGGTCGCATCGCATATCCAAAGGCGTACACGAGGATGGCGTCTAGGATAACTGATCGTGTTGACGCATACTCTTCACCCATACGCTCACCCCTCACACCAATTCATATACGTATGCCCACACACTTTGACTTTTTTCTTCCACATGTTTCCAATTGCTTCCTCATATTGATTCGCTTTCCTCTTCCGTTTCGCAAAATAAAACAAAAAGACATTCGCTAATTGAATTGATTTCTTTTTTTGATATCATGTAGTTCGTCAATGAACATTTGCTTTGTTAGCCTTATGCTTTCTATCTTCCTTTCTCTCTCACCGCTGTGCTTGCAATCCCGAAAAAGAAGATGGCCTTTAAGCCAGGCGCTGCAAGACAACGGCGTTCAGCAATCCAGCATCCTTGACAGTCTGTGTCACATCCTCCAAATCCTTCTTGGGGAAGCTAGTCTGGAGCACATAGGGTCTTGAGGCCTCACCAGCACGGGAAGCATTGATGAATCCACGAATGTCATTGATCGTGTGTGTGTGGTTGAAGCGCGCCACCATCCTCGTTCCATCCGCCAACCGGATCTGAATCGACGTCACCGGTTGCGACTCGTCAATCTGCAAGCTGCGGGGTGGTGGTGTGGCTGCAGAAGAGGCAGCCCCTGGGAATGATCCGGGAATGCTGGATGAAGAAGAGAGAGGGGACGCAATACTGCCCAGGCGATTTCCTGTACCATCAAAGGCCTTTGGTGGGGCCTTGGGAGGCTCCTTGTAATCCTCATCCGTACGCTTCGCCACACGCATGTCGACAGGCTGGCCAGGCTTGATGTTGAGGTATTTGATAGGTGCTTGTCTACGTTGTATACAATGCGAGTGAAGATGTATCAGTTTCTTGTTCCATATCCTTAATGGTCGGAAGTTAAGCACTTCCATGAGTAACCTTACCCCTTGTTGATGGCATCCAAGAATTCTCTGTTGGCAGGGTCGGTGTAGCTCATCAAAGGACCATCATCGAGACTGTATCCGTTCCTCCAGAATGTGATGCTGCGAGTGACCTATAAGTTCATATGTTTTTCAACAATGAGTGTTAGACACACGGTTCCATGATAGCTCAAATACATAAACACCTCCTTTGAGTTGCCACTTACAGTCTCCAAGACCTCAGGGGAAGGAGTAGCTCTGACAGGCGTAGTAGGGGCAGGGACAGGGGTAGGGGCAGACGATGAAGTCTCTCCTTCGCTTCCCAAACGGTTCCCTACATGTTCACATCGTAGCAACCAAGGATGGTTAGAATCCAGTCAACTTCATCACATCTTCACTATCATTAAAGAGTCATCTTTCCTCAATTGCCATACCAGAACCAGTGAAGTAGCTCTTCTTGGCAGCAGGCTGCTGGGGCTCCTCCTCGCGAGCCTGACCTCCCCTAATAATTACAAGCCAAAAAGAAGACATTTAGTTTATACGGCCAGGTGTTCACGATTTCAACATGTAGCTCAGAGATCCATACGAAGGCATAACAATAGTAATGATGGGCTGATGCCTACTTTGCGGCCTTCTTCAAGATATCCTCGATCAAAGCATTGGGGTCCTTCTTTCCGGGAGGCCCCTGAACCATGACTCCTCTAGTTTCCAGAAACCAAACAAAACATCAAAGAGCGTTAGAAACCAATCGAATCAACGAAAAAGAGAAATATTTAGTCCGCGTATTATCCCAGAAACAACAAGATTGAGGTCTTACGATTTTTCGCCGCCGGCAAAATATTTCTGCGACTCATGGTCCGATTCATCGGTCTCCTCGTCTTCGCTCTTGCCTAAGTCGCGGAAGGTGGCAATACCTCTACAATATTCATGTCAAAAAGTGTATGTCAGTAACTTAGGGCTGTGAACAAAGCAACTCACAGTCACGCAAAAAAAAGAGGTGTACACGTACCCTTGTCTGCGGCCAGAGGACGCGCTCGAGTCGCCAGCCTTGCGCTTACCCTCGGACGAGGCAGACTTGGGCGCAGACTGGGCCAAAATGTCGTCCAAGTCGTCTTCGTCGTCAACATAGTCCTCATCGTCTTCATCGACACGGCTTGCGCCCCTGTTGCTTCTTCCTCCTGATGCTCCCCCTGCCTGCGGCTCCTCGTAAAAGCTGCTTGTAGCCGCCTATAGAAGTGAACGAGAGTAAAGGCAAATGTGAGCATGTCATGCAAAGCAAAAGGTAGCACCTAGTCTGTTTCTGCATGTGAGGGTTGTTTTGCGTGTTACGTTGATGTCCCAGTTGTTGGCCTCGAGGTAGAATTGGGCTTGTTCGGGGGTGGCGCCAGAGACGGCGACAAAGTTGGCGATGAGTTCTGCTTGGTCGGCCATGATTGTATGTAAGAGTGTGAGAGGGGTGGTGTAGCAAGAGAGAGTAAGGAGCAAAAACGCAGCAGTCTGCCCCAAGGCAAAGATGACGATGACGCAGTCATATTTCGCACATTTATTTGACAGTCAAAAAAATAATTCGCGAATCGCGCGTAGCTTTTTTTAATGCGGTGAAGTACACCAAGAGAGTGCTTACACTTCAACTGCCCTAAGTATGTACAAGTATCTTACAGCTTGGAGTTGTTCTTCAAGGACAACACGAGCTTGCCAAACTGGCTGCCAGCCTTCATGACATTGAACGCCTCCTCGGCAGACTCAAGACCGGGCCAGACCTGACTGACCACAGGCTTGACCTTGTGCTTCGCAACAAAGTCAACCATCTCGCCAAACTCAGCGCGCGACCCCTAAAAGAGAAGAATCGCAGTTGTTCGAGTTAGTAAATGATAATAAACTTCTGTCCACGCTGGCTTCACTGACAACTGAGATGAGTTCTCTATAAAACAGCGACCCTGGAAATACTCACCATGGTGCTTCCACGGATCTCAATGTTGCGCAAGACGGCAGCCATGGTATAGTCGACCTTGGGCTTGACAGTCATTCCATAGGAGACAATGATGCCTCCCAAGCGAAGGATCTGGGTAAAGACCTTGGCACCGTCACCACCAGCACCATCAATAACAACGTCAAAGGGCTCGCCGTGAGTAAGGCTCTGAAGGTGGGAACCCCACTTGTCTGCGTAGTGGATTCAATGGATGCGTAGAAGTGAGAGTTAGTAGCGCACTATTATTCGCGTCAACGCCGGAAGAGGTCAATGCCGCAGTAGGAATAATATGAAACCGTACCAGCTTTGTAGTTGACACCTCCTTGAGCACCAAGCTTGACAGCCTTGAGGATCTTAGCATCGTCCGACGAGGTGACATAAACATTGGCGCCAGCAGCAACGCAGAAGGAGAGAGCCAACAAAGCAACTCCTCCGCCTATCAGATCATCGTTCAGTAAAAGATGACAAAAGTACTGGTTTAGCTTCTAACTCCCGGTGTTTCCAAAGGCACCATGCATGGTTCAGCAATGAACGCGGCACGTCTAGCTCTTCATTTTAGCGATTGCCTTTAAGATTGCTTACCAATTCCAGTAATGAGCACGTTCTGGCCCTCACGGACTTGACCCTTGGTGAACACAGCACGCCATGCTGTCAGACCAGCCAGAGGGAGAGCAGCAGCTTCAGCGTCAGTCAAGTGGTCAGGGACCTTGAAGAGATCCTCCTGCTGCGCGACAAAGTGCTCCGAAAAGATGCCTAGTATATAGAGAACGATGCGGGCCATGATCCAATGAGTTAGGAGGGCCATAGATGGGATATGTCAACGGGCCAACACCGCAAAAAAAATGCTCCGTTTTAAAACAATGAATTTGTCATCCTCCTATTTTTTTTTCTAGACAACACCAGTTCTCACCCACTCTTACATTTTCCGTTGGACGCGGCAGGTCTTATTCCCACAGCTCCAGGAAATAAAAATGTATCTCTTACCTTGAGCATGTCCGCCACCAAGGATGTAGAACGCCTCCTCAGGGCCCCTAGGGTCCTTGGTCCAGCCGATCGAAGGCATGACGACAACGCGGTCACCGACCTTGTGCTTAGAAAATTTTCCCTTGACCTCTGCGATTCTGCCAACACCATCAGCTCCCAGGACCGAGCCGAAGACGATGCCCTGAACAAAAAAAGTAGCAGCCACAACAAATGTGTGAGTGCATAAATCTGATCGGGGACACAAAAAATCGCGGCAATCGGAAGAAAAAATGGTGGCAACAACGACGTCCTATCTCTTATGCTTACAGGGTACTGTCCCTTGCGGATCCAAAGCTCGCGATGATTGAAAGAGACAGCGTGGATGTCCAGCAGAGCCTGACCTTCCTCTGTGAGTTCGGGTTTAGGGATGTCGGTCAACTTGGCGTTGTGGTAGGTGGGCTCAAAGTTGGTCTTTTCGATAATAACGGCCTTCATTTTAGTTGCAGTTGTGATAGTAGGTAGTTGTTGTTTTTGTGAGAGAAAGAAAGGTGGGTGCTTCAGGTGTTTGGGGTGGCGATGGGTAGTTGTGAGTGAAGTGAGAAGGAGTGATGAGTTTGAGGTAGAAAGAAAAGAGATGCAAAGGAAAGTGTTTAAGTTTCTCGAGAGTGGGAATGTGACGGCCGATCGGCCTTCTTTCATCCGGCCCAGCCGATACTCGCACACACATACATAACACGCCTACAAATGCGCCCATTGCGCGATCCAAGCGGAGAACCCATTTCTTCTCCACTTGACACCATACGAAATGACCATGGAAGGAACGGAAACAAGTAAATGCGACTTGGACGTCAGTTTATTGTGTATTTTGAGGCAGGGTCCAATGTCTGGGTGTGCGAGTCAGGGCATAGGGGAACTATTCACGCAGAGGTTAGAGGGGAGATGTATCAAACAAAAACAGAGGACTGACTCTCTGCTCTTTCTTTATGGATGAGGGGCTGGATGAGTGGGGGGAATAATGCTATCGGCGAAAGTACAATATGTAAAGAGTAGTCGTTAGTATCTCCTATCACATTGAAAGAGCATATATCGTCCAACAAGTCCATAAACACAGCAGCTGATAAAACGAAAAGACGTCTATTTACCTACAACTGCAGAATGAAAAGAGAAAAAAAACATAGTAAAAGACGGCAATAAATGGTGGTTGGTTGTTGGTGGGTTGAATGGTGTCGGGCGAATGTGATGGGGGGAATATTAAAAAACATATTTAATGGTGCTCCTCGTGGCTGTCGGCGCTCTTGACATCGTATCCGACAAAGTTCCTGCGTCCAACAATCTCGCCGACCAAGAAGAAGGCGTAAGCCTCAGCAGCGACCAAACCGGCCTTCAAGTACTGGTCCTTGGAGATGTTCTTCCATGTGTTGGCCGAGCGGGCAGACTTGACAAACTTGAGGGTGGCCTCCTTGGCAGACTCGATCTGAGCGCCCGAGGGAGGGGCCATACCCTCGCGGATGTAGACCTGCTTAGCAATCTGACCAGCGACCTTGGCATTGTAGATAATGGGGCCTATTGTATTGTGCAACGAAAGTGTGAGAGAAGGATGTTAGAGGGAATGAAAAAGCAAGTCTTTCAGGTTGTTGCATCCGCCCTTTAGACAATTAAATATTGCCGTTCCAATTGTGTCCTCTCCTGGAACTAATCTCCTCCTGAAAGGCGATGCATAAACGGCGCCTGAAAAAAGAGTCTCTAGACTGCACTGTTCCTGGCTCAGTCCTTTGGAGGCAAAAAATGCAGCTCTTTCGGAGGGTTTGTCAAAGTCGCCATTTCCTGTCCCTGAGAATCCTGTGTCCAAGAAACGTTGCCAGATCAGGCACAGCCTTGTTTGGGATCGTCCGGGTTCCAACGGCTTCCGATTGTGCCGGATTCGGAAGGTTGAGGATCGAAAAGGAAGGGGAAAGAGGCGAGTGTCGTCCTAGACGAAGGTACTTGTACTAGGACATACCAGACAACTTGGTGGCAGTCGAGGTGGCGGTGGCGAGGGTCTTGGTGATGTTGGCAGACATTATGGCGGTGAGGATGATGCGAGAGAGGAGTGATTTTCATGAACTGATCATCGGGTTCCTGTATAACTGGCCGAAAAAAACACCTGAAACGTCACCGAATTATTAGCGATGCTAAAATTTAGCGAAACCTAGAGGACCATGTTCTCGTAGAGATGTGTGTTGAGCCTACCTTTATTTGATAGTGGTGCAGAGTGATGTGAAGTAATGAACAAGAAGAAAAAACGTAAAAATATAACAAATCGGCTTAAGACATAGCCGTCTATTGTAGTCAAAAATAATGTGAGTAGGCGAGGTCTACATTCCCGCGGTGGTCTTTTTACCAATAAGGATTTGCTTGCACTGTTCATACACAACGAACGATATTGAGATTGCAGGAGCGACTATGAAAGGCGAATTAAAAGAGGAAGCATAGAGACATAAGCGATCTTCGAAAGAAGAAGTAATTCAAACACGCTATCGACAGACCAAGCAGATCAAACCTCACTCTTACCCTTTAAGTAGTTAGGGATCATGCCCTTGTAGAGACCGCGCACACCCTCCTGCTTGATAATCTTTTTAACTATTCGCATATAATGCAAGCAACTTAAGAGTCAGTATCTTCCGATTGCGCACACTATACACGTTGCGGAGTAGTTGACAGAGCAAGAGCGAAAGCACTGCTTACCACCGTCCCACGTAGAGCTGTACTTGTAGCTAACAGCGTCCATGCCTGTGACTTGCATACGGCGGCGAAGAACGTCTAAAGGGTAAGTCACTGTCTGTGCAAAACTTCCAGCAACAGCGCCACAAATAAGCTTCATGCCCACAGACGGCGCAACTTCTCCTGGTGGTGTCAAGTGTGAACGTAGCACTTCATACGCTTGAAAGTTCAGCGCAACGTACGGTGCAACACCCTATTCAATTCCAGTGCGTTAAAAATATATCGAGAGTTAGATTCATCCTCCTAACAGGTCGCTCCATTGCTGATTTGCATCCATGTTGAGTACGGGATAGTTTCCTTACAGTCAGGGTCGGTCCGAGTCCACGGTAGAGCCCGACTACGCCGCCTTCCTTGGTGTAAATATTAACCATTGTTTTCCAGATACCAGGCAACGCAGCCTGCGCTTCCTTTGTGTTTGCAACCTGAGCGGACTGGATTGATAGGCGAGTGCGCACAATATCAAGAGGGTAGGTGAACGCCACTGAAGTCAAGCCAGCCAATGCTCCTGCAGTCAATCGTCTAGGTGTATCCAATTCGCGTGTGGTAGGATCCACCAACAGCTAAGGAATATGGAAACAAATGCTTGAATGTCAGAACATCTGTTCGAACAAAACAAATTGTGGTAGGAAAATGGAAACACGACTCGCACCTTCTTGAACTGCTCGTAACTGGCGAATTGAACTGCACTGTAAGGAACAATACGTATGACATTGGTGCCGTTTCCTCTCATGAACCCGAGGAACCCTTCCTCCACCCACATCTTGCGTAATGTTGGAATAACTCCTTGGTAGTTTGCAGGTTCAGGGCCTTGGACCTAATGAGGTATAGGCAAGTGTGAGAAAAGTGCTGATGCAATCGATTTTCCATACGTTTACGATTACAATCGAATAAACATGTGTTACTGCTTGCCTGGAATAAAATCTTCATGCGCTCGAGGGGGCTGACGATGGTACGACTAACCGCTCCTGCGGCACCTCCAGCGATCAGGTGCTTGACGGTGTCGCTGGTCAAAACACGCTTTATGTATTCGATGCTTCCAATGACCGGTTCCTGGGTTTTTTTCTTTGAGACCTCGGGTTCTGCGGGACCTATCAACATCATCGAGTTGGCCGCCATTAGACTTCATGCACCTGATCTCGTCCCAGGTTGTGTCTGATTGGACGCCGATCCGTCTCTAATGTTTGCCATAGCTTGGCTCCTCTCACTCTTTCCATTCAGAAATGACACCAGAGAGGAAGATCTCCTTTGCGACAGAAGAGAAGGCTTTAACAGCCGAGTTTCCCTCACCCACTCTTGCGCCCGCTTCCACGCACCAAAACAGCCTGAGTTTCATTCAGAGATAGACATGAGACATGTCTTTATCTTGGTGGCTGACCAAACGCGCATTTACCCCCTGTCCAAAAGGCTCAGGTCTGTCACAAAGAAACAAAAAAAAAAGTCGCATTGGCGCACAAGCATCAAACAATTCCTCGGCAGGAAAAGGCCCTCTTGCTGCTCACAATGCGCACAAGCACATTGCACACTGCGTGCACGCACTCATACTCGACTTCACTTTCTTCCCTTTTCTTCTCACTTTCGCTTGCCGTCTGAACAAAAACACACACGAGAAAGAAGGCTATTTACCAGTCAAGGAAGAAGACGATGCGCTGGCGCTTTCCTGATGCAGGCTATCCGAGATCCTCGCCTTGACCTGAGTGAGGTCCTTGAGTAATGCTTCCAGACTCTCGCGGGTCCACCCCTTATCGGTCGGAATGACCTCTATCCGGTGGATCTTCAAGAAATGCTGGAAATCTTGAAAGGAGATCGAAGGCGAATCCTGTCCGTCTGTCGAGTAGCTTGATGCAATTGAGATCAAAGCATTTGCTGTTGCCTAGGTCCGAGGAGTAGGAGCAGGCACAGGAACAAGATCAGTGAGTATATAGAGAAAGGAAGGATGAGATAGTATGATCGGGAGACGAAGTCGGAGGGGAAGGGTAAAATAAAAGCGATCCAACGCACACTCCAATGCGAATTGGATGTTTAAATGTATCAAGTGGTATTTGACGATGGGTGTTGAAAAGTGATGAGAACCATAGAATTGAGTTGCTCAGGCTCAGGGACAACTCTTTTTTTTTTCTGCTCTCCGCTGTCAAGCAAATAGAAAAGAAAAGACTGGGGTGAAGGGCGGGACTCCATGGTCAATTGGCCTTCCGTATCGAATGTGTTGGGTTCCTTAAGATACACTGATCCCCGAATTGTTCCTGACTAACTTAAAGGCAGAAAGACAGACAGACAGCAGGTATTTGCTGCTTTCGTTTTTTGTGCGGTTGGTGTTTCCCGCCTTGCATCACTTGAAGGTCATAGAAGACACAATAAGAATGTTTTCAGAGTTGACTCATCGAAGAAAGGTGTGTAAAATGGTGCGATGTTTGTGCTCGGGGTGTTCCAGTCCTGATTCAGATCCGTTTTTTGTAAAAGTGTTGCCATCCTTGGAAAGTTGGTCAGTCGATGAGGGAGTATGTTACCTCGTCCAATGGGGCGTGTCCTGGCTCTGGGGTGGGAAAAGTGTCGGCGTAGACGGAGAGGAGGTCTCTGGCGTTGATGGAGCCGTCCTTGTTGTGGTCGAGGGCATGGAAGGCGGATTGGACCAGTCGATGACGCTGCGAGTCGTCCATGCTTGCGAAAGACAAAAAAAGGTGAGCTGAGTGTTGAGTGTCGGAAGGTTGTTGTTATTTATCGTTGGCAAGAGAAGAAGAAAAAGGAGAAGGAAGAAAAGGGAAGGAGCGAGGCAGAAGAAATAAAATGAAAGACCCATGAAAGCACAGGGCTTGTTTGAGCGCGTAAAGTCCACCTTCTCAAAGGCGTAATTCAGTGGAGGTGGAGGAGGAGGAGGACACAGAAAAGAGCGGAGATGAAAAACTAACATCTAGAACATACATTCATGCTTCATTACAGACTTCCGTACATTAACCCTCCTCGCCTTTGCCTTCATACTCCATGCTCGTAGTTGTGGAGAAGTAGGGTGTCCACTTGCAAAAGGACCAAACGCGTCTCTCAGAGGTACAAGCACCAGCAAACGTCAATATCTCTTCATGAGCCACAAGGTGTTGCTTGTCATTACTCCTAGGGTGTACTTGCAGAAAAGAGACCATGATGCAATCATCCCCAACTGACCTCACAAAGCTCACAAAAAAAAACAAATGCTGTCCTCATTATGGCCCGGACCATCCGCATCATTTTTCGAACGGAAGATCGTTTACGAGAGAGAAAACAAAGTCTTTAATAAAGGGATGTAAACAGGAGAAAGTGTTGAGGCGGCCGCGTTAGCCGGAACCAAGTGACAGGAAGGAGAAGAGATGGAGGAGTAAGGCTGAAAGTGAAAAAAAAAGAGATGCCAGACTTGTCTTTTTCTGTCTGGAACGGACAGAGTGAACGAGAATCGAGTGAGAAAAAGGTCGTTCGTTGCAAAAGAGCCGTTTATCCCTTATTTTGCTGCCGCTGTATCCCATTCCTCTGTTTAGTAATAAGCCTGCTCATGGGGCTCGTTGTACTTGGAAAGTTCATCGCCATAGTTGGCGTTCTTTTTGAGGCCGAGCATGCCCAGCCATCCTGTCGACTGGGCCTGGTTTGGGTGGTTGTCCTTCTCGTGGTGCTCAAAGTCTTCGTCGGTCAGCTTTGTACACTTGCGAAGGGTGTTGGGACAGAAGGTCGAGCGGGTGCCGGTCTTTTTGCCGACGGACCTGGAGAGGTTGGTGGGCGAGATGATGGCCGGGCCGTTGCTACCAGCATCGGCGGGGGTGTTGTTGGCGGTGGAGGAGGAGGACGATCCGGGTATGGTGATAGGCTGGGGCTGCATGTAGGTGGTAGTGGTGGTGACAGTGGTTGTAGTTGTGGTCTTGGTGGTGTCGTTGCTGTTGGGTGCCTGGGCAATGTCGATACTGAGGGCAGGGTCGACCTGGTGAGCGGTAGTAGTATCTGCCATGGTTGGAAGACGTGTTTGCTTTGCTTGGATTATGTAAATCGAGTGGTCAAGGATAAGTGGTTGGATCGTTGATGGAGGTGTGTTATTGTTGTAAGAGAAGTGTTGTAAGAGAAGAAAGAAGAGAGAGAAGAGAAAAGAAATAAAAACAGACAACAATATTTCCATCCACCCGGAGGTATTCAAAGAACTGGGTGTCTCAGTCGCTATTGGTGCATGATCTTTTCGCGAAACGAAGCAGCACATGCTGGTTGGTGCTGAAATACTCAGGTGGCCCTTAATCCCAAATTACCTGTACTGCACCTTCCCAGTTCAAAGTTCAACATTAGCTCACCTAAGCCTTTTCTCTCGTTCCTCTCTCCCTCCATCGATCAATCGATCAAGATCTACTACGCCTCGCTTCTCATATGCACACGGTGGTCGAAGGTGCCGACATGTCGCGACGCAACTCCCAGAGAAGCCAGGCCAGACCAGGCCCATCAACACCAGCATGGGAGCAGCAACAGCAACAAAAACATCATCAAGCTACCAGCAACAATAAACGCACGTGCAACCTTTTCACAGGAATAGCACCACCCACTGGCCAAGAGATCGTCAACACCTTTGTACTCGAGAGATACTCTCAACACAACCCCACCGCAACCACGACCATCACGGCCAACGCCAACTCCAACGCCAACCTTGACAGCAGCAGCAGCAGTACACATCGAAGATCTAGTACCAGCCTCTACAGCAACAACAATGTCGCACAGACACAAATGTCTACTTTTGGTGGCGTTTCTCCTTCGCCCCACACTCTTCCCTCATCTTCCCGTACAGCAACAACCAACAACAACAACAACAACAACAACAACATGAGCACTGCGTCCGATTCTCGGTCCTGGTCCATCTCTACCACCTCAACTGCCGTTGCCGGAGTCGGAGGCGGCCGGTCTTTTCCCGAGACAAAGGAGCAATCCAACTGGATTCATCTCTCGGCTCCGAACCACCACCTCACCCTTACACTGAAGCTTTGCTTCCGTCCACAAACTCAAGGTTAGCACTTCCTTTTGCGTTTTTTGTGTCTTGGGTAAGATGTGGTAAACAAATATTGATTGATGTATGGGAAGAACAGGGACGAGGTATGGTGATTGTTCAGTATCAACCATTTCTTAGTCTTTGTCAGTGATGAGAGAAAGTAAGAAGGAGGAAGGGGTGCACCGAGTAAGGGTCACCTTTTTTCACGCACATCCTGTCTTTGGAAGAATGTGGAGCAAAGACATTCATTCACCTCAGCTATTCTTTGAAGACATCAAAAAAGAGGATACTAGGAAACCCCCTTCTCTATATCGAGGACATTGAAGAAAATGAAAAAAGAAACTCGACCGTGGATTTTTTGACGCCTCGGAGAGATCGAAACAATGAGACTTGCGTTTCTGAGCTTCCTGAAGGGGTGCCTCTTTCATTTCGCGTATAGCTGACTTGGATGGTTGTCGACCGCTACTGTTCATCCAAACTGGCAATGAAGTCTTGGTAAGAAAAAAAAGAAGAGTTTAGACTTCATGAGAAAAAAACAGAACTTGCATGCTACGAATTCACGCTCAATGGCAACATGATAATCCAACTCATGCATCGTTTTCGTATCACTCATTTCTCTTCGCTTTCTCCCGTCAACTGCCGATATATAGAAGAGCCTCGGTCTAGATCGTGCAAGTGTCAAGTCCTCAAAGTTGAGAGGTATCGTCAAGGGGTCCATGATCGGATTCCGGTACACCTCCTCATCCTCATCCTCAGCGTCATCATCGTTAGCGCCAACACCTGGATCCAGTCTCTCTGAGGTAACAATGCTTGGTTTGTTGTCCGCTCAGCTGCTGCCAAAGATTTTGCGAGGACAGCATTTTGGCACTTTAAATGCACTCTCGCCCTTTTACACACCATTATTGTCACTCAACTCACATTCCAATGCACCTCCCTATGCTTACGGCCACTTTGAACAATAGTCGCACAAGTTCCAGATCAAGTTCAAGACCTTGACGGACTGTGGTCAATGCTCCTCGCTTCTCTCAAGCTGGATCGAATGTCAATCTGTTGTCACACAAAGCTCCTCTAGTACCCAACTTGCCACCACAGACATCATCACCACAGCTGCCTCTGCCAGCACAAGTTCTCAAACCCTCGTACAAAGCTCTCAGGACACAGATGTCACCATGGCCCCTCCACCTCTTCCTTCTCCCCACCTAGCTCAAGTTTCTCACAATAACAACAGACATTCTATAAGATTTGGTGGCACCCAGCCTTGGTCCCAGCACACCGGTACTGGTGCTACTACCGATACACCATCTCCGTTGCCTTACTCCGCCTCTTTCTCTCCTCAGTCTCCTGCACCTGCACCTGTGAGCATCCCTGTCCATGTCGATGGCGAAGAGTTGACTCAAATCTTGAGGTCGGCTGCTTCCAACAGCATCGTCCTCCCTCATACTGCGCCGACCACTGCCAGCATGTTGTTACCTCCACAGCACCAGCATCAGCAACAGCAGCAACGCAACCGTCAGGCGAGGTTGTCTATCACTCCGCAATCCGCGTCCCAGTCCACGCCCATGGCCATGGCCATGCCTGCCACTTCTAATTCTTCCTCCATGACCACTTCCGGACGGACGGCGCGTATGTCATCAGTAGCACCTTCAGACTGCGGCGTTCAATCTTTGCAGGTATCAAATGATTTCTTTTCGACAGCGCAGAATAGATAGATCATCGGATAGGAGAAGTGCTTTGCTCACCTACAACATTATTATATTCGCGGCAAAAAATATAGTCATCCATGGGTGCCAGTTGTCAACAACGGAACATCGAGATAAACGAAGGCAGCTTCCACAACAACATCAGCGTCAACAACAATGACAGTGCCAGCATCAGCTTCAGCACTACCAACAATGATGACTTGAGCGCCTTGCTGAATCTACCGAATGCCAAGTTGCAGGAAGATATCGACATCATCCTCCACGACCCCCTCTTCCAGGACCTGGTAAAAAAAAATCACCCTTGTGAAATTATCAAATAACCGACGACCAATAAAATGTTCACCAACGATAAGAACTAACATTTCGAATGTCTTCACTGTTATGCCTTCAAATTGCATAGCTCGTCAAAGTGGACCAGCTGCTGCGTGGTGGCCCAATCAGTAAACGCTAGGTGGCTCTTCAAGTCAAGCGAACTTGCTCTCCAGCACTTCGATGCTTTGGCATCATCACAGCTCACGAACAAGTGCCACGGATCTCATTCATTTTGCTCCTTTCGACAGCACCATAATTCCCTTTGTTCAGATTGATTGTTGTCGTGCCTTTTTTGTAGCGACGTCGTTTATGAATGAATAAGATAAAAGATACGACAAAAACTCATCCAAAGAACGAAAACTCTTCCGACGTCGTAGTAATAGGCGCATTGCCCATCGAAAGCGCAGGGTTGGAGGTCATGGTGTTTGGTGGCATGGGCAACAAAGGGGTATGCACAGCCAATGAAGGAGGAGGAGTCACCATCAATCCCAAGTCCGGCCGCTCCTTTGTAAACTCGAGCGCCAGATGCCAATAGATGGCCTCGTAACAAAACACATACTGACGCAGTGTTTGCACCATCGAGATACGCTGCTCACGGAACGTGCTCACGCTCGCATAAACAATATCCGCCATAGGGTCATCCACTGCAGGTCCAGTACCGGTACCAGCGATAACTCCTCCTCCACTACTAGGACCTGCAAGTCCTGAAGATCCCGGCAAAAGTGACCTGGAACTGTTCATGGCGTTCACCACCCGGTCGTTTCCAGAACGCGAAAACTCGAGCGAAGGCCGAGTCGAGAGCGAAAGCCACCTTCCTGCAGCGGCGTCTGCTTCAGACCGTTGCAAGACAACCTCCGGGCGTTCATGGAGCTCCGTCAAAATTGAATCAATCACGCAGAAGGCGCCTGTCCTTCCACAGCCCGCAGAACAGTGCACAATCATAGGACCTGCCGATGCTGGCACATTGTGTTCGTTCGCCAACTGGATCACCCGCAGGACCTCCAGTGGCGTCTCAGGCACTCCAAAGTCTGGCCAGCCCGTGTACTGGATCTGAGTTATACTCCGTGCTGGCTCGTCAGGTCGGCGGATGTGCTGGAGTTTCATCTGTCGGACAAGGATCGTGCCGATGGAAGCGTCGGGCAAGAACTCGTTGACAAAGGAGACGCGCATCGAGCCGACTTCCATGAGAGGGTATTGGGAGCTTGGCCAGTACTGGTGACACTTGATCCTGCCCATCTCTTGCTCCCGCGTCAACATCACCACCACACGGGAATTCTGCTCCCACGCCGTCTTCCAGAAATCCTGAAATGTCGACGGCATTGGCCCCTGAGTGGCGATGTAGCTCTTCCGACTCAGAGGAGGTGTCAAAAACGAAGCATTGATATAGTCATCGTGTCCAGCGTCGATCTCGGTCAACTTGACACGGGAGTGATCGTATGGCCAGATGTTGTTGTATCGATTCTTGAGTCCCTGTTCGATTCCTGCTCCAATGCTAAAGTGGGTTGTCCTGCCTGATCGCATGTTCTGGGGCAACATCAGCAATGCCAGTCGCTTGTTCTCATTAATCTCCACTTTCTATTTGTGTCCACCAACAAATTGGTGTCAGTATGAAAACAGGTAACTAACGTCACTAGTGTACAAATACAATGCTGCTCAGAACAAACCATTCATTATTTTTTACCTGAAAGTACTCGGCAAGCCTGGCTTTGCCAGAGGCATCGGTGATGGCCGAGAGGAGCCACGTTGGCAAGTGTTCCCTCATAGTGTCGAACGTGAATCCCATTGGAAGTCGCACTGGAATCTCCTCGGTGATGTTGGTGCTCAGTCCCATAGCCTGGCGGACGCTCTCAAACAATGGGTTGACGTTTGGATTTTCGATCATGGGGGTCTGAAAACCAAGTGGCCCTGCAGCAGGCTGCGTCATCATTGATGGAAGAGAGCCCAAATGAAGGCGCTGTCGTGGAGGCGAGACAATGGACATGGGGTTGGTCGAGACTGGCGCTGAGGAGGGACCCCTTCCGCTCAATGACATCCCTGGTAGTACAAAGCCTGCGTCAGATCCAGTCGAGGCTGGCTTGGTCTCTGTTCGGCAAAGATTGTTGTGTCGTACCATGAACTCATTGAATCCGCCTATCATCGCCACGAAGAGGAAGGTATAAAAAAGTCAATGCTATGCATCATTTGTAGCCAAAAATAATCGCGAACCATCTTTTTTTTTCTTTCTTTTTTCTTCTATTGCTCTTAGGCTAATGAAGTGTCTGACGGTGTCAGAGAAGAGCGGCAGCGTCATTGAACAGCTGTTTTCCCCCTTCAAAAGAAAAAAAAAAAGTACCATTGAGATAGGCCAGAGTAGCGTTGCAGCCCTCCTTGCGGAATTTTTGTACCATCAGGATGATTGGCGATCCGACCACTGGCACTGCTCCAGAAGCATCAAAGAGAACAATGTTGGCAAACTGCTTCCATTTCGAGAAGGTTTCAATGTCCTGTTCAGTCGTTAATTGTTCAGTGACCATCTGGAGTGAGGTCTTGGGCCGCTTGAGGAGCATGTTGGGGATACAGACACTGACGGCGGTCTGAATAGATGAGATGGCATGGGAGACCGAGGATCGCATATCGAGGAGCATGACGGCGTTCTTGTCGCCGCCACTCGTCATCAAGACCTTCTCTAACAACTGCGAAACGGTCTCACCCGTCATCTCTTTCAGATTGAGCTCCGCGGGAGCTGCAGGAGCCACGGGGGAATGATGTGATTGCGACAAAGAGGACATTGTGGGGCGGGATGGAGAAGATGTGGAGCTGGGAGGAGACATGAGCGAGGAAAGAGGCATAGAGATGGACATGTTGGGTCTGTTGTGTGAGGGTATACTGATAGACGATCCACTCATGGAGGACGGTCTCGAGGAAGGATATGGCTCCCAAGATCCATTCAAGGCACCACCCATGGAGGTGGGGCGGGAATGTGACGTAGATGGCATTGAGATCTGGAAGCCCGCCTGGCCGTCCTGATCGAGGGCCGTTGAGGATGGATTGGATGAAGAGGGGAAATAGGACGGCGACGAGGCCGAGAAGCTCGAGATATCGACGGCTGCTGGGGTCTGGGCGGGGACATTGAAGCTGCTGGCAAAGAGGTTGGTCTGGGACCGGTGGGTGGCGGAGAGGGGGCTAGTGAGGTGGGTGGGCATAGGAGCAGGGGTCGAGGCTGCGGTTGAGAAGTAGTCGGATCGAGCTGACTCTGTCCAGACGGCCTGAGGGGTGAAGAAAGGGGTCTCGAGGGGCAGCTGCTGTTCAAGGTGCCTGACAGGATCCTGAGTTGCGGCAAAAAAGCCCGATCCAGCAAAGGACAGTGATGGGCGAGCAGTTGCTGTGGCGGTTGCGATGTTGGATGAGGTCGAGAGGGATGCACCAGCAGCAGCGGCTGACTGGGTGGGAGGGGTTGCTGGATCTAGGAGGACGATAGTTGGCGGATCATTGGGGTTTGAGGCAAGGGCAGCAATGCGAGGATCTGTAGCCGACTGGTTTCTGAAGTGCTGTGGCTGTTGGTCCATGGATGTGTGAGAGAAGGCCGGCGAGGACGCGTTCATTAAGTGATCAAGTTAGAGGTAAGTGTAAGGATATAAAATGAATGTGATAGGTGATGCGAATGGGTGGATGTGATGGGAGAGATGTGAATGGTAGAGAGAGTAAAGAAGGTAAGGTTGAGTCAAGAGAGAAAGAGGAAGGAAAAGAAACAGGAAAAAAGGACGCTAGCGACAAGGTAAAAACAGACAGCAGGACGACAAAAAATAGAAAAATAAGGAGGAGCGAGAGAAGGGAGAAAGGAGAAGAAAGGGGCGGGGGGAGAAAGAAGTAAAGATAGGAAGTAAAGAAGGTTGTTGATTCAATGGCATGAAGTCATGACCAACAACGACTGACAAAAAAAAAAAAAAAAAAAAAAAAAAGGATGAGAGCAAAAGAGACCAGGAAGGAGTTTGAGGTGCCGGTGGAGGTAAAGGTGGAGGAGTATGTGTGTGAGCAAAAAAGAAATAAGCGAAAGAAAAAATAGAGAAGAGAAGAGGAAGGATAGGATGATCTCGAAATGATATTCTTTTTTCATAGAAACAAAAATAAGAACAAAGGAAAATTTACGACAAACACAACGGCTGAGGTATCTTTCTCGGTGAAAAGCTGACGAATTGGTTGCTTGTTTGCGTGTGCTTGCTTGATGATTGTTGGGTTGTTGAACAAGAACAAAGGAAGAGGAAAATTAGCTTGAAAGAAATAAGAAAAGAAAAGAAAAGAAAAGAAAAGAAAAGAAAGAAAAAAAAATGCGAAGTTGAACCGACAGTTCCTATTCAGACCAACAACCCGAAGAAAGGATAACAACAGCTTCATTGAACAAGCTGAAAGCTGAACAACAACGTGTGAATAGGGGCCATCCAATGGCCAATCTCAATCCTTCACTTTCTCATTTACAAAACTCTTTGTGTTTGCAAAGTTGAACAAAAATGGTCCTTGAGCCATTAACCATCGGACATGGCTCCAGTTCTGGACCCCTTCAAAGAGTCTTTTTTTTTTATTGATCTTTCCTATGCCCTTTGTTCCCTTCTTCCTTCCTTCTTCGATTAGTGTTTGTGAAAATAAAAAACATGAGGTCATCAACAACCTACCACCTATGGATGGGTGTCCCCGCTTGGTCCCCCCGTCCTCGTCCCGCCATCCATTTTATTTATTAAACAAGCAGGGTGGCCCCTCAACAAAACCAGCTCTCGTTTCGTTTTTTTCCTTCTTGGACACTCGTTTTTTTCAATTCATCACCCACCCTCCTCATCACCCCTTCTTTCAATGATGCGTTGACGCCCTTTGGACGTACGCGCGGCCTTCTTCTTCGCTCAACACAGAATCCAGACACCTCTCCTACTTCTTTCGTGCGTCTGGCCCTCTTCCTTCCCATTGTCCCCCCCCCCCTCCTATTTTTTTTACCCTTCATTTCTCTATCTCAAAAAAGAGGACCCCGCCCTTCCACGTCCTCTCCATGACATCATGGTGCGTGTATTTTTTTTTTTTTTTTTTGTGTACCCCTTCCAAACAGCAGGAAAAAAAAAGAAAACAAAAACCAAACAATGTACCAGCCCAAGCAATAATGGTACCGACGTCTGCCTCCGCCTCGCTTCTTCCATCAATCACCCTTTTTGTTCTGATCTGGCATTCTTTGTCCATCACTATCATCACTCATCAACATCAACATCTTCATCAACATCAATCACCTCGTCATTTGCGAGGAAAGATATCACTCTGCTTTGCCATTGGCAAATAAAACAACAGTAAATCCACCGCAAACGACCTGCTCCTTCAAAACCTATGGAATCAATAGATCACTTGCCAGTCAATACATTGGAACACAAAGGAGGCAACCAAAAAAAAATTGGACTCAAGAGTCCACTCTCACATCGTCATTGCTCTACTTCATTGTCGTCACTTCACTTCTCGTCACCTCTTCTTTCTTTTCTTATTTCACTTGCCGAACCATGTGCAAGCCAAGTCGATGGTCCTGATCGAAGGATGGAAAAGGCAGCCGCCTAAAAGGTTTCAACCAACTCCACACAAACATACCAAGAAAAAATATTGCAATCTTAGAATCTTGGCCTGCAGCCCTCTTCCCTCCGTCCCACTCTATTCACCGCAGTCCTCTCTTCAACCGCCAATGACCTACATTGGTACATGGTCTAGACAATGTAATTTCAAGGGGGAGCTAATAGAAGAGAAAATAGAAAAAGTCGAAACACCTCCCCTATCCCGTGGGAGATATATCCAATACGCCCACAGGATACAGGATATGATGTCAAACGCAAGAAAAGACCGCCTCCGACAGAGTTGTTCCTGTGAATGACCGATCTCTGCAAAGCGAATATATCCAAATGATAACATTTTCTTTCATTTTTTTGTTTTGTTTTTTGTTGTAGAGTAATTTGAAAAAGATTGTAGAGTAAAAAGTAGTGGCATCCTTCGCTGAACAAAAAAAAACGACTCTTCACGATACTGCCGCCGCCGCCACTCCACAGGTAAAAAATTGATCTCGTTTTTGTCTGCTCGCCTTCCAATTGTCTAACAAGCGCATCCAAAGTCCTTGGAGGTGTCGCTGTCGATCTTGATGGGATCGGGGAAATCACTATTGCATGCAACAAGAGGTTTAAAAGGTGTCAGCAGCGTGCTCCAAGATATGAAAACCGGACCAAAAAAGATGCAAATGGAAGCAGCTTTCTTACATCTCGACCTCGACCTCCTGCTGGAGAGCGTTCTTGGCGATGGTCTGGAAAGCCTGCTCGACGTTGATGGCCTCCTTGGCAGAAGTCTCAAAGTAACTAGAAAGAAGTTGATCGCGTCCATAACAACAAACACGTTAGAGATGAAATTTTTCATGGATTTCACTTGGTCCTCCAATCCTGTTGTCTTGCAGCACGTGCGCTCGAGTTGTAGAGAAAAGAAAAAACGGCCAGCAACAACAAAAACTCCTGAAAAAAAAGAGAGCACTTACGGAATGTTGCCCTTGGACTGGCACCAGGCCATAGCGCGCTTTTGAGAAATCTAATAGTGGCACGCAATGACGAACAGTGAGTGAGAAAAGATCCGTGAGTTGAAACGCACCTCAATGACACCGTCGTAGATGTAGATATCCAGATCTGATCGCGCGCGCAAGTCGGTCATTGTTTGATCCCACATCTCGCTCGTCAAAAAGGCCAGTGCTGCCATACCATGCGCTTGGACTCCTCCATATCGATCTTGTTGCCAATGACGACAAAAGGAAAGTTCTCGGGCCCACGAGGGGAGGCCTGGATCAAGAATTCGTCTCTCCAGCTCTCCAAGGTCTCGAAACTCTTTGCGTTGTTGACGTCGTACACGAGCACACAGCAGTCGGCTCCGCGGTAGAATGCAACTCCCAAGGACTGGAAACGCTCCTGTCCGGCAGTGTCCCAAATCTATCGCAAGATGGAATAAAGATTTCGCAAAAGGTCAGCACACAGAGTAAAATAATACGAACACGAAAAAAAAATATGTCAGCTGGTTATCTGGGGCTGAACCAAAAAAAAATGTTGGAATAGGGTCAACCACGACATTCGATGGGGCAATTGGGGAAAAACGGAGGGAAGGCGAGATCGCATGGCAAAATAGAAGGAAGGAGAGAGGGAGGTGGAAAAGAGGGGACGGAGAGAGAGAGAACAAGGCACGCACACAAAAGACGCCAAAAACGCAACGCAACAAGGACCTATATGGTCTGTTGTCCCGCCCTGTTTACCTGCATGGTCACGAGGCGATCATCGACAAGAACCTCCTTAGTCAAGAAGTCGGCACCGATGGTGGCCTTGTACTGGTTGCTGAACTTTTTGTTGACATACTGGTTCATCAGCGACGTCTTTCCGACACTATATACAAGAACAAAAGGAAGGCTTTGTCAGTAACAAGAGTACGTTTCAATTGATATCCAAGGCAAAAGTCTCTCATCTGGGCTTGAGTGTTGGCTGGAGAGAAAGAAAAAATAGCATGACTAGAAAAAACACAACCACAACCTCCTCGAAAAAACAAGGCTATGCCCTGCAAAAGGTGAAGGAGGGAAAAAAAAGAGTGAAAAGAGAGGGAAAAGAAAAGGCCATCATTCTCCTTTGATAAAGTCACGCCTGTCCAGTTACTGCGCTCGCTCAGAACAGTTGCTTTTCTTGTTCTTTCTGTCTCCTTACCCACTCTCGCCGAGAATAATGACCTATGGTGGGGAAACAAAAAAGGGGAACATATTCCAGTCAGTCAGTTAGATACCGTGAAGTCAAGTACAGTCAGTCCGTCAGTAAGCGGTCGAGTCAAGTGAGAAAAAAAAGCAGGTGCAACTCGGGTTGGTTGAAAGGCAGGTGATGTAGTTGAAAGTGACAAAAAAGAACGGTGGTGTGGTGAATTGAAAGACCGAATGGGCTCCATTCAGCCTGACGAGAAGGCGCAGGGTTGGTAAGGCGACGAAGGAAGGAGGGGTTGTGATGCTTGCTGGCCGCTGTCGGTTCGTCGGTTTTAAAAAGTGTGCCGAGAGTGTTTGCAAAAACGAAAGAGCGTAGGTGTGCAGTTGTCTATGTAAAGGTGTAGTAGAAAAGAGAGCTGGGAAGAAAAGGGCGAAACAAAATAGCCATGGACGGGAGCCTTGCTCGTTACCTTCAAGAGGACTTTCTTCCTAGATGCCATTGTGTATGTTGAGGGTGAAATACTACGGTTGTATGTGCAAAGGGAAGAGGTAGGGGTTAAGCAAACGGGTATCAGGGTTGTTCCTTGTGGATAGAGCTAAGCAGGAGGTAAGGATCACCTACTAAGGGGATGGAGTGGGATGATGGATGGTGGCCACACCAACAAAAAGTCGACCTTATGAGAAAAGAAGGCCCACTGGCACGAAATATGTGTACGTCACAGAAATCGCATTTGCTTTTCTTTAGAGGTATTGCGCCCAAATGATCAGGGACACACGGCACAAAGACACATGGCGACTTTTATTATGCAACAATGTGCTGTTTCGATGCTCAAGCCTCAAGGGGGATTCTCCCAAAGGAACCGCCATATCGAACAACAAGTCCGTCAGAGTCCACTTCCACCAAGGTCCCGTCCTTGTCATCATCGTCCTCATCCGTCCAGACTTCAACAACACTCAGTCCATCCTCGCCCTTGCCCACATACGCCACATGAGTCCACAAGGGTCGGAGCTCAAGATCTGGAAAGGACACCACCACCATCCGCTCTGAGGTGATAGCAGACGGGTTGGCGATCAATCCCTCAAGGTGTGCATCCACTTTGTCCGGATCAATCCCCAACGTCGCACGGCGGAGTGAAGGAAGCAACGTGCTCGGACTGAAGTCGCTGCCCAGGTCCAAATCAATACATCCGTCCAGCCAGGGGAGATGTTCATACGTGGTCGTTCCTCTTCCTCCTCCTGATGCTGGCGATGATCCTGAGAACATATCGGGATTGGCTTTAGCAAAGCGTGAGAGGGATGGCGGCGAAAGTGGAGATGTGATTGTTGTTGTTGTGCTGTTGGCTGTAGGCGTGGTCGCACAAGATGTGCCACCTGATGGCATCGCCCGAAGAGGAAGGTTTGTTGGAAAGGTCGATTCAGTTGGTGAGAGGGCATCCTTGAGCGGGTTGAAGGACGAGAATCGTTTCGACGCTCTCTTGGAACCCTTGGGGGGTGGAGTCCAGGTCAGATTGATCTTCTCGAAAGGGATCGAGCATGCGACATCCTGGTCCGAGGCAGTAGCGGAGGGAGATAGGGGCGAAGCAGAACAGCAACTGGCGGCATCCGAAAAGGCGGCATCTACATCCTGCATTCCATCGGTATGTTGACGTTGGTGGTGGTCAGCACCAGGTGCAGCAGAAGCAACCCCTGAACGAAAGAAGCTGCGGGATCTCAAAAGACGATGCTCGGTGACCTTGTACCACCGTTGATTTCGATCCACCTCAAGGGTCAGTCTCTTTTCAGATCCGCCGTCAAACATGGCTGTGAGGGTCACTCTGCGGGTCATCCAGTCCTTGTCAAAGCCAAAGCAGTATTGGATGTACCCCGGTTGGTCGAGTCCAGAGATCAGGATCTCGCCCTTGAGAGTGTGGACAAGACAAGGGTGCTGACTAGAGTGGGCGATCGACATGTACTCCATCGATTTCTTTTTGATCCCTCGATAAATGAGATGGCGACCTGTGACCGAATCTGAAGAGACTGGAGATGCTGCGCGAGGGGGTGATGGTGAAGATTTGTTGTTGCTGTTGTGGAGAGGTGAGTTGCTGGGGGGTGCTGAAGCAGCGGGTATCGTTGTTGTGGTGGTCATGATCATGGGCTGTCGTTAAAAAATAAGACGGCGTGTGTGTAAAGTGTGGTTTGTGTGTAAGGTGTGAGATGCAAAGATAAAAAAATAAAGGGGACTAGAAAAACAAATCGTGAATGGTATATGGATAAGTGGGAATGAATGTGAATGTGAGTAAGAAGTGAAGGATGCAAAAGGTGTATAGGTGGGAAAGAGAAATATGAAGAAGAGAAAGAGAATGGAGAATGAGATGAAGAAAAGGGAAAATCAAGGACGGAGAAGGATGAGAACAGGACAAGTTAAATTAAAAATGGTCGAACGGATGCTCTTATTTATGTAGCATGGGCAAAATGAATGGTTGATGAGCGAGACTCTCTTCTTCCGGGACGACTCTCTGGAAGCATGAAACAAAGTAGACACCGGCCAAAAGGGACTCACTCAGACAAAAAAGAAAAACAAGGTATTTCGTGGTTCGGTAGGTGAGCACAATAACTAATTAGAGCTGGGAAATGAAATGACTATGGCGGCTAGGGAACAAGGGAAAAAGGGAAGAGAATTTGTCAGTTGAGCGCACAATTATCAAATGAGCATCGAAGAGTGCAGATGAATAAAAGAAAAAGGGCTTTTGTCAGGACAGAACTGGCTGATACGGTAAAGAGTAAAGGGAAATTAGATAGTAAAAAGAGGGGAAGTAGAGATAAGGGGAGAGAGCGTGAAAGTGAGGGCATGTACATGTATTGTAAACGTATGTTGCTTAGGTAGGTAAATAGATAGGGCAGGGTGAATGATGGTAAGCCTGCTGACGCTTCGATGGGGCTTCGCCACTTGTGAATGTATGAATGTAATGGGTGTGATGAAGTTGAAGATGAAGACGATAATTGCATTTGAGTACAAGCGAGAGAAGGACAAGAGTAGGGACTTTATATTGTGGATTCGGCATTACGGTCATCACGCAAGGCTTCTGTTAGTGCTATACACATTGCCAAAGCAGACAACGGATCCAAAATAGCCCAGACTTGCGCTGTGGTGTTTGTTGCTGATGTACCACAATCTGTCTCCTGTACACCAATAAGCCCCTTTGTCACGCATGGGTTTCGATCGATGCAGGACATACATAGCGAAATGACGAATGCATTGAACACATTTCGCATTTATTTTGCCCATTGCCTAAAGAAAAATGAGAGCACTCTTTTTTTTCAGACATGATATCCCATGTTGCTCTCAAAATAAAAAGGGCAGGCCGACAGGCAAATCTGACAGAAGGAAAAGACAGAGAGACACAGCAAGACACCAACGGGGACACCGATGATCATGTCCTGTCTCCCATCCAACATTCATCATCCAGTGCGACAATTCTTGCCAGTGTGCCGTAAGAAAGGAAGAGAAAATGAAGCAGCTGGTTCATGTCGTCAATCCCACTTGTTGGACAAAGCACGTATTTAAGATTTGTTTGTTTTGTTGTGTATGTGCTTGCGTTTGTTGTCGCAAAATGCATCAATGTTAACGTGAAACGGAGAGGAATGACGCCAAAGCGCTATCTCCGTTCTTCTTCCCCTTCTCACTCTTGCCATCCGGTCAACAGAAAGAACGCCTCTAACCCCGTAATTGTCGCAACCCTTCAGTTAGAGATGCCGTTCAGTTCCAAGGTATACGAAGAGCGAGAGAGAGAGAGAGAGAGAGAGAGAGAGAGAGATGCGCATGGCAGATGACCATACTGAAATATCTTGCACTCTCTATGGTGTTTCTTTTTCAAATCAGGGGGGATTGTGTGACGCATGGAGGCATGTGGACAGCTCCTGCAGGCAAAACAGGGAAGGGGCAAAGACGAGGCGAGAAAGGCAAGAAAGTGGAGTAGGGCAAAGAGGGTTGTCAGTGTTGTACTTTTCCGCCGCGAGACCACATAGAGTAAGCAGCAACATCTCGAAGCAAAAGAAGAAGTATAGAAGAAGAAGAAGAAGAAGGAGAAGGAGAAGAGTTTTGTTATTTGCGGGGGACAGAGCACACAGCACGGACAGACCAAGGATCAAGGGCGAAAGAGATATTGTCAGACGGTGTTCGTCAGCCTAGCCCCCTGAATCTTATGCTTATTTTGGTGGCAACATGTAAGCGTCTCTGCGATTGGCTGATGATACTTGGCATTGTGACAACTCATCTTTGCCTGCGCCCGCCAATTCTCTTGCACAAAATGCAGACGGAGACAAATGTGTTGCACCTGTCTGTCAGCAACAGTTGAGAGGGTACTTACATGTCATAGAAGAACGACATGACCTCAGCTATCGTATACTGCAAGCGTCATGACCTGCTCTATGAGCCCACGATCCTTTGGCTATGGCATGCCTAGCTGGACTTTGGTGTTGCGTGTTGCGTGTCACGCCTTTCGTTAAAATCGTCACCTCATTATTGCACTCATTGTCCTTCTTCTCTTCTCGCGAGACTCGGCGTACTTCCCTCCATATCTATCTCAGTACCTTTCCTTGTCCGCTCTGTCCCCACTACCAGATCCTTCCTCTGTTTCTCCTCTTTGCACTTGACCTGCGCAAGGGTCACCGGAAAATAAAAACTATCAATATATTTTTTTATCGGGCTCACAAAAAAGATTCACCACAACGACACAAACCAAAATGCCTCTATTTTCCACAACTGCACCAGCTTAACAGGACTACATACTCGAGAGAATTTTGAATGACGCGAGAAGGCGCTAGAGATGGTAGATGTGGAGGAGGAGCGATAAACTATTATACATTTGTCATTCAGAATCGTCTATGAAGAAAAGCTAGGGTAGGCAGGGGGACCAGACGCGTGTATGCATGTGTGTGTGTGTGTGTGTGTGTGTGTGGAGATGGACCTAGTGTTTTTTGTTTTCAGCATACTCTTCCTTCTAGACCTTCACATGTTGCTCATGCTTTAGCTCTCCTCTCCGTTTTCTTAATCTTCTCAATCGTCTACTTACGAGCTTGTACAGGGTCTAGCCCAAAGTGGAGAAAAGACCAAGAAAGCAAAAGAAAAATAAGGAGAGAGAACTAAGGTGTGGAGTGGAGAGAGGCAAAGGTGGTGGAGGGAGATCGTTTCAGAATGCCTATCCTAAGTCCAACGTCCCATTGTTTTTGTCCTGCATTAAGGAGCATTCCGCTTACAAAGACACATTCGAAAGCCCTGTACTCTTTCGCTGTTTTTTATCTGCTCTCTCTCTCTGACGCGCTTCTTGACCTGTTTGTGTTATTTTGCCTGTAGTGTAATCCTTTTCCGTCAGGGTCGGGGGAAAACAACAACACCTACCAACGATAAACAGCCTATCTTCGTGGAGAAACAAAAACAACAAAAATGAAAGAAATGGCCTGACCTCCCTGTCTGAGATGTATCGATGAGGGTCTTTGTGGACATGGTTTGCATTCTAGGCTCACAAAAAGGAGGAGGAAGAAAGAAGGGATGGGAAGGATGGTCTCTCCTCCCTCCTCCTCCCTCCTACCTCTTCCACTGTTTGTCTCTCGCTACACACACTCCTCTCTCTTTCGTTTTTGTTGCCGTATGATCAAAACAGTGTAAACAAAACTGTAAAGTCGACTGCTCAGAATGGGATCGTTTGCGTATCGTTGTTATCGTAACACCGAGGATATGTTTATTCTTGTTTTTCCTCCACATCCCTTTTTTTTCTTCTCCACCGTCTAATCCTTCAAGTGCTCTCAAAAATACTATGGAGGAACAGGCAAAGTTAGACTGGGTGGAGAGGAATTAAAAGGAGGGAGAGGGCAAGGTTTTGTTTACACCAAAGCGACAGACACTTACAAGCGATGATAATAAACAACCGAATGCGCCGGATACATGCAGCGCAACATACATATGTGTTCTGAATGGGCTTGACTTTTTCCTCGTCGGACGTTTTTTCTTCCTTCCTTTTCATCATTCATGGTCTTACTATGCGGAGGAACAGGTGGAAAATATATAGTTCGACCTACGCCTCCTTCGCTGTCTACGAAGAGGAGCTACAAGCTTAGCCGTTGGCTGACGTTGGATGGCGAGGTAGGGCAACCATTCCCATTCTCCTTCACATTTTTATTGTTTGGCTCATGAGTGTTTTTATGTAGAGCTGCAAGTCGAACTCATCAACACCTCTGCTTAACCCATTTGTTTATTTGTTTGTTTTTTCTTTTATTCGGTTGAACTAAGGGCTTAAAAATGCTCTCCACATGTTCTCCCTTCTTTTCTCGCCCATTACTCGCGGCGTACAAGGACAGGGACAATGTCAGTTTACACTGCCACTGTCTATTTCATGACCATGGATGGGATGGAGACGGGGAAAGAAGGATTGAAGGGATGAAGCGCTTATTATTTTTTTCTCCCACACACCTGCAGGCTTTGTCATGGAAAACACCCATCAAGGGATATTATGAGGTAGGCATACCGCGACAAAAATAAACAAATATCCAAAACATGAAAAACAAACAAAAAAATAGCCCCTGTTCATCCCTCATCCCTCCACATTCTCTTTCCAAATGGCAAATGCGAGCGTGACGATATCAACAACCAAAAAGGAATGAGAAGAAATAGGAATGGTATGTGGTGTCAACAACAGGCGAATGACAACGAACAGGTTCATGTCATTGACACGCGTCATGGATGAATTATTGACCATCGTAAATGCATGCCTCTTCAGGTTCGACTTTTGACCATTTGTTCATAACGTTTTTTTTTGTTACGGAAGACTATGATGTTCAACAACGAGTAATATTTACCGTGGCGGTTATGTTGTTTTCTCTCACCCGACGTATCATGACGACGAAGAAATGAAAGAAAGGAAAACAATAGCGAACATAAAACAACAACGACAACCAAAGTGAAACTCGGGGATCTAGGCGCTAGAAAAAGAGTTCATCCACCATCCTTTCAAGAGCTTGAGCCAAAGACTTTAAAAACATTGTTATCACTTCTTTTTATTTGTTTTTTTTGTTGTTGTTACGCTTGATACTTATGCGTGTGTCTCAATGCCATGCCCCTGTCTTCGATTGTAGCTTTGCTTCCGGGTCCTCGCTGTACCAGAGTCGAAATGAAGGAGTATGGTCAATTCAAGGGAGCATTACGTTATGTATTTTGTTGCCGCTGTAGTGTCTTCGTTCTCATTTATTTTGTAGCCACTTTATACAGCATAATTGTAGCTGTTGACAATTACATTTTGTTGTGTGCACAAGCGATGCACTACAAGGAATACTGAATGTAACACTATTATCTAGATGGTTACCAAAGTAAGGTGAAAGGGTAAGAGAAAGAGAAAGTGCGCAACGTTCTTTATGCGTGCTTGTGCGTGTGTTCGTGCTCTGTATGAATGGGATAGAAGAACAACAGGAAGAGGGTAGCGCAATGCTTGAGATACAGACAAAGGAGACGAAGAGACAACTAAAAGTAAACTTTACATGAGCCGTATGTTGGCTCATCGTTCTCGTTTTTTCTGTTTGTGCTTTTTTCTCGCCGATTATCCGGGGCGCATCCAACCGCCCAATTACTGACGACAAACATCCCATTCTCTCAACCCGCCCATGTATGACTCCCTTGCATCTATTCTCTCTATTCCGCCTAATTCATTCAATCAGCTTTGTACTCCTTTTTATTCTTTACGCCTGCTGTTTTGCTTCCTGCTCCATTATTTGTGCACTCGTATTATTGTTTTTCTTCATGTTTGTTGCTTGGTTTGTTTGTAGCTCGACTCGGGGCACCATCTGACAACGATCGAAAGACATGCGCCCTGCCCCCTTCCCATTACAAATTCTAAAACGCGTAGAAACTCGACGAAGCACAAAGGAAACAGATGCAAGAGGGAGCAGCAAGCAATCCGATATGAGGGTGGACGAGGTGCATTGTTTACTTGACGGCTCTGTCTCTCTTTCTTTGCGACCATCCTCCCGTTGTTTGCGCCTTCAACAATTGACTAACCCCCTTCTCTTCCTTCCTACTTTCGTCTCGTTTCTCCATGACTGCTCCAGACAACAAACAAACGGTCTTCTTGGACAATTACTCTTTGTCATGATTAATGTCAAGGAAGGGGGACAATGGTCGATCGTAATCCATTTTCACTCCCATTCTTTAACCCTCAACTCTCCTTTTCTTGTATAAAAGGACGCCTCTTCGTTCCGTAATTTTCTCTTTTTATCCTCATCCCTCAAGCCTCTCCTCCTCTTCCACCCAACAAAACCCCCAATCAAGACCTCCAACCATGAAGTTCATCGCCGCCTTCGTTGCCCTCGTTGCCGCCTCGGTCGTCAACGCCCAGTCGCCCGCCTTCACCAACTGCGCTGCCGCTCCCCAGATGACCGTGTCCAGCCTCACCCTCGACCCTTACCCCTTGTGCATCAACAAGAACGTCTGCGCCACCATCACCGGTACCTCAACCACCCCCATCGATGGTGATGCTACCCTTGCCATCACTGGTCGTTACCTTGGTCGTCTCGTCTACACTGACAACCAAGACCTTTGCGCTGTTCTTGGTGCATCCGGACACGCCTGCCCCGTCCCAATCACCACCACCCAGGTCACCGCCTGCATCTTGGTCAAGCCGAACGCTCCCCCAAACGTAAGTCATTACTCTCTCTCCCACCCATGTAACCAAGAAAGTAATAAGTGAGCAACAACGCGTACAAGACATGGCCCTACATGTTGGCTAACCCCATTCATAAAACCCATACTCCAAACCCTGAAACCCTGTACCTTTCTCGAACCCAATAGATCGGAGTTGCCCTCACCATCACTGCCACCAACGGCGACGGTGGAGTCATCTTCTGCCAGACTGCTACCGTCACCGCCGTCACCTGCCCTTAAAGAAGTTCTTGCTTCTTTTCCCTGGGACCTTCCTTTCCATCCTCCCCGGCAACCTTCTTTCTTGAGGCTTCTTGCGAGCCTCTAACCTTTTTTGTGGGATTATCTTTTTCTCACAGAGTTCAACTTGATGGAATCAATTTTTCAATAACTCAAAAAACTTTGAAATACTAATAAAAGAAGCACTGGCAAGGAGACAATCCTTGTTCGTTTTTCTTTTTACCAAAAAAAAATACCCCCAATGACATGCTGTTGCGCTGTTCTGAGTGTTTTTCTTGTGAATGAAATAATTGAATGAACAGGGGCATATTAGTTTACGCTCACAAAAAAAACGAATCGAGTGGACTTCAGTTCCTTCGCATGGGGCAATACAATTCAGACGCCGCACTCAGGCCAGAGATAGTTGCTGTTCCACATCAGCAAAACATTTATTTCACCAGAGTATGTGGGTGCAACACGCACAAATGTACGTGTCCTTCCCTTCTTTGCCATGAAATATTTGATCTACACCTTCCTTTCACACACACAAACACACACTATCGCCATGCTTCCACCTCTTCTGTTTACAAGTAAGTACTACTGCACCTAACATGTGTTAGCATCACGAAAAACAAAAATTCCGCGTTATTTGCTTCTGTGTTTACACTACGTTGTTCCCTGCTGCTTGTTATTGTTTGAGGAGATCCCCAAACGTGCATAACGTCGCGCTGCTTCTTTTTTCTTCACCTGAAGAACATTGATCCCTTCCTTCCCCTTCTCCTGAGAACATCTTTTTAAACTGACAAACAAAAGGATAAAAGGGCGCAAAAGGTTTCCCGTACCGTGTCAAGCATGGAATGATGCTAGACACAAACATCGGTGCCGATTATTATTTATTTTTTTTGTTGCGCGTAGTTTGCTTTTTGTTTACGTTTTTTTTTTCTTGCTTGTTTGATTGTATGACAATGTCTTTCTAAAGTGAAGCTACATCAACTTACATTGACGACAGGCGACACTGTGCCCATCAAACTCGGCCTAACCCCCCCCCCAAAAAAAAAAAAAAAAAAAAAAAAAAATCTATCAACCTCCCTACAAAACATATAAATAGAGGCCAACGAGGCAAGGGATAAAAAAAAAAAAAAGCATTTGGCCACCTTTGCTATCTTTGCTATTGTGAGTTTAATGAGAGAGGAATGTTGGTTCAGCACGCTGTGAATTTGAAAAATCAAAAATGAAATGAAACACGCTGATAACCTTATTCACCCACATGAACCCCCCCCCCCTCCCTCCTTGGAATGCAAAGGCGATGTTCAGGTTCTTTTTTTTTTTTTTTTCACACCAGAAGCAACCACTTCATTACAAATACCAAACCTTAGTCAGATCCCTTGTTCGTAGTTACTTTTATTTCATAAAAGACATGTTTACTGGTATTAGTTCCTCATGCCCTCGTTGATGCTCGTCCAATCGTATGTTTCTTCTCTCTCCCCTCCTTGTTCCGAACTCGTCGCAAGTGACGGGGAGGGTTGGTCATGTTTGTAGGCGTTGGTTGGTTGGTTGGTGAAGAAGCTTTCTTTCATAACGACTCAAGTATTGGATGAGTGGGGGTAAGTGGCGGGGCTTGAGTCACACAGGGGTCGAGGCATAAGAGGGTAGGAGAACCAAGATAGTAAATAGAAGAAAAGAACGTGTGGCATAGTATAGAATAAGGGTGGAAAAAATGGAAGGAAGAGGGCATGAAAGAAGAAAAAGAAAGAAAGTGGGGAGAGATGAGGGGGGGGGGGTATTTACACCTGTCCTTCTTGATGAGTGCCACAACACTTCGCCGTTATATCGTTGATGCTGGTAAAACGCGTTCTCGCAATAGAACGCATTTGTCTCAGAATGTTCGCGTCCAAGGGATCAAACGCAGTCCAGCTTATTTCAAACACGTCTTATCCTATCAATCAAACACATATAGAAGTAACCTTATGTGTCCCTCGGTTATGGTTAACACGCACCGCCTTCTCAGCTTGCATGTAACAGGACAGACGAGCAAAGACGCGACTTTATTCAACGATCTCCCTGTGTAGGTTCAAAAAAAAGGAGTTGTACCCTCCTCAACAGGCAAGACCTGGAGGTCGATGTTTCATGTCTAGTCCCTTTCCCACCGCCAACGCTCGAGTTCGACCAACATCTATTCAAGGAATGATAATGTTTTGGTTAACTGGAAAAGACGAAAAGTACACTTTGTTTGTTCATAAAAACACAGGCCTCTACCCGCAAACAACGGCGCTGTTTCTAATTGCATTCCAGAAGCGAGCAATTACTTCCCTCTTCTCTAATAAGTCTTATCTATCAGTACAATGGGAGAGTAAGTGTCTCAGTCCAACTTATTGAGCCTGGCTGCGGTCTCTTGCTCTTTTAGCCTATTTTCTTTTCTTTTTTCCCCATCGCCCAGAGAGAATAAACTGTTTGGATTGATCCACAAAAACTACAAGCAATCATTGTTGCGCGCCAGTAATCTCAAAAAGGATATTATTAGGGTATAAAAAGGTAGGCAAGTGTGGAAAAAAAAGTGGAAGAAGAAGACAGGAGATATATACGAGAGAGTGAGAATAAGTGGACAGAGTAAAGAACGTAAAGAAGAAAAAAAAAGTAACATTATATATCACTCCAAGCTAGGAACAGTTTAAAGCGACACAAGAACCAATGTTCTACTCATGAGTTTTGGGACGGTTGTAGTTCAAAGGCTGGAGGTCGTTCGCGCTCGGGGTTCTGAGGTGGTTGACAGTCAGCGGCTGGAGCTTGTTCACGCTTGGCAATTTGTTGAGGTTGTAGTTCAGGGGTTTGATCTCCTGACAAGGCTGGCTCTTGAGGAGCAGGAGGAGTGGGTTGTTCATCGACTGGAGGGGTTGGTTGTTCACAAGCAGGAGGGGTTGGCTCCTAAGGAGCTGGTGGCGTTGGTCGTTTATAACTTGGAAAGACAAGGACAGGAGTCGGAGGAGGATGAACTTGCGCCTTGGATGCTTGTAGGACAGGAATAACAGGAGGAAGGGGAGCAGGAATCAGAGGACTAGGACGAGAGAGCAGTTTCATCTTTAGATGGTTTCCCAACAATTTTCCGATGCCAACGGTGATCGTGCCTTTCAGAGGTTAAACCGTTGTTGTTGCTGTAGTTGTCATCGTTGCCAACGACTTTGTCTTCACAAAGGCAATTAATCTTTGTTATGGTGGTACGGTGGTACTGGCAGGGCGTGGGCAAGGAAGAGGTTCATGGATGTGATCGTGGCAAAGACCGCCAAAGCAAGAATTGGGGTTCATGTTTTTTTGTGTTGGGTTTTTTCCTGCGCGAAAATTTTATAGCAATGTGGCTTAATATGAAGTGATCAGCCTACAGAAAATATGTTTGTCTAAGGGGGGACATACATCTCGAGCACAAAGCAATGGACGCTCGGTACTGCACCGTTTTTCATACTCAACACTTCACAGTGTGGGTATAGTTTACAATGGATCTGATAGGAGAGACCAATTAGTCCTTGAGGACAAAAATCTCCCTTTTTTTGTACCTGACGGCATTTGCGCATGGACACACATAAACCCCATACACGTGGAATCTTGATGAAAGGTGGGCAATAGTTCTGAAGTCGGCATTGTGCCTCTCTTTCTCTTTCTTCTCTCTTCTCTTTCTCTTCTTTGGGCTCTCGTATAATATTAAGGATAAAGAACTAAAAGCAGTTGAGAGTCGCAACCAATCTAGCGGAAAACGTCCCGCATTGCTTCTACCGTTTCAACCTATATCTTTTTTTTTGTAATGCACCCACCCCCTTGGTTATTTTCTCTCCTGCGACCCATGCTAGTTTCAATAAATCTGTATTCATCGCGTTTTCTCATCCTTTTGGATGCCGAACAGCAATGCTGCTATCCTCGAAGGGTTAGCTGTGGACAGAGACCATTTTTTGATCGAATTGGACACATAGATCGCATCGATGGCTGCCCGCTACATGTTGATCGAATAGAAAAAATCTGGGGCGAAAAAACAGCCGAAGTTGAATGGGATAGGTTCTTGGAATGGGGCAAAAATAAAAAAATCGCTGCAAGTTTGAGGGCTAAGGCATTGACAAGTCAACGAACTTAGGATAGGCATTTGAGGGCCAGGTAATGGGTCGTATATGGTTCACTTCGTATGTCTATGCGGCCATTGTTCCGCCACCTCAGTTCCTGACATTTGCCCCTCTTGCACTTACATGATTCTTACTATCAACTCGCCGTCGCGCTCTCCTTCAAAAAGGGACACATCGAAAGAAACAAGAAAAAAAAACCATGGGACTAAAAGATCTAGGAGTCCTTCCTCATTTGCTGCGAGGGGTGAAGGAAAACTACAGGTCTAAACAGAAAAAAGAGAGAAACTCATGGAACTGAAAGATCTAGGAGTCCATCCTCATTTGCTGCGAGAGGTGAAGGAAAACTACGGGTGTCTAAACTATGGCCATATCACTGTCCCCAAAGGACTATTGCTCGCCCATACATCCTTTCAGTTCCAGGCCCCCACCGCGCGTATAGGCAAAAAAGAAAAAAATCAAGGAGGCAAGGAGGCAAGGGGTTGTGCGCTTGAAAAGAGATCAAGATACCCACAAACAGCAAAGGAGGGGTATCTTTCTTTTCGTTTTTATACCTCTCTTCTTTTTTTGTTCTTCAACTCTGCTCCCTTCAGCTCTCCTCTTTCCAAACCCTAATCTCTACAACAAAACACACCATGAAGCTCGTTCTCATCCCGTTCGTACTCGGTATTTCTGCCTTCGCCGCCAATGTCAATGCAGTCCCCATGCATTCGAAGCGGGCCACTTCATTCCATGCTTCTGCTTCCTGTGCCGCAGTGTAAGTCGCAACATGTCCAACAATGCCTGATCAATGCTGCCAGAATAGCCTGGATATTACGCTTACCGAAAATTACACTCGTCTATTCTTCGTCTTCTTAACTGATAGGTATGTTACTTTAGGGTCGCAAACCGAAACTTGTAAAACGGACATGGCTGTAAGTTTTGATTATGTTCTACACACACGCATGTTGGTTACTGTAGCCTTTTTCTTCTCTCACTGTCGCCGAGCAATCGAACGCGCCTTGTTGATTTCTTTCTCGCGCTTCATTTCCTTTATCAGGCCGATGTGGGTGCTGTGGTGTCCATCTCGCTCGATTCGTTGCTCCTTGACTTTACTGGCCCCGACCCATTGGCGGCGAAAGTTTCGTCCAAGGGTCTCAAAGTGCAGCTCGCTAAGATTCCTGGTCCCTTCCCACTCAGTTTCCCTATCACTGGCACCAGAGAAGTCGTAAGTTCTAACACATTTCAGCGTTGTACACTCTGTTTTTTGTAGCGAACGAGACTCGTTCTTTTTATGCAGTTCTAATAGTGTAATCGTCTCTCTCTCACATACATACACCTGTTACCTTTTACATTCTTCTTCCTTATCCTCCCTTCTACACACTCCATCTCATACTTTCTCTACTTCTCTCTCTCTCTCGTACTTTCTCATGCTCTGTATCCGTTGTCTTAGATGATCCTCAATGTAAGAGATGAATGCTTTTTGAGCTCAAATGTTGTCATTTTTTCCTCCAGCAAAAGTCATGTTCTAACACTCGCTTTGTTCGCTGACCGATACGTTCCAACAGGATAACACGGTGGACATGGCTACCTTTGGCACCCCTTGGTCCTCTGCAACCGTGGACAACATGAATGTCATGACAACCACGGTTGAAGAATGTGCGCTCAAGATCATTCCAGAGCAGCAGGCCGCATTCTCAAAGTTCATTACATCGGTGATCATGAGCTCGACTACACAGGGGTTCATTCTCAAAGGCACCGTCGATGCCAACTTTACCCTGTCCCTGCCTTTTGGACAAAAGATCACCACTCTTCCTGGGGTTGGTTTCTCGTCCAAGGCGTCGTTGGGAGGTCTCAATGGGTTGTCCTCCGCCTCCTTTGTTAGGAGGACCACGGACAACAGCTGGGACGCCAACAAGATGTTTTTGTTCAACTTTGAGGTCAAGATCACAATTCCTTCGCAGATTAGCATTGCGGTGGGTGACCTGAGCTTCAACACGGTTACGGGAACGGGGGCTAGCCGTGTTGATCTCGGGGTTTCAACTACGAAGGATGTTCGACTGGCACCTGGCGACAATCTGTTGCAGGTGACTCTGACGGCGAAGGGGAGCGACGAGACGGTATTCTTTAATGCTTTGAAGAGCAATGGTAACGTGGTGGTGTTGGAGGGATTTTCTGAGTCATCCAAGAACAAGGTCATTGCCGATGCCTTTGCTCCAGTCAAGATCCAGCTCACTCTGTCTTTCTAGTTGTTTCTTTCTCTCTCTGCCATGTGTTGTCTATCTTACCTGAATATAATTGATCAGAGATGTGACGAATGATATGTGAAATGAGGCGCGTTTTGATTGGATGTCCTGTGTCTTGAGGAAAGAACAAAGAGATGTGCGTGCGTGCGCATCGAATGATATTGTGCTTGTGGTTGTTTGAGGTATGGAAAAAAAAGGAGGATGGGGTGCAAGAGCGGTCGACTTTTAGCTGGTGGTCTGTATGACGATAGGAGGCAAGGAAGGGTCATGTCCCGTTGTGTCTTTGACTGTGGCGCAAAAATAAAGAACAAAGGGGGATGCCTTCTTATTCGAGCAGAAGACCGTTGGTCAGACAGACTGAGCACCACATTCCAGCATGACCCACCAAGAAAAAGAACATGGTTTCTATGTGGCATTGATAGGGCAATGAGCGAATGGCATGAATGCGACGGGCTGTAGGAGAGTGTGTCGCTTGTCTTTCTTTGCATTGCTTTCTTCTACTTTGACCACTCTATCAAAAGAACGTGTGTCTGTGTCGCTTCGTTTTCTTTTTCTTTTTCAGCCACAGACTCGCATTCCACTCACTCACTTCCACAACAGCCCACTCGTTCTTGTTCTCTTCACTCCTCTCTCCCCACCATTTTATTTTTCCTTCTCCTCACTCCCCTTCACTCCACCTCACTTCCACTCCTGATTCCTTCCTTCCTTCCTTCCATCTTTCCACGCTTATTATTTTCTTCTTTCTTGTTTCGCCTCGATCCTGCACTCTCTCATTCAACAAACATACACACACGGACAGACCCGCCTGGAAACACAATGACTACGCACCTCCCTGCCCCAACCCCAACTCCCACTCCCTCCAAGGCTAATGCCACAGTAGCAATGACACCAACAAAAACTCTTGCTTCGACAATCACTCCTCCCTCTTCTTCCTCCCACCCCTCTACTTCACCCACTACCACAACAACAACTACGACAACAACAGCTCCTACCTCTACCACTCCTTCCCCTACTTCGGCAGTAACCAACGCCCTCTTCCAAAGAAACCCCTCTATCCGCATCAAGAAGGAAAAGAAAAAGTCGTCCAAGGGCGACAAGGACATAGACAGGAGCCATGACAACAACAACAACAACAACCATATCCACTTGAAGCGCTCTCGGTCGCCCATCAAACTCATCAAGAACATCAGATCCTACCTCCACGTCCACAAGCACAAGTACTCTTCCTCGTCTGTCTCATCAATCTCAACCAGCAACAACACCCTCCTCTTCAGTGGCAGTGCCAATGGAACCCTCGCCCCGCCTTCTCGAAGCTCTTTCGACGGCACCTCCTCAAACCAATACCGCTCAACCTCCCTCCCGTCCTCGTCGATTCTCTCGGCTGCAGCAAGTCAGTTGGCTCAGGAGAACCTTACAGCAGCAGCAGCTGGTGTTCCGTCTCGAGTGCCCAGGGAGAAACAGCGGTCAGAGGCGATGGACCTGGAGAAGCAAGTCCTCTTGCTTCGAGTCATGTCTTATTTTGAGCATGCAGGACACCGTGCCGACGAGGAGACGGCAGAGTACCTTTTGAGTTCATATCAGTGGAACATTGACCACACCCTACAGTATTGTCAGGATTTGCTTCAGGCTGTCCATGGCACCCTCGTGCCAGTCCAACAAGAGATTGTCCTCGGCGGAGCTGTCAACGACCAAATGACTAGCTGTTATATCGGTAAGTTACGAGCATGGGAGTATGTACCGACGACGATTGTTACCAAGTGAAAACAGACATGCATGTCCATAATTGACAATGCGCATTTTTGAGTTAGCCAGCATTTCAAGGGTTCTGACGGCATACTAAAATACTTCTGTGTCAATACAAACTAACATGGTCTTATTTTGATGCGGTCATAGATGCCCTACTATTTGCCATGTTTGCAAGATTATCAGCGTTCGAGGGTCTATTAAACGTCAACTTGGATGCAGAGAGCGACAGCGACAGCGAGGAGAGTGGAACTGGCGCACCAGATACTGGACCCTCCAAGAAGGACGAGGAGCGCCTTCACACTCATCGATTGCAGACGTGGCTCCGTATGTTTGTCAACCAATTGCGATCGGGACGGCTGATTCAGGCGCATGTTGTCAAGGAACTGCGCCAGCACCTGTACTGCTGTGGATGGAATTGTCCAGGACCTATGGACCCGCCTGGAAGCAGTCGACAGGAGGATTCGAGCGAGCTGTTCATGTTCCTTACCGAGAAACTGCATCTCCCCTATCTCCCACTAGAGCAGAGGCTGTTGCACGGCGCCAAGATCTCTGTAGACGACGATAAAGTGATTACGGAGCGGATGCTGCAGATCAGTATTCCAACGCCCGATCAACCTGCCGCGTCTCAGGTGTCCAAACTAGGATCAACATTTTCAAAGCTCTTGTCGCCCTCCAAACCGACTGACAGCAATGGAAGCATCAGCATCCAGACCGTGCCGTCGTCGATGCTCGAGGTCCTTTCTCTCGAAAGTCTTTTAACGCAGTACTTTTACGACAACACTCTGACGGGAATCCGGCGAACAGTTTCTTCAGGAACAGGAGTGCCACTCTCCCCGGGAGTTGAGATCCCCGTCTCGGCATGGCAGGTTCTGGAACTATTGCCGTTCTATTCGTCATCGAACGAGCAAGGCGGAGTCATCCATGCGAGTCGGTCTCAGTACCCTTCGGGTGTTTTGATCTTACCGTTAATCTTGAAGCGGTACTCGTTTGGACAGGACATGCAAGCACGGCGCATTGGAACACCCATTGATATTCCTCGGCGGATCGATTTCTCGCGCTTTGTCAACCCTCAGACGACCGTATCACCACCTCCACGCATGGCTGCTGCCGCCGGACCAGGCAGTGGAGCGACCCCTAAACCCACACCTGCGCCAACGCCTGCACCTGCGCCAACGCCTGCACCAGCGCTGGAATCAGTACCAGCGTCAGGATCAGCACCAGTCCCAGCATCGATTGATACCACCCCCACCTTCACCACCACTGTACTCCCACCTCCTCTTTCTATCCCTGAAAACCGACCGACACTCGGCGCATCCTCCTCAGTCCAAGGGTTATCTGCGATCAGTATAAACACTCAGATTCCACCTATCCGCAAGTATTCGATGTCGCTTCTACAACCTGCAGAGTCTCCCAGGACTCCCATCACCCCACCACCCCAATACTCGCCCGCACAACAGCAACAACAAGGCCGAGGAGGAGACCACCGCGACGAGAAGAAGGGCTGGTCCCCTCTGCCGCGCGAGAACGCTCAGCTGGACTATATGGACTACTCGCCCCCCAAGGTCAAATACATGCTTGAGCTCAAGTCGGTCGTCTGTCATGTGGGATACCGTCTGGATTCTGGTCACTACCGCAGTTATGTCGCCGATACTGCTAGTAGTTCTGAACAGCAGCAGCAACAACATCATCCATTGGCGTTCCAGGAACCCAATTGGTTGCGACATGATGATTTGGACCCGTCTGGTCAGCGGGTCCAGTTGATTACTCGGGACTCACCCGAGGATATGGATATGGAGGCTGATTGGGCCCGGAACGGGTATATCCTGTTCTATGAGCTCCAGACTGTTCAGTGTTAGAATTCTCTTCACCTCGTGAATAAAACTCCAGCATCCAGAGAACCTTTATAGTCTTTTCTTTTTTGTATTGTTGCTTTGGTTGTTTGATGCGAAGTTGGTTCAATCTGTATTATGAGAACGAAGTAATGTACTGAGTGCGAGGGTATGTGGGCTGAATGATGTCTAAACCATTTATCCGGCGGGGTGATATGCTGTTTTGTTCCCATGGTTATAGGTAACTTCTTCGTTTACTTGCCTCCACCACCGCCTCCTACTACAACCACCTCATCATCATCCAACACAAACGCATCCTCCTCCTGATGCTGCTGCGACTGTTGTTTCTGCAGCGTCGCACCAGATGGCAGACTATGATTCCAAGGCAACTCTTCCTCTCCACCACCACCACCGCCTCTAATACCCCGTCGATCTCTAAACGGGTTATCAACCTCATCATCCTCCAGAGACGGGTCCAAAGTCCCACCAGTCATCCTCAATCCCAACCCCCCGGCAATCCCATGGTCTCCTTGACGACGAGCATGTTTTTCTTCCCGCCGACGCTGCCTCTCAAGCGCACGCTCCTTCTTCTTTACAGCATTCGCCAGCTCAGTGTCCGCAAGCTCCTTGGCGGCCCGGCGGGCCTTGGATTTCATCTGTCGCAGCTTCATGAAATGGTAGAACCCGATACCCGTTAATGTGACAAAGAGACCCATGATGTTGACTAGCGTCAAGTGGTCGTGGAATACCAACGACGATATCACAATCGTCACTACCTCCTATTATTATTTTTTAGAAAACAACGGACATAATAAAATAAAAAATAAAAAAACATGTTAGCATGTGTATCGAGAACTCTTTATGGCCAAATTCAAACCGTGTGTAAATTCCCATGTTTTTTCTTGAGCAAAAAAAAAAAAAATGAGTATTGTTTGTTTTTACCTTGACGATACCCAGGACGGACAAGGTGACAACACTAGTCCGCGCAATAAGATTAAACTCGGCAAGGACCATCATAAACGCAAAGACACCACCCAAGAACAACAACCCCAACGTCCCCATCGCAGATCCTGCAGTCGCAAAGAACGGCGATCCAAAGATCGTCCCGAACCCTTCAAAGATCCCTGCGACAATACAGAGACAGACGCCCATGATGGGTGATAGGAAAAAGATGGTCGAGATTGGGTTGGCGAGACTTCCGGATTTGGTGTCGGTGCGTTCTAGCAGCATCTGGGTCAATGACCAGCGCAGACCTCCTAGTACCGCTGCCGCCATGACTTGGATGAACCTATTTAAATGTAGTGGCGTTTTGAACAATAGGACAGATGAGCTAGAGGCTAAACGGAGAAAAAAAAACATTGTTACCACTAACACTGCAAAGCCGACAAAAAAAGAATAGACCTGCGTACCCGATAAGGACAAAGTCGACTTCGGACATGACCATCATGAACAGGCCCACACAAATCACGCCAATGACTCCTGCCAATGTCCAAGTAGGCCTTTCCAGCCTGAACAAGAAGGCAAACAAAAGCACAAACGCCAACGACGACGACTTGCACATGGCTAAAAAAGACGAATAGATACACAGGTGTTAGTCACTTGAGTTCCATTTTTGACTTTCGAAGCAGGTCGATCCGACAGAGGTGATAGATGCGGCGACTTACTGTAGAAGGCGAGGGTAATGGTCTTCAGACTGCTGTTACTCAGTCCAATGTCCAATCCCGATGCAACAGCGCAGGGCACGATCTTGGTTCTATCAGATATATAAGCGTGCGTTTTGGTTTCAGTATGAGTATCAACCCTGGATGAATGATCGGCATTGCTCACCAGGAAGTAAAATATGAAAACAAAACTCGACAATGGCCTACTTACCCAAAGTCCTTGGGAGAGGGAGAAACCTTTGGTCGCATGGCAGGCAAGAGGAAGAGCGTGAGGGACGAGAGGGCAAACTGAGCAACCATGTGAAGACTGGTCGTGAAGAGCGGGAACTGGAAGTTGTGGTGTTGTGGCGAGAACAGCCACTTGTTGTAAAAAGAAAGGGCCGTCGAACAAGAGTACCTATGAAATGTGCACAGACCAGTTTAGTCATCTTCCTGTTAATCAACTCTCCATGACCTACGCATAAAACGTTCAGTACACAATGAGATCGCGTCGTGTTTGTGTGTGTGCCTTACCATGCAAAGACATAAAAGGCGTTCCAGGCCATCTGCACGCGGGCTTGTTTCTTGGCAATTGCCGCTACTTGCTCTGCCCGGATCGCGCCAAGACCCAAAATAGGCGTGTCGCCTCCATCTCCTGCTACAGCCGATCCTGCTCCTGCTCTACCGTCTCTCCTACGCTTCTTCTTGCTACCTCTACTTTTCCGCTTGCCAGACCTTCCAACCCTACCCGTTTCATCCGCTTCATCATCATCATCTCCTTCGTACTCTTCGTGGATATCTCCGTCTTCCTTCCTCTGACGGTGACGACGACGATGTTTTCGACGGCCACGACTGTTGACGGTCGACAGGGGCAGCGTATCATATTCATCCTTCTGCTGGCCATGTCCAAACCCAAATGCCCTCCCGTCTCCATGGGGTTCCAGATCCAGTCCAATCATGGTTCCTGTACCCGTCTCTCCAACACGCATACCCATCCCCATCCCACCCATCTTGGTATTGTTGGACGAAAGGAGGAGTTGCTGGGTGTCTTCTTGTTCATCGTCGTCGTCTCCGTCCTCTGGTTCGCGGTACGAGGTGTCTGCCAATGCTCCTGCTGCTCTCTTCTTCTTGAGGGATCCATGACCACCATCGCCATCGTCAGAATCGGTACCAAACCCGTCGTCACCGCTGCTGCTGGAGGTATAGTCACTCAGACTATCACCGTAATCGTCCTCCTCAGTGTCAGACTCGAACGAGTCGTTATCAGCCTCTCCTCTCGCATGCCCTCGTCCTCGTCTTTCCGGCTCTCCTGACACATCAGCAAACGGGTTCTTGGCGTTGTTGTTGTTGCTGTTATTGGCAACCACCGGTGGGACAGGGCTATAACTGTCAGAGGTGATGTCGATAAAGGGCTGGTGGTGTTGCTGCTGTCGGAGCTCATGCTCATGGTTGAAATGGGGCTGGAATGGGTCTTCTTCTTCGTCGGCGTTAAACGGGTTCTGGGGCCTAGATGAGAACGGGACAGCCTCACGCCCTCCTCCTCCGCCTCCTCCTCCTCTTCTTCCTCCTGGTGCGCCTGTTGTTGGTGCTGTTGCTTGTTCTGCAGTCATCGTCTGCTCCTTTGTATTGTTGTATGCTGGTTAATGGTATGTAATGAATGAGTGAATGAATGAATGAATGAATGAATGAATGAATGAATGAATGAATGAATGAATGAAGAAAAAGGGGGGCGAGTGTAATAAAAGTACAGGTGATATTACAAAAGGAAGAAAGGAAGAACAATAAAGCGAAGAGTGTATGTGAAGAAGAGAAAGAGTTGGGGTATGGAATGGATGCAGAAGAAGCATCCAAACCAGAAATAACAAAGGAAAAAAAAAGAGAGTTCAATACTCCTCCCCCGCGAGAGAGGGTGAGAAAAGATGAAAAGAAACGGACAAAAGAACAAAAAACAAATGTGGTCTCCGATCCATGCGTGGTGGAGTAGACAGGGCACCTGCATGCCCTTTCTCTTTTTTAGTGTTCGCCAGGAGGCCAATTGAACTCCAATTTGAGCCCACGCCTCGTCCTAATTTCACTTTTGTTTCCCGTCGATCTCCCACGACATGACACGACACACTACGAACACACACGACATCCTTACCCAGGAACAACATGAAAGGGCAATATAAAAGAGACGCTGATCCGCTCGATCTACCACTATGCCGGTGTTCCGTATCTTCTTTGTTGATTAACAATGAAACTTTGGACACGCAAAGTTGGCAGATCAAAAGAATAAAAGGAGAAAGAAAACGAACTCACCCTCGACGATTTCAAACAACATCCACAGGCCATTCCTTCCAGGGAACAATTGATGTGATTTCCGTACATTAGGAGAGTTTTTTTAACCAAATTATATGTGCAAGGACTAACTGAGATCGAGATCAAAGATATCGGCTGCATCCTCATCATCAGGCTCCTGTTGCTGCTGTTGCTGCTGTTGCTGTTGCTGTTGCTGTTGCTGTTGCTGTTGCTGTTGCTGGTCCTGCCTTTCCTTGTTCCGTCCATAGAACGACAACCCCTCATCCTCCGAACTCGATCCCGAATCATCATCATCCTCGTCCATCAATCCATGCGGCGGCATCATACCCATATGACCATTCATAAGACCACCAACTCCTGCTCCTATTCCTCCATCTCCGCCAACTCCTACTCCTACTCCCGAAACAATACCACCCGCAGGTGTAACACCCTCCCCACTTTCTCCGGGGACGGCAAGGGGTTGTATTGGCTGACCGGCCATTCCGGGCATGACCCCTCCATCGAGCGAGACCAGTGCTGCTGCAGGGACGTGTTGTTGGTTCAGAATACCGGCACGCATGCTGACCTCCCGAGGATAAGGTGGTTCAAAGGGTTGGTTGGGATCTGCTGGGTTAAAGTTGGGCGGTGCCGACGTGTAGTTCCCGAGTCTGTTTGCGTACGCCACAATCTCGCTCACTGGAATTTCGGCTACATGTATTTTGAAGACGTGAAAAGGAAATATAATAACCATGTAATTAATGGACGTGAAACCTTTTGCGGCAATGCGACGCTGGCAAATATTGGGCATTCTTCCCCAGTAGATCTCTTTTGAGCCGTGCGACAAGTAATGTTGTTACCTAGGCGTGCGTCCGTGGAAGCGGCCATCTTTTCGTCGTGGTTCTCAAGACTAGCCTCCAAGGTCTCCTTGGCCATCCTCAGCGTCCGGATCACTTCCATGATCGCCTTGTCGACACCTTCAATCTCCTTCCGCACCTGCAAGATCTTGCGTTGTTGAATCTGATGTTGCTCGACTACAATGCATCATCAATGTAGATAAAAAGGGCAAGAAAAAAAAAAGGTGTATAGTTTTTGTTAGACGTGTTTAGTCGGACACATATCCATTTCCAGTCTCCTGCCTCCACGCGCCTTTCCTTTATTGTTATCCTGGCGAGCCAAAATAACAATAGTAACAAGAAGAGAGCTTACTCTTGTCGACGTTGCCCATGAGGGTGTTGTCGAGTTGGACGATCTGCTTCATCATGTCATTAGGCGACTCGGGAGGTGTCTTCCCGTCGGCAAGAATGTCGAACGACGTGAACAGTCCTTGCGTCAGACGCGAGTACTCTGTGATCTGGTCCCGCACCTGTTGCCGGAGCGATTGCTGTGATGTCATTTATGATGGGACGTTGTTCTTTGTTCGAATGGAAGGCTCGTGTCGATTTGTGTTGTGCTGTAATCCTGATCGTGAAGTCTGACTTGTCGTAGCTGTCGCGGGCGAAATGGAAGGCGAAATGGAAAAGAGTGGTTGAGAGAGAAAAGAGGAGAGATGTGTCAACCACTAAAACAGCGAACGCACTGAAATATTATTTCCTTCAGACAACCCGCGCCACCAAAGATCGCGAAATCAGGAACAAGCCTGCCCGCCAGTCCGTCACTCACCAAGTATCAACGGTCTAAGAGTCAACAATTGAATCAAAGTTCTCGTTCTCTCCCAAACCAGGAAGACCATAGCAACAACAATTGCAAGAACCATAGAAACAAGGGGTTTGTTGAGACAAAAACTGTTCAAGTTTTTAGTATTAAAAGAATGGGCAAGAATATCTACAACAAATCTAAGGAAATGCAAACGAATACAAAAAAAAAAGCAGTGGAAAAGAGAGAACGGATAATCTAAAATTCTATGAAGGGGACCTTAGACTGTGAAAATGAGGGAGTGGAGTGGGATGGGGGGGATAATTAAAAAGAGAGGGGAACGGGTTCTTTAAAAGTCCTCCTCGGAATCGGAGACCTCCTCACCACGCTTCTTGGCAGCAGCGCGACGCTTCTGCTTGTCCTTGATCTCCTTGCGGGACAACTTGCGGGTAGACTTGACCTTCTCGACGTTACCGAAGGCATCGATCTTGACCTCCTCCTCCTTCATGACGATCTTCTCCAAGTTCTTCTGGGTGTAGTTGTTACCGGTGATCGACAAGACACCAGCGACGACAGACCACTTCTCAACAGTGACAGTGTCAGTGAACTCGCGGTTGTGGGAAATAATGACAACTCCACCACCGAAGTCCTTGATGGCCAAAGACAAGGCACCGAGGGAGTCACGATCCAAGTAGTTGGTGGGCTCGTCCAAGACCAACAAATGGGGGTTGAGCCACATGGCGGCGGCAAGGACGACCTTGACCTTCTGTCCTCCGGAAAGACCCTTGATGCGGGAGTGGGTAGCGAACTCAGCATCGAGTCCGAGATCAGACAAGTGCTTCTCGACCTCAACGGCGGTCAAGGAGCGGGTCCAGGCACCAGCCTTGGCAGCCTCCTTGTCGTCGAAGGCCTGAAGGACCTTCTCGAAACCCCACTCCTCGAGCTTCTCACGGGCAATCCAGGCGTTGTCCTCGTACGAGCGGCCAACGAACTGAACCTCGTACTCGAAAGAGCGCTTGGCCTTGCGACGTCCGTAAAGGTCCTCGATCTGGACCTTCTCGATCTTCTCGTTAATCTCCCACTGGATGAACTTCTTCATCTGGGCCTCCTCCTCGGGCGAGATCTTGCGGGTGGCCTTGTTGACCATCTCGCGATCCTCACCGTACTGGTAACGCCAGCGGATGTACTCGTTGGGGGTCTTCTCCAAGTGCTGCTCGACGTGGTGGAAGGCGTGCTGGGCGACGTAGGCGACACGGACGTTGGGGTGCTTGGTGACGACACCATCGGTGGGGGCAGTCTCACCGGTCAAGACCTTGATGAGGGTCGACTTTCCGGCTCCGTTGGGGCCAATGACGGCAACACGGGAGTTCAAGGAGACCTGGCAAGACATGTTCATGATGGTCAACTTGGTGGCACCGGGGTAGGCGAAATCAATGTTCTGGAGCTTGACGAGGGCCTTATCCTTGGACTTGACACCATCCAAGAAACCGGGCTCGGGGAGCTTGAAGGCAATGGGAGAGGCAGACAACTCGTAGTAAGAGCGACCGGCGGGGTACTGCTCGACGAACTTGGACAAGTTACCCTTGTACTTCTTGAGCTTGCGGGTCTCGTAGTGGATAATACCAGTGCAGACGGTGTCGAGGAAACCAGAGTCGTGGGAGACAATCATGGAGGTGACGTTGGTGAGCGAGTTGAGGTAGTTCTGCAACCAGGCGACGTTGGCAACATCCAAATGGTTGGTAGGCTCGTCCAACAACAAGATATCGGCGTTCATCAACATGGCACGGGCCAACTCGAGCTTCATCTTCCAACCACCGGAAAGGGAACCGACGGCCTGATCCTGCTTCTCCTGGTCGAAACCGACAGACAAGAGCATCTCAATGACGGCCTCGCGGTCGAGGTTCTTGATGTTCTCATCGTTGAAGATGAACTGGACAACGGGGAGGTCGGCATCCTCAGCCTGCAAGTTGTGCTCGACGAAGACGGTCTTGAGCTCATCGGGCGAGGGGAAGCCCTCGAGCTGACCGGAAGCGATGGCGCGCATGAGGGTCGACTTTCCGACACCGTTGGGTCCGCAAAGACCGTAACGCTGACCACGACGGAGGTTGAGGCGGGTCTTGTTCAAGAGAATCATACCACCGTAGGCGAGGGAGAACTCGCAGTCGCAGAGAAGCTCACCCTCCTCAACATCCTCAACAGCGGCGTTGGCGAGAGCGTTCTTGGCATCGAAATCGATGTAGAAGGCGTTGAGCTCGTTGGCGAGAGCAGCGACCTCGGCATCGGAACCGACAACGGTGAGGTAAGGGACGACGGAAGAGACCCAGGCGTCCTTCTCAAAGTTGCGGGAGGCAATCAACTCGGCGCAGAGGGTGGCAACGTAACCAACGAGGGAGGCAGAGAAGGCATCCTCCTTGATGAAGGTGGCCTTAGCCTTGAGGACCTCGAGGACCTCGGTGGCAGTGACGGTGTAGGCAATGATGACAACCTGGTCCTTAGAACCGGGCTCACCACCACCGACACGGACCAAGGTGGAACGGGCACGCTCGGCGACGGAACGGAGCTCGGGGGAGGCACCGATCTCGATCATGCGGTCCAAACCGGGCAAAAGCTTGGGCAAGAACTGCTGGGCGTGAGCGGGGTTCTCGACGAGCTTGCACATGTTGTCGATAATGACGGCAGTCTGACGCTGGATAGAGGGGGTACGCTCAGCGAGACCACGGACAAGAAGAGGGCACATGATGGCAAGGGTGGGCTCCTCGACGGTGGTAACGAAGGTGGTGGCGGCGAGCTGGTGAATGCACTCGGCGGCCTCCTCGGGGCGGTTGATGCATCCAACGAGGTAGGGGATGGAGGAGATCAAATCGGGGTTACCAACGACGTTGAAGCAGTCGGTGATGGTCTTGGTGGCCTGGTCACGGACCTGTTTGTTTTCGTAAGATATGGCGGAGTAGTGGACGTGATTAGTGTTCTGTTCTGTGTCATGCCAGTCTGTCTGTCTGTCTGTCTGTCTGTCTGTCAGGATCACGTGTATTTTTGTTTGTGTTTGTTTTTGACCTCAGTCCTTTGTCGGTCTTTCTTTTTTTTTCTTTTGCATTCTCTGGGGTTCCTTTTGGGTGGTGCATGTTGAGCTGCTGTTGTATTCCTGTTGGCTCAGCTCTCCTTGATTTTTTTATGTGTCTGTGTCCTGCAGTTGTGTCGTCGTACTGCTCCTGCTGTCGGTGGTTGCTTGCTGCGTTGTTGTTGCTGTTGCAAGGGCTGGTTGTATGTCTCTCAAAAATGCATGCCAGTTCAGCACAGACAGTGGCACAAAGAAAAAAAATATTTTCTTGTGTTTTACATACCTCGGGCTTGGAGTCCCACATGGTCTCAGAGACAATGGGGATAATGTCAGAGAGAGCAGCAGAGATTTGCTATTGTGTTATCATTTTCCAATGAGAAACAAGAGAAACAAGAGTGTGAGTAAGCGAGTCGCTGGAAGGAAACGTTTGTTTCTCGCACTGTGGGCGTGTGTCCCTGAACCAACAACAATAAGGCGCAGTGTTAATATCTCATTCTGTACCTGAGGGGCAGAGAAGGTCAAGCCGGACAAGATATCCAAAGCACCGATCTTGGAGTGCCTGTTGTACAACAATACAAAAAGGGGAGAAGAGAACAAATCATGGATCGTATTAGTCAAACGTGTGCCTTTGCCGCATATGCTTATCGCACATCAAGAAATAAAAAAGGAGAAAAACAACAAGCGGAGTGAGAATACTAACCACTTGGACTCCTTGATGGCGTGGAAGATGACGGGCAACAAGAGACGGACGGCGTAGCGGGTAGGGAGGGACATGATGGCCTTGGAGGCGACCGAGGCAGCCTCACGGACAACGACCATCTTGTCAGAGTAGAGCTCAAAGACCTTGGGCATCTGGGGGATCAAGAAGGGCTCGCCAGCCTGACCGAAAACGGTGGCAAGGGAACCGAGGGCGAGGAGGGCACCCTCACGGTGGGGGACCGACTTCTTGTTCTCAAGGAGGGGGGTAAGGGAGTCGATGATGGCGACGGACTTGACGAGACCCTCGGTCTTGGCGAAGGCAGCCAAGGCATCGGCGGCGACCTGGCGCTGCTCGGTGTTCTCGGCCTTGATGATGGCGTCGATAAGAGGGGCAGACATATTGTTGGAAGAGGGGTATTACCAAAGGGGAGAGAGGAAGAGAGGGTGAAGGGGTGGTGGTTTCAGAAAGGAATGGAAGTGTGCGGGAGTGAGTGGATGAGGTGGTAATGCCTGAGCCAACAAGTTCTGATGAGAGGGGAGGGGGGGGTGAAGGAGGTCGGAAGAAGAGGAACGAACCAACGGCTCAGGGGCGCCGATGCTTTTTGTATCGAAAAAAAAAAATAAAAAAATTTTCTCAGCGAGTACCTGGGTGGCTTAGCTTCGTCGTTGTTGGGACTATCTTTTGTGATGGGCGACTACTCTAATTCCTTCGTTGAGCTGCAACAGAGAGCAAATATAGAAATCGCCTTCAAAAGAAAGGACCAACCACAACCCGCAGACAGAGAGACGCTGATGAAGTCAACATACATCAAATAATCACTCACTCATGACAAAGTGGCCACAAGGCAAACAGGCCACTCCCTCTGTCTTTCGTCAGGCACATACCCTCCTCCTCGCTAAAAAAAAAAATATGGGCCACGCGAAATCAGGATATCAGAAATGAGGAGGTCAAAGCGTTCAGGGTGGACCAATGGGATGAGGGCATCCTATTGATACAAATGACGATTTGAACGGAATCACACTCAACACTCATACCAACGGGCCACGTTTTTTTTATTATCATTTGTTGTCTCTCTCTCTCTTTGTTTATCCATCGTCCTATCTCCATTATCCCGCAACAAAGAGAGAGAAAAATAGGGGCTAAGGGTCATGGTTCGTCATCGATGTACCTGTGTCTGTTCCCGGGATGACTCTCATTGGTCTCATCAATCGAGGAACGGTACGGAAAAAAGGAGCAGATAGAAAAAAAGGACGACTTGTTGAAGAAAAAAAAATGAGTGCTAACATACTCAATGTACTCCCTCCGCAGTACCTCCTTCCTTCACCTTATGGTCATCTTCGGAATTAGAACTTGGAAGTTGCTGCTACGGGCTGGTGAAAAACCTGGGCAATGAACGGTCATTGGAAGCACAAAGAACTACACATCACATCACAATAAGACCGCTGGGCAAAGTCATCCTCCAGTCGATTTGCAAGAAAATGAAAAAAAAAAGGTTTTGGTTTCAAAAAAAAAAACATCTTTGAACCCATGTGTATATGTTGTACGAGTGAGCGAGCGAGTGGCCCATGCCCATTCCTGACCCCGCTCGCTCCAATACCAATACTTGTCAGTTCTTTTTTGGCCGTTGTTCCAACCAGAGCAAAACAAAGAAATAAAAACGGGAGAAACCCCCTTCTCGCTCCCCCCAACTCCCTCTTTCCCCTTTGAACCTCCGAAATCAACCCGAGGGTCCGAGGGTCCGAAGTTTTTGTGTTTAGTAATTATGTTGCTTTGTTTTATTCATAGCAAGGGCAAAAAGTTTTTTTCTTGGGAGAAGGAAACAAAAAACCTGCAACGAAGAGGCTGCTGCTGGTCTCTTTGAACAGAAGAAATCGAAGGTAGAAAGAAGAATTAAAGTAGAAAAGAAAAGTGTTGAGATTATAGTGTGTTGGTGTTGGTTCTTTGAGGTGTGTTTTTTTGAATCCAAAAAAAGTGAACATGCCTTCGCCTTTTTTTCATGTGTGTAGGTGGGGTGAGAGAAAAGTATGTCGTGGAATGCCGAATGATGTAGACAATGCAAAAAAAAGAGAGCTCATCTTAGACGACGACGAGGTGCATCAGGGACTTGAGTCGGGTCAGGTTGACCAACCAGGCAGGCAGGTACCTCTCGCCCTCCAAGTCAACATCGCGAATCTCGGGCGTCTCGAAAGAACCTGCATCCTCGAGCGAGATGGTATCCAACATCAGCGTGTCGTTCTTCTCGTTCGCCGCCACCCGCATCGCAATCGCCTTGATCAGATCCGGGCTCACGGGCACCTCGTAATCGGCAATCTGGTAGTTCTGGACAAGCTTCTGCACCTGCGTCGGCGTCAACATCCAGCAGACATCATAGATGATCTCGATGTCGTTGTGCGACGCCTTCTTGAGCTGCAACAGCTTGGTCGCCTGCATCAGATGCTCCAACTGCAGCGTGCCCTCCGGCAACTCGTGACCCTTGCACCACTCCTCAATCCGTGTAATGTTATACTGGATCTGCATAGCTCGCTTCCAGGTACAGAAGTTGCGGCGCATCAACAGGTCGTTAAAACCAGTGACACCTACCATCTTGAGGAGCTCCGTCATGACTTGGCGGACGACCGAATGCTCGACATAGTAGCAGCTCATCGCCTTCCAGATCTTGTTGAACAACAACAACAGGTCATCCATGCTGAAGGTCGGGCCAGATCCAATCAGCTTGTTGAAGAACCGGCCAGAGTCGTTGGTGATGAATCCGGGGAGGGCCTGGCTCTCGATGATCGCGGGGATGATCATCTTGTTGAGCTGCTTCTTGAGCGACTTCATCCAGACGTGGAAGATGTTGTACTCGAGGCACTCAAGCTCGTACTTGACCGTCGACACCAGCTGCTCATACTCGTTCCACAGCTGCTCGTTACCCATGGCAGCGTACTCTTCCCGAGTAATCTCCTGCTCGCTGATGCAAATCATTGACAACAGCTCATGGACGTTCGACAACCAGTACGCACAGGGGATAATCGTTTCGTCGCCAGAGATGGCCATCGACTGCTGCTGGATTGCCTGCATGACGTTGATCATCAATCGCTCGGACTCCTTGACGTAGCCGTACCTCCACATCTGGGTCGTCAGCATGCCAATGAGATGGGCCGGGAACATGACCTCCTTGCCCATAGGAAGGTTCGACAGGCTGGGCGAGGGGATCTTGATGTTCTTGATCAGACCCTGCAACACCTCCTCCTGCAAGCCTTCCTCGTCGTCCAAGATGCGCATAATCTCAACCTCGGGTTGTTCTACTAGACTATGGATACTTGGGCGGGCTCGAGCGACACGACGGGCCCAATCATCATTCGACATGGTCTTGTTGTTACGACTGTGGTTGTCGAGGTTGTCAAAGACGCTGTTGGTGGTCTTTTGGGGCTTGAAGATGGCGATATTCTCGAGAGCGGCAATGTCGGGCGTGCTGTTGCTGCGGTTGCGATTGGCCTTGGGAGCAGAGGCCTTGATGTTGTGGTGAGGGATAGGGACAGAGGGAGGCAGGGCAACGACCTTGTGCTGCGACGTGTCCTTGGTGGCGTTATTATTGCCAAAGGAGTAGGCGCTCTCGTACTTGTCGAAGGTGTGGTTATTAATGGCGTTGACGCTGTACGTAGGCGGCAAGGTGGATGAGTTGCTGGTGGGGGGCGACAAGGCCTTGCCAGTGACAGGGAAGCTGGAAGTGTCCCTTCCGGTGGCCTTCGACAGCTGTGCGAGCTGCTCCTTGACGTACTGGTTCTCACGTCGGAGGGCTATCACCGTTTCCGAGTCCTCGGGCTTGACCTTGGCCGCGGCGGCAAGCTTGTGGATCTCCTCTTTGCTCTTGGCCAACGAGTCCGTCAGTTTGTGGATCTCCTGGTCGAGCGATCGGACCTTCTCGATCGCCTCGTTATATTTGGATTGTAATTCGACATTCGCTGCTTTCAAAGTCTCGAACTCGACCTTGGGTACAGTCGGGTTCTCGGCAGCATGTGCAATCTCCTTCGACTTGGATTGTTGTGATGATTCGAATCGTTCTCTCCATAATCGGACTTGGCTTTCGAGGCTCGCCACTTGGGAGTCGAAAGATTTGTTCTGCTGATGCGCCAAGTCCAAAGCTCGCGTCAGCTCCACTACTTTTCCCTCCAAGCGGTAAGAGACCTCCTTGAGGTGGTTCACAGAACGGGCCTCGGCCTTGAGGGTAGCCAGCTCCTTGTGAGCCTTGTTGCGGCGGATACAGGATTGAATGAGCAAGATGGACTTGAGCTCCTTCTTGAAATGGCGACGGGCATGGACACCACGCCAGATCTGCTGGATTTTGGTGGCTCCGTTGGTCTCGCGCATGCTCTGGAAGGCAAGGCGGGCCTGCTTGGCACGGACCGCGCACTGGATACGGAGGACGTGGTTGCGGGCATCGACGTACTTCTTGCGCTGGACATAACCACGCATGAGGGTCTGGAGAAGAACTGCAGAGCGATCCTCGCGAATCACGCGGGCAGCCTTCTCGGCGATAAGCTTGCGGGTGAGGCACTGTAGCTTGATCGCGGCACGGCGGACAATCTGGTAGCGCTTCTGGCAGATGAAACGACGCATGTTCTTTTGGATCAAGGTCGCGTACATGTTCAGCTTGCTGGTGCGGAGGTTCTCCATGTAGGCGAGCAGACCGGCACGGAAGAAGATCTTGGTCAGACCGACTTGGTACTTGTCTGGCTCGGTAATGGCTGCCTCAAGAATGGCAGAGCACATTTTTGGGGTATCGAAGCCCCACTGGGACGAGTTGACCAGCATGTAGTAGCGCTCGACAAACTCGGGGAAGGGCCAGCGGGATGGGTAACCGGCACAACTGATGCGAATCGTCTCCAAAACACCGCAGGCACGCAGCTGACCGAGGACCATGGGGGCGTCAAAGACCCAAGGTTGCTTAGCCTCGTTGGGCTTGAGACAGCGGATATAGTGGACATTGGTCGAGTTGATGGTGTCCATGAGCTGGATCAGAGATCCTTTAAAGATGGATCCAAGCGTGGGCTTCCTGTTGATCACACTCTTGCGCTTGTCCTCGCTCAACTATGGTTTGTCATACCAACAATGTAAATGTAAGCGCATTAGTAAGTGGACGATTAGAAATGGAGAAATAAAACCATGAGAAAAAACTCTTACACTGCCGCCAGCTCCAAGGGTTGCGCTGGTCATCAAGACTTCCTCCAGGAACTCATTGTCAGAGTTCTTGATCAAGTTCAGCAACTCATCAGGCAGGGTATCACGGTTCTTTTCCAAGAATCCCTCGCACTCGTACGTGACATCGTGGGCATAATGGGAGATGGTGAAGGCCGAGTTGGAGAAACGAGGCTTTGTGAACCACTTCTTGTGCTTCTCGGTGCCGAGCTGAGTGAATAGCTTGTTGCACCATCCTTGATCGGAGCCAGAGGGCATGCGAGCCTCCTCGTCAAGAAGGGAAAGGACACCCAAGCGACCTTCGATCATCTCGATACAGGGCTGGTTGTCGCTAAAATCGATGAATTTCCAGTCAATCTTCTCGCGGACGTACTCCTCCTGCTCCAGCTTGAAGACGTGCTGGTTGAACTCTTGCTGCAGCTTCTCGTTGGCGTAGTTGATACAGAACTGTTCGAACGAGTTCTTCTTGAAATGCTCGAAACCGTAGATATCGAGGACACCGATGAAGGAGTGAATCTTGCTGGCAATGGCTTCGCTGGAGAGACTGGCGTTGATGTTGTTGACGAGCCAGTCGAAGAGGGAGGAGTAGATGTACTTGGCCACAGAGTCACGCACCCCCAAACTCTGGTCGGGCTTGAGGTTCGAGACGATCTTTTCCGAACGGGTTGTGATCTGCTTCTTGATGAGCCACTTCTTGAACTCTGACGCGGGAACACCGAGCACCTTGGAGGCAATGATCAACGAGGGGTCGTCGTCAGAGATGACAGAGTCCATCCGTCCGGTGATTTGAATATTTCCGATGTGCAAGAGTGCTGCCAGGAGTCGGAAGATGTACCACTGAACCTGGACAGAGATACCGATGGTCGAAAGGGAGCGCTGGGTGATCTCGAACTCAGCTGCATCGTCGACACCGTTGATGGTCTGGACACCACCTTGCTTGAGGTAGTTGAACTGCTGGATGGACTGTAGGTCGAGCTCCTTCTTTTCTGACGGTGGGGCACCGGCGACGAGTTGGTAAAAGATGTGGTAGTTACGCTCCAGCTCAGGCTGGTATACAAGGCGAGATCGCTCCAGGAGGTATGTCCTAATCTTTGCACCGATAATGTTGCGTTCCTTGTCGAACTGGATTTCTGTAAACTTTCCGAAGCGGGATGAGTTGTCGTTACGGGTCGTTTTAGCGTTACCGAAGGCTTCCATGATGGGGTTGGTGGCGAGAATCTGCTCCTCTGTTTCGCTCATGCCGGCCTTGGCAGAACTATCGCTTGGTCCGCCGTCGTCTGCGGTGGCGAAATACCGCATGATGAACTTTGCACTGACGGTTTTACCGGCACCAGACTCTCCGGAGACGACGATGGTCTGGTTCTTTTCCTCACGGATCATGCAGCGGTAGGCATCTTCGGCGATGGCGAAGAGATGTGGCTCGAGTTCACCACGTCTCCGGCCTGAGTAGGCCTGAATGATGTCTTGGCTGTAGAGGTTGACGCGGGCGAAGGGGTTGGCGGCGATGAGGACGATTCCAGAGTAGGTGTAGATGTTGCAGTGGGAGTAACGCGTCTTGATATTGCTGAGGACTATATTTGTTGATGAGAAGGGCGGAGTTCAGAGCAGCGAGTACAGAAGTGATGGTTTCAGTAAACGTGAGTAACCGATTGTTTCACCTTATTTCTCCCCTCTCACCCAGTTGATCAATTGTGGGCGTTTGTTTTACCTGCGGGCTCGTTGAGGTAGGAGAGGTTGGTGAGATCCTCGGTGCCCTCGAGGAGAGGCGGGTTGCGCATCGGAGGCAGGTTGCTATCGTTGGTCTCCTTGATCTTGGCCAACGTCGATGAAAATACATGGTCCTAAGTACGCGTTCAAATCATGCAAGCAACCACGTTTTTTGTTGTTAACACACCATTGTTGATAAAAAGTGCTCATCGCCACTTCTCTCTTCTCTTTCAAAACAACCCAAATAAAACAACCACAAGTGTGTTAACCCGATTGAAGAAGGTGCTCATCGCCACTACTCTTTTTCTTTCACGAGTCACCTGTGTGCACCAGGAAAAGGTGAACAGTGGCTAGACCTTTTGACACGTTTTCACCGCGGACGACGAAACGAACGGAATTGATTTTGTTATTGCACAATCGGGTGCTGATGTGGTTGCTCGTCTTGTTTTCTTTTCTTTTGTGGTCTTGCACACAACACCAAAAGAGGAGGATGCAGATAGGAGCATCGCCCAAAACAAAGATGAAAGAGGAGAGAAACATACCTTTCCGTGTTCGTCGACAAAAGTCAAGGTGACTTTCCCATCGGCAGCAACATCTTTTGTCGATAGCGTCGCACTGATCCAGCCTTCCTTCTCATCTATGAACCAGCACTGTGTGCCTTTGATATATGTATCCAGTGACATGACTTAAGTATACAAAAAGAAGAAGAGAATAAGGAGTGGGGGGAAAGGTGTAAAAATAGTGAGAAAAAGGGTAGAGGGGTGAAATATGTAATGGTATATAACAAGAAGGTAAAAAAAGAAAGAGAGATGTGAAAGGGTATTTTGAGTCTGCCTTTTTCTTCACTTGAGCCACAAGAACTCGCAAGGGGGGAGGAGACAAGCGAAAGAGTGTGAGTGAGGGGTATGAGGAAGGGGTGAGGAGAAAGAAAGAAGGAAGGAAGGACGTGAGGTGCTGTCTATCTCCTGGTTAACGATTCGGAGAGAATAAAAGGGCCACGCTTGGTTGTTGTTGTTGTTGCTGTTGTCAGCGATAAACGAGGGCTGGTTCGTTCGGGTGAGGGCGCAGCTGGATGGTGCGTGTGTGGAAAGAGTCTGCCCTGTGGGGACCCAGCTGGGTGGGGGTGTTGTTGCGCGGGAAAAAAGTTTGTTCGATGGCAACAAGTGGCTGCAGGCTGTTGGTGGAGGCAACGACAGAGTGATATGAATTGAGATGACCAGCAGCAGTAGTGAGGCAGGCGGACAGAATTGGTGCTGGGAAGAAGGACGAAACGTGAGCGATACTATGCGTAGGACACACACACACAAAAGAATAAGAATAAGGATAAGAATAAGAGAGTTGACAAGGGGAGGGGAAGGAGGAGGGGGGAGGAGGGGAGGAGGAGAGGAGGATGAGGGTCGGTGGAGAAGGGGAGAGAGAAAAGAAGAAGAGAAAGAGAGAAAGAGAGAAAAAGAAAAAGAAAAAAAAAACAGGAGAGAGGAGATATAAAAAAAAGAGAAGGCGATGAAATAGGCCATCAGGGGGAACGAGACGAGTGGTGGTAGGGGCAGGGACGTACGACTAAATGTGTGTACTTATTCTGGCTCTCTTGCTTTATTCACAGCATAACAATAGGCCTCAAAAGGGTAAGACACGCACACGCAAATTCAGGCAGATGCATACTCGTACAGAAAAGGCAGGATACTCAGAGATGGACAGTGGAGTGGAGCATCCAGCCATTACTATCCAGTATGTTGTCTGAATTCATCATCATCAGTTCCTCAATATTCCTACGGACGATTGACCAAAGAATGGACCCGAGGACGGTCGACTCTTGGAGAAGTCAAAGGGCAAGGGCAAAAGAATGACAATGGAGCATGATGTTAGGGTGTGTAGACAGCATATAAACAAGGATGCGATGGAACCCCCTTCTCCTTCTTACTTTTTCTTGCTGCGAGGGGACATGCTGGCGAAGATCGTACCCTTAGCCAAAACCACTTCCCATTTCTCACCTTCTCTCTTGCTGTCTCTTGTCTCTGTTGCGTCACTTCGGTATCGATCTATCGGGGGTGGGGGCCACCATCCTCACGCCAACTCTCTCCCTTGGGCTCTTGCCTGCTGTGTCAGTGTAGGTGACGAGATATACCTTTCGCTTTCGTATTGTTCATTCGGTGTGTCGACGTAAATGTGGGTTGGGTACTTCTGCTGCACGTACACGAAAAAACCGCGCGGACACACCATACATCTCCAACAGCTCAAAAGGAGGAGCTCATGAAATACACCACATACAACATGAGGCATGGTGGGGGGTGGGCGGTGTTGAGGCTATTCATTTTTGTGTCATCGCCTGACTACACCTAACATCCTCCATTGCTCGCAATAATAAATATCCCCAGTCCATTTCCTTCTTGCTGTGGTGGCAGTGGAAGTTAAGTAGAAAGGAATACATTGGAATCGCCTGCCCATGTTACTTTTTCTTACTGCCCTTCTTATGGTCTTTATTTATGTAGGCATGACTTTCACACCTCTTTCCGTCGTCTTTTGACAGGCTTGGTTTTTTTTTTCTCCTTTTGACCAACACTGCCTTCCTACTCGATTTGCATATGTAGGAATCAGAATAACATGGGCGTGTCCTTTTAATCTTCCTCGCCGTCGTTAAGAACATTGCCCTCGCAATGACGCCTCGGGATATCCATCCCACCCCAAACTCACGCGTGGGGGGGGTGCTCGTTATTCCTTGACAAACTGCAACATACGAACGACGTTCGCCTCCCTAGATTTACAGGGACTCTCCAACTTACTACAACAACGATAGCCCATGCGCGCCTTTGGCTTTGTTCTTTGTTGCCGATAGGTGGTTCGCTTTGTTCCGCCTTTCAATCATTCGTTGGTTCGGGACACTCGCTTCTGCACCAGAACAGATATTCATTATCAGGATGTGCGTGTGTGCGTCTATATGCGTGTGGGCCCACATTCATAACAACGCACATACCATTCGTTGCCCCGAGCAATCGTAACAAGTCGAGGTTCTTTCCATGCCAGGGTGTGCAGGTAAACAACAAGTAATGACGACGATTGAAGTCTGGAGAAAGTTCAAAGAGAGATAATGCTGACGTGCTACGTTTATTCAAAAAAACAAGAAACGAAAGGGAGAGAGAAAGAAAGAAATGTGTATGGTGTCGGGTAGCTTAGATGTCCTTCTTGTTCTCAGACTTGACGCCCTTGAGCTTTTTCTCCATGGCAGTGTTCTCATCAGCCATGCGCAAGTACTCCTGCTGCTGCTGGCTGGCCTGCTTCTTCAAGTTCTCGAGATCGCGACGGGTCGACTCATGGCTGGCAACAATCTCAGTCAAGTCCTTGAGCTCCTTCTTCAAGTTGCTCTCTGACTCCAGAACACGCTGGTACTCCTTGCTCTGCTGGGCAGCCTATTGCATTGCAACAAAAAAGAACGTATGAGAACTCAATGTCTTGGTCATTTATATAAGCCATGTAATAGAAGGAAACACTTGATAAGCAATTTTTGGTGAATCTTACCTGCTTCTTGACAATTTCCATCTTCTCCTCACTCTTGAGCAAATCCAAGATCATGAAGAAGGTGCGGTTCAAGATCAACGACAAGAACAAGGTGAATCCAGTAAGGTACCTAATAGAATGAATGGGCATCATAGATAATGACGCTTGCTGTCAGTATATGACGACGGGATATTGTAGGAGTCTATTGAACAGGATGAAGGAAGAGGTACGTACATGTTGCGCTGGGCATAGAAACGTCTGGCGGCAACGGTGGTCTCGGTGTGGGGATGGTGGTGGGTGTTGTCATTGCTGACCTCCTCGACCTTGATGACACGGTTCAACGAGTCTAGGATATGAAAAGAAAAAGGGAGAAGGCTAGTTAATATACATCCACTGCAATCATGATGACATTTTTCTACGTCGAGACATTTTTCTACGTGGAGACATTTTTTAGTGCTAACACTTCAAAAAAACTCACCGATGAACAGGATAAACACAAAGCTGTTGTGCATGATAGAAGGAAGACAACATAACGATTTAGAATGGTCAGACAACACCCAACAAGAAAAAGATCCACCGAGGAACAAAACGCACCAAGGTTAGAAAACGCGAACAAGCACGCATTGATACAGCTTCCTGCCAAGTGCCAATGGAACAAAAAGGACTTACATGAAGACAATCTTCATGACATATTGGATGTTGGCCATGAAGGGAGACTTGGAAAGGAAGTTGAGCATCCCTCTTCTCCACTTGAATGGCAAGGGGAGCTAATGTGAGGACAAAAAGAGGACACACGACATGGTTGCGTTGCTTATTAGTATTGTTGGCTTTTTTTTTGTCTCCTATCTCTCCACTGCTTCGAAGTCTCTTTCGTTTATGAACCCCGCTTTTGTTCCTTGCGTCCTTGTCAGGAGAAAACACCTTGTCAAGGCTTTTCGTTGCCGTCGACTTACAATCAAGAAGATGAATGTGATCATCTAATGAGAGTAGAGAAACAATATAACGGCTGCGTTAGTTCACACGACGAAAATACAAAGGTAGATCGTAGTCCGTGAATGGTAGTTCCGATGAGTGTCCAGGCGTGTTATGGCTGCAGTTGTTGCCTACCTCTGTCATCAAGAGGGTGAAGACCATAGTGTAGGGGAGCGACATTCTCGGTTATGTTTCTGTCGTCGAAGATGGGGATGAAGGGGAGTTGTTGGTGGGTTGGTTGTAAAAGGAGAGGAAAAGGAAAAGCGGAAGACTCTTTTAAGGCAGGCAAAGGTGGAAAAAAGACACGACCAGAAAAATGAAAAAAAAAGCTCGTGCTTCTTGGCAAAAGTTCGCGGTGTATGTGACGTGGCAAAGCAGAGAAATTGTTTCCCCTTGCCCTTCAGAACATTAACGGACTTTTGGGCCAAGCATTGGATTAATATTGAGAGCCATGGAATTACTTTAGGATACAACAACAAAACTTTGTTGCGAACAAAAGCGAACGAACGAGAAACAACAACCACAACAATGGCAACAACAAAGACACGCGTCGCCTGACTTGGCAACTGGCTTGGCTTTCTACAATGTTGTATATTATAGTCCTAGAAGCAGCATTCGCATTCAAAGGGGCACTTTTCGGTATCGCCTCCCTTGCCAATGTTCAGATCGTGGATATCAAAGAGACGAAGTCCATCGTCTGTCCGGCGCTTGCCCTTCTTCTCCAGCTCATCGTCACTGTCTGGGCCATCCTCCCTGACACGCTTGAACTTTTGGATCTTTGCCGCTGCCGCTGCTGCTGCGGCCGCCGCTGGACGCTCATTAAACACCACAGCCTCAACCTTGGGTCCGCCCTTGGCTTTTGTTGTCACCTTCGTCGTCGTTGCCGCTGCCACTGCCTTGCTGCTTCCTTCGTTCTGACACTTTCCTGTGGACTTGCTCTTCTTCTTGGCCAGCAATTTGGCGATCGCAGCTTCTTCCGACTCGTTCTGTTCCTCCTCGTCAAACATCAATTCTGTGTCCACCTCCTCCTCGTTCTCATCGTCTTCGTCAGAGGGGCCGTCATCAAGAGATTCACCCAATGGAATGAAATCTTCTTCCACTTCGCTATCGCTCTTCTCTATCTCAGCCACCTTCTTCGTCTTCTTGTCGCCCTTGGACTTTGTGACGGTTGTATCCTTTGCCTTGCCAGCCTTATCCTGTATCGATCCCTTGGATCCTGTGCTCTTCCCTGAGGATGATGCTGCCTTTGGTGACTTTGACGACGATGCCGAGATGGTTCCTGTGCTGAAGATATCGTCGATCTCCGACGCTTTGGTAGCTAAATGAACATGCCCAGAATTGGCGTTGTTAGCTATTTTCTGTCATCGAATGTTGCTGGATATGGCAATTAAATGTTTTTTTGTGCGAGCAATTGGTTCCTAACCTGTCTTCTTGGATGTATCCTTTGCGGGAGTGGTGGGCTTGAGGGTGGTCTTTTGGATGACCTTCTTCATTGTTTTTTTGGGTGGCATGGTGATGTGTTGATGTGTGGCGGCGTGTGTTGATGCGGAGGTGATCACAAGCTTCTCGAAAGCAAAGCTTTTTTTTATTTTCCTTTTCTGATACAACTGACAGCACACAACAAAACAGCAACAGCAGTCACCGTGCCGCATTCGGATTGTCCAGGCACGCTGAGAATAAAAAAAGACCCTCTCTTCTCATCTCTCCTTCTCTCCCCTCTCATCACCCCACCAGCCGACATGTCAGGAACACTCATCAGAGCCGCACACAGAATCGGACACCAGGTCAACACCAGGAACCTGTACGTTACTTGAGAAGGAACCACGCTTGCTCACTCTATTCTCTGCAAGGACGATATACCTTCAATTGAGACACACCTCTGGGAAGGCGTATTACTAACGGTGCCTGGATCGGATGATGTGTATCTAGGTCTCTGGTGGCCCCTTCCAGCTCCCATATCGGTCTCTTGCTCAGACAGCCTCAGTCCTCCACTCGGTAAAGCTTTGTTTCGAGACCGAATGAACAACAACGCGTCAATGGCAACCAACTGACCACGCCCAACTTACCTCGATCTATGTTTTGTGGATCAATTATAAAAGGTATACTCCTCTCCTCTCTCGGTTCTCTCAGTCATCCTTCTATTCTACCGTAACGTCAGGATCACCCAAGGACAACAGTGAGCCTGTCCACCCTACACCAGCACCCGTCGAGAATCTCGCCAAGGTACTCAAGGCTGGATCTGTTGGATCGATCGCCCCAGAGAGCAGCCTCTACACCGCTCCTGCACCTGAACCACTAGCACCCACCGGCGTTGTTGGCAAGGCAAAGGATTTCTTCCGTAAGGGCAAGGAGATTGTCATTCAGTGCAAGGATGGCGTGAAGCTGCTCTGGGTCAACAAACGGATTGTCAAGGAATTGAAGAGGGCCCAGAAGGAGGAAGGACATGTCCTCAGCCGTCGTGAGTTTCAGCTCGTACGTTTCTTACCCTGGATTGATCGTTCCTGTACTGCCATTGGCATACTTATTGCTATAGTATTTAACTCACTTACCTTCTTTGATGCATTTCGCTGATGAACTTGTGTGATAATAGGTGGACAAGACAGATATTGATCTCAAGCGTATGATTCCCTTTGGTCTCGTCTTCTTGCTGGCAACCGAGTACATTCCATTGATCATTATATTTGCCCCCCAAATGATCCCCTCCACCTGCGTCACCCCCACTCAATTGGTACGGCCGGCAATTCTCTTGGATCTTTATCGTTGATACTATGTGCTATGCTTTCTTCGATGCTTGCCTAACTTGCCGTACCCTTTCTTCATCATGTAAAATAGGAGAACCGCCGTAAGAAGATCCATGAGAAGCGTTGCGCTATGACTGAGAAGCTTATCCGTTTGAATCGCCGCGAGGTAGGAGGCCGAATTGGATCATTCAGGAAGATACGCCGGTCGCATTATTTGATGCAATCAAAGAGAACTCTAATCTAACTTTTTAGCATTTGCTTTTATGCACATAGATCACCAAGGAGACCCTCGCCAACTACAACTCGTTCATCACAACCTCCAAGAAATACGGCGAAGGATTCGACTATAACATTATCGACCGTGAGCACCTTGCATCATTCTGCAAGTAAGTTGCGTGGATCAATTAGTGTCTTTGCGGATATGTATATGGCCTTGCAGGGGTTAAGCTGCAAGGAATACAGATCAAAGCAACTCAACGGTAGCTAACATTTCCATTTACTGCTAGATTCATGGGATTGAGTGGATTTGGACCCAAGTTCATGTTGAAGAAGCGTTTGAACAAGCACATGACCTATATCAAGCAGGACGATGGGTTGCTCGAGAAGGATGGCATTGACTCGTTGACGTTTGCAGAGCTGCAGTTGGCGAACGAGGAGCGTGGTATGCGGTCGTTGGAGGTCAGCAAGGAGCATTTGGAAAAATCGCTTGCCTACTGGTTGAAGCTGAGCTTGAGCAAGGACACCGAGGTTCCTCCAGCACTGATGGTCTTTAGCCGGATGTTCCTGCTGCACTCGACCTTCAAGTCGGATCCCGTTAAGAAATAGATCTAAATGCCAGGATGTACCATAATGAATACTAGTACGATAGAAAGAGGATGAAAAGAAAATAGAATAGAAATACAATAGTATACTAGTGTGACCCTTGGCTTGCTGCGTTGCGTGCGGAGCTTTCCTTTGTCGTCATCTTTGCCCTGAATCTTTCTTTTTCGGGAGTCTGGACTCTCATTTGTCCCTTCCTCCCCTTCGACTTCCCCACGCCACGAAAATCAACAGTGGCTCGCTTTCGCCATTGTTCGAGTCAGAGTTCGGCTCCACCGAGTCAGACTATTTTTTCGTCTTACCTTCTTTTAGCCTTCTCCCCTCCTCTCATTCTCCTTTCATTTCTTTCCCTAATTCATTCCGCATCGCAGCTCCTCTCCCCGACTCAACAAGTACAACAGCAGCCGACGGACTCATCAGCACCAACTCACACACACACAACACAATGACCCAGGAACAGCAAGAACAAAAGCAGATCAGAGTCGGTGTCTTGGGTAAGGACAAACACCTTTCAAGTTTCAAGAGATCTCTTTCCTGATCAGGACAAAAAAAGTGTCGACTCCTTATTTTCCCCCACTAAGAGACTGCATTGACTCACACAACGCTCTCTCCTACTAAATGCCACACAATGACAAATAGCACTGCAGGGAGCATTCGCAGAGCACATCATTCTCCTCAACACACTCCCCCAGGTCTCCGAGGCCGTCGCAGTCCGCAATGCCGAGGAGATCTCCAAGATCGATGCGCTTGTGATCCCAGGAGGAGAGTCGACCACCATGGCCCTGATTGCCGAAAGATCCGGCTTCTGGCCCGCCCTCCAGGCGTTTGTCCGGACACACCCCACCTGGGGAACCTGCGCCGGTTTGATCCTTCTCTCTGAATGCATCACCTCGGGCGGGACCCTCAAGGGCGACCAGAAGCTGTTGGGTGGTCTGGGTATCAGCATCAAACGCAACGCATTCGGCACACAGAAGGAGAGTTTTGAGGCTGGACTCCATGTGGAGGGTCTTGAGGATGCCAAGAGGCTGTTCCCCGGAGTGTTTATCCGTGCGCCCGTTATTGATGAGATCTTGAAGCCTGAGGAGGTTGAGGTTGTTGCCAAGCTGGAGCAGGATTATGGAAAGACGCCCAAGGGTACGATTGTTGCGGTCAAGCAGGGACATTTGCTGGGATCTGCCTTCCACCCTGAGTTGACTCATGATAACCGGATGCACTTGTTCTTTGTCAAGATGGCCCTGGACTGGATTGCCAAGCACCAGAAGTAGGGAACACATTAGACATACCCATTCATTCGATAGACGCAACATATTATGGATACAGATAGAATTCAATCTAAAAAAACGTGACTATGGATTGCTTTGCAGCTCTCTCCCTCCCTCTCCTGTATCCGTTCGCCGTTCGCCCGTCAAACCTCTCTTCAGCTCCTCCGTCACCTCCTCATTCAAGAACGAACGCACTCTCACTCAGACCAGCAGGCTCCACTCGAACAATGAACATCAACCCACAGGCACTCCTGGCAACCATCACCGACGCCATCGGACAACTCACAGGATGCTGCATGCCAAACCCAACACTCTACATCAACCGCCGCTCATTCAAGGTCATCAAACTCCTCGGTGAAGGGTAAGAAGACTTCAAAAGCGTCTTAGCAAAAACACCTCTCTTCAAGGGTCTTCTTTTTCATACTCGACAAGAGCGCTCTCCTTCAACAGCCAGTGACAGAAAGTTCACTCTTCGTTAGAAGACCTTTCTCGCACGCCGTCTCTTTGTCTCACAATTCTCACAGTCCCATTCCCACCTGTTCAAACAAGGAGAATGGATAGAAAAGCAGGCCAGAATGATATATTTCTACATACCGTTAGCAATACTCACCCTAATCTAACCACTTAATCTGCCAATTGAAAAACACAACAGTGGATTCAGCTTTGTGTACTTGGTACAGGATGTGGCGACAGGAAGACTCTATGCGTTGAAGAAGATCCGGTGTCCCTTTGGCAGCGAGGGAGTGCAGGACGCTATGAAAGAGGCAGAGATGTACAGGACCTTTCAGCACGAGAACGTGATCAAAGTCATGGTACGTCCTTTTTTTGTTGGTCTTGCAAAACCTCCCTTATCCCTTCTCATCTTCATCTTGACAAACGACGCAAAGACAACTAAAGAGACATGGCTAATATAAACTTATGGCAGAGGCAGTATGACGATCAGCAATTATCGCAAGGAACATGTTCTCCTTTTTTTTAATGTTGATGAAGTTGCTTTTTTTATGCCCTCACATTGCCCTGTTAATATGCATGCCTCGACTTTTTTCTGGCTAACGCATTGCGCCCTTTTTTTGTCAACAATAGGACACATGTGTAGTATCGGACAAGGATGGAAGCAAGATTGTATACATTTTCTTGCCCTACTACAAACGTGGCAACCTCTTGGACGCCATCTCAGCAAACCTGCTCCATCACACCCATTTCTCAGAGCCGGATATGCTGCGATTCTTCCGAGGCATTTGCTACGGAGTGAGGGCTCTCCACTGCCACCGTCTGCCCAATGTTCCCATCAGCTCACGGGAGGATGAAGACGCCTCGAACAGCGGCATTGAGGCGTGGGATTCTCGCGACAGCCGGACCAGCATGAGGCGGCAAGGATCTTCGCTGTCGTTTGCGGGATCGGAGAACGGGACTGGATTGACGGATATGAGCAGATCCGCATCTGGTACCAATGATGCTGCTGCAGGTGGCGCTGCTACAGGTGGCAATGGACTCGGACCGGCTCAAGACAATGACGCGGTGATTGTACCCTTTGCACACAGGGATATCAAGCCCGCCAATGTGCTGATTGCAGATGACGGACAGACGCCGGTGCTGATGGACTTTGGGTCAATGGCCAGGGCTCGAGTTAAGATCCAGACGAGACAGCAGGCATTATTTGAGCAGGATCTGGCAGCGGAGAAGTGCTCTATGCCCTACAGAGCGCCTGAGCTTTTTGATGTTAAGACCGGATCTACCCTCGACGAGAAAGTTGACATCTGGGTACGTCCTGTCTACTTTATTGTATTTGTGTTTTGTCTTTGCGTTTTTTTCTTAAGAGTGCAATGGCACTGCATCAATTGTATTGACGTACTTTGTACAATGTGCCTGATGATAAATAGTCGCTAGGATGCACGTTGTATGCGATGGCGTATGGGACATCTCCGTTTGAGACGAACCAGATTAACCAGGGAGGATCGATTGCGCTTGCAGTTTTGAACGGCACAGTGCGATTCCCCACAGTTGACCAGGCAGACCGGTATTCGTCTGAGTTGCGCGACTTGATCAAGGCGATGCTGGTGGTTGACCCAGCGATGCGGCTGGATATCCACGAGGTTATTGAGCGCGTCGATCTCCTCTTGACCCGACCTCTTTGATCATAATTTATTTAGGTGAAAAATGAAGAAATGAAAGGCAAGCAAATAAAATGCTGATACCATGTTAAAGAAAACGGACAAGGGACAAGGGTCAAAGGGACAATGAACAGCACATGGGAACTCAGTTCCCATTGGCTATAGCAGACAAGGTTTTTCATAATAATATGTATGACGGTGTGGAGTCATAACAAACTGCCCCTGTCCAGCCTCCTTTTGTATTGGGAGGGGAGCCGGGGATTCAGCTATGTCATTTCTCTCCTGTGTGGGCGAGTTGTCTTTTCGCCCTTTCTCTTCACTCGTTTCTTCCTCACCTTTTCTTCTTCTTCTTCCCTTCTTTCTCGCTTTCATCTCAGTCATTCACTGCACCTTCCCCCTCTCCCTCTCCTTCTCCTTCTCCTTCTTCTTCCTCATTCTCCATTCAGCCCGCAACTGTCACAACAAAAAGGTCGAAACAAGCAACAAACCCTTTCTTTCTTCTCTTCGCCTCCTCCTTCCTCTTCTTTCTCCTTCTCCTTCCTCCTCCTCTTCACCTTTTACTTCTATTGCTTCACTTTTCCTTCAAGCCGATCATCCATTTCCTTCCTTTCTTCCTTTTCCTCTCTTCCTCCACCTCACTTCCCTCACTCTGAGATAACAACAACACACGCCACCCAACACCATACATCCGCCCTCCTATCTCAAAGATGAACCAGACCAAGGCTGCCCTACACGCACTCCCCAGTGGCCTCATCAATCGACTTTGTCAATCCAAAGCTACAAGGCTCTCTGTAGGTTGAAAATTCAACAATGGGGGTGAACCGAGCTACTATTGTCATCTACCTCCGATCCACATTTTTGATGCTGTCACGCTGAGAATATTGTATCCATGGAAGCTAACAGTATTTGTTTTTGCTTTATTACGTGAGAATAGTTGAAGCAGATGTACACGCTCGGAAGGTAAAAAAAATTGGATCGGCAAAGCAACAAGCAAGCGTCAAGTGCAAGTAGAAGGAAGCGAAAGGACAGCAAGGAAGCAACTGGGAAGAAGAAGACACACGGATGTGAAAAGAGAGACATGCTCAATGACATGGGACAATGGGATATTTGGACTAGCACCGATACTAAGACACTAGTCTAGGATCCTTGTTGTTGTTGCACCCCACTCCTCTCTTTCTATCCCTTGTTCCTTTGTTTGCCCTCTGCCCTACCATCTACCTTTGCCATCTTTGCTCTTTACCCTTCTCCTTCCTTGGATTGTTGTGTGCCTGGGACACCTGTAGTCAATGTTTTGCATATGAAAAGACTTTCTTTGGTTGGTCTCAGCTAAAAAAACTATTTCCCTCACACGCCAATTTCCTGATCCCATCTCTTCCGTCTTTCATTGAATAGACATGTCCTAGAGTCGAAGAACCAGGGTGCGTTGGCCATTCCTGCCGTCTTCCTCCACCAGGAGCTGCCTATCCGTCTCTCGCACGCCCTCAAGATGCTCAACTCCAACTCGCTCCCCATCAACATGGCTGACATGCCCAACTTTCAGTCCATCTTTGCCTCCTACCTCGAAGACATTAGGTACGTTTTTCTTTCTTGCAACAATTTGTTCAGCCAACCTTAACCTTTTCTTCCCAACCCAAGTAAGATTATTTTTTTTTTTGGTTATTGGGACGATGACACATTGCAGTCATCAGAGGTGTTGAAATGTGGAGAAAAACGGGTGAGCAAGAGTTTGCGATTTCCCCTCTTTACCCACCCTTTTTTTTTTTCTTTTCTTTTTCCTCCGTGCATCTCCATTCAACCAATGCACGCTTCTCAAACACCTGTTTCCAATGAGACATTACCAGCAAAGGGAGAGGGTCAAACATTGGTCCTGAAGTGTGGCGTGCATCGAACCATGAGGTGTTTTCATCCAATGGTCTTGCCTTGCCTACGCTCCTCACCTCACTCTACTTGCTTGCTCATTCCCACTCCTTAGCTGCTGCTGCAGACCTCGACCAGGACAAAAAAACTTGCAAAGGAAAACGACTCTCACTCGTCACAACAAATGAGGTTTAGGACTCTTCACTTTTCTGCGAGAGGCGATTATTTCATGTGTTTTATGGCTCAAACGGGTTGTTGTTGTTTTTGAAAGAGTTCACATTCCATTGTTGTCTACTCTGACATTCTACTTTGCCTTGCCTTTTTTTTCCTTGCTTACACCTCGACCTGATTAACCACTGACTAAGCAGTAACCCTGAACATCCGAGAACACTCACTAACATACGAAAATACCTCTCCTATATCTACATAGCATGATCACACAGATGCCAAAGCCATCGACACCACAGCTGGAAGAAGAGTTCACAGTCTTGTTGAGGAACCTGGAGCAGCGGCATAAGATCAAGATCCTCGCCATCAGCAAGGGTTTCAGGGAACTCATGGACAATGTCCAGCGACAGTGCATCGAGCACGACCCATCATGCAACAACTCGCTCTTCTACCACAACGGTAAAGGCTGGACCATTGACCCTCAGGCTGACAGGGCCATTCAGACCTTCTTCAATCGGTTTTATACCATCAATCTCGGCACTCGGCTCTTAATCGGTAAGGAAAAAAGACCACTGAATTGTTTTCGACTATTGTGATACATTCGTGCGGAGAAGGACATGAAGTAACGCATAATCCTCAATGTATTCTCATAGGCGAGCATTTGGCGCTTCATGACAGAGGATTGAATCTGGTGCAGCGTGTCAACCCCCTCGCCATCTCAAAACGCGCCATTCGGGATGCCCAAAAGGTGTGCGCCGCACATTACGGACAGTCGGCGCCCTCGGTGCTGATCCATACACCCAACCCAGACATCTCGACAACATATGTGGACGAGTTCTTGCACAGGAATATCTATGAGCTTCTCAAGAATGCCATGAGAGCAACCTCTGAGACACACCTCAACAATGGCTCGCCCGTCTCGCTCGGACTCTCGTCTTCTACCGCAAGCAGGTCGAAACTACCTCCCGTCAAGCTGGTCTTGGTGGATGGTGGTGAGGATGTGACGATCAAGATCTCGGATGAAGGCGGTGGGATGGCTCTGAGTGAGATGGACAAGATCTGGAGCTATGTTCATTCAGGAGATTCGTCCAGCTTGCGCCAGTCGTCGTCATCGTCTAGCAATACCGCTGCAAAGACGCAACGGGAAGTGCCCAAGACGACAACGACGACGACGCCATTCCAGCCCTCGGCCCCAAATACCTCGGCGTTGCTCACCTCGGACGTGTCGTCAACAACGACAGAGTCCAGGAACGTCCTCCGCACAGCGGATTCGATGACCGTGATGGGAGGATTGGCGAGCGAGGCGAAGGATTACTTGGACTCGCCCCTGAATGGATCGGGCCACGGATTGCCTCTGGCGAGGTTGATTGCGCGGTATTTTGGAGGCGACCTGTCGTTGATCTCGATGGAGGGCTATGGCACCGACTCGTATCTGTCGCTTTTCCGCGATGACGACCATTTGGAGAATTTCCCCGAGGTGGATGAGGAGATGGCGGTGGAGATTGACGTCTTTGTCAACGAGTTCATGGACGAGCCATCTTTGTCCTCGTTGTCGTCTCAGGCTGGATATGAGTACTTTAACAACGTTGAGCAACAGCAACAACGTCCTTCGTCGTCGATTTCACCAAGAAAGTAAATGGCGGATGGTTGCATTCTACATCCGAGGCTGTAGTTGTCTAGATTCCTCATTTCTTTCTTCCTCCTCTTCACACTTGTATCATAGTTCATATCCCCTCCTCCCTCCTTCCAAGAAGCACAACGTACCGTAGCCTATATCCCTTCCATTCTCAAAACTCACTTCAAGGCACAACAATGTAAATATCTCTCATCTTTCACAACTCAGGTTTTGTCTTATGGCATATGTAAAATGAACAAATGGGCAAGAATGCGCATATTAGTAGCCCTAGGCCAAAAGTGCTGTGTTGCCGACGCGTCTAGATGATCTTTGCTAGAGTACAAGTGCGGGGGTTCCAGACTTGGACCAGGATCCAATCTAGGAAGGGGGTGCGGGAACCTTGAGGGATACCTTTGGAAGGAGGGGTGAAAGACGTAAAGGGATCAAGACGGTTGTAGAAACCACATCGTTTAGCAGCATTGTGCGATCTTTTCGTTTGTTTTTCTTTTCAACCTTCGCCCCCTTGCATGCAAGCTTTCTCTCACCCTGTATTTTTTCCTTCCAGATTTGGCTCCCGTTATTTTTTTAGTCTCCTATCCCTTTCTACCCCTTCTCCTGCCAGCGCTGGGCCATTGAAAATGATGGAGTGATAGAGGTGGAGATGCTGGCCTGGTGGTGAGGGGAAGAGAGGGGGAGGGGGAGGAGGAGGTTGCAACATATCTTTGTATTTTTCCTATTGCTATCGTTTGCCCTTGAAGGGGAAGGCGTGTTTTTTTCACTGTTTACTTTTTTTAGGGAACCTCACGGAATGCCTTACTTTGCCAACCTCACTTTTCGAAAAAGACGGAGTCTGGGGTCCAGGACGCGATGCGGGGATAAAAAGGCGAGCTCACTCGTTTTTTCTTTTTTTTTTTTTCATTCTTCTTTACTCCTAAACTTCTACATCTCTCCTCGTTCTTCCCTTCTCCTCCATACCCACACACACAAAACCCTTTATAAAAACAAAACAAAAACAACAACATGAAGTACGCATTCATCACCTTCGCGATCGTGATGATGGCAGCAGCACTGTCGTCGTCTAGCAACAGCCATGTCGGCGCCTCGCCTCGACGACTCATCAAGCGCGCCATGACCATCGCCCAATGCTTCAAAATGTAAATGGGCCAGACCATTGTTTTCTGATTTTTTACTATATGACCAGCACGCAAACACAAATCGAAAAACAGAAATGAGATACTAGAACCTCATCTTTTTTTTTGGCTTCTTTTTAATTCCAACATAGCTCGGGCACGACAGTGACATTTGACAACAGCTGCAAAGACCTCTTTTTAGTAAGTGGAATGGAGCCCGTCATCATAAGCCTTTCTTTCTCTTTGATACATGCCACAAAAATGAGAGAGTAAACAGGTCACTGACTTTTTTTTTTGTCTATGGTGCATATAGCCAGGGCGCGGTTTCCAGGCTGTCAGCAGCATCACGTTGGGCGCGTTGGACTTGGATTTCAGCGACCCAGATCCGCTGAAGATTACTCTGTCCTCGCCCGACATGAAGGTCGGCGTCATCCCTGGTCTCCCTGTTCCCATTACCGGCGCCCGACAAAACGTCATTCTTGTGGTAAGAAATATGCCGTACCTAACACTGTCAAGTGAACTGAGTTGAACCTCCTACTGATGCAACAAAGGAGACAAACGATCGTTACTGAATTGATTTTTCTTGTCCCATTTGATGCTGTAGGATAAGGGTGTTGAGATCGCCACATTCAACACGCCATGGGTTCCTGGTGTGATGAATGGAAACGTACTGGAAACGACCGTTGGCAGCACGACCCTCAACGTCAATTACGCCAATCAAGACCAGTTCTCGGCCTTCATCGCTTCCTTGACCACCAACCCCGCGCATACCTTCACGCTCAAGGGAACCGTCGATGTCAACTTCACCTTAACCCTCCCTTTTTCGGTGCGGACCATCACCATCGATGGAATATACTTTGAGTCCGATGTCACCCTGAAAGGGTTTTCCAATTTTCCTGGCATCCAGTTTGTCGAGCTGATCGAAAAGACCGAAAACGCCGACAAAAGCTTTACCATCAAGTCCAAGGTCAACATCAAGAGCGCCTCCCAGCTCAGTGTCAAGATGGGTGATGTCCGGTTCAACACCTTTGACGCCGTGTCGTCTGAACCCATTGGGGTCACGACCCTCGAGCAGTTGAACCTGGTGCCCGGGGATAACTTCATCATTGCCGTGACGACCTCCACTAGCGCTACAACGAACCCGCACGATATCTTTACGCGTGTGTCAAAGAATGGCGAAAAGTTCAGATTGAAAGGGTTTGCCGCATCGTCCGCGACCGACACTATCCTGGGTAACGGTATCGCTGCCGTGGAGACTACTGTCGATATCCCTATTCTCGACAAAGCTGCCTAAAGGGAAGGATGTGGTCCATATTTTTGGTGTCTGAGTCCCTTACATGTTTAGTGTTTTTTTCCTCCAGAGTACTGTTCTAATAATAATAATGCTGTGACCATTGATCCCCTCTCAACTTCCCTATATTTTCAACACAACAACCGTGGACTTCTCGTTTGTGTCAATCGAGGGGGCGCTTTCATTCTCAAGGGGGTTGACATCCACTTCTCATTGTTTGCCTGTTACATGCAGTCTCCAGGAGAAACCAAAGACAAACGCACGATGGACCTCCAACACCAATGATGGATACAAATTTCCTTCAACACCGCAGCAGCGACCACCAACACCACTGTCCCACCCTTTGTGTGTCCAATGCATCACTCCAGTTGTCCCTCCCATTTTTTTGTTTTGTTTTGAGAGAAGGTCTAACATTTAAAAAACTGCGCGTTTGCTCTTAGACGCGTCACGTCTGTTTCTCGCGTCTTTGCACCAAGAGCTAAAAGCAGTACTTACTGATCATTGGTTTTTCTTTCTCTTTCACAATCGTACTCCTTCCCTCTCCCTTCCCCCCTCTTTAACTTCCTTACCTTGGTCCAACTTCCTTCTTTCTGAACTTCTCACCTCACCCTTCCCTTCCCCCGCCTTTGAAACAGAATTCCGCTTTTGTAACTCTGGCTATCACTTCTTACTTTCGTGAACAGATGCCAATCGTTCAAACTCGGTTGTTGTTTTTATGAGATTCAAAAGCTGAATTAGAATAGAAAAAACTATCCTTCATCTTCCTTTGACTGCACTTCTAATTAACCCCGAACAAGCTCGTTCACTGCTGCTGATCATTAATCCAACCTCAACCAGTTGGCTCATTTTTTTTTCTTTTTACATTGTTTCACGTTCCTGGTACATTTCGGCCGAGTCGTGAGGATAGGCTGTGGAGCACAGCACAGGAGAATATGAAATGGCGCAGGATGAAAAAAAAAATTCAGGCCACGGAAGGGCAAAAAATATTGCGTTTCAGGTGGGGTTCGAACCCACGATCTTTGGCTTCGGAGACCAACGCCGTACCACTAGGCCACAGAAACATGTTGCACAACAACGCGCCTTTTTCAAGTGTTAAAACTTTTCCTCCTTAATTGGATCATGCGCATATCGTTTCTTGTCACGTGACGATCGATCGCCGCCCCATGCCGCCCCCCCCCCCAAAAAAAAAAAAAAAAAAAAATTGGAGATCAGGCTGATCAGGAAAGCAGAGGATTATCGACTGAGGGTGCAACAGCTGGAATCCTCCCAAGCCAGGAGACTGCAGCAGAAAAAGGAAAAGGAAGCACTCCGTCAACAACACCGCTTGGTCGTCGCTCGCCTAAAAGAGATCCTATCCAGCCTCAAGGGAACGAAACCACGATACAAACCAGCCTTTGACACAGATGCTAGCTTTCCTTTGCAAGAACGCCATCAAGTCCAACCACCGCCTGTACCAGGACCCCCGACCACACAGATCGGCCCCCTTTGCCTGTCTCCAGTAGAGGCGGCGTCCATGCGCGTAGTTCAGGACACACACGTCGACAACTCCACCCCTCGCGTCCTGTACTCTGACGGATCTCTTCTGAACTCGGGAACGCTAGAAGTATCCCAGGCCTTTGGAGTGGTGGATCTCACTCAGGACAACCCTCTGACAGTACAAGGACGAACGGACGGTCACGCATCCTCGGCTAAGGCCGAGCTCATGGGCTTATTAGCCACAGTCTTGTCAGCACCATCAGAACAGGACATTGTGGTCAAGCTGGACAATCAGTCAGTGGTGGATCAGTATAGTCGCCTGGTGAAGAATCGTCGGGACACCTTACCGAGGAAGCGATTCAGGAGTACATATGCGGGTATCTGGGCGGTGCTTTGTCAGGTTGTGGAATCTCGGCCAGGCGGGGTTGAGGTGGTGTGGATCAAAGGTCACAGCAACATCCACGGAAACGAACTTGCGGATCAGGCGGCGAAGGTGGCAGCACAGAGTGGTTCAGTGCCCTGGATGGTGGATCTCACTCAACAGACGGATATCACGACCTTTGCACATTGTTACGGCGGGATTGTTGAAATCGATCTACGTCAGCTCCTCAAACAACAATCGACAATCCGTCACCATCAGGCCTGGACGTCACAGAGGCGGGTCAAGAGGGCGATCCCTGACATCGATGACGTGGAATGGAACTCGACCTTGGCTTATGTCCACGACAGGCACGCAGTCTTCACCTTTTACAGCAACAGCAAGGACTCTCACCAACGCACACATCATATCAAAAAGCTGCATGGAATGCTGCCCACTCTGAACTCCATGCAGGCTCGCAAGCCCAACCTGTACCCAACATGCGTGTGCCGACGATGCGAGCTCGAGAATGAGGATAACGATCACGTTTGGAAATGCCCTTCGGCAGCTGAGACCACCACTGAGATCTGGAAGGAGGCCATGGGCAAGATTAATGAGTGGGGTGTGCAGGCGACAAACAGCTACAACGCAGCCAGGAAGCGAGAATACAAACGCGCGGTGGACAGAGGTCGTCAGGTACCGAGGCCAGTACCCATACACTGGTGGCCCCCTTCGGATGCGGATCATGTGCGAGGATTTTCCTCCATCGGTGGAGCTCGAGCCGTGCACAGCGGTAGTCCAGCTCCCGATCGAGACGAGAAACCGATGTGGAATGTGTCGGATCTCCTCCGCGGCATCACCCCCTTGAGCATGTTGACTGAATGGTCCGCGGTCTTCCGGACCCCAATGTCCATCGCCAAGACAGTCCTTCACAAGTTTGTTGGCTACCTGGAGGCGCAGGCCTCGGAGCTGATCTGGAAACCTCGGTGCTCCGCGACGATCGCGTGGGAACAAAGCCAGGGCATCTCTGCCAAGGACAAGACATCCAAGTACACAGGCCCCCGAGGTGACTGGAGTCAAGGATACGGTTACATCACGCACGATGGTTTCTGTCCGTGTGGCGCTTCGCTAGCCACACATGATGAAGGAAGGTGCCCTGGAGCGACCAAGGACCCACGCGCTGCTGACGAGCGGTTGTTGGAGAGTTTGTTAGGAAGGAGGAGGTTGTCAATGATGGAGAGGATGGGAAGAATCCCCTTCATTCGTATCTAGTTTTATTTTCTTCCGTTTAAGCTGTGAAGAGCAGCGACAATTGTTGCGCAGAGCCAGGTTCTGGACCGGACTGCGACTGGCGGATGGTGCACTGAAGAGTTTGGTCTGTAGTTCCCTTTTACTTCCAAATGACTTCTCTATGCTGTTTGTTAGAGAAATAAAATTGTGTACAAAAAAAAAAAAAACAAAAAAAACAAAAAAAAAAAAAAAAACTAGCATCGTTGTAAAGAGCAGCGACAGTTGTTGTGCGGAGCCAGGTTCCGGACCTGGACTGAAACTGGTGGATGGTGCACTGAGGAGTTTTGGTCTGTAGTTCCCTTTTACTTCCAAATGACTTCTCTGTGCTGTTTCTCAGAGAAATAAAATTGTGCAAAAAAATTAGAACATGAATACTCCTCCTACTTTTAGTCAACCGATGCTCCTCTTGATTTTTAATGGGTCAAACTCGGAGCAAGTTGTGGTCAATTTGTGAAGCATCTCTTACTTTCATTCCCTCATTGGCAATTGGATCGCAGACACCGAGCTATGCAACAGAATAGTGAGCCATTGGCGATGGGAAATTGAGACTTGAAAGAAAAAGCAAAGCGCAGTTTCTTATATTTTTTCTTCAATGAAATGCACGAGAAGGAAAAAAAAAGTACTTACGCTTCTTTTGAACGGTCCTTTTTTCTTCTTCTATAGGGTTGCACTTGGCATCAACTCCAGTTGATGCACAGGACAGGAGCTTTTTTTTCATCTTTCCCGCCTTTGTATTGTAGCTGTCAAAATACACGAGCAGTAAGCTCATCAGTTGGCAACGCGTACATCTTTTCGACGCGTTTTGTCTTACTTTATCGCTCCCCATTTCCTTTTATTAGTAACAGAGTTGTACGCGACGCGATATCTACCTGTCAAGGCCACGCCTCTTCTTCCTGCTTCCTCCCTTTTTCTACTATCCTTTCTTTTGATAAAGAAGCCGAGTATCAGAACGATGGGCATTTGGAACTTTGATGTTACGCCAATAGAGTGTTATTGGTGTCTGAAGGCGACTGAGCTTTGTTCTTGTACTCAACCAAGGAAATAAATATTATCAATTGCCTGTGGTTTTGATAAGAGTTACGAAAAAGTTTAGGAAAGAACGCGCGAGCAAAAGGCAACCTAAAAGCTTATTTTTGTTGATAGACCTCCATGTCGATAGTTCGCCCACGTTCATCGACGCATCGCGATCACCATTGTTTCTCTTCTTCGCTATTGCTTAATATTCTTTTCCAGAAAGAAAGTTCTTTTTCTGTGCCTCGCCCTCTTCTCTTTCTTTTCCATTACGCTCAACCTATCCTCGACTCGCTCCTCCCACGTCAAACAACACCCCTCATACACAAATACCCCTACTCTGCTATATAATCCTAATGTCATAACCATCTACAAGACCCAGTGGATCATCGCCGTCATCACCCTCGTCGTGATGACCGTCGAGAAGCGGATCCAGGACTACAAGTTTGTTCGGTGCCGACCGCGACGAGGGCTTCATCACCCAGAGGAAGAACCCGCACCAGTGTGCCGCAGCCGATATCGGCGACAAGGTCGTCAAGAACAACAACAACTACGAGACGCGTATCCACACCTGACGTATCCCCATGAGGTGTACGAGTGCGTGACCCAGGAGAAAAAGGAGGATATCTTGGAGTGGATCAGACAAGTCGCGTTCAAGAAGGTCGAGAACCAAGTACATGTCGGTCCTGCTCTTTTTTTTTTTGGCACCAAGTTCAGGGAAGTGACAGAGGCCTTTCGATCTCGGGTCCTGCTTCTCCTGCGGGATCTCGCCTCGGATGGTGGTGTCCCCAGCACCTTCGTCTTCAAGACCATGGCACACTTGAACCTGGCCCAAATGACTGACCTTCAAGACCGTATCATCTTTGTGCTAGGCTCGTTCAGCGAAGACGAGAACGAATTGACGCTGGATGAGCTTGTCTGGAAGAGCTTGTCTGGAGGGCTACAATCGCGGTCAATGTCCTCCTTTCTGTGTCGTCTCGTGCTCCGCCGACCAAGCCCTCGAGGATGACGACTGGAATTATCGAAATACTACCAAGACCTCGACCGAGTTCGAATACTTTTACTCCTCAACCAGCTTCGGTGATGATCAAGAAGACAGCGACGAGTTGCTTTCGGCCGCTGCGAAACGACTGTGGTACGTCTGCAGGGAGAAGTACCGATCTGACGAACGGTCGTACAGCTTACAGAACTGATTGTTCTGTGAGGAGGAGAAAGAGGCGTTCAAGGACTGTGTGGCCGAGTAGATGGCGCAGGGGACCTTCGGGTATGTCACTCTGTCGAAGGTCAAGGCTGACATGGCATTGATGGCCATCGTCTCTGTCTACACATACTCCAGCGCGCAAGGGCTTTCAACCAAGGACCACGTCCAGAGATGTATGACAGGCGGCGACCAAGGTACCCCTGTCTTTCGACAAGTCGGCAAGAAGTAGTAGCGCAACGCAATGCCATACACAGCAGGGAGACACACACCTTATTTAGCTATTTCTCTCCCATTCACATTCAAGCCTGCAAATAGTTGGTTTTTTTTTTTTTTTCCTTTTTTCCTTTGTGCACAATACATCCTTTAATTTGCTTGTTCAAAATGTCTTTTTCCGTGTTTATTTTTTCTTCTGTTAAAGGACACGTACGTATCCTGTGAAAACTTGCGCGTTTCGATATCCAACTCGGTCCTGTTTCTGTGATGTTCCATAATGCGCGATTCCCACTCCACGCACCAACAGGCATCATGGCCTTTTCACAGGACCCTCAAGCGAACGGTGCAGGAGCTGCGGAAGGATCAACACCAGCAGGAATGTCGCCCATAAAGTTGGCCTGGTTCTCATCGACATGGTGGAAATCCAGAATCTCGCTGTACATCATGACCTTCCAAGTATCGACGGGAAGGTCGGCATCGTTGAAGGACCAGTCAAAGACCTCGGCTGCGACGGGCTCATCATCGGGATCGTGATAGGGCTCCAGGTACTTGTGGTACAATGCATCTCCTGCATTGATGCGCTTCTTGGGGTCAAATAGCAACATACTCTCCAACAAATCCAGTGCTGTTAAATGTATGTGGAATGAGTGAGAGATGAATGGTAAGTTACTGTGGGTCTGAATAAAAAAAAGGAACGAGAGTTTGAGGACGGATAAGGTAATTAGGGCATACCGATGGGGTCAGAGTTAGGGAACCGTGTGGTGAGAGGGATCTTTTCTCTCTTGGGAAGCGACTGAACGAACCGCAAGGTCTGTGAGGAATGAACAAAAAAATGTAAAATGAGTCAGCTCCTTTGCACTATTTGAGGGTCATGATCCCGCATGTACAGTTCCTTGGGGAGAAGACGATGGCTTACGTTCTCACTGCCAATGGTCTTGATAACATCGTCTGGTGGCGTTCCAAGGAGCTCAGTAATGATGGAGAACTGGTTCACATCTATGGTATGGAAAAGGGTAGCGAGATCAGACCGTGTTCTGCGATATCCAGCTATAGAGACAATAGCACTCGTGAACCTTCATGGTTGTCCAGCTCAACTTACGGTCCTTTCCGGGGAACAGTGGCTGACCCTCCAACATTTCCGCAAAGATACATCCCACACTCCAGATATCCACTATGAGATGAACAAAGAAGCAATATATGTGTGAGTTGCCTGAAAACAAGTACACATAGAGCTTGGGTTATCGCGAAAAGAAGAAAGGGGATTTCTTACCGGCGACGTCGTATTTCTGCCAGGTGAGCATGATCTCTGGAGCACGGTAGTACCGTGTCGAGACATATCCTGTCATCTGAGGATCCTGAATACGAGCCAGTCCAAAGTCGCAAATCTAAGAGAAAATACGCGGAGCAAAGTTATGTCAGTTTAGAATGCCCACGTACTCGCTAAAAAAGACATCAAGTCGGAACAATAAATGTCGCTCTACCTTGAGATCGCAGTTCTCGTTCACCAGAATGTTGCTTGGTTTCTATGATAATAAACAAGATCCCGGAACACGGTCAGTCGCGTCGTATGATGGTGTACAATCACAAACAGTGAATCCTGGAAATGACTGTCTTACCAAGTCACGATGAACAACGCCCGCGGAGTGGAGGTATTTGAGACCACGCTGTTCAAAGGTGGTAAAAAGGTGAGGTTAATATGTTGCCTTTCGCGTGAGTCGAAAAGAAACAAGATACTATAGCCAGAAAAGATGGGACATACCAGGATCTGGTAGAGGAAATACTGGATGAACTGCTTGTCCAGGGGCCGAGAGGTCAAGAGGCGGTGCAGGTCCGTTCCAAGCAATTCCGTGACAAAGTAGCTACATGGTTTTGCGAACGAGAAGAAAAGTCCAGAGTGAGTAGGAGTGTTTGCGTAGTCCAGTCAGTCCATGTCTCCAGTTCTGTTGTAGTCCTTACATGTCCTCCAAGGGGGAAATGAAAATGTCGCTCAAGCTGATAATCTAAAAAGTGAACAGTACAGAAAGAGTCTTCCTTGTCAGTTTGGTCTCCTTGGGGTACAAGTTAACAAAAAAAAAGTTGACTGCTCCTGAGGTTGCGCCGGTTGGTGTGTAACCATACGTTCTCGTGCTTGAGGTGCTTCAACAGCTTCAGTTCGCGGTAGGTGCGCTTCGACAGGACGGGGGTACTGAAGGGTTTCATAATCTTTTTGATAGCAACAGGCTGGTTGGTTAACTCGTCCTTGGCGGAACTATTAGTTTGCCATTGCAAGGTGGACGGATTAGTAAGCTGATGGATGTTGGCGTTCTCAAGAGAGTTTTCCTGCTACAAGAACTTGACTCATTGCGAGTATTACCAGACAAGACCAAAGGCCCCCATTCCGACTGGCTGGAGATCGACATAACTAGTGATGAAGAATCAAAAGAGTGTAAGTGAATGACAGTTAGGAGAGGGAAATCGTGTTTGTTGTCAATAGACAAAGAAAGGGTGGACGAATATGTGTATTGACAGTACCGAGTGGTGACCTCGAAGACGGTCCCAAAGATGGACAGCTTTGCGAACTGGGCCATGGTGTGGAAAAGGATGAGAGAGGGTAAAGGAAGTAAGAGAAAGAAAAGGAAAAAAAGAAAAGTGGGTGCAGGTGCAGGTGAGGGTGTGTGGGAGAGAGAGGGCTGAAGAGGAAAGAGTGAAAGAAGAAAAAAAAATTGAATACAAAAGCAAAGGAAGGGAAAAGGAACGTAAGACTAGCGTTATCTCAGTCCCTGATGGACGGTCGATGGTTGATGATTGCTTTTGGTTGCTGATGGTGCCTGAGATTTCTGTGCCTGAAATCGACATGTTTATCATCGCCCATCTAAAAGATGACCCCTGTTTGTCCGCCGCCGCCGTTTGTTCGTTGCTCGTTGTCCACTTCAGCTTATCCACTCTTGTTTTCTTGCCTTCCACATGATGTCATCTGTTTTTATTCTTGGTCCGCCTTCCTTTGGCGCGCCTCTTGTCTTTCCATCGACATGTACCTCACTCGTTGGCCTTGCCCATGGGGCACCATTGACGACACTCTGCATCTGCCTGGGCTCACTAGTAAACACTGCTGCATTGTTTGTTTGTTTGTTTGTTTGTTGTATTCCGACATTCTCGCCGTCTCTGGCCTCACTCATTTATCGTCGTTTCTTAGAAGATGCCTTTTCAACGATTCCTCGGCTGGGGATGCTCCTTCACAGCAATCAATGGTCATCTCGCGTCCATTTACCCGTGGCTGTGCCAAGGCAGGCGCCATGCTGGATCACATGATGGAAGAGGGACAATGCATGGATTGGATCGTGCTCAGAAAAGAAAAAAAAATAGAAAGGGCAATTGCCTCCGCGCGTTTCATGGTCTCCGAGTAATAGGAGATGCGCGTGAAGGAGACCATTGTCTTTTTGTACAAACTGGCAATTTTTTTTGTTAAGCTTTTCTTGGTCATTCCACTCAAGCGCCCAATACTTTTGAAAAGAATGGCTGGGATTGGGTTGAAAGAGCTGGACGAAGGCGCCGCAAGGTCGCGTTGAAAGTCAAGACAAGACGAAATGTGTTCTGAGAGCCAGCAGTACCGGATTCATTGGACAAACCCTGTTGGAAACTCTCTTGTCTGTTTCTGTAATGTATGGTGTTTGGTATGTTCTTTCTAGGATAGAGAGAAAGCATTGCGCTGTCTACCAGTGCGCCTATGTGCCTGTGTGCCTGTGGTCGTTATTCGCCCTTCGTTTTGGTTGTCTCCTTGGCCACCTCCTCTCTTTTTTTTTACTCCTGTTCGTTAGACAAGGGTAGCAGCATCTCCTTATTTTCTTTTTTGCTCTCTCTTCTGTTTTTTCTTTCTTTCTTTTTCTCCTTTTCAGAGAAGAGAGATCTCTTCTTGAACGCATTCCTCCACTCCCTCTCACTTCCTCTTCTCTCTTCCTCTTCTCTCTCCCTCTTCCTCCTCCGTCCTCTCCATCCCTCATGCTTCCATTCTAACGCCACTTCACTGCATTTTCTTTCATTCAAGCCCACTTCCCATTCCTGTCCCATTGACTCATTCAATTATTTTTTCTAGGTAATGAAGTGAATGAGGAAGTAGTGAAAAACGAGAACTACTGTCGCCTACAATCACAAACAACCACAGACCGCAACCACAACTGAAAATCGGAGAGAGCACTTTTTTCTCTTTTTTCCTGTGAGGCGGGATAGCGGCTCAGCAAATCTCTTTCCAGGCTTATTATTTACATATTTCGCCCTTCTTGGCTCCTTGCAGCGCACATATATCATTTTTTTTATTGTCCCTTGGATTGGATGGGACCCAGCTGCAGCTCCCTCCTTGTCCGATTTATACTGCTGTCCCTTTCGTTCTGGTCGAATATGGCCGTTTTAACAACCGCCGCCACGTCCTTTTCCTTTTTCTTTTTCTTTCTCCTTCTCCCTTGCACCACAAACAATTCTCTCCGCCAACTTACCTGCTCCCTTCACTATGGTACCGTCATACGACATTATTTTCTTTTTCTCGTTACTCGTCATTCCACCATGAGGAATCAAGTCAATCGAATTAGATCTTGATCTCGATTCAACAGCACCCTTATTTCCTCTGTATATGTTACAATGTCCAAGTGATCCCAGCAACTGCTTCATCCTATTTGTCCTTCCACAGTATCCAAGCCGGGTCACATTGAATCCAGCTTCTTTTCTTCCTTTACTGGCTCTTTTGTAACCTTCGTTTTTCCTACACGTCGTCATTCAACTTTTTTTCATCGTTCTACCATTTCTGCTGGAATAACGACATGTGTATGTGTGTCAGTCGTTATGTGGCAAGAATAGTCAGGGCAGGATACTTCTTTATTTTATTTTATTTTATTTTCCCTCCCTTTGCCTTTGCTCCTTCTACCCTTCTTCCCTCTTCGTCGTCGTCCCTCTTTGTTCCTCCTTTTTCCTGCAGGACTAGGCCAGGCGCGTGCAAGGACCAAAAAAAAAAAAATGAAAAACAAGGGATAAAAGACACGGCGCCCTTGGGATCGATTGTTTTTTTTAGTGCGTGTTTTTGAGAGGGTTTGTTAAGATGTAAGCGGGCAAGCGAAGTAAGCGACGTACAATGGAAGCAAAAAGGCGAAAAAGGAAAAGGGAAATCGCTGTTGTGCTCGTTCCTTCGATTCTTCTTTACATTCGCAGGCAGGTCAAGAGTTTGCATGAATGAAATGGGATGGGGTCCGTCCAACCTTCAGTCAGCCGGGGTCATTCTTGTCAATATTGTTCATGCCTTTGTTTGCTTTTTTGAATGTTTGATATCGAAAATGATACATACTTTTCGTGTTCGTGTCCATGTGTGTGTGTTGTTGGTTGATACATTTTCCTATTTCCCTTTCCTTTTCCATCCTATTATTTTTTTCCCTCCAACTCTTCTTCCCTCTCTTTCTTCTCTCCTTCTTTTCGTTCCTTCTTCGACTCCTCCTTCCTTCCTTCTTCTCCACTCCGATCTTCCTTTCCTCATTTTTCATTCCACTCGATTCCACTCGTACATTCATCACACGCACACACACACACACACACACACACACACACACACACACACACACACACACACACACACACACACCACTCACTCACTCTCGACTGACACGCATACTCTCTCTTACTCTTCTTGCCTGTCTACTATATATCACTCTCACACGCCTGCTCTTCCTCCTCTCCATTCCTCATTCCTCCTCCTCCTGTCCTTCAACAGGTAATCCCTCTCATTTCTCTCCTTCCGAAAACCACACACTCATACACACCCTTTTCACGCCTCTTCAACAACTACACACCTTCACTCCACGAAACTTAATTCCACCACACTGACACTGACACCCATACTCATTCATTCCTTTACCCTGTAGCAACCCCTCAACTAACGACAATACCCTTTTGACGACGTTGTTCACTTCCAAACGGTCAACCCCTTTCAACCATACCCCTCCCGCTCAATATCCTCTCAGCTCACATTATCATTACACGACCACCAACCATTAATCCGTAATACACTATCCAGCAACGAAACGACCACCTTCCACCAAAAAAAACCTACAAGACGCTCCTCTTTATCCTCTCCTCTCCTCTCCTCTCCTCTCCTCACCTTTCAACCCCTCCTCTCCACAACCCATTTAATTACTCTTCCAAGGCTCACACTTGCACATACACACAACCAGCACCCTTCCCCCCCTCACTCTCACTCTCTCTCTCCTCTCCTTCAGCGCGTAATATATCCCTTTTAAGACCTACAACTCCTCTTTTCTATTTTCGAAACACCAATATCTGCAGCAATAACAACAACAACAACGTACATATCCTGCCACCATGGGTCTGTGTCTGTCTGCCGAGGAAATCGAACAAAAGGAAATCAGCCAAAATATCGACCGTGGCCTGGAGGAGGACAACAGGCGGCTGAAGAAGGAATGCAAGATCTTGCTGCTCGGTAAGTTCCTGACCCTCTTGCTGAAATAATGTGGACTCACAAGGTTTCGCTGAAGCTGTTTATCCACAACAACATGCCCCCGTGTTATTATTATTAACCTTGGCCTTGCAAAAAAAACTAATTATCAATTCTTTTTAGGAAGCGGAGAGTCAGGCAAGTCGACGATTGTAAAGCAGATGAAAGTCATCCATCAGGGCGGATACAGTCGAGAAGAACTAGCGACCTATCGGCTGACAATCTACAAGAACCTAGTCGAGTCCGCGCAGGCATTGGTCCTCGCCATGGAGAGGCTGCGGCTAGAGCCCGCCAAATCCGAGAACAGGACCATGGCGGACCGAATTCTCGACTATCGCGTCGACGCCGATCCCTATTTCACGCTCAGCGCTGACATTGTCAATGCGATTGATTCGCTCTACCACGACCCGATCACGGCAACGTGCATGGAAAGGTCCAGCGAGTTCTATATCATGGACTCTGCGCCCTAGTAAGTGTGTGTTTTTGTTGTTTGGCTGAAAGAGGGGTGTGTCTGTTGTTTGTTTGGGCGCTACCCTTCGACTTGCATAAGGCGTTTTGGTTTTCCTGTTTTTGTGTCTGTTCAATCGATGTTTCGCTGAGACACAATGACGGAGCAGGAAATATCATTTCTCTTTGCCCATTTCACCCCCTTCTTTTTATTTCGGTCCTTGGTTTGTTGCACTTCTACTTTCTAGGCTGTTTTCTTTCCTTCTGTTCTTGTTGCCTCTGCGCACTTACTGCTTCAAAGATACGCGACCTATCACTGACGTTATTTTTTCTGTCTTCCCTTCTACTGCTTCTTTTGTTGGATGGCTGAACAGCTTCTTCAGCCAAGTTCGTCGGATAGGCGCCGATGACTACACACCCAGCGTACAGGATGTCTTGCGAGCGCGTTCCAAAACAACAGGCATCTCTGAGACGCGCTTCAACATGGGGCAACTCAGCATACAGTACGAACTACATGCATTTCATCTGTGTTGCTTTTTTTGATATATTTCAAGAGATGGACGAATGTAGCTAACACAACTATATGCCCTCCGTTACTTAGTATGTTTGATGTAGGAGGACAGCGGTCTGAAAGAAAAAAATGGATCCACTGTTTTGAAGCAGTGACCTCGATCATTTTCTGTGTCGCATTGAGCGAGTACGACCAAGTCCTACTGGAGGAATCTGGACAGGTAGCGGATCAAATTGCAAACTTGTCTTTTTACTACTCTTCTTGTGTTCGTTTCTGCTGTCACGTCCTTGTCAGCACACCTCCTAAAAACCACACAACTCACCCTTTTTATTGTCACTTGTCACTTGCATGTAGAATCGAATGGCGGAGAGTCTGGTTTTATTCGAGTCGGTCATCAACAGTCGCTGGTTCCTCCGCACCTCGATCATCCTGTTCATGAACAAGATCGATCTGTTTGCGGCCAAGCTGTCAAAAGTCCCACTGGAAAAGTTCTTTACCGACTATACAGGTAACCTATTATGTATACTTTACGCAGGATATTCAGGAAGGATGCAGGCTGGAGAAGCAAGCAAGGTACTTACCTGTTGTTGTAATCGTGCTTTCTATGTTAGGCGGACCGGATATCAGCAAGGCTGCAAAGTACATTCTCTGGCGATTCACCCAAACTAATCGCGCACGTCTCCACATATACCCTCAGTAAGTGCCCACTTGTTGATGTTCTTTACGTGATTTGTCAATATCAAGATTTTGGGTTGCTAACATGCTTTTCTAATCTCTTCCATTTACCACTTTTAGCATGACCCAAGCCACGGACACACTGAATGTAAGTTGTTCTTCTTTTATCTTGGATCATAGGCAGTGCTGAACCAGTCTGTGACAATAATTAACCCATATTTTGCTTATTCTATGCTGCTGCTGCCACCTCATCCTAATCATTCCCAACAACAGATTCGGTAAGCCTCAAAACATATGTGTGCCACTGTCCACGGGCCATGAACATCATTCATAACACGTAAAGACGACGAGACTAATCCTTCTTCTACCTTCGTCCTGTTCGTGATCTTATATAGACTCGTGTTTGCAGCCGTCAAGGAAACGATCCTGCAGAACGCATTAAAAGACAGTGGCATCTTATGAATAAAACAATTAGTCTCTCTCCTCCATACATACTTTCTCAACTTTTATCATTCCAACACGTTTACTTTGAAAGCGACCATTTGAATCAGATATCATATCTGCCGAAAGGCAGTTACAGTGTCTCTTTTTTTTTCCTTTGGGCGGAGCATACTTAGTTGAACAACTAATCTCAAAGGGTTCTTGGACCGAGCGCCGTCTCTCTCCGCAATCTGGGGATCAAAAAGGGGGCATTGGCCACTTTATTCTTTTGAGGCCACCCCATATTTTTCCGCCACTAAAAACGAACGAAAAATGGGCTTGCAAATTGTTCAACACAGTCGTCCCAGCAGACCCAAAAACACAAAAACACGCTAAACTACATCTCACGTGATGGTTCAGCCACATACCACGTGATTAATAGCAACCGCGTCTTTCTACATAAAAATGAATTAAAATTTCAGTTGCCATCTAGCTTCTGTGGCGCAATTGGTTAGCGCGTCTGACTGTTAATCAGGAGGTTGGTGGTTCAAGCCCACCCAGGAGCGTTATCTTTTGCTTTTTTGGCTTGTTTTGTTGGTGTGGGCTAAGGAGAAAAAGAGAAAACACTGACAACCATTGCTTTTTGGTAGGGATGATGATATGACTCTGAGGTTTTATTAAGATGTTCTTTTCTTACTCTCCTCTCAACAAAAACTCCACCTAATTTTTCTTGACGAGAACAAGGGCAGTACGACAAGGGATATAAACCTGAACGAAATGCTCCCGATTACACCACTCCCCCTGCGTCGAAAAGAACTGACTCTCCTGACTAACACGATCGTGTCCTCCAAACCTCGGTTGATCCGTGTTCAATGCAATCCGGTATTCCCCCGCCGCGGGGACACCGACCCTGTAATCCGTAAACGACTTTGATGGATGGAAATTGAAAATGAACACGGCTCCGGCACGATCAAAGACAAGGACCTTGTCGCTTTCATGTTTGAGAGAGACGAATGCCTGGGGGGCGGGGAGCCATCCGATCTGGGCCTCGGCATTGTTCATGGCAGAGTCGAACTCGTTAAGGAACTTGTACCGCAAGAGTTCATCGTCGACGACGTTCCATTGACGACGCGCATAGTGGAAGGAGGAGTTGTTTCCTGCGCGAGGGAAGTCGAGCCATTCGGGGTGGCCGAATTCGTTGCCGATGAACGTCAAGTACCCCTCTCCTCCTAACGCATGTGTCACCAGTCTATTGTTCGCAGAAGAAGTACAATACAGTGAATATTATGAATTTACAAGGTGCAAGAGAAATGAAACACCAGTTTGGAATTCAGGAACAGAAACGAGGCAGGAGAGGACGCGATTGATTCGCAGATGATGATTGGATGTGGCGATGATATTTCATACCTGATCATCTTGTGGAGGGCAAGACCGCGGTCGATAATGGGGGTTAACTCGGTGAGGACACTCATATGGGTGTACATCTCCTTGTCCATCAACCAGAACGCAATCGTTTTGTCACCCACCAAAGCCTGGTCATGCGACTCGCAGTAAGCAATCGATGGTTCCTATGAGGGTTGAAGTGAGAGAATATGTGTTAGAGGGCGTGTTTGTAAGTTGGAACGAGACTAACAGCAATAAAAAAAGTGAGCAAGGAAAAAAGAATACCATATGTCGGCGGTTAATGAGGGTAAACACAATGTTGGCGATGTCCCACTCATCGTCCGACTTTTCCTTGAGCAGCTTGATCCACATGTCTGGGACGGCCATCGAGAGACGGTAGTCAAATCCAACTCCACCATCCGTGACAGGTCGGCACAGTGTTGGCATACCAGACACATCTAATTGTAGAAAAATGAACCACAGTTATGATTAGTTCATGGCTTGCAATTGCAGCACCAAAAAAGAGCAACCTTAGCAACAAGAACTCTGCGTTACCTTCGGCGACGGTGATAGACTCGGGGTATAGCTTGTGGAGCATATCGTTGGCGAGCATAAGATAGACAACGGCCTCAAGATCGACAGTATCACCAAAGTACTCATTATAATTGCCCGAGAATCCGTATCCGATACCATGGTGGAGGTACATCATGCTGGTGACACCGTCAAAGCGGAAACCATCAAAACGATACTCCTCCATGTAGAAGCGCAAATTGCTCAACAAGAAGCGGATGGTCTCGTGGCTGTTGTAGTTGAACAGACGAGAGTCCCAAAGGTCATGGCGGCCTTTAGCGCCCTCGTGGAAGTACTGGTGATCGCTTCCGTCAAAGTTGTTGAGTCCGTCTAGAACGTTCTTGCAGGCGTGCGAGTGGACGACATCGAGAAGAACCGTGATTCCCAGCCCATGAGCAGTGTCAATCAACTCCTTCAGCTCCTCAGGTGTACCTTTTCAATCGCAAGAACAATCGTATCAAAGTCAGCACATATGAACTGGAATAATAAACCAATGTGAATATAACGCTACGAAGAACAAAAGTTACCATATCGGCTGCTGACAGCAAAGAAGCTGGTGACTTGGTAGCCAAAGGAGGCATAGTAGGCATGTTCCATGATGGCCATCAACTGAATGGTGTTGTATCCCAACTTCTTGATGCGGGGGAGGACATTGGCGGTGAACTCTGTGAACTGACCAACACGACCCTCGGGCGTCGCAATTCCGACTACAAGAGATGGCCAAAACAACAACAAAATGACGGCGATTAGTTTTCTTGTGTTGGTCGGTGCGAGAAGGTCGGAGACGCAAGGTCAACGTGCAAACAAAGAACGCTAAAAACTGAAACTACCAGTTCTTCTGTCAACGTCATTATTTTCCATGCAAATACAACACGTACCATGGGCCTCATAGACCTTGAGACTGGCGGGCTTCGGGGGGGCCTTGTTCTTCCATTGGTACTTCTTGGCGGGGTTCCAGAAGACGGCATCGTACGTGGGAGAGACGTTCAAGTCCTGGGTGACACGCTTGATCCAGGCTGGGAGGCGATCAATACGAGTACCGTCAGGCTTGATCATCGTGATCTACACAGTAGCACACATGGGTAGACGATGAGGCGGAAGGAGAGGGAGGGACGAACGAACGAACATTTAGCGATAAGGAAACACAAATACGCTAGCCAACCATTCACTCAATCAAGCGGTCGTGGGTCATTGCCAAACGCCCTGTTTTTTTTCTGCAACTAATGAGCATATTGATCGTAACCATTACCTTGAGTTTAGAGTTGTGTTCGATGGCCGGGGTTCCGTTCGCCTTGTTGGGCAAAAAGATCTCGTACACGCCATAGTTGTCTCTTTTCATCGGATGGCTCGAGTTGTTCCATTCGTCTATTCAGCAACAGCAAAGCAATAACCACAATGAATAAAAGGCAGCGGACGAAAAGGAAGATAAACGAAGAGAGAAAAGATGAGGCGTGTCATAGATTTTTCAACAAATAATCGAACTTACTAAAGTCTCCAAAGAGGAATGCCTCCTTGGCATTGGGTGCCCATTCACGATAGGTGATACCCGTCTTGGAGACAGTGAACCCGAACCGTTCGTACCCCCTGCTGAACTTTTCGTATCCTCCCTCATTCTCGATCTTTTCTCTCCAGACCTTGTACAGCGAATATCTGTTGTCATCATGTCACCAAAGAAACAAATAACATGCGTGAGAAGGCGGAGTTGCAGAGAAGGCTTTCTCGCCAAGCATAGAGCGAACGCGCGAAGCTGTCATCTCGGTGAGATGAAAGGAAGGAAAGGTATATATTACCTGTGCTTGAGGCCTCCAGAGTAAGGCTCGAGCCAGGGATCCAGTCCAATGACGCTAGTACCATCCTCCTCTCTTTCCTGAACAGCGGGTGTCTTTGACTTGTTGGTGGCAACAGCCTTCCCGGTCTTGGAGACGGTGTTCTTTGGCTCTGCAATAGAGGTGGTATGCAACATAGTGAAAAAGTGATGAATGTGTGGGAATGAAATGAATGAGAGAAGAAAAGGAAAGGGAGGGGATGAAGGGAAAGGGTGGAATGAGAAGAAAGGAAAGCAGGCAACGGTTGCTTATTTATGACGAAATAAAGCAAGGGGGTGAAAGCGAAGGTGAGAAGGAAGGGAGAGAGGGTCTATCTTTTTCATGCGTGTTTGTTCTTGTCCCTTTTCCTGTTGGGATTCCTTCTTTACTTTCCTTATCGCAAACTAAAGCAAAGAGCAAAGGCACAGTCGGGATGCAAATAAAAGCCGCCATGGCCAGTGCTTTTTGCTTTTCTCTTTGACGATACAGGGGCGAATAATTTTCGTTTCTTTGGGGAGAGATGAAGAAGGGTGGTTGTGTCGACTTGGCCCGAGTGCCTTGCCCTCTTCCCGCCATCCTTACTTCCTTCACCCCCAACGATTGAACAAAGGAACGAACGTGCATCCATTTCATACAATCAAGGCGAGGACGTCTCGAAGGAAGACAAAATCTAAACCCTTTTCTGCCATCTTACAACAGCTTAATCAGATGGTATTGAGTCTTGACGTGAATAGACCACCCACGTTGCCTTATCCTCATCGATTCATGCTTATCATTCTTTTTTTTTTTTCATTCGTGTGTGTTATTTATTGTAGCTATCGCATATCAAAATTGAAAATGAATGAAGGCGAGCTTTCAAAAAAAGAGAAAGGAAGGGGGCAACCATCAAAGTGAGCCCGCCTCCCGTTATCTTTCTCTTCATTCCAAAGGGAAGAAAACAAAAAAAAGAAAGAAAAAAAACAGAGTTCATGTTAGATTGCAGTGGGCTTGGCCCATGCTCTGCATCAAACAGAGGCAGGAAAGAAGAACATAATCCCCTTACTCTCGGAATCCAGCCTCACTCTGCTCTCCATCCGTATCAACGACCACAAACTCATCATCGTCCGAAAAGAATCGCTCCGTCGAGATGTCGTCGTTGTCAATATCGATGCGGTCGTCCACGGACTCATCACGGCCAAGGATGGACGAGGCTAGCGAGTGAGACGTGTACTGCCCAGAGGTGGTCGAAAGCTGGTCGTCAGTCACTGAATGTGCGGTTCCAACGGGACCAGTATACGTGCTTGGGGCGTTGGTCGTGGTAGTCGTCCTAACGGAACCAGTCTCTGTCGCCTCTTCGGGGTTAGATGGGTTCCGGGACCAGGTCTTCTTGGTGTCATGGCAGTCAACAACAGGGAAGATCATGGTCGATGATCCCATCGAGTCCGAGCTGCTCTCGGAACCCTCCTCAACAATAATATCGCACCAAATGCAGTGACCAAAGGGTTCGCCATCAGGTGCAACCAGACGCCAGTAAGAGACATACCGACCTGGTTGAGGTGGTGCCTTGAGGTCGGCAGTAACACAGACAGATTCGCCAACAGGAGCAAGTGAGATCTTGAAGAGAGGGCAGGACTCGTTCGCATCGACATCAGCAAACATACGGTCTCCTCCAACAAACTGCAAAACGCTATCCTTGGGCCACTCTCCTACGCCGGGGTTGGACATCTCCCAAATCTTCAGGAACTGGGAGCCAGCCTGGATGGTGGTGCCGTCGTTGATGTTAATGTCCTTGACGAACAAGGCATTGCTGACGAAAGTCGGCTCTGGCAGAGTCTCAGGTTCACTTTGGGTCTCGCTAATACATCATAAATTGTATATAGAAAATAATGAGTTTGAGTGTGCATGAGAAATAAGTAACCCCAGTGTTTTCGCAGGTCGCGTATTTACCTTGTTGCTGTCGGGATCACAGCGGGTTCAATTGGCTCAGTTGGTTCGATTGATTCGAAGGGCACGGTCAGCACTTCGTCAAGAGTTGGTGCCACCGTGAGAACAGTCGGAGCGACGGCATCGCTTTGATCCAATTCTGAAGCATCGACCTTCTCAAGGGTTGCGTCCTTCACTGGCGCAGGTGTGGGCAGAGGGTCAACTTTAGGGAGATTCTCCGTCATAGTCGTGGCTTGTCGGGAGTTGCTCGCCATGGTGGTCCTACCCCAACCTCTCTCGTACATCATGGGCAAAAGCGGAGCAGCTGGCGACATGCGGCTGTGAACAGGCCGGCGAATCTTCAAGAAGATGTGCTTGGGATCGTGACGGTGGAAAGGCGAAGCCTCACAGTTACCGCAAAGATCGTAGTCGGCGCAGTTACCACACTATTTATATGCATGCAGATCCATAATACAAATGAGAGTTGGCAGCTTATTCTTGTGTTTGGTTTCATCAAACCGTCAATTGGGTGCGAATCATTACCTTGTAGCGGATGCCGGTGATATCGTTGTCGCAGCCATCGCAGACGATGCCATAGTGAGGGGTATAATCGACCTTGAATGTGAGTTCGCCTGGGTAGGAGATGGGCACAAAGCTGTGACCCCTGTGGTGAACCTTGGCCAAGGGAAGGCACTCCTCGCAGAGGTCATAGTCCGGGCACTGGAAGCACTTGTGGCGAACACCGGTTATGACGACCGTGCAAATGTCGCAATAGGCCCCGTGCTCCAAGGACTGGACCTCTGTGCGCGAGCAGGAGTTGACGGTCACGGAGGATCGGCCGGAGCTGCCGAGAGGCCTCTCGATGGCTGTGAATGTGTGTTTGGGATGGTATCGCTCAGCGGCGAGGGGATGGCATGCTTGGCACAAGTCGTAGTTGTCACAGTTTCGGCACTTGTATCGAATGCCCTTGATGGTATCCATGCAAACATCGCAAAGGACATTGGAGTGCACAACTTCTAACAGTTTGTGGATGTGGGGTTTTAAGAGCTGGAATCGATTGTTTGGGCTTATTTGTAGTCAATCGATGTATAGACCCATCGTGATGATGAGCATGGAATGTTTGCTGAAAACTCACCTTCGCAGCGAGGCTTGGGAGGGCTGGGCACCTTCTTGCATGGTTTGGTGGAAGCATCCTTCTCACGAGTGTCCTTGTTGCAGACGTCCTTCTTCTTGTTGTTGTTGCAGGCTTCCTTTTTAGCCGCGTTGTTCTTGCAGGTGTCCTTCCTGTCGGTGGCGTTGTCATTCTTGCAGGTATCTTTCTTGTTGCAGACATCCTTCTTCTTGCAAGTCTCGGACTTTTCTTTTGCACAGTGCTGATGCTTTGCCTTGCCGGAGGTGGTTGGGGTGGCAGCATCTACATATCGACCAGAAAGGATCAGCACGTCGGGAAGAAAAAAAATAAAAAAGGCGATGAGCACGTGCCTCAGTTGGGCAAAATAACATTTATGCGGATTGCGGAGTGGGAGTTGGGAGTTGGTGCATCTAACGATGGCAAAGCAACAAATAAGAACCCCCACCTTTAGTCACGGACAACTTGAGAACCATCAACGTGGCTGTTGGTGACACAAGGCCGCTGGAGGAAACCACCGCAGCAACAACATCGGCGTCCCGCTGGATCAGCCTCTTGGAACCGCTCTGCTCCACATACTGGATCATGAGCGCCTTTTGGCCGAACAGCGTGCACAGCTAATATTTGTTATAACAATGTATTGTGAGGCAGGTAATACGTTGTTAGGTAGGACACAAGAATAGAGCAGCAAAAAAAACAAGGCTATCGACTTTGTACTTGGTACATATTCTCCCGCATGGTATGAATCGACATGGTGTTGTGCCCAAGGAGAAAGAGGGAGTCTATAGAGAAGTGTGAATAATGAAAAGAGGACGCACCTTGGAGTGGAGGGCCTCGAAGCTGAGCTTGTCTGTTTCGTTGTGGATATTGGCAGGGTCGAGGGTGCAGAAGGTGAACCGTCTACGCTCGCCGCCGAGGGATGCCTTGACGATGCAGTGCATGGAGGAGGGAGGGAAGAGTGAATGGAAATATAGGGTGGGGGTGGGACGAGTGTGAGCAAGGTTCAGGAAGGAAGAAAAAAAAAAAGGAAGGGCGAGAGAGAGAGAGAGAGGGAAAGAGAGGAGACGAGAGGACAGAGGGAAAGAGAAGTGGAACGCCAAGACAAATGTCGAGAGGAAAGAAGCAGTCGAAAGCTACGTAAGGCGAAATGAGAAGAGGGCATAGGAGCAAGGGCAAAGGAGCAAGGGTTAAAACCCATTGCACTGCCTGCGCCATTCATTGATATAGATCACATGATCATTACCGGTAGTAGTGGTAGCCCTTGAGTGTGCTTGCTTGGATGCTTTGCGTGTGGATCTCGAACTGGGACCAGGCAGGGCAGCAAGGGATGCGATATCAATCTGTCTTTTGCTATGCAATAGGGGGCATGGTTTGCAAAACAAGCCTTTTTTTATTCGCGCCGATTACCTAGTCTGTTGAGAAAGTCGAACAAGAGATGAGGTGAGGTATCAGGATGAATCGGGTGAGGGTCCCGGTGTAGAAGGGGAATCATGAAAAATGAGAGCACTGGTGAAATTGAATGTATGTGTGTTTTATCACTTTGCTACAGTTCCTACAGTAGTGAAACAATTAAGGATGATGTTTTCCCGTTCCATCGGCAGCCAGTAGGGCACCTCGCCCACTAATAAATACATCAACAAAAACTGTGTCAACAAACTGTTCGCGACAAGTTTCGCGCGTAAAAGAGAATAATGGACAAGGAGAGAGATGAATAGAAAAGGACGACAGAGAAAAAAAAATATTGGGGTCATGAGTACTAGAGGACTACAGTGCCCGGGAAGCACAAAAGAAAAAGGGAGGCGGGAAAATAAAACCATGAAAGAGAACAACAGACAACCACCTATTTTAAGATGTTTGTTGCGTTCCGCATGAAAATGTGCGCTGTACAACAACAGCAACAAAACATACATTTCTCTCCTGCCTCAGTACATTCATCGACATACACACTTCATTGTAAGTAATGTACCCTTTCTTCGTCATTCTCGCTCTTTCGCTCTCCTTTCTGGGTTTCGTTTGAAGGCAAGACGAAAGAGATGGCCATGGCTGCTGCTCTTGTCTTCTATTATTTTTCCTTTTCTCTGTCCCTTTTCCTTTTCCCTTTTTCCTTTCTTCTCTTCCCTTTCCAATTGATCCACATCCTCGCCATATCTTTCCCTTCTCCTCTACCCCTCTCCCTTTTGTTCTCTCCTCTCCTCTCCTCTCCTTTCTTCTCCTCTCCTCTCCTCCTGAACGAGCCATTCCCATTCCTGTTGGTTCCATTCCACATTGCATACACACACACACAACACACATTACTCACCTCTCTGTTTTTCCTTTTCAAGATCAACCTTGCATTCATTCCACCCTCCTCACCTCACAAAAAGAAGAAAGAGTAAGAACACCACCTCGCCTTAAGAACAGGACAAAGCAGCCACTCCAAACAAAGATGTCGTTCGTATCTCCGGTGGTAGAGTCGTCTCCAGGGGCAAGGACACCTGCATCGCCTCCATCCCTGTCTCAGTCAAGTCAGCAGGCCCCTTATTCTCCGCCTCCTATCCACACGCCTCGACCATTTCAGGCCCCAATCTCTGCCCACGCCTCAATCCAGCAACAGTTCCAGCATCCGCACCAGCAGCAGTTCCAGCAGCAACAGCAACAACATCCTTCATTCCAGGCATACCCACCTCCACCGCCCGTCCTGCAGCATGATCCAAAGCGTCAGTCATTCATCCCTTCGTCCGCTAATCAGCTGGACTTTTCAATGGCTGGACTGAGCCTCGCTAACAATGGATATGTCCAAACACCCCCAGCACAGCCGCTACATCGGCAACAGCAGAGCGCCGCCATTGAAAAGTCTCTGCCAGCGTTGCCTCCAGGAGAGAGCGCCAGTGTTAGCACTACCACCACCACCAACACCATTACTACCACTACAACTGCGAGTCACGGTCTAGCCCATCGTATCGAGTTCACCACAACCTCATTGTCACTTTCGGATGAGCTTGGTTCTTACCTATCCGACCAAGACACCTTTGTAGTGCCTTCCCCCCCTCCCTCTGTGATTACTCCTGCGGTTGCTCCTGCTCCTGTCCCTGCCCCTGTCCCTGCTATTTCACCACCTGCCCAGGAGGCTCTCAAGCATTCCCCTCCCAACATTGTCACCACCATCGAGACCGTCTATTCTATGCCGTCACCCATTCTAGCGCCTAGCCCTCTGTTGCATCAACAACAACAACAACAGCAACAACAGTCCATTGAATCTAGATCTGCATCGCCACCTCCTACCACAGCCACTTGGTCGCCCTTCACTGCTCCTTCTCCTGCTCCTTCGTCCAACGCTACCACAAGTACCCCTACTTTACAGGTTAATCCGAGCATCCCCTTTTCTGTTATTCCTGGGCAAGGACTACAACAACAACAACACGCGGCTCTCAATACCGAGGGCATTGCTCAGGATCAAGCGTCGTCGTCGCCGCCGTCCAGCCGGTCAGATCCACATCAGCAACAACAGCAATCACAACAACAGCAATCACAACAACAGCAGCCATTCTTTGTGTCACAAGCACCATATATTCAAACCGCCTATGTCCCGCAATCTACGTACGCGCCCCAATCGACATATGTTCCACAGTCGACATATGTCCCTCAATCTTCATATACTCCTCAGCCCAAGCCTGCAACACAAGCCTCGCAACTCCAGCAACAGCAGCTTCAACAGCAGCTTCAACTCCAGCAACAGCAACAGCAACAGCAACAACAACAGCAGCAACAGCAGCAACAGCAGCAAAACCAGCAAAACCAACAGTTGCAGCAAAAGTTCCAGCAACAGCAGCAGCAACAGCAACATCATCCTTATTCTGCCCAAGCTGGTTACTCTGCTCCACCTATGGTCTATATGTCTGAACAACAGGAGAGTCCGTCGACTTTGGTGCCATCGCTTGGGATCCCATCACCTGTCCACTCGACCCACCCCGGAAGCCTGGTGAACATGTACAGGGCTCCTTCACCGTCATCTTCGCACTACGCTCCACCGCCACCATCGACAATGGGCGATCCTTCGACTATTTCAGGTGACAGAATGTCAATTATTTCTCGCACCGACTCGACCGCGACATCTGCCCCTCGAATGTCGATGACTTCAGAGGATGGCCGAGGACCAACAGGACATTTACGAGGAGGATCCCATGGAAATTCTGGTTTGATTCCTGGTCGAGTGTCGCCCCTTCCTGGTCGTGTCTCGCCTCTCTCTTTGCAGATCAACAACAACAACGAGGAGCGCTTGAAGCCGATCCCCTCCAACTCGGAAGATTGGGCAGCTTTGATCGACACCCCTGCGTCGCCTGTTTACGAACGTGGAATGCGACAGCAGTTCCCTGGTCCACCTCCGTTTGCTAATGGTCCTGGATACACAGATTCCCCCGCCGCAGAGGAGCCCGGCCAGGTTAGCGGCGATTACATGCAGCACCAGCATCAGCGTGGACGGTCGTTTGGATACGGCGGCGGCGGCTTCCCGAGCCATGCGATGACGGACCCAACGTCGACGGCTCATCATCGTATGTCGTACCAGCACCACCAGCACCACAGCTCTGCCTCCAGTGTGCCGATCCCCTCAGGTAAAGAAAACAAGACTGGGCTCAGCATGTCTTTTCTTTGCGCTGATCCATTTTTTTAGACGACTGACCCAGTTTTTTTTTTCATGGTTGGTGGTGGATGCCACTGAAATACCGCTTTTGGAAATTTGTACAGGTCCAGCAGACCCCGCTGCAGTCGGAAACTACAACATGGCTGCCCCAGGAAATCGCCTCATGCACCGCCAGTCCTGGTCACCCAACACCTTCGAACCCCTCGATGCGCCTCTCTCCAACAACAGCAACAATGGGAACAACGGCAACAACAACGGATACCTCACTCCTCCACGCCGACTTGACAGCAGTCCCGGTTCTGGTCGTCGTGGGCATGCGAAACAGAATTCAGTCGCGACCTCTGTCTCGCTTTTGACCGACCAGGCGATCCTTGGGAAATACCGTGATGCGGCCAACAAGACCAACGATACCAACCTCCAACTCTCTTTTGCAAAGTACCTGTTGGAGATTGGCGAGCCCTCATCTCCTACTTCACCTACCGTATCCACCGCCACTACCGCCAACACTGAGCCCCTTCAGCCACCTCCACCGCCCACTTCATCTGGACCCATGAATGGAGGAGGATCCCGGTGCTCAAGCCCTACACCTTATCAGCCTCAGGACGACTCCGCCGCCGAAATGTCGGGCAAGAAGAAGTTGACTCAGGAAGCCATCTACTGGATCGACCGGTTGGCCAAGGAGGGACAGCCGGAGGCACAGTTCATCCGGGGTATCTGGTACGAGGAAGGACTATACGGGAACAAAAAGAGCGCGGACAAGGCTCTGCGGTGTTTCCAGTCGGCGTCCAAGGGTGACTTTTCGGCGGCCCATTACAAGGTTGCCACCTACTGTGAGAAGCGTAAGGATAACAACAAGGCTGTCGTCCTTTATAAGAAGGCCGCCACCCACAACGATGTCCCCGCCAACCATGTAAGTCTCTCTTATGACCTCATTTTAAGTTTTCTTTGTTTCCATAAGTTGAGCCTTCAGTGCCACCTTTGCCACAGTTGGAGGCATGCAAGAAATTGTATTCATGGTGTAACAATTTCACACTTTCAATCGATGATAGCGACTGGCGATGGTGTACTTGTACGGAGAGTTGGGCCAGAGCAAGAACATGAAAACCGGCCTCCAATACCTCAAACGCGCCGCTTCCTTCGCAACCGAAGCCGCACCCATGGCACCCTACGTCTTAGGCCAGATCCTCGCCCGGGAATACAAACAACTCGCGATACCTGACGACATTGCCTTCCCTGACGATGGCGAAGCCCTCGAATGGTTTAAAAAGGCCGCCGATCTCGGCCACGGCCCGGCAGACTTCAAACTCGGCTGCTGCTACGAATACGGAACCCTGGGCTGTACTATCGACCCCTTCGTGTCGATCCAGTATTACGAGCGCGCTGTCCAAGCGGGCGACCCAACGGGTGAGGCCGAGATGGCGTTGTCGGGTTGGTACCTGAGTGGGGCCGAGAATTGTTTTGAGGCGGATGATGCGGTTGCGTTCCAGTATGCGGCCAAGGCGGCCGAGAAGCAGTTGCCCAAGGCCCAGTATGCGATGGGGTACTATTATGAAGTCGGGATCTCGATTCCTTCGGATTTGGGGAAGGCAATGGAGTTTTATAAATTGGCGGCTGCGAATGGGAACAAGGAGGCTCGGGCGAGGCTGTCGGAGCAGACGTCAGGGTTTGATAAGAGTGGGCATAAGAATAGTATTCGGCGGATTAGCCATGGTCGTAATGCCAAGGATAATAACTGCATCATCATGTAACAACATACACATTTATAAATGACAACAACACATACTAGGAAGTAAAATAAACGAGAGAAACGATATAGTATAGGATAGGAGAGATTGCTAAGGAGAAGTACGTGATTTTGTTTATTTGTTCCCATGAGCAAATGTCTCTTGGCGAAGCTGCCAATGTGTAGATGGAGGGAAAAGGAGTGTAGACGGATATGAACAAACCAAAGAAGGAAGGGTGACAAACTTAGACTTTTTGTATGCCACAGTGATTCAACAGTTTTAAGCCTCCTTGGCGAGAGGAATGGCAAGGTCGATCTTGACATTAGCAAGAGCGCCCGCAACACCAGGGTTCTTGGAAACAACCTTGAGCCCCTCAGCCGAATCCCCCGTTAACACGGCCGTGGCAGGATTCTCACTCCCAGGCTTGATAATCCAGTTCCGAAGCAAGATGGCCTCAACAGCAACACCTGCAGAGTTAACAGTCACTCATATCAAAACCATTCAAGAAGAAGACATTAGAGGAGGAACATTCGGAGATGAGAGGATGTGAAGGGTTCTCGCAAAGAACAAAAATGACAAAAAAAAATATAATGAAAGAAGGAGGCTACCACCATTTGATACATTTACTTATTTTTCCTGATCGAAATAAATATCCGTTTTTTATTCCTGCTGTGGATTACTAGCTCCACGACGGCGCATACTCTTCCTGGGGACGAGAGGAGGGGGCGGAGACAGCCCTCTCATGGGCGACGCTGCCGCTGCAGATATATCCATACCCATCAGCGCCTGCTCCTGATCCTGTTGGTGGTAATTCCATTGTTGTCGCGGTTGTCGTTCACTTGACAGTCGTGGTTGCCTCTCACTAGACACTCTGGGCTGCTGTTGTTGTTCACTAGATATTCGTAGCTGTCGCTCACTCGAGGCCCGCGGCGACCGCTCCCGATCCCGGTCACTGGAGACACGCCCCTGATCACGACTACTGCCACGCGCAGGAATGACGACCGACTGGACAGCTTGGGTATAGGCCTTTGGCGTCGCTGGAGGAGCAACGGAAGGTGGAGGGGGAGGGTAGAAAGGTGCGGGCGCGGTTTTGAGTTGGCGGTCGATCCGGGAGGGTTGGCTCAGTGAGATGGGTGGGGCAGAGATGTCTTCCGAGTTGTAGAATGCCTTTTGAGATAAGAAGGGGAGTGTTGGATACGTGACTCGAGGTTGAGGAGAAAGAGGGTGGGAAATAGGGTTCCGGGTGGAGGTGGTGTCGGTGGTCAGATCCCGAGGGTGAGGGTAAGAAGGAGGCGGAGGAGGTGTGTGGTGATGGTGATGATGATGGTATCGATCGAACGAGTGTGACTTGTTTCCAGAGGGTGACGAAGAGTTGGGCGAAGTGGGCGAAGAAGAAGTAGTCGAGGTCGAGGAAGGCCAGGAGGGCCAGGGGACAGCGCCATCCGTAACCAGCAAAGCATGCTGTTCGTGGAAGAGCCGCTTCTGGATGGGTTCCTGTTGTGCCGTGGTGGGTTCTGGACTGCGGTAGTAAATTGGCTCGCGGTCGTTGTCCTGAATAGTGACAGATGTCTTACGCGTCGCCCCACCATATATCGCCTCGGTGTTAGGTAGAGGGGGAGCGGCATGGGATCCAGACCGGGACCGAGACTGTTTGCCGCCATATCGAGGTGTCTCTGCCTCGTACGCCGCCATGATCATGTCTCGACTGTTAAACTCGTTTGCTCCCAGACCCAGATCATCCGAGTAGAAATCATTGTCCTGGCTCTTGCCTCGATCTGCTTTTGTCGTCTGTGAAAAGCGAACATGCTCCTGCTTCTGATACCGCTGTTCTTCGGGGGACACCGGTCGGTGCTGTTGGTCCGTGGAAACATCGCCCATAATAAAGACGGTTGTATCCTTTTCGCCAACGATCCTGCTCTTGAGATCCTGCCACAGCTCAAACTTGGTGCCAAAGATAATGAGGACGAAAATTCCAAAGATTGCCGGCATAATATCCGCCAGCGCCGCCCAAGTAAACGACGGCACATAGGGCGCCGTGATCCGTGCACACGCCCCTTGAGCCACATCTCCCGCGGCTTTCAAATCATCCATTGTAGATGTCGCCGACAATCGACCGGACAAGAGGGCCTCTTGAGCCTGCTCCGCCAAACATGCAAGCCACTCCATGAACCAAGGAGTGTCCGGTCTGACCCTCTCCAACTTTTTCGCCTCGATGAAATAAAAGAGCCAGTAGATCATGTAGACGATCAAGAGACAGAGCGCCAAGAGACCCGGACGCCATTGTTGTTTGAGGAGCTGGGAAATATCGCGTGCTGCTTGGAGTCGGCGTCGTCGTTGTGAAGTTGTCTTATTGCTCTGCGAGTCGCTCTGGCTCTTGAACGACGTCGAGTCACTCACAGCCACCGAGTTGTTCTGTATGCTCGACTATTATGCATAGTAAATACGCGTCAGTGTTACTGTTTCCGATTTAACGATGGGCACAAAGCACTGCAAGAAGGAGAAAGTACCTTGATCATGAAGGCGATGGTGCCCAGGTGGAGCAAGGTAGCCAGGCAGACAACGACAGATAATGGATAAAAAAAGTATGGACTGGCGACCTGGGAGCTGACAAAACAAATAGAGCCGAATCCAGGATTTTCGACCTGCTTGCGAATCGCCACAGGGAGGACAAGCGAGAGCGGCAGAAAGAAGGAAAGGACCATCAACTTTGTCAAATGGTTCTGGACAACGTACGATCGGAAGACTGACAGGACGTGGAGGTTGGCAATCAGGAGAAAGCCCAGGCAAAGCATCGTCAGTACTATGTACATCAACCCGATTCCTGTGGTTATGGTGGAAGGAGGAAACGAATATGTTAGAGATACAAGCGAGACACCCTGCGATCACAAACCTAAAGTATCATACCTTGGACGCCACAAAACCACGAGTTGGTCATCGTTGCAGGTTCATAAATATTCTTGCACAAGAGATCAGTCTTCATGTGGAGCCACGCCGTGCCAAGTCCCTCCCAGAAAACCATCATGATCGAAAAGACCAAGACAATCAAATGAGGGTGTTTCCGCCGACTCGGGAGTATTAGATAGCATAGTGCCAAGATAAAACAGCAGGTTGCCGAGACACCGCGAAAGATACTCGTCAGCGTGTAAATGTCTTCGAGTTTGTGGGGTTCATAAAACACTGAGGACGCCGGGCAGGGTATACAGCAGGGTCCCATACACGACGCAGATTCGAGCTGCAGGGTGTTGGGAACCAGGGGTGGTGGACATGTTGCTAACCCACCGAGCGAAGGACCACTGGGAACAACAGCTGGTGAACTTGGTGGAGGAGTAGGAAGCAGAAAGTCGACCGTGCTGGTTGTTGTTGTCGTGGTCGTCACATTTATGAGCGAGGGTAGGGCTCCAGTTGGAATAGTGGTTAAAAGTATGGGTGTTTTTGTCGCGGGAGGTTTGGCGACTGTGGCGATGGTCGTTGCTGGTGGTGCTGCTGAAAAGACTGTGGAGGCCAAGAGCAAGAGTGTCGCGCAAGCAGCGATAAATAAGCGCCGAAGCCTTGGTCCTGTCGTCATTGTTGTGGTCATAGCGATTCGTTAATGAAGGGAAGCGGAATTAGAGTATGTATTAGTCGTGAGGATGAGAGTGAAGGAGAAAAAGGAGGAGGTAGAGGGAGTGGGGCCAAGGCAAAGGCCAGCAAATGAGATTGACAAAGACCAAAGAAAAGAAAAAGAAAAAGAAAAAGAAAGGAAGGATGCAACGGATAGACGGGAAGTGCCAAATGCCATGAACAAATAATGAAAAGGAAAAGCAGGCGGAAAATAATAAGAGGAGGGACAATCATATGCTCTTTTTCTCGTGTACGAAAACCACAAGAAGAAAAGAAGAAAAGTGCTCTCTCGCTATTTTTCCATCTCTTCTTCTCGAAGGGAGCACGACCGAGAGGACAGACCGTTCTCAAGCCCCATGCACTCTGGCCAACCCCGACTCTCTTTTTGTGTCCTTTTCCTTGTGAGCAAAATGAATTATATCTCGATGCCAAAATGCCACATGCGTGCAGGCCTGACATGCCCTATACAATAATATACATACTTATCCGGGATACCTGGCAGGATACCTGTAGGGACGAAGACAGGAAGGATGTACAGTAGGTAATATTGTGGAGTATCGAGATTATCACTCAGCCAGTTCAGGGTTCATTCAGCATCCGTCGCTTTCTTTGCGCAGAGAGTCCTGTATCGGGGACTTGCCAGAATATGTGTAACGATAATGGCCATGCATTGTCAGCGAAGGATGATAAAAATACCCCCTATCCATTTACTGCACACGACCCCATGATCATCGTTCACATCGGGACACTTGCTGGTGTGGTCATTTCCTCTTAAAAGCCTCATGCTCCTCTTCCTCTTTCATGCTTGTACACATCTATCTTTGTTCCATTTTTTAGCTGAACGAAAAGGTACCTTTGCCAATGTACTCTGTATAAAAAATCGAATCCGCCCGCTCGTGCCATCACCCATCCCCTTTCGCAATGGACAAACATCTGAGCTGTAAAGGCTGTCTTAATTCTCCTTGCTTCTGCCAGTTCTGCTTCACTGCCTTCTTGTAGCTGCAAAAAGCTTCCTCGATCAAAACGACGACTCTGTCCTTCATTCGGGGTTTCTCACATGGAACTTTGAAAGGTAAGGCGCTCTCTACGCCTGTACCACCCAACTCCCTCATGTTTCTTTCTTTCCTCTTCAGCTATTTGGCTGTTCAAATGGAGTGGAGTGAGCACTGCACTTACAAATCTTGTATTCGACACTAGAAAAGGTTTATTACAGTATGTACAGGGGGTCTTCTTGTACCGAGGTGGATATCTTTACAAAGGGGAGGTAATAGGATGAACATTATTCATCTGATTCATCTGGAAGGTTGGAGGGGTACTGCCTGGCGGGACTCTTTTGGGGTATTGATGGCTTGATGGATTGGTATGTAGCCCTTTGGCCAAGTGTGTCAAAAGTATCCTCGAGTGATGACCCTTGTGCAGAAGATCGAGTACTCGAGACTGCTGGGGAGCTCCTAGCGCCATCCCTAATTGGCACAGAGTCTCCCTGAATGGTTCCTCGTACGTTCGCCGCAAAGGCGAAAGGCGACTGTCGTGGAGGCATGGGTGACAGTGAGGTGACTGGAACAAATCTGGGCGATTGGGGAGGGCTGACTGGAGTGCCAGTGCGGTCCTGCTGTCTCTTGCCCCTGCTACTTGCACGGAGGACTGGACGAGGGACGACTGGCTGACCCACATATCGATCACTGTTGTCGTTGGCAATAAGGTATGCCTGTGCAGGACTGGCGATGGTGTGGGACTCGGGGGCGTAATAGTCCTGGACAGGAGGTTTGTAGAGAATGTCGCCAGATTGAATATCATCGGCAGCATTGATTGGGTATCGTGGGAGGTCAGCAATGGGAAGCAGACCAGGACCGGTATTCTGAGAGGATGTCGGACGCATACTAGACTCCAGACTGAATGTCCTTCTGAGATCGGCCACCGGGCTCATAGTCCGTGGCAGGTCACCCTGTGGGCTGAAAGCCCGCTGACGCTCTCCTTGTTCAATGTCGTACTCTTTATCGAACAGCGCATCCATATCGACCCATTGCTCACGTCTGGATCCTGATTCCGGCAGCAATTTGGTTTCTGCAAGTTGGAGTGGGTCGAGGACGGTATCGTTGTATCCCATGCGCGTTCCTTTCCTGATCTCTGGTTCAGGGAATGAGTTTTGGCGCTGGCGAGGGTCCTTGGTTGGTGAGATAGAAGAGAGATTTCCTGGCATCTTTCGCCCTTGGGGTCCGCTTCCAAGCTTGCCACGGCTAAAAATGTTCTTGAGCATCAGCGCCCACTCGGACCAAAACTCGGGCTTGGAGATGAAAACGAGTGCAACAACAATGCCGAGGATAGCCAAAAGGAACTCTGCAGCGGCAAACCACGGAACTGAAGGGAGGTTGGAGTTGATCGATTTGGAGCACAGGTTCTGCGTATCATCAGATGAGTAAAGTTGGTTATGGTGGATCGTGATACATTTCATCCAGTCCTGGACCCAGGGCGTCGACTTGTCCACGTTTGCCAGCCGCTTGGCATCAATGAAATAGAACAGCTATCGTTTGAGAAGAAAGGAGACCGTGAGTAATCTGGAATAGGTTGACTTGTGCACTGTCCTGTCAGCGATAAAGTTTCAGAAAAAAAAAAGTTACCCAAAAGACGGTGAGACAAGTGACGACGGTGCTCAGCATCAATGCAGGTCGCCACTGGCCGCGGAGGAGACGTCTTGTCTGCATTGTCGTCTTAATCTTGGCTCGTGCATTTGTTGACAGTTCTGAAAGACCCATGTTGATCTTGGATGTCAGCATGGTTAACTATTCATTATATAATAAGAGAAGCATGAGTACAAGAGGTGAAGCGTGCGTAAGCTGAGAGAGGGAGAAAGAGGTACACCGAGCCTTCTTACGTGAATCATCTTGGCCACTGTTACTGCATGGCACAACAAGCCGGGGTATATGTAGACGGCAAGGGGATAGAAGAGGTAGGTGTTGAGGTTTTCGTTGCTGACGAGACAGCTGAAGCCGACTCCGGGGAACATGGAGAGGTTCTTAACGGCAACGGGGATAGCAAAGGCCAAAGGGAAGACCCAACAGAAGGCCGTTAGCCAGCCGTAGTAGCGATCGATCACGTTGTTCCTCCATACCGACAGCTAAAGCGAAAGGAGAACAATACGGAGTAGGCAGAATACTTCCCGTTAGCATGCAAAACTTTTTTTGGTTCTTTTGGGCGGGAAGAAACAAAAAATAGGAAATACCGATCGGCTGTGAAACAGACAGAGAGGATTACCAAATGCAACTTGTAAATAAGGAGAGAGCACCAGAGGGCATTGGTATGGGCAAAGTAAATGATAAGCACTCCCTGGACACCGCAGAGCCTCGAGTTATGCCCCGTCGACTGCTCAACCTCGTTGATGCATGCATTCGACGTGCCTGGCATGATGTCAAACGCCACATACCACAGCGTCAGCGAGAAGGTCAAGAACAACACCGAGATGTGCGGCTGTGAGCGCTTCCCGGGGAGAAGCAAGTACGAGATGGTCATAAAGAAAACAAAGCCCATCGAGACCTGTCGGGTGTAAAAGGTCGCATCGACGATCCGCTGGATCCTGTTGGGTGGATAAAAGTTCTCAAAGGCGGGACACCTGAGGCAGCATTGCTCTGTGCAGGTTGGGATGTCGAGGCCACGAGAGTTGGGGATGAGGGGTCCAGGACAGACGGTGGCGTTGCCTGCAGCTTGGGGTGGTTGTGGGGCGGGTGTTGACTGCGGATTGCCGGTTGGGAGCACAAAGTTGGTTGTGGCTGAAGTAGGGGTGAGAGCGGAGCTGGATGTGGAGGAAGAAGTGGATTGAGCAGTGGCAAGGAGGAGTAAAGACAGCCCCAATGCAAGGGAAGCCGCCACTGATGGTACCCTCATGGTTGTACTGGATCGATTGTATGTATATGTGTGTGATTGAAAGAGAGTGAGAGAGAGAGAGCGAGAGAGAGCGAGAGAGAGTGAGAAAGGCGAGAGAAGGATTAAAAGAAGAGAAAGAATTGAATGTGAAGAGGTGGAATGAATGTGAAGAGGAGGAATGAATGTGAAGAGGAGGAATGATAGAGCGGAACAGATGAAAAGAAAGAGAAAGTAAGTTGACAAGAGAGGGGTAGAAGAAGAGAGACATAGTGGAGAAGAAAGAGAGCGATACCATTGGTCAAGTCCGGCTGAAAAAAATAGAGGAAGCGAGACAGACAGGGTTTTCTTGGTTGGGGGATATTTTTTTCTTTGTTCAAACGAATGGGACTGATTGGATACAAATGAATAAGTGAGGGGCAACTGAAAAAGGCACGGCAAAAAAAAAGGGGGAGAGGGGGTGGCAGAGAGAGAGAGAGAGAGAGAGAGAGAAGGCAAGCGCCTATCTATTCATCCAACAACATCATCGAACAGCAATAGCAGACACTCAGCAATGGTCCTACAAGTTAGCACTTGCTTTTCACGCGCCATTTCAACATCCATCGTAAACAAACAAACAACAAAGCAGAGAGGAAAAGAAAGAGCCTTGACCTCTTTTTCGCGCTCTCTTTTCCTTCTCCTCCACAATACACAACCTCGATCGCCCATGTACTGTCGCATACAAGCGCTAAAAAGTGTTGTACAGTACATATAATGTACGGTACCTATAATGTACGGTACCTATCGAACAATAGGGGACTGGGCTCATGACCCCTCTTCTATTTCATCCACTCATTTATTCATTTACTCCATTTCTCCTGGCCAGTTGGAACATAATTCATGCCCGCGGAGGTACATCCTCGTCAATGAAAGTGAGAGTAATTAGCGCTTTACACGTTTCGATCGGTATCCACCCTTGCTTGATCATGTTGCTGGCCCAACTCTTACATATGTATACATGAGCCATGTCTTTCCTTCACCCTTGCTCACTATTTTGTTATTCTTTCTCACCTATTCCAACAGCGAAAAGGGTTTCAATGTCTGGAAACCAGAAGGCGGCCAGGCCTCTTTCCATGTTAATAATACCCCCTTTATTTTTCTTCCCCATCCAACGGCATCAGGGGGCTGATTGGTCAGGGGTACCGTTTTATTTATCATTTATCATATTATTAGTTGTGGAGAACAAAGCAAAAGCTCGCCGAAGTGGAGAGTCCTTTTTGGCTGACCAAACAGAATCCAGCGCGAAGGAAAAAACAGGATTCGCCGCAGCTGTTGTGGGTTTTTTCTCGTGCTTGTCATAGTCGATCGTATGACCTCTGGTTTACTCGACACCCTAATGTCACACAAACGGACCAAGTGTCTATTAGTCCGTTCTTTGCTTTCTTTCTTATGGACGTAACACCCGAGAGCATGCTTCTGCGGCTCTATTTTTTCTCAGCCTCGTTCGCATTAACGGAGTAGAAACTTTACTTTTGACTTGCTGCAACAAAGGACGACGCATTCCTCCAGAAGTTATGGAGCAATGGATAGTAACAGCAAATAGACAAACAAGTAACTAGCAAACAATGGCAATCTTGCTCGGTGCATGTATTTGAAACGATGATTCGGCGATTTTCATCAATGGGGTGCGTTTGCTGTTTGTTGCGAGTCAGAACGGAGTTCAAGGGATGAGAAAGAGAGGATCCTGCGCATTGTCGTCCCACCTGATCAAATTACCACCTCTCTTTTTTCTCTATGAACATCATTAGCAAAGACAACAACGGCAGCATCATCGTCATATTGTCTCTCTCCTTCCTTCCTTTTGTTCTTCTCCCCTTTTCCTTTACTCGATAAGGGGTTGTCCGTCACCCTGCATCTCTACAAAACAAAAAAAGAGTCCCTTTGTCGCAATGGGATAGCGCGGATCAGAGACGGCCAGATCTTGCATGTGGTCGTTTCTCCTCCTTCCCTTTCATGGTTCTCCACTGGACATTTTCCGCTAACAAGGGCAGCTTTTCTAAACCGTTCTCAGCCTGTATCCATCGCTTTCTCTCTCTCTCTCTCTCTCTCTCTCTCTCGCTTGCCAGTTCACCTCCTTTTTTTGTAACCATGCACCACAATGGGTTCAAATAGTCGGTGCAGGCAACTGGACCAGAGATGGCGAAAAGGTGAGAAAATAAGGTTACTTGCCCCCTCATCCCTGTAATCGAACTATTTCCAGTGAAGGGGAGGCAGCGGCACATCAAAAAATAATAATCGGTGGCATCTTTTTTTCGTGTTTTTATGTTGTATCTATGTTGACAATGAATGCCAGGGTGAACACCTCCGTACCTTGAGGATCTCTTCATAAAAGAAGCCTTGTTTTTCTTCTTTTTACCCAACCTTTTTCTTCACCACCATCTCTCTCAAACCTCCTCTCAACTATTCCACCATGTTAATCAACCGTTTCACGTTGACATTCTTCGCGCTCGCCGCAAGTGTCAACGCGCTCGCCATTCCTTTACACTCTCGTCGCGCTGACAATTTCGCCTCCACAACTGAAGACAATGGTGCCTCTGTAGCAGAAAACAATGCACCCAAGATCGCCTTACCACCTCAATTGCCTCCTTCATATGTCCCAAAAGGCGTCACCCCAGCACTTGCCTCACCTCCAGCAGGCGCTCCAAACACAGACTCGTCATCTCAACAATCAAAAGCATTCTCTCCACCAACAGAGCTAGTAGCCGATAGTGCTCAAGTGACTACACCAGCTGGTGCTGCTGCAGACAAGCCGATAATGGGCAATAGTCAAACAGCTAAATCAGCAACAGATACACCAACAGGCGACAACACCATCCAAACAACCAAACCAGAAACGGGCACACCAGAACCCAACGATGTTCAAGGAACCTCCCCGACATAAGACACCAACAACACCAACAGCCAATAATGGTCAATCTTCAAAACCTGCCGCAGATACTCCAGACGCGAACAGTGCTCAGCCTACTACACCAAACAAAGACGCGGCAGACACCACCACCAGCCCAGCAGCGCAATCAGCCAAAGATTCGCCAGTCATCAACAATAATAACACGCCAGCCCCCTTGGCTACTACTCCAGATGCACCATCACCCAACGGCATCCAACCACAATCTCAGCTCAATCCACTAACAAGCAACAGGACCCAACCCCAATCTTCCGATACGGATGCATCAGAACCAGCTAACAGCCAAACAACACCCTAACTGGCCCTGCTGCTCAAGCCGTCTCAGAACCTATAGATGCCCCACATGCGATGGCTGCCCCTGCTAACCCCTCTACTACAGCATCCCAGGCTGCGCCAGAGTCCTACGATGTTACTACACCTGTTCCAGAACCCGTGACCACGAAACAACTCCAGCCTGCTTCTGAGCCCAAGATTGCCTTATCCCCACAATCCACCGAGGAGACAACGGATGATGTATCGGACTCTCAGTCAGCTTCAGTCGAGGCAGCCAAGCCAAATCCTCAACCTGCTCCAGGTAAGGAGGAGAACCCAGACTCCCAACTCGCCTCTTTCAAGGAGGCAAAACCAAACCCCCAACCGTTTCCTGCTAACGAGGCCAAACAAGAGCCTGATCCTGCTCCTTCCGCGGAAGCCAAGCCTGAGACTCAGACTGCTGCAACCAAGGAGGCAAAATCAGACGCTCCATTTGCTGCTGCCAATAGAGTCAAGCCAGAGCCTAAGCCTACTCCTGCCGAGGGAACCAAGCCGGAAGCCAAGCCTGCACCCGCTGTGGAGACAAAGCCAGACTCTCAACTCGCTCCAGGCAAACAGGAAAAGCTTGAACATACGCCTGCTCCCGCTCCTGATGTGGAAACAAAGCCAGAGCCTCAACTTGCCCCAGTTGCTGAAGTCAAACCTAAGCCTCAACCTGCGACAGCTGTTAGCCAGGACGATAAGTTTCCAGAGGAGACAGATACTGAAGCCACACCTAATCCTGCCCTTGCCCCTGCTAAGGAACTGAAGCAAGAACCTTTGCCTACCCCAGTCGTTGAAGCAAAGCCAGTGCCCCAACCTGCTCCGGTTATGCAGCCAAACGCAACATCTGGGGTGCCTGTTGTTCCTACGACCTCGATCGAGTGCCTTGCTCTGTAAGTCCAAAGGAATTGTGCTCAAGCACTAACCATCCTTATATTTTTTTCTTTCATTCTCGTGTAACATTTCAGCCTCATGAAGACACAGCAGCCCCTTACCGAAGCCTGCCACAAGCCCATCCGAGTAAGTTAAGAGGTTATGTTTTGTTAGGATCTGGAATATGAGAAGAAAGAAAAGACTAACGGATCCTTCTTTCTTTTTGTTTGTGTGTACGTATGTGTGTAGGATGACCAAAATCTTATTCAGCTCGCAGGATTGGGCTCAGTCGATCTGGACTTTATGTACAGCGGCAAGGACTTTCCGGTCATCTCAAGCGACGGACTACGTCTCAAGTTGCAAGAGATCCCCGGCTACATCTTATCTTTCGTCCAAGCCCGATACGATGTAAGCGAGATTGACATTCTTGGTTTGCAACTAATTTTTCATTTCCCTTCTCTCTCGCGATGCGTTAATTGATGACAATCAACGTAGGTTGTCCTCGATGCTCCTATTTCTATTTATTATTTTTCATTCGCTTCATTTTACTATTTTGTTCAGTTGTCTAATCTACAACCCCAACTCGTTTGATATCTCGGACATTAGTACAAGGACCACGATACGGTCTCCTTTTTGCCACCATGGGCTCTCTCCACTATGCAAGCATCCGCTATAATCACCGCCATTGATCAGGTCGATGTCAAAATCTCTCTAACAATGCCTTCACTGACCTAATTGCCGCAATGCTCACCAAGCCCGAGACTCCCATCATTCTCGAGGGCACCGTCGATATTAACCTTTCGATTGCCTCAACCGACAGTGGCCCACCCAAGACTACTATCATCGCCGGCTGCCAGTTCTCGTCTCCAATCCACATGCCTGGCCTAACGGTCTCGCCAAAAAGAGTTTTGTCCGTAGTGATGGCTACGAAGTCTACGGCGACACATTCTACTTTTCGTCCGTCTTTGAGTTCGTGAACCCGTCGAACCTTAAGCTGACCTAGGGCGGTGTCATGTTTAACGTTCTCGACAGTGCGGGTAAGCAGCTTGTCACCTCGGCAGTTGACCTCTTTGAGATTGCCCCCAAAGAGAATAAGGTCTCTCTCCGCCTTATCTCCAAACTCGATGACTCGGTGGCATTCTTGAACCGACTCCATTATACCGGCGACACGGTTACCATCCAGGGCAAAACTGGATCCTCAATGAACCCGTTCTTAAACGTGACGCTCAGTCAGCTCAATTTTACGATCACCTATCCTGCTGTTGCCGATATCCCACCTCAGAACGCCCCTTTTGCCGTCGATACCCCACTCCCGGTCCCCGCTGCAGTTCCAGATATTCCACCTAAGAGTCCTCTTGCTACCACTCCTGGGATGTTGTAGTGATCGACCCACAACAATACAAAAACGTTTATTACTACTGTGTTGTGGAACGTTCTGCACTGAACTACAAATGTCACGTATTGTCAACGCTGATATCAAGGTTATCGATCATAAACTCATGGCTCCGAGAGAGAACTATTTGCCCAATGGTTTACGCGTGAGATTATTTTTCTTTGGCCAGGAATGCCATCAAGTATGTCTCCACACATATGATGAAGGAAGGTGCCCTGGAGCGACCAAGGACCCATGCGCTACTGACGAGTGGTTATTGGAGAGTTTGTTAGGAAGGAGGAGGTTGTCAATGATGGAGAGGATGGGAAGAATCCACTTCATTTGTATCTAGTTTATTTTCTTCCGTTTAAGCTGTGAAGAGCAGCGACAATTGTTGCGCAGAGCCAGGTTCCGGACCGGACTGCAACTGGTGGATGGTGCACTGAATAGTTTGGTCTGTAGTCCCCTTTTACTTCCAAATGACTTCTCTATGCTGTTTGTTAGAGAAATAAAATTGTGTACGAAAAAACCCCCCATGTGCATGGATGGTGTGAAGGTGAGGGTGAAATGAATAACGAGAAAGAAAGATGTTGTTTTATTAATGTTGTCTCGACAGCCTTATTTATAGTGGTATGTCGAGGTTATACAGATGTGAGTTCGTTAAATAAAAAAAGGTAGCTGTCTTCTGACAGCACCTAACCGCAACAATGGAGGTGGCGTCGTCCACTTGAAAACGACACTGGGAAGAAGCACTTTGACTATCTCCTGGTTGTTCAGATGGAGGTGTTTTAGTTGAGAGTAATAACTTGATAAATAGCCTTAGTATTTCCTTCCGTTTCTGACGTGAAGAGCGACAGCGATCGTTGCACAGAGCCAGTGTCAACAGAACCGGACTGTGACCAGGGGATTGCAAACTGGGATGGGGTCCACATTAATAGTCCTTTATTTTTGGATTACCAACACGAATTGTTAAAAATCGCGTATCAAAAAAAAATACACTTCTTTCCTCCGAAGCCTGATCCGGCATCGTTCTAGTGCACATGAGGATTTACAGCCCGCCCTCACCGGACGTGCGCGAGTCCGGACGACACTTGTTGCTTTATGGGACGCGTCCAAGGGATCTAGGTGTGCTCTTCCTCCAACTCTTTGATGACCATGTTACCTCTTCTTTCTACAATATCCATGGGCGTCAGGCCCGACAGGGTGTCTTTGACTGATCGATCAGCCGCTCGAGTATCGCTCTGCTTGCCTGAACACCGCTTTTCCCTGTGTTCTGCTACGGCTCGTCCACAAAGGGACTCGTCCCCTCGGAGTTTTCGCTCATAGATCTGTTGCCACCTGTAGTTCAGTGTCCACTGTGTCCTCTGGTTATTGGTGGTGCGTGTGCGCTACATGCTGCCCGTGATGTTGCTCTCCTCCTCCCACCTGATGGTCCTATCACAGCGTGACTTTCATAACTCGGCTCACATGCTGGGTAATACATTATGTATCTAAATGTGACTGACTTCCCACGCCGACGCACAAAATGAGCCTTGAACTACTTCCCTTCTTCTTTCTTTCCTTCTTTCTTGCCTTTACCCATCATCTTCCTCCCTTTGTAACCCCCTCCCCCCTCCCCCCCACACATACGCTATTACCAACAACCTCTAGCCTTACTTGCCTTTACAACAACCATGGAGGAGCCCACCGCAACCATTAAGGACTATACCGACGAGACCGCACCCGACAACGCCGAACTCGAATACGAGCTCTTTGACGAGGAGAGCCGCACCAAGTCTGGTATCTACGTTGATAAGTACAATACCATGTTTGTCAGCGTCGAGGGCGTCCTGAGAACAGCAGCCGAGTCATGAACGACGTAAGCATTTGTCTTTATTTGATAGCTTTTGATCACCTATCAGGCTTATCGTTCCACATGTTGCGCATATAAAGAAGGAAACTCAACCCGTTTTCGTTATCCACTTCTTTACTTTTTGATAGTTCAAAGAGCTTGCCTTGCACCTCACGACCCTCGAGAACATCGCTAGGATGCAGTACAAAGAACCCACTCCCATCCAGGTAAAAAGTCTATGCCTGTCTTTTGATGATCAGTTATGTGTTTACCTTTACCTCACAAGCTCAAGTACTGATCAACTCGGCATATTACCTCATATGTGATCATCTTGCCGATAGCAACACTCCACTCCGCTACACTTCGCCGGTTATGATATCCTGGCCAGGCCCAGCTCAGACGGGATTCGGAAAGACGATAGCCTTCCTTACGCCGATCCTATCAAAGCTGCTCTTCAACCTGTCCAAGACACCATCGCAGAACCAACCTGGAGCCGGACACGCCAAGGTTACTCCATTCGCCTCGATAATTGTTCCCACTCGAGAGCTTGGCATTCAAATGTCTGACTCTACTCGCTCTGTAAGTACAAAGTAATATTTTATATGCTATTGACATGTTGCCTATTATTCTTTTGCCATTGAAAAAACGAAAACACTCATCGCACCGACTTTTGAGAATTTAGTCATACTAGCTCCTATACAAGAGTCCCTTGCGCCTAGTCGTGGTTTACAGAGGCGCAGACATGAAGTCCCAGAAGGAACAGCTTGCCGGAGGCTTTGATATCCTGATTGCCACTCCTGACCGACTCATTGGCGCGATCGAGAGGGGCTTGGTAAGTCACGTATGCCATCTTGGACGATGCTGACCGTATCTTTGACATGGAATTGGTGCCTTCTATTGGGCAGATCATTCTTCTGACATGCCCAAGGATGGGAGCCTGCAGACCGCGCTCTTCAGTGCCACATTCCCACCCAACGTCCAAGTCCTCGTGCGTGACGTTCCCAATGATGACTACATCCGTATTCGCGTCGGATGATATGTTTTCCTTTGTTGTGAAGCCGTCAATAACATCAAACGTTAGGTTGCAGAATAATATTCGGCCGTTGGTACTATGTAGAATCGGAGGAACTACGAGTGACATTATGCAAAAGGTGGTAAAGCTGGAGGAATACCAGAAGGAGGAAATCCTGATCAACCTACTCCTGTCCCAGCTTTCCTCGCGCACGGTGATTTGTGTCAACAGCAAGCTCAGGGCTGATAAACTGGACGATGTCCTCTCTAGCCAAAATTTCCCTTGCATCTCGCTCCACGGTGACCGCAACCAGCGCGAGCGTGAGGCCGCTTTGGATGCCTTCAAGACCGGTCGAAGCCCTATCATGATCGCCACCTCGGTCGCCTCTCTTGGCCTGGACATCAAGGACGTCATTCGCGTGGTCAACTAAGATCTCTGCGACGAGACCGACAAGTATGTGCACCGGATCGGATGCATCGCTTGAACCGGCAAACCAGGCCTCGCCACGACATTCTACATTGACAGCAACACCGCCATTGCTTCTCAGCTGGTCACACTCTTGGTGGAGTGCCAACAAGTCGTCCTCGAATTCCTTCAAGAATGTATGGATGAAGCAACGTAAGTGTCCTTTCACTTGTAATTGGGCATTGTTATAATGGCGGCGCGAGGATAGTCTTCTTTGGCGGTCACTGACAAAGTATTTATTGTTTTCGGTGCTGCACTTTCATAGAACACACGAAGACGCCGAGTGTGTAACGGAAGACAAGGATGGCGGCATCGGGGCCTCTGGGGCACCAACCCAGGAAGACTGGGTGATTCTTGATTAATAGCAAAGCTATACATTTTTTTTTGAGGATAAGAATATGCACATTAAACTGTTTTGCGACCAGAAGAATAGCACTGTAACGTTTTTGATATCATTCTTATTAGTGGGCACTCTATTTTCTTTTTGCATTGTTTTTTATGACATAGTGGATTAACCACACTCTTGTCCCTGCTCAGGGACAATGAGGGAATAAACAACATCTTTTCTCACTCGCTAACTCGCTTGATCTTATCATAAGACAAGACAGCACAAGAAGAAGGCAAGAGAGAGAAATAGTGAACAAATAAAAATAATAAAAAGGGCGATGAATGAAGAAGAAAATGCCTTTACATTTCTGCAGCCATGGGTTTATCATTGATAAGCCTGAAATCATTGTGTAGGGAATAACTACTCAGGATCATTAGCGAGAGATCCCACACTGTCACAACTAGACCGAGAAAGCTCGAGGAAGAGGAAGTGGGAAGGAGGAGTGATCTCAACTAGATCATTGGTGACGACAACATGTATGCGGATCTTCAGGCGATTCTCAACCTACGTGAATGTGATAGACAGCAGGAGGGGAAGATGCTGCTCTATCGTTCACTCTAGATGTCCTTTTATACTATCTGGTTAAACTATTACTACGGCGAGGATTTAATGGGAGGAGTCTCCCTTTCTTTTTTGAGCACACAAACGCGTTCTCTTTTGAAAAAACGCTCAGGAGTACTTTTTTTTTCTATCCCCCACGTAAAAAAAGGCTTTCAGAAAGACAGAATATGAAGTGGCTGAGAGTAGTGGCGATGGTGCTCTGTACATTTTCTTTTCATACCAGTCCTTGACTCATCACAAAAGGCAAAAAATATAGTATTAAGACAGACGCGTCTTTTTTTCGAGGTGGTCAAAGGGAAAGGGACAATGATGCCAAAAAGAAAATAAGGAGAGAATGGCGACGCGATATGTGTACTTTCCTCTCTGAACGCTGGCAGTAATAAAAAGAATGGAGACGAGAAGAGAGAAACACGCGTCGTTCTTTTTTCCTTTTCACGAATCAATCATCCACCAAAAAATATGTAGCGAGTGAATGATAGAAACAACAAAGAGGACATGAGAAAGAAAGGACGGTAGTAGCGACCGAACCTTTGTTTTTGTCTATTATCTCTCCCACCCTGTCTCTCCCTCTCTCTCTGTCTTTGGATACGAATCGGCACACAAAAAAAAAGAAAGGAGCCAACAGCCATCGAACACACATAAATGAAAGAGCCATTTTTTTTCTTCAGCTAGGCACAGCAATTTTTTTTTTTGTGTCCACGATTTTATTTCTCTAAAGAACAACTCATGTAGTATTTTTTTTTTCGTACACAATTTTATTTCTCTAACAAACAGCATAGAGAAGTCATTTGGAAGTAAAAGGGGACTACAGACCAAACTCTTCAGTGCACCATCCACCAGTCGCAGTCCGGTCCAGAACCTGGCTCTGCGCAACAATTGTCGCTGCTCTTCACAGCTTAAACGGAAGAAAATAAAACTAGATACGAATGAAGGGGATTCTTCCCATCCTCTCCATCATTGACAACCTCCTCCTTCCTAACAAACTCTCCAACAACCGCTCGTCAGCAGCGCGTGGGTCCTTGGTCGCTCCAGGGCACCTTCCTTCACAATGTGTGGCTAGCGAAGCGCCACACGGACAGAAACCATCGTGCGTGATGTAACCGTATCCTTGACTCCAGTCACCTCGGGGGCCTGTGTACTTGGATGTCTTGTCCTTGGCAGAGATGCCCTGGCTTTGTTCCCACGCGATCGTCTCGGAGCACCGAGGTTTCCAGATCAGCTCCGAGGCCTGCGCCTCCAGGTAGCCAACAAACTTGTGAAGGACTGTCTTGGCGATGGACATTGGGGTCCGGAAGACCGCGGACCATTCAGTCAACATGCTCAAGGGGGTGATGCCGCGGAGGAGATCCGACACATTCCACATCGGTTTCTCGTCTCGATCGGGAGCTGGACTACCGCTGTGCACGGCTCGAGCTCCACCGATGGAGGAAAATCCTCGCACATGATCCGCATCCGAAGGGGGCCACCAGTGTATGGGTACTGGCCTCGGTACCTGACGACCTCTGTCCACCGCGCGTTTGTATTCTCGCTTCCTGGCTGCGTTGTAGCTGTTTGTCGCCTGCACACCCCACTCATTAATCTTGCCCATGGCCTCCTTCCAGATCTCAGTGGTGGTCTCAGCTGCCGAAGGGCATTTCCAGACGTGATCGTTATCCTCCTTCTCGAGCTCGCATCGTCGGCACACGCATGTTGGGTACAGGTTGGGCTTGCGAGCCTGCATGGAGTTCAGAGTGGGCAGCATTCCATGCAGCTTTTTGATATGATGTGTGCGTTGGTGAGAATCCTTGCTGTTGCTGTAAAAGGTGAAGACTGCGTGCCTGTCGTGGACATAAGCCAAGGTCTTTTTTTTTTTTTTCGTACACAATTTTATTTCTCTAACAAACAGCATAGAGAAGTTATTTGGAAGTAAAAGGGAACTACAGACCAAACTCTTCAGTGCACCATCCACCAGTCGCAGTCCGGTCCAGAACCTGGCTCTGCGCAACAATTGTCGCTGCTCTTCACAGCTTAAACGGAAGAAAATAAAACTAGATACGAATGAAGGGGATTCTTCCCATCCTCTCCATCATTGACAACCTCCTCCTTCCTAACAAACTCTCCAACAAACGCTCGTCAGCAGCGCGTGGGTCCTTGGTCGCCCCAGGGCACCTTCCTTCACAATGTGTGGCTAGCGAAGCGCCACACGGACAGAAACCATCGTGCGTGATGTAACCGTATCCTTGACTCCAGTCACCTCGGGGGCCTGTGTACTTGGATGTCTTGTCCTTGGCAGAGATGCCCTGGCTTTGTTCCCACGCGATCGTCTCGGAGCACCGAGGTTTCCAGATCAGCTCCGAGGCCTGCGCCTCCAGGTAGCCAACAAACTTGTGAAGGACTGTCTTGGCGATGGACATTGGGGTCCGGAAGACCGCGGACCATTCAGTCAACATGCTCAAGGGGGTGATGCCGCGGAGGAGATCCGACACATTCCACATCGGTTTCTCGTCTCGATCGGGAGCTTGACTACCGCTGTGCACGGCTCGAGCTCCACCGATGGAGGAAAATCCTCGCACATGATCCGCATCCGAAGGGGGCCACCAGTGTATGGGTACTGGCCTCGGTACCTGACGACCTCTGTCCACCGCGCGTTTGTATTCTCGCTTCCTGGCTGCGTTGTAGCTGTTTGTCGCCTGCACACCCCACTCATTAATCTTGCCCATGGCCTCCTTCCAGATCTCAGTGGTGGTCTCAGCTGCCGAAGGGCATTTCCAATAAGCCAAGGTCGAGTTCCATTCCACGTTTAAAAAAAAAAAAAAAAAAAAAAAAAAAAAAAAAAAACCTCTCACTTTTTTTTTTCCGTATTTTTCGTACACCATTGGGCAAATGCTGCTTCTCGCAGCCATGAGTTTATAATCAATAATTCTGATAACAGCGTCAGTAATTCTTGCCTTTGTAGCTCAGTGGCAGAGCGTTCCACTCGTAATGGAAAGGTCCTCGGATCAATCCCGAGCGGAGGCAGTACTTTTGTTTTTCCTTTTTTCAGCCGCTCAAAGGACTTGTTGCGCCCGAATCAATTTTTAGCCCAAGAACCATTTTAGCGATGCTTCGTTTTAGTACTGCTGCTTTTCACATCCCAAAAGGTCCAAGTATGGACCTTTTGGAATGTTGGGCCTGGGGGTTCATTCGATAATTCCAAGGTTTTTTTTCTTCACCCGACGCCTTCGGTGAGTCTCAGAGCAATGCGGTGAGGCAGTTTATCAAAACGTTGCTTTATCTTAGTACCTCTCTTTTCTGCTCAAGTATCTACTGAACCAGGCACGGAGGCGGGCGTCCAAATGTGTCGCGTCGGAAAACCTTGTCAACGCATCTCCTTTTTTTTTCTTTTTCCTTTCTCAAAGCCACGAAACTATTGACGCGACATTTTCTTTTTTTCCTTTTGTTCAATCGATGCAGATGATTGTGCGTCTTTTCTGAGCCGTCATTGATAGCTTCTTCACACGATATGCTGCCTTATTATTTCTCAGCTGTCGACCGCTAGCGTATGTTCTCTAAATCCGAAAATAATAGACGTGGATACTCTATCATCTACTTGGCGCGTCTTATTTTGCGGATAGTTTGTCAAGATAAAAGACACGGACTAACTGATTGTTGATAAATAGGGGCAGAGACGATATGGATGAATGCATGGTAAAAAGAGCTCGCCAATTCCTACAGTTCTCAAGTCCGAGCCATTGACCAGCAATTAGCGCAAAACAGGTAGTTTCTCGTCTTAGCTGACTCTTTCTTTCGTAATGCAAATACAGCAAAGCGGCAACACAACCGAGTAGGACCTATTCCTTGGTCAAAAGAATCCCACGAAGTAGTGTACAAATGCATAAGCCCAGACGGTCTGTTCGATCGACCGCAGTGCCTACAGGAAGGCAAACATCGCGCGATAACAGGGGAAGAACGCGCTTGGGTATTTTCGTTCAATATTCGGGTGTACGGAGAAATTAGATTCACGTCCGATCGATTGATTTTTCGTTCGCTTCCCCAGCGCCTTAGCCCTTCCGTCGAATCAGTGGGGAGATCGCAAGGTTTGGTTGTCTGACCGACCTCGCTGCCCCGATATGTGCTTGACTGTTTGACCCCACAACTGCCCCCGGTTGAACATGAGCCGGAATCGCCTTGCCATTCATCTTTTTCTCATTCTCTTCTCCCTTTTTCTTCTTTTTTTCTCTTTTCTTCTCCACATTCATCTCCACACTTCGCTTTCTCTACAATAACACTCTCCTTCCCAATGTCCGCTCCAGCAGCTCCACCCCAATACAAAGTCGACGTCCAAAAAGCCGTCGGCTACCAGCCCGCCCCTCAAAAGGTCGTCTACACCTCCCGCGACCTTATGCTCTACGCCCTTTCCATTGGCGTCAAACAAGACGAACTCAGTTACCTCTACGAGAACGACCCCCGATTCGCTGCCTTCCCCACCTACCCCCTTGTCCTCGGCCTCAAGAAGGATACCCATGGTGTTTCCGTCTACGGCGGTGGTGGGAAGGAGGATGTGCCCGGTATCCCTGCGTTTGACCCTAACAAGTTGGTCCATGGTGACCAGTCGATTGAGATCTTTCGAGCTTTGCCCTTGGGTGGAGAGTTTGAGTTGCATACGACTGTTTCTGGGGTCTATGATAAGGGCAAGGGGATGGTGATTGAGAGGACGACAAAGATGATCGACCCCAAGGAGCCCAACAAGCCCTATTCTTCCATGAAGGGTTCGGCTTTTGTCCGTGGTTATGGTGGTTGGGGTGGTCCCAAGGGTCCCAAGCAGGACTCTTATGAACCTCCCAAGGACAAGGCTCCCGATGCCGAGTACGAAGACAAGACTAACGACGATCTCGCCATCCTCTACCGCCTCTCTGGGTAAGTTGGTGCTCCTTTTCTGGGGTTTTTTTTCTCACACTTCTTGTACCCATTCAAAAGTGATCGGATGAGCAAACATGCAAAGCTAACATCAACCCCCCCCCCCTGAACTCCTCCACTCTTCCACACCTCACAGCGACTACAACCCATTGCACATTGACCCCAAGATCGCCCCCCTCGTCGGGTTCAAAAAGCCCATCCTCCACGGCCTCTGCACCTACGGCCACGCCGCGCACGCTGTCGTCAAGACCTTTGGCAACTCGGACGCAAACGCCCTTAAATCCATCACCGGTCGCTTCACCGCCCCTGTCTACCCAGGCGACACCCTCGTCACAAAGATGTGGAAAGTCCCTGTTGAGGGCAAGGATCAGGAAAAGGTCATCTTCCAGGTCGTCGCCAAGGAACGCAACCAGATCGTCATCAACGGTGGGTGCGCTATCCTCTGGGCCAACAACAAGGCTCCCCAAAGCAAGCTCTAAAGCATTATGCTCTTGCTGTACATAGTCCCAAGTTTAGTTGAATGAAGAAAGGCATTTTTCGTAAACATCTGAAGTTTTTTATTATAGAGGATGGGTGAAATTGACGTGGGATAAGTCCATTCGCCAAGAGGATAGTCGTTAAAAAGGAGAGGGGGTTGTTTTGATACAAAGAGGGTGGGGTATGAGTACATGTACCTGGATCATAATTGACCAGGGTTAGAGCGCGATAGAAGCAACAAAGAAAAAGAACAAGCAAAAAGACAACAACATAACAAACATAAGAAAGTGAACGTGCCTACTCGTAGGGGTGGGTGGTCGGAAAGAAGGATGGGGGGGATAAAAAATGTACAGAGGTGGGCAGTTTGAGTGGCAAATAATCATGCCTGGACACAACCAGACACATAATCGGTCCGGTTGCGCTCAAAGAGAGGAAAGGGGGTAAAGTAGGCAGTTGCTTTCAAAAGAATTTAAAAAAAAGTGGTATACAAGCAAAGTGGGGAGGTCGATGGCTCAAGACGCCATGGCAGTTGCAGAAAAGAAGAATCCTGCCCTTTAAAAGGTCCTGAACAAGTCTATTAATTACCATAAACAATTGTGTTCTTGTTATTATCCATGTCGACGACAGGGATCAGGATAAGACTTCCCATTGTAATTCAAGCCTAAACGGAGACTTACTCTGACGCTGGGTGTCGGTCTTCTTGGGCCACACTTTGTTCTTGTATTTCATGAGGTCCTGACCCATTAAGTATCCGTAGCGGTCGAAAAAGGCGCGGGGCAACTCCCAGTTGTGGGGGTCCAAGGGATGCCCGTGGCAGATGGCGCCACCGATCAGGAGCTGGCAGAGATCCTCAATGTCGTACTCGTTCTGGTGCATAATCATCTGGGCTCTGAGCTTGGGGCAGGGGATCAGGTCAATGCGAGAGTCGTGAGGGAGTGCATAGATCTTGGGATCAATTTTGGGGTCGGTTGCTGGAGGAGCAGAGGCAAGGATCCTGAGCTCCATCTGAAGACGGTAGCTGGGGATGAGATCCTGCTTGAGGTGGTTTTCGTCAAATGTCATGCTGGGTGTCGCCATGCTAAACTCGTTGCTGTCAATATCGTCAGAGTCCAGGAAGGAAGGCGTCTGGACCGAGAATCCATTGTCCATCGAGCCGGCGGTGAACGTAAACATGTTTTGGTTAGGCGAGAACGAATCCTGCGACTGGCCAAAGAGCAAATTGTCCGCAGCCATGTTCTGGGGCGAAGCAGACACCTTGTTGCTGGTCGACTGTATGTTGTTGTTTTGAGAAAAGAGGGTTGGCTGGAGATCATCATAAACGGAGGTCTGCTTGGGGATCCAGTTGGGAGCGGTATACTGGTCGCGAGATCCAGAGGCAGAGTCAGAGGGTGCAACAGGCGAGTTCATCTTGGTGTCGTCCGTGTTCGAAAAGAGAGTCGGAGCCTTGTACAGAATGTCGCTGTTCATCGAAAAGATGTTGTCGTCCTGAGGGTCTGCGAGTCCGAGCTGCGTCCAGGCGTTCGAAGAGGAGGATGAAGATGAAGCGGTCGAACCAATATCGTTCATGGTCATCTGGTTAGAGTTGGCGTTCTGGTTGTTGCTGTAGTTCGACCTGTTTGCGTTGGCAGCGGCAGCGGCAGCATGGGCAGCCATAGCAGCAGCCAAGGCCTGGTTCAGCATTTGAACCTGGGTGGCATGTGGGATGCTGTCGTCCACGGGAACAGGGCCGGGCATGACAAGTGGAGTGGGGATGGGAGCAGGAGCTGCAGTCGCAGCAGCAGTGGGAGCGGGTGTTGGGGGCGGCATCGAGACGGGCGAGTTTGAGAGTGTGCTCTTGGAGAAGGAGGGAGAGGGAGAGGGCTGCTGAGGAGAAGACATGGACAGCTTGCGGGCAGCATGGTTCTCGTAGTGGCGGCGGTAGAGCTCGGCCTTGACGTCCTGGAGAATGGTGGCGTTGCCAGTCTTGCCAAGAGCCGACTCGAAGGAGAAGACGACCTCGCGGAGGTAGTAGTTTTCAGATTGGAGGGATTCAATGATGCTCTTGAGCTGCTGAGACTCACGTTGGAAGCGGACGCCGGCGTGGTGGTGGGTGTCCTTGAGTTCCTTGATCATGTTCTCGAGCTGCTGGAGGTGGCGTTCTTTTCGGTCGCGGAAGGCGCGTTGGGCGGCCCTGTTCTGCTCCTTACGGACGGCAGGCGAGGCAGGGTTGGGCTTGCGACCGGGCTTCTTACGGGTCTTTGTCGGTGGCTGAGAAGACGAGTCACGGGTGCTGTTGTCGTGGCTCAGGACCGACTGGCCGTCTTGGTCGTCCTCAAAGTCATCCTCATCCTCGGAGCCATGTTGTTCCTGGCCTATATGATCATAGAGAGGAGAGGAGCAATGAATGATTAGAAGGGGTTCATGTACACTACAGGGTACTCTTTGTGTTTTGTATCTCTGTATTGTGGGAGTCGGGAGTCGGGTTTGTGTGTGTGAAAGTTGTGGATTTAACACCTGTCTGAATGAACAGGTGTATGACCAAAGAGTGGGACGAGGTGCGTATTTTTTTTTTGGGAGAAAAGGCCAAGAGGGGGAAGGAAGTTACCGTTGGCAGACTGGCTCCCGGGGTAAGGTCGCTTGTCCGGTCGATCCATGGACTCTGAGTATCGGTGTGTGAGGTTGGGTTGAGGGGCAATTGAGGCCATTGTTGAAAGCAAATAACGACAATTGTGTGTGAAGCGGGAAGGCGAAATGAATGAATGAATGAGTGAGTGAGTGGGCGTGGGTAACGGGAGGGAAAAAAAAGGGGGGGGGAAGTCGGAGGGGCAATTGCTGATAGAAAAGAGATAAGAGTGAGAGTGTGTTGGGGTGAGAGGGAAGAGAGAGGAAGAGGAGGGGGCGTTCAGAGTTGAGGAGAAGTTGTCGTGATCTGCATGCAAAAGGGCAGCGTTGAGGAATAGGAATAAGGTGTAATCAAAAAAGAGGGCGAGAGAGAGTGGGCGAGGTAAAGGTGGAGAAAAGAACAAAGGAGGAAAGGAAGAGAAAGAAACGAGAAGAGAAAAGTGTGGAGCAAAGACGAAAAGGATATATCTCCCTAAAATAAAAAAAACGATGGGGTGTCACGCAGTTCTTCGCAAATAAAAAAAAAAAAGAAAGAGCTTATTTGCATTTAGAGAAATACCAAGACCCCAGACATTGCCCAGGACAGCCAAGCCATATGGCGCTACTTTCTGTTATTGCAATCTACTTCACTCACTCGTCAATCGACGAACGTAATGCTCCCCGATACTCTACATTTTGCTCCCATCGAATCGACACCGACTAATGGCTGTGAGCACACCTGCACTCTTGTCCACTGCACTATAGACACGCCAACCATTGAAGACCGAACAAAAAAACAAAACAAAGGAAAAAAAGGGCTCACTTCTTTCCTCCTTTCTCTCGCTTCCTCGTTTTCTTTCCAGGTTCCTTTTTATCGATTCACTCTCCTCTCTCTCTCTCTCTCTCTCGCCCATACTATATCGTGGATGGTTCAAAACTAGAGCAGACGCAAATAGGATTGAACTGAGAACGTCAAGACTGTGTGTATGTGCGCGCGCGCTTGTTGGATGGTGCGTGAGGATAGTCCATTATCCTGGCCCAATGTGCAACAACCACTGGTAAACAAAGAAAGAAAGAAAGTCGAATTGAGGACGTTGCTCTACAGACTAAGCGCCGCCCTTTCTTCAATTGGCCCATCTCCGAAGGGTCACTACTTGTTTTTTTTTTGTTTGTTTACAGTTGTTTTGACCTTGCGCCTCGCTTCAGAAGGAGGGAAGAAAGGAGGGAAGCAATAGGAGGGATAATGGTGATGTGTGTTTGTTTGCGGTCAAGGGCTATTCCACTCCACTCCTTTCGGTTATAGTTAAACATGTGTCTGTGAAGGAGCTTTCCTCCACTCACCATGCATCAAAACTTTGCGGAATAAACGAGGAAAAGTGCTCTCGTTTTTTTTTCTTTCTTTTCTTGCAACAACAACAACTTTACTCCACGGAGTGGCTCTGGCCAGGCGATCTAGACCAGCAAATCAGCGTCAACAGCGACAGCACTGTTCCTCTTTGCAGTTGTGTTGTTCAGAACCATGTCTCGGACCTCATATCTTATTATTCATTCTGTACCACCCTCATTTATCACACTGCACGCCTGATGACCGCCTTGGAGACACGCATTATTATTATTATTATTATTATTATTATGAATATTAGTATTGCATCTATCCTCCTTGGCAATTCTGTTATTTGGCTACTCCACAACAACACACACATCCAGGTGGCCCCCTGACGCTAAAGCTAATCAGGTCATGTCCATTTCGCCCAGCCAACATCCAACGTTAATTATTGTCCGGCTGCTCTCTCGAATCATCATCATTATCATCATCATCTCGCTCTCTCCTCCACTTCTGTCCATCTGTCTTTGTACCCCTGACTCCTTCAATCTCCACAAGAGCTTGTCTCCATATTTTCTTGGTCACCTCCACATCGGACCTCGTGTTGATCGTTTCTGTTTCTGCTCCTTCTTTGTCTCCTCTATCCGTTTCTTCTGTTCAGGCACCACGCACAATAAATAATGCGCAATCAGCTGAGTAACGTTATTTCGATTCACGCTATAGCGGTCCTAATATCAAAATCCAACGTTGTGGTTGTCCTTTCTATCCTCTCCTCTCGTACCCTTCATACCTTACTTGTCAGAGTAAACATACACCCATATCTTCAACGAAAAGAAAACATAATCGCTCCAACTCTAGCAATGTCATGCCATGTTCCACCATTGGCAACAACTTAACCTAAACAGCAAAGCACTCAACAACAATCAGCCCACAGAAATGTAAATCAAAATATCCACACTCACACTCACACACTCACACACTCACACACACACACACACACACAAACACAAAACGAAGTATTCGGCGCGTAAGTAGAACCTGCATGCAACGAATAAAAACAACAACTAAAGCAACGACAACAACAACAAAGCTGGTGACCATTACTCATTTCCATTATTTACATCATTCTTGTTACCATGCAACATACGCACAAAAAGGAGAGTAAAAGAATGACCGGAAATGAAAAAGCACATGGCAACGACAACAAAAATAACGCAACAGCAATGGGAGCAAGGGGGAAGGAACAGTGGAAATGAACCAAAGGAAAAAAACACAAAAACGGGCGTAGTATGTACAATTCCTCCTCAATGCTCTCAACCATTCCTCTTTTTCTTTTCTTCTCCATTACTCTTCTCCCTCGTGGATATGTCATGTAGTGGACAGCTGAGAGGAGAACTATTCTACTGAAAGAGACACGCACACACACACATACAGGTGAAAAGAAGACAGAGCGGATGGGCCTATCTATCTATCTGTCGGACCTAAAACGAAGAGGAAGTAGGGAGAGGTTGGGTTCTGATGTTGAGCCGTGCGCGCTCTCCACTGCGAGAGATGATCGGTCCTTCAAATGAGAGGCAGAGCGACAAAGTCCTTCCGAACATGTTCAAAGTGTTGGAAGAGATAGCGCAATTGGGGCGGGAGGAAAACCCCATGAGTTCTTGTTTTCATTTGTGTTCTTCATTTTATTCTGAGCATGCACAGCCGTGGTCACCTTGCTTCTCTTTTTTTTCTTTTCTTGCGAGCATGGACACGAGCACGAGCATGGACATGGTCGGTTTTTAGGGGGAAAGATAGGAAGGCGACATTGGGTAGGGTAAAGGTACAACGTGCTGAATATGTATCTGACCGACCATATCGCTCCTCCGTCTGTCCGTCTTTCCGCTGCTCTCTCCACTCTCCCTCACTGTGCTCATTTCGCGCCCCATAGACAAACCGACGTGCCCAATGGTGGGCCTTATCGACGGTACAAAATCTAAGGCCATCGGTCAGCTATCGCACATTTGCACATCGCAACAACAAACCACTCTCCCGTTCCTCCTCATACCCATTGTCAATGCATTTTAGATATGATAGCATACTTGTTAATAAACGTACCCACTGACCACCCTCACAATCATTGACACAGGCCTGCCAAACCTGACCTGACCTGACCTGACCCCTTTCCCTCCATAGTCTTTTAATACTCGTTCAAAACCTTCCTTTATCTTTCCTTCTTTTCTCTTCTTCTTTTCCTCTTCATTCATCATCTCTCTCTCTTTCTCTCACCTTCGCAGCCACATTCCTCATTCCTTCATCATCCTTCTTTGCGCATAGACCAACTAGACCTTCACTCTCCATCTCTTTACACTCACTCACACTCACCTTCACACCTTTGCACGCCCTTACCACATACACTCGATTTTATATCTGCACGAAATGGACAATCTATTCAACACCGACTCTGGGTTCAGACCCCCATCCCCGCTCACCTTCTCCTCCGCACCTGGCCCGAGCCTCTTTGGCGACTCTTTGGGGTTCGAAGGTACCTTTTTACCCAAAAAAAATAACGCCGCAAACACATGAATATGTATCTATTACTCCTTGACCTTCTTTTCCATTCGCACCTTTTTTTCTGATTGTTTCCCCTTCTTTCTTACTGCTATTTCCTTTTTTCGCATACAAATGTGCGTGCGATATGTAATGCCTAATATATGCAGAAGATGGTGCTAATACATGTCTTTCATTCTCCCATTTCCCAATGGCCTACTATCTTTCACGGTAGACTTTCGCTTTGCAAACCAAGATTTCCTCAACATGTCTACAGCAACAGGTCAACCAGGTGCAGCAACAACTACAACAGCAGCGGCTCCCTCGCTCCCAGGAATGATGATGATGGACCCTAGCGACCCATCGATGCAACTTTTCAATCCGTCCGAGCAACGCTACTTTTCAGAATTCCTCGACACCCTGGTCGTCGACCAGGATTTCACCTTTGACCCGAGCGCGATACCCAACCTGCCCAACCTGCCCCTGTTCTCTCAGGATGTTGTTATGCCCGGTGGATTTAATATGGATGTCAATGCACCTTTTCGGATGCCTTCATTACCTGGCGGGGTGCCGCAGCAACAACAGCAGGCGCCACAGCTTCCTTCGCAACAGACCCCCATGGACTATGATATGAGCAACCCCACCGCATTTAATGACAAGCAGCAGGCATCTGTATATACCCAACATCCTATTTCCGTCCCTGCCAAACGTTCAAAGACCAACAAAGGTGGTCCCTCTACCTCCTCTTCTATCGACAATCCTGCTCGCAGAGGCACCCCTTCCTCTTCAAGACCCTCCTCTCTCGATGCACATGCCTCTGTGCAGGACCCTACCGGTACCAGGATAGCGACACCAATCCAACAACTGTCCAAGCTCTCCCTCAACCAGTCTGTGGCAGCGGCGGCAGCAGCAGCAGTGACCACATCTTCGACCAAAGCCAAAAAGAACAAGCGCGAGGAGGACGATCCCGCTGGAAGCAGCAACAATAGCCAACGCTCGCCAACGGCTCGCTCACAACCTTATAATTCTCAACAGTCGACTCACCAACAACGCCGACAACAGAAGGAGGGCAGCCGTGACCGGAATACATCCATGTCGGATGACGATGCCGATGGCGGCTCTGACTCAACTGCTGCTCCTATGGCCTCGACCTCGGCCTCTACTGGCGCTGGCGTTCCGGCTGCTATGACGCCGAAGCGCAAACCTTACAAGGAGCTCTTGACGGAGGAAGAGAAGCGGGCAAACCATATTGCATCTGAGCAGAAACGACGCAACACCATCCGCAACGGGTTCAAGGACATGACCGACATCATCCCGGACCTCAAGGACGTTAACAGTTCTAAGTCGACCATTTTGTTCAAGGCTGTCGACTTTATCAAGCATCTCGAACGAAGGAATCGTATCCTGCAGGAGAAGGCGACTTTGCTCGAGTCTAGATTGCTCATGCAGAAGGGTGTTGGACACCCACAGATTCAGTCTCAGGCACAGGCTCATCAACAACAGCAACATCACCATAACCAGGCTCACGCACAACAGCAACTTTCCTCTCCCTATCGGACATCCCAATACGACCACTCCCCCCACCAACAATCCCAACAGCAGCCTCAACACACACAGCAACATCATCATCAACAACAGCACTCGCATTATAACCAGCAGCAGCACCGTAACCAACAACAACAACAACCATCATACCATACCTCGGGTCTTGAGGACAAGCGGCTACAGGAGATCCCCAACATTTACCCTGTCTCCATGAGTCGATAGATACCCTTTTCTTTTCATTTCTTTTTCTTTTTCTTTTTCTTTTTCTTTTTCTTTTTTCTTTTTCTTTTTCTTTTTCTTTTTCTTTTTTCTTTCATTTTTCTTTTTTCTTTCATTTTTCTTTTTTCTTTTTTCTTTTTTCTTTTTTCTTTTTTCTTTTTCTTTTTTCTTTTTTGTGGGTTCGACTCAAGGTTCAGGAACTAATAAAACTAGACGGCTCCTCGTCATTTTTTTCAACACAAAAGACAACCAAGTGGTGAATTATCATGAAAACGTGCTAACAGCACACATACTAAAAACGTGGCCTCCGTCGTTCATATTCAACGTTTTTGGATCTGCAAGCGTAAGGGGGGGGGATCTGACACTCTTAAATAGCTGTGTGTATCAGTTGTTTTGAAAGGGATGAGGGTGAGGGTTCAAGCACGACTCCTCCGCCGAGACCATTCTCCAGGTCTTCCTGATGACATAGGTCTGTCTGGAGGACCACTGCCTCCTCCTCCACCCCCATTACCTCTCCCACTTCCACCTCCACTGCCACCGGCACCCGCGAATCCGGGACGATTTCGGAGCATGCCTCCTCGAGCATGTGGCATCTGCATCATATGCCTATTGAACGAAAGCGGTCTTCCACCTGGTGGTCCCAGCATAGAGATTGGTGGTGGCGGGCCATCATTGTGTCCATAGTACCCACCAGCACCGCGTCCACTATTGCCAGCCCCGACAGCATTACTTCCAGTGCCATTCCCGCTTCCACCACTGTTGCCGCCACCGGTGTTGATATTACTGCTGCCGCTGTTGCTGTTGCTGTTCCCGAATCCTATCCTGGTAGGAGGAGGAGGAGGACCCTGAGAATGATGGTATCCGAGCGAACCGCCACCTTGCTGTCGATACGATCCTCCTCCATTTCCACCACTACCGTTCATCCCTGGAGACATGAGCGACGAAGGTCCGTTGCCGCCCTTGCCTCGATGGTACCCGTCATCGCCATGGTAACTATCTGCTCCAAGACCCCTGGCCGATGATGACGATGATGAGGGTCCACTATGGTGATGATGTCGAACCTGCGGCTTCTCCGGGAGTCCATTGATGTTATGGCTGTTGTTGCTCCCACTTCCGCCCCCGCCCCCGCCATGACGGTTCGCATTAAATCCCGATAAATCCGCCCGCGGATACTTGTTGGAAACCGATGATTCTCCATAGGACGACGACGACGAATAGATAGGTCCGAATGATCCTGCACCCGAGCCTCGGTAATTGTTGCTGCTGTTCAAAGGACCGTCCTCCGCAATCGGGGAGATGCTCCGCTGTCGCTTCGGTTTCATCATAGTTGCACCTGCAGACGATGGCGGCGATGCAAACGAGTTTGTCGGTGTTGAGGATGTCGAGTTGGATGACGAATTCGAGAGCGTCGGTTTCCTTGGGATTTCCAAGTTCAGTTTCGATCTGTCGATAATTCGTTCGTGCTCGCGCCTAGTAGTTTTTGTTAACCAAAGATACGAGTAAGTATATCATTTTCCTTTTGAATATCCTGAGGTTGAAAAAAAAGGCCCAACGCGCGTCAACATTCCATCGCTGTGAACACACACCTTTTGATGTTTGGTCGAGGGGGCTCTGTTCTCCGGTCGTGACCCTGATCCACTGCCTTTCTTAAATTCTCTGCTCTCCTGGCCTCCTCCTTGCTGTCTCTTTCCAACAAACGAGCAACCTTGCTGTCTCTAAATGGCGGTCGATCCAAAGGCGCCGCCCTTGTCGAGGCTTCCACTACGGATGATGAATTTTTGTCGCGGCGCGCTTCCTCAGCCTGTGGTGGCTGCGGTATTTGCGGTGGTTGAGGAAGCTGAGGTAGTTGAGGTAGTTGGGGTAGTTGAGGTAGTTGAGGTAGTTGAGGTAGCTGAGGTAGTTGGGGTGGTTGTGGTAGTGGTGGTGGTGGTGGCTGTGGCAGTTGTGGTGGCTGAGGTAGTTGTGGGGGGATGTCCAGTGGGAGATTAGATGCAGATGACGAAGCCGATAATGCTGCTGTTGTTGCTGGTGGTGCCGATGGAGGTTCCTGTTCGTTCTTTTGTAACGTACTCCGGAAAAGTGCAAAGAGTCGGCTCTTTTCCTTTTTCAGTTCCTCCAGCTGTAACAAAATATCCTGCTCGATCGGGTCGATTTCGGGTTCCTTCTCAACAGCAGCGCCTTCTTCAGCCGCAGAAAACGTTGGGTTGTGCTCGGGCTGAGTCTCCACCGAAATGTCCATCGCTGTTGCTGCTGTTGCTGTTGGTAATGGCTCTTCCATCGTGATCTCCTCTACTTGTGGTTCTACAGGTGCTGCCGATATCGTGTCCTCAAGAGTAGGCTGTGTTGCTGGTGTGTCCTGATTTGAGGTAATGTTGTTGTTGTCTTCAGTGTCACCTCCCTTCTTCAACAGTTCTGGTTGTGTTTCTACGATTGTGTCGACTACAGAGCCCGCTGGCGAGGAGCTCTTTGTCCTTAGATACTCAATCTTCCATCGACTCCTTGCGTTCATGCGTTCGCCGTCCGGTATCGAATGGGCTCCGGATACAGCGCGTTGGTGTCCATTATGGTGGTGGTGTCCGTGGTGTCCATTATGGTGATGGTGTCGATGGCTTTTTAAGGGTGAATCCGGTAATAGCGGCGACGGTGAAGGACCATTTGGAACTATTGTTGATTGGCATAAACAAAGGAGTGCTCGATATGTGAGAACGGCGGAATGAATACAGTTGGCAGTATTACGACAAACAAAGCGGCAGAGTTCCAAAGAGCCTTCACCCCACTCATCGTCCCTCTTCGCTGTTTTGTCTTCCTATTGTTGTTCTCGCTCTCGGATGATTTTTGTTCACACTTTGCCGGCGCTCGTAGTCCCTTCCATGTCCTTCGGGCGATAAAACCAATCATCAACGACCGCGTGTGTGTTTTTTTTTTTTTTTTTTTTTTTTTGGTGAATACATCTCCAAAAACAAAAGGCGGCGGCGTTCTACACTAACACCCTTCAACATTTTTTCTTTTCCCCCTCGCCAAAAAAACAAAAAAAAACAACGACCCCGGTCGTAGGAGCTTCCAAACGAAGAGAAAAAAGGGCTCTTACCACTTCTGACGATCGCGATCGAGTTGCCAAGAAAGGACTCGTCCTCCTCGGTGGATGCTTCTTCTTCTTCCTCTTCCCGTTGCTGGACAATCCTCTTGGCTAGAGCCCGACGAATGATCGCATTCCGTTCTGGATCGACTTGTAGTTCAAAAGCTGTCATTCAAAGTATTGTTGGAGTCCTGCAAAAGAAAGGGCGGATCCTGTCCGTTTGGTTTGGTGTTGAGGTTATTGACAAAAAGGGAGACGAGGTTGGTGTGGTCGTAGAGGGGGGGGGGGGTGTGAGAGAGAGAAAGAGTGGGAGAGAAGGAAAGGGGCTGCGGCCGTTAGATTGCAGTTTTAGGGAGAGAAGGGAGAGATGGAAGAGAGGAGAGGTGTGAGTGGGAAAAAAACAAGACGAAAGCGAACAACGAGGGAGCGAGGAAGTCAGTCAATTGCTGCACGTGACCATGCCAATGTTTTGGTGGGTAGGGGGCAACGCGATCTCGCTCGGGGGCAGGGATAACAAAAAAGAAAGTCGAGAAGGCGTAGGTTGGTGTGAAACGGGTCGATTATGGAACGAGCAAAAAGAAATGGCTACCTTCGGTCTCATAGATTCTGACGGTTGGTCAACAAGGGTAGTATAGCATGGTCAGGGAAGATCCTTTTGACACGGGCGATCGCGATCGAACAGGTCCTTTGCGCTGTGAGTGACCAATGAGTATATCTCGGCGCAATTAACCTGCTGTGATGAGCAGTTCTTTGTGTCCTATTGTCACATCAACCCTCCGTCTGATATGCCACCTTCAGACATTTTTTTGGCTTCTTGGAAGAGGGTCGCCCAACGTGATTGCAGCCGATTTCTAGGTCACGAACATCCTTACCTAGAAGCTCAACGTTGCCTATTGTATCGAGTATAGATAACCCAATTGCAAGAAGAGAGGAACCTTGGAACTCACGGCTTCCTCTCCTTGAAGTCTTTGATGATCGATCGTGCCACCAAGAATAAAACGGAGGCTGCGCCATTTCTTTAATTGAACAGGTGACGATGCAATTAGAGAAATTCCGCAATTCCGCACTCTTCATAAAACCATCAAGGAGTGCGCATTTTTGCCTTCCCCGCTTCCTTGCCAAACTAACACCTTTGCCCATTCCTCATCACTTTTTCACTGACTCATTAACATAACGCAAAACAACCATGCGCCTTTTGACAATCCCCGTCGCGCTGGCCCTCTCGGCCTTGTGCACCGCTTACCCTCAGCCACTTCGACAGGCCAACAACAATGTCCAAGGACAGCAAATCACCTTTGATTCCCAACACCACCCAGCTTCGCACTACAACGCCAACAATGACAACAATGGCTATGCCCGCTTCGATGACCAGCAGGTCCTCCGTGTCGAGGTCTCTTCCATGGAGGAGCTCAAGAAACTCGAGACCACCGTCGAGGTACGGCAACACTTTATATTATTATATTCACTTTCTTGCCCTGAGCACACAATAATGTAAAGGCACTCTCTAACGATGGCCTGTACTTGATAGGACAAGAACTTGGATTTGTGGTCAAACCTTAGGATCGGCACAGTTGATGTCCGCATCCCCTCGTCTGAGATCGATGCCTTCAAGGCCGCTATCCCCTTCCCCTCAACCGTCATGATCCCCAACCTTCAGGATTTGGTCCCTGACCAAGCACCCGCTCTCAACATCCAGCCCGCCTCCTCCTGGAACTACACCGACAACTCCTTCTGGGAGAACTACCATGATTTGGCGACTCTCAACAACTTTACAGAGTCCATGGTCCAGCAGTTCCCGGACTTGGTGACCCGTACCTCGATGGGGTTCACTCATGAGGGCCGTGAGGTCTTTGGTATGACCATCCATGGGTCCAAGAAGCGTCAGCAGATGGAGGCCCTGGAGGAGTTGGTCGAGGAGGTCGAGGAGTTGCTTGAAGAGGCGAGCTCGTGGTGGTCCTGGATGTTTGATTCCGCCTCTTCCTCGTCATCATCCAAGCCCAAGGAGTTGAAGAAGCCATCCGAGCCCAAGAAGCACCCCAAGGCCATTGTCATTCACGGCGGCCAGCATGCTCGAGGTAAGTTAAATTACCTTTTTGTGCTCCACACGACAGACAGCATTCGTTCATTCATTTTCGCATTGGGTCACGCTATCATATCGATGAAAAGATTCGATTTTTGCATGCCAGTGTGAACCAATGAAACCAGATCAGAAAAAGGTCGTCGTACTACCTTGCGTCTCAACTATCGCGTAACTCACTCCCTGCCCCTTTTGGTAACGATTCTGGTGTAATAGAGTGGATTGGACCCGCTGTTGTGACGTACATCGCCAAGGAGCTGATCCTCGGCTATGGCAGCAACAAAAAGATTACCCGTCTCGTCGACCAGTTCGAGTTCACCATCGTCCCTGTCCTCAACGTCGATGGATATGCCTACACCTGGGAGCACAACCGCATGTGGCGCAAGAACAGACAGCCCACCTCCATCCCTTTCTGCCCCGGCATCGTAAGTCGCCCTTCCGTGCCTTGTTTCCTTGTCGATGCAAACATGTAGACCCTTCCTTTTCAGTATTTCTAATCCCTTGTCTACTTGTCTGCTCATCATATTCAACAACAGGATCCTAACCGCAACTGGGGATACAAATTCGCTACCGGCGGCAGCTCCGGAAACCCCTGCAGTGATGCATACCACGGTTCAGAGGCATTCATCGCCAAGGAACCCAAGATGATTGCAGACTACATCCTCAAGAAGGAGAACGTTGTCAGCTACATTGACTTCCACTCGTACTCTCAGCTCTGGATGACGCCCTTTGGAGCCGACTGCTCCAATATCCCTAAGGACGATGAGGACATCATGGAGGCTGGTATGGGTGCAGCCAAGGCCCTCAAGGATGTTCATGGAAAGAAGTTTGCTGTTGGAAGCGTCTGCAAGATTATCTACCAGGCTAGCGGTGGATCCTTGGATTGGTAAGATGTTTTAAAATATGCATGGCTTGTTGTGTTTTGTCTTTTGTCGGTGGTTAATGCCTTTTGAGACCAAATGGGCAAACGCGAAATGATTGTTGCAATTATTAACGGTCATTCCGGGGGGGTTTTTTTCCTTTCAATCTCACACTTGTAGGACATACGCGGAAGGCGGAGTCAAGTACTCGTACGCCGTCGAGCTGAGAGACACAGGCCGCCACGGATTTATGCTCCCCGAGGATGAGATCATTCCATCGTCCGAGGAGACCTTAGCTGGAGTCTTGCACCTTGCCAACTTTATCCGCAAGCGTGAGAAGCAGTGGAGATACTGAGTGTAAACGCGTCACAATAGGAGGCTCATCTAGGCCAAGAGCTTGTGTCGTTTGAGCCAGAAGATAACCACAACAACAACCACTTATATCATATTGTTTTTTTTATCTCGTAGTCATATCGTTCAGCTACAAGAATATTAAACACATAATGCTTTTCAATGAATGGATGCCAGAAGTGAATGAACATTTTAATGTATGAACAGAATAAGGAAGGAGGAGGAGGAGGAGGAGGAGGAGGAGGAGGAGGAGGAGGAGGAGGAGGGGGGAATGATACTATTTACAGGGCTTTGTGGACCAGGATGCGGGGTGGGGGAGCCAAGTAGTCACGAGGACTGGGTATAATAAGTGCAGCCGGTGCTGGCGCCGCTGCCACCGTCTTTGTCTCCGAAGCAGGTTTCTCCGCGCGCTCCAAAGGCGCCTTCCTAACCACCTTGGGAGGCATGGTAGGAGTAGCAACAGCAGCGGCAGCAGCGGCAGTGGCAGCAGCATGATGCTGTTGCTGCCAGCAGTGATGAGGTTGGTATTGGGCCATGAGGGCCAGTTCCTTGTCCTCCAGAGCCGAGTCGCCCTGGAGGATTAGGTCCTTGATCAGGTCGGAGCGGTGTTGTTTCTTTTGGTGTCTCGAGTTGACACCATGGTGGCGAGGGGATGTGGAGGAGGGGATGGATTGTTTCTGAGGGGAAATTGGGGATGGTGGTTCATGGTGCTGGTTGTGATGATATTTGTGGGAATAGTTGAGGTGGGGGGATTTTTTGGCTTCTTGGAGGTTGGATGCCGGTCCTGGGACGGGGGCGGACGCGAATGAAAAGGAAGGGGTTGCGCTTGTTGGGCTCCTCTCTGGTACTCCTCCTGCACTTCCTTCAATATCCAGGTAACCTGTAGTAGTCGAGCTGAAGGCTGATGGTACTGTTGTGGTTGAGGAAGTAGAGGAAGATCTTGATGTGGAAGAGATGGGCGAGATAGGTGAGATGGGTGAGATTGGGGCATGGTCTGTTGTTGTAGGGGCGTTGGATCCGTCGTGGTGGTGGTGGGTTGGGACCTTGACCTTAAGGTGTCCCATCTTGGAGCCGATCTTGGTTGCGAGCGAGAACTTGCTTGGCTGTCCGAGAGGGAATGATGATGTTGTGGTGGTTATTGACGAGGCATCGTCGGAAGGTGTTGTTGTCGTAGAGTCGTGATGGATGATGGGTCCGTTCGCAACGGCCAAGGTGTTGCTACTGTTGGGCGCAGTCTCGATGGATGAATGACGTTCTGCCGATGGATGGATGTGGATGGAGCGGTCCTCATCCATTGCCGAAGACTCGAACCCTTCAAACAGGTCCTGGTGCTCCTTCTTGCGACTCCCGCTCCGTGAAAGACACTCCTTCCCCCGTCCTTCTTTGCCATCATCAACACCACTGTCATCATCGCCAAAGATACTATCGGTGTCGTCCAGAGTAGCCACATCCCTTTGTCCCGTCACAAACCAACCGTGATCCGTCCGTGCGCGCGAATACGGATCGACGATGGCAGTATTGTTGTCGCTGTTGTTGCTCCTGTCGAAACTGCCCTTGTCGTGGTGGCGATCAAACCGACAGTTGCTACTACCACCACCACCACTACCATCCTCCATCGAAGACATTGACCTCCGCCCCTTATGCTTCCTCCGATGAACCAACAACGTCGCAATCGCCAACACAGCAACTGCCGCCACAGCCGCAATGCTCGCAATCATCGCCGTTGACGCATGCTTCGTATTCCCCAACATCCCCCCATTATTCCCACTACTATTCCCCTGATCATCGTCGTCCGAAGGAGGCGTGACGATAGGATTAGGATTGTTCGGATTGATCGAAGGAATAGGCCAAGGGACCTTGGGCGTCATGGCACCGACAAAATAGATATTGTTAGCTTCGGGCCCTCCACAGTTGTCAAAGGCGCTCTGATTTTCGGGGCATTTGGTCGAACATGACGATTCTGGGGCCGATCCATATTTGCGCTGTCTATTTTATGGAAAAAATATATCGCGGTAGGCGAAAGACACATGGAGAAGGGAAATGTGTCATTATTAGACGAGGGAAGGGAGAGACACGAGCAGAAAGGCATGAGATGGTTTGGAATAGTGGTATAAAAAGGGAGGGAAGAGTGAGTGTGGGGGTAAGAGAGGAAGGGAAAGAGGGAAGGTGGGAAAGGAAAGGGGCGGGGGGGAGATGGATGATGGTGCATTGCGGGTTTGCGTTAGTTAGGTGGCCTTTTTTTTTATTGTTTTCTCTGTTGGTACTGTTGGATGGAATCCTTCTAACCCTTCCTTTTTCTCAATTGAACAACTCCCCCTTCTTTTCATCCCCTAGGAATAGAGGAGGAGAGAGTAGAACAAGCAGGACACTCCTTTTTGGGTGGGTTGTGGGGAATCAAAAATAAAAAGAGTCAGTAAAGACTTACTCGGAATCGCCACAGGTACAGATAGTCCCGTTGCGAATACCCGCAAAGGACCAGGTACCGATACTACAATGTGTGAAGCATGACTCTGCTCGGGATATACTCAGTGGGGGTTCACCGTCAAGGTCGGGGCTGCTGATCTGTTCCTTGAAGCAGCCAATGGAGGACACTGTTGATGGCGTTGCCGTGCTGGTGTCTGGCTGCGGCTGCTGTTGGGACATTCTTGTCTCCTCTGTTTGTGTTGTTATTATTTGTGTTGTTATTTGCGTTGTTATTTGTGTTGTTATTTGTGTTGTTTGTTGTGTTGTTTGTTGTGTGTTAGCTGAGTGCACTGGTGGTATGATAAGGGTGTTGGTTGTTGTAGGAGTGGAGGTGTTGTTGTGGTGGGTGAGTGAAGGTTGAGTGAGAGCTGTTGTTGTTTGTGGTGGTTGAGTGCAAAGGTGTTGGTAGAGGACGTCGGTATTGTTGGATCAAAGGGAGCATGTAAAAATAATAACAGGAAAAATGCAAGGGCTCGGCGAGTGAAATAAATATAATGGTGAGAGGGATGATGATGCTGATTGCTGGCTGGTGGGTAAGTGAGAGTTATGGGAGAGAAGTGGAAGTGGAGGAGTATGAAGAAGTAGGAGTCAGGGGTATGGAAAGGGAAGGGAAGTGTGTGCGAGCGTGCGATTAGATATAATAGTGTATATCCTCAAACGACAGCAGGGAAGGAGAGAAGAGGGGAGAGGACTGAAAGAAGAAGAGAAGAGAAGAAAAGAAAGAGGGAAGAAGGGAAGAAAAAGAAGACCCTGCACAAGCAAAAAAAAAAAAAAAGTGCAAAGCGAACGTAAAGGAGATACAGTAATAAACGACGTTTTTTTCTCTCTCTCTCTCTCTCTCTCTCTCTCTCTCTCTCACATATCTAACAATACCAGCAATCCTTCTTTTTTGCTCATAAAACAACAAAGTAAAAGAAAAAATTACAATCCACTTTATTAACAGCGACAATGGAAACAGGGGAAGTCCAAGAAGGACAGGAAGGCGATTTAGAATAGACTGCAGACTGCATGCAATTCAGTGGTCGGAAACAAAAAAAAAAAAAAGATTTCTCGGTAAGTTTGGCCTCTGCAACAAAGAATTTCCTCGCCTTCTCTCAAACTTCCCTCTGTCAGCCTGTCACACCACCCGCATCGCACTCACGCACACACACACGAGCCGCGACGACGACGAGTGAATTATCTAGGCAAACCAGGCATCAAGAGAGAGAGAGAGGAGCAACACATGGATATAGGGGTCTACACAGAGCAAAAAAAAAAAGAAGATAGGGAGAATGACACCCTGAGTACTTTAAACGGAATACAAAAAAAAAAGAAAAAAACACGCTAGCTAATCGAGGTTCTCTGTTCTTCTTGCAGGAGATGTCAAATCAACCTCGACTCCCGGACTCACAAACTGACAAGAGGAGGCAGTAGACACATCAACCAAACGAGTCCAATTGGCATATTGAACCGTTCCTTTATCCCAGAGAGATAGACTTTCAAATTTTACTTATCTCTATGAAAAAGCCAATTGAATCAATCAAACAAGAAACCACCGCCAGAATCTGCCTCCACGTGAGCCTGAGTCGGTTCTGGCCGACCTTCTGGTTCTTCTCCCTCTCCCTTACTACCACCATCGACTAGGCGACGCTTTCTCGCTGCTGTACTGATGCTACCTGTTGTCGACGAAGAAGGCATATCATGGGGTTGACCAACTTCATCATCGTCGTCATCATCCTCAGGAGGGATCCAACTATCTTTCTCATCGTCCTCGTCCACCGCCATATCCTCGCCATACTCCTCCATCAACCGAGACCGCAAAACAACGCCTTTGATCAGTTTACGCCAGCGTCGAAGCACCTCCGTCCGCTTCTTCTTGTGCGCCTCTTGATCCGCATGATGGGTCACCTCGCGATATGCATCCATCACCAGCTCGGCACTCTCGGTAGGAACAATGATTCCCTGAATCACTGGCACCGATCTTCTCGATTGGAATTCAAATCCAGTCTAAAGACATCAATCATAATAATAAATAGAACGGGAAGACTGAGCTGAGAAGAAAAATGTTGTTTCCATAGCAACAATGGACCCTTTTTTACCATAGCAAAGAACACTTACCACAGCCTCAACAAAATCAACACCCAACTGTCTTGCAACTCGACCAATGCCCCGCCCTAAAGAGATTGGAAGTAAGAAAGAAAAATTCGTTAGGTTTACCGAGAAATCGTCTTCAACCAATCCAACTGAAACCGCGGCGGTTTCTCTCTTTCTGAATGACTGACTGACCTTTCAAGTGAGTTCCTCCTATAGGGACCATGGCAGGGGTAAAGACTTCTTGTCGCCCATAGTCATTTCTAGGGACTCGTCCATCAACAACCCAAGGTGGCTGATAGGGTTCTGTCTGCCACTCTCCAAACAACGCGACCAGGTCCCCAATCTCACCCGATGCCTCTCCTTGATCATCATCCGTCTCCGTCTTGTTCCCACCTGCGAGCGCCGCTTGTTGCTGCAGTCGCATCTGAAAGATGGTCGCAGGACGCGACTTGATCCACTTGATAGGGACGACTTGACTGCTCTTGATCTGACGAGCTCGCTTCAGCCAGTTCTCTTTGGATCGGACTTGTTTGACGCAGCTCCGAGGGTAGATGGCCTCTCCACGGATATGCCCAAGAACAGGAAGCTTTGGATGCAGGACCTCAAACTTCTTCAGATGTCTCTCTAATGCGTAGCTATCAAACGAAACGAAAGTAAAATGACGTAAGTCAAGGAGGCACAACTTGTGCGACGATCATGTAAGGCAAGAAAAAATGAGTGGCGTGCCTTACATAGGATGGTTGTTGAAATCACTGAGTTTGGTAGGCATCCGTTCAGAGGCCTCAGCTTGCTGCAGTTCAGCTTCTTCGATGTCCTTCTCGACTGAGGGCAACGGGTTTGCCAAACCTGCCATGGTCTGTGCCCACCAATCGAATCCGGTTGGACCAACAGGCTGAACGCGGAGTTTCTTGGTAACAGTTGTCCACTGGCTCGTGTACCGCCGAGTGACATCCGTAACATAGTTGTCTATGATAGCAGCATCGCACAGGCAAGGTTATTATCATCGTTTAATTGGGCCCAACAGTGCCAGTCAATGTCAAGGGAGGTTACCTTCGTCGTATGCGACAACATAGGCTAAATTATTGGTGGCGCACGAAGCTGCTGGATGCATTTTCAGTGGGCTGTTCACAACGCCACGTACTGGATCAATGGTAACCCATTTCTGGTTTACCTCCGCATAAACTTCTGTCCAAAAGACAGGCGGATCTATAATATAAATAGTAACATTAGCGCTCCACTTTGTTTCTAGGGCGCAGTGACATGAAAAATAGCGCGCTTTTCGCCCATTCCACATACCTGCAAGTTTGTTGTGTGGCGGTAATTTGGGTTTCTTTGGCAATCGGTGAGGTGTCGAGATCACCTGTCGCGATCCGCGTGTAGTGTCGCTCTCGTCTAATATCGCCTCCTTCTTCTTCTTCCCTTTCTTGTTAGAGCCCGTGGTATTTGTTGACGCCTCTGCTCCAGAATTGACCATTTCGTCCTTGGGCAGGGTAACTTTGAATGTGCAAGCCTGCAAGGACTCCACCAACCTGGCCTTCAGACCCAAGGAGCGGCAGATAGCAGTGAACAGCTGCGAGCAAACGTCAGTCGACCCATGCCTGTTCAACAGTCGCCTCTGAAGGCTCTTGCGTGTTTTGAAGCTCTCTCCTCTGTTTGCCGGCATCGCCGCCTAATAATATGATGAGATCAACGAAATAGGTCAATAACTGTAACATGTCCTGCAAATGAGAAAAGCATGTCTGAACAAACTGGTCTTAATATTTACCTCGACACCAACAACATCAATATCTGTATACGGAACACTCTCGATGCCTGGCCCTGTGACGACAAAGGAGTCCTTCCACCAGAGAGTCAAGACTTGCAAAGCATTCACCTCTCGGATGGGATTGTCATGGGCCATCTGCACTGATGAGGCTATATGCCCAGGGACCAAAGACAAGGCGACAGTGTGCATCTTTGGGCTGTTGATCCAGCGGTTTCGACAAAGTCCGCTCGCAACAAGGCAGAGAAGATGAGTTTGGTGGATCAAAACTCGGATCATGCGTTCCTCCTTGGTGATTCCTCGACCCGGCGTCCTAGTTTGCCACGAAAAGTATCGAAATAATCAGTATGACAATTATTTCCGAGGATGTGCTTAGTAGGTTGTGTGCGACTCTGCTGTGCAAACCTACTTTTTGACGTCCTCTGGCGGTTTGTCAAATACGATCTCTACGGCGTTATACTGCCATGGTCCTGACATCTCTTCTTCCTCGTCATAATCATCTGCTGCCGCCTCCTGCTGTGGTAAAACGTCTAATAGCAGAAAACGATATGGCATGTTTAGGAAGCTATTTCCATATGTGCAATGTATTCCCAGGGTGATGGTCAGAGAGGTGTGTGCTAACCTGGGACGGGAACTTCGACCCACTCTTGGTCGTCATCGCTGCTGTAGTAGTCTGGGTTGAATTCAGGATCGCCCACATCATCCAACCCAGAATCCGCGGCATCATGGTCGCTCTCCTGTTGCTGTTCGTCGTTGTCCTGATCCATGTCTATCGCACCATCGTCCACCTCCAACAGATCATCCTCCTCTTCCTGTTTCTGCTTCTTAGGTGTCACTGGTGTAGTCTTCCACAACACGCTTCGTTTACTGCCAGATGTCTTGCCAATCGAACCCTTCATAATAGAGGGACCACTAGTCGAATTACTCTGAAAGTCGCTATCATCCTCGGATATGTTCCTGTCGTCAACTGAGTCAGAAATTGATTTGGTGGCGTTTTGTGTCAAGGCTGACGAGGTTATGTTGGCTTGTCGACGGGAGCTTCTTCTGGCGGTGGCCGGCGCGGAGGAAGATGAAGCAGATTGGCTGGAGAGCTCTGCTCCTCTGCTATTAGCGCTACTGCTGCTGACAACTGCATTCCGCTTCGAAGGTCCATTCTTCCTGGGTGCCATGAATGAAGGTGAGAGAGGGTGAGGGGAAGCTCATTCGTTTGCGCAATTTTTTTTATTCGTTTTCATCACGCTCTGCACACGTGACATGATGCCCACTTTACTATGGCTTTCGCTAAGATGTCATCTTTGCAAAAGAATACTGAAGCTCCCAAATGCTGGCTCCCTGTCTATCACTCTACCGTTGCACTTTGGCAACCCTACCATACCATCGCAGCAAAAGTAGGCGAAGGCATTCTCAGTTCAAAAGATTATTATTATTGGTTTATCGAGATGGTCCAGAAGGCTCTTTCGTCTTCAGGAGTGCGGGTAGGTGCGTTCGTTGGTTTGTTCATCGACAGGAATGACGATGAAGAGCGAAAGAAAATAAGAATAAGATATCGTCGAGTGGTACCTGACGAATTGAGAGATAGGGAGGGGAGAACTGGATTGTTCTTTGTCAAAGAAAGACGATCTCATGTTTGGGCGGTGCTTCGCCCTGCTGATGGCCAAACGGCCCGTCAACGAAAGAAGGAAGCGAAATGGGCGAAGAGGAAGAGTAGAAGCGTAGAAAGAGTAGAAGAGTAGAAGAGTAGAAGAGATAGAGAGGAAGTAGGGAAGAGAGGGACATGAGAAGGGAGTGAAGAGTTTGAGATGGGAGGACCATGCGCTCTCTTGTCTATGTTTGCGGGAATAAGAGGATAGAAGGAGGAGATGGAGAGTTGAGTTAGAAAGAGGAGGATGATGATCATGCAGTGGATAGAATGAGCATAGAGCACTTTGTAAGTGGGCCATGCAAGGTCGACTGAGATATAAGAAAAAGACTCCGAGGGGGAAATCAACAAAAGACAAGAGAAAAAAAATCGTCGGTCCTTTCTTTGACTCCTCTCTTGCTTTCCTTGGGTTGGGTGTCGACACAACAACATTCAATAATGATCGATGCTGCCCTCCTTTTTGGGAGAGGAAGGTGGCGGTGCTTGTCATGTTCCTTCGGTTTGTTGTGTTTGCCACTTATTTCCTCTTTTCTGCTTTCTTGGTGCTCCTCCGTTGACTTTGAACTCAATTCGCGATACCTTTTGCTCTGCTCAACCTTGTGCTCTCCTTTGCTTGTACCTTACTTGCTTTTCTACTTTCTTACTTTCCTACTTTCCACTTCTCTTCTTGACCCTCTCGTACCAATATCTTTTCCCTTCACTCCTAATACTAATACCACCACACACCACATCGGTAGGGCCCCCTTCCCACTCTTCCACTCTTCCACTCTTCCACTCTTCCCACTCTTCCCACTCTTCCCATTCTCTCCACCCTCGACCTTTTCAGACCTCCGCGCTCAGCCAACAAACCCGACAAGCCCCTATTCACCCCTACTCCCGATCAGATTCAGCCTCCCTCATAGTCTCATCGCGCTAGTGAGTAGAAGGGAATGACCACCCTCTTCTAATGATTCCTTAGTGTCGGCTGCAGTCATCGTTCGTTCATGCGCAGCCTCCGTCCTTTTTCAACGTGCGAACGGACACACATTGGTATTTAAAAGCGCCACCACCGCCTTTCTTCTGTACTCACTCTCTCCCACCTTTTTTCTATTATTGTTTTATGGATTGACACAAAAAAACAGCAACCAACACTCCTTCTATGAACCAACACATCATAATGCAGTCGTCGACGACATCACAAACGTACGGTAATAGACCCAACCCTCTGGCTCCAATACAGTACACTCCCTCTCGCCCATACATATCCAAGACCTCCAGCCCGGCACAACAGCCGCGACAACTACCGCAGCAGGATCAATACCAGCAACAGCAGCAGCAACAACCACCACTCTCAGCTTCACAGCATTACCAGCCTCCTCTCCAATACCAGCCTCTGCACCATAACTACAACAACAGTCATAATACCACCTCTCTTCCCTCTCAACAAGAGCCAGCCTACTCTGCCAACGCAAGCGACAGAACTTCTTGGGCACATGCATACAGTAACAATTACAGCTCGCAGGTCGAGCAGCCCTTTGTGGCGACTCCATTAGTGTCAGGACGATCGTCTTTTTCGTATTCGCCAAAAGCTCCTTCTCCGCGTTCAATATCGCCATTGCCCAACCAGGACACATCATATGTTTTCAACGGCTATCACCAGCCTACACCCTCATACGACCCCTACTCCAATGGTGCTCCCTCCCCTCAGCTGCCACAACAACCTTACCCATACTATCAACCCCAACAACAGCAGCAGGTGCAGCACTATCACCAGCCTTCGGTACAACAGGATTATCATAATCAACACCAATCACAGTCATACCCCTCGGATTTGAACAACACGGGCCACCCTTCGCCCTCAGCAGCCTACGCACCCGCCAACCCAACATCCATGAGTACCTACAGCAGTTGGAGCCAACCCTCTTCGCCCAGCTTCTCCCACTCATCCTTTGGGAGCCGCAGCAGTATGCATGGATCATTCAATAGCCACAATTCGATTACAAGGACGCCCTCCCTCTCTATTGCAGGTCGACTTTTGATCGATTTCAACCCGGGTGTCCTTTCGACCATCGCTGTTGCCTTCAGGCAAAGGATGCTCGAGAACGAGTCCAAGAGGAAGGAGTCAGAGAGTTACGGTCTCGAATTTCCCGTCACTTTTACTGGCAAGGAGGCAGTGGTGAGTTGTCCTTTTTATCGTCGATCCGAGCAGTAGCGCGTTTCTGTGCTCCCCTCAGCCTTGCGCAAGTTCTAGCCGATGCAATACGCTGCGCCATTCTCACCCATTTTACTTTTTACATTCTGCTCTTCTAGGATATCATCGTTGAGCTGACAAAGCTGGATCATCGGCGGCACGCTCTCTCGATTGCTAGATCCATGGAGAAGCAGCTCCTGTTCTTTGGAGGCGGAGTCGACCTAATTTTCGACTCTAACAACGACCAATATTTTTTCTCCGAGTCAGCGCTGGCTTACCTCCCTGGTCAATCCGAGTTTCCGGACGTGCCGACGGGTGTGTTTCCTTACAGTGCCAAGTGCTACAGTTATGGATGCTTGCCTGGAAGTTCCTCGTGCTACTCTTATCTGTGTCCCAATCGTCGGTCGATCGTAAGTCGCTGTCATAGTTTTCGATGCCGCTAAAATGACATCGTTTGTTTTTGGAGCTGAGCAAAGAGCCTAAGACGCACGCGCTCATTTAATTTTAACCATCTATAGAATAGCGTCCTGGCGCGGAAGAACAGTGATGCCTCGACCCTTGGTAGTCAGGAAAAAGTCTGGGCTAACTCCGTTCCTGCAAGCGTTCTGGCTGCTGCATCCAAGAAGGAGCGTACCCGACAGGAAATCATTTTCGAAGTCATCAAGACCGAGCACAATTTTGTTAGAGATCTGGAGCTGCTGGAGGAGGTTAGTCATTTTGGTTTTAACTGCACTGTTGCTTAGTGCGCTGATCTTTCTATCTATGTATGACACTTATCATCCGCTATGTTCCGCGCCACATAGATCTTTATCACACCTCTTCGTGCAAGCGATATCGTTGCGCCAGAGCGCCTGGATAATCTCATTGAGGACATTTTCCTCAACTACCACGAAATCCTGGATCTCAACCGTGCTTTGCTCGAGGCACTCAGGGCGCGACAGGAGGAGCAGCCCTTAGTAGAGGCAATCGGCGATGTTTTGTTACCTCACATCGTAGGATTCGAGGAGGCATATACTCGCTATATCCCCAGGATCGCCATATCGGAATTTATCTATACACAGGAGTCAAAGCGGAACCCGAGGTTCAAGCAGTTCCTGGATGATTGCACGCGCCACCCCGAGGCCCGTCGGCTTGGTTTGCGGCACTTCCTCAGTCAACCTTATCAGCGACTTCCCCGGTACCCGCTTCTACTCAGCCAAGTGGTCAGCAAGACAGAAGATGGCGTTCTGGACAAGGAGATTACTCAAGAGGCGCTGGACGTTTCTACCGAGATTAGCAAGCGTGTCAATGCCTGCATGTCCGACGGCGCCCTGCAGGTGCGGCTTTTGACGATTCAGGACAAGATCACCTGGAAGTCCAAGGAGCATAATCAGGACCTCAAGCTGTCGGAGAGATCTAGGCGGCTTCACTTTGACTGTATCGCTAAGCGTAAGAATGGGTTCGAGGTGCTGCCGCAGGAGTATCGAGTCTTCGTTTTCGATCACATGTTGCTCGTCACTAAGGAGAAACGTGATAAGCAAGGCGAGAAGGACGACCTTATCTATCAAGTCGCTATGAACGTAAGTTGCAAAATAACGGATTTTTTTTGGGTACTTTGCAATCTTTAATGCGCATGACATACTCACGCTTTCGTCATCTTTTTAATTTAGCCAATCCCACTCGAACTCCTGAATGTTTGGGCAGATGACGGCAAGCCCTCGTCCACACCCGGAAAGGACCCAGTAGCGAGCAAGAGAAAGAGTATCAACGCCGGTTACCTTTCACACGGAGAGGCGATGGCGGCTATTATGGCACCTGTAGACGTCAGCAACGCGATCCAGCGTGGACCAGCAATGGACCCAAAGAACCCTAATGCTGCCCCTGTCACCATTGAGCATCGCGGACGACGTGGAGGTCTGTACGTTCTTACCATGGCCCAAAAGGATCGTGACGAGTTTGTGGAGCACATCAAGGGCGCCAAGGATCTTCGGAAACGAGTCTTGTCCGGCAACCAGCTGTTCCAGACGAATTTTATCACGGAGATGACCGCCCAGCCACCATCCTCAACATCATCATCGACATCAGCATTATCACGCTGTTTGGATGGAAAGCGTGTGACCTGTACGGCCCCTTACCTCAACGTACTGGATCTCAAGAAACGCTTGGTCGTCGGAACGGAGAATGGACTGTATATTGGAATGGAGGATGACCCGACGAGCTTCCGTCTTGCCATTGACGAGATCAACATCAGTCAGATCAGCGTCTTGGAGGCTTACCACATGCTCCTGATCTTGTCTGGGAAGGTCCTGAAGGCGTACAACATCAGCTGTCTGGAGCCTAACGCCGACAAGTCTCTTCTGGTCGGTCAACAGGTGGGTAAAAGCATTCAGTACTTCACCGTCGGCGAGTACGATGGAAAAACGCTTTTGGCTGTGATGCGGAGGAAGGGTTCGAGTGAGAGCCAGTTCTCAGTCTACGAGCCTGTCGAAAACGCTGTCCTTGCAGGCCACCACCACCGTGGACTTAGTCTGAGCTTTGGAAAGTCGAACAAATCGGAGTGGTTCAAGCCCCAGTACGAGTTCTACGTTGCGTCCGACTCTTCCAAGCTGATTATGTTCTCCAAGATGGCGTGTGTTGTCTGTCCCAAGGGATTCGAGCTGTTGAGTCTGGACAACCTGAAGGAGACGCAGATTTTCCCCGCCAAGGGCGACCCTGACTTTGCATTCCTGGCTAAGAAGGCAGACAGTGCCCCCGTCAATATGTTCAAGATCTCTGCCGACGAGTTTTTCATGTGCTACACAGGTATGCCTTTGGACATTTTTTTTTCTCTTTCTGCAGCCTTTCTATCGATTTGAACAGGGTTTAACATATGTACGCCTTGCTCACTTGTAGATTTCGCGTTCACAATGACGAAGGCAGGAGGACTTGCCCCGAAGGCATTTATTGAGTGGGAAGGTCGCCCTGATTCCTTCGCCCTGGTGCACCCGTACATTATCGCAGTTGAGAACGATCTGATTGAGATTCGACACGTTGAGACCGGTGCACTGGAACAGCTCATCTTTGGCGACAACATTCGTCTGCTTTACTCTGATGTGGATCTTATAGGCAAGAATGTGATCCACCTGCTCATGGTATGTATCAGCACTTTCTTGCTTGTTTCAGGTGCACCACTCTGTCAACAAGGCTTACAAACAACAAGACATGTAACCTTACTGTTTACTATTCTCCTTCGACGTTTAGTCTGATCCAAATAAGCCAGATCTTCGACAGATCGTCAAGCTGTCTAAAGCACCTGCCCGCAAAACCATTATTGAGCCTATCCGATACCAACCCAAGACCACATTCACGTCCCAGTCGGATCTGTTCTCGCCGAGTGCTAGTCGAAGATCATCGGCTGCACCTAAGACTCCTCTTTCGCCATCTTTCCCTGCTTCGATCCACTCCCCCACATCGATCCACCCCCCCATTTACCCTGCAGCACCTGCCATCCCTGTTCGACCACACTCTCAGTTCATCCAGAGCCAATACGGTGTGGTCTCAGGAGTTCCCAGCAATGGTGTCCAGCAAGGGTACGACTCGCCTCCTATTGTTTACATGGACATGCCAGTGCCTCAGCCGTACGTCCCGTCGACGTCGTACTCGACACCCAAGAACAGCACTGCCTCTATACCCGCTGCAAGACCACCACCGTCGCTTAGCTACGCGCACAAGCGTCTGTCTGGCACGCCGTTGACGCTCTATCCTGTGCAAGAAACACCTGAGAATCCCAGCGATAGTCCGTATGCGACAGGCCGTAGCCAAGGATATCCTCAGGTGTTCCCTGTGGCGGTCCCTGCGCCCATCGCTGGACCTCCTTCAGACCCTGTCCCTGTTCAATATGTAGACTCGCCTTTCCTGTAGAGCCAAAAGTTGTGGCTTGTTTTGAAAGAAGGCTGTGACTCTTCGAAAGTTTCATGGCGGAAATAAAAAAAAGGAGCTCACATGGACCAGAGAGTAAACAAATAAATAGGCGTTTCTCTCACGAACCATTCATCATCCCAGTTCAACACCAAACAACCATGGCTGAAATCGAGAAGAAGGTCGAAGATCTGACCCTGAACCCCCCCGCTGCCGGCAAGCCCCAGGGAAAGCCCAAGGAGAAGAAGGCCAAGAAGCCCGTCGCCGAGGGCTCCTACCCCCTTGAGGTACTTCCTTGATTCACACTTCTTTGCATGCATACAGACTAGGCAGCGAAAGACCATACGCCATACCACGCCAGTGCAAACACTCTTTCCAGTTCACTAGTTGTCACTTGAGCTGTTGTTCCGACTGGAGTTGTTAGGGAAACTCAAAAGACGTAACACCCTTTGCAGGAGGAGAATAGCAAGACACCGTCCCGTTGCCTTGGAATCACTCATTCGACTTAGTGGCAAACAATCGAAAAACTACAACAATCGACTGGTAGCCCGAAGGACAGTGACTCACGCTTGCACTCCTTTTGTTTTTGGTGTCTGGCACACTTACTTCTCTCTCCTCTAGGTCTCCCCTACCCCTGAGTATGTCGATCACCGTATCTCCATGTTCGACGAGCTCAAGAAGAAGGCTGACGAGGCTGACGCTGGTAAGGAGAAGGCACTTTCAAGACTGACAGGAGGGAGACATCTCGTTTGGCGATTATTTCACACACCACATACCACACGACTGACACGATTGCTTTACTTTTTATCTGTTGTTGATCGCTTGTCCTTTGCACTCTTTAGCCCAGCCCCGTGTCCCCATCACTATCACCATGCCCGATGGCTCTACCCGCGAGGGAACCGCCTGGGAGACTTCGCCCTTGGATATCGCCAAACAGATCGCCAAGTCCCTTGCCGAGCGCGTCGTCATCGCCAAGGTAAACAACGCAAGGATGCAATGCAGTTTAAAGGATGCGATCAAGTGATGTTCTCATGATGGAGCACGAACAATGACCACGTCTCTAACGCGTAGATAACTTTTACTTTTACACAAAACTGCCTGTTATGAAAATAGGTTGACAAAGTTCTTTGGGATTTGGAGAGACCCATGGTTGCATCGTGCAAGCTCGAGCTCTTGGACTTTGAGCATGAGGAGGGCAAGGCCGTTTTCTGGCACTCGTCTGCTCACGTTTTGGGAGAGGCTTGCGAGAAGCACTACGGATGCCACTTGTGCATTGGACCACCAATTGAGGATGGTTTCTACTACGAAATGGCGATGAAGGATGAGCGGTATGTCTATATATCTTGGAATTCAAGGATGATTGCAATCGTCGCGCAGGACATTACTTGGGAAAATGATGATGTTCATGTTACTGTTACTTATCGATGATTTCTGTCAATTTTATTTCATTCTTAGTGTTGTTTCCCAGAGCGACTACGCTAACTTGGAGACTTGCGCCAAGAACGCCATCAAGGAGAAGCAGCAGTTTGTTCGTTTGGAGATGAAGAAGGAGGAGCTCTTGGAGATGTTCAAGGTTAGTTGACCACTTCCTGACCTTCACTTTTATTGACAGTATTTACACCTTCTCCTTGAGGAAGGTAGACCAGGATACGCCGAACTGACATATCAAAACCTTCTCTTTACTTTCTTGACTACAGCACAACCAATACAAGGTTCACTTGATCCAGTCCAAGATCCCCGATGGCACCTCCACCACCGTCTATCGCTGCGGACCCTTGATCGATCTGTGCCGTGGACCCCATATCCCCAACACTGGCAGAATCAAGGCCTTCGCCGTCATGAAGGCAAGTACCAACTTTTGATGTTGTGCATATTCTCCTTTGCCATACAGGAAGCAAACAGTGAAAGCTCATTTAGATGCACGGTATTTCAAACCTATTGCACCTTCTAATTTATGTGTGAAATTATAGAACTCTGCTTCGTATTTCTTGGGTGATGCCAAGAACGATTCTCTTCAGCGTATCTATGGTGTCTCCTTCCCCGACACCAAGCAGATGACTGAACACAAGAAGTTCTTGGAGGAGGCCGCCAAGCGCGACCATCGCAAGATTGGAAAGGAGCAGGAACTGTTCTTCTTCCACGATCTCTCCCCCGGTTCGTGCTTCTTCCTCCCTCACGGAGCCCGTATCTACAACACCCTTATGGACTTCATCAAGGGCGAGTATTACAAGCGCGGATACACTGAGGTCATGTCGCCCAACATGTACAACGTCAAGTTGTGGCACACTTCGGGACATTGGCAGAACTACCAGGAGAACATGTTCTCATTCCCCGTTGAGAAGGATACCTTTGCTCTCAAGCCCATGAACTGCCCTGGACACTGCTTGATGTTCGGACATCGTGAGCGTTCGTACCGTGAGCTCCCTCTCCGTTTCGCCGATTTCGGTGTCCTTCACCGTAACGAAGCCTCTGGAGCCCTCAGCGGTTTGACCCGTGTCCGTCGTTTCCAGCAAGACGATGCTCACTTGTTCTGCCGTCTCGACCAGCTCGGAGATGAGATGGATGCCACCCTTGACTTCTTGCAATACGTCTATGGCATTTTCGGATTCGAGTTCTCCTTGGCTCTTTCCACCCGCCCCGAGAAGTTCCTCGGAAAGATTGAGGAGTGGGACACTGCCGAGAAGGTAATACAGATGTTTCGTCTTTTTTGTAATGGCATTGACAACTGACCACGTTTTGGAACAATTAATTCACATTGGCTAACAATCAAATATGCTCCTTGTGATACTTAGCATCTCACTGATGCCCTTAACCGCTTCGGTCGCCCATGGACCATCAACCCCGAGGATGGTGCTTTCTACGGACCCAAGATTGATATTTTGATCCGCGACAGTTTGCGCCGTAGCCATCAGTGTGCCACCATTCAGCTCGACTTCCAGTTGCCCGAGCGTTTCGGACTCGAGTACCGCAACAGCGGAGGAGAGGCCTCTGATTTCTCTCGCCCTCTTATTATCCACCGTGCCATGTTGGGATCTTTGGAGCGTATGATTGCCATTTTGACCGAGTCTTGCGCTGGTCGCTGGGACTTCTGGTTGTCCCCTCGCCAGGTCCAGGTGATCCCTGTTGCTGCTGCCTTGATCCCTTACGCCGAGAAGGTCCAGAAGCAGCTCCACGATGCTGGTTTCTTTGTTGATGTCGATACTTCTGACTCGACCTTGAACAAGAAGATCCGTAACGCCGAGATTTCCCAGTACAACTTTATCTTTGTTGTTGGTGCCGAGGAGGAGTCTTCCAACTCTGTTAACGTCCGCAGCCGTGATGATGTTGACAGCAAGGCCAAGGGTCAGGTCCGTCCCTTGGAGGAGGTTCTCTCCAAGCTGAAGGAGTTGAAGGACAATAAGCTGCGTGGCTCCCGCATCTAAGTCTGTTGATCCGCTGGAGTAACGAGTACGTTCAATAGTGTATGGAAATATATGTGTTTTTTCTCAATCGTTTGTTTGCTTCCTGTGTTGTGGTAATGGCTTGAGGCTGTGTGAGATGAATGTTTTGTGCGACCCTTAACCGCACATAAACAACAAATACAAAAAAATAAGCATCGCAGTCACTTTTTCGAAAGTTGGGGTTGTTTAGCGGACTTCAAAACGATGTCCGAATGTCGAACAAAGGGGATTTCGAATGAATAAGCGCAATTGTCGAAACACAACAACAACCTGCAAGTTTACAATAACAAGAGACGAAAAAAAAAAAAAAAAAGACCAATGCGACGAAAAGGCTAAAAGGGGAGAGGACGGGAGAAGGTGTTTCTTTGTACAAGTAGTGAGTGAGTGAGGGTGAGTATGAGCATAAGCATAAGTGTAGGATGCACATGGGTGTGTGGATCATGGACGGGATCTTTGCTCAGCGGTTCAAGGGGATTGGACGAAAAAAAGAATTAGTTGCCGAATGATCGCCTTTGATTCTGTTGCTGTGTGGATTCCTTTATCTTTCAAAGGGAATTGAGCAAGAGGTCCTGGCGATGGTTGATCATGCTCTTCGTCTTTGGAAAAAGAGAGGGATTGAATGATCATGATGCTCGAGCAAATGACATGGAGTGACCACCACTAGCGCTCCCACCACCATCCTCCTTCCCACCATCGATGGTTGAAGAGCAAGATAAAGAGGCAAGAATTGTTACTGAACTGAGAGTGAAGTGGAGTAGTACGAGTGCTCGGAACCCGACTGCAACTCTTGTCTTGGTCTTGCCTTTGTCTGGTCGGGGGACCAACAAAAAAAATATTATACATGACCAAGATAAGTATATAACCCGTTTACTGTAATACTTATCGCACCCAGTCAAGGGCAAATGGCAACAGGGCAAGACATCCCGAGTCTTGATTCCTTCCCACTTCCCCTGAGTTTGCTATTGTTGCTGACAATGGACTTTTCTCAATCGCTTATTGGAACAAATCGCACGCTACCAGTCTTTGCTAAGTGTGCCTGTGTTTGATTTCGTTTATTCTGTCTTTGCGATTCTTCGGATCCTTCCTTCATAAAGGTCTTCACCTGTCCGGTTTTTTTCTCTCTTTTTCTTCTTTCCTTTCTTTCCTCCTCTTCCTTCTTCCTCTTTCTCCTCCTCCTCTCCACCCTCCATCCTTCCTCTTCCGACCTCTCACCTCGGCTGTTTCCCTTTTTTGTGTCTCTCCTTCCCTTCCACCCTTCCACCCTTCCACCCTTCCCCCCTCCCCAACCCCAACGAGACATTCATCCTATTCAAGGCTTTGTAATATCTTTCCAATTTTTTCAGGAACGGATTCTATCAACACATTCAGGAAACAAAAGATGGCTCCTCCCAACACTATCGATGCCGGTTTGACCCACCGCCACGTTGTCAACCCCACTGTTGCCCCTGTCAAGGCCGCCTATGAGCGCAACTATGAGCTTCCCGAGTTCACGATCAAGGAGATCCGTGAGTGCATCCCTGCCCACTGCTTTGAGCGTTCCGGCTTCCGTGGTCTCTGCCATGTTGCCATCGATCTCACCTGGGCCTCGCTCCTCTTCCTGGCCGCCACCCAGATCGACAAGTTTGAGAACCCTCTGATCCGTTACTTGGCGTGGCCTGTCTACTGGGTGATGCAGGGCATTGTCTGCACGGGCATCTGGGTCCTTGCCCACGAGTGCGGCCACCAGTCGTTCTCGACCTCCAAGACTCTCAACAACGCTGTCGGCTGGGTCCTGCACTCGCTCCTTTTGGTCCCTTACCACTCCTGGAGAATCTCGCACTCGAAGCATCACAAGGCCACCGGACACCTGAACAGGGACCAGGTCTTTGTCCCCAAGACCCGTACCCAGGTTGGATTGCCCGCCAAGAAGGAGAATGTCGTCGAGGAGGATGAGGCCGTGCACCTGGACGAGGAGGCTCCCATTGTGACCCTGTTCTGGATGCTCATCCAGTTCCTGTTCGGTTGGCCCGCCTACCTGGCTGTCAACGCCTCGGGCCAGGACTATGGCCAGTGGACCTCCCACTTTCACACCTGGTCGCCCATCTTTGAAGCCCGCAACTTCACCGACGTTATCTTCTCTGACCTTGGAGTTCTTGTCACCTTGGGTGCCCTCGTCTACGCCTCTCTCCAGACCTCGCTCCTCGCCGTGACAAAGTACTACATTCTCCCTTACCTCTTTGTCAACTTTTGGTTGGTTCTCATCACCTTCCTCCAGCACACCGACCCCAAGTTGCCTCACTACCGCGAGAACGCCTGGAACTTCCAGCGTGGAGCCCTCTGCACCGTCGACCGCTCGTTCGGCAAGTTCTTGGACCACATGTTCCACGGCATCGTCCACACCCACGTTGCCCACCATTTGTTCTCTCAAATGCCGTTCTACCATGCTGAGGAAGCCACCGCCTGCCTCAAGAAGCTTCTTGGCCAGCACTACATCTATGATGATACCCCCATCGCCCTCGCCACCTGGAGATCCTTCCGCGAGTGTCGATTCGTCGAAGACGAGGGCGACGTTGTCTTCTTCAAGAAATAAGCTCGTCTTGCCCGTTTCGTCTTTGCGGCCACCCCCCGTATGAACTTCGTTGTGCAGCCATTTGCACATAGTCCTGGCGAGTTCGTACACCTTTTCTGTTTAACACAACAAAAACACTAAAAAATTACACCCCATAAAAGCACTTTCGTTTGTCATAGGATTAGGCAACATCACCATTTTTTCAAACAATAACATAAACACGTTCTTCTCCTTGAGGGACTTACCAAACATACTCTCATTCTCGCTCGCATTCTTCCATTTCCTCGATTTTTTTTTTTCCGAACTTGTGTGTTTTGCATTCACGGAGTAGAAAAACGTTGCTTGTGTTCTTTGACGGAAAACGTGAGTGTTCGGAAAAAAGAAGATAACGATTTTTTTTTTTGGTTGGTTTTCTATAGTACTCCTGGTTTTTTCTTTTTTCTTGTGCCCCTTTTTTTTGACCCTGTATGTAAAGTTATTTCATTTTGCATATGATTGTGGTGATGGACCGGTTGGTATATGTGCAATGTCAGCATTGAGGCGGAAGTGGAATAAAAATGAGCATGAAGTTGGGAACAGATGTAAAACAAGACGTGATGGCGTTGAGGAATGGAGACAACTTGGGTGAGGAAATGGCTTTGCGAAAGCTGTCTGTGAGAGCCAAATGGCGTTTTTTCGGTCCTTCAGCCACTGCTATTTCTTCGGTCTACGTTCTTTTCTTTTTTCAGTCCGTCAAGCCTTGTTTTTCTTCCTTTCACACTTTTTTTTATTTTTTTTTTTATTTTTTCTGCTTGGTCCATTCCTCGACAATTCACACGATACCCGTCTTTCATTCCCAGGGAAAGAGAAGATTTATTTCGCCCATGCCTTTTCCTTCAAAAGCGCAGCAAGGAGCAATGCTTATATTTTCATTCATTCGTGATCTATCAAGCAGGAATGTGCTTCTGAAGTTCTGATCAGATAACTGAGATAAGCCTATTTCACGAATATGGTCCCAACAAAACCAAAAAAGGGCGAGTAAGAAGAAGCTCCATCAAATGTCACGTTATTTGTGTCAAGAAGCAACCGTGCACTCAAATAAACCTTTTTCGCGTGCAAAAAAAAACACACACAAAAACTCGTGAGATGGGCCAGAAGAGAAGAGCAACGTCCTGTACTTTCTTGCTCAAGTGTCCTCTTCCTGTACCTTTTTCATGTCAAACAAGGGAGGCAGCTCGTTCTCTCTCGCATAGCTACTTCATACAGTTTTCATATTCAAGTCGGCTAAGTTCAAAGGGCGTAGGATTTTGGTGCACATACAAGGACCAAGTCTTTGCTCATGAGCTTGATCATTGTTTATCAGCAAGTAGAAGAGAGGGAGGAGGACCAGAAATATGAAGACTCGGGATGTTTTTTTGCAACGATGTAACTAGGAAATGAGCTACCTCGCACGAAAACAAGGGCGTTAAAGGTGAGCTTCTATTTCATATCGTCACCAAACTCACAATCATCGTCATCGATCTCCATTGAAGAGCATTTTTTAAATTTTATTTTGCATTGTTGATGTTTTGACCACATCGTCCGTTGGACTATGTCTTGTGTGGCGCTACTCACAAAACCCCAAAGAGTCAAGACCAAACGAACATGGGGGAATAATAAGAATGTCATCGTCATCTGTGCTGTCATCAGTCTTGCCTGGATGAATACACTTCAATGCTAGCGAATAGAAAACGGAACCAGATGGCTGGAAAAGAAAGACCAATGACATTGGACTATTCAAACCATTGACCATTCGAGCTACCGTAAAAAGGGGTGAAAATGCAACAAGCACCCTTTTTCTTTCCACCTTACTGGGACGGTAATTACCAACCAACCATGCAAAAAAAATCGCCCGTAGAAATGCACCACTGTCCAAAATGACCGCGTTTGTTATCCACACAAGAGCAGGGATGAGTGCGCGGGAAAGAAGAAATGCTTTCTTTAGCGCGGTAACGTATCCTTCCATGAATGCCTTGTTTTCCTTCTTTCTTCTCCCTCTTCCCCTGCCTTAATGCAACTTTTCTGGCATCCTTTCGAAGGTGATCTGAAAGGGTCTGCATGACAAAGATGCTCGTTTTCTTTGCAATTGCTTAAGAATTACTCTCGAAACCTTAAAAGACTTTTTTATTCTTCTTTTCTCTTCTATGCTCCAGCAATGCTTCTTCCCATTGAAGGCCATCCGACAAGATCTCTTTAGATGAGTCTGTCCGGATGCAAACAGATCTGGGAACCCAGAACCTTTTTCTCTGTATCGTATGGAGGTACCGGATTGAAAGGTAGGAGCGTGCAGGGGATCTTCCTTCCTTCTTCCCCTTCGCACTTGAAAGGCGACTCATTCTTGCTCAAACCTATAGTTTTTCAGTGACCACATGAACCAATGGGTTTCCTTACCCTTCTCTTTCATACTCATCCACTGCCACTCTTCTACATCGTTCAATCCATTTCGACCGTTCACAGACGAGTCGCTTTCAACAATTTCCATGTGTCGCTGTTGACTGATTGCTTCACCAACCTTTTGTTAAGGTATCTCTGTCAGTCAATATTTTAAAATAAGAGAGCGGACAAACAGGCGGAGTGTACCTACGGTGGCATTGACCATCCTCGATTTCTCGCATCCCATGGACTTGATTACGCTTACGCTCTTGTTTTGTCTCTCTTGCCCTGCCTCGAGATGCTCTGCGGTGAGAGAATGGATTGTCCAGTAGGTTGATGTTGTGATTCTGGGCCCACCCGTGTAACCTGTAAGTCTTTGTATTGCATTGCCCATGTCCCTCGACTAGTCCCTCTTCCTTTCTTTTGTTTTGTTTACTGGAGTAGAGAGAGCATCACACATCATCGTAAACGCCCACATCATCATCTCTCTCTATTCTCAGCCATTAGTGTTTACATGCACACAAACAAAAACAAACACACAAAAACCTTTATCTATCCTCTTCCTCTTTCCTCTTTCCCTCCTCTTTTTCGCTTCTTTCTTTATTCCTTCCATTCTTCTTTTACTTCCTTTCCTCTATCTCTCTCCGTCGCTTTATTGCGCTAGTTCCTTTCTTACCGCATCTCTCTCCTTCTCTATCTTACACTGTTACTGCTCGCTCCATAATAACGACAACAACCACAATTCTTGTCGTACTTTTACCAATCCGGCGCTCAAATTCACGCCTTTCCGTCATTCTCTCGCTTTCTTCAATTACCTACCTTCACCTTCATAACCACCCCCACCGTTGACAAAGAAGCACCAACTTCCTCTTACCGGACGCCGTTCAAATCACAGCCAGCTTTCATTACTTAATTCGATTGCATACATATATAGTACATACATACCAAAGATCACACTGCCACCCTCTCTTCTCTCTCGTTCGCCGTTTCTCTCTCCAATTGAGAGCACATTCTTACCAGCCAAGCCAGTTTGTCCAATCCTCCATTTTTTTTTGTTCCTTTGGTGTTCTTTTTCGACTCGACCCCTTTGCCTTTTTTTGGGGGTTTTTCCTTTCCTTCCTTCTTCCTACGACTCAATTCGTGCCTTGCTTCTTCTCCCTTACGTTCTTACGTCCCGAAGCAACGACATAACCGATAAACCACATTCACACACACTCGCAATCAAAAGAGAAACGACGACGGACATATTTATATCTTCACAGGATGGTGCAATTATTCCCAAGAGGCCTTGAGGTGACAGCGGTGTGCGCCAAAGACTTGGCAAAGCGGAAACTGATCGGCACACAAGGCATGTACAAATCTTCTTCATGTTTGATTACCCAACCTTCAGGAGACGAGTTCACATTTTGAGCAATTGAAAGAGTCTTCTGGAGTTCTTGCTGACGCTTGAGTGAAAAAGTCGACCCTGGAAAAACAAAAGGGGAAGAAATGAATGAGAAAACGACAGGGGCGACATTGCTAACATTCGAATGAAACTCCATTCCATTTCTCTCCTCGGACTTTCTTCGTTCATGTAGACCCGTACCTGGCGTTTTACATTCAGAAACGGACAAAATTCACCTGGGTCGCTGTCAAAGGAGGTGTTAAACCAGAATGGAACCAAACGGTAACTGAGCTTTTTGCGCAGGGTTTCTCGCTAAATCTGTTTTTTTCAACCCCTTCTTTCTATGTGCGCTATTGGCGGTTACCAAGCTGGCTGACTGGTGTGCATGCATGCATGCATGCAATAGCGTATCTCCTTCTAACCACAAAGTTGGTTTTTGTTTCGTCGCTTGCGAGTATAGATAAAATTCAATCAAATCCACGACAGCAACTCTCCAGGATCCACAACGCTGACCGTATCTTGTGTGCACAAGAAGACGGGAGTCAAGCTGGGCCATACCGACGGCCTGATTGGCAAGTGCGAGATTGACCTCAAGAACACCCTCTTTGTCTCGCAAAGCGGCGTTATCGATGGTAACATACGGTTCACTGTTACACTCCGTCTTCCTTATCCCCGCAGCTCTCGCCTTTTTTTTTTTTCGCGCTCGGTTCAATATTTGGTTTCATGGATCTCCTCTTGTTACTTTTGACTGTTTAACACACCTTCGGAACATGCTTGTTTGTGTCCCTAACTCGTTTCAATCTATTGTCGCGGAAAAACCTATAGGATGGTACCAACTGATGCATGATGGCAAGGAGGTCGGGAAAGTCCAGCTCAGGATTGCATTATGCGAACCCTCTGTAAGTAAATACCCCTCTGTCCCTGACTTGTTCCAATCCTGCACTCATATGGTTTACATTGCTTGCCTTTTGGGCAGCTTTTTTTTTTTCTTTTGGGCGGAGCAAATTGCGGTCGACCAAGGTTGGTGGGCGGGAGAGTGTGTGCTTTGTGAGGCGCAATGAAAGAGAGATGGAGGAGGAAGGGAGGAAGGGGGGGAAGGGAGAGAAAGAGTGGGTGTGTATGGATCCGCACTTGATTCGATCGATTTTCGGGCTTGGTGCAATGGTTTTTTTTAGCGCGGATGAGAAGCGGACTTTCTTCACGCCGCCCATAGCTTTCAAATGGACCATTGACGGCTGACCAATTGAACCATTCTTTCTTTCCTCCCTTTTCTCCTCACTCGCCATAACACAAACAACCTTCCATTGCAGGCTGAAGAGGACGAGTCCGAAGAGAAGCCAGTTCGACTCGACCCAAAGAAATCCCGACCTGACAAGAAGACGGACAAGAAGACCGAGGAAAAGACCCTTTCCACGAAAGCCTCCGCACCATCCTTGTCGACATCCAAGAGCAACAGGATCAACAACGCATCGTCACCACTCGAATTCACTCCCTCCTCTTCGTCATCATCCAACAACAACAACAACAACAACAACAACAACAACAACAACCACAAACAAGAAGTCCCTGATAAGCCAGGATCTATCCAACGGAACGGCAGTCAACTGAGTCGAACTCGATCTATGCAGGACTTCAAGGGACGCAAGCAGACGATCCGGTTCCAGGAACCCAACATGCGCACGATGGGATCCCGGTCGTTGGAAGAGGTCCGGGACTCGACGGTAACACCCTTGGGCAACAACTCTTCCTCCTCCGATGGCGACTCTCTCCAGACGAACGAGAATGACGATGACGAGCAGCGGAGCATCAGTAGCCCGAAACAGACCTTCACCCTACAGGACAGCGAGGGTAACATCAATCCGTTGAATGTTCTGATTGCGCCCTTTGACCCGAGCTGGCTGGAGCCTACGCCACCCATCTTGCGACGAGCTCTCTCTGCGCAATATTATTATGACGACCTCCAAACACAGATGGCAACCAACCCGCGTGATCTTTTCCCGCGCCCTCAGTCGCAGCAAGGGCACATTGGATTTCCCTCGGAGCAGCAGCCACATTATATGTCTAATGGCTATCAGAACTTTCAATCGTTCGGACAGGGATACAATGGTCACTTTGATCAGTCTCAGCCTCAGCAACAGCAATATCAGCCTCAGCAACAGCAACAGCTACAGCCACAGCAGCAGCAGCAGCAGCAGCAACGACCTTTCGGCGCTGGAGTAATGCAACAGCCCAGCCGACAGGGAACCAACATACCGACCCCTCCTCTTCAGAACTGGCCGTCTCAGCAGACACAGCAGCACCAAACCCAACAACAGATTCCCTATCAGCCTCACACGGTCTTCCAACCCCGACAGTCGCGCAACAAGATGTTTGACATGAGTGGACAATCCAAGTATGCATCTCTCCCTGCTCGATACCAGATGCCCGCTAGTCATATGCAGCACTTCCAAAACATCGACTCCGCCACTTCTGGACAAATCTCGACTCAGGGCGGTAGCCATGGTCATGGTGGGATGGCCATGGTATCGATGGCAGACCAAACCTCTCAGACTCTGCACAGTCAACCAATCGTCACCCAGATGCCGACATTGGGACCAGCGGCGGGTTACTTGCCTGACACGTATTCTCAGGAACACCAGCGAGCACTGTTGAATCAGCTGGGTCAGCCTTTGCCCCCACAGACCATGCCAACCCATCCAACCCTCGGATCCGACCCTCGTCTCAATATCGACAGGAATAATGGTGTCTACAGGATGCAAAGCGCAATTCCTGATGCTGAGCGACCAGAGCGACCTGTTACTCGGAACACGTTTTATACCAACCAATCCCCCACCACCACAGCCGTTATGACCAAAAGCGGAAACGGCAATAATGGACCAGGACCAAGTCAACCCATTTTTTATGCATCACCGATACCTCAGGAGCAAAACTATGCGGTTGGACGAGGCGGAGGACTGCACTCTCAGCAATCGTCAACGTCCTACAGCCACGGAAGAACCACCTCCTTGGATGGAGCCATCGAGTCCTTCAGCACCGTCCTCAAGTCACCTGCAGCCCCCATCCCTGCCAAGATTCCAGTCCGGGCCAAGGATGCGATCTTTGCACAGTACACACCTCGATCGGTCGCCTGGGATGGCAAAGACATTCAGGATTCTCTCAGCGATGATGTGGGACGACGGATCCTGTCCCGCTATATGCTTGGAACGAGTCGTGAGAGGAATGTCCGTGAGGGATTCTATATCAAGGAGAAGAGCCCCTTGTTTGCAGACAGCAAGACTATTCATCAGCGCCAACAGCAGCAGCAGAGGAGATCTAATCAACAGCAGCGACCACCCCAACCTCTGCGACAGAATACGATGCAGCAAGAAGGTAACGACCGTGTTATCCTCAAGTACATGCGGTCGAAGCGCGAGTGGGAGATTGACTGCGCCATGATGCGATACCTGACGTGCCAGAATCCCGAGGCCAAGTTGGAGAGTCAGTACCTGGACTACCCGCAACCGCAACAACACTGCCAGATCGTCAACCCGTTTGTGTTAGGACTCTACGAGACGTTCAACCACCCTCTCGGTACCGACTATGAGCACCGGTTCTTATCTGTTGTGCAATGGTACCCCGAAACGCTTCTGGACTACATCAGCGACAGGACGGCGTCAGGAGGAGGGTTGGAAGTGACGCTCCCGGTTGTGCGGTCGTTGATCGAGTCTGTCGAGTGGATCCATTCCCGAAAGATCTGCCACCTCAACATCAAACCGACCAATTTTGTCCGCGACCCTTATGCTTCGTCGTCGATGAGTCTGTTGAGGGGCTCTGGGTGGAAGTTGATTGACTTTGAGGCGGCGCGGGTGATTGGTGAGGAGATTGTGGGTCGATGCACGTTCTCGTATGCAGCGCCTGAGATTCTGGAGGGTCATTCGACGGCGACGGCGGTGCGTGCGAAGGGGTCGTTGGATATTTGGTCGTTGGGTTTGGTAATTTACGAGTTTTTGACCGACCAGCCTCTTTTCCAGACAGACGAGCAGGCCAAGGAAAAGCTGCTTGTTTCGGGCGGCGATGCAGGGAGAGGGGTGCAGGTTCGATACTATGACAGCAAGCATATCGACAAGGCGTACCAACCACTGTTGGACGCCATGCTGGCCAGGGACCCCCAGAGGAGATTGACGGCTTCTCAGATCTTGAATATGGACCTGTTCAAGACCCCGATCTCGCCTCGACCCGTCCCGCAGGACCAATTGCTCCGCAACAACAACATCCAGACGCTTCGGGATCTCAAAGAGACACGGCTGTGTAACCTCAGGGGTGGATACATGTCTGGCGGGTCTATTCATGGAGGAAGCGAGAACGGAATGAACGGGCATGGCGGTTCTGGAGATCAACATCAGCTTCTGGAGGGGATTGGACGGATTCTTGATTCTCCCTTTGACCAGGTACCTCGGCTGTTTATGCTGTTCCCTCCGATGACGCATGACTTGGATCCTACTCAACCGTTCAGTGCGACCAACTTGTTCCAAAACAAGGGTGGGATGCGTCTGGTCCTGCTCTGCGAGGGGCTAAGCGGGTACGGTGAGGATGCCCATGTAACGGATCATCGTGGGTACGTCCTTCACGACCCCGCGGCGTTTGTCCAGGATGTCGGCAAGCTGCTGTTGTACCTTGTCGCAGTCGCAGGAACCAACAACCCCGGGTACGAGACTCCTGGATTGGAGAAGCCCCTGACGTCGACAGGAACTCCTTTGGACAACTGTCAACGGTGGTACCCTTCCCTCCGATCGTACTATGAGATCTTGAATTCGGCAATTCAGAGGCAACTTGGTGGACCTACGCCTTCATTGAATGAGTTGCGGTCTCTCCGTGGTCCTACACTCAAGAGCTTCGAGAGCTGGCTAGCACGCCTTGTCCGGAAACAGAGCCAAATCCAACAACCGCTCTCCACAAATATCCGGCGTCAACCATCAACAGTCGCTCCAAGTGATACCATCAGCCATGCAGGACTACCACTCGGCGGCAGTGGATACGACGACCTCTCAGATCACTTGGAAGAATTGGGATTGAGGGATACTTCGCCTCCTGATGTTCCTGAAGTGACGGGTCCGGGAGGTGGATTGGGGTACGGAGGGTTGTACAAGATGCCTGTGGGAACTTGTGGAGACCGATGGATCTGTCGTGGATGTGTGACGAAGCAGATGGCTATGGCTGCTGAGGCCAAGAGTGCTAGTCCCGTGGGAGGACATGGACATGTTCGACGCGGGTCGTAGATTTTTTTATTGATAGATATGTTACGCATTACGCATACCTTTTTTACTTATACCATACTATACCCTTCAGACCTAGGCTCCACATGAAAATAACGATTCACGAATGACCGGTACCATGTTTTATTCTCCTTCCTATGACGATTTGTTTTCGTAAACTGACATTCATCCAGACAGGTACTTTGAGTGCCTTGAAAATAATAATAATGATGCGTAGATGGGCTGATTGAAAAAATGAGTACAATCGGATAAAGTTCACTTCTCGGATGTTTTTTTTATGGAGACAATTGATTGAGTATGGAGTGTCTGTGGTGTGGCCAGGTGGGTGCCACGCTGGGCCACGTTTTTGTTCCCCAAAAAAATCATGGGCCTTAGATGTACAGTACATGTGCCGTTATGAAAAATAAGGGGGGGGGGCACGCGAATGGTAGGTCGCTGTTGCTGTATAGGGTCGATTGGGAAAGGGGCACAAGCGTGGGGTCCCATGGTCGGGTCCACGAGAACAGAAAAAAAAATCCGTGGGGGAGGGGGAGTGGCGCACGGTTGCATGCAGTTAAATTCTCTTTCTCCATCTCATCTTTTTTTTTCTTTCTTGAATGCTTGTATGAGCGAAGAAAGCACACTAAGAAACAGGGTTTATCATGCACCACACGCACCCCGCGTGTTTGTTGTTTTGCTTACAACGATGAGCGATGGGAAGAGAAGTGGAGAATGGTATCTTCTTTATTTGTCGTCTCCTTCATTGTTGTTCTTTTTCTTTCCTTCCTCTACTTTCTTTTCCTTTCGTATTCCTCGACCCTCTCTCTCTCTCTCTCTCTCTCTCTCTCTTTCTCTCTGCAACTACTCGTCCCACCTTGTGTTCCCTTCCTTTCTCCAACCTGCATGCCATCTTCTCTCCTTCCCTGCCACTTTTTTTTCTCTCCAACTTCCCTTCTCCCTCGTCCTCTCTCGGTCCCATCCGCCCGTCGTCTCTTATGCACCTGTCCATCCCACCCTGTTTATCTTCTGTGAGAAAAAAAAAAGAGGGCGAAAGAGAAGAGAGAAGGGGGGACCAGGCACCCAAAAAGAAAACTTTGTTTTTTTTTGGTTACAAGGGTCACCTCTTTCTCTGTCCAATTCTCCTGCCAGTCTTTCTCCAAACTCTCTCTCTCGCAGAAAGCGGGAAACGGCAACAGTATCAAAAACAAAGCGCACAAAAAAAAAATATCCTTGATGCTCTCTCCACAAAACAATCACAGGGAGAGGCAGAGAACGGAAGGAATAACACACAAACAAACAAAAGCGAATAGCAAAACAAAACAAACACGGGGGAGGGGAGGAGAGATTCGCCATCGCCATTTTTTTTTTGCTGTGGGAGGGAGGGAACAAGAAGATGGGGGGGAACAGAGAGAAAGGGGGTTTCGAGGGGTTTGAATAAAATAAAAAAAAAGAGCGCACAGAGGAACGCAACGTGGGTTTTTTGTCAGTTGTGAAGGAAGGGGTTGAAGCAAGAAAGGGTTCAATTGAAAAGAGGTGGGCGGAAGCAGAAAAAAAAAAGGCTAGCGGCTGAGCGTTCATTGTAACGTTTTTCAGGACGGACCCTCTCTTTCTCGAGGAATTGAGCCCTCCTTGTTTGTTGCAAAGGAGATCGAAGGACGGAAGAAGGATGATAGCGTAAACAACAACAGCAAGACGAGGAAGGGGACCCCGGAGGTTAAAGAACAAAAGGAGGCAAAGGGATTGAGGACACGGATGCAGTCCTTCTCTTTCCCTCTCTCCCACCTTCCTTCCTTTTTTTTTTCTCTTCTCCTTCCCAGCTCACATACATGGATGGTGTGGTCGTCCTAGTTGTCTCCAGCATGCAGGGATGGGGGGATGATGGTGGGGCAAATAAAAAGTAAAAAAGGCGATCCTGCCTGCAAGGGGTATGGAGAGAAAGAGAAAGAGAGAGAGAGTAAGAGAGAAAGAGAGAAAGAGAGAAAGAAGGGAAGAAAGGAAACATGTCTCTCTCTTTGAGCCTTTCCTTGTATTCCTTTTCCCGCGGCCATCTCAACCTCTCCTCTCCTCTTCACTCCCTTCCCACGACTTTGCCATTGTCCCTACCTCTCTGTCCCTTTCGCGTGCTTCCTTGGCAGTGGAGAAGAGCGTGTGCAAGCAAGTACACAGATGGTCAAGAGACACTTTTTTCAGGCATAAAAAAAGGGATGTGGAGATCCCATCTGCATCTGTCGGACAAAGTGTCCTGACGATACAATGACAATCCAAAACAGCCTGACCTGCCGCATGGCTTTCAGGGGGAAGGGAGGTGAAGTAAGAGGACGGATGACCCTTTTTTTTGCGGTTGTCAAACTTCTACTTTTTCATCCCTCTTTCTCTTTTGATTGGAAGAAGAAGGAGACAGGGATGGGATGCTCGCGTTGTCTTTTTTATTTGTCCCAATTGCTATGCAAGAGAGTCTCGTAACCAAGGACAACTCAAGGTCAAAGGACAGGAGAAAAAATTAGGCAATTGAAAGGGACTCGTTATTTTTTCATGCACGATCAAGGCAGGATCCAAGAAGGGACAAGATCGAGAAAAAAAAACAAGGCAGGATCGAGAATTGAACAACGGATGAAGGCATAATTGAGAAAAAGGAAGCAAGGATAGCGATTGAGAACAACGAAGACGACGACCATGATAGTGATGACTAGGATAACTATAATTCACAGGGACGGGATCCAAAAAAGATGAATGAGCAGCAGTCGGTGGTATGGTTGTCAATTGACTACGATGGTAATTCGTAAATGCATCCAAGAATAACAATAGTAATAATAAAGAGACCCATGGCCCATGGGTTTCCAATTGTCCGCTCTGTCGATTCGATGGTATTGTATTGTCCGTTGTTGTTGTTGTTGTTGTTGTTGTTGTTGTTGTTGTTGTTGTTGTTGTTGTTGTTGTTGTTATTGATGGCAATGAACAACAGGTTGAACCCCATCCGACCATTCGTCTCTCTCTGTCTCTATCTCTTTCTCTCCCTCCCTCTCTCTCTCTACCTCGAGTTGTTGCACTTTGTCGCTCCCTTTGCCCTCTCATCAATTGGAATAAAAAGAAAGTTTTCTTCCTCTCTTCTCTTCTTCTCTTTCTTTTTCTCCTTTTGTCCCTGGTCCTCTTCGTCCCTTTCTTCGTTACTCCTCTTACTCCTTTACTCCTCACTCACTCACTCACCATCTCATCCATTCCTTCCCATTGACCCATTTCCTTTACTTCACTCCCTTATTTGCTACGCCCCTTTCTTTCCATCTCTTTAACATCATCCCCTCCCTCTTCACACTCTGATTCATTTAACGTCAATAAACCCTTTTCACGCACTCACTCTCATTACCCTCACACTTATTATTACCCTCTCACACCCACCTTATTCACTTGTACCCTTTCACCCCTTCCCTCTTTCCGTTGTACGTTTTCCGTGTACGTTTCCTTTGTACGTTCCTTTGTTTTCCCTATCTTCTTTTCTCACTTCCGACCCCCTGCCTGAACCCTGCCACCCAGCGACCAATCAACCAAACCACTGATACTTTCTGCCTTTACCTTCGACCATTGCCCTCCTGCTCTTTTCACTTGCATAAGTGTCGTAACAACGTTAATCGATACAAAAAAGACAAAGCGATAAAGAAAAGAACAAAGCACAACGACCGTCGATCCTCTCCCCTTTGCCAATCCCTTTCCTTCGATCTGTTAGTTCCCCTTCAGCCTTGTTTCTTTGTCTCGTTTTAAAAAAAAAGCGCGGTCCCTCGGGCTCACTTCTCTTCCCCTTTCCTTTTCCCTTTTTCGTTTTCTTTCTATTCTCACTCTCTATCTCCATCTCCATCTTCTCCGTTCTTCTTCTTTTTCCCGCTCTTCCCTTCAACTCCCTTTCCCTTTTTCCCTCACTCCTCCAGCCCATTCCTCCACAAAGGTAATTTACAACCGTCCGTCCGCGACCGCTGTGCCTTTCCATCAAAATATTTGCTCTGCTTCTTTCCAGGAACAGCAGTCTCAGCCTAATCCTCCTTGCCACGAGATGTTAAAGTCACAGCACCAACAACAGCATCGACAACATCAACAACAGCGGGAGTATAATAGATCATATCCCGTACACCTTACCATCGAGCGAGCATTGGGTTTTGGGGGAAAGATAAAAAAAACACAACAGACCCCAAGCGACGACTCACTCTCGCTTCTTCTGTAACCCTCCGGGAAAAAAAAATCGAAGCATTGGGAAGGAGAGAGAGCAAAAAGAAACATAGCACTGAACTGATCGTGTGAGCTCCAAAAAAAACCCAACAGCAAGGAAAGGGTGGTAGTAGCAGCAGCAACAGCAACGGCTCTTGCTCCCTTCCCATTTATCCTATCCTTTCTCCCATACTCCTTTCCCGAACACAAAACAAAAAAAGAAAGTACCTGCACCCACAAAGAGCAATGGTCTAACCCATCTCGTTATGTTTACTAGTTCTAGTAGGAGGATGAATCATATTCAGTTGCTTGATCCTCCCTGTGTTGCCTCATCGCAGAGTCGGAGGCTGGCACAGACGTCGTCCGGTCTGTCGAACCACACATGTCCAACGGTCGGAGCGGTCTCTGCGACGACATCAACAACAGTGCCAACAACAGCAATGCTCAAGCCTCAGCCAGAGACCATTGTGCCCGATTGTGCTATCTGCCTTGACAACATTCGACCCAAACACCATGCCAAGGCCATCCTTGCTTGCCGCCACGAGTTTCATCTCTCCTGTATCTCGTACGTATAATACCATTGGCCAAAATTGTCTCCACATCATTGAACCATTGGTTGAAAACAATAATTGCGAACCAAGAAAAATAATGAGGGCGGATAGATGGTGAGATGGCCAAGTGGAAGGGCAAAGCGAGCCAAGGAGATAGATGATCTACTCATTCTTGGTCCTTCCTTACCTCATGTTGTTTACTCCCACTCCATCATCTCTTCATTTTAAATTAATATGGGCTGCATGTGCACGCCACGCGCACAACCAAAACCACCAACAAAACACAACAAATATGAAAATGAAAAACCACATCCGCTAGGCCGTTTGCATCGAGAGCATTGTCTTGACATGCATTACCTGTTCGCCCTTTCGCTTTCATCCCCCATTGTTATTGCCACTTTGTTTATTTGTTTTGTTTTCCTTCCTCGAGGACACACGAGTCACCACATCATCGTTGTGAGTGTGGGTGACGAAGGGATAACGGAACCACAGTGTTGCAACACAAAGACTAATACGTTAGTCTTCATTCCTCCTTCTCTTTTCGCTACTGGGGGATGTGCATCTTGATAGAATGGCATTTACGATGGGAAAAGAAATGATCTGCCCACTTTGCCGCTTCCTTCACAAGGACCAGCCCTTCATGGCCCTTGAAGAAGTGAGTGGTAAACAACCCGTAACATCCTCAACAAGTGCCGTGGCAGCAGCGGCAGCAGTAGCAGCAGCAGCATCAATTGCTTCGACCCAGACAGCAACAGCAAACTCGGCAACTGCCAGTAACAACGGACGGAATCGCCATCGCAACAACAGTATCCATTTGCAGCACAATCTTTCCAATCTCATGCACCACCAGCAACGCAGACGGTCGACCTATGACCTCCGGCGAGCATCCGTCACATCTCTTTCTTCTCCTTCCACACCTTCTGCGCCAGTAACAACACCGGTTCAGAATAGTCCGGAGAGCGATGAGGGTTCTATCCTCTCAAGGGTACCGTTCTTTGGTGCTGCAAATCACACTCCACAATCACAACCGCAATCACAACCACAACCAGAACAACAACCACCGTCAACCCCTTCTTCGTCTGCTGCCCCTTCCTCGACTCCCTCATTACAGCCCCATGCATATCTCAACACGTCGACGTGGTTTATGCTTTATGGGATGCCGTTCTCGGTTGCAATGCTGTTCTTGGCATTTATTCTTGGCCAGGTCGAAACTACGTGGTCCAAAGTGTCGTGTCTGATTGGGTCCGCGATCTGTTACATGGTTTGCTGGGCGTTGGCAGTGGGATTTGTCCTGCCAGCGCACGAATGTCCAGCTAGCCAACATTCTTACCCTGAAGATCTCTCCTCAAGCACAGCAACAGCAACAGCAGCGGCCGCGGCCGTGGCAACGGCTGTTAATGTGGGTGGCGCGAGTCCAAATTCAGGCACAGGCTCATATGCGAGCCCTGTGATGAACGCGGTTTCTGGTTCATTTCCCCGTTCACCCGTTTCAGTTTCTGTCTCTCCGACGATCCCTTCTTCGATGGCCTTTGAGTTTGAACTAGCCTCCGACTTGGGCCTGGACACCTCTTCACCTCATCCTCCTTCTTCTCGCTCTACCTCTGCATCTACATACCCCTTCCAATACATTTACCAGATCCAAGAGCGACAGCAGCAGCAACAGAGCCAGCAGCAACAGCAGCAACAACAACAGCAGCAACAGCAGCAACAGCAACGACAGAACGAGTCGGGGCTGGAGCGGATGGAGGAAGAAGTGCTGGTGTCGTCGTTGACGATGTTTTCGTGGTTGAACCCTGATGCAAGCAGTCTGTCGCGGTGGGTGATGGCAAACCAGTATGCAAGGGACCTGCGGAGGCGGATATCAGATCTTGGGGATATCCTCGATGACTACTCGGAGTCGTTCGGGGGTTGGTGAACGATGGATGATATGACCTTTTTTCTTATTATGACTTGACCTCCCCTTCCATTCCTGTTCTGGATGATGACATGACCCCTGTCGCTCTTTCCTTACGAGTAATAATAATAAATGACCCTGCCACGCCATGCCATAGATCTTTCTATATTATATCGTTGTGAAAAAGGGGTCTAGGGAAAGGGAAGGCCCTAGCCTGACCTGCAAGGATCAGGGGTACAGCGAATCAAGGCTGTCAACAGCCCACCCCTATTATCTTTTTTTTTATTTTATTTTTTGTGTTCATTGTGCTTCAGTTCGCTTCTTCTCTCTACTTTCTTCTCTCTTCTTCTTCTTCTTCTCTTTCCCCCATCGCACCACCATTACCCTACGCCATCGTTTCCTTTCTTCCCGGCTCTATTATTTTTTGCTTTTTCATTCACTCCCTCCACGCGCCAAACTCAGTTCCGCTCAACAGAATGTTCAAGTCAGTAGCGGACCGTTTGGGGATCCCTCATTCCTCTTCGTCGTCATCCGTCTCCTCACATCATTCCAGCTCGTCTTCCTCACCTTCACCTCACCACCACCATCGCACCTCGATATTCTCGTCGACTCCGTCTACACGGTCACCCAGCCGACAACAACAACAACAACAACAACAACACCATAGCCGGTCAGCAAATACAACCGCAGGCACAGGATTAGTCACACCCAGCACAGCCTCGGGTCGAACAACACCAGCACCCCGCAAGACCTCACTCTCGACCCCGACTCCAAAACCCGTCCTACCACCCTTGAGCTTCCTCCGGGACCACAACAACGGCAACAACATAACACTCTCCGTTGCAGACGCGGGTGCGGACCTGAACGATCCACCGTCGAGAGCAGCCGAGAATGTGACGGTCTCGGTCAGAGTGCGACCGTTCAACCTGGCCGAGATGAAGGTTGCAGGAGGTCCGGCCGAAGTTTGGGCTGTCCATGAGAGGTCGAGGATAGGATATGCGGATGATTATAGTATGCGGGAGCGGCGAACTGCGGTTGATTATACGTATGGTAAGTTGCTTTGTTAGGGGAAAAAAAGGGACTTTGTCAAATGGGATGAATGCATGCGCATATGTGAAGAAAAAAAACGCAGTAAATGGCTGAGAGGATGTTGTTGGGTGTTGTTGGCAGCCTGTTACTTGTACTTTGATTAAAGTTGACAATTGCGAATGGACAAATACAATTTATTTTATGTGGCCACTAATGATTGCTTCTTGTATGTGTATGATTTGTCATAGACCACGCATTGACGGGGAGCGACAATGAAGCGATCTACAGCACCAGTGTCAAAAGCATGGTCCAGTCAGCGATGGAGGGTTACAACGGTAAGTACACACGTTCCTCTGTGCATTCGCTGGAGTCCCTCCATGACGCGTTTTGTGAAGCGTATTTAGGGTTGGGCGCTATTCCTGAATTATTATTTTGAACAGCGACTAATTTACTTGTTTATCTTTGCTGATGGTGGATAAACAGGCACGGTCTTTGCCTATGGACAAACATCCTCGGGAAAAACTTATGTAAGGTTCTTCTTTGCTATTGCCATTGAGGGTCACGATACAACTGTACGGGTGAACATCGATCTAACTTCGAGTATTATTTTTTCTTTTAAATCGATAGACGATGGTATGTTGAATCAAGATCGGATGATTTCAATTCGAGCATATGTATCATTCGACAGCATGCCGAGCATTGCATTGATCACGCAGAAAATCTACTGGGCAACCAACCTCTCGTTGCCTTAAACGCGTTACTACTGCAAAATAGAGCGGAACATCCAGTCAACCAGGAATCACACCTCGAGCAGTCGAAGACGTTTTCAAGTACATTCGGGAGAACTCTGATCGCGAGTTCTTGCTCCGCGTGTCATATCTGGAGATCTACAACGAGAGCATTCGCGACCTACTCTCACCCGAGGCGATTGACCTCAAGATTCACGAAGACCGCAGGGTATGTGCCTTCTCTTGGGTCTGGTATTTATTGTCACTATATCTTGATGGGCCATGGTTGAACTCACACAAACTATTTTATCGATTGACTGGACCTTGATAGCGTGGAGTGTATGTCAGTCCATTGAAGGAGGAGATTGTCACGACACCAAGTCAGGTCATGAGGATTATCCAGCGAGGCGACTGTAAGGACCTGTACCCTTTTCCCGGACTCAATGATTTGATGAACAAAGACGCCCAGGATTATTATTTGTATATTTATCCTCCTCTCCACTAATATGCTTCCTATAGACCAACGACATACGAGCTCAACGGATTACAACGCTCACAGCAGTCGATCGCACTCCATCTTCCAAATCGTACGTCTTTTCGATTCGAATCTCCTTTTTATTTTCTTGCCAAATCTACTTGTCTTCCTAACACCCTTTGCCAACATTTGATTGTTACGGGCTGTTTAGGTCATTGAGAGTAGAGAGCGTGCGGCAACAGCGCCACTGAGTCCAACTATCCCTGGTGGGCGAAAGATGAGTTTAGGACTCCGATCCCCCAGTGCGGTGCGAGTCTCCCAACTCAACTTGATTGATCTGGCTGGTTCTGAGAAGGCTTCGGCCGATGTGGAGCGGCGCAAGGAGGGTGCCTTTATCAACAAGTCGCTTCTTACGCTGGGCACCGTCATTGCCAAGCTTACCGATGAGAGGGGGTGAGCCTTTTTGATGCATTTTGAGTTTGAAAAATGATCGTCCGTGCTTGTAGTTGGTTCACCACATCTTGCCTTGTGTTCGTGGACTAAATAATGCGCTATTCAACTTATTTCTCACCTTCATTTAGAGGACATATCCCATACCGCGACTCAAAGCTGACAAGGATCCTCCAATCCTCACTAAGCGGGAATGCGCGTGTTTCGGTGATCTGCACCATTAGCCCATCCTTCCTGAACGTCGAGGAATCCCACAACACGCTCAAGTTTGCGGCCCGGGTCAAGAAAATCATCACCAAGGCGCATACTAATCAAGTCATGGACGACAAGGCGCTGTTGGAGAAGTATCGACGCGAGATTACGGAACTCAGGGCACAGCTTTTGCTCACCGCTGCTGCAGCCACTGGACAACAGGATATGGATAAAGGAGGTGGTAGGTCGCAGATGACAGCGGCAGACAGTAACTTGTCGCATTTGTTGGAGAGGGAGAGGCTGAAGCATGAGGAGGAGATGATTGAGATGAATTTGGTCCGCAATGCGCTCAAGGAGAGGATTGATCAGCTGACGAAACTGATCCTGACCTCTCAGTCCATCAACACCAAGGGCATCCCTTCTTCCGCTGGGGGTCTTGGAGAAGGGCAAGTGTCGTCGTCATCTTCAGCGATAGGTCGGTACACAGTCGAAACGACGGCGGACGGAACGGTCCTTGAGTTCCCCAAGGAGATCGAGTCCCGCCTGGCGAGGAAGGACACGATTGTAAGACAGCTGCAGTCGGAACTGGAGGCTCAACAAGAGAAAGTTGCGTTGATGAAGTCGGCGTTACAGAAGACTGCTAATGGCGAGGCGGTTGACATTGTTAGGACTCTTGCGAAGGTTGATATGGAACCTCCGAGGGAGAAGTTTCTGATAGAGAAGCGGGCTTCGATCATGAACTTGAATGGGATGGCTTGGCAGGATGGTGGCGGTGCGAATGTTGCTGCTGCTGGTGGGGGAGGAAATGCTGGTCGGGGCTACGGACAAGGATCGGTGAAACGCGTCCTCAGGGATCCCTATGCTCCTCCTACATCCACCGGTGCTGCTATGACAACTTCGCCTACCGCTGCAACACCAACATCACCAAACGATAAGGACGACACAGCCAGCTTGCTCATCCTCCCCGACGGCGAACAACTCCCTATTGATGACTATGACGACGACGACCTAATGGACACGCCCTGGAATCGCGCCGAACTCCATTCCTTGAGGCAAGCGAAACGCGAACTCGAGATTGTCGTGATCGAACAAGAAAAGAAACTCGAGGACATGGTCGCCTTTGATGACTATGACGAGTTCCGGAATCTGGTCTTGGAACTGGAAGAGCATCGAGAGAAAATGGTGGGAATGGAGGAGGAAAGGGAAGGGTTGAGGGCGACGATCACGGAGTTGAGGAATAATCTGAGGCGGTTTGAGCTCGCCAAGGGGATGGAAAACGGGAATGGGAATGGAGTGGGACGGGGAGGAGGTAGGATTCCGTTCTCGCCACCAGGATCGCCTTCGCCCTCGCATTCGTCACCTGCTCTATCGGCGGCAACAATGATGTCGAACACAATGGCAACAGCGGCGGCGAGTCGGATCCAGGAGCTGGAGCAAATGGTCCAGCGGGAAAGGAAGCTACGGATGGAGGAGCAGGCAAGGAGCATGGGTCGAATTGCGTCCCTTGAGGCTGAGGTTACTATCCTCAAAGCCGAGCAGTCCATTCAGGATCTCTCATAGATTATTTAATGACGTGTAATATACCGGTTGAGGGATCCTCCAAGATTGATAACGATCAAGACGAGGCGTTTGATTGACAGGATGTGGTTGAGTCAAGCTGGACTGCGTTTGATCCCTTTGACGCGAACACCCTGAGACAAACGCGCTTTTATCAGCATCAATGATATGACAGCTACAAGAAAGGAGAGGTATAAATACACCTTTTCCTTTACTTTCTTTCTTTCCTAAATAAAAGGGGTGTCCTGGAATACGATGTAGGATCACTTGATTTTCTTTTTTTTTGCTCAGCAATGGTGGTTAGCGCGCTCTTTCTTTTTGCGATTGGAATAAGTGCGCGTGTAATTTTTTAATCTCATATCTGGACATGCGTAGAATCGCCGTAAGCCTTAGAAACCATCGACAAGCAATTGCATTTCCTTTAATACCTCGGTGCACAATGACGACAAGGTTCGCTTGTATGCGGTTTGTCATTAATTAGATTGTCTGGGTCCCCGGAGGGAAGGGAGGAGTGAGCCAGGAACATGACATGATGACTGAGAGAAGGTTTTCAAAGCCACTTCTCTCCTCACTCACTCTCTCTCTCTCTCAAGTTTCAACTCAGATTCGGCTCCATCGCGTTATCTTCGGTTTCGTAACAAAAAGTCAAAGTGACCTCCCCCCGCCATTCGCGATCCAGAAGTGAAGGAAGTCAGAAACGGACTAGTCTTTAATTAGATATTTGTCACGCTTTCAAATCCTCTGTTTTAAACACGACCACCGCGCACTTTTTATTATTTCTGCTTCCTCTTTTCTTTCCTTTTTTTTTTTTTTTTCACACCCCTAACCACCCCTCCTTCCCCCCCCCTACCACCACAAACACCAACAACACAAAACCAAACCATGCTTGACGATTTCCACAAAGGTCTCGAACCCGCAACCACCACCCAGGACGGATCCGCCCTCCGGATCCTCATCGTCCACACGCGCTGGAACACCCCCATCGTCCAAGGTCTCGTCGACGGCGCAAGGAAGACAATGATCGAGCAACACAATGTCAAGCCCGAAAACATCGTCATCGAATCTGTCCCCGGTGCTTACGAGTTACCCTTTGCCGCCAAGAAGTTGTTGGAGGTCTCGCAGATCCGTGCAGCAGAGGGCGCCAATGACTTGATTGGAAACGTCAACCTTCTCGATGGACTCAACCTCAACTCTCCTACTACTACCTCTGCAGGAGCACCACCACCAACGTCTGCAGGAACAACGGGAGCAAAGGGAAGCAGACAGGCCTTTGACGCTGTGATCTGTATCGGCGTCTTGATCAAGGGCTCGACCATGCACTTTGAGTACATCTGCGAGGCCGTCTCCCAGGGAATCATGCGCGTCGGGCTGGACTCGGGCGTCCCCGTCATCTTTGGTGTCCTCACTTGTCTCAACGAGGAGCAGGCTCTTAGCCGTGCTGGTCTTGACAAGGCCGGCAAGGGACATAACCACGGTATCGACTGGGGCTCTGGTGCCGTCGAGATGGCTCTCCTCAAGAACCGTACCCTCTAAAGTGCGAGGAGGACAAGGTCGTCAACAATTCCCTGATCCGATGCCCGGATGCTCTCTCTCTCCCTCTCTCTCTTTCTTTTCTCTATGTATTGTACATATTTCTCCCACACTCTTTTCGACAATTCTTTCTCAATTGAATAAAACTACTTCTAAAAACTTCTTTGAGTATATCTTCCTAATCTTCTACGCCGCTCTTGACAGACCGTGACGTAAAACGGTCTTTGGCCGTCGTTTTCCATCTCAACTATACACACGAAAGACATGGGGGTAATTGAAAATAGAATGATATTATTCTAATGAAAAAGTACAAATGATAAGAAAAAAGAACTCTAGAGAAACTGTTCTTGGAACTGTGATCGCGTCGTCGTTCTCCTTCTCTGCAATATACAGAAAACGACAATTTTGACCCCCTGCCCCAGCAAGACAAACTCCTCCAACTCAAATTTCGAAAATCCTCCTCCTCCTCCTTCCTCCTTTCCTCCAGGCGGGACCATTGGAGAACGAAAAAAAACCCCCAGCCATACTGCAAATAGGCCAGGTCTCGCTTTCCAATTTCCCACCAACTCTTTTCTCTTCCATGTCGTATGCGTGTGTATAAAAAAGGTCCTTAGATCTGAAGCTGCTTAGGCAAATGCAAAGCCAGTGCTGCACTCCGAGATGGCCGTCAACAACTGCTGCCGCAACTCCTCGTATGTCTCGTACTCGGGCAGATCCAATTGGTTGAAACTATCATTGCAAAAATAAGGAGAAATCGTTAGAAACAGGCTACTTCAATGTTGACAAGCATGCTCAAAATTATCAAATAAAATAAACATGTAGAATCAAAAAGAAAAAAAACATACCAGGTGTGGGCGGATGGGAGGCGCTTGGTGGATGAAAAGTCCTTGTGGATCTGGAACTTTTGGATGCCAGAGATACCCTGGAGCTGTGCGAATCCACCCAACGGCACCTTGGAGGTACCAGTGACAAACTGCAACAGCTTGGCGCGCTCCGTCTGGTCGAACGAGCGGACAGCGCGCCAAAAGTTGAGGATCTGAGGCGACGACTGGGTGTAGTTCTGGTACTCGGCGTTATTCTTCCACTCGTCAATGTCAATATCGGGTAATCCAGAGATCAGCAGCTCGAGTTCCTGCTCGTTGAAGATGCTGATGAGGTGGGCCGGGATAATCTCGTGGAAGCCCAACAAGAACGAGTGGATCTGGTCCTTGATCGCCAGGGTCAGCTTCTGCTCCGTAATGTACTTGACATACTCATGCTTGTTCTCCTCCGTCACCGGGATATCGCGTCCGTTCGGCTTCAAATCCACTGTCTTCTTGTTGCCGAAATCGTCTGTCTCCACCGAGAAGGTCTCATCCACAATGTCCGTGATATCGTTCTCGAGCATCCAGACCAGCGACTTGTAGTACTCTGGATCAATGGCCTCGACGTCCCGGTAATCCACAGGTCGTCCAAGGATGTGCTTGTAGAATGACCGAGTAAAGTACGCATCCAGCAACCGTCCGTCGTAAATCGCTTTGCCAATCACTCGTCCGACAAACTTGAAGAACAGCAAATGGTCGGGATTGACCCAGGAGGCGCGGTTAGGCTGGTAGGTCAGCTTGTCCGCTGCAGAGGTCTTGAACATCGCATAGTCCGGGTTGAACATCTGCCTGGCCAGGACTTGGAACCACTCTCGGGTGACTCCACCTCCATCAACTCCCTCCTCGCCATGGAACTTGACGTTCAGCTTGCTGTACTTGATCTCGTCTCCTGTCCGGGCCTGCCAATGCGAGTACGAGTCCATAAAGACCCACTCTCTGCGGACGTTCATCTGCAATGATCCGTAAAGGTCGCGGGCTGTGTTGCGCTTGTGCATTTGCTGAGTAAAGTAGTTGCGCTTGTTGTCGAATTCCAGCATCTTGGGGTTGTGGACCAGAAGCGAAAAGGAGCCGCTCATCAAGGCCGGATTGTTGCGGACCATAATGTTGAGGATCTTGCTGTGCTTCTCCGTGAATTGCAAGAAGAGCTCCTCGGTCGAGTTCGTGTTCGTCTTGCAGACCTCCTCCTCCACCTCAAGAGTCGACGGCCGGAGTCCAACGTACTTGCAGACAACCATGAACGACTCGATCAACGGCAAGAGAACAGTTGCCACGTGTATCATGTCACTACGCTCATGAATCTGCTCGAGTGTGCTTCCGACCTTGGTCCAAAGCTCGTGGAAGCTGAGGCTGTCGTAGATTTCTGTCACCTTCTCCTCGTCCTTGTTCAGGTTCAGCAGCTCCGAGTTGATATCGCGCATCGACCTGGGCAAAACCGAGTCCGCCTCTTCCGGGTCCACAGTGGGGGCCAGTTCTATGTTGACCTGTGCGACGGGGGCATTGGCCGGTGCCTGCTTCCGAGAGTACATGTAATCAATCGTCTTGAGGGCACGCAGGAGCTTGGCCTGTTTCGACGATGCTGGCGAAAACTTCTCGAGCGCCATTCCTTGTACTTCCACTCCACTCATCGCGTTCTCCAAGGTCTGAGAAAGCGTGTCCAGGTCCTCGCGGATATCCGCTCCAAGATCTCGGGCGGCGCTGATAAGCTCGGTCGTGATGATATCACGAGCTCCAGTCAACAGCGAGAGATTCTGGATGACCGAGAGTGTGTACTGGAAGGTTCTGCTCGAGCACTCTCCCGCTGTCAAGACACGGACAACCAGCTGAAGGCAGTGGTCGGGGATAATAGGAGGCTGGAAGTCGTTTTGTTCGTCTGCAGTCTTGGCATCCGGCTTGGCATCGGGTCCTGCAGCCTCTTCAGTCTTGGCTGTAGCGCTGCTATCTGTGGCGGGAACGGCGGTTGCGGTGTTGGTCCCGGAAGATGGATCCGAGGCAACGTTGGCTCCGGTAGCCTCCTCTTGCTTCTTCCCCTTGTCCTCGTCGGCTCTCTTCTCCTTGTCTGACTCCTCCTTGGGCTTGGCGAGTGTTGCCAATGGTCGACAGACAATCGACAGCAGAGTCATCAACTGCTCCATTAATGCTGCGTTCTGCACAAAGGTAGGGCGCTCTAGCAGATCTAGCAAAAGCACAATGGGATACTTGCTTTCGATCGCTTTCTCTTTGCCCTTGCCCTTCTTGCCACCTCGCTTCAGTGTGACAGCCTCGTGCTCGCTCAAAAAGAACGTAGAGGCTTGTTCGTTGTAAGAAACAATGTAGTGCAGCGCCTCGAAGCAGCGACGAGCGACCAAGTTGGGGACGTTATCCATCGACACAGGTGACGGGGTGGGTGCCACAGACCCCTTGGAGCCCTTGGTCTGTTGATGAGCCTTGAACAGGGGTTTGCCTCGCAGCGACATCTGGGCAAAGCTGCGATCCACCGCCGCCAAGTCAGCACCACCGTCCTGAAGAATCGAGAGAAGCAGCGAAAGAAGCTCAGCTCTGGTCTTGCTATTCTCACATAGGTTGACGAGAAGCTTGTTGAGAATGTTCCTGGGCAAAGGCTGGGGCAAGAACATGAGTCGGATCAAGGTCGCCAGCGAAGACTTGTCCACCAACTGAATGGCCTCACGCGGCACAGTCGACTTTTTCGCCGCGGGAGCCGCCGAGGTTCCTGGCCTCAAAAAGTCTCCGCCCAAACCCGAACGGGGATCGCGGATTCCACGGAGACTCCGGGGAAGGTTATTCAGGAAAGCCTGGGTGTCGTTCAGGAGGCTCTGGGGCAGACTGGCAGCCAGGTCTTCGCCCATAGCTTGACGCAAATCAGGGATAAGCTGGGAAAGCAACCGATTTGAGTCAGATGGACGAGCGGTCTGCAAGTCTCGTCGTGCAGGCTCACTTGGAGCAGCAGGACGTGGACCACGCATCAACTCATCAAGCTCCTCGCGCATTTCCTGAGGAAGAGCATTGAGGAACTCCGAGTTGATGTTGTGGCTGGCGTTGCTGGCGCTGTTGGCGCTGTTGGCGGCGCTGCTAGCGGCGCTGTTGCTGGTGTTGGCGTTCGCGACACTCGACGATGTTGGGGCGGCAGATGATCGATGAGATTGAAGGTAGTCGTTATACACCTCACGGCGCATGTCCTCGGGCAATGCCTCCAAAAACTCGGCATCGATATCGCTGTCGGTGATGTCGACTAGTTCGCCATCAATCATGACCAACTTCCGCGCTGGTGTAGCAGTTACCGTGGGCTCTGCAGCAGCAGAAGCGCCACTCGGTGACGATCCCTCTGCTGCCGATGACGACTCGGGCTCGCCGGTTTCGCCACGTGCGAGCCTTGCGGCTGCTGCTTCAGCTTGGCGTGCGGCTTCGCGCTCGGCTTCGGCCTGTGCTTCAGCCGCTCGTGCTTTCTCCTCCTCCTCTTTCTTGATACGCTGTGCTTCCTCGTCGGCCTTGCGCTTTTCTTCCAAAGCCTTCCTGCGCTCAGCATCCACCTTCCTCCGCTGCTCCATCTCCTTGGTCTCGCGCTCAAGCTTCAAACGCTCAGCTTCCTTCGCGGCAGGGATTAAAGCGTTGATGAGATGGTTCTGGATACGGGCAGCCTTAGCTTGGGCAGTCGCACCATACATCATCCGGGATTCCTGAGACCACCGCTGAGGAGTTGTGAAAGGAACAAACTCGTTGACTACCGCAAACATGTCGCCCTTGTGTCCAGCAGCTATGTTGTCAGTAGAGCCATTCCCGATCGAAATGGTGGCTGTGATGGTGTCACCATTAGGTCCTTGGAAGTTGTGTTGGTGTCCATGGTGGTGGTGATGATGGTGATGGTGATGGTTGTGGTGACCTCCAGGGCGTTCGATAGGGATCAGGGTCGTAGAGTGGTCGTTGTTAACTTCTACTCTGAAAGCGCCACCATGCCCAGCACGGATAGCGCCACCGTTGAGTAGACTTCCAATCACCTGCTGGGCATTTCCTTGCAGCAACTCCTCGAAAGACTGCCAGTCGGTAATGACCCGGGGTCCTGCTCCTCGAGGTCTGTGGTTGTCGGTGTTTCCAGTAGCTGTCGCCGAGGCTGGCTGGGCCAGCAATGGATGGGTGATGACATCATCC